CGCTGCATGGCCATATCTTTGACCTGCCTCTTCAACTCCACCCACCTGCTGCCCTGCGTGACGCCCTCTCCGAGCGGGTGTGCGGCAAGATACTCCGGAATCGCTGCCGTAACGCGATCGCAGAACGGCTGATCGTCCAGAAGATGAAGGGGCAGCCTCCAGGCTGCAGAGCCATACAGTGTGCTGGCTGGAGCTGTAAGGCTCAGGCTGACCCCCAGGTGGTCTCCTGGATAACCAAGAACCTGCCCGATCGCTCGCGGCTCCCGGCTGACCCGCGCCCGCAGCGTCTCCGAGACCAGCCAGCGGTCGAGCCGGGCAGCTGACTGACCTGTGGTGGCAACGTGGGTGAAGGCACGACTGCTGGGGTTGAGGTCACGCCAGACATCTTAGAGCTGATGCTCAGTCTCCACGAGCCGCAGGCCGGTCCAATATCCATGCGTCCGCTGACCGGGCTGCCCGGCGGCCATGTCCTGCTGGCCTGCAATGCAGTTGAAGTCCCCTCCCACCAGAAGGCAACGTGCTGCTGGAAGGCTGGGCAGCAGCTCCTGTGTGTAATACTGCTGTCGCTCCGCTGCGGCCGCAGGCGCGTACACGGAAGCTACCGTGTAGGGCTGGCCACAATAAGTGAAGTCCACTAGTAGGGTGCGTCCGGTGGTGCTGCAGTGACGCACCGTGATGGCTGCTGTGGAGGCTGTGGGTCTTAGTAAGACCGCTACGCCGCGTGACTGGGAGGTGAAGTGGCACCAAAATGCGGGCCCGCTCCAATTGCAGCGAAGCCCGGCAGGCCCCTCCTGCGCCCATGCTGTCCCCTCCTCTGTAGAGCTGTGGTGGGTCTCCTGAAGGAGGATGATGTCCCACCTGTCGCGCTCCAGAAGGTTGAAGAGGCAGAAGGTCCCGTCCTTTCCCGCGCGGAAGCAGGTCGCCTTGCCCGGGAAGACTTCTGCGCTGCCTGTCACTGGCCTGTTCGCCGCGACGAAGGTGTGGATGGCTCTGCAAAGCCGCTCCAGCAGCTCCTGCGGCACTGGCACGAAGGTGGCATGGTAGGTGACCATGGACGCCAGCACCTGCTTGGCGACGTACGCCCGGCCCAGCGTGCTGAGGGGGAACCCGGACCAGCGCGCGATGCGGGCCTCCACCTTCGTGACGATGGCTGTGTGGAGGGCTGTGGCCGCCGCTGCTGGCTGGTTGGACAGAGGAATACCCAGGTGCTTGACGCTGCTGCCTGGGGCCGCGAAGGTGACCCCTGTGACCGGATCTGGTCCGATCAAGTGGCTGAGGCTGCCCCGGCCCAGCGCCTGACTCTTGCTGCGCTGCAACCTGTCTGCCCCCGTGGCTGCGCACGCTGGAATCCAGAACTATCTGGATGTCGCTGGGGCTCCTCGCGTGCACTGTCGTGTCATCGGCATGCTGGTGCATGACTGGTGCTGGCTGTCCGGAAGGAAGCCTGATGGGTTGGAAGACCTGCTGCTGCGCGAGGAGCCTGGCATGTGCTGCCATCGGCTGCGCCGCGAGCACGAGAGGAGCGGCGACAGCGGGCTGCCCTGGAAGACGCCCGAGTCCACTGGCTGCCCCAGCTCGGGCCAGAACCGAAGGTCTCCTGCAGTTCCACCCCGGGTCAGCCCGGCTTGTCTCCTTGTATGTTTCCTTAGAGCCCTGGGGTCACAGATTGCCGCGACGGAGCTCCTTCCGCCTTCACCATTTGCCAGCGAGGAATGGGGCCTCAAGCACGCGGTACCACTGGTCGAGGGACCCCCAGCTCAGCTCTGCACGGTCCCTGGGGTGCACCATCCACCCGGCCTCGTCCCCCACCAACCGTGCTCGGGCTGCTCACACCATGGGTATTCCTCGGCCGGGCGGCTCAGTCTTGGGCCCCGCTACCAGTGGAGATCAAGATCGGAGCGCTGGAGCGCCGTCGCCAGTACGCAGAAGCCCATATCACCATGCCCAGGGCTCAGTTGATGTCCGATCTTGTTGTTCCACTTTCGCACGGTTCACCTTGAGCCTCACCAGGCCTTTCCGATTGTTCCACAATACTTTTCAGCCTTTTCTTCGACCATGGCCGTTGCATCATCGTCATCCGTGGCCCTTTGCCTTAGGAAATTTAGATTGCCTCCTCGGCAGTTGTCTCATGTGCACCACCTTGAGCGGGTGTCTAGGATTCTGAATGCTCATGCCTCCTATCCCCAGCTGTGCAGTCGGTGGGTGTGCTGCTCGCGAGTTCTTATCGTGTGTTACCTTCATAGCCAGTCAGCCGGATCGGCGTGCTGATGCATCATCATGTTCCACAGTTCCAGCAGTTTGAGGCCTAGCTGTGGTACTGTGGGCCGCCCTTCCCGCCCCTTTTTAGTGGTGTCGGGTCCGAACATGATCCTTGTCTTCTCGACCGGCAGCCAAGGCTCCATGTACAGCTTTGCCTTCCATGATTGTCCGGTTATTGGTTGCCTGCAATGCACATGATAAAATTCCTGTGATTGTTGCTTGCCTGCTTTGCTGTGCCCCCTGCCTCCAGATGCAATGCCGTAGGCTTGCCCCGTGGGTCCTCCAACGTCACCCGAGGGGTGTTGCGTTGCCGGAGGGCTGGACTGCGCCTTGAAGGATAAGGTCACCCCCTGGTGCTTGGGACATATTCATTGCTAGGTCTTGCCTGTCAGCGGTTTGCCTTCATGATTGCTCTTCTCTTTAGGTATCGCACTATCCTACTGCGGGAGTGCTTTGCGAACTCAGGGTTCTCAGCTGCAGGCTGTAGAATCACGGTTCAGATTATGTCCCGTTTGAATTCGTATTTTGGCCTCTGCTAAAATAGCTTCAGGTAGAGGGACGCTGTTGCAGACAGCCGTCGTGTTGTCTTAGGCAGTTTGCGCTCCAGCAGAGCTTAAAGTGTGCAGCGCTCTCTGAGCACAGGCCGAAGCTTGACACTTTCAGTGCATTGTGCATTGGATGGATATTCTCTGCTGTGTGCATGTGGCGCCTTGTGATGACTTGTCATGCTATGCTGTTTGGGCTTGCCTGCCTGCCTTGGTTTGCATATTGCCTGCTTGCCACTGGCTATGGATCCTGCCTCCATATGCAGGCCTTTGGCTTGCCCCGCGGGTCCTTCAACGCCACCCATGGGGTGTTGCGTTGCCGGCGGGCTGGAGTGTGCCGCAGGGGATGGGATTACCCTGTGGTGCTTGGGTCCTGGTCAGGAGGGGTGCATGCACCTTGGCGTCTGATGCACAGTTTGCCATATGTTTGGGATGTGTTGTGCCGGGGAGTCGGGTTTGCTATCCTATTGTAGGGCTGTTGCTGTTTGCCAGTTAGGGTTTGTATGTCTGCTTAGGTGAGCATGTTAGGTTGTGGTAGTCTTTTAGTTGGTGGGCCGTCTCTGGCCGTCCGGCTCTATGCCCATGTCACTGCTCGACCACTGCTCGACCCAACGGCCGGAGCGCACCTTGTGCTGTGCCCTGCCCGGAATCCTATGTTGTCACTGGTGGATTTGATCGGTATCGGTATGCCTTTTGCATTAAGGGACATTGAACCACCCATCAGACAGGTTTCCTAGATATCCTTATTATGCATGTGTTCTGGAAAGCGTGCGACCAGCATGCGTGTGTAAGCGAGGTTCATCCTTAAAATAAATAAAAACTTGTGACTGGAGACATAACTCCAGCCACACTTTCACCCCTACTGTTGTATTATGCTTCGTTTCAAAACCCCGGCTAGTACACGGACGCCTGCCAGTATAGGTCCATTGGGACAGCTGGTGATTACCTCGCTGAATGGTAAGGCCTTGCAGAGCTTTAATGCAGGATACTGCGACACAATGGAGGAGCGCAAACATTAGGGCAAGTTGCGGATATCGATAGGCAAGTCATAAGAGTCCTTCCGGAAAGAGTCCCCATAAGCTAAGCAATCCAAAGCACCAGGAAATGTCATTTGCCTCCTTTGCAGGTCAACGGCCAAGACAACCTCCTTGTCCACTGAACTCAAAGGCTTGACCTCGAGATGTGGAGCGTTGTATCATTACATGACAGGGGTGCGAAGACAAACTTTGAAAGGTGCCAGCATGATACAGGCCTGATACAGGGCCTAGGGTGAGTGAATGCAGGACACTAACGGCGCCTGCTTGTCTTGTGCTTCTGTGGAACAGATGCCTTCTGTTGAAGAGGTACAGGGAGGAGGCTGGCATCTTTGAGCTCTCCTCCGGCTTCCGCAATCGACTTCCCTGCTTCAATGTAGATCATCAGGTCGCGAACCTACAGCAGGCAATGAGCATCTTCCTTTCAGTAGCCCCAAGAACCAATGCAATCATGTCAAGCGTTGCACAGCGTGTTGAGAAATTCACTTCAATCTGTGTTGATGGGTGCCATATTCTCAAGAACGTGCCTGTTCCTGCAGGTCTTCGATGAGTGCATCTTTCTTCGCACACTCAGCCTGACAATATGCTTGAATTTGCTTCCGAGCAGTCTCCAACTCTGCCTGATTGAGCTCCAGTTGACCGTTGACTTCCTTGTAGAAGGTAGCATCCTTTTCCAATTGCTTACTTTTCTCGATAAGGGCATGCTGCAGAAGAAGCAAGAAATAAATCACGTTCCTGAACTCGACAGTTGCAAGATTGCCAAACGTCTTTCTTGAGGTTTGCAGAAGAAGATGGGGGCAATCATCTCACCATCTTTTGCTCAACTGCACGCCGGGCCCGGTCAGAAGTCCTGGCATCCTCGCTGGCAGATTCACGCTTCTTGGACAGGTCCTGAGCCTGACGCTTCACTTCCTCCAATTTCTCTGCTTGCTGCTGGAGCCGATTCTCGAAATATGCGCGCTGCTGATTTAATTGGCTGACAAGCAGCTGGTTGTATTCCTCGCTCAGGTAGTCCACTTTGCTTGCCACAAGAGCCTCCTCGGTCTGCGGATCTATCTGCTCTCCCCTGCAGATCAAAGATTGGTGCTACATCTTATCATGCGACATGCCTCGGACATTCCACAGTTGACATCACTTTGGGACAGCACAAGCATGCCAGTACTCACAGGCTGGCTCCATCGCGCCGTGAAGAGACTGGGTCTGGGCTGGGCAGTTCCACCAGCTTGCCATTCTTTTTTGACTGGACCAAGCGGTGTACGTAGTTGTCACTAGCATAGTCCCACACGCGCTGTGCTTCCAGCTCCAGCGCATAAGAATGACCCGTCTCCTCGCTGTGCTTCGCGGCATGTCCTTCACGGTAGCGGCCACAGCCCATATGCCCGCAAATGAGGCACATCCACAGGTCCTTCACACAGAGGCCACTGTTCACACAGGTCTGTAGTGGCCTCAAGAACGCAAAATGTTCTTCATAAGCATGCAAAGCTTCCACGAGATATTGGGCAGGACTCGCTGTCGGAAGACCCTCACCCTGGAGGTGCCGCAAGTCAGGCAGTGAGAGTCTGCAGAGCTTGCTCCAGAGCAATATCGGCACACAGGGCAGCTTGTGTCCCCCCAGCGCTGCAGGCACTCATTGTGGAAGCGGTGATTGCAGACCTGCGCATGCAATATGGAGCTCGGCTCTGGTATCACACTCTTTGTTCAGAAGCCCATCACACCAGCATGTATGCCAACAATTGTTGCAGGGGCGCCAGACATGTGTGAGGTGTACACCGTTGTGACAATGCCGCTGATGTGCTCATCCAGCCTCTCGAGACAGACAGGACATGTGGGCAGCTCAGTCTGTCCTGCAGGTGGCGTGGGTACCGACGTGCCATCAGTGCTGCTGATGAATTCCAGGTCTTTGACAAAGACCAGTCTACACATCAGCTCCGGCTCCAGGGAGGAGAACTGCGCACCACTTGCAAGCCCGATTAGCAGAGGAAACCTCATCCAAGCGCAGTTTACATTTGTGACATTGTGCCTGCTCCAATCCTCATACCGGCTTGTTGTTGAAATTCAGGTAGAACTCATCAGTGGTGGCTACGCTGATGAAACGCAAGAGGACCATACATGCTGCTCTGCCACCCTCTCGTCTGACCAGACGCATATCTTTGATCTGTGGCAAGTAGGCGCCCACATAAGAGCAGAATTCTGCGACTCCCATGTCTGAAGGGAGGGCCAGCGCGCACAGCCGGTCGCCACGCCCCACCTGCACCAGATCAAGAATTAGACTCTGCGCTTGGCACGTAGAATGGCAGCATTTCCCTACCTACCCACCTACCCCAGATTCAGCACTGCCTGTGATCGCCTCAGAAGCTGTCCAAATGACAGGCGTGCCCGGGTAGGGAGCGATGTGAGAGGGTATGAAAGGGTTCAGGACAGAACGAGTGATCAACTGTGCATCGGAATGGTGAAGGAGGTCGTGCTTGTACCGGAAGCTTAGGTGAGAAGGTGCCAGCCTCATCGCGTCCGTGCGTCTGCCGGTAAAGGTGCACTATGCCAGTGACGTGCTCCACGCGTGGATTTCCCACAGATACTTGAATTTCGTCAACGTCCGCGTTTGAGCAAGGGCCAGCATCAGCAGATGGGACTCCACTGCTGCTGGCTGAGCTGCCCTCACCCGTCTTGCCGCTGTTAACTTCGATCTTTACCGCATACATTATACTTTTGTAAGAATAAGTACACCCGTTCTGTATTAATTGCGATTCATGATGATGAAACTCGTGCATTGTTGTGTTGCTGACAACTGATGAGTCATCGGAACCTGAGAGAAGGTGCCAACGGCAACCTGATTTCCCACCCTCACAATTCCTAGACATATTTGCTATGATTGTGAGATCTCCCAAGTCCTATAGTGGCGCAGGGACTGGAATCAGGGCTGGAAGTGTGCAACGATTGATGTTGTAGACATTGGAAACCAATGGTCCGACCACAAGGGTCCGCTTCATTGATATGAAGCTTCATGAAAGACAATCAAGGGCCACTCAGTTCCAGGAGAGACGCAGATTGGAAGCTTTAAACAGGCAGCGTGCGGCTCGGAGGGATCTAACATCACATGTGCGCCAGCTTGCACTCAGTGAACACAGCAATGCAGCTTCTTCTGCCACCCCGCAGGTGAGCAATCTCATCTTATTGATGCAATTTTCTTGATCAGAACCAAAGGTTCACATGAAGGATGTGTACTCACGCAAGCAGCCATTGACACATGGCCAGGCAGAAGACGACAGCCTTGCCACCAGCACCTCAGCACAGGCTCGAGGCGAGGAAGTAGTAGTGGGCACGCACGTATCTGGGCTCCGCACCTTCTTTGCAAACCAGCTCATGCAGCATGAATGGCTCACAGATGTACCGGGCGACCTGGCTAGCCAATGGTGTGGCATTTGCCCAAAGCATGGTGTTACATCTCTTCCGAACATGTCCAATGTGTCCCTAAACTTTATTGAAAGCACTTATTGCATGTTGGGGATGCAGGCTGGCAATGCCAAGACCGGAAGGCCAGCGCTGCCTTGTTATTGCTTCCCGGCAGAACACCATCAGCCGCACACGATCAGGATCCATTCTCCATTCTTTCCCGTCACCTCTTCCTGGTGGATCTAAGGCCACTCATGGAAATGCGGACACTTTCTCCATTTTGGACACCATATTTTCCGAGCCAGAGAAGACCTACTTTGTCCTTGACGTGATGGCATGGAATGGATGCCTTTTATATGATTGCACTGCCGAGTTTCGCACATTCTGGGCGCAAAGCAAGCTGGCAGAGATTGCTGGTGGAGAATCCTGTCAAGGCGGGTTCTCTTTTGTCCCTGTGCCGCTGTTTCCCTGCAACCCAGGTGAGAAGGAGTTTTATGGAGACCTTGTTGGCAATGCGCCGCGCTCGATCATCAGTAAGGTTCTGACTGCTGATATGACGATGTGCATGCAGAGGGCATGCAAGCCGCCTACTCAGGCATGGTGCCATTCCAGCTGCGAGATGGGCTCCTTTTTCTCAACAAAGAGGCACACTATGACTTGGGGTCTTCACCACTTGCGCTGCTGTGGAAGGACGTCCACAGCTCCAGGTTTTCCCTGGACACCGATGCTGCCGGTGTAGTGCCACAGTGGCAGCACGTTGTGCTGCAGTTTTTGGACAATGGGTGCCTGGGGACTGGCGATGACCCACCTCTGATCGTCGGCACAGTGCCACAGGCCCTGTTCTTGAGCAAGCCAGACCAGTTGAGGTGCATTCTCAGACTCTTTCAATTCCAATTTGCTTGCAGCTTCTTCGGCTGCTGTATTATTATTCGTTGCTTTGTCCAGATGTCTCTTCAGACGCTTTCTTTCCAGCAACTTCCCGACTCTGCTGCAGGCATAGAAGACTCCTGCGATTCACCATCAGGGAAGGTGGACTGAACTTGAGGGAGGGAGAACTTGTAGGTGCTGATCTGCATTTTGAAGGTCCTGCCAATCAGCGACGTGGCAGGGCAGATTTAAGCAGCAAGGTAAATCTGCATCATGATACGTAGCGTTTGGCTAGATGCCAATATATATTGATACGCTGACGACCCTGCTGTCATGCTCTTATTGCTCGCAGATTGTGTTTCAACACCTTGCCCGCAGCAACCCTATCACCATCGGTATGTTGCTGGAGGTATCTGGTCACGATGACAGCCACCGGGGTGAGTTGAGACCTTGATGAATGGTGCAACCTGCATGAACTGAGCACATGATGCATTTCTGCACCGTGAGACAAAGACTTGGGTCTGTAGGGGCATGTTTTGAGCTGTCCGTCTTGGCATACCCGATTACAGATGAGCTGGGACTTTCTCAGAAAAAGGAGGGGGGTCTAAAGGGTCAGAGTCCTGGCGGAAGCACTAGCAACGTATCCTGGTCTTCCTCAAAGTATCCTGTGCTTGCAGGGGACACTTGCGAAAAGTAAGTTTTGCAGCTGTGTCAGTATCAAATGCCGCATTCGGTGCCCATTGTCACAACCGTGCCATTAGCTGATCAAAATCATGAACTGAACATTTGAACCATCATGCTCTTAAGATGCGTTCCTACTTTTAGTGCTGTGACCTTTTTTGTAAATAGTATCACAGCTATATTTTGATTGTCAAAGGCTTGATCCAAGATGGAATATCCATCTGACAACACTGTCACCGGCAAGCTCTTGACGCTTCACCTGGGGGGGTTGAAATTAAGCCAAAAGCTTGCTATTAATGTTGCAACTGACACCGTGTGACTGGGCATCTGTATGCAATTATGCATGCCATCATATGATTCTGATGAAGATATATTAAACACTACATAATTCAAGGAGAAAGAACAGGTACTGCCGATTCGCCCCATCTCATCAGATGTACATGTTGACATCATGATTACTACTGAGATGACGCCTCATGGCATGATGCTGAATCAGAATTGCTAATAGCCATGTCAACATGTACATGAAAGCATATGCTGGCACCCCAAGGACAGACGTGCTGTGCAAGCCTTGCTGTTTCTGGAGGCAGCTTTCCAATCGACTGTTTGCATGGTACTCAATTGGCGCAGATCTGACAAGTGCGAGCGCCCGCGGGCGGGCGCGAGGTCATACGCGATAAGGGGGGCAGAATTCTTTCGAACCTAGGGATCAGGCCAGACGTGAGGAAGTGGCCGAGAGAGAGAGAGAGAGAGAGTGAGAGAGACCGAGAGAGAGAACGCACTGGAGGGAACCCCGTAGGAGACCCTAACATGCATACGCGCAGAGCCAGAATGGCAGAGCAGGGAACATCACTGGTAACAGCTAGCCCCCGTCATCAAAAGGTAAATGGGGGGGCAAGGAGAGGGAACCAGGAAGGGGCTGGCAAGGGGCACGGCGGGCCCGAGAGGACCGGCGCAGAGCCACGGGTGGGATAGAAGGGCCGGAAGGCAAAGGGGCAGAAGACCGGGGAGGGACACCGGGGGGTGCCACAGGGCGGCGGGGCCGAGGGGGGGCAGACGAGGGAGGCCGATATCAGAAGACACAGAAAACACACTAGAGACTGCGATTGCAACTCTCTCTCTCGAGCTCTGGAGTGGGTCACGACTCGTCGCCGTATCCGTAAAGCCAATCGCCAGGGACATAATTAGAGATAAATTAGGGCCTAAAACGGGGCAATCCCCTCGAAATGACCTCTAAACTTCAGTTCGCGTTCCGTACAGCAAGCGTGGCCGCCTGATCAGGAGCCAAGTGGCTCAGGGAAGGGGCAAAATATAGAGATAAATCGTACCAGGTTGGGCGACCATTAAGTGCGAATGGCCATAAAGAAAACGTGCATAGATTGGGATCCTAATTAAGACACATCCCCCATTCCCGGCACCGGTGGTCACCGCTAACATCCGTAGAGCGGGGGGCCCTGGTATAAACATGTGCTGGGTTTTGTTCTAGTCCTCCAGAAAAAACGTCCAAGTCCCGATCACCTGCGCGCCGTTGAGCACTGTTTATCCTGCGTGATTCACACAGTTCGCATCAACATTGGGCAGCGTATCCTGGCCCAGCCTAGCAGTCCTTAAGGCTAAGGACATCGCGGGCCCCTTTCCCCGGGATTCCATGTGAAGTCTGCGTTGACACTGGTGCACAAGGAATGTGCGCTTCAACGGTTCCCTGGAAGATCGCGCTGAGGAGCCATCACGCAATCCTTTTCCAGGTGGGATGTCTTTCTTGACAGTCTTCCTTAAATCTGGCACTGCTCCAGCAAGCCTCAGCACTGCCCTTTATATCTTGCATGCTTTGGAAAGGGGTAATGGGGCATCCATGATGGAACGAGCACCTCGTAGATTCATACTCTGCGAAGTGTCAGGTTTTGCACGTGTGTCTTATCGCTGGAAAGTTTATGATGGATGCGTTCTCTCCTGATGCGTTTGTGTATTGAGTCTGTAGGCATGCAGTGGCTTCAGTTGGTAGATCAGAGCACGATAGAGCCAGGGTCTCTCTGTGGAGATGGCAAGTGCTGACTTGGTAAGTGGACTCAGTGCGCTTCACCAGCCCACACATAAGGGCTCAGTGGATATAACCCGTCCAGAGGGTTGCTTCGTGGGCAACCTTGGGAGATATGTCCAGGTGAGCGCAGATCATAGAGTAGCGCATTCCTGTGTGTGCGTGTTTTCTGGGAGTTATGAAAGTGCCTTGTGACCTCTGCCATGCATCCTGTCCAGATCAGAGCCCTGATAACGCGACATGCAATGTAAATGTGGGTTTCTCATGGTGCTTGTAGACTGGAGTCCTGGGGCAGGGCACGTTTGGTACAGTCATTCGGGCGACCGACTCAGAGACCAACCCGCCTACCGATGTGGCCATCAAATTGTTACCACGCGGCAACTTCATCAAAAACTTTAAGACATATGTAAAGCGAGAGATTCTGCACCAGTCCTCATTGAAGCACCCTTTCATTGTATCACTTCGAGAGGTGAGTTTGCTGGATGTTCCAAGGAACTTTGTGCCAGGCAGTATGACTGTGAACAACCCCGTGCGCCAGCCACGTCCTGAACGATGTAGCTGATACATCTTTGTACCGCAGGTCTTCCTCACCCCAACACACCTGGCTATTGCCATGGAGTTTGCGCAAGGAGGGGACCTTTTCATATATGTCTTGCGACATCAGCCCATCTGCCGGCTGTCAGAGCCCAAGGCTAAATGGATCTTTCAGCAGCTGATCATTGGCTTGGATTACTGTCATCAGAGGGTGAGTAGGCAGTGTGGCCTTATTGTTGTCATAGAGGCACAAGGGAACTAGAACAGTGCTGGCGCACATTGTGCAAGTGTATTAATTTGTGCGGGATTTAAGGCTCCCTCTTTCCTAGAATAAGCGGTCCATGTATCTTGTTTATTAAATACCCGCACGTGTGTATTTGGTGTGGCAGGGTGTTGCAAACAGGGATCTGAAGTTGGAAAATCTCTTGTTGGACCGGGATGGCTGCGATGGAACCAGGCCCCTGCTGAAGATCTGTGACTTTGGGTACTCAAAGCATGAGATGAACTCATCAGCAAAGACTGGGGTTGGGACCCCCATCTACATGGCGCCAGAGATCATCTATGGCAGCAATCGCTATGATGCAAAGGCGCGACACTTTTGATTTTGTGACCTGTAGTTGCGTGTCTCAACATGTCTCGACTGGAAGCTCTCGAGAGGCAGTCAAATGCTTAGCATAGCCTGACACTGCGGTCATGGGTTTTTCAGATGGCGGACATCTGGAGCTGTGGCATCATCTTGTATGCGATGCTGTTTGGGCGGTATCCATTCAACGCGCGGGAGAGGGACTACGCCAAGAAGATCGTGAAGGCGCAGTATGTGGTGCCGGAGGACATCCCCGTGAGCTCAGAGTGTGTGGACCTGCTGACACGCGTGCTGGTGGCTGACCCCAACGCGCGCCTCTCCATGGAGGACATCAAGATGCACGATTGGTTCATCCAGGACCTCCCAAAAGACGCCCTGGACATGAACGACTTTTACCTTCAAGTCCCCCAGTACTTGGACATGGTAATCATTCTTCTCCCGCTTGCTCTATGACACATTTGACGATGAACAACCTGCCGCAGCAGGCATAGGCTGAACAATTTTGTCTTGCATTAATTCAAACCTGATGTATTTTTGCAGTATGCTGAGGGCGTCGAGTCATTGGTGGAGCAAGCCCAGTATGTTGGCCAAAGCGGAGAAAGCAGCATGGCATCCCTTTGACTGGACCCACGAAGCCGTCAGCTGGGGTGTGCTGCACAAGACAATTTGACCAGGAAAGCAGTGTCCATGCAAAAGACAATGTACCAGATATGTTTTCCCAAAGGGACCTTGGAAGGTCTGCCTTGTCAGTAGGGCTCACTGCCAGTGGGCCTCCAACCGATGTTGATCACGTTCTGATCTGTAAACGACATCGGTCACTCGCGGTTGCTTTGAGGTGGCAGAGTTTCAGAGTGTTGACGCGTGAATTTTCCTGTTTTTTCTCGCAATAAGGATATCTGTGATGGTCTCGTGTGTGTTCACCTGTCTCTTATCATGTGATGGCTATTGGCCTCAGGGTCTGCAATTGTGTTGTGGCGATAGTTTGTGATGATAATGACGACGGGAGAATGTGCAATTCAATCATTGTTTTGGGAGAGGATTCTTTACTGTTGTCCGCAAGGTTGTCTGCAACCTCAGGGAAATAGATCATACTTTTTATAGAACCTTAAGGCGGAAGTTTGCTAGTGCTTGAGTATAAGCATGGCAACCCAAAGTATATAATAAGAACATTTGCAAAGCATGTAAGAGCCTCTTACTAAGAGGTGTACTAATTCAAGATTACAAGACATTTTTAGAGCCTCCATATGACTCATGTCGGACATGCCAGGAGTTAGTAAAGTACCATATTGGATACCTATGCACAGTAACATGATCTAACAGCATAATGCAGCCTTAATATGCGTTCTGATGAATTATAGGCACAACTTGTTGCTCACATTGAATGCTCACATCCCATTGTCTCTTACGGGCGCTTGTTGGAACTCTCACATACAAGGGTCAACTTCCTTCACTGAAAGCAGTATTTAGACATTGTTTCGGTCAAGCCCAAACATAAATGCTAGATTTTCCTTTTTCCTGAGCTTTTCTTCTTTTTGGATGCATGCTGGACTGCCTCCAATTTGCGCCTCTTGAGCTTGCCTTCTTTGCGCACCTGTACAAGCACACACGTCCGCTTGCCAAGATCCATAGGCGAGTTCTGTAGCCCGGCAACAACAAGTTTTGCTGGGCATTGAGGGTTGCGTGCCCTTGCTCACCTGGTCCTGGTTCTTCAGCTCATCGCGGATGTGAGCTGTTGGTCCTTGGCTCTTGAAGGGGTTCTTCCAGCCTCGACCACCCATCTTGAATCTGGAATCAGCACTGCCAATTGTGAATTTTGCTTATCTTGGGGAATTGAGAAGAAAAGTCAGCAATAGTCAGTTAAAATTCAATTTTGCTAGTAGACTAAATGGGACACATCCTTGATGTACTGGCACATAGGCGCACCTGTCCGACAAGTTTGCTGTATCCTTTACACCCGCATCAGGCAGCTCCCCAGTAGCAGGCACACGCATCTTGCTGCTGCGCACCCACTTCTTATACAGGCCCGATGGCTGACTCCCCTTTTGACCCAGTTTCCCGCTCTCTGTGCGCTTCCTCTTCCCTGCCTGCACCTTCTCATTGGGCTGCAGCTGGATGTAGCAGCGTTTCCTTTTGTCCCAGTGGAACCTTCGCTGCTGCGCTGCCATGCCCGCCTGGCAGAGACACATACCAGCATTTACAAGATGACCATGAGGTATGTCAATATTGCAGCAATGCCCAAGCACATGAGGCAAAGATCACTGCGATGGTTACAGCATGTACATTTTGGTGGGCTGCCACCTACCGTGTCATCCTCCATGAGGTCCAGGACAGCTGCTGACATCAGGTCGTCTCCACCGCTGCGGTGCACTGCGAACCCCTCATCCTCGTAGCGCGACGACTTGGTGCTGGCTATGAAGCACTCTGCATCGCGGAAGCGCCCTTGCTCCAGTGCCTGGTCGCCCTCCCTTGCCGCTTCACTGGCCGCCCTGCGGAGTGCTGCAGGGTCCACACTACCTTGGCTTACTGCATCGCCTGCTGCCTTGTTCTCCTGCTGCCTTTTGGACCTCTGTCACACAACAGCAGCATGGGTCATAAGTGCTGCACTCAAGTACACCTTCCCTGACGCAGTGGATACTGATAAAAGAAAAGATGAGGGGCCCGCATGCCTTGATAGTGCCATCGTGCACGCCGCGTTTCAGGCGCATGACCTCCAGGAAACCGGCCGGCCCATGCGACGCTGTCATGCCGGGACCCGACATGCAGCCGGCGCCCTCGCCCCGCCTGGCCGGTGCCACTTCGGCCTCCAGGACGGTGGCTGATGGGCGATAGGCTCGCAGCCTGGCAGCAATGTTGGCCATGTCCTCCTGCAGGTATCCGTCGCCAGCGTTAGCACAAGGGGAGCCAATGCCTGCACCATCTAAAAGATAATTTGTGGACCCTGCAATGCTGGTCTGCATGCACTATTCCAATGAAAGGGCTCACCTGAGCCTCCAGGCCCGCAAGGCTTGACTGGGGGCATGCTGCGGCCAGATCTGGATGGACGCCAGCTGCGGGCATGCTGCGGGCCCGCGTCACCGACTCTGGTGAGGCTGCCGGCCGCGTGCGCTTGTACAGTAGCCAGGCATTGGCGCAAGACCGTTGCAAGCCCTGCAGCTCTGAGGCGTTGGCCACAGCCGCCCGCACGCGCTCTGCATTGTCCTCAAGCGCAGCCTGCGGCAGGTTGGCATCAGAAAAGGTATGCATCGTGATGTGGCAAGCATTACTCAAGAAGCCACTTTGAATCACAGATTCCCAACTCCAACAGTGCCAGGTGTTGCCGATTCACCTGAGGGAAAGTCCCATACAGGGAGACATCACTGCTTGCGCCGCCAGCAACTGCAGCGGCCTGGGCAAGTGACGCAACGGGTGCGGGTTGCACGCCGCGAGACAGGAACAGGTGCAGGTCCAGCAGGTATGGCAGCTCCTCTCGCGTGAACAGTGAGTAGGCGGTCCCGGACCGTCCTGTTGACGGCATGACATGTATCAGGAAAATGCAGGCGTTGATAAGTTTCGCACTATTGGTTTCTTCAAGTCAGAGAGATGCTGTCCCGACAGGCAGCTTATCAATTTAATGAATCAATAACAAAAGGAAAATAGCGCACCAGCGCGTGCTGCCCGACCGGCGCGGTGGACAAAGAGCTTGGGGCGGGCAGGGAAGTCATAGTTGATGACATTGTCCAGCAGCGGGATGTCAATGCCGCGCGCAGCCACGTCTGTCACGATGAGGATGTTCACTTGGCCCGCCCGGAATTTGCCACTGTGAATGCGACGAGCAGCCTGCAGGCAGAAAAGTTTACCTCAGGGTGTAAGCCCATCGAACAGCTTCCTGGGCACAGCATATTGCGACTCTTGCACTGTGGAGCATGCCTCATGCGTGAGTGCCAACCTGATCCATTTGGCCGTACACGCAGGCACTCCTGAGGCCTTCACGGGTAAGCAGCGTGTGTAGGAACTCCACATGGTGCCGTGTGGCTGTGAAGATGAGAGTTGGGGAGCCTTCGGGGATGACTTCATGCAAGAGCCACAGCAGGGCGGCTGTCTTGTCTTCCTGCCTGCGCCCATCATGCACACGACTGCACGCGTCAGCAGGGTGGCACTTATTGCAGCTCGATCACGACATAGCGAGATGGCCACTTACTTGTAAAGGCCTGCACATTCTCTAGCATTTGCCAATCTGGAGTCGATTGGAAAAGCGTGATTAATGAAGGACCGCACCGCAGGCAGGCAAAACAGAGCTGCAGGTTTGGGGATAGTTTTGTGTCAGCGTCTAGTCGCACGAATGCCGGGTTCTTTAGCCCAGCCCTTGCAAATTCTGCAAGGGCTGCAGGCAAGGTGGCTGAGAACAGGAGTGTCTGGCGCGCATCCCCCATCTTGCTAAGAACTGCCCTCAGTTGCTCAGCAAAACCCATCTCAAACAGCTGGTCTGCCTCATCAAAGACGCAGTACTGCACAGTCTGCAAACTCATGCCTTCCACCTCCTGCAAGTGGTGCATCAGCCGGCCTGCACAAAAGCAAGATCCCGTCAGCCTGCATGACCTTGGGCCCTCAAAATGCTCAAATACGGGGTGCCGCCAGTCTACATTGCCGCAGGTGCTGCCGTCACGGCACGGCAGCAGAGGGAGGACCTCACCAGGGGTTGCAAGAAGGATGTCTGGGTTGGCAGCTAGCTCAGCAAACTGAGCCTCCATGGAGTCGCCTCCCACGAGAACCGCTGTGCGGAGGTCAGTGTAGCGGCTGAGTTCTTTAACGACCTTGTGCAGCTGCAAGGTCAGCTCACGGGTGGGAGCCAGTATGAGTGCTCTGGCCCCAGCCCTCGGGGAGTGCTCCCGCAACCTGGTCAGAGACAGAACATTATCTCAAAGATGACATCAGCTTGAGAAAATACACATTTTTCGAGCCATAGCTCCCCAGCTTGTGCTCACCTTTCAAGCATCGGAATAACGAAGGCTGCCGTTTTTCCAGAGCCTGTCCTTGCCATGCCAACGACGTCCTGGCCCGTCAGAGCCAGGGGTAACGTGCGCCGTTGAATGGGGGTTGGCAGCTGGTATCCCTTCCTCTTGATGCCCCTGATAATAACTGGACTCAAGCCCAGCGTCTCTGCATGGTCACACAAGCTGTCAAGAGTTGGGTACTCCTACTGTGAAGCCAGCAGATAAACGCCCCCAATACTTTAGCTCAGATTACAAACAATCCCCACCAAAGCTTCCGGGCTTCAGTTTCTTTCTCTTATCCTTGATGGCCTTTGCTCGCCTCCCTGAGACGATCTGGGGCTCTTCAGCAGTACCAAACTCCACCACTTCAGTCCCTTCCCCCTGACGTGCATCATGATCCTCCATCCCTGTTTTTTTTTGCAGGCCCGAAGCTTGTTTGTGCACCCAGAGAAGCAACAAGTGCTCTTTCGCCTCTATCGCCGACTGACTAACCGGTGACACACAGCTTCCTCCGAGACGGAAGGTGCTCTCCTCTTGATCTCAGAGTCTCCAGGGCCACCTCCCCTCCCTTTCTGTGAAGATGGAGAATATACGCTCAAGGATCCTATCTATCATGGTTAGTACATGTTGTTCATGCTGAGGAGTCTCATTCAAGGCAGGGGGTTGTGGTGCCTCAGAAGCCCCCTGGAGAGTGCAGTGACAGGCCAGAGACTCCTCAGTAACGCTACTGGGGACGAATACGCAGCCCAATCAATCCATGGCAAGAATAGCATATTAGGCATAGACCGTAAATTTGTTGACAAGGTAAACGTGGTTTCCGCTTTGCGTAGCCAGGTAGAACAATGCAGTTGAGATCTGTCCGGTCTGATCGTTGCACGGATCACAGGTTCGAATCAAAGCAACAGGAGGCGACGGAGGATCTGGAAGTATTAGTGTGTGGAAAAGTAATAAGAAGGGGAAATTCAAGCCTCCCGATGGAGGCAACGGTGGACGTGGTGGTGATGTCATCGTGGAGGCTTGCTCCATGTGCGTTATAAATTCCTAATTGCATCAAAATCTTGCCGCATGCCAGACTGTCGCTCCTCAGCAATTCCCTTCTTTGCATGGCATGGCAGGATCAAGGACTTGACTGGCATTCGATTCGTACAAAAGGCAGGGCGTGGCGGCCTGGGCAGAGCTCAGAAGCAGGCCGGCGCTCGAGGAATTGACAGGTTGAACACCTGCAATGCCATTGTGATTTACGCTCCTCGCATTCAAGATTTCAGACTAGGCATGCACTTCCAGGCACTTAGCACTTTGTGTGGCTCTACCAGAGTCATAAAGGTGCCAGTGGGTACCACAGTCGGCTATGTGCCCGCGGACATTAGCTCCTTTGACAACACCATTGCTCATTCTGATGCTGGAAAGCAAGGAGTCACAACTGCACTCGCTGAGGATCTCAATTCCGTCGAAGAGTATCAGGATGACAGCGATGATCTACAGACGACAGCTACACAGCAATCTGACAGCGATGCTCTGGAGAAGAGAAAGCTCAAGCGCACAATAGCTGACTTGACAGCACCAAACTCCTCCTTCATCGTGGCACATGGTGGTCGAGGAGGGCGCGGCAATGCAGCACTGCGTAGCACACCAAACAGGTATGCTCCCGTTTTGGGCCTGTTTTGGGATGCTGCTTACCCCTGATTGGTGCCAGAGCCCAGCAGGCAATGGTGGGTCCAAGGACAAGCGCTGCCGCGTCACATGTTTCTGTGGTGCAGACCAGCACTTCGGGAATGTGAAGGTGGCCAGCCCGGTGAGGAGGTTGTGGTTGAGCTCGAGCTCAAGTTGCTTGCGGACGTCGGTTTTGTGGGCGCACCAAACGCTGGCAAGAGCACGCTGCTTCGAGCGCTTTCCAACGCACTACCAAGGGTCAGTTTGAACCGGGAGCAAAGGAAAGAAAGGAAGAGAAAACTTGTCAAGTGGGGTCATGTGTTGTGTGTGGAGAAAACAATGTCAACGAATGTGTTGTTGTGCCAGCCTTGACGCGATGAGCTTCCTGCAGGTTGCCAGCTTTGCATTCACCACGCTCCAGCCGCAGTTGGGAGTGGTGCTCTCTGATGAGCGACGGATGATCATCGCTGACATACCTGGGCTCATAGCTGGGGCATCTGATAATAGAGGCCTTGGACATTCTTTCCTGAGGCACATCGAGCGTACCAGCATGCTCGCATTTGTAGTTGATCTCAGCACTGGACTGCACGGTGATGGGGGCCTCCCACCGTGCCAACAGCTAAAGATGCTGCAGGTTGGGCATCCTCCTACCCACACGGCCAGTTGTTTGGAAGTCAATATGTGCACTGCTGCTGAAACGAACCCCATACCGATGTGCCGAGAATTCGGGTGGACCTTACCTGCAGGATGAGCTGCGCCTGTACTCGCCCGCGCTGCTTCAGAAGCCTGCTATAGTGGTCGCTAACAAAACAGATTTGTTGAAAGAGCACGAATCTGCCCTGGCAGTGACAACATTGCAGCAGTCGACAGATTTACCTGCTGTAGCTGTGTCTGCACTGAAGCGGGATGGCATTTCTGTTTTGAGGGATGCTCTTTTGCAGCACAATCTACGCCCTGATCTGCGACATCATCCCACACAGTGAAGTGATGAAAAACACATCTTGAGATCTTGAGCTGAGTGGCATTCGTTCATTCATTCGCAAACAAGGTCTATCAGATCTGCTACTTGAGGAGTGTACCATGCTTGTAATCTGCACCATCTGATGTTTTGTTGGCCAACTGTAGTGTACTCCTCCATGGTGTCAACCCCCAGTGGCATTGTTTCGCGTTGTTGCCATTTGCATCTTGCTTTGATGCCAAACTTGCATAGTGTATAAGTTTACATGCACAAGGGCAACGACTGGAATTAGGGAGCACACAGCGCAAATACTTATGACTTATTTATTTTCTCAGCTAACTCGACAGAGCAAGCTGAACCATCTCGATTGCCTCTTCGAACCAATGAACCATGTACTGCTCATAACATGCATGCCCCATACCAGCAAGTAAGCTCAGTGATCATTGTATCAAACAACACCCCTCTAGCCCTGAAGGTGTGCACATAAATATTATGCGTGGAAGTGTCACAATCAAATCTTCACTGCAACTTGAAGTCCTTCAGGTCTATCAAGATTTCATTTCTTCTCAAAAATGGCAACGTGAAGGGATCATTGTAGCGGGCAAGCGTGTATCCATCTCCAGGCGATAGGCCATCCACAAGCAGTGCCCCCCGCAAGCGCCGTTCTGCTTCAACGACCTGCAGAACACATAATGTGTACAGCCACCATCATGGCAGGCATGTGGACTCTACACTTCTCACGGCCGATGTATGCCAATGCTGAGGAGCAGCAAAAGCAGATGCCAGCACAGAGACAACTCACCTCACTGTCAAGTGGAAAACCACTGAAGCTGAGGGCCGCCATTGTTTTGTTGCCCTCTGATACCACTTGCATTCTGCAAACATAGAGTTGAACGTGATTGCCCTGATAAAAGTTTCATTGCAGCAAGGCTGAATGTGAAACTGCATTCTCCATTCTTGTATGCCAGTGTCCAACCTTGAGTCTCTTGGAGTTGGAAATTTGTCTGGATTATTCCCCAATTTTGCTTCCATGACAAAGGCCATCTTCCCCTCTCTGCTGGCTTGTCCTGCTGTGGTGAAAACTGGAGTCGTCATCTCCATCTTTTGCTGCAAACCATTCACACACCCGTCAGCGATGCAGTCTCTCCTATGCAGTCTTCTGCATACACAATGCTGGGTACTGCACCTTCTCATTGTTCCCGCCAAAGATGTAGCCCGCCAGATCATTGAAGCCAGATCCTGCAATTGCATGGCTTTGGTGTCTCATAATCTTCCTTAAATCAGTTAGCCTCAAATTTTGAGCATACAAAGCAACTTGGAGATAATCTTACCTGAAGCCGGTGATGATCCTGAAGGCATGGGTATCTCTGCTGTCAAAAATTGAGAGTACTGTCTCACTTCATAATCTCTATTCTTTTGCAGAACCTGATACTTGGGCGTGTCCAAGTCTGGAGTTTGCATGGGACTGAGAGCCATACTCATCACATGTAGGACCCCCTCCATCTGCAATGGCAAGCAACCATGAAGAAGAGAAAAGCAAGATGACTGTTCAATGTCTTGCGTTATGAGAGTTATGGCAACAGCTTACACTCAAAAAGTTATTGTTAGCGACTGCATCCCAAACATCGCGTTGGCTCTGCAGCTGTCCCCCGCCACTTATCGTATAGTAAGACCGCCCTGTAAAGATGATATTCTGCTGCCAAGGGAAAGCCTTCAATCTAGCACTGAACGTCCACCTGCCAAGCAAACACCACAGGCACCTATCTGAGAAAAGGCATATGCACATAGCAAGCAGCGCAACGGTATTGAGCACGCAGGATCGCCACCTTGTCACAACTTCTTCAGGCCAATCTCCTTGAGCGCTGCTGTGCACAACATGCTCAATGTCGAAGATGTTTGTAAGAAGACGCAAGTTCTGCGCAAATGCTGCTCTTCCTTGCAGCTGTACAATGGGATCTGAGAAGCGAAAGTCCTGGGCGTAGCGACTTTCCGTGATCACCTAGAAGGTGTGAGATTTCACATCAGTTCATACTTAGGACTTCAGCATGCAGTTCCATTCCAATCCAACTCTTTCCATCACATCTCACCCCTTTGGTGAACATCTGCTCGATCTCACTCTCCAGAGAGTGAATGATCTGCTCGGCCCTCCCCGTGCTGCTTTGGTGCGCTGGTATTGAAGCTGGTTTGATAGAGTCACTTGCGGGGCTTATTGGACTTGCCGTGCAGAGGACACGTCGTGTGCAGAGTTTTCGTGCATTCAGACAACCCCTGTGAGTAATGGCTCTCAGATGGTTGCGTGGAGGCAGGATCACTGGCAACGAATTCATCGGACAGGAGACTGTGCAGATCAACGGTGTGTCAGCAACCTTTCTCGAGAGAATGAATGTCGCTACACAGTCTGAAGATAGCTTGAGGTACCTTGCACGAAGATAGCGTGGGTGGACAACACGACGGTTGACACGGTTTCACATTCGAGCTCAGGACAGCTTCCTATTGACAGGAAGCTGGGGGTCGATAGGAAAAGGAAGCACATTTCTCGACATTGGTATGGTTGCAGATGTCCTCATGAACACTTCTTATGACTTTCGATGGTGACATTCTCAGCACTGTCAGCGCTGACGCTGCAGCCGGCCGGGGCGCCCCGCGCCCCAGGGCTGGGGCAAGCCCTACTAGGGATCCTAGTATTACTGGGATCCTAGGATCCGGATAGTATTATATAATATCATATGATATGATGATCATGCATTGGATGCATCATGGATCTAAAGATCAGTCAATTGTCATGGTGACCGTCCAGGTCTCTGTCGCCATGTCTTGCATTGTCCCTTCCAGCACTGCCTCAATGCCTTCAGTCTCTTAATCTCTGGTGTGTGTCATGTCACAAATAGACGGTCAACTACATTGTCTCTGGGTGATGTTGACATCAACATCACCAATGGTACCACTGTCAAGTCCCAGAGCCTCGACTTGGAGCTGATCAGCAGCTTGAGCAATGTGGTAAAGTTCTCCGCGCTGTCGCTTGCTAGCATGCTTTGGCACCATTGCTTGGCATGCAGATATGTCTTCAGCCACTGGGATCTAGTAATCAAATACCTAGGGACCCTGACTTGGATGCAAGGGAGTCTAGCCGCATCAACAGCAGGAACTTCTTGGTTGGAGCAGCACTCACAGTCGAGCATCCAGAAGGCTTAGACGCCTTCGTTCCTAGCGTCTGATCGCTAGGATGATATTGCGACTCCAGAGTTTGCAAAAGCCGTCACCTGCAAGTTTGATGGCAGCTTTTCATCTGTAGTACCCTCAAGTGCGCAGTGTTTATCAGTTGCTGGTATACCATGATGAGAATGCCAGAGAGATTTTCAAGGTTTGTAGTTGGAAGCACAGTGGTAGGTGACAAACGCAGGTGGGAGCTGCACCTGCGCAGAAGGTACCTGTGCGGAAGTTGCAGGGGCTTCCTTGGGAGCTGACGCCTCAGCAATTGTTCGTCGTACAGCTGCTGCCCTGATAAAGCCCCAGCCCCAAACATTCAGCCATCATTCAAAGCATCTACCTGGTGTGTTGCCAAGCTAGTATTGAAGTGTCCACTCTTGAAATACAAAAAGGTGCCGAGTTGCTCTCACCTTGTGGAGTGCAGCTCTGACGTTGCTACTCGCTTGTAAGGCTGCACTGTTTCTGATCCAAAGCCTGGGATATGAAGGTTCCTGTGCAAGGCAAGCTTGCGTATTGTCATCAAATTAGGCACAGCTAACTTCAAGGGCTTCTCACACTTAGCCAGAATCTAGCTCAATAGGGCATATGTGCACAGAAGATCGGCGCACGCACCAGGTCCTCTCAAAATATGGAGCCACGTCTGATGGTGCAAGCTGCTCTGCACCTCGCTTGCGCGCAGAAGCACATCCAAACACAATTGCCTTTGTTATCCAGTCTTCAGCCAGCTCCAGTAAGGCAGCCTCAGCCTCACTGCCTGCGCTGCTTGCGCTGCCCCCAGCCGCCGTTGCCAGCCTCTCAATGCTCTGCAGCACCGACCTTTTCAGAGGTAAGGCACTCGCTAACAAACAAAGTCATGAGCCTTCACAGATAGCTGGAAACCTGATAACACAGTGAATAATGTCGGTTGACATCGTTGGTAACATTATCAACACATTATCAGCGCACCCTCTTTGGAATGATCCGCCTGTCCTCATCTGTCAAGGGTCTCTGCTGCTGAACTGGTAGTGCCTGGGGCAGAGATGGCTGCACCGCTGGCTGTGGCCCCACTGCTCTGTACAAAGGCTGCCCAGCAACCATGTGCGACTGCAAACATGCAAAACCCCGGTTGTGATTGTTGCAAACAGCTGGAAACCCAACACCTCCACCCGCATTCCCATTGACACACAGCAAGATGGGAGCCAAAAGAAAATTTTCACGTGCTGTGCAATACTGTCTGTGATAAGCCTTGTAGGCACTCACCTGATATTGGGGCTGGGCAAAGTTCTGGGGTTGTATGCCTGGCTGACTCATCACAGGTGGCCACTGACTGTAATTCTGAACCACCGGCTGCTGCATGGGTCGTGCCTGCCGTAACCGCGCCAAACCGAGTGTTTTAAGGGCAAGCAATATACCGGTATATACTTCTCCTGAGGATAGACAGAGCTCAAATTGATGGACCAAATCTTGACCTACTTGGAGTCCTTGGCTGCCTGCAAATCCGATTGGACTCTGTCCCAGAGACGGTCCAGGGAGTCTGGGTACATTGATGGATGCTCTGTTGGGAGCATCTGCAACAAGCATCAAGCGCGGAATTGTTGGTCCGAGGTACCCCATCAGCGATAGTGATGAGGACATACAGCAGCACTGTGAGAGGAGCACATGAACCAGCACACGAACATGTAGTTTGCTGCTGAGGTACAGGTTGACTGGCTGAGAGGTTCCAAGGAGGCCCGCGAGGCAATTGCTGTTGCGAGAAGCCAAGCAAAGATGTTATATCAGGTCGCACACTTCCCTGCAAAGCATAGCATTTCCACCACTAAGCGTGGGATTTATTTGCTTGAAGCAATCTATGATCTCACGGGGGGTTGAAAATTTCAGGACTTACCAGTGGCATGATTGGCAGCTGCCCAACAGCAACAGGTGGCTGTGGTCTAATTTGTGCCGCTGCTGCCTGAAACTGCGCTAAGGCTGTGGACAGACAGATCACAGTCTCATAATTGGCCAGAAAGGAATGTATTATTACATTTTAGAGTACATGAAACGACAAGAAAGCACAGAAATGATACCATAGCATTACACAGCCATTCACCTGGTGGCTGGACAGGTGCTGGCGCAACAGTTAAACCTTGTGTCACAACGGTCGCGCTTGCGCCCTGTTCAAGCACCTTCTGATGTTCAGAACATGAAGTGAAAGCACGCCCTGACCGCCAAATTGTATAAAACAACAAAGTTATGCCTGTTGCTTTGTTGTCACGTGTGAAAAGGGAATAAGCAAAACCATATCCAACTTCCCTCCGTTTGCTTACCATCGTAGCTGATGGCTCTTGATGCCGTGACATGTTACCAGATGTCTGCTGACGTATTGGATTGAGGTGATCTGACTGTATGAACAGGGGCTGTTCCTGAACACCTTGAATCTAGCACCGCAGCCTACTATGCAACATAAACATCAAGGCCAGCTTTCGGCTAATCGCATTTCTTCGTCATGTGTAAAGAAGAGTGTAGTGCTTTTCGTTATTATTGTGCTCCTGGGACGGGGGAAAATAGTATTTTTGTTGCATGATATTCACTTGCGATTCAGCCCTTTCTATCAATCTTGGCGCTCGCTCTACCTTGGGTACCAAGGGTGTCTGTTGGGTTGATGTCTGATGGGAAAGGAGAAATGCAGCAAGCGTCAGGAACGCCTCCCCGTGCGTGGAAATTCATGCATGATACTGCAGGACAGAAGGAAGATCATGAGGAAAGAGATGGCCCTGAAACAAACCTCGAGAGCAAGAATAGGGAAGAATGTCCTAAATTTCACTTCAAGGAGCAGAGGCAAACAATTCACACGTCTCAATCCAGCCAGATGGTGAGCTTACACATGCTTTCCCCAGCCTATATTCGCACACTTTTTTTTTCTGTTTGCTACATGTGAACGTTTAAATGTACAATAAGTGCGGGTATCTTTGACTACCGGTTGGTATTTTCCAATGTGCACCTTCAACTTATTCGTTATGATCCCAGACAACGTTTGTGTTGCTGGTATCCCTTCCTTGCATGCCTCTCAACTCAAGATGTCTCAATGTGCAGGACGAACACAGGATCATGACTCCTCAGGTGCGACACAGGCCGTATCAGGCTTCCAGATCAGTATGACCAAGCTGGCTCCAAGTTGTTGCTCATATACGCTGCACCATCACCTCGAACAAAACGAGAGAATTCACAAGCCTAGTGAATTATGAAAGATGATGCTCACTCGCACAACAGCCTGGTCATTCCAGCACTCACTTTCCTGTTCACTTCCCCATCGTTCAGGAAGAGCAGGTCAAATGGCTGCAAGATGCCAGCAACTCCGTGAAGAGGAATGCCTTCTACATGAAGCGTGCCCTGGTGCGCATCTTGCATCTCGAATTTCGCTCTTTTCAGCGAGCCCTGGAGTGCTAGTGGTCAGCACGGTTATGTATGCAGGACGAGGACAACCTCAGGGAGGCACTGCGATTCTCGGCTGCCATGCTTGTGGAGCTGCGCACATCCCTGCTGACACCTCAAAAGTATTTTGAGTTGTACATGCAAGCTTTTGACGAACTCCGTCATCTTGAGGTGATGCTCTTGGACCATAATCGCCTGTTCTCCTGAAGCATGTACCTGTAAGACCCTGCTCATAACGCACTTATCCCAATCTGGTGCAGGCATTCTTCAAGGAGGAACACTCGAAAGGCAGATCATATGCGGATCTGTACGAGCTTGTCCAGCACGCCGGAAATGTGCTTCCGCGGCTGTAAGGCCCCCAACGGGCCATCTTGGCTCTGGCAAGTTTTGAAAGGTGGAAGTACAGGTGGCTTCTGTCATCTACCTCAGTGCTCATTAAATCATGCTGTTGATGACACAGGTACCTTCTCTGCACAGTCGGCTCATGTTTCATCCGCTCAAAAGAGGCACATGCCAAGGATATTCTCAAGGATTTGGTGGAGATGTGCAAGGGTGTGCAGCACCCCACCCGAGGGTTGTTCCTGCGATCCTACCTGTGCCAGGTGACACCGCCAATGCTTTGCAGTGCCCCTAGAGCATGGCAGAAGATGACTTGACTTTGATAATGATTCTTATAACATTGGCACCAGCGAGCACCTCAATCCAGACATTCTTGAAGATGTGGAATGTGGTGCTACATGATCAGGTGTCCCGCGGGTTGCTCCCTGACACAGGCTCAGAGTATGAGGGTGATGGTGGCGACATAAATGATGCCCTGGAATTTCTGCTGCTGAACTTCACAGAGATGAACAAGTTGTGGGTACGCATGCAGCATCAAGGCAGCGGCAAGGACAGGTGGCTGCTGTCTCCTCCATTCCTTCTGCATCCAATTTGGATTATGCTTGGTGACTTTTGGCTGGCCGTGTGCACGGAGTGAAAGAGGCAGGTATAAAGTTTGGCATATCTGCATGGTTGCGCAGAGAAAGGAAAGAAGGTGAACGCCAGCAGCTCGCAGACCTCGTTGGCAAGAACCTCACCTACATCAGTCAACTGGAAGGGCTCGACTTCAAGCTCTACCAGGTGCATTCCAGTTCCACACACTCATGTCGATTCAACTTGTCTCTGGTTTCCCATGAGCGCTCACTGGGGCATGCACAATCCAGATAAAGGGAGTTGACTGGACATTGTGTGCCACAGGATGTTGTCCAGAGCCGAATGATGGAGCAGGTCGTCAGCTGTAAGGATGAGATTGCGCAGCAGTATCTGATGCAGTGCATCATTCAGGGCTTCCCTGATGAGTTCCACCTTGGCACACTGCCCACTCTCCTGGCAGCTCTGCCAGAGCTGCAGTCCGGCGTCAAAGTCCACCTCGTCCTGGCATCCCTCCTTGATCGCTTGTCCAGGTGCGTAATCCCCTACTCAAGTCTGCTGGAGACACCGGCGAAATCGTCTGTGCATGTCTTTGCAGCTGCCGCAGTTGCTGCATCTGAATGTAAGAATTTTTGGCTGCAGGTTTGCCGCCACAGATGCCTCAGTTGTGGATCAGTTCAACGACAGCGACGCATTTGGTCAACTGTTGGGCGCTGCGACGAGGGTGTCAGAGCAGCACACCGAGATGCCTGGTGCAGACATTGCAGCCATGTATATTTCCCTGGCAAACTTCGTTGGAGCAGTGTATCCAGATCACCTCGATTACATTGACCGCGTGCTGCAGTCCTGCCATGAGGTATTTTACCTATGACTGTCTCACAGCAGGTTTTCGGCCTCGTTCCAATTCATATTTTAAGCACATGTATGGCTTGGTCAAGTGCAAGCAAAGAGAAAACTAAGTCAACTCATTTACGTATATTTGGATTGCTCGACAGGCACTGGAAGGTCATGGGGACATCAGGGAGGACAGGACAGAGAAGCAGATAGTCGCACTGTTGACGTTGCCACTCACTTCCTATGACCCCGTCACTGTTCTGGGCTTGTCCACATATCCCCGTGTCATGTCACTCCTGAAGCCAGCCACCTGCAAGGTATAATCCCCAGCAATGCTCATTTGGTCCTGCCTGATCCAAAACACATTTTACATCGTTTCAACAGGCACGGTCCGGATTGCTTTTAAACGTTGACGTTGGCCCAAAGCTCCAATTGTTCTGCTGCAGGCCATGGCAGTCAAGATTGTGCAAACGATATTGAAGGTTGGAACTGAGATCAGCGAACCTGCACAAGTGGAGATGCTGCTGGACTTCATTGCTCCTCTTGTGGCTGATGTCCACCTGGACGGAGGCGATGATGATGAGGAGGTGCCCCCATGGCCTTGTCTTTCTGCAATGTGTTCATGGCACATCTGCACATCTTCGCAGTGGCTATCAGCCAGTGCTGCAAATGTCGGTGGAGTTCAGGCATGAGCTCTGGTGTGCAGGACTTTGAGGATGAGCAGGGGCTGGTGGCGCGGCTGATCCACCGGCTGCGGGCCAGCGATCCAGCACAGCACTATGCATTGCTGCAGACTGCCCGTGAGCGCTTCTCAGCCGGTGGCGCGCGCAGATTGCGGCACACGCTGCCGCCTATTGCATTTGCTGCCTTGGGCATCGTTGCTCGCCTGGCTGCTGCCGATGATGCCAAAGCAACAGGTCCTTCGCCGAAGGAGGTGAAAGTCTGTTGTCATCCTTGCCAAACATGGAAAATGGCGCATAGCCTGGACCTGTCAAAAGCTAAGCGAAGCATCATCACCAGACTCCCTTTGTCAGTACAGAACCTGTGGCGGCATCTCTGCTGAAATTGACGTGCTCAGGGTGGAAACATATCTAATGATTGGTTGTGACATGAACAGGTGCTGCAGTTTGTCCATCAGTGTGCGGCGCAGCTTGCCGAGGCGGGTGAGAACGCAGAGATGGCCCTGCAGCTCTTTCTCACGGCCGCACAGTCCGCCTCTGAGCATGCCCGCCTTGAGCTCATCGCTTATGAGTTCTTCGAGCAGGTAGGGTGCTGAGGATGGACTCCTGAGTGTCTGCGCACATGCCTAGGGCAATCCCAATTCCCTCTTAAGCTTGCAGAAGCTGCCTTCAATTTCTGGTCATGGCCTGCAGGCCTTCATACTGTTCGAGGAGGCGATCCCAGACAGCGCATCTGAGCGGGTGGCTCTGGCCAGCATCACAGGGGCCCTGCAGCGGTGCCGCATCTTCCCCGCTGAGCCCAGAGCCACACTTGTCCACAAAGCCACTGGGTATTCTGCCAAACTGCTGCGGAAGGCTGACCAGTGCCGAGCTGTCCTGGCCTGCTCTCACCTGTACTGGCAGGTGCTCACCAAATCCCTTCTGTCAGTTGCCTTTTGGTATCCCGTCCTGCCTTCTGTCAGACTGTGTTTTGGCAATAGTCGGTTGAGTGTTTCGGACATCGCTCGATGTTTATTGCTCTCCTTTGATCAGGACAATGCGGAAGCTACCAGCGAAGAACCAGAAGAGGGACAGGTGGCAGCTGGAAGTGAGGAAAAAGCCCAAGCAGCTCCCTTCAGTGACGATGGTGAAACTGGCGATGGGGCCAGTTCTTTGCAGCCTCCAGTGCGTTTACCTCTGATGTTTTCAGTTTACACACTTCAAATAGTGCAGTCCTGTGCTTCTCAAGCCAAGGACATCATTTAAGTAATCGTTCGACAAATTCTTTTCTGGCGCTTTGGTTGCAAGTGAACGGAGTCGCACATTGTGCAGGTGCAAGATGGGGAACATGTGATGATGTGCCTGAAACGTGCACTGAAGATTGCACACGCGGCACAGCAGCAGCTGGCTGTTGCGCTGCGTTCGTCTGATACTCTGCCTGCATGGCTCTTTGTGGAGATTCTGAACCACTACCTGTACTACTTTGATCAGGGGCTGTCATCAATCAGCGCCTCAGTCCTGCAGGTGTGAACCCTCTCTTGCAAGGTCCAGGGCAGCACTCCTAGTTAATGTCCAAAAGCGCCAGTTCTCCTCGTCTGAGCCTTACACACTTGTCTCACAAGAATGTCTTCATGTTGCAGAACCTGTTGGAGTTGGTGGCCAATGAGATGGCCGGAGAGAATTGCCAGGCAGATGCCGGTTTGGTTGCATTCTACAATACTACCCTCGCACACATCGCTGCTCAGAAAGTGAAGCCGGAGAAGGCCAGCCTGTATGAGGCCCTGCAGATATAATATGTGTCCTTGCATATGTTCGTCTCTGGCATGCGTTAGTGCTGACTGTTTATCATCGTCTTGCTGTTGTGACTTTGTATTAGTTAAGAGGGAAGGCTTGAGGGCGTGGTAGGACATGTAGGACACTTCCGGGGAGTGCTAGCCGTGATGTAAGAACAAAATCCTTTGAGCAGAATCTTTCCCTTGGTCCAATCAAGATTAAATATTACTGGCAATTACATGGATCTTTACTGGATTAATATTATATGTCCTCACGAATTTGAGCAATGCACCATACCATTGACATTGAATATTCAAATATTAATAGCCTTCTCAACAAATATTTTAAAACTTGGGCCTGCGCTTCAAAGGATGAACCTCAAGAAGCCAATTTCTGCCAGCTTCCATCAAGCGACTCCTTCCACGTTGTCACGTTCCCCTGGCTGTCTGATACTGCTAGAATGCTTCCAGTCACTGACCAACTCACCCGCCACACAGGTGCCTGCACCAGAGAACATTGTAAGAAGGCATGCTTGAAGCAGACATGCAGGGCACATCATTCCCACCAAAAGCGGAAGGCCTTCGCACCTTGAAGTCATGCAGAAGCGTCGGTGTCCATGTGCCGGGTGCGTCTCGGCCCTCAGACCAGATCAGCACCTTCCCATCCTGGCCTGCAGACGCCAGGGTGTTGCTGGGCAGTCCCAGATTGGGAGCCCAGGCAACATCCCGCACCCAATCGCTGTGCCCTGTCAGCGCAGGGCCCTCCTGCTGCCACTCACCCGTCTTCTCATTCAAGCGCCACACCTGCATTTCCATTGGTTGAACTCGGTTGTCATTGATGCCGCAAATCGGAAACTTGCCAAAGCATTGCAGAGATTGCCGCCACAAGCACCATTGATGGGTTGTCAGCATACCCTGACTGTATTGTCTGCACCAGACGAGGCAAGGCGCTTCTCAGGTTGAGCGGGGCCCTTGACTGACACGAGTGAGCCCGCAGGCGCTGCTGGTGACCATGACACCGCTGTTGCGCCCAGACTGTGGGCATCTGCTACCTACACCCCGCCCCAGCACCCCTTATGTCAGGTCCAGCACTCCCACTCATACCTTGGAACGGGACTGCAAAGCAAAGTGATGCTTGTGCCTGTGCTCTTTCCCCCTCAGCACCCAACAGCAGCTGCAGCCGCACCTTGTAAGGCGTCCAGGCACCCTCGTGATATGTGAGAATGGATATTGACCCATCGGATGATGCTGCTGCCAGAATGAGGCCGAGCTCATGCGGTGCAAACGCCACGCTGTTCACAGACGCGCTGTGCACGGGTGCCGAGTATGCCTGTGAGCAGGGCAGCCATGCATGCCCGACTTTAGACTGACAGTGCACACCATATGGTACTACTTGCTCCAACTTGGCCGATTCTTTGAGTTGGCACAGAAAGAAAGCACTGCGCACCTGGACCCACTGGGACTCCTGAGCTTCCTTCCACACTATGACTTTGTGGTCAAATCCGCAAGATGCTAGGAGACTGCCAAACTTTGGGTGTGCCCAAGTCACTTGCCAAACAGGTCCTTCATGTCCTACCAGCTGTGACACTTCCGCCATCTGATCACCAGCTGTCTCAAACACCTGTCGACCGACACAATGGCACGTCTTTGTCATGTGATAGCTAGATTGCTGCAAAACATCAGATGCCCATGATGAGTTGCAGGACAGGCACACAAAGACAGGGAACGTTTTGATGAGATGGCAAGAAGAGAACCTTGATGGTGCGATCAGAGGAACATGTCGCCAAGCGCCGTCCATAGTAGTCAAATTGAACGTCATGCACCTGCGCAGGCAGTGTTTTTAGAGGCACAGCCTCATTACTTTCCATTTGCAAGCACATAAAGAAATCGTTGATTCACCGTGTCAGAATGCCCCGTATCTATTTGCGCGGGAGCAGCGACTGCCGCGGCCATTGCAGCGCAATGCAAAAGCGCCTGAGATGACCAGTATCCTGAAAATCTTGTGCGAGAACAAAGCGAGCACCACCACCGTCGAGCAGGAACCTGATGCTACCTGATGCTTTCAAAAGAAACAACAACCCTTTTCCTTGGATCTTAAGCAATATTAACACAATTCCTCTACGTAAAGTGCATGCAGGACGATTGTCAGTGGGACTGGAAGCTCATTGAAATAAGGTATTGTCGTAAACAGATATGTTCATCACCCTACGACATGGGGTTTTTGAAGGGGCTGAGACTAGGGTTCTCTTAAGGTGCCTCTCCTTCGTACTTCTGTCCATGGAGCGATTATTTAGGAGACAAATCGTCTCTTTTATCTCGCCTTTGTAGAGTTGCATTGACGCTGCACAGTGCGGGGCATCGAATGCAATGGATCAAACAAGAGCTCTTTTGGATGAACTCATGGGGGAGGACAGAGACGGGGATAGGAAAAAGTAAGGATTGTTGCGATTATATGGCGCATAATTTTGTTTCCGATCAACAATCTGGCGCTGATCAACAAGTACATTGAAATCTAGTTGATCTCAAAAGTTGATCTAAGACCACATCGAAGTGTAGTTTAACTTAGTATGAGAACTGACTTGCGCAGGGTGAGAAGGAAATTTTCAGATGCAGACGTTTGTCACTTCTACGTGGTGGGCATGTGCCCATATGAGGAGTTCGAGCGCACCAAGCACGATTTTGGTGCCTGCCCACTGATCCATGACGACGATCTCAAGGCGCAGTGGGAGGTGCGCATTCCAGAGCCAATGTGAGTCCAACAAATGCTGCGTATTTTAAACTGCAAGCCATGGCGGTGTGGACCTCAAGCGCAATTTACTATCATTTGCAGGACTTGGATGACAGGTCGAGGGAGCGGTTGGGCTTCGAGAAGGAACTTTACAAATGTGAGATCCCCTCTTTGATTGCACAAGGCTCCGCAATGTAATGTTGCTCAGTGACTGACTGTGGAGCCAGAGAGCTGATAAGGCTGGAGCCACTGTAAATCGACCCTGTAATTTGTATTTAGGGATCGACAAATTGATGCTGGAGCTGAAAGCAAAGATACGCCGCAATGAGGAGCGCGTTGCGAGCGAAATGGCGCCGCCCATCAGCCTTGAGGACCAGGTGAGGCAGAGCCTTCAGCCGCAATCCCAAACCTCGCCATGCCGTGGGCTGGACCCCAAAGACAGCGGTAGTGCTCATAATTCTGTTGTTGCACATGCAGAGGACGCTGGATGAAATGGCGGCTGAGCTGCAAGAAATGCTGACGCGGTCAGAAGTGCTTGGCGAGGAAGGCGATGTGGATGGCTCCCAGGCTGCTGCTACCCAAGCGGAGGCGATAAAGGCAAGTTTACCTCCACCCATTCAAATGTCAGATTGACAGCAGTAGAGAACATAGCAAGATTCCATGCTGCCCGTGTAGGTGCGCCGGGCTGCTTTTGAGGAAGAGGCTGCAATTCGAGCTGGAGGTGGACCAAACAGATATGGTCAACAGGTGCGGGCAGTCGTCTGTGATGTGGTCTGATGGTGAATTTATATCTAGCGTCTTCTTGGGGAAAAGGCTGCACACTGCAGCAAAGTGATATGCCATGTCGCTGGACTGTTGTCCAGCGTTCATCCCTTGCATCATGAACGCAGGAGGTGTGTCCCCTTTCTGGAGTCATCATCAACAAAGAAGAGAGCCGCTTGCGCGACCACAAAAACGGCAAGAATTATCGGTGAGTGAATGAGACTCGATCATCAACAGGTTACATACTTACAAGCATATTAGCTGTTGGCCCTCCGCAGAAGCCAATCCCTGGACTGCTCTTTGCATGTATCCTTATTTTCCTCGTGGTGCTTCTTTTCAGGACTTGGTGCAAGACACACGAGAAGTACAATGAGCTGATGGAGATCTTCAAACGGCGGGATGCAGAGCGCGATGGCTCATCTCGCAGTAGCAGGCCGCGAGACGGCGGCAGCTCCAGAGATCGACCCCGGGATCGGGAGAAAGACAGGGACAGAGAGAGAGACAGGGTCAGGGACAAGGACAGAGATAGGGACAGGGAGCGACACAGGGACAGAGACAGGGAGAGGGACCGCGATAGGGACAGAGACAGGGACAGGAAGAAGCCAAGAAGGGAGCGTGATGAGCTCTTTTGAGTCTGGGGTCAGGAGTGAGTCAAGAAGAAGCAGTTGAATTTACAAGGAAAGCGGCACAATTGCGTTTCCCTGGGATTCAATCAAGCAAGTTGCAGCAACTCATGTTTTGGTCAATTTGCTGCATGGAGCAGCTTTGCAAGCAGATTTACATCCAGTTGGTTCTCTTAAGCTCTTTCAAATAAAGGCTGCTGGTTGGTCCTCATCATGTATATTCATACATGCTTGCAGCTTACATTGTTGCTAATACAAGCTTGATGTATCAAGCGCATATGACTATTGCTATTGTACAAGGCCTCAAATTTACTGGGGCGAACGATCTGTGAATACAAGGGTTTATCTGGAAAAAGCGTTCCAGAAATACATCTCAACTCAGGCGCTGCATTCAGTTGCGCAGATCCACTGACAAAAGAGGATAGGAATTTACAGAGAAGACTTTGAACTTCCTGCTGCTCCTCAATCCCACAGCAAACGCAGCATGTTGCCAGAAGTCCTTTTTGTTATGGCCGACAGACAGGCTGACTGATGAAGTACAGCAGATGTTGATGTCAACATCACCAACCAGCTGCCATGGTGTAGTCATACCTGCATCACCCAAAAGTGCATGAGCATCACCAAGTGCAAGCGGGTCCCGCATACAAGCACAAACAACCAGTTGAGAAAAGGTGATCAGCAGTCGATGCAATTTCTCAATCAAACAGTCCACGCCAGCGACGATCTAAACACACAAGCGTACACCATCATTGATGCAATCTTTGCAGTTGCACAACAACCAGCCTCTTTCAATCTCAATGGTTGGGCTGAATGACTTACTCAATTGTGGGGATGACAGAAGCAATGAACTTCAGGAAGAGGACCAGGTAACTGCACAGATTCAGAGAAAAAACTTCAGTAGGCAGCATTTTGCGGCGCTGGAAGATGGGGCAGGTTGCTCTTGATTGGGACAAGGCCGTGCACCCTTGATGTCATGGCAACATCAGTCAGACAGGAGGCTCCTGCGAGGCCTCCCAAGATCTTACCTGTCCACTTGAAATGGCTTGCCACTGGCCTCAGCCATACTGGCCAGCTTCTTCATTACAGATGCATGCTTGCAGGGGTGAATTGAAGCAGCCAGCACGCCCGTGTTTGGGAAGGGATCCACAGTGATGGTCTTGCGCGCATGTTCCTCGCTCACATCCTCCAATACCTGTGCATGGCATTTATGTCTCATTTGCTGCGATCTGAACCAACAGCCCCAATCAGCAGTTCCCAGCCAGCTGATACTGACAACAAGATTTTCTCAATCAGGTACATGGCGAGCAGCCCACCTGGTTGGGCTTGAGCGGCTGCCGCTTCTCATCGTAGCCCACCAGCCAGAAACGGGGCACCTGGTAGTACTTGTCGTACGTGATCATGAGGTCGTACGTGCGCGTGCGCATGATGTGGTCCTGGTCTGCTCCTGGGCTTGTGATTGCTGCGGCCTGAGGCAGCATTGCCTGCAGCACAATCTTTGCCCTCAGAGGATGCCATCCTAGAGTATATTTGGTAGTCTGGATGGTGGCAACAGAGATGAGAAATCCTACCTCGTCCTTTTCTGCTTCGTCATCTTCCAGCTCGAGATCATCGATGTCAGGAATGTCGTCCTCAGGATTAGTTCTGGCCTCGACGGAAGGACCTGCAGCAGACTCGGGATGGGAGCTGGGGATCTCCTCTGCGTCCCGGGTGTCCTGTGTCGCAGGAGGTGCTACCCAACCATCTTGCTCCGCATCCTCCACCATCGTGTTGGCCTCAGCACGCATGCCATATTGCTCCAGCTCACTTGCGCGCTTGTTCGAGGGTACTGCATCCACCAAATGATGATTCTCAGCACGTCAGCGAATGAGGTGCTCTCTTGAATCAGCACAAATGATTGTGTCCAGAGCCAGTCTTACAGTCCAGGCATCCCACCCTTGCGAGTGACGAGGTACTGCTTGTCCTTTGGAAGCCAGTCCTTCGACTTTGCGGGGTCACCGGCTTCCCTGCAGATCAGGTAAAGAAACATCGACTACACCGTCATCATCACCAGGGATCATACACCCACCACAAACGAGGCAAAATTTCAACAGTCACTCTCTGGAGAAGGCGACGTCTAGAGACACACCACGACCACGTCGAGCATGTCCTCACTAAGTAGTCTCCTGATCTTACAAATTCGTCCGGGGTGAGCACCTGTTGGCGCACAACGGCCTGCTGTGTCAGCGGTGCCCAGGCATGGCAAAGAAAGTACCAGAGTTTGACTAGAAAATGTACATAGTCGAAGATTCGAAGCGCACCCCATGTGTTTTAAACCCTGATTCACTCCGAACAGGTAGCACACGCTCTGCAGCACTCTTAAAGGCAGTATGAATAGCGTGCCTCATCGCACTTGCTTGATCTCTGTGTTCTAGGCCATATCTTCAGCAAGGCACGCGATCAACCGATGCGAGCACTATTTTTACTCTCGACAATACGAAATGACGGTCTTCCTTAGATGCAATTCTCCGTCTCGTGCCAGCATGGCATCAATGGGAACTTGCCAATCTAGGCTGCTCCAATGTGATATGAACTTGCTTGGCGACAGGTGGTCTTCCAAGCAAATCTATGCCAGAACCAGAATTCGTACCTTCTTGGCCTTGCATGTGCATTGTTGAGCCTGTGGAAATGACTTGCGTCCGTCTGTCAAGTTTTCTTGCTAAGATACACAATATAATAATGAATATTCGAATTCGTCTACAGTGTAACTTACTTGAAGTTAACTGTGACGTTGCAGTGTAGCAGGAATTCGAATATTGTGTATCATGGTTACACTGTGTAACCACTGGGGCCACCGCTGGCAGTGATTCACTTGAATTGGTGGCTCCATGGTCATCGTGACCGGTCCCACCGAGACGGTGACTTCGGTACCGCCCCGGAGGCCGCGGCAATGTACACCAGCAATTCCACCATGGTGTACACATATATGCGTGCTCAAGCTTAGGTCTCAAGAGGTTGATGATATCGATAGCATCCTGATCAAACTCCATCGTGCTTATGATGTTGGCAAGCTAATATCAATATTGGCGCCACGGTGTGGCACACTTATTGTACATTGCCACTGTCTCTGAGTGTTGCAAGAAATCCACCACCCCTAAGGATGATACCCTCAGTCAAAATTGAGCACAACACCCTCCACGTTGATGACTTAATTGATCAGATGTGAGGCGACTTGCGGCGGGGTACAGCTACAAACTCTGTTGCAGTCTATCTGTCTATCTGGGGCCGGCTAAGTGATCTCAAGCATTGCAACATCAACAGCAAGATTTACTGGTATGCTGGACAACTGAGAGTATTCTCCAGAGAGTTCATGGATGCTCTGAAGCAGCAGGTCCCACAAGGTCTGTCCACGTCGCTCTGGCTGACTTCTGCAGAGAAAGAAAGGTGTCAGTCATTTATTCAACTTGGAAACCAAAAGTCAAGCTCAAAGATTTACTGGAGATTTGCATTGTACAACATGTGCATGATGGCAAGGGTGAGATCGACAACCTCACCGCATCAAATTTGGTATCTCATCTTCCAGGAGCCGCTTCAGATCTTCCTGATTTGCTCTGACGCATAACCAAGCACCGCCTGCTAACTCCATCTCCAATTGCAGGGGCGCCCATAAGCATTCTCCGTCAAAGAATCGCATCTCCCTTGCTGCCACATTGCCTATAGATACTTGCTCCTGCAGCTGCTCTGTGGAGAAGCCTGCAAATATAGGTGAGAAATTTGACATAGGAAAAGAGGCAGATCTGACAGCTTTTCCAGCCACATGAGAAATGTATAGGAGGAGGAATATCGCACCAAAACGGAGACCGGGTTCCTCAGAGGCGCCATGCAGAATCTGGGAACCTCCAAGATCAGCTCTGGTGTGTAAGACCTGTATGCAAGGATTACATTCAAGACTGCTGCATTAAACTACATCATCAATCTTTGCTTGGAGAACGACCGTCAGAAGCGCTGATGTACTATGCGGCACAGGACAGGGAGACATATATATGTCCATACCTGCAGACTGTGCGTCGCAACAGGACCCCCACAACATACATCATTGTGAGAGAAATGTGTGCGAAGCTGTTGGCTTCCAAATAGCATGTCGTCATGACTTTGAGCCCTGCCACCTTGCTCAGCACTACTGGATGTTCCTGCTACTCCTGCCTCTGAATCTCTGGATGCACTTTCCGCTGCACTGGTTACCGGGCTGCCTTCTCCTGTGAAATGCTGCCATTCACTGCTTGCAGCACCAACATCCACTTGGTCTTCTTCCTGCCAAAGTCCAGTCAGCGATCGGTTACATCCCTGCCAAGAAAAGGTCAAGTATTGAATAACAAGTGAAAGGAAGGACTTGTACCTCTTCAGAATCGGTGTCACCAATACTGAAGGCGAGTCGAAAGGTCTGACCCTCATCTGTTTCGCTTGTTTCCAAATGCTCGACCTTCACAATGCCAAAGCCTGGAACATGTCGTGAGAAATCTCCTTGCAGATAATCAGTGCCGCCAACGCTGTGCCCCTGGGCATAACATGTGGGAGAAAATTCAGCATGTGCTTTGAGCTTAGCAGGGTTCCGCACTGAATTCAGCACTTGCAAGAGAACTTGCCATGTCACCTGAGTGCCTCCTGTCAAGCTATAGTCTCTCACTTGATTTGAGTTGTCTGAAGGCTTGTTCATGCACAAACCAGCACTCCCTTGCATTGGTTGTGTGGATGTCAGCAGGACAACTGCCCGCTGAAAGAATCCTCTAGCCAAACAGAGAACACGCCATTTCAGTTCTTCATTTTATACCCATGCGTGAGCAGAAACCCACAATCTAATAAATATACCGTAAGATGCATATTTCCGACACACATGGTCTATGCTCCATGCCCTTCCAGCTTGAGCCACACGATGTGACACAAGAGTTATTCATATCACCACACAACTGACACAGGCATGCGCATGGCGGGGCTAGAAAAAAAAATCCTCCAGGGTGGCTCAGGATTCTCACTGCTGCATGGGATGCGCAATGAGAAGTGCACCAGGCTCCGGTGTATTTGACAGCAATTCCACTCCTCCCATCTGCAAGGAAAGAAAGTCAAGAAGACAATGGAATATAGATTTTATGGCACTTAGAGAGGCACCATCAGTACGAAGTCTGTGTAGCCATTACCTCCTTCCCATAGTTGGCCCCCTCTTGTCGCTTGGATCTAGCAGCTTGTTCTCCATCTTTCCCTGTGATGACCACGAGACTGTTGCACGATATGCAGCTTGTGCACAGGATGAATGGCTAGCTGCCCACATGCAAAAAGGTTCAACGCTAGAATGCCGCCACGGCAGGGCTCACCACTGTAAACTCTGTGCTTGTCTGCAAGACGAAGCAGTGCACTGAGATAGCGAAGGCTGGCAAGCGCAGTGTCGATGGTGGATTCTGTAGAGGGCTGCAGACACAGCACGTGCTTACAGCTAACATCATGGGGATGACGCTGATTGATGCCAGGAAGCAGTGCAGCATGCATGTCCAGGATCTTGCATCATTGGATAATCTTGTTTGCATGTGGTGCATGGCAGGAAGAAGACTGACATGCCCCTCCTGAGTAAAGCATCTGGGCCAATGGATTTGATGGTATGACTGCATACTCACCGGATATCTGAAGGACTGTTTTGCAAAGTCTGCTACAGATCGGGGCATCAATGGTGAGGGAACATAGAAATTCTGTCCTCCCAGAAAGGTGTTGACCAATGCATCCAAGTCCGAGGGAAAGTCGTGCTTCGTCAGGAGAGCCTTGAGCACTGGATTCCTGTCGAACTCTCGTGCGCTGAGAACAGCACAGGATGTCTGAGATCAGCTTGATTTGGCTTCACATGACGCTGAAAATTTGTTGCTGTGAGGGCGTACCTTCTAATCAAATGCCTGAACACCGTTCGATAGAGGGCTGTATGCATCACTTGATTGCAAGCAAACACTAGAATTGTACCATTGGAGCTCTACCCCTGTGAGCACGGCATCTTGCAAGTGGCATACTCACACCAGGGTGCCACAATGCTGCATTCGCGTAAATGATGATGTGAAAGTGATCAGTAGCAGATCACCAAGGTGTTCTAGCACTCCTAGTCTCCGACTATTCAATCTGAAGCTGAACATCATTTGCTTTTGTCAGACAAGCCAAAAATCCCGTACGACGGCGACACCTCGATCGTGGCGTCCAAGAAGAGGAACGAGAGTGCTTTCCATTGTCAGATTCCTCTCCTTCTCAATCTCTAAGTCATGGACGAGTACAATAAATAGCGGATTGACTTTGTACACACAGGGCATTGGCGAAAGCCGCATCGCGCACACTCCACAGTCGCTGATTTGGACTACCAGACGATCGCGTAAAAGCTCAAGAGCAGGCCTCTCGATTTGGACTTTGATAGGTATGCATCATTGTGAGCTAAATATGGATTATCTCCATGATCATTCATTGTGGCCAAGATCGGGGATCCAATGCTGGACACGTGCTCATCACTTCATCAGCCCGCTAATCGTTGCGCCTTCTGCCAGGGATCGCTTCTTAAGTTCGGCCATCAGAAAGTTTAGTACTATTCGACAGATTGCAACAATGCATTCGAGGCGCGGGGACGTTGAGATGGCTCTCCTGCTCTGTTTGGTGGGCTTTGCTGCTGCACAAGAGCCGGTGAGCACTCCTCTTGGATGAAGCAATTCAAAGGAACGACCTCCAACCCTTGAAAGCTTTTCACCAAGCTTGACTTTGAAATCTCAACAAGGGTGTAGACATCCCTTCAGCCCCATTCAATATTGCTGTGGCTCCTCGGGCAATGGGACCATGAGGTCTGAATTTAAATAGCTGCCCCAAGCTCCTTTAGTACCTCGAAACAACAGCGTTTTCACTCGTTTTTCCATTGCCTCCTCAGCTTCATTTCACACCCTTTTTCTGCTGCTCAGGTACTTGGCAATTTGGAGCTTCAGGGGCGCAGGGTGAGCTCTCAGTGTATCTTTCCTTTTTTTGTACAATTTGCTGGCTATCTACGAAAAGTGTTGCAGTTGGAGCATGCTGCATTCCTTGCTGTGTCAGCCCCTGTCACTCTGTCGTGGCAAGGATCTCTGTACAGTGACCAACCTATTGGCACTTGATTGTGTCAGGGTGGCATGCATGGTGTGAGATGCATATGCAATGTGCAATGTGATTGAAGACGCTTCTCGCGATGCTATAGATACTGCAGGCTCCGTACTCACAGACATCAACTCCATACGAGACTGCTTGCAAGTTGGTTGCCATTGGCAGTAGCGATGGGACCGGAATTGCTGACGGTAGCATCACCTGCACTGGGCCTGGAACGCCCGTGATGCTCTCTGTCTCTGCAGATCTGAAGAGGTGTGTGTTGTGTCACATTGCATACTGTCCTGCCAAATCTCCTTATATTGCACAGTACATGCAGAAGTACTTGTGCTCCATTTATTGAGACTATCACATGCTGGATTGGGAAATCACATATCCACGGATATGTGCAGGTTTTCCAGCAAGTTCACCGGCGTGACCACCTCTGATACAGTCCCCAGCAGTGCTGCCATTCTGGAGATCAGCGACACAGTCAATGTCGCGATTGTGAACTCAGAAATGACTGGGATACCCGGCAACATCCACATCAGAAATTCCACAGTTCAGATCCTCAATGGAAGCTTCACGCTGAACTCGGGCGGCACTGCCGGCGCAATTTCCATCGATTCCTCACGTGTCCTGATTGACTCCAGCAATTTTGCCAACAACACTGGCGCAGCTGGTGGTGCCATTCAGGTAGGGTCCCCTACCCACTTGCTCCAGTGCCTTCTGCATTCCTCGATGAGTATCGATTGATGAGTGGGACTCCCTGTAAACCAGAAAGTTCACTGCAAAAATTTACGGGCGATGCTGGGGTGTTTTGACGTGGAAGGAGGCTGCCGGAAAAGACAAATGCAAACCTGACCGGCATGTGCATGCTCATGTACCAGGTGCAGGGGCAGTCGTCGGTGGGCGTCACAGACTCAACGTTCCTGGGCAATGTGAATGCAAACTCACAGGGAGGCGCGCTCGCTGTTGGCCCTGGTGGCCTTGTGCAGGTCTTAATTTCTCCAAGCACTTTGCCGTTGAATTTGCAGAATGGGTGCTGCAGGCCTGCAGATGTTTCAAGCGTGTCAGCCAATGTCTATTAAAAGTTGAGGCCTTTGGCCTGCTGGCATTCATCCATTCACTCTCAGTGTCTACTCAATAATGCTCGCAGGTTCTCAACTCGCAATTCACTGCAAATGCAGCCAGCAGGTGCGTGAAGTCATGAGGATTTCTGTGGTTCTGCGGACAGCATGATAATATCTCTGCAGTGAGTTGATGTCTGGCAGATGATTCTGATAGTCACGCAGGGGTGGCGCCATCTACACGTCTGCTGCAAGCTTGTCCATCATCAATTCTCAGTTTATGCAGAACACTGCCAAGACAACCGGAGGCGCAGCATACAATGCAGATTCTTCTGCTCTCACCCTTCTCAACTCGACATTCACCGGGAACACCGCAGGCATGCCAGACCCTGGCGTGTTTTCAAACACCATGGCTTGTTGCAACCAGCCTGCCCGATTGCCCGTGGTTTTGCCAAAAAAATTGCTGATGCAAATACCCATTTCTGCCCGCAGGTGCCCTGGGAGGAGCTGTGGCAGCCGAGAGCACTCAGTCAACGATTGGCGGATGCATTTTCTCGAACAACACTGCGGCTAGCCAGGGAGGAGCACTGTATCAGAGCAACACCACCGGAGACGTGACCACATGCACGTTCAGCGGAAACAAAGCTGCAAACGGAGGAGCCCTGTACCAGAATCTGGCGCAGAGTGAGTGATGCATTCCAACCTTCATGAGTCAATTGGTGTCGCTTTATATACGCATCTAATGCTGAGCCGAGCCTGTCATGTGCAGGCAATGTCATCCGCACTGCCTTCAATGAGAACGCGGCATCTCAGAAGGGGGGTGCACTGTTTTCCACCAGCTCCACAGGGAACATCATGAACAGCACATTTACATCCAACAAGGCGGTGCAGTCTGGGGGTGGCGTCTTCCAGAATGACTGCGCATCCTCAATCTCCTTCTCTATCTTCTCCAAGAACGATGGCGGCAGCGGTGGTGGAGGAGGTGCGCTACCTGGTCCTCACTGTATTCTAAGTATCCTTGCTGCGAAGAGGTTATATTGAAATGTGCCATGTGCTGACACCAGGAATCTACCGCAATGCCTGCAAGGGCTTCACAATCAACTGCAGCTACATCGAGAACACCAGTGCTCAGGTAAACTGCTGCTTGTCACTCGGTCTACTTCGCGAGCTTTTTTGTCCCCATTATGTGTGTGGATGATATCTGCTCAAGAATAGCTGAGAAAGTGACGAGCTCCTTGCTGGCAGGGAGGCGCCATATACCAGAACAACTGCATATCGAACAACATCCGTGCCACAGTTTTTAATGGGAACAAAGCCCAGCAAGGTAGCACGCTGTTTCTGAACAACTCCGTACCGGTAAGTGACCGCGCAAAATCCTGCCTCGCTGAGACCAGCTGCCATGCAAATTCTCCTGCAGGACGGCATGCCATTTCCTTTTAATGTTATTCGATGTTCATTTGAAATTGCTTTTCCCCCAGGTGATCAACGGGAGCTTGTTTGATGGGAGCACGAGCGCCGGATCTTCAATCTATCAGAACTCTGATGGATCAGTGAGCAGCACCTCAACAGGGTCCTGAGGTTTGATCAGAAGACTGCATGACCAGCTCAGAGACTGCACTCAGCAGCTGCTAGTCACAGTCATACTCCCCCATTCGGATATTAATTATGGGGCGCGGTAGCAAACACTTGCAAATGTGCTCCTCAGGCTGATGGGCCCAATTTGTGCCTTGGACAATGTAGGAGGCCGCCCCGCTCAGGACTTCAGGGCACTCAGGAGCCTTGCAGATGTGCTATGGCCAATGTACAGGATCCTATTGACAACTTTTTGATACCTGGTACACGTTGTCCTCGCTGTGGGTTATGCTTTCCGTTTACCACTGGGACCTGCAAGGGCACCTTGCACCTTCCAATAGGTCACTGTGCTTGGCACTGCTGATGTGGCCTGTTATGCATATGGTGCATTCAACTGATGTGAGTCTATAAAATTATGATCATCATGCTGCCATTGTTGACGCCGCGTGGTCCAATATATTTCACATGAAAAAGATGCTCGTGCACGTGGTGAGGCAGTGCTGCACTTGCACAGCCATGGCCATGGCCATCGGCATCGTTATTGTTAGCCTGCACACGCATGAGGAGTCTAGGCCTGTAGTACACTAGCAGGCCGGCCTGGCGCACGCCTGGGCAGCTCAGCACAGCGTCGCATACAGCCTGCCGCAGTGTGTGTTGCTGGGCCGCCGCTGCAGGCGCCTGCCGGCAGTGCTGATAGCCCATTTGGCCCCCGCCGCGGGGGCCAATTTAGGCCCGGCGAAATAGCCAAATAGGCTATCTGTTGCAGTTGCGGCAACTGCAACAGAAAGTGTACCATATGGGTGTACACACACAACACTTTGTGCCCAGTAACAGAACAACATGACGCATTGTCACATCATTCACGCTGCAGGAAGGAAGGAAGGAATTTACACAGGAAATTGCTTATAATTCATGCATGCAAGGAATTCCGAATTTACTATCATGCACCCCCTAGGGTTACAGATGCATTGGGGGGAAGGGAGGGCTTGGATAGGAGACCGCCACGCCTCTCCATTCACTAGAACACCTCAGAAGTGTCTTATAATCTAGCCTGGACACCGCGGTTCAATCAAAGAATACGCACAGCTTGATACAGTAGTTCCAAAATTGTTTCCATCATGATGTCGCAGACATCCACCGGTTCGATGAGGCCTTTTACTTTGAGCCACAATCGCACCACGCACCTGAGTATCCTCCCATCCACAACTGGTGAGCACTCCCTGCTATTGTTCTCCTAGTTTTTTTAATCACACATTCTGCCTCATCTAAATTCTCTTTGCATACTCTCGCAGGTAGAGGGTGCACCATCCACGCTCGCGGTCCTCGACGTGCTGTCCGTGCCAGCGCTGTAAGTGCCTTCGTGTCTGAAATGTTGAAATGGCCACCACAAATTTGCATTTAATCAGTTTGTGCACATTTCCTGGTAGCTTATCAGAATGTGCTTGCCTGCTTGTTCAGTAGCGGATCTCTGAGGTCAGCTGCTGATTTTGCAGGAGAATGCACCCACAGACAACAACCGGCGGGACCTGATCCGCAGGCATGTCACGTCTTTGGCTGATTATCTATGTTGATGACTTCCTGTTCTTCTTTCGTCTTGCTTGCTTGCTTGCTTCCCTGTTCTTTGACTTAGATCAATTGTCTGATGTCCTTATCTGCTATATCTGCAGAGCTTTGGCTGCAGCTGTGGCTGTTGTCCCTGCTGCTGCAGCTCGTGCAGAGGATGCCTCTGGTGTTGCATCTTCCCGTATGTCATACTCCAGATTCCTGGAGTACTTGGACATGGGCAGAGTGAAGAAGGTGAGGCTTTCTGTCTGCTGTTGTGCTGTGGTGTTTTGCTTGTTGGTAGTCTAAAACACTGCTGCCTTAATGATTGCGCTGTACTGAATGGCTGTAGCATATTCCCAGGTGGATCTGTATGAGAATGGCACAATTGCTATTGTGGAGGCGGTGAGCCCAGAATTGGGCAACCGCGTGCAGCGCGTCCGTGTGCAGCTGCCAGGCACCAGCCAGGAGCTGCTGCAGCGATTCCGCGAGAAGAATGTCGACTTTGCTGCACACTCAAACACAGAGGATGGCGGCGCCGTCTTCCTGAACCTGCTTGGTATGCCAGCGCCAGCTTTCACAAGCCCATCTGTCGATTTGTTGCTCTTTCTCTCAAAGGAGACTTGCTGAAGTTCATGATGAACAAGCATTGGCATACCAGACATTCAACTCCCCGTGCACCCTTTTATGCAGGAAACCTAGCGTTCCCCCTGCTGCTGGTGGGTGGGCTGTTCCTGCTGTCGAGGCGCTCCCAGGGTGGCGTTGGCGGCCCCGGTGGCAACAACCCACTGGCGTTCGGCAAGTCCAAGGCCAAGTTTCAGATGGAGCCCAACACAGGCATCACCTTTGATGATGTTGCTGGCGTCGACGAGGCCAAGCAGGACTTCATGGAGGTGGGTGCACACTCTGTCGTCTTGTGTTGATGTCTTGTCAATCTGGCTTTTGCACACAAGCTATAACTAAACAAAATTGTGGAGTTCTTGTGCTCAAGCACGAGATGTTCAAGTTGCAGCAGAAAAGTTTTTTATGAAAGATTGAGCATTCTTGTCCAGGTGGTGGAGTTCCTGAAGCGGCCAGAGAGGTTCACGGCAGTGGGAGCCAAGATCCCCAAGGGTGTGCTCCTGGTGGGCCCACCAGGCACAGGAAAGACCCTGCTGGCCAAGGCCATTGCTGGAGAGGCCGGCGTCCCATTCTTCTCCATCTCTGGATCTGAGTTCGTGGAGATGTTTGTGGGTGTTGGAGCATCCCGTGTCCGTGACCTCTTCAAGAAGGTGCTTCCTTGTTGCCTTCCTTGCACAGCTTCCGTGGAGCTCCAGCATGTTGGGGTTCCTGAGGCTTAGTCAAGCATGCACAATATTACGTGTAGTTCTCGATGTGGGGACCCACTGTGCAGGCCAAGGAGAATGCCCCGTGCATTGTGTTTGTGGATGAAATCGATGCGGTCGGCCGGTCTCGTGGAACTGGTGTTGGAGGCGGCAACGATGAGCGCGAGCAGACGCTGAACCAGCTGCTCACAGAGATGGACGGCTTTGAGGGCAACACAGGCATCATCGTGATTGCTGCTACCAACCGCGCTGACATCCTGGACAATGCACTGCTGCGTCCTGGTCGCTTTGACAGACAGGTGGGGGCTGGTGCAGAATGAGTGATACCAATGAACAACAAGCTTGAAGGCATGTATGGTTTTGCATACATTGCTTGAAAGCTGAGTGCTTCCGCAGGTCACTGTGGATGTGCCTGACCAGAAGGGCCGTCTGGCAATCCTGAAGGTACACGCAAAGAACAAGAAGCTTGCTGACGAGGTGGACCTGTCACAAATCGCCATGCGCACCCCAGGCTTCTCTGGAGCTGACTTGGCCAACCTGCTGAACGAGGTGAATGTTTCCTGGCTTGTCCTGGAAGAGTTTTCTAGCAGTGACCTCACTACCAAGTAAGGCATACTACTGATGCTTGAAAGCACGTACTGATCACTAATTTTTTTTATGTGCAGGCGGCCATTCTGACAGGGCGCCGCAGCAAGGCAGCGACCAGCAACAAGGAGATTGACGACAGCGTTGACCGCATCGTGGCAGGCATGGAGGGCACCCCGATGGTGGACGGCAAGTCCAAGTCCCTGGTGGCATACCACGAGGTCGGCCATGCTGTCTGCGGCACCCTCACGCCCGGCCATGACGCCGTGCAGAAGGTAAGCTGCCCCTGCCTTCTTTTCTTGTTTTGGACAAAGTTTCCTAATACCTCATCCCAAAAACAAGGGGATCAATAGTATTTGAACAGAGTTGGTTGCAGAGGGTAAGGATGACAGGACTGAACCAATATGCGCCCTTGATGTGCAGGTGACTTTGATTCCCAGAGGCCAGGCCCGGGGCCTGACCTGGTTCATCCCAGGCGAGGACCCGACCCTGATCAGCAAGCAGCAGATCTTTGCGCGCATTGTGGGCGCTCTGGGCGGTCGTGCCGCCGAGGAGATCATCTTTGGTGATGCCGAGGTTACCACTGGCGCATCCAGCGACCTGCAGCAGGTGTGCACCATGCATCTCTTAATCTTTCCCCACCTCTTCCTTCCCGTATAATGTGTGCCCATGTTGCTGTGTGCAGAGGCTCACTCGCGACTTGCCATTTTGCAGGTGACCAACATGGCGCGGCAGATGGTGGTGAACTATGGGTTCTCAGACATTGGCCCCTGGAGCCTGCTGGACCCCTCTGCACAGTCGGGTGACATGATCATGCGCATGATGGCTCGCAATGGCACCTCCGAGTCACTGCAGCGCAAGATCGACGACGCTGTGAAGAAGATTGCAGCAGAGGCGTATGAGGAAGCGCTCACACACATCAGGTGGGCAGCACTAGACCCCCTAAATGTTGTGATGTTCTGTGCTGACGCACGTCTTATGCACTAGACCCCCTAAATGTTGTGATGTTCTGTGCTGACGCACGTCTTATGCATACGTGAATTTAGATTTTCCTCACCATGATTCTGTCGTGCAGGGAAAACCGTGAGGCCATTGACAAGATTGTGGAGCTCTTGCAAGAGCGTGAAACTATCAGCGGCGATGAGTTCAGAGAGATCCTGGGCCAGTACACCACCATTCCTGAGTCAAACTTGAAGGCTGCAAAGTCCACTCTTGAGCCCATTCTGGCCTGAAGTGGCGATCTGTACTGGACAATGTGGGTTACCTGAGATTAGCTGAAGATCTTAGTTTGATGGAGCGGTGTGTGTTGAGTCACAGCAAGCCTATGGTCACCATCACGGTGACGTGAATGCTTTTCTCTTTGAACAGCATGTTGTATCATTAGAGGGTCCATGGATAGGCTCGGTCCAATTTTGACGGCTGTACACTCTGCTTGAGCTTAGCAGCACCTCTGGCAGGCAGGCCCTTGGAGCTCCTGGAGTTTGAGTAAAATTGGAGTGTGAAGCCCTGAGGAAATAAAATTTGACGTTCATTCACCATGTAGCAAGTTGAAATGGAAATTGTCGTATAATGTACACTGTACAGTGTAAATATGCACTGAACCAGCTGCCTGCAACATTCAGCCGTTCTTGTGTGTAGTTTACAATAACAGAGGCATAAATAAAAGAGATATCATCTTTGTTGCAGACATTGCCAAAAAAAGCAGCTCTGTCTCCTTACATTGTTCGCAGTGCCTGCCAGTGGTGTGTCTTGCCTCCAATTCAACTTGATAACGTTTTAAACCGTTACAGACGCACAGGGGCCCATGTCAAGGGCTGCTGACCACTCTGATGCTACTGCACATACACTTGACATCATTTATCCACCGGTATTTATGAAGTGACACCAACTAAGCTGACCAGTGACTCTGGTAAATCACTGAGACACGGTGAAAAGCTTCGCAGGGACAAGTTCCAGGGCATTCCAGACCAGTAATCAGACGTTTTGCAGCACTGGACGAATAAGGGGATGCATTTGCGCGATGTACACAAAGCACCACCTGCACATAACGAACCTCGGTCTTGGCCCTGGTGTATGTTTGAAGCAGGCTTCACGCAATGGATAATGTGCCACGAAGGAGCAACGGCAAGGAAAATACTTACAGTAACCAGCAGCAGACGACGGCCAGGAGACACAATAGATGTCTCAACCTGTCAAGAGGAGACTGGCAGGTCAGTCTTGCTAGGAAGCTAGTAACGATATGACACTGTGATTGGACAACATGGAAGCACAAGATGAACAAGAAGATCTGCGAATTGGAAGAGAACGCACTGCTTTTCGTCCTTCTTTCCTCCTGTGAAGGCAACACTGAGTGCAAATATGACCTCCAGCGCGATGAAGAAGCCAGTGACACCCCAAAAACCGGATGCCATCTTCTTATAAGACCTGAGTTCACTCCAGCTGACTGAAGCTGGACACAGTTCGCAAGGAGTCAGCCAAGTCTCACATAAGCTTTCTCTCGCTGCCCTAAACTGCGGTGAGGATCAACCAGGACGTTGACCTCGTGCCTGTACCCTGTATGCAGAAGAATTACCCAGCTAGGGCAGATCTATAATACTAAGTGCGATGCTTGACGGGATGCTAACCAAGGAGTGTGCAAAAGAGCATGCTTCATTCCTATAAAATGCCCGCGCCCGTAATCATGAATGTACGGACCCGGATCCAGAACTGATCTCGGCCCGTAGATTCCAGGTTCGCAGTTGTTCAATTGAGATGTTCACACTTTTGGAGACCGGAACATCGATTGGCACAATAGATGTGACCGTAACCTGACTTTTAGAGAAAGCACCAAGTCCAAACGGGATTCTTCCTGCTCGTCCAGGAAAGCTGGGCAGGACTGAGAAATAGTTGACAAGGAGTCTTTCGCACTCCTTGGAACACCAGATCTCAACGAACGTCAATGATAATCTTGAGGTATGATATTGGAAAGGCACGATAGGTATTTTTCGTTCGAAAATGGATCTCAAGAGTTTGGGTCTACTTGCAACTAGCCAGTGCTACTTTCAAACTCAGCACGAACGTGGCTCTTGTGCCCAACAGGTTTCTGGCAACATCCATCGCAACATGAATCCGGACATTTCCCAATCAAGGTGACCACTCTTGCAAAACATTTGAAGATCAAGCACTGCACCTTCACGAAGCTTCGTTATGCCCAGCTTGTCCTCCTTCAACTGTATTATAGCCCTGATGTAGCGGTGTCACTAGCAAATAGGTGGTTTCGTTTGTCTGCAGTGCTTTGGTTAGCACTGCTTTGGAGCTGCCAGAAGGGATGGATTTGCTGGACGACCTTGATCTTCCTTCCCTGGACGACCTCTTGCTGCAGTTTTGCGAGAATAGCGACAACGGCGTTTTGCAAGCTGATTGTCATATCACTGGAAGCTGCTGCGGGCACACATCACCCTGCAGCCAGGCCAGTGTGGGCCCTTCAGCAGGGCTGGCAAGCAAGCTTGGGGAGCGGTGCCTGCACACGCCAGAGGGCGAAAGCGCCTTGATGGCCACTGGTACCACTGCTGTACCATTCAACCCTCTGGACAGCAGCTGCAGCACTGGCCACGGGCGACAGCTTGCAGACTCAGCCCAGGCCACTCTCAGCCAGCACCAAGTTGAGAGACCCACCAGCAGCAATGATAGCAACCCCTGTGAAGAGAGCCCGCAGAGCAGCTCTGATGTTTGTCACAAACGGCGCCGCATGGCTGACGGTGACGCTGCCTCTTCTGGGGAGCAAGAGGATGGTGGCCCTTGTAGCCCTTGCCTGAGCAAGCATAATGAGGTACAGCTCCTCCCACAAATTGTGCCACACAAGCATGAAAGAGTGCCATGACTTTTTAGGTGCCCAAATATCTTCAGGTTCTAGGCCACACAGTACCTATGACCAGAAGCAGTAAAACATGAAGCTCGTGTTCCTACAATCAGGGCTCCAGGGCAGGCAGTCCGGAAGGGAATGGCGGCGAAGATGAGCAGAAGCGGCAGGCGCGCATGCAGCGCAACCGGGAAAGTGCTATGCAGTCCAGGCAGCGCAGGAAGATGCAGCTTGAGGAACTTGAGCGGCGCAATGCGGAGCTCCAGACTCAAAACACCCACCTCACTGGCAAGTTCCCACTCAAGCCGCGTCACACCCTGTGAAACAACAGGGTGCTGTTGAAAGGTTGCGTTGAAGCGCAGTTTGCTGTGCATGGAATGTCTGTCAGTGCAGGCATACTGAGGACTGGGCTGTGTTGCAGGTCTGGTGGCGGGGTTGTCTGCCGAGAATGCCGCTCTGCGCCACCAGCTGGCTGCTGTCCAGGGCAATGGCTCGGCACCCCCTGCGATGCCTGCGCACCCAGGCAGTGTTCCTGTGCCAGCAAGGATGCCGGTGCCCTACATGCCATGGATGCCTGGCATGCCCTACATGGGCCCCACGCCAAAGGTAATCAGTTCATCATCTTATGTGGTTCAACTGAAATGAGACGCGTGAGACTCTCTCAACTACCTTGGTAACAGGGTAGAATTTTGCTGAACTTGAGCGTGATGATATTGGGCAGGTTGCAATCCAGAGGTTGCCTGTGACACGCCCGGAGCCAGCAAACGGGGCGGGTTCTCGTGCCAAGAAGGCGGACACGAAGAAGCGGGCTCGTGCTGCAGCTGGCAGCACAGCTCTCCTGGCCCTCTTCTGCTTCTTTGTGTTCATGGGGCCTGTGCCCTTCTGGCCTGGCAGCAACAGCATTCCTGCTTCCAGAAGCTCGGTGAGCTTTTCCTTTCCCACCCCGCTCTGGCTATTTCTTCTTACTCTACATCAGAAGCTTTTATTTATTTGGGAGTAACTTTATTTCTGAACCTGCTTGTGTGCATTTGCAGGTGCCACTGCAGAACAACTACGTTGCTCTGCCATCTGCTGCTCGCACTGGGGGAAGAGTGTTACAGTCTGTGCCAGATGATCCTTTCCCTGAAGGGAACTGGACTTCTGGTGAGTGACCATGCCTATTGATTGGCACGCTGTCAGCTAGCACCATGGTCCCAAACAACAGACTTGATTGGGTGTTACGTGCAGATCAACCACATGAGGGACGGGTGATCAACAGGACAGAGGGCGTGTTGGGCACTTTGAAGGAGGCGAATGACAGTGCATTCGATCTGGAGTCTGCAGAGGCAGCCCTGGTGTTGCAAACCAGCACTCAGACAAAGGCATCAGCTCTGCAGCGCTTGAAGGTGTGGAATGGTTCTCGCCAACTTTGCTCAAGCTTCATGCCTGCCAATGGGACACAATGTAGCGCGCTATTCTCCTGACTGTATTATAATTGCCTGTGCAGGACTTGGGTCCTGTCACTTTGTACAGCGATTGGGGCTCCGACGGGGGTGTGGCAAAGGTGTGGGAGAATACCGGGAGCGTGGGCATCAGGAGTGGCCGGCCCCTCATGCCTCCACTGCAGTGTCGGGAGGTGGGTTGCCAAAGTTTGAGCTCTCGTTGGCATAGCCATGAACCCGAACTCGGTTCTCCTGCGGGCAAGGCGGATTCAAGCGTCCTCGACACTGCCTATCCCTTTGCAGGTGTTCAGCCTGGATGCAAGCCAGAATGTGGATGCAGCAGCAGCACGGCGGCAGCTGCAGAACTACCTGGCCACCATGAGCAGCTTCCGTGGGCGTGCTCTGGCAGGAGGCCCTTTGGCCATGCCCCCAGTTTCTCGGCATGCCACTCATGAGGTGCGTTGCACGGCGACATCCAGTAGGTGATCAAGAAATGCAGTATGCAAATTGCCTGGGGCTCAGGAGTGTCTGGTGATGGCTATCTAATGTAATCGAGTTTGTGTGCAGGAGGACGTCAAGCACAGCAAGCACCCAACAAAGATTGGATGCGAGGACTCCGACAGCGATGTGGTGGTTTCAATTATGCTGCCCGCTCAGCAGCCGGAGGAAGGGGCGGGAAACAAGTCATTCGCCAGCCTCGATGAAGTCTTTGTGGTAGTGGTAAAGCCAATGAAGAAGTACGTGACATACGCATGCTCTCTTGAAACTCCGGTTCTGGTGTGAGCGAGCTGTCTCAGCATGAACAGTCCGCAGGTGTCCAGTTCAGATCTTATCTTGTAGTTTGCCTCTGAACTCACAATACTATTAAGTGTCCATCCGATCTTTTCTTGCTGAGAACTCTTTTCTCGAATACCTGAGCTCAGGTACACCTCGAGGTGTACAACTTGTAGCTTGAAGCACGCGTGGGGTCTGGTGAAATGCCTCAAAACTTTCTTTGATGTCAATACATTGCCTGAAAGTGATCAGTCAGTCTGCTTAGTCACATAGAGGCTTGCACTGGCTTGGATGACACCTTGTACATGTAAAGAAGCTGTCCATGAATGAATCTCAAGCATCGGTACCGGTTGATTCATGAAGGGAGTCACACAGGGCACCTGGACTTGGCCAGAGGAGAATCTGCACGAAAGCAGGATCTCTACCATCACAGACGCTTGGTACCAGGGTGCACACATGCACAAAGAGAATACTAGAGTTGCTATAATCATGACACAGCACATCATGTGCTCAGCATGAGGCTCATGGCCAGCAGTGGCCGCGAACGCGACCGCGACAGCCACTGCAGTTCAGTATATAATGGTGCCACCACTTGCCTGCATGTGTAGCAGCGCTAACCACATGTCCTGCGTTGTGCATGTCTTCAGATTGCCGTATTGCACGAAGTGGTGGTTCTTAGGTGAATCTTAGTGTCAGCCCAAGAACTGAAGCTGCCCAGAAAGCGCACGTGCGCCAAGAATTCTTGATGGAGATCTTGAGCACGATGGATCATTTGTGATCCTCTAGAACATCGAGATAGAATTGTGGTGATATATGACCAGGTAGTTTGTGCAAATGTCGTATTTGTGGAGTTTCCTCTTTTGAAACGTGCCGATGAGAATCTTGCCTGACTCCTGCTTTGTCTCAACGCTTGTAGAATAGAATATTGACGAGAGCAAGCTCTATGGATAGACAAAAGAGTGCCGCACGTCCTCAGGCAGATTCTGACGAAGATGAAGTGCCTTTGGCAGTCAGCCTCTATGACAACGGAGGAATCGATGCTTCGCCAGTGAGTGATGATGTTGCATTGACGCATGAAGAGAGTCACAAATTCCAGCCCGTGCCTGCTACCATCATAACAGGCTGTCTTGGGGCAGGTGAGCTCGATCTGACAATTTCACTCGCTTTCCACAGCACAGATGGCCACTTCATGAATGATACTGTTCGCTGTGTAGGTAAAACCACCCTTGTGCATTACATACTGAAAGCAGAACATGGGATGAAGATAGCAGTGGTGATGAATGAATTTGGAGAGGAGCAGGGGTTGGAGAAAGAAATGCTGTTTCAGCAGCAGGTACCGCTCTAGCTGCGCACCTCCAAAAATGACAAAGATCATTGCATAGCGAGCTGACTGCCAACGTACAGCGATATAATACCTGACGCTTTTGGTGATCTGCTGCAGGAGGCAGACCTCTTTTCCTTAGGGGAATGGGTTGAGCTCGCAAATGGTTGCCTTTGTTGTAGCGTCAAGGATGACTTCCTCCGCGCTCTGGAGGCCCTTATGGAGCAACGCCGCAATTTTGATCACATCCTCATCGAGACCACAGGTGAGCGTATATACAGTCCCCACATGGTGCTGTGCAATATCAATGTCTCCAGCTTGGTCTCAATGTGCCATGGGAATGAGCAGGTCTGGCAGATCCGGGGCCGGTGGCTGCATCTCTGTGGACAGATGTGGAGCTCCACAGCTCCATCTGTCTGGATGCCATCATCACTGTTGTGGACGCTCTCAACCTGCAGAAACAACTACTGGACCGCCTGCCCACCGAAGGCATCAATGAGGCCGAGCGGCAGATCGCATACGCTGATGTCATTCTGCTGAACAAGGTAATGGCGGCCACGCCATGCAAAGTAATCGTAGACTATGCATGACCTGACAGGGCAGAACTTTGAGGGCAGAACTCTGGAGCAGAGTAAAAACGAAAGAAACTGCCAATGAAACTTGTGGGCTGGTCAGGTGGACATGGTGGAGACGCCAGAAGATCTGAGCGCTACTGAAGCGAGAATCAAGGTGATCAACTCAGAGGCAGTCCTCCTGCACACCCAGCACTCCCGTGTGGACATCAAGGCAGTGCTTGACAGGGGGATGTACAGAGATTCGTTGTGGTCGGAGAGATGGTCAGATGTCCATGAAGGACCCAGCGCAGATAGTGTGAAGCACAGCGAAGATTCCAGCAGAGCTGAGCACAGGCACAGTAGCAGTAGTCACAGCAACAGGCACTCGCACGATAGCAACACAATAGAAGTTGGCACGGTTTATTCCCCCATTGAAGCCACTCAGCCTGACAGCAATGAGGCCAGCAATGTGAGGGAAATTGACCACTCCCATACAGAGCGTGCAGGGATCACCACCCTGACATTACGGACAGACCTCAGACTAGATTTGGAAAGGTGAGGTGCCCAAGTCTCATTGCTCAAAGGTGTGCCAGAGGAGGAGGTCAGGCTTGGTACTCAAGGTGCAGTGGGAAGGTTAGGAAGGTGTTCCCAATTTCTGTGAAGTACTGTTTTCTGACCTTGAGTGGCCTGCAGGTTCAAGCGGTGGATGGAAGATCTGCTCTGGGATGACGGGGATGGAGGGGCGCCCAGATCTGAGATACTCCGCATGAAGGGCATTGTGCACGTCACAAAGAGCGATGAACCACACCTGGTGCAGGCGGTCAGGGAACTCTACGACATCACAGAGGCACCCCACAGGTCACCTGCAGGTGCAGGTTTGAGCCAGTCACGTGTCGTGCTTATAGGTCGCATCAAGGATCCTTCGGCACTGCACGCAGGATTTGAGCACTGCCATGATGAAGGAGGGCGTGTGTAACAAAAACTTTCCACCTTGAAGGTGGCCAAGAATTAGCCCAGTCCCTGGGTGCATGCAGCCACTCAGGCTGCCGTTGAATGATTCAGTGGATAAAACACAGCAGGGGCTGTACACTTGCCACTGGCGCCCGCAGCGGCCTCACTCATATTCAGTCCAGGCTGTTGGATAGTCTGCTGTCTCTGGCAAATGCCGCGTGGCCTGGGGGCGGTCATGGGGGTGATCACAGCAAAGGGTTGCCACAGCCCCGCGCGGCCCCAGGCCCTGCATGCAGGCGGTGCACTGTGCACTACACTAGAACACAGATATCATAGTTACCTGTCATGCCCATTTCATGTCCATAAAGTGCAAGCTGCATGTGCCAATGATGTGGCATCAGATGAGCCCCTGTGGCCACAGCTTCCCTCTAGCTACGGCCTTCATGGGCTGGGGATGTCATCTGACTAGATTCTTCGGCTTGCAGTCCATCTCGCCAAAACTTGCATTCCAGGAGTATTCTAAGACAGATGAGGTTGCGCTTCACCGCAAAGGATGTTCAGACGACAACGTTGCGCTGTCGCTTTTGAAAGAGGCTGTATTCAGAAGTATGACCTGTTCTGTTTCACAAGCGTTTGAATTTTTGCGAGAATGACAGACGCAGATACAAGAAGTGTTGAATTGGCCTGGTGCGTTCGAAAGGGGATGAAACACCCCCTCTGCTGTCACGCATGGCGACCTACATAGTTATAGTTGTTCCAGTTGACATCGACTTTTGCTGCATCAACATGACTGATTTGCCAACTCATTGGCATTTAAAGCTGATCTTGGCGTGCTGTGCCTATCGAGTTTTGAAGTAGGCGTCCTGTGTCTGTTGCAGTACCAATCCTCTTCTGTGCGCTATATCTTCCTCTCCAGTCCACCTGCGCGTGCGCCTGTGTGAAGATCTTGTATTTTCGAGGACCTTCAGATTGCCAGGCCGACGATGCCAAGCATGCCGGCCCATATTGGCATTGCCTGCACCCCCTTTGAGCGCAGACTTGGCAGAGCCTTCTGGCGGACTGGTTGGGGAGCTGCGCAAGCGGATAGGTAGGATCCTACCTTCAGTGGTGATGTCCTGGATGCTTGAGTGTGCTGCAGACTGCAGCCCTACAACCCAAGAGCACAAATATCTGTTAATCGCCAGTCCCACCTGCTGCGAGTCTGTAGCTTGTCTGATATGTGAGACCTGTGCCTTCGTGGAACTATCAGATAGCCATGGGGACGTGAGAGGACAGCTCGCGAGGGGAGGAGAGCCCGTGACCGAAGACTTCTTCCAGCGGTGGCTCAAGGCAAAAGGCGGTGTTGATGAGGCTGAGGCTTGCATCAGGGCCCATGCACAATGGCGGGCAGACTATATTCCCTTGGGCCGGATCCTCGAGGTGGGGCCCAATGCACACTCTTCACATCTGGCATATGGCACCCGTCTTTTACTTTGCTATGCCAGATAATTCATAAAGATTTTGACATATTATGCAAGCGACATGGTTGTTTCAGGGGGAGATTGCCAATGAGCTGGCGGCCAGGAAGTGCTTCCTCCAGGGCTGTGACTATGAGGGCCACCCCGTGTTGGTGGTCTGGGCAGCGCGGCATGATATGGGGAACCGAAGCTTAGATGAGACGAAGCGCTTCATCTGCTACTGCCTGGACAACACCATTGCTGCATCAGACCTGCGCGTGAATTCAGGCGGCCAGATCAAATGCCTCTTCGACCTGTCAGGTCTGGCCAACAGCCCCTCACATTGCCTGTATGCTGTGCCAGGCCTGATTGAACTTGAACTCTGAAGCTGAATGCTCATGCAGGGTTGCGCACGAGGAACCTGGATGTGAAGGCGCTGCAGGCCATCTTCGAGCTGCTCCAATCACACTACCCCGAGCGCCTGAACGCGCTTTGGTTCCTTAACGCCCCCCTCATATTCTGGGGCGTCTGGCGCCTGGTGAGCTCCCAGGACCCTGCGCACAAACCGTGATGACCCCGCAACTGTGCTGCTCTCATTCCAGCTGAGGGCAATCAGCAGCTCAGGCAGTGGGTGAGCTGCGCGCAGGTGCGGCCGTTCATCCGCACGGACGAGACGCGGAACAAGATAGCGTTCCTGTCGGGGAGGGACAGGGTGGAGGCCTTGCGCAGCACAATTCCTCCGAGCGTGCTGCCGGAGGTGTACGGGGGCGAGGCACCACTGGTGCCGCTGGAGGATGCAGCGCTGCAGCGGCTGTCCATTCAGAGCGCCGCTGCGGCCAACACGGCAGGCGGCAGCGCTGCGGCGTTGGCGGCCGGCACCGGCCCCGGCAAGGGCAGCCGCCTGTCGTCGGCCACCCGCGCCGTCAGCCGATGGTCCGGCGCAACCTGGGCCCTCCTCAAGAAGCCAGCCCATGTGCGCACTAACGACCTCAACACTCGATGTGTCCCTGATCTGACAAGCTTGGTATGACCTCTGTGATGCCGTGATATCGATATTTCTGATCCCAGTTGACCACAAATCTATCAATGACTTGAGATGGTGTTGTATCGTTTTCGCGTTTGAGTGCTGCATGATGTGTGACAGGCTGTGGCATCCTCGCGCATGTGGGCGCACTGGCCGCGCTTGCGGCACAGGGGCCAGGGCGGCAACAGGAGGGCGATGATGCGCGCGGCTTCGCAGCACCTGAGGAGGGGCGTGGGCATTGAGCCCCACGACGACAAGCACCTGCTGCTCCACATCCTCGACCCCAACTTCCTGATCCAGGTCATCCGCATCCTCGCGCAGAGCGCCGCACAGGTCTTTGCCACCCTTCCCTTGTGTTTGACTGCCTGAAACAGGATGCGAGAACTTCACAGCATGCAGGCAAATAACTATTCATTCTGCAAGCCTGCGAGTAGTTTGTGAAGGTGGTAGTCATTGCAGGCGCTGCTGTGGGCGTGGACGCATGCGCTGCCAGTCAGGCTGCAGCGGCCGGAAGGCGATGCTGCTCGCTTGCCCTCAATGGCACCAGGCGCTCTGCTTGCACCCCCCAAACCGGCTCTGCTGCAGCCGCTGGTGATGTGTCCGGCAGCCGAGGAGGCAGTTGACACAGGCATCAGCAGCGGCAAGGCAGCATCAGGCGCGGCCGACGTCGCGTTGGTAGGGAGAGCGCAACAAGTCACGTGGGCGGCAGATAATGTGTGTATAACAGGGTCCGCCGCAGAGTTCCAGCAGATGCATGCAGCTGCCAGCTCCTTGTATATGCGCAGTGCTATGATTGCACTGATAGTCGCTTCCCTGATGCTGTCGCTATTGCTCGTGTTTGTCAAGCATGTGCAGTAGAGTAGCCATTGTGAAGCAGATTGGGATCCAGGAGGCCTTCTTGTACTGATATAATCTTGACAGACAGGCCTGCTGCATCCATCTTATCCGGAAGTCTTGCCACTGCAATTTTGGAAGTCTTTCTTTCATCCCTCTTTTGTGTAGTATAGTGTAGCCATGCGGTGCTGGTCAAACACTGATCAAGTCAGGTCTTGTGAACGAGCGAAGTGTGCCTGACAATCCAGTGTGGGGAGCTTGCTGAGCCAGATCTTCACCAATTTTGTGACAGCAGCATAGGACGGTGCTGTGCAGTCATGGGATAGTGAAGGAGGTAGGTTGAAAGCCTTCAGACTGGCGCAAAACGTCTGTAGCAAGTCCAGGATGCTTTGGCTCGTACCTGTGCAGGACCTGCGGGCAATCTTTTTTATAGAGTGGGCTTTGGTACTAAAGTCGACGGAGTTTGTTGCCGGTGTCCTCAAGAGATGGAATGGTGTTCATGTGATGAGCTTCGACTATACTGCTGTGATATGTCAGTTTGCGTGGCTATTGTTGATCACGACAGTCATGCATTGACAGCAAGCTTGATTGTGGCTAAAAACAGCTAGAAACCAGCAGCGTAACATCCTAGTTATAATTTACAGGCGTAAAGATAGTGTATTGACAGCATCTGTACGCCATTTGCAAACAATTGTCAACAATTGTCAAGGACGATAATATTTGTAAGCACCACAGCATCCGAAAAGGAAGGGTCATGGAAGGCTGCATCGTTGCAACTTCTCTCTCATATTGCATTCAGCCCACCCTGTGACATTGACGATCCTGGATTCAGACTGAATGCAAACAACTGTACATGAAGTGGCTGAAGTTGAGATTGCTGTCTCAAGGTCTATTTGTTCCACTGTCAACAGCATTGTGCTGCACAGTGCTATCCGCCTACTTATGATGACCCAGCGCACTGAAGGACTTTATGTATGGTACATGCATAGTCAGACCTGGATGTCCCATTGGCATGAGTACATTGTCCCGAATGGTTCAGTGCATCAGTTCAGACGGTAGAGCATGTCCAAACTCAGCAGCGTAGTGCTCGCCCAGTGCAATCCTGTTGTACATCAGGTTGGCAACAACGTAGTCCGCGGACGCTGGTCGCACAGGACAGCCCACACCAGTCACCCGCACATTGGTGTTCCTGTAATACAGGTACACACAGCGATTTAGTTTGACCTGCTCCACTTTGTACTGCTCCACCAATACTCACACTGCAAAGTGCAGATGCAGCTCTAATCATCATCCCTTAAAGCCTTATATTAATCAGATGCTAAACTTCTCTGCAAATCAAGTGTCTGAAGACTTGCTCTACGTGTAGCAGCAGGCTCACCTGGATATGCGATACAGGCTCTCCTTGAATGCAGCGCACGTCTCCGGATCAAGCCGCGAGATTTCTCTCCTCAGGGCGCACATGGATTCTCCTTCCAGGTCCAGACCCGGCCTGACCCCAGAGGCAGCTGGCTGTGACCCAACACCAGCTGTCGTGGTCATCTTCGGGAGGACAGCTGTCCCATCAGCACGATAAGAGTCCAGGAACTGAGCTTGCTGCCGCTGTGTTGGCAAATCTGCATGGCAATGGCCGTGCCAGCTGGCTTCGTGCACAGCTGAATGGCAAGCACGCTTGCCGTGCTGGGATGGCAGGACTTGCTGAACGGCTTCCCCGGTCATTATCCCACGCTGCTGTCCACCTTCCACCTGCTGGCAGCCATTTTCATGCTTGCTGGTGGCACGCTTTCACCATTTTGGTTGCAACGTTGGACGATGATAGACAGCTTTACGGAGAGGCTGTGAGTTGAAGGGAGAGGGAGACTGATTACCAAAGACAGCGGAGTCCTTCAACACTGCAGGTGAGGATGAGAGCAGGTGTGAAGGGTGCAGATCATGCAATGAAGGGGAACACAACACTCACCCTGCCTCTAGGTGTGCAGATCCTGTTGCTTCTGCTTCCGGGCACTCTGAAGGGGCAAAGGTAACTTGTAGTGGCTACGAAATGTGGAAAGAAAACTTTGAAGCAGAAAAGGAGGCACGAAGCGCATAACCAGGGCACCACCTTGCGTCGGACCCATCCTTGGACTTGAGTTGAACACCTGTCTCAGCTGCCCCAGCCGCGCAGCTGCTACCCTTGTCCAATGCATCTGAATCCCTAAGACGATATCGAACACCGCCAGCGGATTCCTGTAGCACATGCGACACATTCAGGCCGTCCAACGGTGGTTTACGTCAGCATCAATTTCAAAGGCAGCACTATAATCACGTCTAAAACTGTACAACAACAGCGTATGTGCAGCACCTTCAGGGCTGTAACGTCCGCATAGTCCATGTGGTATTCCATGGCACAGCAAGCCACTTTGCAGCTAGAGACGAACAAGCATAACACACAAGGTGCCGTATATTCTGTCGTCACCGAGCACCCGATCAATCTATATATCTCCCGATCCAAGAATTTCAAGGACTGCTCCTCCTGCCTTGAAGTAAAATGCCTCTAGCCGCAACATGGACATCGGGAACTTAAAGTCGAGCTCCGCCACAGAAAAAGGGATTCGCCGCTTTCCGCCACTCGATCGTGGTGGTGGCGCAATCTGCAGGTTGGCCCCCACCTGATCAGTGGTGGGTGGCCTGCATCTCTGCCCTGTTCCCATTAAAAAAGGAAAAATAATAATGTAATGTCGAAAGAGGTCAACTTTGGCATGCGCCCGGGAGTCTGAGACTTGGCAGCCAGCCAGCTTGCAGTGGGAGCTCTGTGGACTCTGCAAGACGGCTGTGAGGAGAACGTTACGTGAAACACAGTCGAGGGCTCCATGCTCAGCTCCAGCCCCAATTGGTGAGCATGGCTGCAGGCTTCAAAGACGTGTCTGGCATCGTGCTGCTTTCAGCACCCTTGGTATATGCTCCATTGCGTCCAAACCATTGGCAGAGGTTCCTACCATAAGTGGACCTGACAGCGGCTGCAACCTGGTGTCTTGCGCAGGCGTGAGATTGATAAGAACGTCGATAGGTTAATAGATGAATTTGAGGTGCCGAGAGCGACGTCGGCACCACCCCACCTGCAGGAAGGTCGCTGGGGTGGTGGGCCTCAAGTGGTGAGCTCCCATGGCCAGCAACAGGCATCAAAGGAACCATGCTGAAGTTCCATGATAGAAAGGATTTCGTTTTCCAGTCACTATTCCTTCCTAATTCGGGGTTGGCACCTTTCCAGTGGACTCTATGGACAGTATCCCAACTGTTGTCTTGTCGTGATTGAAGGGCGCAGTGAGTGGGCCAAGCAACGGGGACGGTCGATGGACCCCAGCGGAGGGATTCTCAGACATTCGCTGCGATGAGGACTATGAGGCATTCTATCGGGCACAGTTAGAGGCCGGTCGAAAACTGCCTCCACCGTTGGAACACGGCACTGTCTATGAGAAACTGCCGCCGCATTTGCAGCATCGACTCAGCCAACAACAGCAGCGGCTCCTTGCCTCCCGAATGTCGCCATCACCGAACGGTGCGTGCCTTTCTGTTGCATGAATGTGACCAGGATTGGACATCCTCTTTTGTGAGCAGTGCAGGCCATCCATGATTCTTACAAGTCAGTGCAAATGATGTGCAGGCCTTGATCCGATAAACGAACGGGGCGTGAGTCCAGCGCCGGGCAACGGGCTGAACATGCTGCAGGCCTTCCAGCAGCTTGGTATGCTTACACCATCACAATGCCCTTTGTTGCACCCTGATGCGCGTCCCCACATTCAGGCGGCAAGTATTATGAACAGAGCTCACACAACACGTTTCTGCAGGCATGAACGAGCATCGGCATTCCCCAGCACCGCCACCCATGTCCCAGCAGGAGCAGCTAGAAAATCTTGCGGGACTGCAGCAGCATCTTGCACAGCAAGGTGGGCGCACATGCTTGCCTCCCCAGCGCCGTGTCTTTGGCAACTCTGCAAGTGCGAGTCCAAGTGTTTCCCGCGCTGCCTCGTCAGCCTTTAATTGTGCAGGATGTCCTCAAGGGGGGCCGTGCTGGTGGGTGTGCAGGCGATCAGCAAGCCCAGTTGATGGCCATCATGGCTGCAGCAGGGGGGTTGCGGCCCAATTCCACGCCGCCGCCCATGACGCACACGCCGCCGCTGCCATCGCAGACGCCTCCGGTGCCTTCTGGGACGCCCGGGGCCGTCAGCCTAGCGGCTAACGCTGCGGCCTTAGCGGCTGCTGCCGCCGGCCAGAATGGCTTCCAGGGCGGCATGAATGGCGGCCTGCTCGGGTCCCTGGAGTACCAGGCGGCATACCAGGCATGTTTTTACCTGAGAGCATTCTACTAGACTTGGATCACAAATGACTCAACTGAGCAGTTTTGAGTGCTTAGTGCCGTCTGAGAAAATATGGCAACAGCCATGCATGTTGCAGGCATGCTGACGGCCTCGTGTGCTGGTGCAGGCGGCGTATCAGGCAGCGCTGACGCAGCAGGCGGCGGCGGCTCAGAGCATGCTTATGCAGCAGCAGGGGAACGCCTCGCTGGCGGCGCTGCAGCAAGCGCAGATGGCAGGCAACTACAGCGAGGCCCTGGCCGCCCAGGTGGCCGCGCAGCTCTCCCTCACGCCCGGCTACTTCAATAACTCCAACATCAACGCAGCAGCCGCTGCTGCCGCCGCTGCCGCCGTGCAAAACCTCATGGGTGCGTCCTTTGATCATGCCATATCTCTCTCAATGGCTTCCTTTCCACTGTGCAAAGTAGGGGCTCTCGTATGCCGCTGCTTTGCCACAGTACCCTGTGCTTCACTATAAAGCAGATCTGACGAGCGGAGTAGGTGTCAAGGCTGAGAGGCGGCCATGTGTTTGTGTGTAGGCGGTGGGCACGGCAAGGGCGGGGACAGGGATTTGGACGGCAAGCGCGGCGGCCGGGACAAGCGGGGCAGGCGTGGCGACCGGCGGGACCTGGAGCGCGAGCGTGAGCGCGAGAGAGACCTTGAACAGGACGGCGCCAATCAGTTTGCCAGCCGCTTCCAGAGCATCGAGGAGGTGCTAGGCCAGGTATAGGGCGCACCCTCTCAGCCTGATCAGCCTCTTGAAAGCTGTACAACGCCTCATGCACGAACAGAGTACACAAGGCTGCTGGGGATGTCTGTGACTGAGGGGAGACAGGTAGCACCTTTCCAGGAGGCCTCACGCCCCCTTTCAGGTGGTGGTTTGGATGCAAGGGAGGGAGCACAAAGAGACTGATTCAAGGCGACTGTGGAGCAGGTGATGGCCGTGGCCAAGGACCAGAATGGGTGCCGGTTCCTGCAGCGCAAGTTTGACGAGGGGGGCCCTGCGGCCATCCAGGCGGTGCTGCCAGAGGTCCTGGAGCACCTCATAGAGCTCATGATGGACCCCTTTGGCAACTACCTCATCCAGAAACTCCTTGATCGATGCTCGGAAGACCAGCGCCTTGCGGTGACTGCCCTGCTCCTCTCTGTGTGCAGCAACTCCAGTTCACTGTGCAACGACTTGCCACTAGAAATCAGAGCATTGCACTGTCTGCATATGCTTGAAAGCATGCAATCTGTCTTCCAGGTTTTGAAAAAGGCTGCGGAGCGCAAGGAGCTAGTTCAGGTTGCGCTGAACACGCACGGCACCCGCGCTGTTCAGAAACTCATCGAGACCTTGACGAGCCGTGAGCAGGTGATCCCTCATATTGATACTTCGATCACTGCTCTCTTCTCCCTTGGACTGCCAGTCCCTGACGATCATAGCCTCATTAACCGATCAAATGGAGTTGAGTCCCTGACGATCGCCGAGCAAAGCCACATCCACCTATTAATTGGAATTGAGTCCCTGACGATCGCCGAGCAAAGCCTCATCCACCTATGAAATGGGTTAACTGTCCAAAACCTGATGGGGTGTTGGCTAATTGCGCCCAGGTGGCACTGGTGACGGATGCGCTGCGTGGGGGAGTGGTGTCGCTCATCCGCGACCTGAACGGCAACCATGTGATCCAGCGCTGCCTGCAGCGCCTGGGCCCCGAGGACAGCCAGTTCGTGTACGACGCGGCGGCCGCGCACACCATGGACATCGCCACGCACCGCCACGGCTGCTGCGTGCTGCAGCGCTGCATCGACTTTGCCACGCCGCCCCAGAAACGCCGCCTCGTCGACCAGATCACCAGCCACGCCCTGCCCCTCTCCCAGGTGCGCACACTTCAGCTCTTTGCCTCTTTGTGCTTGAGAGTATCTCATAGATCAGCACCTTAATTCACTGAGGCTTTACGGATCATACTGCTAGCAATGCAAGTGTCGTCTTCCCAAAAAGGTTCCTCGCATTGGGAAGCTTAGACACTTGCACTGCAGCATTCTGAATACCAATCACCCAGGATGCTTTTGAAGCAGAAAACGTGCCTTTGCTCTGTATCGTTTTTCAGTGGGTGGCTCGTACAGGACACCAGTCTGAGCTGCATGCCTGGGGCAGAACATAATGCATATCCTGACGGCGTGGCTGCTGCTGTGGCAGGATCCATTTGGGAACTACGTGGTGCAGTACGTGCTGGAGCTGGGGCACTCAGAGGCGACAGAGTCCATCATGCGCCAGCTGTGCGGCCACTACCCGGAGCTGGCGCAGCAGAAGTTCAGCAGCAACGTCGTGGAGAAGTGCCTCAAGCTGGGCGGCCAGAGCCTGGCCGAAATGCGCGAACGCGTCATCCGCGAGCTCCTCAACTCCCCCCTCATGCCCCGCCTCCTGCAGGTAAACTCCTCTTGCACTCTCTTTGCGCGCTCCTTACCCAATTGGCTTGCATTGCTTCTCTTACACCACATCACTCACAGGATGCTTCTCTGGTTATGAATCAGGAGATCTGCTGGGCGTCCCTGAGGAGAAGTGCTGGAACATGCGGCAGCATGCATGGCTTTGTCGCGGATGTGCCCACGCAGTGGCTGCCGCCTGAGCCTGTGATTGCATGCATGATGCCATCCCCCCCCCTTTCCACTCATGTGTGTTGCCGGTTTGCGCAGGATCCGTACGCCAACTATGTGCTGCAGAGCGCTCTGAGCGTGTCGTCCGCGCAGCTGCACAACGACTTGGTGGATGCGATGCGCCCCTACCTGCCCTCGCTGCGGGGAACGCCCCACGGCAAGCGCATCCTCTCCAAGATCAACGTCAAGATCTGAGCATGCACCACGTGCACACCCTGCAGGCACGCATGCGCCAATAGGCCCTGCAGGAGATCACCTGAGTGCGCCCTCTCGGTTTGCAATGGCATGATCTCCTGCCAAGGCCGCTGGTCATGCCTGCATCACAGGCTGCATGACGAGTCCAGGGGAGCTGTGTACATGCCTGTCTGCGGCCCTGTGTCGTCCTTCAATTTTGGCTCTTCTGGATGCGACATCGTGTCATTTGATGGGGTGCAGCTCTTGGGTCACTGCGGCCTCGTTTGACCGGAAGGCTGCAGTTGGACCTTCAGGATTGTAGCTGGTGTATCATGTGGTCTTGACATCATTGGAAGGCTGTTCATTGAGCGACGCCATACTGTGTAAATGCACCAAAAATTCTCTGAGACTGCCAGTACAGGGTTTGTAGCAAAGCAGGCTTTGGCCGAATCAGGGTCATGGCCCTCCTCAGATGAGTTGTAGAAGGTTTTGTTGAGGGTGTGTGCATGTAAGCAGACAGACTTTGGTCTATTTCTGTACAACTAGGGCTCAAGATTCTTTCAGATTGATGCAGACTGATAGTGCCATCATGATCCTGATGAGTTGGAGTGTGCGATCCACTATGTAAATCCTGCACCACAGAAGTGGCCATATGACTCGGTTGGAGTTTATTATATTCACCCTGCATACAACCAGCATGCGGATCCTTGTCGTGATGGGCATCTGTCCTACATGGGTACATTGCATTTACACCGTCAAAGCACGGGCGCCATTGCCATGAGGAAAGTGGGCCACACGTAATTGCGGACACAGCAGGTCTGCTGCAGCAGACAAATTCTCTGGATGGCTGATGAGCCAGCCCTCTCAACAAACACACGACTGCCATCATCAATCCCAGCAGCAGGTCACCCGTTCAATCGCAATCAGTTAATTATAGCAGCGCTCATCAGAATATGCGACTCAGGTGCCTATTCTTTCTGGCCTTGACACACAGAAACTTCCATACAGTGCTGCATTTATTGTGCACAGCCAAATCCAGCATTGATTATGTTCATAATGGGCCACATGGACATCCAGGCAAGACTCTTGCCCTGCCACCTCACTGACCTGTGCTAAACAAGATATTGCTTGGCAAGATGCCCACAAAGGAAGACCCTTTCCGGTTCAGTCATCCACAGTTTTGGCCCTCCCAGGCAACGTGTTGATGCCTGGATCCAAGTTTGTGTTGTACTTTGCGTTTGCTGGGGCTGAGTTCCAAAAACCAAACGGCTTCACAGGTTGGTTGATGGCATCCTTCCTGCAGAGAACGGGAAGATGACATTAAATCTTCCTGTTCAACAGGTTCGAGGACCATCTGAAGAAGTACAGGCAGTCTTGAAGCAACAAAGGGTCAAAAGATGTCGGTTTGAAAACGAAGCCCAATAGGCATGATTGGAACAGCAAGGACATGCATGGGACTTACACTTTCTTCCTTTTCATGTCAACGTTGTCTATGTGGGCATTCCAGTAGTCCTCCCTCTCCTTGGGGTCCTCCATGTTCCTCCTTATGATGTGGCCAACGGCCTCGAGAATGAACGACATTAAAAATGGGCTGTTCGCTCGCCACTTACATCTTTTGAATCAACCTGATCGGATCTTGGAGGACGTCAGTAAAGGAACTGCAATCCAGTTACTGGATCCCAGGACCAACCAGTCACTCAGTGCTTTTGGCCAAACCCTAAACCCAATTGTAGGGCAGGACGGTTACTAATTGATGGAGGCCGCCACTGCATTCTCTGAGCTCTGCAGTGCACAAAGGGGAAGCAACAGACGTCCAGAGTCCCAAGGGCGTCATCGATCAGCTGCTTGGGTAGGTGCCGGCATAAAGTAGAGGGGACGTCGGCGTTGAAGCAGAGGTCGGTCATCGTTGGCTGGCCTTCTGCACTGCATTTAATGGGGAAAGTTTTAGTGGATCATCATGAAGTCTAATGCGTCCAATTATCCTGAAGTCGTTTAGTGGTGTAGTGTTTCATTCCCAGCTGTATGCCACGCGTTTGCGTGAACATCTTAGGTGGATTCCATGTTCAGGACTTCTTGCCAACTGCTGAGGCTGATAATCTACTTGGGTATCAACACGAGAAGTTTGGAGGATCTTTACTTTTGATGCTTCACAAATTGTTCCTGCTCCGCCTTTGATCGCCCAAGCGTTGCACAGCAGCAGCTTGGCAGATATCATTTCCTCTGGGGGCCGTATTATACCTGGAAGACGAAAGTGCTTGTGATTACTGCAGGATACCATGGCGGTGGGTAAGAAGCCCGCAGCCGCACCCCTCAAGGGCAAGAAGAAGCCCGCCACCTTTGTCATCGACTGCGCCAAGCCAGTGGAGGACAAGATCATGAAGATCGGCGAGTTTGAGAAGTTCCTGCTGGACAAGATCAAGGTGGACAACAAGGCTGGTGCGTCTCTTGCTCGCCCAGCATGGTGCCAGCATTTCTGCTCATATCACTCGCTGTGCAGCTCTGGAGGCCTGCGGATGGAGTCGAGCTCTCTGATTTCAGATGGCGTGGGAAGAATTGCTGAAGCCATTTTCTTGTTAGCAGGTGTGCTTGGGGACAACGTGGTCGTGTCAAAGGACAAGACAAAGGTGACAGTGACATCAGAGATTCACATGTCGAAGAGGTAAGCCGAGGGGCTTGTTTTTCTTGCTCTCAACACATCTGATTTGTCTTGGCAAAGTGCCAGATGGGCGATGCTGAATCTCCCTCCTTGCCGCAGGTACCTCAAATACTTGACCAAGAAGTTCCTTAAGAAGCACAATGTCAGGGACTGGCTGCGAGTCATCGCCTCCAACAAGGACCGCAAGTGAGTCTCCTTTAAAATGCTTGCAAAGCATGAAGAGTGATGTAAGGAAGAAAACACAGACACACAAGGCAGTCAGAGCGCCAAGAAAGAAGGGCTGCCTTGTGGAAACATACAAGACACCTCCTGTTTTGTGATCACATGAACAGGAGATTTCTGCCGCAGCTGTTCAAGGCCTCTTTCTGATAATGATTGCTTTTGCGCAGTGTGTACGAGTTGAGATACTTCAACATCGCCGACAATGAGGCCGAGGAGGAGGATTGAGCATGGTTACCAGTAGCCCTGTTGTGAGATAAGTGTGCAGCTCAGCTGCGAGGGGACCAAGTAATCATTGAGCACTGGCGAACATTTATTGCTGGGGTAACATGGCAATTTTTTATCGCAAGGCTTTGTAAAGTCATTCTCATACTACAGCGCAGCATGCATAGCTCAGTGCCATGCCTCATAAGTTCATAGCCTTCAGGTGTACAAATGGCAGCCGAGACATTATTTCCATGATGGCATCATGATCACGGCGCTGGCTCTGCAGTGGCATGCAGGCTGACATCATGCACTGCTCACTTTGCCAACTTGGCATTTAGATCAATGAAACAAACATTTTTTGGCATTTCACCCTCTGCTTCAAGCAAGTTGCAGTGAACTCGAGTGCAGCTTCATTGGACTTCAATTGTATGGGGCAGTTACCACAGGTATGTTAATCTGCTGTATGGCATGCATGATCTTCATATGATCATCACTCGTGATGCCATCATGATCGGATCAGAACTTCAAGTTCTTGAACTTTGTGTGAACTTCACCTTGAAGTCCTTGAAGCCTGAGGCCACCACCGCGCGTGCGAACTGCTGCAGCTGCGTTTTCACTTTGCATTTTTTGCATGACCTTCCAGTCAAGCTACTGCATCTGAGACTCCTTTTGGCTACATGCAATTGAAGGTGCACCTGTCTGCCAATCCGTGTGCTGAATCATCTGGGCCCACCACCTCTGCAAAATTGGGCCCAGGGTACCATCTACGGAATCTACTCAACCTCAGGGTCAAGGACCGTAATGTATCGTGGACTTTCGTGCCATGCCAGAAGCAAATCAGAGGCGCATTGCGAGTCGTATTACTGAATAATCCTCGGATAGCGAAGTGTCTTGCTGTGTGACCTGTGGTGGGCCCTTCATGGGCGTCGTGGGCCTACCTCTGTCGCTGAGGGTTCCTTTGCAACAGGTGAGTCCCTTTTCTGATATTCATCCCGCTAATTTTTTGGTGACAGCTATGAAATAATACCGTATCATGTGTTTGCAGGATATATGTCGTTCTAGCGCTGCGAATACGACTCCATTTCGCAAGACTGGACCAGGCAAGAGGACATTCTCATGTGCTCAGCCAAGAGTCCTGTGAATTGGTATTGGCTGTGGAAGCCTCATGATTCCTGCATACAGATGCCATGACATGCGACGCTTATTGTCGCGATGATTGGTTTGAGTGAATTACTAGTCAGCCCTTTGTTCTGAAACCATGCACTGCAACCATGCGACCAAGTATAGCCTGTACTGGTGCATTGTTTGGCTAGAAGCTGCTACGCTAGTCTGATGCAATGCGTCAGCTTCATCTCAACGAAAGCAAATTATACATACAGTCTCATATGAAGTGGTGCCCTCGCAGGTCTGAAGAGACCACATGCTTCTCCGCGCATATCTTGTGCTGCTGGATCAGGAGGAGGGGTTTTGGATAGGCCCACAACGATTGGATTGCCGGGATTTGATTTAGGGTGAGCCAGAAATTGGGTCTTTGGTGTAGCACGCTCATGGCGTACACCACTTCAGTACTGGCACCAGAAGGAAACTTTTAGTGGAGCTCTGCATTCCACAAGTAAGTGCATGTCTGCAGGAAAGCAACCACCAGGCAGCGACCTCGATTTTACCGAGTCATGCTGCACAATGACGACTTCAACAGGCGAGAGTACGTGGTGAAAGTCTTGTTGAAGGTCCTCGACAATTTCACGATGGAGGATGCCATCAATTGCATGCAGGTAAGGGCAGCGCTCAAAGACCCTTACACCACCTCATTCATGACACTTGTCCTGCAAGTCCTGTCTCGTTTGCCTGTTGTTCTTTCCTTTGTCCTGCAGTTTACAGCAGTGCTGATGGGACTGGCCTGCAAATTCCAGTTCCAAATTGCAGTTGGTTTCTCTAGTAGACATTCTTGTGCTGTGCAGGAAGCGCACACAAATGGTGTTGCTTGTCTTGTATCATGCCCACAGGAGGATGCTGAGAAATACTGCGAAGGCCTCCGGACCAATGGGCTCATCAGCACCATTGAGCCTGCAGGAAACTCTGGGGGAGGTTCTGGAGGAGATGGGCCGGATGCTTCTTAAATTCTCAGCTTCTGCTGCGGTCTGTGAGCATAGCTGTGCGCAGCTCTGTAAGCAGGCTGCAGCTGCGTTGTGTGTGCTGTATTTATGCCCCCAAGGAGCGCTCTTGGTGAGGGTCTCAGACGGTGACTAAGTCAGTGAGGGTCATGCCACCACAGTGCAATTTGCCAGACGGTGCTCAACAAAACATGTGAGAGTGTACAATCAGAGTCCTTGGGAAGAACACCGTGGTTGAAGACTTTGCAATTATTTCTCGAGTCTGTCTGGAGAAGTAGTTCGGCCTCGATCTCTCAGCGATTTATCGACTAGCTGAGCCCTCACTCCAGCAAGACCTTCTGTACAATAGCGGATGTACTCCTACTCTGGTGCTCCAACTTGGGTTGCAATATCGGGCTTGTTTGCTTGGACTTGTTAGCTTTATCCAAGTGGAGACCCTGGTCTGATCCAGACCGGATCCAAGAACTATACTTGAAGCACAATCACTGATTGACATGGCATGCAAATATTATTAGCGTACTACATAGAATGCAGAGAGCGTGTAATAACTTTTCTTAAACTAAAATCTATGTTTGTAGCTCTATGCACCTGTGGATACGCAGCTGGAGTGCAAGAGCACTCTCAGACCCAGGCACTGAAACCCACAGTGGGTTTGGGCACATGCATGCATGATCCGATCACTGATGGCATTGTTTACGGCGCAGTACGAGTATCTAGTTGCAGCCGGCAAGATTTATACCACCGTAATAATGTGACATCAACAGTGTCACCACGTCTAGCATCATGCTATGATAGTTTGGCATCAGCGTTTTTAGTGGCGAACAAAATCGAAGCCAGCGTTCTCATCAGGTGCATGAATCTCACGGCCTCCAATCTGCCAGAAAGCGCGGGGTATCTTACGCGAGGTGACCACGTGCCGGTCCTTGCCGCCCGCCGGCCGCAGCTGTGGCAGCCGCTTTCCTAGGAAGCACAGGCCTGTCAGGAAGCGCAGTGCGCGCCGCGGCATGGACTTAAGGAAGCTTCCCGCGCAGGCAGTTCTGTGTCAATGAGTGCAGCAGAAAGTGCGCGGTCCTCCAGGACAAGCCTCACTCCCTACATATCGTAGAAGAGGATTTATGATGGCGTGAAGCTTTGTCCATGGAGCTCTGGCCAGATGAAATCTGGCAATGGGTGTCAGGAGCGGTTGTGTGTGAGCGGATCTGCAACGGCGTGCCTGAGGAAAGCAAAGGAAAGAGGAACATAGATTTGTCCTAACATTTGTCTTTCTTTAAAGAACGTCACTCTTCAACTGGAAAAGATTGCATTATTGAGTACCATTGATCTCCTAGGCTGATGCTGTCTGCTGACGCCGCTCAACAACTGGGATCCTGCAAAGTAAGAAACTGATCTGACACTTGCAGTTCACATTTCTGCATTTTGGAGGATGTTTGCCTTCATCATCTAGGCGACACATAATTATAATTTGTCGTTCTCTAAGGTTTTCTTGTGTATGCAGGCAGCAATTAAAGCAATTGAGGACCTGCTTTCTCAGTATTTGGTGCTGGATGATAAGAATGACACAGCTCAGGTCAGTCAGTCAGAAGTCTATATTACATATCAACATATGTGTGTCAGGAGACACGCTGTTCAGGGTGCGTGACGATCTGGATCATCATGGTGGCTCCTGCTCTTTGTCAGGTGATACCGCTGGAACAAGCAACACAGCACCTTCTACTGGCACAAAGTGTCAGTTCTCTCTACCAGTGCTACATCCGCTTGAGTGGCGAAGATGTGGAAGACAGCCCACACGCAAAAGACATGGTCAGCCTACTTCAACACCGCATGCGCACATTTTTGCAAGGATATACCATCACATTCCATTCTTTGTGTTTAGCTATTGCGCGTGTGTTGCAGGAACGTCTGAGACTCTATAAGAAGAAGATACACAAAGTGGAGTCCCAGAAATGGTTCAAGGAGCACAAGCGCTCACTGGAAGTGAATGTCTCAGCAGCTAATCGCTTCATCAGCAATGCTATCCCAGAGCTGACCGCAGAGCAACGCTCTGCCCTGAAGAAGGTGCTCTATCATCCCATGTACCTGGTCCTTGCTAGCAAGGCTGCAATTGCATGTCAGCAGTGCATGCCAAAGCGGTCCTTATGGGGACTGGTGTGACTGCAGGCAAGGAATCCTGGCAAGAGAGTAAAAGAATCACAGCACACAGAGGCGCCATCAAAGTCACCCACAGACGACGCAGCAGACTTTTTAGACTCAATGCAAGTCCCGGAGCAGCCGCAGAGGCAAGCCACAGGTGACAATCCCCTTCGGAGCAATTAACCCTCCTCTGCACAGTAGTGGACGCCCTGCCGGACGCGCAGCCAGTCATCCGCTGGAGCGCACAGCACCCAGTGCCGCTGCCCGCTTGATGCTCTCCTCCACCACACATCGTACCCGGCCTGCCTTGCCTTAGACAGGTGGCCTGCCTTGGCCTAAATTGCTGACCACAGTGTGGGCAAAGTCAGGACGAATGTAATTGAATTGGATTTGCTACTCATGCAGGTCAGACAAGGATTGATGCAGAATTGTCCCAAGAAGGCCGGATCTCCAGGCTGGATGTCAGTGTCGCTATTCAGAACAAAGAGCATGGAAAGAGCAAAGGAAAGAAGAGAGGAAGAGAACCCAAGCAAAATGAGCAAACGAATAGATGAACAGGATCTTGCCTCTTGAGTGCAGGTCCATCATCTCTGTCTCTAAATTATTGCCTTGAACCAAATTCCGCAAAGCTAGGCCTTGACTCAATCGCATTGTAGATTTGACTCATCTCAGACTTCCAAAGGAATGCAGCAAGCACAACTTGACTTACATCTTGATTTAAACTCATACTTGCCATTGTTCCTAGCCACTGTTACTCAGATGCAGTCGTTCATTGAAAGAATATTCACTGGGTTGACTAGACTCATTTCAAAGCGAGGATTGCTGTCATCGTGCTCATCCACTGGCAACTCGACAACTCATGATGCCTCAACAAGTCATCAGCTAGTGATCACAACACCGGCAGTGGTGGCAGAATGTTCTTTCACAATTCTGCTAACAACTATGTTAATAGTATATGTCCGTCAATGGATGACCATAACCACAGTAATGCTAAAGCAGATGGAAAGTGGCCCTAACAAAAGAGCAGCTGCATAATCATGATCAGTAACGGACAACAATAAATGATGTCCCTGTTGCGCTGCCTACCATTGTCACACACCTACTAACTAAGTCTTTGTGTCTCTCGCTCTCTCCTTCTCACAAGCCTGCAAGCGCTCTCTCAGGAACCAGAAAGACAATTTGCTGCTCATTTATCCATTATGATAGGAAGCCCAACTTCTCCCCGTTTTTCTTTGCTAGCCTGATCAGCCCTTGCACCTGCTTCTGTTCTGCTCCAATCTGTGCTCCAAAGGTTTTTATTACTGCAGCACACAGCAATGAAGATGGGCAAAATGCTTCCTTCATGCGCGTTCCACCAATGAGAGCGCACATAGTACCAAGCCCTGTGACACAGCGTTGATTTGGATCAGTCCAGAGGCATACCTTGAGAATGTAGGGATATAGCCTTCCCTCTAAATTGGTTGAACTCTTTCTTTCCCATAGCGTTGCGCACAACGACGACAATTGGTGTGAAGGGCCCTGTTCCTGACTTGTTACCCATCCTCGTGACTCGCCGCGTCCTCAAACAGGTTCCTGGGAAAGTAGTGATGCTTATTATGACCAAGAGTAATTGATAGCTTCAGAGCACTAGCAAGCTATTGATTTCCAAGGCATCGTATCCTCCTGCAATTTCAGAAGGGGCCTCCCAACAATGAAATGGTGAAGACGTGGTATTAGATATTGTGTAAAATATTGTTTCTTACCATTGGTACTGCTGTACTGTTCTTTCAATTCACAAATCCCAGGTGCTTGGGCGAAAGAATGCCATGAAGCTATAGATGGTGAAGCTGCAGAACACAATCGATAGGATCTCGATGGTCCTGGCGGCTCTGTGAACACGCTTCGATGCCGGTGTCTACACCTATTTGTTATGTGTGACTGGCAGCTGGCAGGATAGGCTCTGAAAGCTACGCGGTTCATACCACCGATCGGTAAGGATCTCTGACAGCCAACTCCGCAGAATACCAGATAATACAAAATACAATTGAGCAAGCACGTATGGTTTAAAAGAAATGCTCTTTTTTCGCTCGTCAATGCCACACGCCTTCCTGAAACTCTGACCACTGAGTGGTCATTTGGTCGACGCCCAGTTTTTAGGGTTAGGGTTGCATTTCTTAAGGGTGAACAGATGCCTCCCATTGGCCAGTCATGGGCAGCTTGGATCTAATATCTCCTCCCTCATTTCAATCCTCCTTTGTCCCTTCCTGGTGAAGTTCATAATATGGAAAGGCGTCTTTAGCATGCAGTGTTATCGGATGTCACGTGGGTTCCAAAAATGGTGACAGTGCCTGGCAGCCTTCACTGATTGCAGTGCAAATACAAAATTTGAGTTAGATCAGATCTGCACGTGCACGGCATCAGATGGGTTATGAAATGCGGATGCGTCATGGAGGGATTTATTCAAATGCTGCAGCAGACGGGGCAATCTGCTAAAACCATTCCTATTCCCTGTTACCGACAAGCTCAGCTGTCAGACTCAAGCTTGTACAGCGCCACCGTGACAAAAATTCCAAAAGCCCAGGGTTAAACCAGGCAAAGTTGCAAGTGAACAATCCAAGAGTGATTCTCTTGCCCACATCGACACCATTGAAAGCCATGTAGCAATTGCCCCATTGGCATGCCAAGGCAATTGCAGACTATCTGCCTTGTTGAGGGAATGAATACTGCAGGTCCAGAGCCTTCAAAAATGACACCTCCATTACCCGCCTGTTGGTTGGCACGAGAGAGGCAGTACATCTATGAAATATTGAGCCCTTTAGTGAACAGATGTGCAATGAAGGACTCTAAGACATCAGCTGAACACCGCAGAGAAGTCTGTGATCCTGCTGCATCACTCAGCTTTGGCATCTGCGGGTTTAGTGTCTTCCTGCGCCTCGCGCTCTGCACGCAGCTGTTCATCCAGCGCCCTGTAGTCCACTGTGCCAGATCGCCGCCGCCTCTTCCTGTCCGGCTGCCCCTCCTCTGCAGCTCCTGCGCCCCAGACACCACGCCTCATTTTTACTTTGCAGCCCAGGACTCACACATGCGCTGCCACAGAATCCACACTTCATATTGTCTCGCCATATTTATACCAAGACGCTGCCAATTTCACATGACATGAGCACAGGCACATGGGTACAGCAAAATGGGCATCCTCGCACCATTGGGCTCGGCGGCAGCGGTGTCGGCGGCGGCCTCCTCAGCCGCGGTCTGCGCCGCAAGAGCTTCCAGGCGCTCCTGCATCTTTGCCTTCTCGGCCTCCGCCGCGGCCTGCTTGGCCGCCTCTGCCTTGAGCTTCTGCTGCCGCTCGTACTCTCGCTCCCACCGCCAGTCCGCTGCATCCCATTTCTGTGAAGGCCCCGCACAGCAGCCCACCCATCAGCGCCCCAGCCAACCACTTCGCAAACGGTCGTCCCCCTTCATTGCTTTGAATTATGTTTCGCAGCAAGGCAAACACCATCTGCACTCATTCCATGCAGTGGAGAAGCTGCACTAGGAGGCCCACTCCAACGGCGCAAGGCACATGCCACATGCAGTTCTGGGGCAGAGGTAGGCCTTGGATGACTTGAAATACAAAGGCAAGGGTAGCGCAGGTGGCGGCACCTGGTGGTTGGGCTCTGCGAGGGCGCGCACGTGGGCGGCCACGGAGCGCGAGAAGGCGGACACGACCTGGCCCTGAGTGCGGTAGCCGCCCTCCAGCACACTCACCACTCGCCCCTCGCAGCACCGATTCGCCACCTGCCCGCACCAGCCATTCCTAATCTAGTAACCACCGATAGACCACAATACCCAATATAAACACAATGGCAGAGGCAACAATTACGGAGTGCTGTCAGCCACTCGCCATCACTATCCACCTCATGCTTGTGAAGAATTAGCCTAGCCCTTCTTCACTGAGGCCCTTGTTGCAGTCAGCTCCTGTCAGACTTTCATGGAATGGCTGTAGGAGCCAGTCTTTGAGGCATTGGGCGTCACAGTACAGGGCATGGGATGCACGTTTATCACTATCCGAATGATGTGCTTTAGTGTCTGGGCCAGGGTGTCACCTGCACGATCTGGGAGGTGAGCCACTCATAGTCCTTCTCCTGGATGCCAATGAAGCGGTTGTTGATGGAGTCCTTGCGGTGCGCGTCAAAGCCCGCGGAAATGAAGATGAGGTCCGGCTGGAAGCGCACCAGCGCCGGCAGAATCTTGTCGCGCCACGCCCGCCGCCACGTCGGCACACGCCCACCTGCCCACACACCAGCTCTTGTGAAGGAGTCCCTCACAAGCAGGCGCGTTCCCGACTTGAGCTTCTCCTGCCCATATCTGCTCTGCAGAATGTACTGCTTGCCTCCCTGAGACTGTGCTGCCGCTGCCAGAAAAATTGTGCTCACAGAGGTAGGAATTGAATAATTGCCAGTAATACTGTGCTTACACAGATAACAACCAGTCCAGATTTGCAGACAAACCTGGTCCAGGGATGCCGACGTTGATGATGCGGAGGGGGTTGTCGCCTGGCTGCGTGGAGGCGGAGAACTCTCCATCGGGGTCCTCCTCAATGTCCTCCTCCAAGGGGCTACCGGCTGCAGCGCCGTCCTCGGAGTCCCGGCCCGGCGCGGGCGTGCCGTGCTGCGGCTGCTTCGGCGGCGGCGGCCGAGTGTCGCAGGTCGCTCCGGAGCCCGGGTAGAACCAGTGCCCCGCGGCCGGCTGGCCATAGCCTTGCACGCTGCGTACAGATGCATGCAACCGGTCAGAGCTTGGGGTATATCTTGACGCCGCACCAGAGTTAGAGTCAATGTCTCAAGGAGTAAGTGCATCCTCACTAGGACAGCTATTCATAGGACAGCTGAAGCGTTCAAGTTCGAGTTAGTAGCAGCTGCAGGTGGCAGGAGTGCAGGTGCACCTGGCGAAGAAGATATTATCGGGGTCGTCAGTGTCGCGCCAGGGCTTGTACTTTGGGAAGGTCTGGGAGCCCTGGCTGAGGGGCGTTTGGAAGTTGTAGTTGACCAGGGTTGGTACCGTGTTGCCGATGCATGCCTGAGTGCCGTTGCCGTGATGCACGTCAAAGTCCAGCAGCGCCACCCGCTGAATGCCTGCCACACCAGCGCACCACGTTGGCAACTCTCCTCTGCCCGCTCCTGACCCTCCTGGCAATTGAGTAAGAACGAGCAAAGCGCCAGCAGTCCACATGATGCATACCTTACATCACTGTCACTCTGCCCAGTCATTGATTGCAAAATCGTTGGGAGGTGACAGGCTATGTGATAATTTGAAATAAATGGCATGTAGGAGGGAAGAGAGAGCAAACCTGCATCTTGGTAGTGGGTCATGGCGTATGCAGCGCCAATGGCCAGGTTGCTGAACAGGCAGAAGCCGTGGCTGCCGGTGGGTTCGTTCGCGCATGGCACCACCCCAGTGGGGCCTGCATGGTGCCCCGGCGGCCGCACCGCACAGAACGCGCTCCGAACCTGCACGCGATGTAGATCCACCTTATAAACATGCCTGACCAAGAGAGGGTCTGCTGCATCTACTATTCTAGCTCCATGAAGAGAATCACCCACAGAAGATACCCACAGCCATTCAAGGGTTTGAGATGTGTGTTCCTGGAACCAGACTGACTGCAACACAGGCTCCTCTTCCTTGAGAAGAAGTAAAAGAAAAACAGAGCCATATCAAGGTGGAAGATGTGCTGTTCCACTTGCTGTTCTTAAGGGTACGACCAATGAGGGCACCTGCTGTTTCACGACGCGGTCAACAGCGGCGATGACTGCGCCGGCGGCGGCCAAGGCGGCCGTGAAGCTGCCGGCGGAGAGGGCGGTGTCGCCGTCCAGGTGGCCCAGCTCTTGGCCCTCCAGCGCGCCGCAGGTGTTCTGCAGGGTGCGCACGTACGACCACTCATGCACGCGCAGGATGTCCGTGATGCGCGCGTGCGGCGGCCACGTCTCCCACTCCAGATCCGCAAACTCCGCGCTCCGCAGGATGCCCAGCTCTGCATCGCAGTCCACCCCTCTTTGCGCTTATGCTCACTGCTGTACTGACTCCTGAAGAGCTCACCAGAATTGCAAGGGTATCCCTATGCTCACTGCTGTAGTGCACTGACTACTGAAGAGCTGTCCTTACATTACAGAGATACCCCTGTGCGCCCATTGCTCACTGCTGTAGTGCACTGACTCCTGAGAGAACTGTCCATAAAATACAAAGATTATTCCTTGCTTGGGCACATGCAAGCCTGTTGATGTGACAATTGGATGCAAGAATGTGGGATGCCGAGGGGCTTGCCTGAGTCTGTGAGGACGTGCAGGCGTTTAATATTCTCTGGGGGAGGAGGGCGGCTGCCGCGCAGTATGGGGAAGGGGCACGTGTTGTGCAGGTGGCACTCGTCAGGGGCCACTAGCAGTGTCTGAAGCTGACCACCCCTGTGTCCATTGCACTCCGCATTGCTGAACACCGCAACAACATCCTGCGCACGCCCAGCACGCAACAGCAGTCAGCATGACGCTTACTCGACTTGACATACACCCCTCAAATGTGGAAATTATAAGCAATGCGGACGATCCATAGAAAGCTCCATCTGCAGTCTGAACAAAGGGAGAAAGCACCTGATGACCGCGCTTGGCGGCCCATTCCAGGGCGGTGAAGCCCCTCACGTCCCTGTTGGCGGCAGTGCTGGGATTCGCCTGCAACAAGGCCCTCACAGCGTCCACATTGCCCGACTTGGCTGCCAGGTGCAGCGGAACCTGGCCATCATGGTTCTTTAGATGTGCTGCAGCAGTCCCGTGGCCTTGCAGGAGGACTGACAGCAGCTCAGGGCAGCGAGCCCGAGCACCCAGATGCAACGGGGTGTTTCCCTGCTTGTCCTGCACATGATCAAGTGGCCCTTGATAAAGACTTGCTCTATGAATGGCGGCAGAGCTTGGGACATCTCTGAAGGGCAGTCAGGAATTCAAGACTTAGGGGAGCTGCGCTCACCTTGACCTCTGTCGAAGGTGTGTCATCGAGGGCATCTGCCGGCTCGCCACTCTCGATTGTGGGTGCGGGATCTGTTGTCCTGGCGGCCTGAGCGCCATCTAAGAGGGCCTGGGCCACCTCTGCACAGCCACTGGCAGCTGCCCAATGCAGTGGGAGCCTCCCATGGTCATCTCTGAACCAAGCAGCACACAGCTTGGTACAGAGCACATGCAGCAACCTGACTCACTGCTGCCCATATTGTACAGGAATGTTCCCCTGTAGCTGATGCATCCATTCTGCTTTACCTGTCAAAGACTGATGCATCATGCTGTAGGAGCAGCCTTGCTGCCTCGGCGCTGAACTGCCGTCTGGCAGGCAAGGCCGACAAGCATGCTACCATGTGCAGCGGCAGCGCCCCCTCGCACCGGCTGTTGACCTGTGTCGGGCTTTTCTCTAGCAGTGCTGCGGCAACAGCAAGGTGCCCTGCACAAATTCCCCTGTTTCGTGGATGTGCCATCCTAGGTCTCCAGCTCTCAAATCATAATCACATAACTCAACATATATGCCTTGATTTCTCAATCAGGCATGTTCGTTTTTGTAATGGATCCATACCATGCAAGAGACTGAGCTGCAAAGGGGTGCATTGGTCCAGATCCCTGACACGCAATTTTGGCTGCTCAGTATCCGACGCCTGCAGCAACGATGTCATATGTAAAGAGTTCTCTGACGCTCACACTTTGTATCCATCGAGATCAAGAACAGAGAAAGCAAGAGAGCGCACCAAAAGGGTTCTGATTGCCTCCAGATTTCCAGCCTCTGCCGCATTGTGCATCAAGCTGCAAGCATCATATACTCTTTAATACATGCATATTACAATATCGCAGCTCAAGCAGGCAGGAGCAAAGATGATGAAGAGGTTTACTCACTAGATGTTCGTGTCTTCATCTTCACTGCTGGAGTCAGAATCCATGGTTTTCCAAAAGCGAATTCCCTCACACTGGAAGAAAAAGTCCTGCGTGAACGATGATCTGGAAACTATTTGAGAACGAAATCACCGCCTGCAACAGCGTGCACGTGCAGGGCTTTTCCTAAGCTGTAGGGTTTCATGTTCAGATATGAATTCCATCGCACTCTCGCTCGCGAACATTAATTTCGCATCTGAAATTCTATGTACCACGTCGCCAAGAACCGTTGTGCTGACGAACCGAATCGGAGGAATTTCGCACGCAACGTATTTCTGTCGTTGGCAACATAGCAACATGGTATCAGATACCGTGCAGCCCAAAGTGTTCACTGAACCACAGAGCATGCGCGAGTTTTCTCGGGAGCAGAGGAAACTAGGGCGCCGGATAGCGCTGGTCCCTACAATGGTGAACAACGATCTTGATCTGCTCTCTTTGCACCCTGCTCCAGTTCAGCCTGCAATTGCTCATCAGCTACTGGTGATCACAGGGATACTTACATCAAGGACATTTGTCCCTCATCAAGGCTGCGAGGTAAGTGTCAGAGGCCTGATCAAATGCAGCATCCCTGACCAGCCCGGTGAGGTGACCTATGTCTCCTGACCTGTAGGGACTTGGCAGAGGTTGTGATTGTCTCAGTTTACGTCAATCCTACACAGGTGATACCTCAAAAGCCTGCTTGCTGCTTGAGGTTCAAGTTTCTCTGGTGGCAACTTACTCACCAAGACTGGTCTTTGCAGTTTGCGCAGCACGAAGACTTCGGGGTGTATCCTCGCGATGAGGTGAGTGACACTCAGGTCGCAATATTTCTTAGACTATCACTGTAGACACAGGATGTGAAGATTTCAAGCAGGGAGCTGCCTGTGTCAGGAGGGCGACATGCAGAAGCTCACAAGCCTAGGAGTCAATGCTGTCTTTGCCCCAGTGCGGCTGTATGCCTCAGGTATGCCAGAACCAGTTACGAATGGCTCCAATCCTGTAGAGCACACCCAGAGGCTGCAAAGGTTGGGTCAACTAATTGATGACCTGCAGGAAGTGGCAGTGCAGACGGCAGCGATGCTGGAAATGTGGTGGGTGCTGGTGAGCATCAGAAAGGCGCTCACGAAACCTTCATTCAGGTTGAACAGCTTCAGCAGCCGCTTTGTGGGCAGTCACGGCCTCACTTCTTCAGAGGGGTAGCCACGGTGACCTGCCCAACCTCTCGAGGGCATATCTTTCGATTGGAATGCTGAGCTCGAGCGGCGAAGGGGATCCACAGGGCTGCTGACCCTTCCAATGTTTGCAGATTGTTGCAAAGCTCTTCAATATCACAGAGCCGGATCTTGCAGTCTTTGGGCGGAAGGACTATCAGCAGCTGCTTGTCCTCCAGAGGATGGCAAGGGATCTGAACTTTGCAGTGGAAGTGGTCGGCATGCCCATCATGCGAGAGGACGACGGCCTAGCCATGAGCAGGTGCTGCTCAGGGCTACCTCATGACTAGTGTGCATTCTGCTTACTGAGAACTCCCAATATTCAAGGGATGTGCCCGGGGTGAATTGCTGCCGCGATTGCTGAATTGTGTCTTCTCGAAAGCTGTGTGCCTCGATGAAATTGAGACTGGCCTTGTGTGCTCGCAGCCGCAATGCATTGCTCTCTAGCGAAAATCGGCAGAAGGCGCTCAGCATCTCCCAGTCTCTGCAGGCAGGTCCATCGAGTACTAATCTTGCCTTTCGTTGTTGGGAGGACAACTTACAATATCTTTTTCATTCTAAGATATCATATTATTGATGGGCCTTCTATGCTTTCCAGTGGGCGAGGAAGATGGTGGAAGAGAGGAGGATTGTGAGCCCAAAGGAGCTACAAGATGCTGTGGCTTCTCGCATCTCAGCAGCAGGAGGGAGAGTTGACTATGTTGAGGTGGGCTGCACGCTTTGCCTCCCTCAGAAATACAGCGCTGTTGATCTAGGGAGTTCTTGAACTTACCTAGTTCTACTGCACAGACAGCGTTGGTGCAGAGCGAGCCCATGATTTGCCTGTGTGCAGGTGGTGGATGCATCAGATCTTAAAGAAGTGGAGGACGCCACAAAGCAGCCTACACTGATTGCAGTGGCAGCGTTCTTTGGCTCTGTACGCCTTATAGATAACATTGAGATTAAATGAGATATACATTGTCTGGCAGACTTCGAGGGGCTGACTCAGAGGCATAGTTCTTCGATGCACATAGCCCTGTGCGTTTCATCGGGTCTTTCATCAATCCATGCAGATCAGAGACTGTAGAGCCTCAGTCAATGATTGCCTTCTTCCCAGAGCCGCCAGTGTACAGCAGTACTGTAGTCGCCTAGCTAGTCACATGTGTGACTAGCTAGGCTTGCACGTGCCCGCGTGCACTGTGGGGTTCATCACTTAGTGGCAGGCTGGGTGTACTGCCATGCTGGGGACTTATTGGGTGCGCATTGTTTCAATGTAGGGTGATAGCAGTGACCAATTTGAAGGTTTTCGCTTCGAAGACAACTTGCAGCACTGATGAATCTGAGGGCACCTTCGCTGCAGCTTCGATAAGCGTGTTATGCCCTGCCCATTGGTCTTGAAGTCAAGTTTGTTCCAAGGATGATTTCAGCTAAGCTCTCCGATCGGATAGATTTAGTATGCTATTCTTGCCATCCACCAATCGATGTGCCTGACTGTACTCTATGCCTAATTGCTGTGGACTGGGGGCTTCTTTGCGAGGTCCAAGGCGGAAAAAGAAGACTAAGGACTCTCTTGCTCAGAACTTGCATTCGCCTGCCAGCTCAGTTCCAGAGCAACACTTGCGTGCGTGCCTAATCTTTGTGTCCGTTGCTCATTCTATTCCACATCCTGTAACATACAGCGGCTGGGAAGAGTGCATGTGCTTCTTGTGTTGAGGTCAAACAAGGGCCAACCGTTGATGAACTTCAACGAGATCGTCCAAATGATTGGGAAAGATTTCGAAATGATTTGATATGTGCTTGATCGAAAAAATGCAATGTGCAGAAAATGGGGATGCCAGCTCACCAACATACCAGACTTCGCTGCAAACGACCTTGCGACGATTACAATCATCAAACAGCATTGTTTCACACAGCAGCGTTCTCAGTAAGTAGCATCTTCATGCATATGGTCTCTTGAGGGTGACCCCTTGTTTTTGCCTGAACAGTCACCCTGCTACTTTCTCCCTTGGATTTGGGCTGTTTCTAGCGCCTTGAAGAGCTTCAACAACGCTGGTACATTGCAGGTGACAGTGCATACCATGATGCCGAATCTGATCTGGAAGACGATGGTAAGCAAGGCTTGGAGCATTATTGCTGGCCTGCAGTTCCACCGGTCTCTCTGTTGTTGTGGGAAAACCCATCAAGCATCATGTGTGCCTGCAGGATTGGGGCACAGCAATGTAAGCACCAGTTCAGCTTTTGCATCTTCACCTGGCCCCAGCAGTACTCAGGAGAGCCCACAACTGAGCGGCGATGAGCACTCCCCGTCCATTTTTTCGCCCTTTGCAGCATTCATTGTGAGTCGCATTCTGATCCTGCTCCTTTGCTTTCACAATTCTCAGTGTTGCACCCTGTACTTCGAGGGCAATAAGGCCCTGATGTGCTCTCCTGCATCTGTGGCATGGTCTCTGGCATTTCGTCAGTCAGCTTCTGTCTGATCCAGACTGGGTGTCCAACAGGGAAAGGCGCGGGCAAGTTTGAAAGGCAGCAATGAGGACAGTCACCCTGACAAAGTGCCCTCCGACAAGGTTCATCCGCATGATGTGCGCAACTTTCTCTCAATTCCCCCAAAACTTGTTTGTGCATTTAGATCTTCATCGCTCAGGCAAGTCTGTATGTCTCACCTGCCAAATGACACTGCCTGTGTGGTGTCTATCGCAGGAAGCACTGCCTGGCAGTACCTTGGTTGCGAACGGGCCCGGTGGGGGATCATTTGGGAATGGAGCGGCCATCATGGAGCAGGAGGAGTCCACTGTGGGCTGCATGTCCATCCTGCACCCATTCCAGCCGCCGCCCAAGCGACTCATACGCACAATAAAGCCTCCTGCGGGGTCATCCTTTAATGTGCGCGCCCAACTTATACCCCACATGGACACCTGTGCTCCTGTAATGTGCATGAAGTGATGATGTGTCAGCGAGGGGCGAGCCCGTGGAAGCATCAAATTGATCAACTTGCCTATAGAGGCGTACTGAGACAACTTGGCGTGTCATGTTGGTGCAGCGGCAAGCGCCAAATGTGGGCCGGGTGGACGGGATAGAGTGCTGGGAAGAGCCGGACGCGCGAACGTTCATGGTTCGAGGTGTGAACTACATGAAGGACAGGCGAAAGGTTCCCAGCGAACACTCCGTCTACAGGCATATTTACATCCCGCTTCCACAACTGCTAGCACCTAGCATAAAAGAGCACTGCTGATTGTGGCGCTGATGGACTGCTGTTGCTACTTTGCAGGTTGCTGGGGTGTGATATCTATTCATTCGAATTCAAAATCAATCACATATCCCGCCACATACAGCTGCCGCAGCCGCCCACTCTTGGCCCTGGCGCACGGTCATTGCCGGGCCCAGAGCAGCTTCCACCTCTGCTGATTCTGAACATCCAGTTGCCCATGTACCCGGTGAGCCCCCCGCTGCACACCCATCTGTGCTCATTCTGGCATCTCGCTGCTGTGCGTGGGCCAACTGCATGAGCTTTAGATTGTACTTTAAGAGAAGTGAGCTTACCGCAAGCCTTCACTTGTCTAAGATGATTGTTGATATTTCATCAAAGGTTTTTGAGGAATTGCTCGTGTGTCGGACAGGCATCTCTCTGGGGCAAGAGCGACGGTGATGGCCACAGCCTGGTGTACTATTTTGGCCTGCCTGAAGGCTGGGAGCCCTCCATGCTGGACAACAAAGCTGCGCTCGGCCTCTTGCAACGCTTTGTCCACGATGGCACGGAATCAGATGGGTGCGTCACTCTCTTTATTGCTTCAGCTCCAAATCACAGCAATTCTCCCAAACCTTTGCACGCCAGGGTTCTCAATGTTGAGCAGCCCTCCTTGCAAACCATGTACCTTACACGTATTGTCAATAAGACACCAGTCTGGACTGCTGCACCTCATGCACATTCATCAGTAGTGCTAGTGGGCCGGCAGATGTTTGCCTTGTTTGATGTACTCTGTTTGCACAACGATGCAGCCCTTACTTCTACCCTGGCGCTCGCACTCTTCTTCGTGTCTTACATTTTCTCCTCTCTTAAGTGGCAAGACCAAGCCAGCCAGCATGCAATACCGTGCATGAAGGGCAAAGTACAGAACATCCGGTGAGGGAGCAATGGCGGCCATGCAGGACGTCGACGCGGAGCCGGCTGAAGCTGGTGCCCCGCGTGGCCAACGTGGAGCAGTGGGCCAAGGACGGGCCGCTGTCCATGGCTGAATACAAGCTGCTGAGTAACTACAACGACAAGCCCGTGCTGACGCGGCCGCAGCAGCGCTTCTACTTTGGGCCCAACTACATGGAGGTATATCAGAGACTCTAGCTATATGGGTCTAGTGATAGTCTGTCACGTGCAATGCATGTGCTAGTCCTGGTACTACGGTAGTCTAGTAGATTGTGATATCTCAGATTACATCTGTGATCTGTGACATCCCTCCGCCTCATTGAGAACAGGGGCCGTCACCCATACACAGAGTCCTGATGATCTTGTCTGGTCTGCCCTGGAGGTCACCCTGGACATCCACGCCTGGGCCTACCTCGCGCGCAAAGCCTTCTCCTCCTACATCCCCCGCCTCGGCACCGTCGTCTTTGAGAACGCGTTCATCATCCAGGCAAGCGCCTGACAACCCTGCTGTCCCTGCGCATTAGGCATGCTGCACGTGCACCCACCAGCATGATGGGACTTTCAGACTGCATTCTTTGGTCCTGGCACAACAAGGCTGCTCAGTAGGGCCAGGTATAATGATGTCTGGTTTGAAGATCTTGCCCTGCTGTCATGCTCATATCCCGGTGAGATACTGTGTTGTGCGCATGGTCTCTCCCAGGTGCAGAGCCCGACTCCAGATTGGGGTCAACCACCCCTGACAGCTGTGCTGGACAGCTGAGGCACATGCCTGTGCGCGCACCTGCTGACTGCCAACTGGCATGTGCGCGGTGCAGGGGAACCGGGAGGAGGAGCTGCCGGAGGTGGTGCTGGCATGTGCGCGCGTGTCGCGCGTGGACTTTGGCAAGGTGCGCGCGTTCCCCGCGCAGCTGCAGCGCAACATGTCCGACGCAGCGCGCGCCCTCCCCATGCGCTACTCCGCGCAGCAGGGCCTGGACAACCCTGCGCACACCTCCGAGAAGGCCGTAGTTGCCAACGCTGTCTAGCGGACGCTGTCTAGTGGACGGTGTGTGCAAGGCTGTCTGCTTTGTGCTCATGCGACACATCCTGAACATGCAGACATCGGGGCACGTCTTTTATTCTGATGGTGCACACCGCAGCAGGAACTTTGTCGAATCGCTGCCTGCATGGCGCGTTGCAAGCTGTGGCGTGGGTTGCAAGATGGCAAGGAGGTTTTGGTTGGAGCCCTAGCTGCAAAGCAGTTGACTTTGTGGCCCGGTGTGTTTTGTGGCCACTGTATGTCTGCGGGAAGGAAGCAGTGCAGCTGTGATAAATTCAAGCAGCTTGTTAGCCTTTGTCGGGAGAGTTTTCTTGGGTTTTTGTGTGGGAACCTCATCATTGTACATCACGAGCAGAGCCCTTCCAAAACAGCAAACTGCGCATTGATCCTCTCGCTGTGTGCTGGGAGAGCTTGCTGGTATTGATGTCAGGGTAACCCCATGGCAGTCACTGTCACAATTGTGGTTTCTGGGCATGCAAACGTGAGCATTGAGGAAGCATAGGCATATATGAAGCAGCTTTCAAAGTTCAAAGTTTGCGCCGACAAATGCCACATTTTTGTGAGATTAGACTATCGCAATGGTTGTCGGGGCTATCCAATGTCTGACCTGTGTTGAGAGGACTGCATGTGTCTAGCACTGCTTTGATCATGCAACAAGCATGCATGCCTCTTGGAGATGGGGAGTAGCGCTCTATCCCTAGAGTAGGGTGAGTTCAAGCGTGAGTGTCTACAAGTCATGCAACAAAGCTTGTCAATGGCGACTGTACGGCCAATGGATCTCATTTCTCCAATTTTGATTCTTTTGGCCGCCACCACATCAATTTCTATCCGGGTGGTGCCTCGCAGTACTGGTTGCTGCGCTGCCAAGCTGGCAATGTCAGTGAATGTGATTGTAAGGCAATCTGCTACAATCGCCGGGAGATCATTGCATTGTTGATGCATGATGTGCAATTGCAAGGGAGCTCATTCTCATAATCTCTGGCACTCACTCTGCTTTTAGTTTGCATTCTCCCCCTCTCACTCTCTCACTATTCTGCTACAAAAGCCGCTCTTGTTGATCATGGCGGCTATCCCAAGACTGGCACGTGCCCATCACTGCAGTTGACCACTTCAGAGAGAAATCATTCAATGCCTTAGATGGACCGCTCTTGCTTCTGTGCTTGAGAGTATACTGTACACAATGCTTCCCCTGTGTCCTTAAGACCTAAGCACTTGGAGGATGTGCATCCTGTGTCCTTTCTGCCGCTATTCCATCCACACCAGCTTGTTGGCTCATGCGAATCCCATTGTCACTGCCCACCAGAGGTTCCGCAATCTTCAAGCCAGCTTCAGAGATTTGCGAGTCTGTGAGTGGCTGTGACGCTGCCCCTGGTGCAGCCATTTCCTCTGACACCATGACGTGTGTGCTGCTGCCTGGATCTGGGCTCTCATTCTGCTGTGTCCCCTCGTAGCTTTGCGATTGTGGTAAGAAATGCGGCCCAAAATTGCTGTAGTCGACCTGCCTCGACCTCTGATCCAGGACCTCCAGTATCTGAGATAACATGTCTGCGCGTCCACAGCAAGCATTAAAAAGGGGCTTTCCCATGCCCATAAATGTGGTTGTATTCTCATCTGGGATCGAGTCTTGCGTGGATCTGGCGAGTACAACAAGGGGTAGGACTGTGGCAGCCTTTCACTGCGGCTTGTCTACAGGATGTACCTTGCCTTCTGGCAGGAACAGCGTGTAAACAATATGAAGAATGTTCTCATCCGGCAGGCTTGTGAGAGCGCACCTTGGAGCTGGGCTGCGGTGACGTTGCAGTGCTGCCACCAGTGCCTGCCGTCCCACAGGGGGGCCTCTGACAGCAGCATCTTCATGGCCAGGTGCACCACCGCCACCGCTATCTGCTCCGCCTTGTACTGCAGGCTCAGCTGCGTCTGCAGGCTGCAACCCCCACACCCAACCGTCAGCCGCCTTGCCCATGATTGTTCCAGTGTACAGCTATGCATTGATGTTATAATTGTCAGCGGAGCGAAGATTGGAGGGGGTATGCACGTCAAAAAGAGGAAAGCAAAAGAAGTCTGCCGGGTGGACCCTGTAATGCCCTGAAAGGTGGGGACTCAGCCAGGAGACCGCAGGTGCAGGCTGCATGCCCCACACCCAACACTCAGCAGCCTTCCTCATGCACATGCTAGCAACCCAGGGATGGGCAAAAGTGTGCCAAGTGATTGCACACAAAGGCCGCCAAAGGGAGCGCAGTTCAAGTCTTGCCTGATGTTGGTGACGTTGAAGATGATCTGGGGGAGGTCGTAGAGGTTGTTGCGCAGGGGGGTGTGCATCTTGAGGCGGAAGCCGCGCTCGTTGACCAGGTTGAGCGCGATCCTGTAGGGGTGCAGGATGCTCATGTTGAACCCCAGCGCATACATCACCGCCCGCTCCGCTTGCAGCACCCGCTCCCGCAGCTCATCCTGCATTGCCTGCAGCCGCCACACAGAGCTGTATTACTACGCTTGTGCAACATTGCTTCAAGTGAAAACCTTCCATCGGCGCTCCTTCTGAGGCGGTGTGTCCGCAGTATGGATGCAACGAGAAGAATGTCCTATTGCTTCCTTAGCCTGGTGGATGCGAAGTGAGACCTCCCGTCCTGCGTGCTAAGAAATTGGAAATACGGACTGGAGACTCCCCATCCGACAAAGGGTGAGATCATGCAGCTTCAAGCTGTGTCGCTGCGCTCAATTGCATGATTTTGGAGATGCTTGCAGTCTGGTGTACGCAATTGATTGGGAACACCGATCATGCAAGCAGACTGACTTCTCAAAATGACAGCAGCCCGGTGGATGCAAGCAGTGTTTGTACTTCAGTCCTGCGTGCTAACAGAAAGGCATCATGGACTGTTTGTACATGTGCTAGATGGGCAGCTGCAACAAATGGCTTGGATGCTGGGCAAGAAGCAGGGAGGATGGGCACCATGACATGCTCCAGCTCCCGGGGCTGCTTAGCAAAGCGGACGCCGCTCACAACCTTCAGGATGTCTGTCAGGGCTTTGGGCGTCTCCTCAATCTTGCCGGCCAAGAACAGGCATGCACATGCTATCACCTGGACGCCCACAGCGCATCCCTCTTCAGTATCTCGATGTGCAAAAGACCTTCAAGGAATTGGGTCTCACTGCGATGCTTGGGACGTCCACAGAAAGCTGGGAAATTGTGAGGGGCTTACGAAGCAATCATTCTGCCGCATTGAATTGCAAGCATAGTATCGATGGCAGAGAACGATCGCAGTCGCAGCTCCAGTCTGGACCCTGCATTGCAGATTATGATTTTGTTCTGTGAGGCCATGTGTTTTGTGAAGGTGGTTACATCAGGCAATCTTAACTGCACCCACGTACATCTTCAGCCTCTTTCCAGCTTCTAGAAGCAGCTGGCAATAACTCCTTCGAAGACAATTCTCCTCCTCGATGGACATGCCATCGTGACGAGAGGGACTCGCCAAGTCGAGATCCGCTCTGCATATTTCTTTTGGGTAAACTATTTTGTCACAAGCGTCCTCATGAAGAACCCATGACCAGATCTCCATGCTATTGCTATAGTTTTTGCAATGAAAAGATCATCCTGAGGGCGCTTTCTCAGAATACACGGTAACTTTCTCATTCAAGCATATTTCTGTTGACATTTTCAGGGTTATCAGACCGACATACATCAAGTGGAGAACAATAACAGTGTCCAAGGATCTGGCTGCCATCTCTATATTTAGACACCCTCTTCACCGTCACCTTTGGCATCCAGCAACGCCCCCCACAATCATTTCTTTGATCAAAGTTGGAGATTTGTCCTGCAAAATTTACTTTGGGGTTTTGCCTTGAAGAGTAAGGGAGGTCCTCAACTCAACAAACTGCCTTGTTTGTTCGTTTGATCTGAACTGATGATCAGCATTTCTTGCTTTCCCTGGTGACCAAGAAGGAAGCTTGACTGGTCCAACTGAGACAAAAATGGCGGTCTCAATCCTTTCATATGACAGGATGATATTGCTGAAGGAGAAGCACGCCGAATACGTAGCCAGCTTTGAAAAGGTGGGTCACAGCATAAGTGCTTCAGTAGCTGTCCCTCGAAACACGATGCTGCCTTTTGTCCAATCTGACTCCTTGTTGATGACCTTACAAACAAATAGGCATGTTTATGGATGCTGACATTCTTGTGCATCGCAGAACAAGGAATCTTTTGAGTACTATGCAACCGAACATTTTCGCATGTCGGGCGTTTACTGGGGCCTTACAGCCATGCACCTGCTGGGGAAGCTGGACGTGATGGACAGAGACACCATCTTGGGATGGGTGCTGTCCTGCCAGAAGGATGATGGGGGTTTTGGTGGCTCAGAGCGCCACGACTCACACCTCCTGTACACGCTCAGTGCCGTGCAGATCCTCGCGCTATATGGCGCGCTAGACCGCGTCAACAGTGAACAGATCCTCTCATGTGCGCCGCTTTCCACGCCGTCCCAAGACATCTGCTGCATGTGTCCAATGAGTTTGCCTGAAGTGCATGCGGTTTTAATGTCTGTGTCTCATGCAGATGTCTCTAGCCTTCAACAGCAGGACGGCTCATTTGCAGGAGACAGCTGGGGAGAAATAGACACAAGGTGAGGGCATAGCCCTTCGTGTCCGTTTCCCTGGCCTTAGCAGCTCGCATGCCAACAAAGTGATTTGCTCCATTTGCAGGTTTTCATACTGTGCGCTATCCTGTTGCTCGCTGTTGGGCAATCTCCAAGCTGTGAATGTTCCGCGAGCTGTCAGCTACATTGTGTCCTGTCAGAATATCGATGGAGGCTTTGGATGCTCAGCAGGTGGGCTATCGCAGATCCACAAGCCTGTGGTATACCAGTAATGCCACTGCTGCTATGTCTCGGTTTACAATGTCAGACATCGGCTGACAGCGATGTGCGAAGGCAGGCAATGAGTCGCATGCCGGCCAGGTGTTCTGCTGCGTGGCAGCTCTGCATATTGCAGGTGCCCTTGACCGCTTGGACAGGGACTTGACATGCTGGTGGTGAGGGAACCCCTCCTTATTGCTGAAGACCCCGCATGGACCGGTTGCATGCATTACATTGCCAACTTGTATTCCGTTGGACCCAGGTTGACGGATCAGATGCGAAACCATCTGATAGGAGAAGCAGGGATGCAGATGTTCTGCCCTCAGGCTTGGTCCCCTGTCGCGCCGAGAGCGGGTTGATCTGTGCAGGCTGTGTGAGAGGCAGACGAAGAGCGGCGGGCTGAATGGTCGGCCAGAGAAGCTGCAGGATGTGTGCTACTCCTGGTGGTGCCTGTCAGCCCTCAGCATCCTGGACCGCTTGCACTGGATCGACCGCGATGCGCTCTCAAACTTCATTTTGGAGTGCCAGGTTCGCTCTCGTCAATGTTTCTTTTCAGCTGCCCTGGACCAATGCCTCCTGCCTGTCACAATGAAACAGGCCGTTGCAATTCTTTAATGTCATTTGTTGAGAGCATCATGAAGAGTCTGCAAGGGGAAAGTGGAGAGGAGCATGCGTGTGTGATGATGATGCAGGATGAGGAGAGAGGAGGCATTTCAGATCGACCAGACGACATGGTGGATGTCTTTCACACCTTCTTTGGCATTGCAGGCCTCTCCCTGATGGGGCTGTGTGATCTTGAGCCGATTGATCCCACCTACGCACTTCCTGTGAATACTGTGCAGAGCGTGCTCAAGGAGCAAGCGCTGTGACCCCTTCTCGCTGAGTGTCCAGCTATCATTGCAGGTTTAAAGGCTTGGCAATGTGACACATTTATGCCGTCACACTCTAGGTCTTACAAATGTATAATACTGGACGTTCTAGCATGCATTTCAAATAAACGAAGCCTCTTTGATACTGTATAATCGTCCAAATTGCGCAAGAGAACAAAATTGTATACTACGTAGTAAGCTGAGGCACTCTTAATATATACAAACTCCCCATAAACATGAGAGGCGTACAGGTCAAGTCTGCTAAGTATCTTGTCCTAATCTTTCACAAACACAGATGCCCACTGTTGGATACATGAGCCGCACAGCAGCTGGAAAGACATGCCGACCTACAGAGACAGCCTGACCTACCAAAGATGCATTTCAAACCCCCTACAATGTTCCCCCTATCAACATCCTCAACGCTTACAGATGATCTTCTTTACTGCAGCCCCGGGGCGGGCCTCGTCTTCCAACTACAGACCCCTTCTTGCATATGGGTGCACCTTTGTCTGTAGTACGTGTATCTCATTATTGCTACACCGTCAAGATGTTGTGCGTGGCAACCTCCCACAGGTGCTAGCTCCATATATAGTTCTGCCCTTCAAAGGTGTGTCCTCACACTCTCAGGAGGAATAGTAGAGGCCGTGAGCGTTGTTCTTGAACACCTGTGCATCTAGCAGCTCCTCCAGGCCCGGCATTGGCAGCGCAGCACCTGCCAGAACAAGGAAAAATATCAATTTGCAGCAATTGCATGCCATGATTCATTGCTTCATTGCAGCCTGCACCTGCATGTATTCTGACTGAGGCATTCGGCCAGCAACAAAATATTTCCATATTCTGACTGGCAATAGTAGGAGATGATGGTGTTAGGTGTCTATACTGAGGTGGGAAGAGAGGGGGCGCACTTGCTGCGTCCACCACGGCCTGCTGGGTCTCGGAGCGGCCAGCGAAGGGGTGCGGCTGCTGCCCCTGCCCCTGCGACAGCACCGTGCACATGGCCAGCACGTCCGGCAGGTGCGGGAAGCACAGCTGGTCCGCGCGCGCCGCCTGCACCGGTGTTGCCACCTGCGCCCGCCATCAGCCCCCATGAATAATCTGTGCAAGTAAGGCTTGATATCCTTGGCAAGCTAGTCCGCGTATGGCAGCCACAGCATGTATTTGTTGAGCTCTCAAGGGGGACAAAGGCACACATCAACCAACTCCTGAATGCCCGAAAAATTACATCACGGGGTGTGAATGCTATTCATCTCGCGCAGTCGGGCGCCCGAATCAAGGCTCTCATCTCCGGCTTTGGCTCATACAAGAATGAGCCAAGACTTGCTTGCTGCTGTTGGAACAGGCCAAGAGCATTATGCTGAGGGGGGGAGGGGGGACAGGGGAGAGAGGATGTGCGGGAGCCCACCTCCCAGAAGGTGTGAAGCAGGCCGAAGATGAGGTTGTCCTCACGCTGCATGTTCCTGGCCAGACCCTCTGCGGCTGCGCTCGTCAGTACGTGCGCATCCAGCTGCTGCGAGTCCGGCGCCAGCGACGGGGACGCCGCCTGCACACACACACCTCTTGACCCGTCACGGAGCATCCTCACACGCACACCTTGCAAATACGCAGCAATGCTCCCTGCAGAGACTTGGTGGCCGCCCTGCAATGATATCAGCACGACTATCCAATTGCTGATCAGACAATAGGATTTTCTTGAGAAAGTAACAGGCACCACAGCTACCCTTGAACAATGCCAGAGCAAGGAGGCTCTCAGGAGATGTGCTACCAACAGATTCCAGCAATACCCTGGTCGTTTTTAGGTGCAAGTCGCCCCAGATATTTTGAGGCTGTGTTGAGCTGTGGGGTGGGGCGAATAGTGCTGGGTTAGGGTGCGTGGCAGAAATATTGAGGGCCCTGGCAGAATGCGGGGCAGAGCAGCGCACCTGGAGGGCGGCTGCGATGCGCTGGCGTTCGGCGGCAATGGTCTGCACCTGCTCCATGACGGCTGCGCGCGTGTGCAGCAGCCGGTCCGTCTGATCCGGGCTCAGCTGCAGCTCACCCTGCACCGCCACTACCCCCTAAACCTCACACCCTTCTTCCACTCCCTTGATCAGGCCCCCACACTCCATTCAAAGCCCGAGGTCTCCATTAATGACACAGCAGATGGGACGGATACCCCACGGACTGCCAATAGCCAGCAGAGTAGATTGGCTGCAGACACGGCATCTATGCAGCAAGAGAAGCGCTTTCAAGAGATAGACAGCTTGCTCTAGCTACTTCCCATGGTCCAGCTCCCCTTCTCAGCGTTGCCAGAACCACAAAAAAATCACACACAGGCATTTACTGCAGCAGGTGAGAGCGGGTGCGCACCAGGATGGCCTGCCAGCCGGCCAGGGTGGGGGGGTTGAGGGTGGTATTGGCGGGCAGCGCGCATGCCTGCAGCGCATAGTGCTTGTGGATGGCCTGCGGATAATGCGTCCACGCCTGCCTCTCCGCCTCGTGCTGCACCCACACCCCAGGCATCACAAAGGCAATTGCGATCATATTGGCTGATGATGAATGAGAGCATTTAGTGGGGTATCAAAGATACCAATGCTGAAGCCAATGGTCTGAAGAGACAGCAATGTGGCAGCTGTGGCCTCAAGGGCCATCAGGAGCTGTAGGGTTCTCTGGGAGGGGCAGATGGGACACACCTTGGCGCCCACGAGGGAGGCCAGCTCGGTGCGTGCCTTGATGTCCAGGTCGGCCCCGCGAGCAAACAGCTGCGCCATTTGCTCGTGGTACGCCTGCGCACACGACCACACACCCCTTCAGAGCTCCGTCTTGGGCGCCTGTATTACGCAGGCTCACTAGCCAACCAGCCTACCAATTCCACGTTGCCCACGTTTGCATGCATAGTGGACATATATGGGCCATATGCACTTTGCACATGAACTAGAAAGGAACGGCGGCCGCGCCTGCGGCCTCGCCTGCTTGCAAAGCAGAAACACGGACGTAAGCACGGCTGCCGAGGGGATGGAATTGGGAGGGGAGGGGCCTGCACCTGGGTGAACCTGCTCCAGTCGCGGAAGCGGAAGAGCTTGACCTGGTCCTCGCTGATGGCCTCGCCGGAGACCTGGCTGCAGAAGCGCGCCAGCGCCTGGCACACCTCCTTCTGACGCGCCGCCATCGCCGCCTCTGGACCCTGCCGCGCGCATATCATATCTTATGCAACCCGTCAGACTTTGATGCGCCATAGTCATCTCCAGATGGGGCCAAAACTCTATGACACTCAAAGCAGGGATGCGTGGAGACCGTCCTTGCGCGGTCTTTATACCTCAGCCGTGGCTCTCTTTTCTGCCTCTGTGTGGGGAAAAAAATCCGCCCCGCAGAAGACACTAGAAGAAGCATTCACACGCCGTGAAAGTCCATCAGTCATGCAAATCAACTAAGGATTCCAGCGCAATATTTGAACAGCCGAAAGTGAAGTTTTCAAGGCGGCGGGACGCATCCTCAGCCTTAAGTATCAGGGCACGGGAGCTCACCCCAGCGTTTGCTGCAGTCTGCACTGCAATCTGCGCTGCCATTTCCAGCTCGCGCGCGCGTTGGGCCAGGTTCTCGTTCTGGCGCTCCAGCGCTTCCTTTGCGTCTGCCAGCTCCTTGATCTGGTTCTCTGACGAAGTGATTTTCGCCTGCACAGAAACTCCTCATTGAGTACTCCAGCATAAAATACAGTATCTGGCCCAGCCCTACCAGGGGTTCTGCACCATCTGATGTTGCCCAGTAGCAGCAAAAAAACAGAGGCGTGTTTTTGGGCCTCTTGGACTGTTCAAGGGGGTCACCTTTTGGCGCTCGCGGTACTTGCGCTGGTTGCGCCTATTCTTCTCCTGTGTCGCCTGCAGTAGAGGTACTTTGTCACATAAGGAGTTCAGAAGTGGCATGGCAGGGACGCGGTGTCACGGTCAGTTGTCAGTGTGAAAATATACAGCACAATGGGCTCACTTGGATGCGTTTCAGGTGCAGCGCTTCTTCCGTCAGGGCCTGGCTTTCCTCGGGCTTCCCGGCTGCTCCTGCGCTGCCGCTGTCTGCCCGCTGCGCACTGTTACCAGCATCCATGCTGCCCTGTAAGAAGGCAGCCGTGGCTAAAGCTAAGCCCAATGTCAGTGCATGGCTGTTTGCAAGAAGCCTGTCAGACAGAATTACGCGTACCTGCGCGGCCTGGATGTTGTATGGGCCTGCCCCGGCAGCCAGCTGGCGGGACAGCTCAGCGCCCGGGTACATCTGCGGGTTGCCCCCCAGAAGCTGCATGATGGCTTGCACCGACGCGTTGTCGTTCGCCCAGCCTGCACATGTCCAACGTCAGTGATTATTTAGGGGCTCATCCATACTCAAGCTGGCGCCGTCAACTCCCAACTTGGGCACGGTGAGTCTGGACCCAGGTGTTGTGTATCTCTGCGCGCACCTGTCATCTGTCCGAGCAGATTTTGGGCGCCGGCCTGAGAGGTGGCTCCCAGCACTTGCGCCAGTGCGCGCGTCGCCTCTGGCCGTATGGGCTCCCCCTCAGCGCCCTGTCCCTCCTGCCCAGGGGCCCCTGAGGACTGCTGCTGGGCCATGAGCAACTGTCCAACCAGTGTCTGCACGCTTGGGTCGACTGGACGACTGGGGGCTGTGGGTGCGGGCAGCGCGGTCGACTGTGGCACGTATGGCTGCATACCCCCTGCACAGGTCCAGGCGCTGGTGGAGATTCAAGCTGTACTGCCCTGTCGCTGTGTGACGGCGCAGGCGTCTTAGAGGGGTAGCATGCCAGCGTTTAAACAAGAATTACATGAGCATCCTGTGCTTTTGGTGGACCATCGGTTCCCCACGAGTTGCACTGAGTCCTATCTGCACGAGCTGGATTAACCAACTTTGGCACTGACGTGCAGGTCAGATACCTTCACTCGGTTCAAGTGGGCGCCAAGATCAATCCTCCAGGGAAAGATTCACGAGAGAGCTGAACGCGAGGGCCACACGGGACCCATCAGGGCTCGATCAAAGCAACCCCTTTGAACCTCCTCGTTCCTGTCTACCCCTTCACACCATTTGGGGCACACCTTGTCACCCCGATTGTGCACGGAGGCAGGCCTCGCAGGAAGCTCCCCACCTTCGCCCTTGACGGAATCGGAATGGCGTGAGTGCTACTACTCTGATTGCTGAGCGCCTCGTAACCGAGTGCACTTCAGATTGACGACACCTCACTTCCCCCTATAGGGCTTATTATTCCTGGTCAAAATTGACTGAATGCTCTTCATTCATTTCTTCTTGAAGAGAAGAGAATAAGCAAAGCCTGAAGAATTCATTTTTGTGCGACAAGTGACCTTCACCTCACCACTGGGCTTGTGGAAGGGCTGCTGGCTATATCCTGAATTATTGGACGGTCGTCAGTGCCCAGTTGAAACTGGTGGTCCTCCTGCGAGTGTTCAGTACATCTCTGCGCAGGTGATTGCAAAAGGCATTGTATTTCATCGACGACGACAACATGAGCACCGATTTCTACGGCGATATCTTGGCGGCCTCTGGATCCTACAAATTCCTGTTGAATGGTAAATGGCTCGAGTCGAGTTCTGGGAAGACAGTGCCCATTCTGAACCCCGCGACCAACCAGACTGCCTACACCGTCCAAGGTAGGGACGCAACGTCTATAAAGAGCATGCGGGATGGTTTACCCTAGTCGAGTGACGCTTGATGGAAAGTAGCAGATTATTGTGATGCCCAGCATAGTACAGACAGCATCTTTTGTTGTTGACGCGATACGAACCAGGTGTATGTGTCATTTCGCCGTAGCGTGTTTCTGCTCTGCTATCATCTGCCCTTGCAAAGCGACGACCCTCCCATGTATCGCCCGGAAACCTGTGTCCCTACTCTTGGCCAAACAAAGGCTTAAGCTGTACTTCACGCACAACTTGCTCACGCCATCCCTTGAACATCGCAGCTTGCACACGGGAGGAAGTCGATGCCGTCTTCGAGGGCGCCAAGAAGGCTCAAAAGGTGAAGCCTAAGGATCAGTCCTAGGGTGTAGCACCTTGCAGGGTGGTATTAAACATGATTTGCGACTGCTGCTATGACTTTATCCATGTGGAATATTCTGCAACCTCTTTGTGCCACAGGCATGGGCTCGCACGCCCCTTTGGAAGCGGGCAGAGTACCTGCACAAGGTTGATGGCCTGATGAAGGCCAATGCACAGCCGATGGCCGACGCACTTGTGAAGGAGGTAAAGTAGATGAGCGCTAGTTGCTTGCAAGGACAATTTTGTTTTCTGGGGGTACACATGTTGAAAGGCATGAAACTGTCGTGGGCTGTGATATGGCGTGCCCTAATGCCTCCCCTGCACTGACAGGTTGCCAAGGGCGCGAAGGACAGCCTGACAGAGGTCATCCGCAGCGGTGACCTCATTTCTTACACTGCTGAGGAGGGCGTGCGCTGGCTGGGAGAGGTGCGGCTCCCTCTCGGCAGGCTCCCTCGATCTGCATGATGGAGGCAGCCTAAGAGCTTACGCAAATGTATGGCTAATTCATGTTGTGAGGAGGTGGTTTGGCTTTGTGCAGGGCCAGATGCTCATGAGCGACTCCTTCCCAGGCCAGGACCGCTCCAAGATCTGCCTCGCCTCCAAGGTATGAAGCCAGTACCTTGGACTTTTCAGTAAAGGATTTCCATGAGTGTCATGGTCGCCTGCTCAGGAAGAGCATGGTCAGAGGCCCCCACCTGATCGCTGTCACAGGTACCCCTCGGCGTCGTGCTTGCCGTGCCTCCCTTCAACTACCCGGTGAACCTGGCTGTGTCCAAGATCGCGCCCGCGCTGATGGCCGGCAACACTGTCGTCTTGAAGCCACCCACGCAGGTTAGTATCCTTGCACTTCATTCCTCATATATCTCAGCAATGATTCAGTCTACCCTATTTGGCACTCGGCACTGACTTTCACGTATGCATCCTCTCCTGGTGTAATCCTGATAGTCGTGTTGTCCAATTTGACAAGCTTTGCATACTGAGCCTCGTTTCTGATTGGCTTCCTTGGCTTTCTGTGAGAGGCTTAGCGCTACGCGACTGTACTCAGATGTGTTGATGTAATATTTTTCTGCAGGGTGCCGTGGCAGCCACCCACATGGTGCAGGCCTTCCATAAGGCTGGCTTGCCTCCGGGTGTCCTCAACCTGGTCACTGGTGAGTCATGACCTCCACGTTCTCCTTTTTCTCATCTCAGAACCCATTTTAGAACCCAAGGACAATCCAACATTCGCGCTGAGTCCCCCTGAAAATTTCTGGGCCTTTCTCTGCAGGCAAGGGCAGTGAGATTGGGGACTACCTGACCACTCACCCTCTGGTCAACTGCATCAGCTTCACTGGAGGCGACACCGGTATATCCTATACTCCTGTCCACAAAGCATTTTTTTGTCCACGTATTAACATTTAAAACTGTTCAACGACGACAAAACATGAGTCTGAAAGCAGAGCCTGGTGTCTCGCAGGCATTGCCATCTGCAAGAAGGCGGCTATGGTGCCAATCCAGGTACTTGCTTCCCAATGGCTGTCAACACCACTAAATAACATCAATTACTTGCTATTAAACCAACCCACACGACCCCAATGCACAGATGCCGCTTGGCTCTTGGGGTCGTCAATACCTTGCTTAAACACCCACAGGACCCCTATTGACAGATGCCTCTTGAAGCCCCTCGGACAGGATGATAAATATTGCTTATAATGCATTGCCCAAGAGTACTGAGAGGGCCTGCTGCGCTGCAGATGGAGCTGGGAGGCAAGGACGTGTGCATTGTGTGCGAGGACGCTGACCTGGACCTGGCTGCCAAGAACATCGTGAAGGGGGGCTTCAGCTACAGCGGCCAGCGCTGCACGGCCGTCAAGCTGGTCCTGGCGCTGGAGAGCATCGCCGACGAATTGGTGGCCAAGGTCAAGAAGGGCGTCGACGCCCTCTCTGTTGGCGCCCCCGAGGTGGGCTTGCAGACGTCACTTGGCTCCTACTGTGATTAAACAGCATATAGCACAAAGCTGAGGGCCATCCGGCAATTAATTTTTGGTGGGAAACACCGAGCGCTGGGCCCTTTCAGCCACTGGTCTTCCATGAATGGCTCCTGGTTGTGAGGAGTGAGCTGGAATGGTTTAAAAATGAGAGATAGCCTGCCAACAGAACATCCGGGAGGATCAGTATTCAAGGTGTGCTTTTGAGCAGACTGCAAGGGCTGAGGATTGCTCCCTTTGCGCATGTCTCCAGGATGTTAAGAGTTGAGCTGGAATGTCCATGTCGAGATCTCCTGCCAAGGAAACATGCAGGAGGATCATTGATGAGCAGACTGCGGTCGAGCGGCTGAGCATGGTGCTTGTGCGCGGCAGGACAATGCTGCGATCACGCCGGTGATCAGCAAGAGCAGCGCAGACTTCATCGAGGGCCTGGTGAAGGACGCGGAGGCCAAGGGCGCCAAACTGCTGCAGCCCTACAAGCGCGAAGGCAACCTCATCTGGCCCCTCCTCATCGACCATGTCACCCCTGTGCGCGCCCTGCCTGCACCCTTGTTTTATAACTGGCAGAACCCTGCACCGACAAACGATATTTTGGATCACCAGTGGGGATTGAAGACAAGGATCGCAGACTAGCCAAATTTTCCAGGCGGTGAGCCTCTGCAGGCAGGGTCAGGCACAAGATAAGTGAAGAATTTTTGGTTGCCTTGGGTCTTGCAGATGTCTGTCTTGGGCACGTTAGCAACTGATCTAGAATGCCCAGAGCTGTGCCTTGCACCGTGACTGCTGAATGTTGGTCCAATAGCATATTCATCCTGTTGGACAGCAGAGCAACTGGTCAGTGCTGAGTTTTGCTTGCCTGGCACACTGCAGGACATGCGGCTGGCGTGGGAGGAGCCCTTTGGGCCGGTGGTGCCCGTCGTGCGGGTGAAGTCTGTTGAGGAGGCGATCGACCACTGCAATGCCAACAATTTGGCGCTGCAGGGCTGTGTATTCACCCGAGATGTGGATGCAGGTATGCGGTTGGCACACATCATGTGCCATGCATTCTTCATTACCATATGACCTGGCATCTTCCTGGAGACTGAAGGCCCCCGCACTGAGCCCAGCTGTGTATTTGTGCAGCCATCCGGATTTCTGATGCCATGGAGACCGGGACTGTGCAGGTAAGAGACACACTGATCCCCTTTTATATTCAAATAAATAAAAGGGGATCTGTGGGAATTTAATGGGCAAGAGGGCCAAGAATCTTGAGCCTGTGCATCTCTACTAGCCAAAGAGGTATGCAGACATCAAAGCAGTGCGAGTGCCAGGCAGACCAGAGGAAGGGCTGCATCGCGAGTGCACATTAAGTAGCAAAAGTAAAATATCCCAGGACCACTGGATGACCGCTAAATGACCGCTTTGCAACCATGCATACGGGTGTGGCTAGGCAAGGAGGTTACAGACGGGCAGGAGTGAGGGTCAGCCGTGGGCAGGAGGACTGTGGAGATGCAGCCCCACCTTTCTGGGCCAGAGCACCTGTGCACAAGTGTCGTGCAAAGACAATCGCGGCGGACAGTTTGAGCAGGCAGGGGGGAATTGCATGTGAGGGCGCCTGTGAGCATCTTTCATGACGCTCGTGTGCTGTGCTGCAGGTCAACAGCGCGCCGGCTCGCGGTCCCGATCACTACCCAGTTCCGTTTGCTCTTCCCTCCTATCTCCAACTGTGCTTATGCTTTCCTGCTTGCGTTTATGCAAATTTTTGCATTGAGACGGCTGGGACAAGCGACTGACGCCTTGTGCTGGTTCTTGCAGTTCCAGGGCTTCCGCGACAGCGGCATCGGCAGTCAGGGCATCAAGAACTCCCTGGCCATGATGGTCAAGATCAAGAGCACCGTCCTCAACCTCCCGCAGCCTTCCTACACCATGGGATGAAGCGGACGTGTCCGCACCGCAAGCAGCGCAAGCGCGACTCAGGGTCTAGGGCCGACGCTGCATGGGATATGTATTATTTCTGTGTGGAGTTCATTCTAGCATTAAATGGCCACCTATATCTGGCTATATCTGGTGTGGGCAGGGCACAAACTTGCCCCTCCTCGGATTCTTTGCAATATCACTCGTCGATATGTGTCTTGAAAGAGGGCCACACTTTGTGTGCGCCAGTCGGCTGTGTGTGTACCTCCAATCCCTGTTTCGCGCACCCGATGTAACGCGCACACATGACATTGTTGTGCAATCTATAATTCAAGTGTGATACGTCATACATGATGCGAGGGTTGCTTATACATATATGGTGATGGTACAATTGATGCAAGGCTCTCTGCTGAAGCGGTATTGCCTCTCTCCAGACGCGGTGATCGTAATCAGAATTAAGTCTACTGGCCTACTTGTGACCAACAAGAGCTGTAAATTTCAATTCGCCGATTTCCAATGTTGCCATGCTCAATGAACGACCCTCGCAATGCATCTGCGTCCAAGCAAACATCCATGGTAATTTACACCACAAGCACTGCCAGACAGCCGCACATTCTCACCCTCACATTCCTGCTGCGGAAAACATCATTCAAGGGCCTGCAAGAATCATGCTGAAAAGCATCTGTGCGTTCGGGTCCTCAATGTACTGGGGCAGCTCCTCCTTGGTGACCCATGCATAGTCGTGTGGGCCACCGCCTGGCTGCAGGGCAACTGACCCCTTGATCAGCTGAGCCCTGTGGAAGAACATGTCATAGTCTGGGTAGCGTCCATGCCCGGCTGGCGAGTTGCCTATGAAGTAGACCTGCCTTCCCTCATCCGCTGTCAAAACACCTTCTAGAGCGCCCTCTGCTGCCTGCTTAATCGTCTGCCCTGCCTCATGCCCCCTCTGTGGAAAGTGCCAAACTTCCTTGCCGCCTTCACCTGCATGATGACATGCACTCCCTTGAGCACACTGTGGTCAGGAGGGCATGCATGGAGGCTGCATGGCAACGATCCAGCAAGGCCTGTTGCATGGCGTACCTTTGCTTCTGACTAGGAAGAAGAGGCGTTTGTGCAGGGCTCGCCGCAAGGATTTGATGTCGTTCTGCTCGTCTGCCTCAGTGATCCTCGATGCGAACGAGAAGCTGGTGTCTCCCGCATCCCCTTCAGGCGTGTCGCCGCTCTCGCCACCTGTCACCTTGGTGAACTCGCTGGGCAGCTCACGCCGGTACTTGCTGAATAGCCTCTCCTTCAACTCATGGTATTCGATCTCATAGAGCGGATCCTCAGGCACTACTACCTGTGGCCACAAGCAGTGCTTATTGTTATGGAATATGTATTAGACACTATTGGATTGGCTTTGAAGCAATAAGGAGGAGGCATACTCACCGGCAATCTCTCTAGAACGCAGGCAGCAACGAGCCTCCTGCCTTCTTCCTGGCGTACAGGAACATAAGGAGTCAGATGGTGCTGAGGGACATCCTCCAGATCACAATAAAGTGAGCAACCGCATGAGAACGTACTGTAGAGAAAAGACGATGGTAGATATTCTGATATTTAAGAAGCACTGATGTGGATTGCAAGTGAGTCGAGAGGTCTCTTGCAATTCTTGTGGTGATGCCAGCAGCCAATCTGTACATGCTCTTTGCTCTTCCTTTTGTTAATTAGAGTATCTTGCGCTTAATTATCATGCAAGGCTTGCAAGCAATCCACAGCCATTCGCTGTAACTTGAAGGTGGCCTGGATGGTCGATCAATCACAGCGGCCTGCAGACTTGCTGGCGTCATTGCGAACACGTGGCATGGCAAGTAATTTCTCGAGGCCTCTGCTGCCTGATCGTGTCGTTTGCATTAGTTTTCTTTACTTTACATACAGTTACAAAGGGAGACTGTTGTCTCTCGAAGCAAATTTGCCCACACCTGCTGTAGATCAGTTTCAATGCTCGGCCCAATGTAGATCTGGTGGTATTATTTTAGTATCGATGATGTGCTGGTATCCTTCTGAAGACTTGAAAAGGCATCAGGAGCGTTCCAAGATTAAAGAATAATGAGAAGAAGGACAACGAGGATTGAGGAAGACGAAAAGGGACCGACCTCTCTCCTTGGTTGGGACCTGCGTTTCAAGGAGGCAGAAGTAGAAGCTGAATTTCTGAGAGGTCTGCAGATAATGCTAAGAATTTCTACAGCGCCTGACTTGCACCTGTGTTGCATGCTACGAAAGATTGGGACCCTCAGAATGTACCAAAGGTGTTGTGCCTGCACTGTAGGCCAAGATGTTGCGTCTAAGATTCTCGACGCCACCTGGTCGATGTTTTGTGCCGTTGCTGGTATCTTTGCGACACGCAGGTACGCACAGCCCTTGTGGCAGGAAGAAATGCAGGTGTAGGTGTAGAGTTCAACATAGATTGCAAAACGTGCGTGTCAGCAGGGCCAAACATGCCGTGCTGACTTTCCTTGCTTTTCTGCAGGGACTTTGACAATTTCTCCAAATCTACAGTTTATTTGAACACATTGTCCGCCTTGGTCCCAATCGTTCTGCTCCTGCTCTGCCCGGGGTGGTATGTTGCCAACAGACGGTGGCTCTTGGCTTTCATCAAAGCCAAGCACCTCACCCTAAGTCCCTGGCACGGCAGAACATTTCCCCGCCTGGATACATCCTGGGCTGTTTTCTTCTCTGTTGTCTTCAGCAGTCGCACCTGGGTGAGTCATATGCAAAAGTGCCCTGTCTGAACATTATCGGCCGTATGCCCTTCACAGCTGTACATCCTGCATGCGAGGCCCCAAGGAATCTGAATGTGATGAAAGATTGGAAACCAAAAAAAGCAACACTGCTGTGAGTTAAGACGCTGAGATGTGTCTTCAAATGGTTGCAGCTGCAGCTGGGCGACTGCCTCTTCTGGAACACTGGCCTGCACATGGAGATCCTCACATCCTGTCTCTGGATAGTGCTGAGCGTCATGCGCACACCCGTGTACTGCAAGCGGTCTTCAATTGCGGCTGTCCAGGAGGAGCCTGTGCTGAAGCAGATAGACCTGCTCCTGTCGAAGACTGGTGCAGATGCATTGGCAGGAGTGTCCGGCTATATAGAGGCCCGGCCCCTGCATGACGCCAATGTCTGCGATCTCACTATGGCTTACCTCTCGGTATGTGCCTTTCAACCCCGATCAAGCAGAGCTAGGCGATCAAAGACATGTTATGCATTTGAGGTTACTTGGTTTGCTGTGCAGATTGTGCTGGGAGGCGTGATTCCCATCAACATAATTTTCTGTTTTGAGCGGATGCTTCGAGTGCAGCATGCAAAACGCGTGCTGGCGGCCAGAGGCAGGAGTGCTGAAGCCGGCGGTCTGCTGGATGACCAGTGCTATGCGCTCATGACAGTAATGGGTCTTGCCATTGGCCTCAGCATAGCCATGTGGCAACTGGTAGAGTTTCTTGATTTCTCGTTCCCCGATGGTGTGATTCCCTCAGACATCCCACGTATTTAGCGGCACAGACAATGTCTGGCTCAGCAAAGGCTAGATTCCATCTGGCTAGAGCTCTCGAGCCCATGTGTACAACGGCAAATTGACTTCAAGTTTACCCTCAGCTGACTTTGAGAGTTTCAACTGATCTCAGTGAGATCATCTCACACTGGTACCAGACCTCATGCTGCATGCGGCATGCTTTATACTAAGTTTCGAGAATTAGTTATTACAATTTAATTGACTGCTTGATCGGTAAGGGTGATGAAATGTTAATGGCGATCACGTGCATGCAAATGAATTCACGGTATATGTTTTGGAAGTATCGTGATCACGGTAAAACAGGCATGAACCGACAGTGTTGATCAGGCCTGGGACAAGCTTTTCATTCCAGTCCAAATCTTGGTTAATTTCCTTTCCAGCAGATTAAAGTAGCACTTCCAATACTGGACTTCCATGCATTCTGTCCATCATCCTTGCATCATCCAGCTGTCCAGATTTGGCAACACAGCACGCAAAGCAGAATGTTCCTGCAGGTGACGCGCAGGAAACATGGGAGTTGGCAGATGCCTGATCGCTTTGCATTGCAGAATTAGCACCACTAAGTTGTGTGAAACTAGTCTGTCCCGCAACTGATGAACTCATAATAATTGATGCTTCAGATAGTCATCAAAGCAATATAACAAGATGAAAGACTGCGAGCCGGACGTGTGCGGAGACACTGACGACGAAGAAGAGTCTTGTGCAAAAGAAAGCAGTGCAGAAGAGGAGGAACACGGTACGTTGCTTTCGACAAGAATTCTGAAAACAAGCTTGAAGTCTAGGCCAAAGCAATATGCTGCTGCTCTAGCAGCAACTTGTTTCTTGTCCACGAGAGAACAGAACTACCAACAGTATGATGATTTTGGCCGAATGCTACTTGTCTGTACAATCTATTTGTCCGAATTAAGTCTTGCTGATGTTATACCAATTATGTGCCTCTGCACCAGCACAAGATGGCGAGGAAGCAAACGAAGCCGAGTCGCAAGAAAAGCAGCGCGATCGAAGAGAAAGTAATATCAGAGCCTTATTGTCCGGCAGGTAAGGCCATCCGCAATGCCGTTCTATGATATACTTGAGGCTCAGGCCATTGCTGACTTATACAGTGCTGCCTGTGTGTTCTGCTCATAACGCAACCTTGTTGATCTGGTCTGCCATGCGCAGCTTACAAGTGCAGCGCAAGGCTCTGCTGCCAAAGATCCTGGATGTCAACAATGCAGAGGCCACCCTTCGGTCTGCCTTCAAGTCTCCGTTCCCAAACGCACCTGCTCGGTCAGATGTGAGCACCCAGGCCCAGTGGAAAATTGCAATACTGAGAAATGCATGCCATACCGACACAGGCAATTTGCAGACGAGTGCAGTGCTGATGTTGTCTCTTCATAGGCCCTCCGGCGCAAGCTGCTCAAGAGGCGCACCTTTGTTCCCTGGGGAAGCTCGACTCCCTTCAAGCTCCGTACACCCCTACACACTACGGCAGAACCTCCACCATTGCAGCCACCAGTGAGCCCTCCTCCCTGAATTGCCTTCAGTGTGAAACACTCATCACTTTCTTCCCTGGAGCCCTAGACTGCCAGTCCTAGGGGACTACCACAGTCTCGGACCGAGCCAGGATTGCCTTCAAGCATCCTGCCTTGCATGTCATATGATAGATTGCCCTGCTGAGAGGTCATCTGGGGCCTTCAGATACTAAGATATAGATAGGATTATCAAACCTATAGAGCCCTTGTAATTAAATTAGCATTGTCTGACAGATGGAGGCAGAGGATCCTGAGGAGAGGCTGGTGCTGTGGGAGCCGCCGCCATACGCAGATGGCAGTCCAGTGGCAGTTGATGGCATGCTGACCAAGTGGCTGCGCCCGCATCAGCGCGAAGGCGTAGCCTTCATGTTCGAGTGCGTGACAGGCCTCCGGGACTTTGGGGGCAACGGCTGCATCCTGGCAGATGACATGGGCCTGGGGTAAGCGTCCTGCCACTTTCGTAGTGGATTGTACTTGCAGATGCCAATGTGCTCGTCCTGGCTGCAGGAATTGTGTGGCAATGCGCGGAGAGTCAAGGTGCTCTACTGGGTGCAGGAAGACGCTGCAGGGCATCTCGCTGCTGTGGACGCTGCTGCAGAGTGGGCATGCCCTTCTGGGGGGTGAGCCGCTGGCCAAGCGAGTCATCATCTGCTGCCCCACCTCACTGGTCAGCAACTGGGACAGCGAGTGCGGCAAGTGGCTCAAGGTGCATAACTTCGCTCTCAATGCATTGGAATATTATTCCGCATCAGGATTCCATCGGATCTGTTCATGGCAATCATGAGTCCAGATAGGATCACCAGATCTCTTTGACATGCAGGGAAGGGTGAGGACGCTGCCACTCAGTGAGTCTTCAAGGGATGATGTCATCAGCAGCATATCTGACTTCCTGCGCCCCAACACCATGTACCAAGTAAGCTCCAGGCATTCCATCTTCTTAACCTTCTTTACTGCCTATTATTGTTCTGAGTCTCCGCCTTATAAATAAGCGGTTGATGGCTGCACTGCTGGCTGCAGGTGCTCATCCTGTCCTATGAAACATTCCGACTGCACGCTGAGAGGCTCAAGGGGGAGCATGCCTGCGATCTGCTGATCTGCGACGAAGCACACAGGCTGAAGAATGACCAGACCCTCATCAACAAGGTACTTGAAATATGCAACATACATTCTGTTTTGTCTAGCTCTGGTGGTTCTTTCATGTCATGAAGACGTGGACATTCCCATTGCCAGGCTGTTTGAAATGCTGATGTGTGACTAATCGCAGGCACTGGACAGCCTGGCCTGCAAGCGGCGGGTGCTGCTGTCCGGGACGCCGATGCAGAACCACCTGGACGAGTTCTATGCCATGGTCAACTTCTGCAACCCTGGAGTCCTGGGCACCCCCTCACAATTCCGCCGCCACTATGAGGTCTGCAAGACTGCTCTTAATAAAGCACTCACCCTCACATTACACCAAGCACACCTTGTCCTTGTCATTGATATGTATTGCTGTGATGTGAAGTTCAGAATATATCTGCAGGGCCCCATTGTGGCGGGTCGGGAGCCTGATGCGTCAGAGGAGGTGGTGGCGAAGGGTGCAGAGCGCAGCAGTGAGCTGAGTGCCATCGTCAACAACTTCATCCTACGCCGCACCAACTCCCTCCTCAGCGCCCACCTGCCCCCCAAGGCACGCCCTGCCCACACTGCATGCCCCCAATCCTAAACACCTCTGCCTTCTCTCCACTTCCCACCTGGCGGTCTTCCCCACATGGTCGCGCACAAGCAAAAGCATCAAAGGAGGCCCTCTTTTTTGGCGGTGCATAAGTGTGGCATGTCATGCTCATAGCGATGACGTAAATGTGGCTTGCGCACAGGCACTACAAACAGGAATTTCTTTCTTGGATAGTGGCCACACAGTGGCGTCAAATCCTCAATTGTGCCGTGTTCCCACATATCCCCTTTGGCGAGCACCTCCTCAGTACTGAGCAAGCTGATGAAATTGGCTGTGCTGTGCGCAAACAGGTGGTGGAGGTGGTGTGCTGCAGGCCCTCACCGCTGCAGGTGGAACTGTACAACCACTTCCTGGCCTCCAACGCGGCGCAGCGCGTGCTCAGTGCGGAAAAGACCAAGGGCAAGGCGTCCGCCCTGACGGCCATCAATGCGCTGCGCAAGCTGTGCGGCCACCCCAAGCTCATCTACGACCTCATCCACCCCACCTCCGGCAAAGCCCCCGCCGAAGCCGACGGCTTCAAGGCAAGCCGAGTCATCATTCCATTTTGCATGGCTGATCTCTGGACTGAAGCGCGCAAGGTGCTGCTGCTAGAATGGCATGCATGGTGACCAGATGTAATATTGTGGAGGTAACAAACCCCCATTGGACAAGAGTGGGCAATGGTGTGATCTCCGGTGCCCACTCTTGCAGCATGACAACTGTGCACAGTGTCATGATGCAAGAGTGGGCAGGTTTGGTGTCAACGGTGGTGCATTTTCTGTCAGCTCACAAAGAGCTGTCCGTGCGCAGGACTGCGCCCAGTTCTTCCCTCCGGGCCTTTTCGATGACGGGCGCGCTGGCCGCTCCAGGGGCATTCTCCCCCAGGGCTGGGACGCCCTCTCAGGCACGTCCGGCAGACCTTTTTCACTCTGCTGTCTCTCACTTTGCACTGGGAAGGTTGGCCTGACAATCTGCCTGGGGATGAGGCCGGGAAATTTAACGTGAGGCAGTTCCCTGCAGGGAAGATGGCGGTGTTGGGGTGCATGCTGGCGCTGCTACGGCCGACGGGGGAGCGCATCGTGGTTGTTTCCAACTCCACACAGGTCCTGGACCTCATCGGCCAACTCTGCCGTGAACGCTCAGTACGCACCCCAGCCTGTGCGGCACTTGAAATTCTTGTAAAACCAGTACAGCATAGGGACAAGTGATTCAGCCATCATCCGCATGTTGGATTGCCTCAGCCGAGGAAGCCCCAGCAGCCTTGTTGATGTCTTTTAATGACAAACTCTAATCATGGAATTGATATCACCAGCTGCAGTCGCTTCTGCAGCCTCTTGGGCTTCGTGGGTTCTAAGCTTTTGGGATGGGAAATGTGGGTTAAGTACAAAGGCCTGTAGTCTTCTGAAACTTGCCTGTGGCTGATGCAGTATCCTGCGCTACGGCTGGATGGCACAACGACGCTGAAGAAGCGCGCCAAGATGGTGCAGCAGTTCAACACGGAGCTGGGCCAATTTGTGTTCCTGCTGTCCTCCAAGGCCGGCGGCTGTGGCATCAACCTCATCGGCGGCAACCGCCTTGTGCTCTTTGATCCAGACTGGTGAGTTCCAAGCACAATGCAATACTCTCATGCCTGAATCTGTCAGTGACTGATGTGAAAGCACCACTTCTTGTCTACTGCTGCTTCCTTTGGGGCCAATAACGCGTTCCATGATTTAAATTCTTCTTGTGTTGCCAAACGCAGGAACCCTGCAAATGACAAGCAGGTAGGCTGCCCGTCTACCCCTTGCTTTCCAGCCGTGCATCTGATTTCTTGTGCTTGTTCTGCTCCTGTGCTGCACGGCAAATTGCGGTGAGCTGCATATGATCTCACCCTAGGCTTCGCCTCTCAGGCTGCGGCCCGCGTCTGGCGAGACGGTCAGAAGAAGCGCGTCTATGTCTACAAGTTCCTGACGACCGGCACCATTGAGGAGAAGGTGCAAACAGCCCATTCTATGCATCCCACCATCTGACAAAGATTTTTTTTCAACACCGGGGATGCTGAAAGGGGGCCTTGTAATTTGTGTGTAGGGTTACCTGGCAGAACAGATATGGAAAAACATGTGTTACTCACCTGTATTGCGTGTTGTTGCCAGGTGTTCCAGCGCCAGCTGGCAAAGGAGGGGCTGCAGCAGGTGGTGAACAACACGGGGGCGGCCGCGTCTGCGTCGGCCGGCTCGGACGCAGGCGACGGCGGCGGCATCGCAGCGGCCGCCATGAGCGCCGAGGACCTGCGCGACCTCTTCACGCTGCGCCTGCACACGGCCTCCGACACCTTCGACTCCATGTGCGACAACGACGATGACGAGGCGCCAGATGATGAAGGTAGCAACGAAGGCAGCGCAGCAGCCGTCGACGTGCACAAGGACCAGGCAAGTCACGCGCAGCTGCCAGTCGCTCTCACCCTGCCTGCTATTTTGAACGGCGTTAGCTTGGGGATTATGTGACTGCAGGGGAGCCATTTCAATGACCTACACCTATGCTGCGTGAATGGGCTGATTGGGGAATAAATTGGTCTGGTCTGCATCAAGATGAAGGGAGAATTGGTGCCCATCAGATTGGGTCGCCGGCGGAGGAGGATCTGAAGAGCTGGGGGCAGCACACATCCACGTCTACTGTGCCGGACGCCATCATGCACACCATCGGCCAGCAGCTGCCGGGCCAAGTCTCCTTTGTCTTCTCCTGCAAGGTACACCGAAACGCCCCCACCGTGCCCCTTCCTTGCCAGGCCTCTGCAAGCCCTGCACATCTTACACTGTGGCGTTTGAAGCAGCGAACCACCACTGAGAGAAATAGCTGGCGTGCAGACGTTCCATCGCTGCCCTGCTGGAGGTGGCGATTAGAAGCAGAGAGACAACACCAAACAGGCACAATTTCTATTTATGCATAGCATTCTTTTGTGGTCCTGCAGGTGGCTGGGAAGGCAATAGAGGGAGAGGAGCCGGAGGAAGCTCCAGGGACCAGCGGCCGGGGAAGCGCGGCGGCCGGCACTCCAGTGACGCCGGCCGCGCGCACCGGCCTGTCAGCCGCCGCGGCCAGCGCGCCGTCGCGCATGTGCATGCCGGCTGTCACTCCCGCAGCTGCATCCCGGCGCTCCCCGCCGGCCACCGCCTCCGGACGCAGAGAAACTTTTGGTCCGTCACCACCTACGAGTTTCTGATCACTGCAATGTGCAACTGCGGAGAGATTGCTGGAGATGAGAGGAGTGGGCTGATGGAATGGTGATTTGGTCTTGCAGGAAAGGAGAATGAGCAGATTGGTGCAGCCCCTCTCGGCACCAGCCGGCTGGCAACCAGGCTGCCTGCTAAATCCATGTCCTGTGCGGTGTCAACAAAGCTGTCTCCCTTGTCGTCACATCGCCTGACGCCGCCCTCCCAGGTCTGCTCTCTCTTCTGCTCTTTGGTCAGCTGCAGTCGACTAGACTTTGCACTGGACACTGTAAGCACTGTGTAAGCACTGTAAGCACTGTGCCAGAAATAAGTTTGGCAGATGTGGCTCCTTGCTGCATGTGCTGAGCGAATGTGTGTGTCGCTTTGCAGAGGAAGAAGTCTCCTTTGACGGCGAAGCATGTCACCATGGGCGCTCTGGAGCAAGCAGTGCAGCAGGAACCAGCCAAACGCCAGAAAGCACAGCTCGGCAGCAGTGCTACAGCGGCGGAAGTGGTCTGGCCTCACAGAGGTGGAGAATCCTCTGATGATGATTTTGAGTGAGTCAGCGCGCATCTATCTTGAAACAATGCGGTCCTGCCAGAAGAGCGAATTTTATTCCCCATTGTCACAGAGATTCAACCCCTGCGCTGGTGATTGTAGTTTAATTAGACAATAAAGTATAAATGTCTCTTTCATTTGTGCAATCAGCAAGCGTGCAAGACTCTGAGAGCAGGCATGATATTTTATAGTAGGTCTTAAGGAACAGAGGTAGGAGAATAGTATGGACAAGAGAAATTTACTGTACAATAATCCGAAATTTTAGAGGTCAGCCTGGGTTTACAATTCATTTAGCGAAAGTTCGTGGTTCATGTCTTGTGGTACTTGTTTCCATTGTAATGGTTTCTGTCCTCAAGATACTTCTTACCACATGCATGGTATTCACCTGTCACGGGCCATGGTAATCAATTGTTCCAAATTGATAATTTGCTTCTGATGCCAGCCTGTGCCTATCCTATGTCCAGGAGGTCAGATCAATGTCTGTAAAGATTACAAGAAGCTGTCCCCAACTAATCTCAAAAGAGCTGCAAGCTTAAGCCTACTTTACAACACGGCCAGCTCTCAACTGTCTGTCATGAAATGCTATTTGAATCCGCGAGCTGCTCAGCAATGTGCAGAATGGCGTGCGCGTCAACTGGAGGGTACCGCTGCAGCAGTTTCAGGTTTGCAGAGAAGTCTCCCTGTCACATGCCATCACTACTACATCAGCTTCCCTCCGATTTCCATTTTGTGTCTTCCCACGGAAACACTTTACTGTAATGCAATGCGAAGCATGAAAAGGATAAAAGTAAAGGAAATGAGTCACACTAGTCAGAAGAATCTGGAACCGAAATGGTCTATGCTGGTCAAATGCGCACACCTGCAGCAGCTCTCCACGAACGTTGACAAGCATGGCAACGCAGGTACGCAGCAGGCAGTCTGTGCGGCCGCCCGGGTCAGAGAACAATGTGTCCCACAACCGCACAGCGTCCGGAAAGGAGAACTCCTGCACGTCAACCACTTGGTCTAGAAGTCCAGCAAAGTCACTGCAACTTAGTCAGGAAATCCTCGAACAATGGCATACCTGTGTCAAGAGGAGCGTGATCCATCTGAAGGCATAAAACTGCGGGTTGACCTGCACGGCAGTAATCTGTCACTATTATTTCCAGGAAAGTCTATGTGAGGCTGCATGTTACTGAAACACATAAAGCAGCGAAGCGCACCTTGTTTTTGTGCGTGAGGTGATACCACAGCTCTGGATCAACCTGGTTTAAGAGGCTGCTAAGACGGGACAACATTGCTCTGATGCCCACTTCACTATTGTCCTGCAGCAAGGGTTTGCCATATCTCAGCAAGATCATGCATAGCAGCACTTAGGAAGGCTCTTTGAAGGCAGCAAGCAGAAAGCTTCTATTGTTTGCCCTCTACATGAGGAGCCCAGGGTGGTCCTGGGCACACCAGCTGCTGGCAGAAGTTGTCCCTGAACTCTGAAATGATGTCCATGAAGCAGAAGAATGCGTCTGCCTCTGCATGCAATGCAGCGTCTCTGTCGCAGTCGCAGCGGAAGTGGAAGTACAGCGGCGCCAGAAGCTCATTCATGCCTTGCACATAGCGCAGGCCCGGGTTCAGCTTTGCAAAAATGAACAGCACCCGCTTCATTTCCTGCTCACATCAGCACACAACCTTGTCAACAGGATATCGTCTCAACAGATGCAGGGAGAGAATTGGCAAGTGTGGGTGGCTGCTGTGAGAGACCAGCAGGGTGTGGGGCAGATGTAAAGAGCAGTGCATGGCTGACCTCTCTGTGGGTGACGGCTGCCCCATCATCGCCGCTGAAAAAGTGCAAGCCTGGGTGGGTCCGCATGACATCCCTGTCTATTTGCTCCATCATCTCAGCATCCTGTGGCACCACACGCAGCCTGATCACTTGCCCTGCCTCCAAGAATATGCACTGCCGCTCGAATGGAAATATGCAGCAATGCAAGCTGATAGGATCTGGCTCAGGGCGCATGCTGGCACCTTGAAGAAGGCGTTCCATTTGCTGTCAATGCTCTGGCTGAGGGGGTGGTCCCCTCCCGTGCACCCTTCCTGCTTCTTGGGGTCTATGATGAGCTCCTCCCTGAATTGCTGATATGCCGCCCGCTTCTGCCGCAGCACGCTCTCCCATTCCCCCCTGTCCGGGGGTAAATACCCCAGCAGCAGCTGCAAGCAGCCACACACAGCACTTTAGCCGCTGGTGACTAGGGCGACTCAGTTACCAAGCACCGGAGAGGATTGGGGATGCGCATGCATGCAGAGGGACGCACCTTCCAGGCAGTTGCTCGCATGCCGTCCTTGTCAGGGATCCCATGAAATGCCAGGCGCCTCAGCTGTCTCAGGTCAATCTTCTTTGTGCCCAGCACGTCTGTGAACCGCCTCAGCCTGTTCCTGTGTGAGGGGCTGTCCCCACTCACGCCCTCTGAACCACCTGCGACAGGGGAGATGTAATCATAGTCGATGCATGTCTGGATGCATGTTCTGCCAATTAAAAGGGGTTGGGCTGATCAGCCAGGCAGACCTGGCTCTCTCAACCCGTCATTTGTTATCTGGCTGCCATGGTTGACAATATTGGCTGGGCTAGTTGACAGGCTGAGTTGCTTCAGGCTCAGAGGGTCATCCACAACCCCTCCTGACGATGTTGATGAGGCCTCTGCCATGCCCTGGGATTCCTGTTCACGATGAACACGCTGCACCTGATCATCAGCAATTAAACTATATCATGGTGGGTACTCAAGATGCACAGGAGCAATGGAAAAAAGGGGGGACCAAACCCAAGTCCAGAACACAGAGATCGTTGCTTTATAGATTATGCTTCAGTACACTAAGAAGGTCTTTTATTATATTATATTTATTCAATGCTCACCCTCTCAGCAAATGGTGACTGCTTGGTCATTTCGACAAGTGGATTTGGACATGGTCGAGATAGAATGGACTGCAAATCTACCCATTTCAGCCACGAAACTTTCAGATGTGGCCAAGACTGAAGAAAGAGGGACCACAAGGAGATTGGTGTCCTAGAGAGGACATTCCCTGGGCCGGCCGTGCTGACTGATCAAAATTAAGCCTGAATTTCAGTTTCACTTGTCAGCTCTTTTGTCAAGCTTCTTCAGATCGGCACTATATTTGCATTCGAAGTACTTGAGATCCTCATATGATGCATCTTCCACTTCAAAAGCAGAGCAACATGTAAGAGCTCGATGGCATGCATGAGCTGGAGTTAAGTGAGGGTTTTGCAGGGTTTCTTCTTGAGATCATGTTTGCCAGAGCTTAAATTTCTAATATAATCGTAAATGTTGTGATGAAAGAGTAGAGCAGTCTGCAAGGAAACCAGAGAACAGAAGATTGATCCACCACAGACGATCGCCGATTATTATGAATGTGCACACCTCATCGAGGATGCTTGCACCGTCCTGCTCATGTCTGACTCTGCAGAGTCTTACACGTTGTAGATCAGCTTTTAGGATTCAGGCACTGCAAAAGCGGCAGCGGTATTCTAGGCAGTACAGCCAATGTGGATCTGCCAATGCCCGAGTGGACTCCCTAGGTTCGTAGCTTGCCCAAAGCTACTTATCACATTAGTGGCATCAAGGCGCAATTTCTTCTTGCAAACTCTAATGGCAAGGCTTGGCAAAGCAACATCCTTTCATCATACCTGTCATTCCTGGCTCACATGGGCTGTTTTTGCAGAGCACGGTAGATATATCGATGAAGTTGCGACATCGGTTCGGCCAGGAAGGATAGGAAGTCTACTAAAGGTCCGCATATGGTCCTTCTAGGGATGGATATGGCTCATCACAAATTTAGGCTTGCTTGATCTGGAGGTACTGCCGCACAGGTGTTGGAGGCACAAGGGCAGACAATCGTGCCTCCATTGGATAAAAAAGGTTTACAACCTCTTCTGATCCCATTGGCGTGCCGTCCATCTACTGCAGGCCCAGTATACACTTGCTTCTTGAGATGGCCAGACCTCTCCAGCACACGAGTGCGCCCTGCTTCATTCTTTGCATCGCCTGCTATATTGGCGAGCAATTGATACCAAATGATACCCCGTGACGGCTCCACAATCATCTTATTCTGCATGCATGCAGGGCCTCCCCATTGTGGAGACTTCTAGAGGGGCAAGGCAGGTGCATATGTTAGCAAGGAGCACTGACGAGTACATCCATAGGTGCGCAGAGCCACCCAGTGTACACCCCACACGATCCCGCACTCTCATGTCATACCCAAGCTTGACATCTGCTGCCCCAGTCCATGTCAAAAGCAGCATTGTGTGGCTTTCCGGCCGCCTGAGTCTGTGCACTTGATCGGCGCAGAGCACTCTGTGAGGAGGATGCCGCTGAATCATCAGACAGCCTGGCGTCTGCAGCAGGGCAGGAGGGGCGAGACCTTTATGAACGGGGCGCTTTCCGCAGCTCTGGCTTAGGCAGCATTGATGCGTACCTTGTGAGGAAGGCAGGCATGTACCCAGATGTGGTGGAGCGGCTGGCCATGAACCATGTGCAGAAGGGCGACCAGATGTCAGCCCTCATCACTGCCGAGTGGTGAGCTCTTCACTCCCTTCTGCTTTATATCACTCAATTAGCATCTGTGTATTGAATCGGAGCTGTTGACTCTTGACTTTTGACTCAGAGCTTGCAGCTCAGAAGACTTGACCACTTCCAAGTGAAGGTCACCGTGTCCAGATACCAGTTGAATGGACTGAGGAGACTGACTGTAAGAGGATATGACCCAATGTGCACTGCAGGTACACTAGCAAGAACCACTTCCCGGGCTGGGCGAGGCCATTTGAGTTCAACGCTCATCTGTACAACAGCATAAGCCGCAACGAGGAGGCGCGAGATGGGGTCAGCTCCCTCAAATCCACGTACAATTTGTCCTGCCTGCTCCACTGTCAGCAAGTTTTCTCCATTCTTCAAAATGGACACAACCTTATCAGATCTCAGAAATTTTGCTGACGTCGGCAAGCTTGTTGCAGGCTCGCATAGCGCTGCGGTTCCCCTGGTGGACGCTGTCGGGCGGCTTCCATGAAACTGCAGCGCTGGCGCAGCTGCCAGACACTGCAGCTGAAGTTAGAAAAGCACTGGACATGCAGGTCAGCTGCTACTCCACAATGCTATCTCTCTCCAATGTTCATTTGTCTTTGCTGCGTCCTGGGTGCATCCTGCTGTCAGAAATGGTCAATCACAACAACACACAGTTCGACAATTACGGCCCCTTGCGCTGCCGATAAAAAAAAACCCTCACGGGAGCACACTCTGTCTACCTCGGTCCGGCTTCCTGGAATGGAGAGCATGATGGTAGGATCTCTGTGTTGCAGAGCTCCATAAACAAGGAGGGGATTCCACCCGGAGTGGCTGCAGCGCGCAGCCCCAACCAGGTAGCCATGGATGAGGCGGACCATCTGCTGAACTGCGTGGCGGCTGGGGAGGGCGACTGGGATTCCGTCAGGCAGCCCCTAGCAGAGAAGTATAGGGAAGCCGGGCTGTCTGCAGTTGCCGATTTTGTGCTGGCGTAGACACTGTAGAAGTGGGCAGCGGAACATTTTTGAAAGTTTTGTGCGCTGCAGGCATTGGGTGTAAGAGTATTTTGTGATTACTCACGAGATTTGGAACTCCTGCCTTCTCGGAAGCAAAATAGAAATCATACATGCACTCAGCTTATGCAGGGGCCTGTCCTGACTCTAGCGTCGTCAGAACAACGCAGGCAGTACTGTTGATCCAAGTGGTTGATAGTGTACTGGAGCTATATCCGGTCCTCAGTCCTGCTGCAAACAATTAGTCCTGGAAATACTTCCTGGCAGACCTGCCTAGGTCTCTAGATGAAGCTGGAGCGCCGGTGCATCAGCCTGACTGGCCTTCCGAGGTTCAGCTGGCCTGCAGGGCTCCTTGCATTTGTACAGCCCATGCATTGAGATTGATTCTAGCTGATGAAAAAGCTAAGATTCATAATAATGTTCACATCAACAGATAATGATAATGATAATGGTGATGTGTCGACGCAAAGCCTTGGATCAGGCATGCAAACGTAATTGCCTCGTCCAAGAAAATGATGCCCAGATCATCCAACGTCTGTTCTGCCTGCCCGATTACAACTGCACAGGAAGCTGCTACAAGAAGTTTGGTGTCAACCTTTCTCCACCAGCACGACACTCCTCAGAATCATTATGATGCACAGCAGATGTAGCCCAGGATAGATCTGTCGACAAGAGACGACGGGGTAAAAAAATGGCTAACCCTTCGGTGTATGTGCCAGCGATTGCTGTGGCTCACACGTTGGGCCTGATCCTTCTCTTGTACAGCTTGGAGAAGGTCTTCGGCATCTTTTCCAAGCTATCACGACGATTGAGACGGCGTCCGAAGGTCGAGAAGGTTGCATCAAAGAAGGTGGGCTTTGAGCCGAGGGAGGAGAATGGCAGCACGATCCACAAGATCGAGGAGGAGGAGACGGACGACGCGGCTTCCATCGCTTCAAGCAGCTCCGATGACGGAGATACTGTGCGCAGCAACCACGACTGGGACTCCAGTGCCGACGCGAGGGCAAGGGCAGGCATCGTTGCCGAAGCCGAGCCCCACGTCCTGACACCTCCTTGGATCAGGGGCTGTGCCTGCCAGGTAACTTCTAATTTTCGTTTTGACGTGCTGTAGGTCCGATGCACAACGACTCACTCCATTGCTGGCAATGACAAAGCAAGCCGCTCTGCTCCCTTAAGTACCGGCACCAGGACACAAGGTTATGACACAGGAGATTCTGGTGCAGGGGGCCTGCAAGCATGACAACCGCTGGGTGCCACGCCACATCAGTGGCAGGCAAGATGAGGAGGATGGCCACGCCACAGCAGCCTCAGAGCGCGACCAACAGATGCTCCTCGACTACCCTGCAGAACTGGCCTGGAGCGGCCTAGCCTGCTCGGTGCGTGCAGTTCCCCATGCCACTGGAAAATGCTCAGTCATGCATGAAGTTTGTAGAGAGCCAGTGCAAAGGATGGAAGGCATTGGCATGAGTTGCCCAGACTGTCTGCTGATTGACCTCTCTGCTGCTGAAGTCCTGCTCATTCCCCACCTTCAATCAATCAAGTCCAGTCAATCAAGCCCATACAAGGCTTGATAAAAGTGATTTGAAAGGAGGTGCACTGTTGACAATCCTGGTGTGTGAGCAGGTGCTGGACAAGAACACAATGCAGCAGAAGCAGATTCTGTACCCTTCTTCTGGCATGGTGGTCCCAGGAGAGATGTGCGCCCTTGTGGGTCCCTCAGGAGCAGGCAAGTCTCTCTTAGCTCTTTCTCAAGGAGCTCTGTCATAAATCATTTTTGTGAAACAATTCGTTCAGAGCTCTGCTGGACGGCCCCTTTTTTGAGCCGTGTATCTGCTCGCTTGCAGGCAAGTCCACTCTCCTGGACATCCTAGCCATGCGCAAGGGAGGCAAGCTCATGGGGCAGGTGCGCTCCTCTGACCCACTTCAACACTGCTGTTGCGCCCTTCCTCCAGATCCCTTTCAAAAAAACATGCAATTATTCTGAACCCACTGTTCCGACTCTTATCGAGCGACTCTTATCGAGCGCAGCACTGCTGCTCTGCTTCATGTTCGACCAAGCACACGCCTTTGTCAAAGCCCATGCGATGATTCTCTCGAGCAACACCCCTTGGAAAGGCACCTACCATCAACATCATCAACAACAACATAAATGATAACGATGATGATCAGAACTCCCTGGTCGACTGGCTGCAGGTGTGGATGAACGGCGCGCCGCTGGGGGAGCGGTTCAAGCGTTGCAACGCGTACGTGGCGCAGGAGGATGTGTTTGTGCCGACGCTGAGTGCGTGGGAGACGCTGCACTTCCACGCCATCCTGCGCCTGCCCAGGGGCACCAGCCGCGCCGACATCAAGCAGCGCATGGACGATGTCATGGCAGTCATGGGCCTCTCACGAGTCCGCACCACCCAGGTAAGTAATTCCCTCATATGACCTGCAGATCAACTCATTATCAGCACATCAGCCTTGTTGGCTGTTGGCTGATGAATATGTAACGTTCCTCGCTCACACTTACTGGTGTAAAAGGGTGCTTGGTTATGGGGTACTGAGAGGCTGTGGAGCATGTGCCCATTTTGGCGGCAGTATCTTGAGCATGAGAGTGATGCGCTGCTGTCTGGTGCAGGTGGGAGGAGCTCTGCCAGGAGGCATCTTGGTGCGAGGCCTCAGCGGTGAGCACCTTGCCCGACACCCACAACGATTTACTGGAATACTGATCTGCGACCTCAACGCAACGCAACGGTGACAACGCAACGGTGCAAAGGTGCCCAAACTGTTTACAGAAATGGAATGCTAAGGGTGGTGGCGGTGCAGGGGGTGAGAAGCGGCGGCTGACGATATCGTGCTCGCTGATCGCCAAGCCGAGCATCCTGTTCTTGGACGAGCCCACGACTGGGCTGGACGCGTTTGCGGCGCTCAACATAATGGACCACATGTCGTGCCTGGCAGCGCTGGGCCACACCATCATTGCCTCCGTGCACCAGCCCCGCTCAGCCATCTGGGATATGTTCCACAAGGCACGATCCCCAATCCCCTGGCTCCCACATGGGCAATTATAAGCAGGCAGTGACATTGCACTCACTCAAGGAGGGAACCTCTGGCCTTGAGTCACAAGATGAGGCCTCTGTGTAAGGCACCCTACTTCAGCATGCATCAACTTGACTCGAGACTCTCGAGACTAAGTGGCTCAATTGTGAGTTATAACCCACAGCTGTGACAGGTTACTGATTGCTGTTGCCTTCTTCAAACACTTAACACTGGACATCAACTGCCAATGGCAGTCTGTCAGGCCACTTCACCAATCGAGGAGTTCCCCAGGGAAGCGTTTGTCCTGGTAATCAGATTGAGAGCGCAAGCTGGGGTGTCGTTTGCAGGTGGTGGTGCTGTCTGAGGGGTACCAGCTGTACGCTGGCGACCCGAGCCAGGCGGTGCAGTGGTTCAGCGGCACGCTCCAGTACACCTTCAGCCCAGACAAGGACGGCACTGTCCCCGACTGGCTCATGGACATGGTGAGTAGCGCCTCCTCTTTTCACACAGCTGTCTGCTGATGTCTCAGATTGCTAGCTAACTCTTTGAGCAGTGTGAGTGCAAGAGGGGCAGCATTGCACCATGGCATCATAGGTTGACCTAATCCCATGGTTCAATGCAGGTGTCTGTCGGATTCACAAAGCCAAAGGATGTTGCTGCACGGTGCGTACTCTGCTCCCTGCTCCATTTCATTCCTGCATTGCAACTGCTCACACCTGGCATGTCAGTGCGCAATCATGCCAATACAGCGCTCTGACAGCCCACTGGCTCCGTTGAAGGCTGATGAGGCATCCAAGAGTGTCAGTCCATCATCTCGCATGAAGTCGGGTGAGGCGTAGAAAAAAATTGTCAGCAGATTAGTGATGCGCGCAGGTCGATGACGTCACGGGAGGAGGTGGCGATAGCGGCGGGGGAATGGGCCGCGCGTTGCGCCAAGGTGGACAACCCCGAGGGGAACGCCATCCGAGACCTGGCCGCCAACGCCACGTCAGAGGCCAGCTCAGTGCACAAGCTCTCCCCCTGGTCTCGCAGCCGCTACGCCTCCAAGTGACCATTTAATTTTTCTGTTCTTGGCAGAACCTTTGCTTTGATGCGGGCGTCGCAACGTGATGCACGGTTGAAAGGAAGGAAGGATTCCAATCTTCTTCTCTCGCCAATACTTGAGGCAATATGCTTGAATATCTAGCTGTAAGCATCATAGCACGCCTTTGCACATGCGTGAATGGCCGGAAGCCCTCCTTCACCACCATCACTTCATCTCATTGTCTGGTGCTTCAGGACGCATGATCGAGCAGAGAGTTGATGAGATAAATATCGGCCCAGATAGTTCCATTCTGATATCTTGCTGCAAAGTCTGTGTTCACATGTGTTGGTGCTGGAAACTAGCATGCATCTGATCCGACTGTGCTGGATATAAGCAAGTGAAAACCACAACAGTCATTGTTAAATGCTAAGTGCCGCCAAAAGCGTTCTGTGAAGAATAAGAGCACCGGTTGGTATGGGGTTCAACTCCTAATGCCCGCTGGTGTTCTTTTTTGCTTCCTTTTTTTTCCACTCAGGCTTCAGAGACTGAAGGTGTCAAGCGCTCCGTGAATGTATTCCACTTGTGTAGACTCGCATTTGAAATGGTGCTTTTCTGTCATGCAGCTGGGGAACACAGTATGTGGTCCTGCTGAAGCGCTCTTTGCTGGCGCAACTGAGGAATCCCACCGACACCACTGCGCGCCTGCTGCTCTCCACCTGGGTCGGCATGCTTGCCGGTGCGCCCCTCGCTGTCCAATCCTGGTTACAATGCTGGCCAGACTTTTGAAATCCATGCATGCGCGCATGCTGTGGATGATTTCATTCACTCGCGCGAGATTGAGCTTGACTGTTGGAAGATGCCACACCTGGCTTGCATGTCGGCATGCAAGCACATGGGCTACCCCACTTCTTGGAGCTGCCTTGTGATTGGCAACGCAGGGGTGGTGCCAAGCTATTTTCAGACTTGCAATTTGAGCATTGCCTTTGTTGAGGAAGACAACGGCTGGTGCAGGGCTGACGTTCTACAACATCCCGGAGGGAGCGAGCGCGTCCTTCAGGCGCATGGCAGTCATCTTCTTCATCATGCTACTGTTTGAGCTGCTGCCATTCTGCTACATGTCCTTCTATGTCTTCGACCGCAAATTCTTCATGGCCGACCGCGCCGCTGACCTGTACCATACCTCCGCCTACTATGTCGCCCACACAACCGCAAGTGAGCATCTATTCCCTTATAGTTTCTTACTGCAATCTTTGTGCCATGTAGCTCTACACCTGCAGACATGGACCATGAAAGAATGTCTTCACCATTACCTAGGTTGCATCATCATGTTGTGTCCGTTGCGCTGCTGTCATGTTTCATGAAAGTGTGTTTGACTTTTAAGGCATATTGTCTCGTGAAGAGGGCTTCATCTTAGACGGATTTGCAGCTGATGCTGGGTTCATCTGATAGAGACTATTCTGCACTGGTCTTAGATTTATCTTAAGACCCTTGTGCACATGTTGCAGGCCTGCCGTTCGTGATAGTAAATACCCTGTGCGGGGCCTACTCTGTTTACGGGCTGGCGGGATTGCACTACGAGTGGCGCGCAATCCTGCTCTACGGCGTGATAATGGTGCTGCAGTCCATCATTGCCATCCAGCTCATGATCTTCTGCGTCTACCTCACCCCCAATCAGGTGATCTCAGTGCCCCAGCCACTCATGATTTTCCTGCGCATGTCATCAGCTCAAGGCCATGCAAATTTCAATCCCTGGGAAATGATACCTCGTACTAATTTGTTCCAAGAGCTTCATCATCGGCTGAACCCTGTCATGGTAAGTGCACACGTCTTGGCATCTGCATCCCTGTCTGGATATGTCTGGGAGAGCAACTATGTCAGTTCTAATGAAGGTAATCTGACGAGAGTCTCTATCCTGCTTGGCAGGACTTGGCGTACATATTGGCGACAGGCTATGTGGCGATGTCAATTCTGCTGTCTGGGTTCCTGCTGCGGCCCAGCCAGCTGACAATTCAGCCCCTGCTGTGGCTTTCCTATGTCTCCTACCCCAGGTGAACATCTTTCCTTCTCTTTAAAATGTCATGTCACCCTGCGGTAACAGCACCTGTCCAGGATGTGTACAGGACCTAAACATGAGCAAGACCCACCCATGCGGCCTCCACTCGGTGAGGTACTCATTTCCCAGCTTTAATGATAGGGGTGTTGCTATGCATGCAGATGGACATATCAGGGCCTGGCACGAAATGAACAAGCTGGAGTGCTGTTTTGGCCGCCCAATTGCCCCAAGAACCCCAGCCCCGGCAAGCCTTGCTGCTTCACGGTGTGATCCTGGGCTCCACCTGAAACCTTGTCTGCCTGCCTGTGCAGATGGACCTTTCAGGGCTTGATCAGGACTGAGTTGCAAGGGGTGGTCTTCCAAAAGAATGAATGCATCTCGCAAGACATTCCAGGCGCCACTAGTGCCGAGATCAATGCGGTATATCTCACTTCTTCTTCATGCCTCCGCTGCTAGCTCAGCACTGGGCTGTGTCCATACTGCTGCATGCATGCGCCTTGCAGAGTTTACCTTGACACTGAAGCTTGCGCTGTGCTGATGCGCAGATCACACAGAATGCTCAGCTGGCGGCACAAGCAGCAAGCCAGGGGTTCACCTGCCACCCCACAGCCACAGGAGACCAGATCCTGCAGTACTGGGAGCTGACACTCACCATTGGAGAAGTCATAGCAGTCCTCGTCGGCTTCTACGCCTTCTTCCATGTTGTGTCCTTCATCGCACTGTCTGCTCTGTACCGCCAGAAGCGATGAGCTTGGTGCTCACATCAGCTCAGGCTAGATGCCTCCTAGGATGCCTCCAAGGATACCTCCAAGGATGCCCCAGCCTTGAGCGATATTGACTGCAGCAGAGAGGAAGCCGAATTCTTGTGAAACGGTGCTGCTGAGCAAGAGCATGGTGACTGAGATTACTGAAGACATTGGAAACAGTTTGTGATCTGCATGTGAACTGGTATGCATTCGTTATCCTGCACTGTATTCCGTCCCCTATTCAGACTCTACAGCTGCTAGCAGATTGCACTGCGTTGTCAGGATTCGAGCTTGGGAGTTGACTCGAGGTGAACTGAGCACATGTAGAGCAGTGATGCCTGCACCTATGTGTGCTTCTTTGCAAGCAACTTTGGCTGAGTGTCACACTCTTTGGCTTTGAAAGAAGGCATCCTGACAGCAAATCAGGCGGCAACAAATTGCTTCCTGGATGCTTCATGGTCATGTATGCTTTTTATCATGCAAATGTCAACAATGCATGGCGCTGTAACATTCAAGTACGAAGTACTGAAGCGCCCTGCATGCTTCTTTTCTGCTTCTTCGTATGCTTGCACCGGGATACTAGAAGCATGGGAATAGTATTCCCATTTGGGTTCCCATGCGCATGCGCGCAGAAATGATTGTATAAGACCATCACCGATTTGGAGCCCAGTGATTGGGCAACTCGTCTCGGCTCGAGTGTGCACCAATCGAGGAGTTCATTTACATTGCTGTTTCCACACTGTCCTCCTTTCTCCTCACTAGCTGGGCCGCAGGCACCTGCTGGCATGTGCGCACCTGCGGGCAGCACAGGCGACAGCTGCAGTTCGCAAAGAAGAACAATGGGCCCCAGTCGAGTGGACCACTCCCAGTCCTAAGATTAGTTGAAATGAATGTGTCATTAGCATCGAAAGCCCAGCTTTTAAGGTCACTTGCAGACAAAGGTTCGCAAGGTGCGCATGCCACGATCTCTTTCGGTGAAGTCATCAAGCAGCTCGGTCTGCTTGGAGACGATCTTGGAAACGCTTCTGATGTGGCGATCTCAGACATCTCAGGAGGCAACGATCATTTGATCCAGCTAGCCAACAACCTTACGTCTAACAATGAGGTGTGCTAGCTTGTTGAGGGGCGGCTTTGGCCCCCTTTGAACTGTGCTCTTGACATGTCTCTGTAAAATGCACTGTAATGTCGTTCTTGCAGCAGTACTCAGCACGATGTATGATTGCTTTGTTCCTCTGGTGTGCCACCTAGCCACAGTTCTGAGTGGACAGCCAATTGTGTGTCTGATGTGATGCAGGACTCCCAAAAGCTCACTGGAATACTTTTGCTTCGCCTACTCATCGATGAATGCAGCGGCCAGCGCTTCCTGCAGGCTTTCCCAGCCTGGGGGGCCAAGCTGGTGGGGATGTCCAAGGCATCAACCACGACCGAGATACAACACAATGTCTGGGCTGCTCTGCGGAGCCTCTTCTTGCGCATCGGCCAGATGTGTGACCTGCCAGGAGTGCGCCAGGAGGGTTCAGCCCTGGCTGGCAAGCTTGCAGGCGCCCTTGGACCCCTACTGAAACAGAAGCAAGGCAAGTAGCAGCCCCCTAGCACGTCCTGCAACAAAATATCGCTTTTCACGCATGTCAATGTAAATAGGCTCCATTCGCATGGTACTGGGTGGATTGACAGTCTTCGATATCAATGCAATGATATGCTGCAGGTGAGTCGATCGGGACCGATGCAAGATCCGCGGCTGCGGATGTTGAGGCGCTGGAGGCACTGGCTGCGGCGCTTGCAGCGGTGCCGACTGCCTTCCGATCCCATCTGAAGCTGCTGGGTCAGTTTGCAGGCGAGGCTCTGTGTGGGGTGCACAGCACCGCTGCGCTGCGTGCAGCTGCTTCCCACTGCTTGTCCCTCCTGCCGCACGTCACAGGCAAGTATTCCTTAAACTCTGAGGAATCTTTTCTGTGATAGCCGAGGAGGTGAAAGGTGATAGATGAGGAGCGGAACAAATAAATGTGTTCTACTGTCTGGTTGCAGGTCAAGCAGAGCAATGGAGCGAGGCTGCACAGAATGTCCTGGCAACAGCGCACCTGCAGCTGGATGTCTTATACATAGGACTGGAGGATGCTGCTGCGGCCAAAGTTTACAGGTATGCTATACTCATGGACGATTCGCTTGAGCTTCAGTCCCCACACCTGAACAGCTCTTGCACCTTCTGTGCTATGGGAACAGAGTGCTTTAGGATATGGCTCATTCGGAAATCATGATGCGCAGGTCAGCAGTGAAGCCGGGCGCTGCAGGTGTGCAAGCGGGTGACACTCCAGCAGGCACCATCCAGAACGCGCAGATGGTGATTTTGGCGCAGCAGCGGCTGGCGGCAGTGCTGGACTGCCTGGAGAGGCTGCTGACGCAGCCAGCGCTCGCCCCTGTGCCTGTGCCCGGCCCCGGCATTGTGCAGCTTTGCGCGCGCATCCTGTCTGTGGACGACTCCCTCTCCCGCGCCGGTAAGCGCCCTTTCGTGAGGATCTCTGGTAGCAAGCCTCATCTTGGGGCAAATTCTAAGCGCTTATTCCAGGCTTGCAAGGTGCTGATTATACAGCTTCATATACAGGCTGATTCTCCAGGGGCTCTTGCACTTGGTCAGGATGTCTGTGGCATAGAGTATCAAGAGTTGTCTGTGTCTGCAGGCCGGGCATCTCCATCAGCAGCGGCGTACACCGAGCTCCTAGCGGTGCTGCCGGGCATGCACGCAGCCGCCGCAAAGCTGCTGCAGCTGCTGCTGCACGTGGGCGGCGGAGCGCTGGTCCCGCAGCACAAGGGCATCACCCGCCTGCTCGCTGACTTGCTGCGGCGGCTGGCCGCTGAACCCCCATCCTTCCTTGCCACATCCTCCTGGCTCGTCCGGAGAGAGGTGGGCCAGCACCCTCCTGCACTGTCTCGCTTCTTTCTGATGTCTCTCGTCCAGTACGCTAACTAAGGCATTGCCTCGGCAGCTCTTTCAACAGAGGCGTTGTGTGCGCAGGTGTATGCATGCGCGGCTGGGCTGATTAGGGTGGGCGGCTGGGGCCCAGTCAGGGATCTGGCAGCGCCAGTGATGCAGTGCATGCTGCTGGAGCTCTACACCGCCCCGGCCGGCACAGCGCAGGCGCCCAAGCCTGGCGCCAAGCAGGCCAAGAAGCGCAAGAGGGCCAAGGCCGACCAGAGCCTGGATGACCTGGCAGGCATCAGCAGTGGCAGCGCCCTGCTGGCATCCGCGCATGTACGCGCCTGCTGCCCACCCGGCCTGTCAAATTACCACTAGCTTCAGATGCTATTATCTTCGTCAGAGTGTGTGCGTTGATTTGAGAGTAGATGATGTAGTAGGATTTCGGATGTTCTTTGCCTGCGAGGCAAGCAGCTATTGACGTGTATGCTGCTGGACTGCAGGGCTTCAACACCCAGTCGCCTGCTGTGGAAATGAGGAATGCGGCGGCTCAAGTGGCTGTGCTGGCCCTTGTGGAGGAGCTCTACAAGGTCAATCCTTCATTCTTACCCCGTGGGCTCATTCAAGACCTTCACATTGTCATGCTTGCTATCTTTTGAGTCTCTTGCTCGCATAGAACATGAGGTATATTACAACTGCCCCTTGCTAGATCAAGAAAAATACTATGTTGGCATCACTCACCTTTTCCCTTGCTTGCAAGCTTGGCCATGTGCCTGCTCTCCCAAGACGCCCTGAAGCAGTGCACGTGTGCTTGAGGAACGGGAATACAATGATGAAGAGACTGAGGCTATGTCGAATCGATTTGTCAAACAATGTCAATCTGTTTAGAACGTCTCTTTTTTGTGCTCTGGAAGACGTCTGGGGTTGAGGGCATGATGCTTAGAGTTGGTTGATATTATCCTCACAAAGCAGAGCATCATGCTATGCAGGTGGGAGGGGCGGTCCTGCGGCTGGAGGCGAGGGCGCAGCTGGATGCAGCAGTGGCGCACCAGGCGGCGACGGCGGCGGCCGGCTGCGAGAGGGCGTCCAGATCTGGCGCGCAGGCCCCCCGCTGCGTCCGCGCCGTCCAGCTGGCGGCTCTGCGCGCTCTGCTGGCGTCCGTGCTGGCGCCGGCCGCGCACCGGCCGCCCTTCCTCGCGCACGCCCTTCATGCCTTCCGCAAGGCGCGCCACCCGTGCTGACAAACCAGCGTGTCATTCCTTCAGCATTTGATGAAGTCATTTTTTGGCTGCCCTAATTGTTGGTACCGGTTGTGATTCTTCTCTGCAAATATTACTGGCTTGACATGGTTGCAAGGCGTGTTGTGAATGCAATTATCACTTAGAGTCTTCACTCTTTCTGTCTGCATATTCATTGCACTAGCGGTTGCTTGATGTCGAGTTGGCCGCTGCCTGGCTGGCTGTTTGTCCCCTGCAAGATACGGAGCTGTTAGAGGCAGTGCAGTGAAGCAACTGATGTTTAAGCTGCAGGGGCTGGGCTCAGCAGACCCGGAGATGCGCGCCTTCTGTGTCGGGGCTCTGCTGGCCTGCGAGGCCTTTGTGCACCCGCGCTCCCAGAGCCCATGGCCTGCCGCCGCCTCGGCCGCGCCTGCCGTCACCGGCCCTGCCGTGCCCAGCACCAGCTACCTGGGGGTGCCGCGCATGTGGTCTGCCATCTCACCCGTCCCCGTCCCAACAGGTGTTCAAGACCTCATCATGCCCTATTTGATGTCTCTGCTCATCTATGTTGACCTTTCAAGCTGGGATTGGATCACAATAAAGCCTCAGGCCTGTGCTGTAGTGTTGGACTCCCTGTTGTAGCTAAAGCACTTCTTTGCGCAGGCCCAGAGCAGGAGGCAATGCGCCAGATGGAGGCAGCAAGCCATCCGGGGTTTGATCATCCCATGCACATCAACGCTGTGATGGCCGCTGGAAAAGGTGCTCACATGGGTGGCGGCCAGGCACAGCCCATACAGGCAGCTGAATCCATCATGCGGGGTCAGACTGGCGCGCAACACATTCTTGGCAGTGAAGAGCCCAAAAGCATCATAAATAATAGCACGCAACCGACTGCTGGAGGTCCCGCAGAGGGTGAAGCTGAACCTGCAAGTAGTAAGCAGGCCCGAAGAGAAGCAGTAGAAGCAGCAGCTGAAAAGCAAAGCGCAATGCAGACGGAGCCGCATCCAGTTCTTGGGCAGCAGAGCAACGGAGCCTCTTCTGTGTTGTTCCATGCACAACAGCCTCAGGTGCTCGATGTTCAGCAGGCGGCGCCCACTATGCAGAAAATGAGCCTCCTGCTTACTTCTCCATGCTGGAGGTCTTTTCACAGAAAGTGGTGATGATGCAGAGGAGTACAGAGGGTTACGGGACTGTCAGAACAACACAAGTTGGCTGCTGTGCAGGTGAGCAAAGGGCCTGTAAGGAGCAGCCAAGAGGCACTGGCCCCGGCCGCTCAGGAGGAAACAAGCAGCGATAGCGAAGGCTCCTTGCCATCATTAGACACAGGGAGCGCTGGCAGTCAGAGCTCTGATAGCGATGAAGAGATGTGTCCTGAAGTGTGTTAAGTGAATGCATGAGGTTTTGTTGACGCCGTGCGACTTGTGCATGCGCCTCAGGGTAGTAGTAGGAAGAACATGTTCTGAGTATGGATGTTGATGGTTGTATACGTATTAGTGCCGCCAAAGATACTCAGCATGTTTAGGATAGTAGAGCGCTGCTCAATGTCTATGATTCTGTTTGTCAGCAACCTGCTTGTTACAGAGCCACACTTCATATGAGGCTGAATGAGCGTGTCCCTTGCACATGATAATGGCTACACCATCAATAAATATCCAATCAAAAGCATCAAAGAATCACATGAATCTTCTCTGCCGCTCCATGAGAGGCAACTGGAATTGACTGAATCGCTGGGCATCCGACTCTCGCAAGACCACCTGCATCACAAGCACATGTTTGCGTGAGCCTTGAAAGCTTGTGTACAGCACACAGTGAGTGCGACACCCTGCGGACAGGAATGCAGGACCCACCGTGAGATGTGAGCGGTACATGCGTCGCACACCGGATCTGCCGCGGCCGTGCGGCCAGGTCTTTTTCAGGTGAGACCCCTGCCCCACATGGATCAGGTCTGCATGCCATACAGAGACATCAGCATCTAGCCAAAAGAGGGACACTACACCTGCATGGCTACTTGCACAAGTGATGATATTTCAGTGATATGATATCTTCACGATGAGAGAGTAAAGCATCGTTCAGCTGGTTTCAAGTCAAATGGAATGCTTACCCACACTCAGCCTGTCGCCATCTAGTCCATGGTTGTGAACAGCGTTTGCCTTGGCTGATTGCAACACCTGCACATTAACTTCCATAAGGCGTGCAGACGCATGCAGACATTCTAATTTTTGCTTGCACATTTATAGGAAGAGATGCAGGTTTGCTGTGTACAGGTGTATGTTGCTTGCCTTGAGGCAGATGCGGGCAGCCTTCTTGGGCGACATTTGGCACTGCACAATGGCATCATCCAGGTGCTGCCGCCGCATCAGGTCTGTCCACATTGCCATCTTTTTGGGAGATATAGGGATGGCCCGATGCACCGCCTGTGCTGTCTTGGGATCCCTGTCTCTGGGACCCAGCCTGCGTCTGCTGCTGGCAGCATCCTCCTGCCCCACCCCACCTCTCCTTGAAGGTCCTGGGGTCTGTAGCAACGGGTTGATCTCTGCCTCCTGTGCTGCTTCGTTGGCAGCCGCCGATGCAAAGGTCCGCGTCGCCTGAAGCAAAATAGGGGATCACTGGCATTGGGTTCCTTCAACAAGTGGAATGACAGGTTGTATAGCAGAAAAGGACACGAGTCCAGACTTATACGTTATGATTCGCTCGGCAGAGAGGTATGCTTGCCATGACACATCCTCAGGACGCCAACCGTCGTGTCAAAGACAAATTAAAGTTTAATTCGTATACTCATGACTTACCATGCTTCCAGACCACCACGTCAACAGGGATTGCTGCATCACGATCGGTCGGTCTCCTAGGTCATTAAATGTTGCAATTGCATTGGAACACAATGCAGAGGCGAGTGGGCCTTCCAGTGCGCTGTGACCAGAGCAAGGCAATAAAGATCTGCTTGGCAGCTGTGACAAAAGAAGTCTCGAGTTGCGAATGAGGCTCTGCATTGGTAATGCGATCTGTGTTTGCGTAGAGGTTGATTAGGACTGCAAAATTTGTAGCAATTGCTGACTTGTGATCGCAGCAGTCTTGGAAGGGTAGACCTTGTTTGCCACAGGGTAGACCACTTGGCGTCGAGTGCGAGGCGTTCCTCCCCGAGCTCCCCACAAAGCTGTATGCCGACAGCCATAAAGGGAAAAAAAAGCGCAATCCAGAATCTCCAGTGGTCTGTTGTAGTGCTTTATAATATCTCCTGCTCGACTCGTTTACAGCTACAGCAAGCCACTCGCTATCTACAGACAACGTCGGCTCCGTCTTCTACCAGCGATGGCTTTCTTTACCACCATACCTCAGGTAACGAGCAGTGCACGCAAGTGTCTCTCCAAATGGTACAAGAATTTGTTTTGCATCCACCTCTCGTTCAGTGGCCCTCTAGCTTTTCGTCGGCGCGTTAGGGATCACTCACAGATGGTCGAGTTCATTGGATTCCATTACCATGATCAAAGCAGAATATCTGGAGCATAAGTCATGTTGATGAAGTGTTTCGTGCATCAGCAGCAGATGTCCCAGACGGCGCTGGGCTTCACCGGCCCCATTACCAGCTGCTTGGCAAGCCATGTTGCCGCCACAGCCTTGGAGTCGCCACAATTCCAGGTAATATTTTAAGACAATCTCTGCATGCACTCACCTGATTGTAGCACTCTTCAGATGCAGCCAGCGTGCGTGAGCTTGCGTGTCGTGTTCGCCAGCATAGCACATCCTGGGTTACCAGTAAAACCATGTTTTCCAAGTAGGCTGAATCTTTTTCATTGTTGCTTGCAGACGGACTCATTCGGCCCAGTGGTGGCCCACATGGGGGGCATCTGGAGCCCAGGCTGCAGCACAAACAAGTCTCGGCCCCACACTGCCATAGCTGACCTCCCAGCCCAGGTATGGCACTGCCTATCGCGTGGTCAGATCTGGTGTGAGCCATTCTGACACTGTTGTTTTCAACATATTGAGAGCCCTGTGCTGAGGCTGACATCTGCTCTGCAGCTGGAGGAGCCAGCGCCCACAGCTGACATCCAGTCGCCTGCTGTGGAGGCAGATGATGGCACCGAAGAGGACTACACTCCCCTGGACCGTCCCTGGTACGCAGACAGGCTTGCACAATACAAGCTGTACCCGGAGCACTGCGCGGTGGATGCCACCAGCAAGGGGACATCAATTGATGGCCAGCTCGAAAGCGCTGAGCAGTACCGGCACATTATCCTCAAGGTGCGCCATGCAGCCCTATACAATCCTCTGTCTTTGTCATTGCAGGGATATTTACACTTTAGACAACTTCCAAGTAGAGAAATTCCGTGCAAGTCTTCAATTTCCTGCACTGGCACACGCACGATGACACAGACTCCGCGGACAGCAATAATTCCCTGTTGCTTTGAATATGCTGGTGCTGTGTAGGTTGGGAAGACTGGGTACTCCTTTGCGGACACCCACATGCCACCACCAGAGCTTCCTCATGCCGCGGAGCACTTCAGCATGTTCAAGAAGCACTGCGCATTGGGCTCCACCTTGGTATCAATGGACGATCAGCTCATCAGCGCTGCCGGCGCGCCCATCAGAACGTGCGCACACCCCTTCCCTTGCATTGCCCTATGCCAGTGATATTCCTTCATTTGCAGTGAGGGATCACCAGACATGCCCGGTTATGCCCAGCATCAACGGGTCAATCAAGCACTCACAAGTTCTGCGCTGCCCTGCAGGTAGGCATGTCCAGTTACTCCTTTCCCAACAGTGATCTCCAGAGGTGCCCACAACCGCCTCCCTCCAATGCCAGCACAACCAGCGGCGCGCCCACCAGTGAGAGCCCCACAGAGGAGCCATGCCCGGCTCCACGTGCATTGGATCTGCTGGACTCCCTCTGGACGCAGTCACTGCCCGGCCAACAGGTGACACTTCCCCTTCTGTTGGTCCCCTTATATAATGGTGGGTGATTATGGCAGCTGTCAGCTGAGGAGCGTGCAATGATACGTCTGTAGTGTTGGTACAAATGCTATGCTAATCAGCTTGATTCTGCGTGGCAGGTACCTGCAGCTGCCAGCCACTGCCACCAGCCAAGCAGCTATGTTGAGTTACCCATCAGGCGGCCAACACGCCGATGGAGCCTTCGCAGCATCTTCTCCTCATTCTGCAAGCAGGTGCCCCTGCAAGTGGGAATGATGGCGCTGCCTCTGCAGTGAAGAGAGGAGACCTTTCAGAAGTATAGAGTTGCAGCTGTATGAATTAGTACAGTTGAGGAGACATTTGGTGAACGTCCAGCAGATTGGACAAGCAGGACCACCTGAAGCACAATTTTCACAGAGGCTATTCACTGCGCATAATCAAGTTTGTCTCGCATACAAGATCTGCTCAGGCAGACTACGCAGCAGAGTCGCTCAAGTATGCAAGGTTTGGCAGTTGTTCCATTGCTGATAATAGAGTTGTTGGCCACAACGGCACAGATTTGGCAGCAGTGTCTGTTATCTGCCACAGGTCATGAGAGCTGCAGGGGATTTACGTGCATGTCAAAACATTGGGTTGGCCGAGACTGCTGAGGTTGACATTGCTTTCATGATCATGGATGTTTTGTCTGATAGGTCATCCTGTGAGAAAGACAGAGACGCCTGATGCGTGGTAATTTATTGCAGAGTGAGGTTCAGGATACTTTGCAGCACAGCATTCTGCCCGAACCATTACATACTGGAGTAAGTCATTCAGGTCTTGATACCTCGACAGGTCAACGCATCACATTTCAGATGTCGCAAAACTGTGTAGATGCCGAACTCAGACCCAATGCAGATGGACTTCACGGATATTCTTCTCAATTTCTCAGTGATACGCCTGACTCACATTGTCACCTTCCACTGGGACATCATTAAATATTGTAGGACACCCCGCCAGCATGACCCACAGCTCTCACACAGGGACTGCGACTTCTTGTGACTCTGCACCGGCAGGGGTCACACCCACATCCCTCCGCTGCACCCTGACCTGCAGGCCATTTGCAGTGTGGATCGTGGCCCCTGTCGCCATGCCCACGCTCTCCGGCCCCTCAACGAAATCAAATGTGAATCGCCTGCATGCACGCAACAGTGCCCTGAGTCCCCCTGCACTGTCACCTGGTCCCTCTTTGCTACACCATTTACAAGATTGCCCTTCCATGTGAGACATTAGCAAGGGCACCATGTAGCGCACTATGCATGTTTGGTGGGCCAAAGGTACCCTCAAATCTTGTGGTGAGAGGTGAAATGAACTTACAACCCGCACTTAGATGTGAATTGAATGTAAATGTACAGCACGGGTGTAAGCAGCTCACCGCAGGAGCATGGTGAGAGCGACGGTGGCCTCCAGCAGAGCGAATTGATCGCCCACACATTTGCGCGCGCCCCCGCCAAAGGGGATGAACGCGAAGTCAGACGCCACCTCGTTGGGGTAGAAGCTGCTGCCCTGCGCCTCCGGCCGGTAGCCCGCCCACGCGCCGTTAAAGGCCGGGTTGCTGTTGGTCTCCGAGAAGCGCTCCGGCCTGAACGTGTCCGGGTCCTTCCACAGGTGCGGCGACCTGTGCAATGATTGGAACATGATCGTACCACTGCTGCTCTACAGTCTGAAGAGCTGCAGCAAATGCACCAGCTTCAAAGGATCCCAACACTGCTGGATGTTTCAAAACTGATTAGCCACTGCTCTGGAGAGACGCCACTGCTGTTACTTGGGACTCTGATGAGTCAGCCAAAGTTGCCAGGTACCACAGAGCCAAGCAGATATTGCGCAGCATGGTAGAATCTTTCAGTAGTTTGATTGTCTGCTCCAGGTATTTGCAGCCACCAACCAGAAGCCTGCCCGGTGGCTGCAACAGAGGCATGCTGACAGCATGCGGGCAGTGTGTTCAAGTGGGGCGCGCCTGTGCAGGTTCCAGACGGAGATGAAGATGTCGGCGCCCTTGCCGATGGGGTAGCCGGAGGAGTCGCCCCCCAACGGTGCCGGCAGCACGTCGTCGGAGAGCGCGCGGCGTATGAGGATGGGCGGCTGCGGGTACATGCGCAGAGACTCCGCCAGCGCACACCGCACGTACGGCATCGCCCGCATGTCTTCAATGCCTGCGCGCGCCAGCAAAAGCTCAGCGGACAACCTGAGGAAACACCATGACTGCTCACGTCTCAGTGCAATGAGGTTGTCTTTTAAGAGAATACTGACATGCCCTTTGGCGTACGCCTTCTCAAGCTCCTAGAGCCTTTGCCCACCTTTACGCGCCATTGCTTCTTCTAGAACTCTGCAAGAACTACATACAGTGCAGAGATTGGAATAGAAATTCAGCAGGCAGCATCTGCACTGGCACGTTATTCCAAACAAGGAAGAACACCAGGGAATTGCGTGGTGTATATGCCGTCTGTCTAACAGTGGGCAGGACAGGGGGGCGCACTGGGGGTTTTGTCGCCGAGCACGGAGTCGATCTCAGCCAGGACTTTGGCGTAGGCGGAGGGGTGAGTCAGCAGCGCGAAGAGCGTCCAGGTCAGCACGGCTGCGGTCGTCTCGTGCCCCGCGATGAGCATGGTCATGAGATCGTCGCGCAGCTGCTTGTCCGACAGGTCAGCGTCGCGCATGTCCACCAGGAATCTCAGCAGCGAAGGATCTCGCACCTGCGCGCGTGCCAGCCCTGTCAGTGACGCAATACTTGCGTTGTGGAAGACCTGGCGCAGTGTTTGCTTTAGCGGTGGATGAGTTCATGCGGGTCCTTTCTGCCACAATGTGGCGCTGGTCAGGCATTCACAGTGGAAGATGCATGCTAAATTGATTGTCCAGATTTGAGCCTCTGCATTGTAACTGGTGGTGCCGGCCAGAGCTCTCTGCTGGACAGCTGAATGCTTAAAGTGCCCTGCCCTTCCCTTTACAAATCTCAGGTCACCACAGCATGGCTGCTTGCTGGGTCATGGGCCCAGAGATTCAAAACCCTCCAGGAAATATTATTATAATCGCAACGCTTGCCTTGCCAAGAGGCAAGGTGCATCTTTAGACATGTTGTAGTTGATCTACCCCTTTGATGGACTCGCAAGATCCAAGCAAGACCTAATCAATAGTGGGCACGGTGCTCACTACTTATACCGCCGGGGCCACCTCCATAATGACTGTTGCACAAGCTGCGAAGAAGGAAGCTATGCGCACCTTGGAGTAATCCCTGGCCTGCAGCGCCTCCACATCATCGGCCTGGCGCGTCTGCTTGGCCTGCGCGATGAGGTCATCCAGGCAGGCATTGATCACCGCCAGGTCAGCGTTGAACTTGCGCTGACGTGGCACAATGTACTTGGTGATGGGGATGTTCCAGTAGGGGATGTAGAACGTCGAGCGGTGCTCCGCCTCTTTCAGCACTCCGTACACAGCCTGCCAATCACAGTCACACCACTGTAAAGCCCTTGCGTAAAACTTCATCGTTTCTTGCTTGCAAAGGAAGACTTTTGCAGATCCTGCCATGCCAGTGCTGCTCATTGCAGGTGATTATCGGCCATGCATGAACAAATTGCTACCTTGATGACTGGGGACTCCTTGGTGATGGAATTGAAGTCATAGTTGAACACCCCCAGTCCGATGATGTCCAGCCCCAGGCTCAGGAAGACCTCCTCCATATCAGTCTGCCCCTGCACACGACACCAGTCCCTTTATCTCTAACCAATGTGCAGCCATGCCAGCCTGCCACCTGGCAAATCATGCTTAGTCGGCCAGGTACCATCACTAGTAACAGAAGTGTCGGTATGAAGATGTGCATTGCTTCCAGTGCAGGTGCACAAGCGAGCCATTGAGTCAGACGGTGACATTGCATCGCGTCCAGCCAACTCAGGGCTGACGCCGATGACTGATTGCCAGAGCCAGCGCCCAGCATAGAGGTAGGTGAGTCACCTCGCCGTCAGCAGTGAGGGCGTCGAGGCTGCGGATAGTCTCCTGGGTGCAGGCGCCAAACATGGCAACCATGGTTTCCAGGTAGGCCTTGTGGAAGGCCGGCACGATGGCGCGCCGCCGCGGCTTCCACGTCTCCAGATCGGCTGGGATCAGCCCCTTGCCCATTATGGGCTCCAGGATCTCCGCCAGCACGCCCTTGTCATAATTGAACGCATTCTCCTGGTGGAGCAGGAGCACAGGGGCTGTCAGCTTCTGCAGCACTGCAAACTGCTGCAGCAGACCCTGCTGTTGCATTTCACACGGCAAGCAAAGTGCATGGCAAGGGTCTTGGCAGGCTTGGGTGTGGTGTGAGGTGGGAGGGCAAACCTTGAGGAGATGCCTGACCACGACTGGATCCGAGACGACGATGAACGCCTTCGGCCCAAATGCTAGCTTGTAGACGCCTCCGCTGTCCAGGAACCTGAAGATCCAGGGAACCTTGAGGCAAAGGATGGAGTGATCAGGGATTGTCATTGAAAGATTGGCTGAGCGTGCATGTTGCCAGAAGCCCACCACTGGTACAGGGCTTTGAAGAGTGGTTCGTCTCCTGCCAGGTCTGACAGCTCTCCTTGAGCCACAGGAATAGTCTCTCCTCCCACATTCGGCTGAAAGTAGCCCTGGCTGAGCTCTGTCAGCATGCGACTGAGGCCATCCTTGGTGTTGCCCTTTCCCTTCACTGTCGCATAAGCCAAGGCCAGCAAGCTAGGCGTGAAAAACAGGCCCACGCCAATCAACGTGTCTTGAAGGGAACAAGTGACAACATTCCTGATCCCGTGTTTGCTTTGCCTGTGCTGTCTCTGGAAGGCATGCCTATGACAAAGAGATCGACTAGATTGGGAGTGTGATATTTGCTGCCACGACGAGGTTCTGAACGGCAATCTTGAATTTCTTATACTCAATGCACTGCAAGGCTCTGCACTGTGCGAGGTGCTACAGGACGATCGCAAAGATTGCCCACAAAAGAGCATTGCTCCCAAGTCACTCCACGTTCATCTAGAGATTCATTGCCATTGCGAATTTGAGATAGTTTCAGCTGATTTGATCCGAACAACCAATTTGATCAGAACAAACGTGGGTAAAATGAGCTTTCGAAATTCGAGATGATGTCGGAAATTAGAAGGACTGATCCCTCAGGATGAGGCATAGGGTTTACAATTCCTGGGTCACAAAATAGAATAGAAGCCAAAACAAATTTCAACAGCCCATATATGGGCTGCTATATAGGTGCAGTCCAACTACCCTTGCAAGTCAACACTGGTCCACCAGCCAAACACCTCTCAAAAAGCAACTGATGCATTAAGCCACTTATGCCCTTCACACTGACGCCCTCATATACTTACAAGCAAATCGCAGCCTGCTCCTCTGAGAGGATTAAGTGTGCCTTCCGCACACGGCGGGACATGGCACAGTGCTAGATCTGCTTGCCCAGGTCCACCTTCTTCTTGATGGCCTGGTGGCCATGGTAGATGAAGGCGTCAACAATGCCCGCCACGGTGAAGATGCCTCCCACGATGGCACACACGCTTGTCAAGAAGTGCAGGAAAGACATCCTGGTCTCGTGGTACTTCACCTGCGCCCAACACACCCCATCTTTGGATGCCCCTCTCTACACGTGTTGCACCAAAAAGTGCCAAAAAGTGCGATGTCCGGCACCTGCAGGGAGTTGCAACTATGTGATGGCAATAGTGCATGAGGAGGTCTGACCTTGATGGGCGAGAGGTCATAGTAGAAGAAGACGCCCGGCAGCTGCGCCTGGAAGTCTTGGGACCCCTTGAAGTGCTCCGTGACCGAGTACTGGTTGCTGTTGATGGTGTGGTTGTGCGAGTTGACATATATAGTGGGCACCACCTGCGCGCACGGCAACCACCGATGATAAACCTGGCACTGGTGTTGCTTGAGTACCGGTGGCATTGATGTGTGACTGCAAGGATGTAACACCTAACACTATGTACACCATTATCAACAGATCTCTTTCATCATTAAGGGCCTTATGCATATCCGGTGCTGACAGTTTCCTGCAAATGGCATCAAGATCCTGCCAGCCTCCTCCTCCCACAAATCCCGAGTGCCCCATGCCTTCTTCCATTCTGGGATTGAGTGCGTACACTTCCCACGCACTGTTGGGTGCATGCAGAGGGCAGCATCCTAAAGAGAGGGGAAGCACCTTGAGGAAGTACTGGTAGGCTCCGGGGAGGCCCTGGGGGTTGCGTGTGTTGAACTTGGGCAAGTTCACGCGGTCCAGAGGGTTGGTCATGCCTGGGTACTCGTGCCCAAAGCTGAGCTTGTCGATCCTGTGGCTCAGGTCGAAGGTGACCCCCTGGAAGGGCACCAGGTCGTGCACATGCATCGGCCCCTGCTGGAACGACTTCCCAGGTGCAAAGTGGAAGTTCCCCGCCACCTGTGTGCCACGCAGACACAACTCTTGGCCCTTACACGGAAAGAATTGTTGACGTCTTGACAGTGGGCTTGTGCGTAATCACGTGTTGTCAGAATTGAGAGGCACTCTGATGCATGTATACATCACAAATCGATTGGTCAGGCGCCCAAATGGCACAGATTAGGCAAAGAGGTAGGCAGACATCAAGGCAGAGCGAGCGCCAGAAGATAGGAGAAGGGGCCGCCTCGCAAGTGCACATCAGGTAACAAAAATACAATGATACCCCGGCCCAGGAGCACTAAATGACCAGATTGCATACATGCACAGGTTCCTATCGACCACATCAAGCAAAAAATCTCCAGCGAGGCTTCCGGCCATACGGGCAATGGGAATAGCCAATAGCAGGCAAGCACCTTGTTGACAGCCAGGGAGCCCCACATGTGGCACCCTTCCCCCTCCTGCGCACGCAGCTTCTCCACAAAGCCCTCCTTCGCGCACTGTGATATTTGCTGCGGGTCTGTGAAGCCCCAGCCCTTCCGCCTGTACGCAGCCCGCACCTGCAAACAACACATCCCTATCGCTTTTGTTCTCTAACAAGAAAACGAAATCTTGTATAATATAGAGATGGTGTGTGCAGGCCCACATTGGCGCGCTCTGCAAGCCAATTACTGTACTGGCAGTGATTGCATGGAGGCCGCCTGACACTGATCTAGAAAGATCTCATCACATGTTGGTCGATGAGCCTCAATGGAGATTCGGAAAGCAGCACACCTCCTCACAGTTGTTGCAGCACTCTTCATCAGGCGCCGCGCCATAGCACGATCCACACTCCGTCTCGTTCGCCTTGTGCAGCAGCGTGTCATCCAGCTCTGGCCCCACCTGGTGCTTCTCTATGCTGTCCGGAATCACCACCCCATTCGAGTCTAGCCGCCGCTTATACACATCATGATCCTGTCCACAAAAGTTCACACTGAGCAAATGCAGTCAGTTTCCTGCCTTGTTACGACGGTATGGCAGCTGAGGATGTGGGAGACTGCTGCACAAGACAGGAGAGCTTACCACATCCAGATGCATCTCTCCGCTGATATCCATCAGGTCTAGGCTGATCCATTCGCATGGGAGCGCAGGAAATGTCATGTCGAACTGGAATGACACAGACTCACATGTCAGCTACGCTGCAGGTTTGTATCCTACATCAGGCAGGCGACAGTGGCGAAAGTAAAATATGAAGCCATCGTCTCGATACGCACGTTGATAGATAGTTGATCCCCTCTCGTAGTGTCTACCGAAAGCTCGTTTGTGGTGGTGATCTTCATGAAGAGACCTGTCCAGGTGTACAGATTTGATCAACCATCAACGCCAAAAGCATGCGCAGCGCCACCCGATCGGATTAAAATTCTGGCACGAACAAACCTTCGAACGGCTAGCGCTGAATGAAAGGAGACGAAACGCACTTAATTCGGACAGGAAGAGGCAGAGCATTATTATGCTGCTGCCAATCGTTATGATGCCCCCACTTAAAGTTCTCTGAAAGAAGTCTTCATTGACTTTTGGATAGGCGTCCAGATTCTTCAGTTTACTGACAATCCCCTCCATAGGATCTAAATTCCGCCACCACCTTTTGCTCTTATGTTTCTCGAGACATCACTTCCGACCATTACCGAATTCAACTGATCCCAAGGAGAGCCACATTGCGCCAAATCTGTTTCACGTCAAATCAATCAATGAACAAGATCAATTTCAACGTCCTGCCAGCAGAAGCCACAGGATTGATGGACTTTGCATGGCCCGCGCCTGGAGAGGTCTTTGAGATCAATTACCAAGATCGCCGTCGGCTGCGCGCTCTTGTCACTCTAAATCACTGAGTTGAACATGAACCCAACTTCCTGCCCTGGAGGAAGCGACTTATAAGCGCTGTAATGTAACTGTCAATACCTGTAGACATGTTTGACAGTGTGAGACAGTTAAAATTTGCTCCAACTTGATTTTTTTGGGAACATCTTGATCTGATCTGACCAATTATTCCCGATATTTCGCGTCTTTTGCACCTGCTGAAGTAGGGATGGGCAATTTTTATGAACAATGACACTCAGTATGTTGGACGATGTCCAACAAGGTCCTAATTCTGCGGAACCGGCCAGTCCTCCCTACACCGAAGGAGAGGCAGTTTCCATTCAGTCAGAATTGCAGGATCGCCTGCGATCGAACCATGCGGCAGAGGCATCTGGCCGTGTTCATCCAGAGCTTGCCCCTTTTGCCCATCAGCTTCGGCTGAAGAGGCAGGCCCTGTCAGCTCTCCTGAGCAACAAGGTTGCCCCAAGCACCATATTGGCTCGTCTGAAGCACTGCAATGCCTCAAAGGTGCGCTTTTAGAGCTGCTCTGCATGCCCCTAGTTTTTTTTAAACATGCCTGTAATCCTTCAGTCGGTGCAAACCCAAAATAGACCGCTACACTCACTTGCGGTTGCAACTCCAGGTAGCAAGTGAGCAGATCCAGGCGCCGCTGCAAGTGAATTCCAGCCTTCTCTGTGCGCATCGGCAAGATGCTGGGCAGGCTCCCCAGGAGAAAGCCGCTGCAGCACCGGACGTTGTGACCCTGCGCGCCGAGCGATGCAGAGCTGCAGAGCACGCAGTGCAGGACCGGCTGGATCAGCTGGCAAAGGGGGCGCCAGATCTGCCTGCACAGCCGCAGGCACGCTCTCCCCCTCCTGTCCAGGCGCAGATCCGGATTGAACAGCAGTCACTTCCAGCGGACGAAGATCACAAAGCCTGTCATACCATGCCTTTTGCCATTCTTTAATATGAGTTCTCCTGCCACCAGTTTCTGTGCCAGCTTGTTTCAAAAATAGGGGTGCATGGCTGAGCATTGCATTGTCAGCAGGTCGAGCAGATGCAAGCGCTACTAGAGTGGAAGCGACTGCACTTGCTGGGGCTGCAGCGGGGCCTGCGCAGCCAGGTGGCGGCCGAGCAGCGGCTGCAGCAGGACGCTGACGTGGCGCAGCTGGCTGACTGGACCGCCTGGCGCCGGCCCATGCCGGACCAGCCGCTGCGGCCTCCGCCGCCCCTTGTACCTCCCGTGCGCCGCGCCGCCGACACCGGCGCCTCGACGCAGGAACTGCACGCCGAGATGCTGCGGTGCGCCAAACTCTGATCACTTACATGCTCTTCCGCAATTCATTGGAATGCATCATGGCGGCCCGCCTGCTCTCCCTGAAACCAGCCCAACTACGCACCTACCGCCACTTTTGGCTACCTGGTATGCCAGCGAGCAAGTTCTGCTCGATAGGTACACACGATTCTGGTCTATTGTCTTGTGAAGAAGGGAAACAGACAAAGATGAGGATCGTGGTGTGCAGGGCAAGGGCGGCAAAGGAGCGGGAGGCGATGGAGCAGAGGGCGCGCATGGAGCAGGAGAGACTGATGCGCAATGCGCAGATCCGTGCGGCCGACAACATGCGCCGGCGCGAGGAGATGCTCGCCCGCCAGCGCCAGGCCAACATGGCCAAGCTGGTAAGCCAATTTGACACTGCATGCCCCTTAATCTCTTGTATTGATGTAATTTTGCTGATGCAATTAGCTCCTTGTGTTTGTAGGTATACACAGTCAAATTGGTCTAGCAGCTGTGGTGAGGACTGGGAGCATTGAGGGTCACAGTTGACGCGGGGTGCTTGTGCGTGGTGCAGAAGGAGATCCAGGACCGGCGCAACTTCTGCCAGGAGGTCATCGCCTTCCACCGTGACACACTGCGACCTGCCGGCCTCACCGCCGCCAAGCGCCGCATGCAACGCAACAACGGCGTGAAGGCCTGGCACGGTGCGCACCCCTTCCTTCCCTGATCTGTAGCAACGATAAGCCCGCTACCCATGTGGTATCTCATGGGGTCTTGACGGACCCTCCTGATGCATGCATGGCCATTTGTACTCCTTCATCAACACTATCCTGGTGGGGTGCTGCTGAGAGTGTGTCAGGAAAGGGACCAACCCCCATCGAGGGAAGGTACAAGTGGTGATCGGTTCGGTGCAAATTGTGCAGGGCGGGAGGGGCGGCGTATCGGTCGGGAGGCAGCGGCGCGCATAGTGGCGCTGCGGGAGCAAAACTACGAGGAGTATCTGCGGCTGGCGCGCACCACCAAGGACAAGCGCCTGCGCACGCTGCTCGACAAGACCGACGCCATCATCTCCGATCTCGGCCTCAAGGTGCTGCAATTGCCTCCTGCTGGTGTGAAGGGCGTGGCTTATGCCCCAGCAACTGTGAAATCAACAAAGCAAGATTGGAAGATCCAGGACACCTCGCCCACCGCTGACTCGTGTCCAATTTCCGTACAAAAGATGCCAGGTCGGCGCACCAGTACTCCTGCTTACAAGCACAGCAAATAGTTGGACCTGCTTTAAGGAAGAGCCGGCGCAATAGATTTTCTGCTCACAAGCATGATGCTGGCTCACAGGGGCGTTTAATTGCATTTGAAGGAATGCCCAACAAAGCTTGTGATGAATTGTCAGTGTTGAACAATGAGAAAATGCAGCATATTGCAGATGAAACTCACATCAGCATGTGTTATAGCAATAGCTTTGAAGTCTTCGGTATCAAGTTCACGTGGCGGCTGCAGGTGGCTGAGCAGCGGGCAGCGATGCTGGAGGAGGCGAGCGCAGATGACGTGGCACCGTGGATGAGCGGCGACGTGGAGGAGGAAGCTGCCGCGGAGCTGCGCAAGAAGGAGGAGGACCTGGACGCCGAGACGCTGCACCTCCTGCACACGCAGCGCCAGTACTATGACTCCGTGCACGTCATCAAGGAGAAGGCGTGTGCACAGCTCCTTGCTGTAATCTTGCCTGTTTTCTATACTCCAGTGTTGCAGCAGTCAAGATTTTTTTCAAGGCAGCATGCCTGCAAGTGGCTGTCCCAACAACGATTTGGTAAGTTGCAGTTTTTGCCGCTTGCTTGTACTGGAATGACATGGCTCACTTGGCAAGTGGTTGAATGTCTAGTGAACAGCGTGGTGCCGTCCTCAAGCTCCGATCGTGACCAAGCGCAGAAGTCTTACCAATCCAAAGTCTTAACGAGCCTCAGCATACAATTCTAAACAATCGTCTGTTTGTTGCGCGGCAGGTGCGGCAGGCGGAGATGCTGCAGGGGGGCACGCTGCGCGCGTACCAGCTGGGGGGCGTCAAGTTTCTGGTGTCGCTGGTGAACAATCGCATCAACGGCATCCTGGCCGACGAGATGGGCCTGGGCAAGACCATCCAAACCATCGCCACGCTCGCGTTCCTGCAGGAGTCCAAGCGCAACAATGGGCCCCACCTCATCCTCGCCCCCAAGGTACTCCCCGCCCCTGCGTGGCCTGTTTTGTCATCCATTGTAGCAAATTAATCAATTTTTTGCAGAAGTGGGGGCTAGTCTCCTGTGAATATGCATGTGCTATCTCGCTGCTACCGAGCTGCAGTGCAGCCATGCTGTCAGGCTGCCGGTGCTCGTGTCCGGTCAATTACAAGCACATGCATGCTTCCAAAATGAATATGGTTCAAGCCCTACAGCCTGCAAAGCAGATCACCAGGCTCTGGGCAGATGCTTCTGCATGCTTGTGAGTGCTTGTAAGAATGACTGATCAGGGGCGTCTGGGTGGCTTCTGCGCAGGCGACGCTGTCGAACTGGATGAACGAGTTTGGCAAGTGGGCGCCGAGCATGGGCGTGGTGCTGTACGACGGGGGAATGGAGGAGCGCAGGGCCATTCGCGCGCAGCACCTCGACAAGCCAGCCTTCCATGCGCTCGTCACCCACTACGACCTCATCATCCGCGACAAAAACGCCCTAAAAAAGGTGCCGCCCTCTTTTGTAAACATTTCCTTCTCGGCACAGCATGCCCTATGTGTTGCAGCGTGCACCTGCGGCCCATTCCAAGAGTTCATCCTGTCACAGCATGACAACGATCATGTTATAGCGGCGCTAACGCAGTGGATGCGTCGCTGTAGAAGCCGCTGATGTTGATTGTCCCAGTGATGATGGAGGCGTGTCACTAAGCTATAGATCAATTGAGAATGTGGGCCTCACAGGTCCTCTCACGAGGATCGGACTACTGTTTAGTGGAGCGTTCAAGGTTACTATTGAAAAGTCTCGAAGTGTAAATTGAGAACCTCATTCTGTTGCGCTTGGGCTTGCAAGCAAAAGCGGTGCGCGCGCGTGGGTGCAGATCCAGTGGGAGCTGCTGGTGGTGGACGAGGGCCACCGGCTGAAGAACGCGGAGAGCAAGCTGGCGGAAATTCTGCGCACCTACGCGTTCAAGCACCGCGTGCTGCTGACGGGGACGCCCATCCAGAACAGTCTGGCCGAGCTGTGGGCACTGCTCAACTTTGTGCTGCCCCAGGTCTTCAACTCCTCCGACAGCTTCGACGAGTGGTTCGCCGCCCCCTTCAAGGTTGGTTCTTCCCACCCTTTCAAGGCTGGCCTGAAAATGGGATCACAGGCGAAGGCAGCAGGCTCTTGTTTTGATGCCCAACAATAATGGTGTGAGCGCCTTGCACGACATATGACCAGTTGTAGTGCGCTCGGTCTTCTGCACACCCCTGCATGATTGCCAGAAGGAGGGATGTGTCTGTTTGTAGCAAACGGGGTCTGAAGGGTAAAACTGGCATTTTTGCAGGGGCAGGGCGAGGATGTGGCGGTGCAGCTGAATGAGGAGGAGCAGCTGCTGGTCATCACCCGCCTCCACCAGGTGAGCTTTCTGCCTCAACACCAGAGTTCATACAACATGAATCTGCCAATCACTAGGCACCGCAGGAGTGCCATGTACTCAATCATGGCAGTGCAGGCCCCTTTTTCTCTCAGTAACTCTAAAATGACACATGCATGTGCATGCATTTGCCCCATGAGTTTCAGCTTCAAATTTTTGATGGCAATGCAAATGCAGCCCTTTTCTGCATTGTTAGCCTTCTGCCACCAATGTTCACAACAGGTGTCAGCAACTTATTTACCAGCGTCCCATAACTGCCAGTTTCTCACCCAGCATAGCGGTGCAGGTGCTGCGGCCGTTCATGCTGCGGCGCACGAAGCGCGAGGTGGAGACGGAGCTGCCGGGCAAGACGGAGCACATCCTGCGCTGCGACCTCTCCGCCTGGCAGCAGCTCTGGTACCGCCAGATCGCCGAAGAGGTGCCGCCCTTCACCCTCTCTCAGTCCCTGTCAATGTCCTCGATGTTTGCAGCTGCAGTGTGAGCTGCCTGTCTTGCACAGTAGATCACCATATGGTGACCTTGATTGAGTCCTAGAGACCGCCTGGCGGCAGCTGGCAGTGCAAGCCAAGTAGGTTTCTAAGAAAAAAGGCATTTAAAGACGTGGAAAATGCACCAGTCTAGGGTACAATTGAGCAGTAGCTTGCCTTAACACAAGCAGCAAAGTGGAACCAGCAGGAAATCTAACAAGAGTGCCATGTTAATCTGTCAGAGTCCTCTTCGATGTGCCGCCTGATGAAGAGTTGCTAGTTCTTCCTTTGCAATCTTCTCATTCAAAAATATACAAACTTGCTCTCAGGGGCGCGTGGCGGTGGAGGGGAAGGCGGCACGTAGCCTGCGCAACAGCGCGATGCACCTGCGCAAGGCGTGCAACCACCCCTTCCTGTTCCTGGCGGGGCAGCATCCGCCCTACGAGCCGGCCGACGCTGAGGAGATCGTGCGCGCCTCCGGCAAGATCCATGCCCTCGACAACATCCTGCCCAAGCTCCGCGCCACCGGTGCGCCGAACCCCTGCACGCCCCTTTTGTCTTGTTACCCTGTGCCACCCCTCTGATCTTATACCCCAATTGAAGCATACCGGCCCAGTCGCCCTGGTTCAGCCCGCTGAGCCAGGGATCTGAAAGTTCATGTACAGTATTCGCATATGTGGCCTGCTCCGCCATGATTCTTGTCTATGTGACAAAGCCTGGCTCTGTTCCCTTGGGGATCATGGCGGCATTCCAGTTGTTCGTGCCATTCTGTGGGTGCACGAATGTTTGGAGAAGCTGGCGTGGTACCCTGAGGAGGTTGATGCCCAGCCGCCCAGCTGACTTTCCTAATCTGCTCGGCAGTCCATTCACAGCTGAATGGGCTTGAGAGCACCTGTCGATTTGGTGATTCCTTGGCCACATAGTTGAGGACGTACCGATGGAAACACAATAGCAGGAACACTTCAACGGCTCCTCTCACAGCGGAACTTTGCGGACAAATACTTTTTCTTCATCAGCAAGCAATGCATGTGGTTGTATAGAGGATGTGGAATATGCATGCGTGCGTGCAGGGCACCGGGTGCTGCTGTTCAGCCAGATGACACGCGCGCTTGACGTGATCCAGGACTACCTCGACCTGCGCGCCATTCCCCACCTGCGCCTCGACGGCACCACCAAAACCGACGACAGGTGCCGCATTCATCCCGGTTGCCGTCCAGAGCAATTGGCATGGTGCAATTTTACATCATGATCAAATACCTGATCCAGGACCGAAGTTCAAAGAACAGCCAGTCTCCGGCAAAGACTTTCTGCATGTTTAACCACTGTGGCTGCTCGCGTCGACACAGGACAGCTAAATGCCATCACAGTTGTAAAGCAATAAACAGTGAGCTTCCGAATGTTATGCTGGAGCCTGGTAGGACGGGGTTGCATGCATGTGGAGAAGGAAAGTAACAGAATCTGCACTGGGGTGTGTGCAGGGGGCGGATGCTGGCGGAGTTCAATGCGGAGGACAGCCCCTACTTCATCTTCCTTCTCTCCACGCGCGCCGGCGGACTCGGCCTCAACTTGCAAACCGCCGACACGGTGCGCCTCGCTGTACAGTACAGTGTTGCAGTTGCTGTGTGTCATCCAGAGATGCTCTTCTTGTTGGTCCCTGGGGTCAGTTCTGCGATGGCAGCTTGACAAGCCATCATTGTACTGGCTGGTTGGAAGCAACAGGCAGAGCCTGAGATGCCTTCATGTTCAAAGCAATTCTGCGGAATGCTGCAGAATAAGGATGTGCTCGGGTCTGGTGTGCAGGTCTTGATGTTTGACTCCGATTGGAATCCACAGATGGACCTGCAGGTGTGTCCCCACACCAGTCCTGCTCCCACTATCCTGTTGTGCTCTGATTGAGCTCCTCCCAAGAATTTGTTTTGGGGAACCCGTTGTCATGAGCTTAATTTCAAGGCGGTAGTGTCAAGCTTTGGACACTGTGATATCTCGTTCGTCGTTCTTGGGAGATCCTCATTCTAGCACATCCTGGATGCCTCTGGAGTGCCACACTTTCTTTGGCCATGCTAGTGTGCAAGAAATTGCATGATGCCCCATCCATACTGGATTTTTCATTGCATGCCTATCCAATATCCGAAGATCAGGTGCATCGCAGCAGCGTCTCTATGACCGCCTTCCATCCTTCTCTATTCTGAGCTTTCCTCCACCAGATCTTGTTCGCAAACATGATAAAAAACGGTGGCTCCCCGGAGGCACTAAAATCCCGTGGCATGTGCTGCAGGCGGGTGACCGCGCACACCGCATAGGGCAGAAGAAGGCGGTGCTGGTTCTGGTGCTGGTGGCGGCTGGGACCATAGAGGAGGCCATCCTTGACCGCGCCCAGCAGAAACGCGACATTGACGCCAAAGTCATCCAGGTGGGTCACACCCCCACCCCCTGCTGGTGCCTGTTCTGCCTCCTGCCTCTCATATTCATTCCTAGCATGCACGCCTCTCCAAGATGCGTCAGGACGGGACTGCAGCAGTGTTGCAGCTCAAGAACCAGCTGCTCTGCAAGAGATTTTTGGAGGGGCAAAGCACCATTGGCTTGAGTGTATTCCATGTGGCAGTGTAGAGGCTGGAAGTGAATGGGCTGATCATGGCAACGTCACACCTGCTAGAGAACTTCTCATTGATGCAGTACCTGAGATTCACGCCCATCCTGAGGAGGTGGCAACTTTGTGTTATGGCAGGCGGGGATGTTCAACGACGAGAGCACGCACAAGGAGCGGGTGCAGGTGCTGCAGTCGCTCATGGCCAAGGGCACCGGGGACGTGGGCAGCGGAGTGCACACCCCACGCGAAATCAACCAGCTGCTTGCACGCACAGACGCCGAATTCCGCACCTTCCAGCAGGTGCGTGCACATGCCCCTGTCCTGGTGCCACATGAGATGCCACACTCCGCCGCGAGCAGTATGGCCGTCAAAACGCTCGCTGCCACAGAATTTGCAGACTAAAATTCTGAGGATGACATTCTGCCAGGACAACCCTTACAGTCCTTGCAGCTCCGACCTTGCCACATAAGTGCACTCGTGGATTTCTCGGTGATAATTCTTGGCACCAAGGGTACAGCACAAGAGCACTTGCTTGGCAAGCCTGTGCCTGCATAACAGGCCTGTGGCACCTATCAAATCTGTGGTGTAGTGACTGATGATGTAGCAATACAAAGTTATTAAGGTATTTCGCAATGCAGATGGACCGGGAGAAGCGGTCGTTGGGCAGCAAGGCGGCGCAGTTGATGACGCTGGACGAGGTGCCCAAATTTGTATTTGAACAAACCTCCGAGGCCAAATCAGGCACGGCGTCTGACGAGGAGGGCCTCGATGACATCATGGACCCCCGGCAGCGCCGGCGGCTGCTGCGCAAATCCGTCGCCCAGTCAGAGGTTAGTCAGCCTTGGCCACTTCTGACACTGATGCTGCACCCGACAGCACTCTTCAGATAGGAGTGCAGCCTCCGCCGTGCCATATTCAGCTTTGTGGGCAGGCGGCAGAATCCGCAGGCCCTGATGCTACAAGCCAGGAAGCATACTCGCATTCCCAGATGTTATGTCCTTCTCAGGAGGCATGTCTGCAGTCCATTTAAGCACGGCACCAAGCAGAATTTAAGGCATGCAGACGTGACACGTGATCTTGTGTGTGTGTGTTTGTGTGCAGACATCAGATGCAGCGGCGAAGTCATCTGCAGCGACGCCGTGTGCCAGCCAGAAGACCTCCATGACCAGCCAGCCTGCAAAGAAGCGGAGGCAAGAAGAGCAGGTACCAGTTTTTTGCATTTTCTGCGCATGTTCTGATTGCTACATGCATGCTGCCAGGGCCTTCAGAGAGCAAGCTCTGATTGTGTCTTTCGAATTCCACACTAAATTCCTCTTGTGGATGTAGAGGTCAGTCTTAAGAGGTGTGGTGTGGATGTCAGGTGGACTCTCCTGAGGGGTCAGAGAGCGAGAGCAGCAGCAACAGCGAGGGGGATGCGCCACAGAGGAAGCGGCAGCTGACAGCCTCACCTGCACCCAGCAGAACCAGGTGTGCCACCAAACTCTGCGCCTTGCTTGTGATTGGCCTGTTTCTTTCCTTTGTAAGTGCAGTCTGTCAAATTGCCTACAAATTGCTTTCTGTACTTTGCGGCAGCCTCGAATGGCCAAGAGAGGAACGAAAGGTATTGAAGGGCCCATCAGCTTTGTGATCTTGTGGTGTTTTGACGTTGTCTGTGCAATGGCCTCAGCAGGGAGAGTCCAGCTGTGGAGATGGTGGAGGCAGCAGAGAATGGGAGTGGCAGCAGGGGCCGCCAGTTGCAGCAGAGGGGAAGAGGGCGAGGCAGGGGCGGCCGTGCAAGACCACCAAGGAAACCTTGATATTGTTCTAAAGAATAGAGAAAAGAAGGGGACGGCTGCCCTGCCAGGAATGGCTGTCCCTGGCTTGCGCCATGCTGATATTGCTCTTGCTTATTCACCCTTGTGAGAATATAATGAATGTCTGTGAACACTTCAAGATGTGCGCCAATGCCTCGAAGAACACAGGGATTGACAGAACATTGCAATTGTGGTTGCTAAAGTGCATTGATATTACTGCGAACCTTGCATTGAATATAGCCAGGTATGAACTGTATTTAGTGCCGGCTTGCACCCTAGTAAACCCCAAACGACCAGAATTGCAGAGCGTGTACTGTACTCTTTGTATTCTGTATGTAACACCGTGTTGTGACATGTCATTGCCTCATCATATAAGACCCTGTCCATTCCCCTCGACAAATCCCCAACTCAGATAGCAACTCTGTGCTTATGCCACGTCAGCTGCCTGGCCATGGGACGTGCGGCTTGGGAGGATTCAATTTGCTGGGAAGGATATAGCCAAAGTGATTGCCTTTCCCCGAGGGCCTTGCTGTGATGTGTCGCGCCTTCTTCATGTTCAACAGCATCTGCTTCATGAAGCGCTTGCTCTTCAGACCCTCGTTCTGCGTGCACACGTTTGTTTAGTAAAATGCTCGATTGTAAAAGCTGGGTCCATGTGCGTGCAAGTGCAGGAAAATGCACACCTCAGCAGCCTCCCAGATTTCTGCAGTTGTTAAGGGCTCGTCTGCATTCTTGAGGATGGTAAACAGCACACTCTTGGCTCCTGTCCTGTATTCCTCGCTGACTGGTCTCAAGTCCTGCTTCTTTGATTTCGTGACTCCTGCATGCAAACGATGGGATCCTTCAGCCGATATGGCCATGGGACAGGGCCTTCACAATGACGGCAAGATATCCTGCCTACCTCCTAGTGGGTGTTTGCCCTCTTCTGCAGCAGTAGCGATTTGTCTAAAACCTAATCCAGCTAAATCCTGGCGTAGAAGCCTGGTGAAGAAGGGGTTGACCAGGCTCTGTAGCCGGTTCCTCATTCACGCTGATACTGTAATGCAGTACCAGTTTCCTTCTCTGATATTTTGATAACAAGAGTAATCAAGAGAAAAGACAGTGATGCTGCAGAAGCAGAAAGATTTTTGTCAGTTGCAGATCGCCCCTCAGATCACCATCGCTGTGACGGCAAGTCAGGCAATTTCACACTGTTGAACGCAACCTCTTCTTGAGCCTGAAGCACCCTTCAGTATGTCGTTTGAGCGCCAGACTCTTGGACCGAGGAAGGAAGGAATTTCCTCCAACTCAGCAAATGTCGATGTGGAAAGGTGTTGCCCACCCCTATCACATCAACCCTAAATTGCATGGAAAATGTGAGGATACTCTCTTCCTGAATGCATTCCAGCGAGTTACTGACAACTTGCAGAAGCTATCATTGAGCTTGAGATGAAGACAAGTACATGTGCTCAGCGCTTCTGAACTATTGCTTGCAGAACCTGGGCCCGTTTCGAGTTTCCTTGGAAACTTGAGCTGTCGCCTCGTCAGAAACCCCGGACCCTGTCCAGTCACATTTGGCCATCTATCTCTTGCCATCTCGGCCAAGCAAAGGACAGCCTCGGCCGGTGTACATGCACTTTTTGCTCAATCTGAGAGCAATGCTGTCCTGAAAATATATTTCGAGCATTGCGTGTTCCTAGGCAGCGTCAGGGATGTCGCAATTTTCTCTCCCAGCCCATCTGTCCCCACAGACTGCTCATCGACAGGGAAGCTCTTTGACAGCCAACTCGCAGCCATTGCCTCCAAGGCACAGATGTGGTCCATTGTTGCGTCGAGGAGATATTGGCAACGTACGAGCTCAGGCCAAGAGCAAGAAGACCAACCCTGATCCCCCAGATACGCCCAAAGATGAAAATCGTCTAGGGGGCAGGGAGTGGCTGCAGCAGCTGCTGTCCAAGTTTGGACCGATCACAGAGAAGGCCATGAATACACACGTTCTCGATTTCGAGAAGCCGCTCGTCGAGCTGGACAACAGAATAAAGGAGGTCTGCCCTGCTTGTGCCTTTCATCTTATTACTAGCGCTGGCGAGAACCGCACAGTTTGATGGAATACCTGCATCAGAATACTTCCTTATATCGAAAAAGGTTGTTTAGTGCATTTGCAGCATTGTTTCTTGTAGCTGATCGTTGATTCACTTGTGAACTGACTTGCAATCTATGAACGCTGAATATGTACAGTGAAGTTTTCGCTGGCGATGCCAAGCATCTGTCGTGCACTTGTGGATTATGCTAAAACTTACTGCATTTTTATTTATGTATTCAGGTCAGGAAAGTTGCAGAGGAGAACGGAGTGGATGTCTCGGAACAGGTCAAAGAGCTCGAGGCAAGGGCAAAGCAGGTAGGAAAACCCTCTGCCACAAGCTTACAATGGAGACTTCAGTGCAAAAGTCCGCTTGTAGGATCAGCATCAAATGCTGCATGCATGGCACCCAGCTGTGATGCAGCGATAGCAATCTTTGACGAGTCCTTTTCTGTCTGTGGTGCAGCTGCGCAAGGACACATACACGCGGCTGACGCCGGTGCAGCGCCTGCAAGTGGCGCGGCACCCCAATAGGCCCACCTTCCTGGACATCGCGCTGAACATCAGCGACAAGTTTGTGGAGCTGCATGGCGACCGCGCCGGCCTGGATGACCCTGCCATGGTCTGCGGCCTCGCCTCCATGGACGGTGTCTCCTTCATGTTCATCGGCCACCAGAAGGGCCGCAACACCAAAGTGCGCAGCTCACCTGCTCACCTGCTCACCCTACATGCCATGCATGCATTGCGGACACCGTTACGGCCTTGCATGAAAGCTGTCAGCTCCAGGTGCATCTGAGAAGTACTTGTCAGCGACCAACGCCACTACAAGTCGCTTTGAATTACACGATGGGCTCTTAATGAGGCAGGCTGATGAGGGGTGACAGTGTTGTCGTGTTTATTTGGAAGGCTGAAATGTGGGTGCGCACGTGCAGGAGAACATCTACCGCAACTTTGGCATGCCGCAGCCCAACGGCTACCGCAAGGCGCTGCGCTTCATGCGCCATGCGGACCACTTTGGGTTTCCCATCGTCACCTTTGTCGACACCCCGGGCGCCTACGCCGGCAAAAATGCCGAGGAGCTCGGCCAGGTGCACTATCTCCCCTTCTCTAAACTGGATGCCAACGACCTGCCTTCACCTGTTAGGCACCTGTGGCTGCATCACAATTGTCCGAGGTGCAAATGCGTGCAGCGATTTCTGATGCTTTTATTGATGTGCAAATGTTCACGCAGCAGGTGTGGTGCTGCCCCCTGCTTGCAGGAATCTAGCCAAAAGCACCTGCGCTGCAGACCTTGAAGGGACTTGTGTTGTTCTGCAGGGTGAGGCGATTGCAGTGAACCTGCGGGAGATGTTTGGCTTCGAGGTGCCCATTCTGAGCGTGGTGATCGGGGAGGGCGGCAGCGGCGGCGCGCTGGCCATCGGCTGCGCCAATCACAACCTCATCATGGAGCACTCTGTCTACTACGTCGCCTCCCCCGAGGCCTGCGCCGCCATCCTGTGGAAGTCTCGTGACAAGGCCGCCACGGTGCACCCCACGCCCCTCCATCCTTTCATTTTCGTACCTGCAACTTGTGCTTCCGAGGAAAAAAAATTGATAAATTCCTAAATTGCCGACACTGCGTTTTGAGCACATCTAAGCATTTTACCTGGCATTATGATGCTTCAAGTGCAAAGAAAAGGCAGCAGGCAATTGCTGCAAGAAGAATGTGAGATGCAGGCTGAGGAAAGGTGGTCTTTACACGGCATGTGTGCTGAGGGCTGGGGTCTGTGCTGGCTGCTTGCAGGCAACAGAGGCACTGCGCATCACATCGTCGGAGCTGGTGACGTTTGGCGTCATGGACACGGTGATCGAGGAGCCGCTGGGAGGCGCGCACGCCGACCCCATGGGCGCATTCCCCGCCATCAAGACCGCCATCATGAAAATCTACAACGACAAGTGCGCCACCCAGCCACTTGCTCTGCATGTCTCTGTGTTCGCTTGCATGTGCATAAGCTAGAAATTGCAAGATGCACTGCACAAGTAGTTTCGAAACAAGTGATCCCACCTGATTTGCCACGACATCAGAAGTGACGAGCTAGCCCCCACTGACACTGTCAGCCGCATCTGGCGACAAATGCTTGCTGCTGGAGTGGAGGGCACCAGGCAACAGGTGTAAGTACTAGGTGCCGCCAAGCTCTTTGCATGGAGAGTGTTGGGAGGCATGTTGGGAATCGATGGTGTTCAGATGTGTTGAGCATGTGACAATGGCGTGCAGGTACGCGAAGCTGTCACCGTCGGAGATCCGGCTGGACCGCTACGCCAAGTTCCGCAAGCTGGGCATGTTTGAGGAGTTCCTCGTTCGCGGCGGGCAGTGGCGGGAAGCACGCGCCGCACGCGCTGCCGTGAGCCCCTGTCCCACACCCTCTGCCTTGACATGTTTCTAATGCACATGCAAGCTTGCTACCACCCATGCTCATACCCTGCTCCCACACACTATTCAACACACCTGCAGCTTGAATTCACCCGCGCTAGTGTACTCTGCTCTGACATATTCCTGCACGTCAAATCTTGGGACCTCGCCCCAAGATGCGCAAGTCACAGCCACAGCCGCAAGGACAGCACAGTGGCATTGCTGTCATGTCCTTCAAAAAGTTGGCTGATAGAGTACATTGTGGTGCAGGCGGAGGGTGCGCGCACGGCGGCGGGCACATGGGCGCCGAATGCGGAGGAGGCGGAGCTGGTGGAGCTGATCGTGGACAAGGACGAGGAGTGGGAGGAACGCCTCAAGGGCAAGGAGGCCTGGATCAACAAGCCCGCCCAGCCGCCCGGCCTCCTGCGCTCCGGTGCGCGCGCAACACTTCTCCCCACAACATATCCCCTGCTTTAAAATGCCGCCCTGGCTTCACTGCAACTCCTCTGGAACATGAGGCGTCAGCCGACCCCATAATCGGGCACCCCTCATTTGCATTGCTACTTCCTTAGAAGATTAGTGGCAAGAGAAGTGGAGGTTGTGTGTGGACAGCGTGTGAGTAACGGTGGGGCATGTGCAGGCATCATGGAGCTGTCGATCTCGATGATCGAGGCGCGCAGGCGGCAGCAGGCCGCGGCCGCGCAGGAAGCCGTCGAGCAGCGCCGCTCAGCCCAGGCCGACAGTGGCGCCCCCGCACAGCTGCCCTCGGTGCGCCGCATCTCCACTGGGACTTTGAACATGAATTCTTGAGCCCCACAGACCATATGCAGACGTGTAGGCAGAGAGCACAAAAGATAGGATCAAGGGCTGCCTGATGTGATGCTTGCAACATAGGAAAGCTCCCAACCACATTGTGTAGGTTAGCCTTGGCATAAGGGGAACCTCCTTGCTGTTGATGCCTCAACATTGCAGGACATGAGCCATGTGCAAGTTTGCACACGGTTGGTGCTGGTCCAGAATTGCAAGTGATGATGGCCGAGGGGCTGCAATTGCCTGCTGTTGCGCTGACGCGGGTTGCGCATGCTGCTGCAGGGCAATGGGAGCTCGTACATTGCGCACAGCGACTCGAAGGAGCGCAACGGTGCCCTGGTGGAAGCTAAGGCTGACAAGTGAGCATTGGAAGACTAGCCAAAGCTCAGAAGCAACTAATTTCTTGGGCCAGTCATGGAACGGCTGAGGAAAGACTGTCGAGGCTAGGCACAGCGCAACGCAACGCAGAAACTTGAGGGCTTAACAAGCTTGCAGCAAGGAATCTGAGACGAGAGGTGCTGAGGAAGAGGGGCACAGCGAGACCACATAGCGATTGGCAAGGTAGCGAGCGAGTACAACAGAAGACATTAGGCAAGTCAGCAAGCTATCAAGGACGAGCCCATACCAGGTTGCTGCTTCTCCCGGCAACAGGGCAGTGGAGACGGCAGGCATGCGGGGATATGAAATTCTGAGCATCAGAATCAATATTTCTCTTGTGCGGCGTGCTGCGCCCCATTGGACATCTGCATAGCATCCCAGCAAGGACGGCCTTTTGCTGCTTACAACCTCTTAGCTACGCATGTGGGCCCCTGAGTGCTTTGGATGCAAACTGCATTGAGCAAGTGAATTGAGACGCGGTTGAGAGATCACATGTACTTTCCTGAGCAGTGTAGACGGCAGTGGTGACATCTGCTGTCTCCCATGTATTTTTTCTTCTTCACAGAGAGCTTGACATGTTTGCTTGCCAAGATTTGGTCATGATATGTATGAGAGAGATGTCAGGGACATGTGGAACTGTTGTGACGTTGGTGAGAGGTTTCACTCCTGGAAACGTTCTGAATGAACATGATGTGAGCCATGAGCATACCATAGTCAAGAGCCCTTGCCGGTATGAGTACGGCAATGACTTGCACCCATATGCTTAAATTGCCTGCAATCCAGGATAAATTTACCACTGCACAGGGCACAGCATTGTTGTTGATGTCAACATAAAGGGCTTGCCTCCAGATCTGCGAAACAGACAGATGGCCAGGGAAAAGATCTTGCTTTGACCCATACAACATATATGGTACCATATAAAGGGCGCTGATGCCCAAAGTAGTGCAGATAAAACACTGATGACTGTATGGCTCTAAACCATTAGCAGTCCTCTATAGCTAGTGACTGGCATTCTGCACATTCTATCACAGTGCAGCCTGGCCATGGCTCAGTATTGCAAAGACTCTGAGGAAAAAGAAGACATCATTTCAGCTTCAGTTCGGGAGCATGTCCCAGTTCATGCGTATACTACTGATGATTGCCACCCCAGGCCAAGACCAGGAACACTGAAGCATTGCTAATCTGGCTGGCTGCAAGGCGAGTTGCTGCTCAAAGTAATGTTCCGAGTCTCTGGCTGAATGGTTCACTATTTAGAAGCCGCCGCCTGCGCTCGCTTTTTGCTGGAACCGCTGTATGATGAACTGCAGCAAATGAAGGGAACGCTTGAGACAATATGTTGGCGCGTGTGAAACTCAACATATGCTGTTGTGAGCACTGTGGCACCAGAGGGCCTCCACATACACATGTGGCAAAGCTCAGGAGCTAAGAAAATAAGGTTATTTTCATACCTGAGTTGTTTCTATGAATCGCTTTGCACAGTCGCTGAGACAAGCCTCCTCTCTGCTGCCCAAAGAGCGACCTGGTGTGCCAACGCATTTGTCCCAGCATGTGTCTGTCAATCGTGCGACTGTCTGCTGCATCTGAGCCTTTGCTTGCTCATTGAGTAAGAACTGCTGCAACTCGGGTGATATTTTCTCCTCAGAACCGCTCATCGTCTTGTCAGATCACTTTTTGCCAAAAGACCTTCCCCGAAAATAAAATTATACGGTGCGTTCGTCGGCTTCTCTGAGTGGATACCAAATGATTTGCGTGAATGATCGTCTAGATCTGTGATGCCGATGTTCACAACAACAATGCACCTAGCCGAAGCAGCTCCAGCGAAGAAGCTGCGGCTCCCCCGCAGGTCCTCCCGCTCTAGCTACTCATTCTTCCGAGGAAACTGGCCCTGCTTCCTTTCTCTTTCAGTTCTCCGGTTCCATCAGATGAGAAAGTAGGGATCCAACCATGGACATCAACGCCATTGAAGGAACCGTTGAAGGCACTGAAGGCGTACCACTTCCGTTTGACGACAAGAGCGGTCCGCTTGCTATTTTTAGTTCATTCTGCTCCTGGTGTATCCAACTGTATTCAGCTACAAATCATCTGCTAGTCATAATAAAATCGAGCGATCTCATCTCTGCCGTTGGAATGATGCGTAGATCAAGACGGCTTTGGAGCTGTAATCCCCACGCTCGGCATCTCTGCCGAGAAAGTGACGGATGATCAAATCGATGAGATTGCCGAAGGTGCAGTCGCCGATAATAGTCAAGCTGAAATCGAGAATTATGTCTTCGAGGCTCCCGAAGTATCGGAGGCTTATGCAGGCCCTGCGGACGGCGAGACAGCTGCGGGTAGGCACTCTGTGCCTCACACCACATCCAGATTCAACATCTGCATCACATGTTCGTGAGTTGTCCTCCAGTCTCGATATTTATATACATATTTGGCCTGTAGACCACCCTCATCAAGACGCAAGACAGCATCTTCTGCGTCTTGCCAATGTAGAATGAAAAGAGCGCCAGGCATCTTGGACGTGTCTATTTCTCTTCATGAACAGCAATTGGACCTGATGCACCTGCTGTTCCCCGCAGAATCACCCCTTACAGGAGAGGTGCAAGATGGTCTCATTTCTCAAGGAGACCCGCAAGCATCAGAAGTGGCAGTCACAGATACGCTTGAGCACACGACGGCGGTAGTGCAACCTGAGACCGTCGCCATCAAGGAGACATCTCCTGAGGATGGATCTTTGGATGCTGCAACCGCGGTCGTCTCAGAAGAGCTCCCAGTGAAGGAGTACCTGGATGCAACAGTGGTGCCAGTCCTCAGGGATGGGCTGCGCATTCTGGCCAAGCAAAGGTGCGCCAGACCACCCATAAAGGTTGCCAATTGAGCCACAAATTGGCCTTTCTGGGGCTTGCTTTGCTGCAGGAGTGAGCTGATGCACATCAGGGGTGACAGTGTTCATATATGAGATAATGTGGATGCTGAATGGCCTCTGCGCTCTGTGATTTGCGCAGGCCAGAGGACCCATATGAGTTCTTGGGAGACTATATCAAGGCATACAAGGGCCCTGGGCGGACAGAATCATCCGTGTGATTGGATGCCATTGTGCCCAGCACGTGCTCTATTTACTGATGCAAACAGACTGTTGCAGAAGCTCTAAGCATGTGCTGCTGCACTTGCATGTTGGAGCTGCAGATGTCTCAATGGACTGTCCCGGATTGTGCTTTGGCGTGGACCTGCCATTAGTGGTGACTTGATGATACTCTCTTATGAAAAACTATGCCGTGACTATGGTGCTGCAGCTCCTGATTAGACACCCATTTCGTTGTTACATTCTGTTTTACCCTAAAGTTTCTCACATTCAATCACTCGTGGCAATTTCCTAATGATTTGTCATTGCTAGCTGTCACCCATGCACTTGCCATGCGATCTGATGCCTGACATGAGTGTCTCCTACCCCTGAGATCTCATCGCCTAAAGAATAAAATTGATCCGGACGGTTGTGACGATAAAAAACACCAAGAATTGGCACATGCGTGGGTGCCAGCACTCGCATGGCCAGCTGTAAGGCAGCTGTGTCTGTGATGACGCCGCTTGCATGACTTGCCTAACCCCACTGGACGACACTGTGCTCGTATGGTCTTCTCTTAGTCTTTAATAACTACCTCTCGCCCTCAACTGAGTGGCACTGACCTCGCTCGTCTCCAGTCCCAAGGGGGCGCGTGGTGCAGTCAAAGGTCTACATTAAATCTGACATTTGTGTAGTAGCTAGGGTGTCTCTGGAAACTTTACTGGAAAAATCCGCATCCGTCACTGCGCAATTACATGCCCAAAAGTGTTGGAATGCGCCCTGAACAGCACAAGGTCGTTCGAAATCTGCTCTGCTCAACGTTCGTTTTGGAACATCCCAGAGTGTATATCAGTCATGTCTCATGCAAGGCGCAATGGCACCTTGCAGGCCTTGCATTAACAAGTTCCGTGAAAGTTCAGCTAGATATGATGATAATCAGAACAAGCATCCGAGGTGAAGTCTGCCCACCGTTGTAAGCACACCAGCCGGCAGTGTGCCTGGCTCAAGCCACTGCTGTCACTGCTACCAAGAAGGTTCTTGGGTGCTCCGGCAAGGGATGCCGGCCGGCCTGATCTAACATTGGCGAGGCTGCTCCAACGAGTAAAGAGACAAAATGCGTCTCAGAATTTCAGTGTCTCCTTGTTATACATGCCGGGTGCATGTTGCTGCAAATTCCGGCTCTTTGCTAAGACAGTCCACTACTGAAAATTCAGGTGCCCCTTGCAGGCAAGCTCCAGGGTGATCTCATTTCTGCTATTGCGGTTTGTTCTGAATCCCTACCCTCCATTGTCCTCTCATCCTCGCCTCACGAGGGCTGCACAACAGAATATCCGCCCGCAGCTGCCCTGGGGGCCTTTCTACTGTGCTACCCTCCGGGCAGGCAGGGCCAGACACCCAATATTCCCTCTGCTCCCTCCTGCACGCCGCCACACACACGCCCGGCCGGAAAAAGCACTCGCCCAAATTGCGCGTCTGGCCATCCCATAAGCTACCCAGGCTGGGAGCTTATTGCATCTGGCCCAAGCAGCTATGTACTCCACTGGACAGCAGGTCAAACTCCCGATGAAGCAGTGAGCAGGGACCCTCAGCTGCCTTGCATATTTCAACCAACCGGCAGTCAGGCGTCGGGCGATGAGCGCCTGTCAGCTGCGCGGAAGGTGTGGAAGCCCTCGATGAAGTTGCGGCAGAAGGGGCACAGCGGAGGTTTCTTGTTCACCTCGCACAGGCGGATGGCGCAGTCTATGCAGAGACCGTGGCGGCACCCGTTCACCGCCACGTCCAGCTCAGCTTCCAGGCAGATGCCGCAGTCGTCGTCCTCGCCCGCCAGCTCCGGCTCAAAGCCGGTGATCGACGCCGCGCGCGAATGATCTCCCACCGGCCGCTGACTCGCCTCGCCGTTGCCGCGCCCGCCGCGCCTGCGCACGCACACCAGCGCCTCTCAGCTTTGCTCACTCTCGCACATTTCTGGCACTGGCCGTACCTGGCTCTGCGACACGGTGTGGGCTGTGGCTACGTCAGACATGTGCCATGGAGTCTGACTGCTACCTGCCTGGCTGCAGGGTGCGCAGGATCCGGGCTAGAACAGCGCAAAGAGAGCCGCCCGCATCAATGAGGCCCTGTCCTTACACATGTCAATGCACAGCATGCATGGGCAAGGGCCAGGGGTGCTGCATCCTGACTTCTGATTGGAAAAAAACGGTTGTTAGGTACAGTACCCCCGAAAGGGCCAGATAAAAGGGGGTGAAAGAGGGGGGAGCGCACTTGAAGGAGGAGAGGGTGCGGCGGATGGAGAGGCTGGACTTGCGCACAAGGCCAACAGAGAGGGCACGCCTGCTCAGACCAGCCTCCTCACGGCGCTCGCCGTCAGAGCTGCCCTCCAGCGGATCCACTGTCACTGCACGCTCCAACTCCTGCAGCCGCTCGCTCATCTGCACAAGCAATTCCTCAGCCCCTGCCTGACATTTGGGTGACAAGAAATTGCACATGGTTTCTGTATCCTGGCAGACTGAGCTGTCCGGCAAAAACGAATCCAAAGGAAAGAATATCCCTGGGCCCCCATGCCCACAATCGCTGGGCACCTTGCGTGTGCCTCTGTGACAAAATAAGCTGTCCAGTAGAAGAGGGTCTGAAAGAACCACACTCCTCAGCGCCTGCCTGACATTCAATGGGTTGCTCACATGCACACGGCCTCTGCACTGTGGCGGACTGGGCTGTCCAGTAGAACAGGTTCTCAAGAATACATATCCCTGAGCCCCTTGCCTGACATTTGCTGGACATTTTCTTGCACATGGCTTCTGTGTTGTGTCAAACTGAATTCTTCGGCAGAATCGGGTTGTAAGGAACGATATCCCAGAGCTTCCTGCCCGCCCCTGCCTGGCGTTTGCTGGACAAGTAGCTCATGGCCTGGGCATTCTCGCAAAGGCCTTGTACTACACTGCACAACTTGCTCGCAGAGGGCCTCTGTGCTCTGGAAATTTGAGTCCTCCAGCAAAGAGGGTCCTGACAGGCAGACATAGGAGAATTGAAGCTTGGGGAGGCATGGCCTAATCACCGTGTTCTCCAGGAAAGAGCCTGTCGTGATGCGCCTCGATATGAACGGAGCGGATGCGGACTTGGCCCTCAGGGGGCCGCCGTCCGCTGAGTGTCTACAGCAGGTGTCGTCACCGGTCGAGCTTGGTCCCCGGCTGCCTGTGCAGATGCACAGAAGGGGTCTCAAGCCCTGAATTGTGTTGTCTACTGTTGCCTTTGGTTCTGGTCTGGTAAGCAAGTGGATCTTACACCAACAAGGAGTCAGACTTGACCAAGTAGAGAGCAGGCAACTCCAGGACGCAAGCCTCGCACCCGCTCTGCTCTCTGACAGGATCGCGCTGCCGTCTGCCGCTGTGAACGGGTTCAGCGCGACCCGCTCAAAGGGGCTGACGGTCGCGCGGTGGCCCGCCGCAGGCTCCGGAGGGGCCGGCTCGGGAGTGGCGGCCTCAGCAGCCGCCCCAGCGTCCGCGGCAAAGCCCACGCGCTTGGCAGCGGATGATGAACCGCTGCTTCCCGGCCGCTCCTGTCCCCTGTCAGAATCCCTTGGTGCTGCCGCGGCCAAGCTGTCCTGTCCAGCCGGCGCTGGAGGCTCAGGCTGGGGTGAGGCGGAAGGAATGCCGCCGTCCGTGTGTGACCCGGCCGATGCGAGCCCCTCGTCCTCGTGCTCCAGGACATTATGGAGGGTGGTGGCGGAGCAGGAACGCCGCGGCAGACGGTGCGGCGGCGGCAACCCCGCGTCGGCCGGCGCGCCGGGGCCGGCCGTGCTCGAGGACGCCTCCGGAGCCGCCTCCAGGGCCACCACCGGGGCCGTCCTCTGCTTCCCTGCCGCCTGCTGCAAGCGCGCATGATTAAGTCGAGGTCGATCAAAGGTGCTGATAGCAGACATCTATGCAGGGGTTCAGGACAGGGCGCAGATTACCAAGGCATACATCGTCAGACAAGTGAGTTCGCTGGCCCCTAGCATTCCCCCATAGATGTGCAGCACAGTAGCAATGGCAAGATGCTGTGTTGTACGCTGTTACATTTTCTGATTGCGGGGGGCGCTTGCCTTGAGCTGCTCGGCGTGTTTGCGCATGCGCTCGGCGCAGACCTTCTCCACCTTGAAGGTCTCCAGCCAGTCCAGCAAGTTGCGCCGCAGAGCGTACGCCGCCAGCGTCGTCAGCTTCTGCGGCCCATACCCTGCGTTCCACACCACAGCACCCTCAGGCTCACTCAAACATGTCGCAGCAAAAGAAAATGAAGAAGAGCAAAGTGCAAGACATGAATCAAGCAGGCTACAGTTGCTTGCTGCCTCTGGCTCAACATGTCTGAAAGGCCCCTGGTGACCCTGCTGTCCATCAGGATAGACCTCAATCAAGTTCAGGACATCAGGAACATTTCAACGATATTAAGCCAAACCAGAGTAAAAGAATACAGATAGGGGCAGAGGCCCAGGCAGGGCCAGTGCATGAGGCCCTGAAAGAGGGGCTGCGCACCGTCGTCAAGGTCGCGGGCGGTTTCGAGGGCGATATCGATGGCGATGGTGGGATTGAGCACGGTGGCGGCCTGGCGGAAGCCGCGCTGCCAAGCCACGTGGTACGGCAGCTGCCGCAGGGAATTAGTCACGCTGCGCAGATCGATGCGGCCGTCGCCCTCCCACGCTCGCCGCGCCACCTGCCCATCCGCAGCGCGCAGTCCCCCTCCCCACGTCCCCAGAGCGTCCGCGTGCGCCTGCGTGCAAGCCACCAATACTAACACAACACTTCACAAGCAACATTTTTGTGGTTGCAGAATGGCCGCGTGCCACTCTCAGCCCCGTACACGGTGGTTCCTGAGCACGAGGGAGACACGACAGCAGTCGACGCACATCTGCTTCTCGAAATTCCACCCAGATTGGCAAGCATGAAGCCTACATCTCCCCAACTAACAAAAACATATAAATTTGCTCCAATGCTTGCAGGGTGATTTCAGCAGGCCTCTGCCTAGATCGGTGCAAGGTTCAGCTAAGCGCTGAGTGGTGTTTTCCTTTGCACAGCTTGACTATGACGAGATGGAGGAGACAGAGGACTACTACGACAAGGACGGCCCTCGCGATGACGAGTATGAGAACGTGCAGAGGGCACACCTCTTGATGATACAGGGAGCTCAGCCAGCGCAGCCTTAAGATATGAATGTGGGCAAGGCGCCGCAGGACACAACACATGGAGGGTGCGGTTGAAGGGTGTGTCACCTGCAGCATGGCTTGGAGGATGGCGATGTGGCCGCGCTGGGCGGCGAGGTGCAGCGGGGTTGAGCCGGCGGGGTACTGCAGGGCGGAGGTCATGTCGAGATCGACCGTGCGCACCATCATGCTGGCGCCCGCCCCCAGCAGCGCCTGCACGCACCCCACGTCCCCCAGTGCCGCCGCCATGTGCAGCGCCGTCAGCCCATTCTCCGCGCGGCTGTCCACGTACCTGCGTGACGCCAACATGATTGATAGCTTGCTTCCTCAAATTAGCAAGAATCAGACTTCTCCTGTGTTTGCTGGTGAGAAGGTTGCTTGGCGGTCAGAAGTTGCAGCCACTCTTGCACCTGGAAATGCCTCGACAAGCACAGCAGCGGTGGCTGTCATCCTTCACGACTCTTGAGTAGTGAACAGCTGCATGTGTGTTTAAATTGCTGAACTACGCAAGTTTAGCAATGATAATGAGTCCAGAATGGAGCGAGCTCAGCAAGTGATGGCTGGGCTTCTCAAAATGAATGATGACACAGTCCTTGAACTGGGCGGGGCTTTGCAATAGCAAGATCAACCAAGAGGCAAGCACAGTGCGTGGCAAGGGGAGGGCGCACCGGCACTGGCCGCTCATGTCGTGGATGCGCACATCGCGCAGGGGCACCTGCCCATCCTCCGTGTGCACCTTGGCGCTGTCGCTGAGCAGCAGCTTGAGCACGTCCGTGTGCCCGTTCACCACCGCGTAGTGAATCGCGCTGCGGCGCTGGCTCTTGTCCACCGCAAACACGTCCGCCCCCTGATCCAACAGGAACTCCACACAATCCACCTTCCTGCACCACCCAAGACACTCCCTATGCTCACACCGTAAACTTTGATGTCCTTCACAGGAAAATGGAGCGTCCTGTGGGCATCCATCGGCGGGAACCCATCAGGTATGAATGTAGAAAGAAATCATGGAAGGTTGGTGGGCAGGCCAAGACCAAGGCCTGCTGTCCTTTTCCAGTTGTGGCCTGCTCTTGTGTCGTGCATTTCAATGAGCTTGCAAGCGGCAGTGAGTGCATGCAGTGAAAGCTACGCACCCGTTCTCAGTAGCCAGCATCAGCGGTGTCTTGCCGCTCAGTGTGCGTGCGTTCATCACATCCTTCACAAAGCGTCCCCAGGTGAACAGAGTGATGCTGGGCTCCTTCAGCTCGCCAGTGCTTTCGCCGCCAGCGATTTGCGCAGCTGTGGATTGCAACACTTCCACCACTGCCTTGAGCACCTCCACGTGGCCTTGCTCTGCAGTGCAACGATAAGTGTGAGGAGTCTGCACAGAGTCTTAATACAATCACAGATGAAGTGCATCACTTGGATTGACTTGCAAGCGTTGCGCGAGCCAAGGGAAACAAAAGGAGCAGCCTTGGATACTTTTGAGAGTTTGGGGTCCCCACCAGCTGCGTGATGCATGACATTGTACTGATAGTTGAAGAATGTGAAATTTGCAAGCTCTGGTTTCACTTCCAGTACCTGCACAGGATAGAGCGTGTACTTCAAGACGTCTGCACAAATGCTTGACACGAATCGCATGGCCAAAGATCACAGGTGTACATGAATAGCAAATTATGAAGCTCGTTGCTCGATCTAAATGGCAGTGTCGGTGTGAGATATGAGTTGCCAAATGTGAAAGGGGCCAGCAGGATGACGCACAAAAGAACTTAAGCACGTACCTCTCGGACATTATCAGGAAGACCTTGACATCCCGCCGAAAGAAGGCTTCGACCTCCAGGAGAAGCGCAGGAAAGAACAGCCCCCATGTCCCCACAGATGTGGACTTGAAAAGTCAAGGGTATAGTGGCTGATGTATCACAGGGTACACAAAAGTCACTTATTGCTCAAGGTACTCCGGCCCATAGATCAAGGAATAAATGCTCAAAGAACGGCTTGGACGAAAAGGTTTTGCAGGACCTGTGACTAAGTCGACGACGACGGTTCACCGTGTGGTCTTTTTCGAGATCCTACGCTTCACCTTCACACAAAAGCTGGCACATTGTTTGCGCTGCCCATAGGGCGGAATAGAAAGTGGGATCGTTTGCCCAAACAGAAATGTTATGTGATAGCTTCTCAGGGCTGCCTGGACGACGCAGAATGAGTCATGCCGATGCCTATGTGGAATCTCATTCGGGCTTTTGGAAGTTGAATGCGAAGTTACCAATCGATTCAAAATTCAGTTTGAAAGGCCAACTTGAAGTGGCGAAGAGGCCAGTTGGAAGGCCACAAGACGGAGGGGTGATAAAAGATTACTCGCAGTTTTATGTGCAATTTGCTTCTATCTAATTCAACTTCAATATGAAAGGTTGAGATTGTCGTGATCATGATGATCGTGCCATCCGGTCACCGGTGGGCCATGGCCACTGCCAGTGGCCCTGGCTGGCAGCTGCAGCCGGGCATGGCATGCCCACAGGATAGATCTAGGTCATATGCAGCATATGTTGTGCCAAGATCCAGAGGGTTATTACTGATCACCTGAAATATTCTTACTCTTAAGAATGTGCAGTTGGCCCATACATGGGATTCCCCGTGATGGGAACCATGGATGGACCATGAATGGGCCCATATAAGAACAGGCTGGCACATGCCTGAGATTGCTTCAGCAGCTGGTCAAGGTAAGACGCAGGAAGCTTCCACCGAATCCTACTTGAGTCGGAGTCCATGGCTGTCGGCATATGTCGTTAGCGCCACTGTCATTGGGATGCCATAGTAAGCATCCGACGTCAACTACCTTAGCATGTCACCGGAGCAATTCGTGTGTCTTTGAAGTACAAAGTTTTTTCAACATGCATGCAAATCATCATCAGAACGTACACGTTGCCTTGAGAACAGACCTCCTTTGACGAATATAGCGCTCGCTCTGTCATTCATTTCATGCTTATGGACATAGCCTGCAAAAACCCGATTTAGAGTGACTTCCAAGCCACAATCTTGAACTCGAGGACCACCAGAGATCAACAGATCAGGCGAAGCTTGTTGGCATTGTGGCACCCCAATTCAATAGACAGTCTTCACTATGCACAGCCAAGATCAGCCTTGCAACCCAGCATTGGTGCTGCCATGTCAATCTATACTTGGCATGCCCACAAAGCTGGTAACGCTGTGATGCACCATCTGCTAGCGCTGTTGAAAGTCTTGAAAGCAATTTGGCCGTGACAACCTCACACTGATCAGTCTCGCACAAAGATGAAAGTCCCTCCACTGCCTGTCTGGGAGCCAATCAGCGTGTCATCGTCCAAGTACGTCAACAGGTAATCCGACCCAAAATTCCTCTCCAGACTGGTGGAGGCGCTCTGGAATAGGGCTGGCAGTCTGGCGCGCAGCGGCACAAAGACCTCCGCCTCCCTCAATGCCAGGAGGACCTGATGATTCAACCAAGACCGCGGCAGTATTGCAGGGGCCAAGAGCAACTCCAGCTCATCTGTGATACTCAAGTTCCTCACTCCAGCTTCCTGGAACATCAGGCGTATGCGCTGAGGGCTCCTGATGTCATACTTTGCTCGCACCTCCACGGTTCCTGCCAAGCACATGCACAAAGGTGTCAAGATTCGGCAGATCATCACAGTGATTACTTGGCAGTGCTGCCAATATGCATGACAATATAATGGAAGCAAGGCTGAGCAGATCAGAAGCCCACATGTATAAGGGCAAACGAGCTCACCTTTCTGGAGTAGCATGGGAATGCTGAACTCGATGATGTTCTGGACGTCGCCCTGCTCCACATCTGAAAATTGCTGATAGATGTTGCCGACTTGAAAGGGTGCAGGGCGATCCGCAATCAAGAGTGGCCTGACATCTGGGGCTGTTGTGTATATCAGTCTCCACCTGCCACACAACGCAACCTTTTGCCATGCGTTGCTTGTTGTGCAGGCAAGCATGGGCACTCAAAAGAAGACCTCTATTCGTAATCAAGGATTCTCACCTGCCAGGCAGCAAGGTGTAATCAATTGCCCTGTTTGAAAGGGCCTCCAGGCCCACCTGCAATGAAGACCACAGGAATTGCCTTAGTCAGGCTCTCCTCGACGGGTCTGTGTACTGTCAAAAGGATCCGAGTCCATAATACTTCATTTCGTTGATCTCACACTCCTATTACTTGTGTGTAGGACTTCCAGCGGTCACCTGAGCGTCTAGTACTTCAGCCCTCTGGGAACTCGAAGCAGTGCCGCCTCGATTGGTTGGTGCAATTGCATCCAGCAAGACATACTTGGCTTCCGAGATGTCTACACTACCAGATGCAGATCTACAAGAAACAAAACTCTTACGTCTGGGCCGATCACATACATGTCGTTCTGCAAAGAAATGTCCATGCTGTCTGATGCCAGATGTCATCGAATGCATACAGTTCATTGTGATCGATATTCTTATCATGTACTCCTTCTTCCAAATCATTGCATGGATCGAACTTATTTCGGTGAAGTGCTAGGAACGCCGTTAACGTTGGTTGGGATCATGCTGTGACAAAGCAGAGCATGATGTTCCACTTGCACAGGAGTTACATTAGTGGACGTTTTCGTTACCTTCAAGATACTGTATTGTGCAGATCAAGCGTTTCCGACACATTGAAGACTTTGACAGCTGGGGATGTGGCATGCAACAGATTCAGTGATCTGAAGCTTTTCTTTTCTTGCCGAATGGTTGAGGGCAGTAAATCTGAAATGCGATGATCATTTAGCAAATTAGCAATGAAGCCGAAGCCGAGCGAGCTGCGTTTTAAGACTCTGTGCGACTTTTTCGACGCTTGCGCTAGTCGGAAAAAGTCATCAAGGAAGAAGGAGCTTCTGAGGGATTTTGCAAACAAGTTCATAGAGCGTGGATCGTCCGATGTGTACGAGATCTACCGCCTCATGGCACCCTCGGTAAGTCGTTGCTGATCAGTTGAAGTTTTCTGTCCTCCTGTGAACAGCCAGTATCTATCCTGACACTGATATTGATGATCAGCTGGACAAGGAGCGCGACCACTACAATTTGAGAGAGGCAAACCTGGTCAGGGTCTTGATAAAAGCATGCTTGTTGGACCCAAAAACATCCTCTGCAGCAAAGAGAGCCGAGAACTGGCGCCAGGCGGGCGTGAAGAACGCCGGGCAATTCTCAAATGTCATGGAAGAGGTATGCTGGGCTGCTTGAAGCTTGTTGCTCATGGCTTTGCTGCAAGCATGTCCTCTGAGAGTGGTGTGCATGCGCAATTGCGTGCATAATTGCAGTACCTCTTCCGGACGTGCTGTGGGAAGCAGAGGGGCATGTCAGGAGAGGCAGAACTGACAGTGGGCGAGCTCAATGACATTTTGAACAAGCTAGCCGGCGGCGGCGGTGAGGAGCAGGTCAAATTGTTCACGCACCTGATCCAGATCACCACAGCCACACAGATGCGCTGGATTGTGCAAATTGTTCTAAGGGACCTCAAGGTGCGATGCACAAGTATCTGATGTACGTAGCACTCCTCTTACCTACCTATCTGCTTTGTTTATTTTTTTGGATGAGGGTTGGACAGTAATGGGAGCTGTGCATTTGTGCAGATTGGACTCTCAGAGACGAGCATCCTGAAGGAGTATCATGTGGACGCTGTGGAGCGCTACAATGTCACCTGTGACTTCCCTGGGGTCATCCGAGAGCTCACTGACCCGCACAAGAGGTTTCCGTTCCAGGTGTGCAGGACACGCTATGCACCACTTGCTGCTCTCATGCGTTTTTGCAATTATCAGGAGCACTGCTGATTATCAGGAGCACTGCTGATTAATGGAATGCATCATGGTGACAGGACATCAAGGTTGGCAAGCCTGCCAAGCCCCAGCTGGCCAGAGCTGTGAAGGGGCCAGAGGAGGCCTTCAACATCATGAAGGGCAGACCATTCGTGGTGGAGACCAAGTTTGATGGTGAGCAAGTCTTCCTGAAGCTGCACTCCTGGCGGTCTTGTTCCCCAGCAGCAGACTGGCAAGTTTTGACGCATTGTGAAATGCTGTGCAGGCGAGAGGATGCAGGTGCATGTAATGGAGGATGAAGTGCAGTACTACAGCCGCAGGGGAATTGAGCATGGCACCTACTCCCACTACACCATGCTGGACTCTTTCATCAGAAAGCAGCTGCGAGAGACAAATGTCATCCTTGATGGCGAGGTTGTTGTCTGGAACAAGACTAAGTAAGCACCCATATAAATATGGTCGTTCTTCCTAAGCGAGAATCGATTGCAGCCTCATGTCCCCTTTTCCTATCTTCCACATCTAAAGACAATTTGGTGTGATGTGTTGCCTGCAGGAAGAAGTTTGAGCCATTTGGCGGCATGAAGGGGGCTGTTCTGGCGGCAAAGGACAACAAGGGGCCCGACGAGAAGCTGGAAATGAACGGATGGCACGGTGACACAATGACCAGCGACCCAGACTACGAGACGCCCTTTGTCAAGGACCTGGAGCTGGTCTTTGTGGTCTTCGACATCCTGTACCTGCGCGACCAGGTGAATCCAGCATTTTTATCTCACAAGGATTCAACCATTGCTATTTCCAGGTAGTCAGCCCTTTCCTCCTTTATTGTCGCTCGCTCTGTCTTCACTTTTGCAGTCTCTCTTGGCTTCAGTAGTCTAGGGACGGAGTTAGAGTGAGCGTTAAGAAAGCATCAAAGAGCATCTGAAATTGAAATACACTGGACCCTAATGCCAGCCTATATGCATCGAGAGGCCACCTAGAGGGTCGAGAAATGCAACCCTGACACACAGCAGATCAGGGGCAAAGTCAGGACCAACTAAGCAGTCTCTTAATACAGCCAGCTTGCATGCATGCAGAGTGTGATCAACCGGACCCTGCTGGAGCGCCACGAGCTGCTGAAGGAGCTTGTGATCCCTGCGCCTGCCGAGGGCCATCCAGTCAGCTGTGCCATGACTGGGCGAATGGTCTGCCTGCTGCCGGGCGCACCCCTCATCACCGGCGTGCCGGGCTCGAAGCTCTCCTACGTACTCGACGACATCCAGGAGAAGTTCGAGGAGTCCATCCGCGTCAATGTGATCTTTCCCCACTCCCCGCAGCAGCATCCATGGTGCATGTCTGAAATGTGACATAATTGAAGCTATGCTTGTCAGGCCCCACTTGCCCTCAACGCTTTTCTCGAACATCACCTCTGTCCAGTCACCATGACCCAGGGGAAATATTGTATCACACAATTGCCAGCATGAATTGAATAATCAACCTTCATGGGGCGCCTCGCTGTTGTGGTTGGATATTGCAACTTGTACTTTCGTCTTCTTGGTAACAAATTGGTAAGCGAAACAAATGTCGAGACGAACTTATTGTTTTGTGTCCGCAGGAGGAGGGGATTGTGGTGAAGGCGGCAGACTCGCCGTGGCGCTGCAACGACCGCGGCATGGCCTGGCTCAAGATCAAGGCGGACTATGTGCACAAGGTGGAGATCGACGCGGTCATCATCGGAGCCAAGTTTGGCACCGGCAGGCGAGGAGGCGCCATCGCTGAATACCTGCTGGCCCTGGCTGAGGTGCCCCAAGGGGGCACCACAGAGCCCTCCACCTTTGTCTCCTTCTGCGTGTAAGCCCCCTGCCCTCAGCAGCTGCCAGTGTTCCTTTGTTTCGTCGCACTGCATGTCAGGGCAAGGTCATGCACACACGCATGCATGCATGCGTACGTTACGCATGTTGTAATAAATAGGAAGGAACAGAGGATTCAGGGAGGGTGGGAACCGAGGTATGGATCTGCTGCAGGGTGGGCACAGGGGTGAATGATGCGGACCGTGACACGCTGGCAAAGAGGCTGGAGCCGCTGTTTGTGGACAATGTGAAGGGGAAGAACTGCGTCCCGCGCTGCTACCGCACGACTGGGATGCCAAAAGAGAGGCCGGACGTGTGGATCAAGGACCCCACTCGCAGTGTTGTCCTCCAGGTGACCAGCGCAGACCTTTCTTCAGATCATGCCATTCTGCCTTGGATCTTGATGTGATGTTTTGGACAGCAGGGAAAATCCCCATGACTGTGCCACTGAACATCCATGGAATCGCTCTCGACACCTGAGATTCCACAAAGGATCATGTTGTTTAGGTAAGCATAGAGAATGAGGGTGATCCTGAGTGTATCCAGTGGATGTGCAGGTGCAGGCAGACGTGAGGACAATAGTGAGCAAGCAATTTGCGTCGCGCCACTCGCTGCGCTTTCCGCGGGTGCAGCGTGTGCGCTGGGACAAGGGCCCTTTGGACATCCAGACCGACCAGGAGCTGTGGGACATTGTCGAGTCCAACCAGGGCGCCATTGTGGGTGCGCACCCCGTTTCAGCAACTGACACTCTGTAACCTACCGTTCTGTCACAATATCTTCTGTGAGAATTTTTGGCAGCATTTCTGTGGAACATGCAGAAAAGGTGCACTCTCCTTCTATCACATTATCTTCTCTGTTGTTTGCCACGATGAGGCTTCCCAAGACCTTGAAGGTATCGCGAGGTCTCCACATAAGCCCAGGGCTTGATGAAGCTGGGAAGCTTCATCATGCATTGCATGTCATCGGTAATTGCATGTAAGTTGTATGTGTGCTGGGGTGTGACAGGCGGGGAGGGCCATGACATGGAGAGCCCGGCAGGGAAGGGCAAGGGCCGGGGAAAGAAGCGCGCAGTAAAGGGGGCAGCGACGCCGGCACAGCAGCGCAGCAAGGTGGTGGAGCAGTTTCTGCCGACGGACGTGTCCCACATCCGCCGGGAGTGCGACGCGCTGCGAGACTCCCTGGTCTATTTTGTGCCTGCTCCCGTCAAGACCGCCAAGTACCCCAAGAAATACCTGGAAGAGGTCGTTGCGCGCCTCGGCGGCAAGGTGCCTCGCCTTAACTTGCATCTACTTTCTGAATGCATTGCAGGCAAGACCATCAGTAGGTCGCGTCCACTGCTCGCTAGCGCAGTAAGCAGATGCTCCTTTGTCATAGTGGAGCTATGTACGGCGTGCACTGCATTGCCGACAGAAGACCAGCAATGCATCTCTACCTTTCCTATCAGGTGCTTCCATGCTTCTAGCAGGTCAATGTGGGTCCAGCCAATAATCAGAATTGTACCGGGGGGTGCGCAGGTGACCCAGAACTACGTGCCGCGCGTGACGCACGTGATAGCGCAGGACGCGAACGATCCCTTCTTCAAGGCGCGCAGGGACAAGGTGGACATGATCAGCGTGGAGTGGCTGCTGGAGTGCGCTGCCAAGCAGGCGCTCATCTCCTTGCGGCCCCACCACTACATGCACCTCACGCGCGACACCCGCAACAACGTCCCCAATGTCTGCATATACGGCGACATGTGTGGCCTGCCCACTTTCTCTCTGTGTCACTTGACAAAGTTTTGCAGCAGTGGTCCCTTGGTTGCAGCCTTTGATATTGCTTTAGCAAGCCGATTGAAGTGTGGTCTTGATTCTGCTAGCTCTGGGATCTCCTGCATGGCATATACTATTCATTTCAGGAGCATGTCATCAGGGCGTTCACTGACAAACCTCAAAGATTGGTCTTCAAGAGAGGCTAAGCCGGAAGGACGGGGACTGTAGGTACTATGAGGATGTCAGCGCGATTGATGTGAAGGTCATCCTGAACAATCACGCCCACCTGGAGCCTGGGGCACTGGATGACCTGGCGGCACTCATGGCTGATGAGGCTGGCGAGCCGCAGCCAGGAGTGGCCAGCCGAGCAGATGGCACAGCGCAGCTCTATAAAAGGTGTGAGACGCTCGCAGGTGCCCAGAATTTGTTTTCACAGAGAACCTCAACCTTCCCCAAGTGATTCAGCATTATGGAAGTGCTCATGCATGGCTGAACTCTGAGCTCTCATATAAGGGACAATGAGAGCTCTCATCCATGAAGAGTTGTGTTCAAAGTGCCAGCATGAGTTTGCTGGAGAGAGATCTGGATATGGTGGCATGCAGGCTGAAGAGGAAGCCGGGTGTGGAGGACATCATGCTGGCGGTGGACAGGGAGCTGGCAGAGTATGGCCTGCTGGACAGCACTGCCTGCCTCTTCCGCGGCTGCCACATCTGCCTGCTGCAGCTGCCCGACGACACCTGCCCCGCTGCTAAAGACAGCGCCCAGGTCTGCTTCTCTTCCCTAATAATGCGCCAGCTACCTCGGATGCTGTGTGTACTGCTGTGTTGGCCTTTGTCGTCCAGACGATTCTGAATGGCAAGATGTGTGGTGTGAGCACATTAATTGGCCAGCCAGCATCGAAGGAAGCTTACGTAGGCGATCACACTGACATTTGTGGTAATGCAGGAGGGTGGACCACGGCTGGATTGCGCGCATGCAATGCAGGAGTCGGCTGCCGCTGCAAAGCGCGAGCTGGCTGCACTGCAAGCCCAGCGCAGGAAGCTTGAGGTACAGCACTTTCCCAACAAAATTGATTATTGCTGCGCCATACTCAGTGGTACCAATTTTTGCAATGAACCCCTTGCGTGAAGTGACATGTGTTCAATTATGGGATGGGTGCCCCCAGGTGATGCTGCATGGAGGCAAGGCGCAGGATGCCATCGACATGTCCACCACCCACATCGTCGTCATTCCCCCTGCCAATTGCGCGATGCCCCGCCTGAGCCCTGCAGACCTGCTGGGCATCCTGCACAGCGAGAAAGGCGGCACCGCTGGCCTCACCACCCTGCGCAAGCTGCTCGCTGCTGGCGAAGTGCACATTGTCATGCAAAGGTGCCTTTTTTCCCCCTGCATTCCCACCTTGCTGTTGCCAGTTGACACCACAGCGCCGTCAGAATGCTGTCTGGTGCTTGGGTGGAGTGACTGCAGTTGTGGATTTCTGTGCGCAGCTGGTTGGAGGAGAGCCTGGAGGCCCTGAGGCAGGCAGCAGAAGGGCAGGCTGTGCGGCGTGCATCGGAGCTGCGGCATACTGTGCCTCTGAGCAGTGACAGCGCGCCTGATACTGTAGCAGACGCACCTGAGGACATCCCCAGGTACGCCCACATAGCAGCCAACTCTTTGCAGCATCGTCTCGACCACCAGTGTTGGCATTTGCCCATGCAACAAGTGTTATTTTGGTGCTTCCATGTCTGATGTAGCCTGGATAGCACAGAAATGTGGACTCATATGTGCTCACCTTTGCCGCTGCCAGTTTTGAGGACTGGGGCTGGGAAGATTTCGGGGTGACCACTGCTGCGACGCCGGTCACCAGCGGCAAGCGGGGCCGCAGCACGAGCCCGGGAGAGGGGACCGCCGGCACGCGCGCTAAACGCGGCAGAGGCAGCAGAAGCGGCAAGACCGCCGGCAGCACAAGGGGCAGGGGCGGAAAGGCAGCCAAGCCGCCGCCGCTTGCGCCTGATGTCGGCAAGAAGCCTAGCCGGGGTGTGCACTTTACAAGCTAGCTGTGTCCATGTCGGCTACAGTTTCCTGTTGCTGGGGTGCTGATTTTCACATGCCATTGAGTATGCATGCACTAGCAGTGTGTGGGCCTGCTTACGCGCTCGTCATCGACAGGATCATGCATGCATCAGCGGAGGTGCTGGAAGCATTCGTTGCGGTGCAAATGGTAGTCTAAAGAAAATGCTGATATGGTGTTGATTGCCAGGTGGCGCGGGGAGAGGCCGAGGGAGAGGAAGGAAGAAGTACGTCATTGATGACACCAGCAGCAGCAGTGATGGCGAGCAACCAGACATGGATGCCAGCGTGTCCGCACGTGATGAGCAAAGTCAGCAAGGGTCACTGCAGCTCACCTCAGCACCCGAAGCTGCTGCTCCGCCCCTGATCAGTACGTTTTGCACTCTTGCAAGCTCGCGGCCTTTTCAAGCTGACTTTGCCAGATGCTATGCATGCAGTCAGCACTTGTCTGATGTCCTTCGCTTTGACATGCAGATGGCCATCAGAGCACGTCCATGCTTGAGGACCTGCTGAGCCTGCCCATCACAGGCAATGATGCTCTACCTGCACCAGCCATCGGTGGGTCCAGGCAACAACAAATGACTGGTATGCCTCCATGCCAATCATCTGCTGCCCTTGACTTGCATTCTTTGTCTTTTGGGTGCATTTGCACAATCTGTGGCAATGTGTGCACAAATGTTTGGTCAAGGTGGACCCGTCTTCTCTGCCGGGTCCAGGAAGCACCGGTGCTGGAGCTCAGAGAGACAGGCAGGCTTCCGGAGCTCATCATCCGCAGGAAGGCAGTGCTCACCGGTGGACACACGAAAGTTTACAGCCTTTGGCAGAGCCACAGCCTTTGGCAGAGCAGCCCACTGCTGAAGTGGGTACTTTAGCAGAGCGCCTGCCAGTCACAACCGCTCCAGAGGGTGCAGGAGAGCCTGTGCATGTGCAGCCCCCAAGTGCTGGCACACAGCCTATTGGAGCAGCCTCAGGGGCGCCAAGACTGTCCCTGAAGGAGCGCATAGCACTGCTTACACAAAGGAACAGACCAGCTGGGTGAAAGAGCAGGCAGCTGGTTGCTGTTTGCTGGGCTCTATCATGGCACTGCATGTGAACCCTGAGGTGACTGCGCAGTGATGCATGCAGATGCAAGAAATCTGCAACAGAACACCGCATGAAATGCACCTTTAAAACTGATGTTGAACATCTTTGAATTGTACTCCATTGCTACCAGCTGGAACTAATTTCTACTTGTTAACAAGCGCTCCAGACTGTATCATTATGATGCATGCCATTGGCATCATTCGTAGGAAGTGGCGGCAAAAGTGCGCCGAGAGTTGTAATATGTTTTGTTCCTCCATATGTTGGGAAGGTGCAGATACATTATGTCCATTTAAAAGATATCTGAGGCATCGCAGTCAATGTTTTTGCTTGCTGTTGTCTGCAAAGGAGATGGCCAGGGTGCATCTTGGGTGCATTGGTAAAGCGAGTTGCCTGAAGTGGCCATGAGCCTTGGACGTGATTCGCTTAAATTTGGACAGAGATAATGCACCTCGCGTACCGTGCTCGGATCGTCTCCCATGTTCAGAAGCGACAGATTGGCATTTTGAGGGCAGAATTGAGGCGCCTTATAAGGTCTGAAAGTTGCGAAAGGTGCGCACATATCGTTTCCGAGGTGGCCGATGCCATTATGAAAATCCGTGCCTTTGCTTCTTTTGTAACATGCTTGATGACAAAGGCATAGCTCAATGTTATAAAATGCAACACAATAGCCAAGAGGTATACAACGTGGTGATTTTCGTCGCGATGACAAAGCACCTTCTGGTCCACCTCATGCGACTTAGATAACGAGAGCGAAGTGCAGCCTACATTTCGTGCCAGATCTGGGCACAACAATATTCTCATCATTCAAAAATATTGTGTTCTGGGTGTTGCGTCTCCGCGTTGTCTCGCCTGTGCCTAGGCTGACAAAGCGGCATGTACGACCGCAGGCTGAGGCTCCGGTTGTTGGACTAGATCTACACAAAACATGGGACTCCCTAGATCTGCGGCAAAAACCCTGTGGCCACTGGTGGCCCTCATCGTCATCGCCTGGATCGTAGAACTTTGCGGGCTGCTCTCCCTGCACAGGTAGGAATACAATGGGAGAACCCTAGACAGCCTTGACAACATGCTTGTGCTCTACTGACCTTCAAGAGCTGCCAGGGACGTGTGTCAAATCAAATGGGAGTGATACTGCCTGTCAATGGTTTTCCGCAGGTCATGCCAAAATCATGAGCACCGGGACTGGTACAGCTTTGCCCAGCTGCCACACGCCGCAGAATGTGGCAAGGTCCTGCGCTATCTGTGAGTGCCCCAGACCCATCCTCTTGCCTCAATCTGGGAGGAACGCTATCACAACCAGCAAGTCCCACAGGAGATCAAGCCGAGTATTGCTTGCCTGAGAGCAGAACATATAAGTGCTGGGGCAAACCTCAACAGACACTGCTGTCCCTGGAGGTATCTGTGGTTGCCAGTGCCAAGACGATGAGCATTTCTCTTTGGTGTGCTGTGTGCAGGTGGTGGGTGGTGTTCCTGCAGTTCCCCCTGGTGGTCGCCATCATCTGTGCCCTCATCGGCTGGCTGGGTGCGTTGTCCTTACACCCCCATGGTGAGCCATTGATGTATGTTGCACTTTGGACCAACGATCCAGAAGCTTCTGGCCTCTGCTGAAGTGATGGATAGACAAACATCCGAGTGTGGTCATGCAGGCTCTGCCTACAATGCTCTGGCGCGCTTCAGGCTGGCCCTGATTGGCCTGCTTGCAACCTCCCTGGCGCTGCATATGTGGGCCACCAACGTCACCCTCAACCTGGCAGGTGCAGCACACCTTGGTTGTCACTGTTGTTGGGTTCATTAGCTGAGATGGCTGTGATGAATGGCTCCCGTGGCTGCCACAAGCGCCATGAATGGTGTGGTGGCAGTGCAGCGTGAGTTCTGGGTTGTAGATTTGTAATGTGTGCTGGCGTGCAGACTCTGACGCGACCCCCTACCTGAGCAAGAGCGAGATCACCCGCGCCCGCATCACCCTCGTGGGCTTTGCCGTCGAGTCCCTCTTCACGGCAAGCACCCCACAACCCTACTCTTATCTAGTGCACAAATGGGTTGTCAGTAATGTCACTGCACGTTTTGCCTGCTGGGAGAGACAAGAAGCATCTGCAGACAAGTCTGAGGTGACCATTAGAGATGCCAGCTTTAGGTGGACTTGTCAGATCCTAAGGAGACCCGGTGAAACATGGAGACGCCCCTGCAACACATATGATCCTCACGGTTTGGCGTGCCACAGTCTTATCAATTATAGGGAAGGTGCTCGCGAATAATGCCAGCCCACGCCAGCTGGGGCCATGCATGACTGCAAGCGTTGCTGATTAGTCGTGCTAAAGAAGCTACTGGCAATTGTTTAATGCTGAGCGGCTGGCATGGTGGATTGATTGCAGGCGCTGCTGATCATTGCGCTGGGGGACGACGGAGAGGACGTGGCCATGGAGCCTGGCATGGGCGTGCGCGAACCTCTCGCCTCCACCGCCCTGTAGCCTCGCACCAGCGCTGCACCAAGACCAAGCCCGGCGCCCGACACATGGCACCCGCAGTTCCCCAAATCAGGATCAAGCAGTGAGCTGCCTCCGGGCAGCAACTACCAGTCTTGATGAGAACATCAGCAACGGGGCAAACGGGCATCAGAACAACAAGCAGGAAACTGCAGACCATGCCTCATCTGATGCTCACAAGAGATCCTGCGCCATAAGACACTACACCAGCATGGCGTGGGCCAAGCTGGGTAACAAGGGAAGCAATAATCATTATGCTGTCTGATCTGCAATCAAGTTGCAGACACACCAACACAGGGCAATGTGCTGCTGAAAGCAGGTTGTATGCGATGAGTTGGAGCAGATTGAACGCATGATATGATGTCAGCCGTTTCTGGGCCATGCTTGCATGGAGAGAGATATCCAAATTATGAATGCACTGTGCATAGACTTATCCTGCAAAATACCTGTGCTTGGAGTGTTCGTCAGGTTGTGCCAAGTCACCATGCTTGATATGCAGTCAATTTTGAGAATGAGTGCAGGATGTTCCCTGCAGAAATTGATTTGGTCTGAACTTGTCCATTTGCGCTGCATGGTAGCATTGCCATCTGGTTTTGCTAAGATAGGCTTTTGAAATACTCTGAGTATAATGAAGATCCTTATAAGGATCAGATCCTGATATACTAATCAGGAGATTTTCCGAGGATGGTGAACATCTTACAGTGAAAGTCTGAACATCACTGGAGGAAACTGAAAAAAAAATTGTAACAGTGATGGCTATGTGTACACATGGGAAGCGCTCATACTTTTCTGCATTCACCTCGCCTCAGCAATTTGCTGACAATTCACTACCTAACTAACCATATTGTACAAGACCACAGCACACTGTGGCCTTGGGTCCAATCGTCTACACTTAGCCCTGCTCTCACAATGTCACAAGTCCTCTCAAAATTCTCTCTCTCTGGTGTAGCACACTCCTGATCATCGACAACCCTCTCGCAATCTCTGTCATGTGACACACCACCGACCACACTGCAGGAAAGCCCAGCCGCGCAATGACATACTGGGATGGAGGTATCCGACAGCAAGTGGTGCACAACAAGGGCACGGCAGCCCTCTCTCCCTACATGGCGCTCGCCCTACCTTGTACGAACTGCTTTCCCACTTGGTACAACGAGATGCTTAGCTGGCTAGATGTGCTCTGTTGACGCTGCGAGGCAGCCCTGCATCGTGTTCTGGCGCTTGAAATAAGCGCGGTATCCTTTGCATGCTCTCTTCGCTGAACATTTGGCGGCTCAGGCGGTGCCGAGGGCGCCCTGCAGTGCGCGCTGGCCGTCGCAGCAGAAGACCCATGCGGAGTAGAGGCAGGCGGCGCTCAGCACGGCGGCGGCCGACAGGTTGACCAGCAGCGAGAAGGAGGCCGGCTCCGCCAGCGAGGCCGCGATTCCCAGCATGACCAGCTCGCTGCCGCTGCAGAGCGCCACCTCAGCACTTGACACTGACGCCGCCTCCTTCGGCTGCACCGCCTGCGGCCGGCATCGAAGATAATAACGAGAAATGAAGTGACTCAGATTGTGAGGGGGGACCCTGCTCAACAGCGCCTTCCAATGAAATTTGTGCCGGCTGCAAGCAAAAGGCTGGAAATCGCTTGGAAGGCGGGCGGGGTTGCACATGAAATCACAAATGTTTTGTTAGGTGCAAGCAGCAACTGAGCCTTCTTCTGTCACACAAGATTTAATAAGAACCTTGTGCTTCCTTTAACATTTTTACGGCCTTAAGACACCATGAGAGGTCCTGTGCAGGTAGTAAAGGAGGGTGTTTCACACGCACCATCTGGAAGAGTTGAGAGTCCACCATGTCGTAAGACCTGCGAGGAGGCAGGCAGGCAGCAGTCAACACTGCAAGTACTGCTGTCATGTGAGCTGCAATGTGCGCAACATCAGCCAGATCTTTACTCTGAATATGAGTACCAGAGAAGGCGTATATATAATCTTGCATCAGCAGGGAAGCCCCACCAGAGGCCGATGCGCGAGAGCATGATCAGCGCTGAAAACACAGCGACGGCGACTGGGATGCCCATGACAGTGCCTCCCAGCAGCCCAACCGCATCAGAGGCAAGCACCTCCAGCGGCATATGCAGCACCCTCTTGTACAGAACCGCCGCTCCAACCAGCAGCACAGCCTACATGGTGACCATGAAAAATTACATACACGGGCACACTGATCTCCCTGGTGGTGTGGGTCGTTCTGAAGCAACAAGGACCTCAGGAGTATTGCAAGGTACAGGAAAAACAAGCGTTCGAGGTGCAGGAGGGGAGGGAGCCTGCCTGGAAGCTGATGGCAGCTACGCCAGCTCTGAGAAGGCCCAGCCGCGATATACAAAGCCTGCCGGCCCAGGTTCCCACAAATCCCATCGCCGCGCACCCACCCCTGCATTACACACATTCGGGAAGATTACATCAATCTAGAATCCCATGAAATCCACGCGGGGAGTATGATAGAAGGGAAGGAGCACAGATCTGCTCAGACTTGCACAAGAGGGAAGGAAGCGGAGACCCACCTAAAGAGGGCAGCAGCAGTGCCGCTGAGACCCCTTGAGGCCAGGAAGGCCGTCATGAGGCCGCCAGGGCCCAGCACTGCGTTGAAGTAGAGCATGATGTACGCGATGCTGGCCGGCAGAATCGGCTGCTTCAGATACAGCCTCCACCCCCACATCGTCTGCTGCATCTGCAGACATGGGTGCAAACTCAGTACACCACCAAGCATCCTCTTGATTAAAAGAGCATGCACTCCAAGCAACCCCACACTTCACCATCTATCATCATTGCTGCACACCATGACATGTGCATTGACCGTGTTCTGAATTGTTTGGGCAGTTCCCGAGTGCCCATCCGCATGGTCACAAAGTCGATACGCACCTTTATTTCTTTAACTGGGGGCACATCGGATCATACGGTAAGGATGCGCAAAGAGGTGTGAGCATGGGCAATGCGGAGAATGACCACCTGCAGGCCGAGCTGGTAGAGGATGCCGCGCAGGATGTGGCGGTCAGCATAGGGGCTAGGCGCCATCGGGTTGGCCGCCCGCTCCATTGCCAGGCTGCGCACTCGCACCATCACTCTCGGTGTCGCCTCAGAAACCTGCACTGTCGCGCAAATCGTATCTGATGTACATATCTTGCTGTGCAGGCGGCAACCCCTGCTGCAAATACAACAGCCAGCCAGCCCCTGTGGACAGTTGTTCTCAATCGGGACGTCCTGCCGCGTGATGGAGGAGGAGGCAGAATAAGCACAAGTGCACCTTGTCGAGGAGCCAGAGCTCGAGGGGCAGGCCCACAGCAGCACAGGCGACGAGGGCAATCAGCGCCTTGGCAGGGCCCAGCTGGGTGAAGCACCAGCCGAAGCACAGCGTGCCCACCATCTCTGACAGCATGTCCATCCTCCTGATTACAACCACCAAGGCATTTCTCTCAGGCCTCCATTTTTGTCCATTCAGCTTGGAACACTTCAATTACGAAATTTCCTCAGCAACAATCATTTTGAGTGAGGCCTGGGAAGGCATCACACCTCAGGATGGCGTTGCTGGTGGACAATGCTTCTGGATTGGTCTTCCCAGATAGCTGCACCCAGCATCAGAGTCAAGTCAGAGTCAAGATGTCTTTTGGTATGGTATTTTGCAGCAAGGTTCTGTCCATGATGATGTTAGCCCAGTCAAGCTGAGGCACGCATGCAGGATTGCACCTGGGTTATCCAATCTCTCTCGATGGCAATGTCCGACGCAAAGGCTGACAGCCTCTCCACCATTGTGCACCCGAGCAGAACCAGAAACCAGGTGCTGCGCTGCAAGTTCAGAGTCGGTCCCAGGTGCAATACGTGCACCATCACCATTCCTGCACCCAGCATCATGGCCCTCAGGTCTGCTTATGTGCAAGCAAAGATAATCTTTCCGTATTATGGCCATCACAGCCTTGCAATTTTGCTCCAGTATGAACTGCGCTGGAACCCACAAGACAAAGTGGAGGCTGCAGAAGGCTTTGGCTTGCCTGCGGTGACTATGGCAGCGGTTTGCGCCACTGCAATGAATCTGAGGGAGGTGCGTCTGGGAGTCAGATCCAGAAGCTGGCCACACCAGGGTCCCAGCGTGATAACTGCCAGGGGAGAAATGAAGCCCACAAGGGCAATAGTCTGGAAACCACCTACAGACCCAACACACGCATTCAGGTACCACATATACCCCCAAAAGACGCAAGCGCAATAAAAGTGGCGGTAAAATGAGCATGGAAAATAAGAGAGGAGATGACATCACCATTGATTCCTGCCAGTACCAGTGGTAATGCAAACCGCCAAGACCTCTCCACCAGGCAGTTTATAGTGTACAGTTTGTATCTGCAAACAAGTACCTGTCAGAAGCAGGTGGATTATCGAAATAAACGTGAGCGCCTTGACGTCTCAGATCTCATAAGCCCAGTATGCAACAGAGAACAAGTGTATGCCCGTCATTAGGCTCTCACACAAGCTCCAAGGCTTCGGGATGGCTAGGCCTCGATTCGGCAGCTGCAGATGAAGCATTGCAGAGCAAATATCGTCTATTCAGACTGATTCTGACGGCCTGGGCAGAAATGCACAGAGGGCCCAGTCAGTGCACGTCGCCTGAGGCTCTGATTGCTAATTTGGATCGTTCTGATGCATCTCGCAGAAATCTTTTGAAAAATCTATGCACCTTTCTATTAATTGAGAGGCCTTCCTTTCTTGTTGAAATGCTGGCATCATCCCACCCATGCTGTAAGCAGATGCCCGCAGCAAAATCATAAGGGCTGTGATACGTGCTGGAGCATCGTACGGAACGAAAAAAAGAATCGAAGTGTTGCCCATTGATGTCAGGAGCTTTCCTGCTTCCGAATCTGATTCCGAAACACGTACGAGACATTGAGCTCCTGTGAACAGATCTCTGCAAAGAAATAGAGCCCTTTGTTCCTGTGACGAGCAAAAGATCGCATTACAGACACAATCGAATGTCTTCTACCTAAGAGAGATATTTTATCGCGAAAGACAAAGAAAACGAGCAATACAACGCGAAATGAACGCACGTGCTGGCCATGTGACTGATGAAGTCCTTGGAAACAGCAACGAAACCGAAGAGCACTCTTGCTGAGCCCAAAATATTCTCTCAACACAGAAAATGGCTAAAACTTTCACGATTGTATCAGCCTAGGACAAGGAGGTTGCCACTCTTGCCTTTTCATGGAGCCATACTACGATGTCAGGTGATCTCAAAAATAAGTCCTGACATCCTGTAGGTTCATTGAAACACAAAAGAATAAAAGTCACAATGCAAGGGATCATCAAACGTTGTGTGTAAATTTACTTGTAAATGTCTTGAAGAGATCAGTGCAACAGAACTGCTTCCATTTGCCAATGAGCAGACTTTGATCCCTTGTGCACAATGTACACCTATCGCAGAATCAGGAAGACGTAGCGTCAGGTCCCGCAAAGTATCAAAGCGCATCAGCACCGTCAGTTTAGCAGAGCGCGAGAGTGCTAGAAACGCACGCCTTGATGCCCTCGAAGACGATGATGCAACTGGGGAGGGCATAGTAGGCGACAGCGATGAGGAATTTGTCATCCAAGACTCTGATGATGGTGAGGGCCCCTCCTGCAGCTTCTGATTCCTTGTCAAGTGACCCTTCATGCGCCTAGCCAGGAAGAAATTTTCTAAAGCCTCACAACAGGCTGGATTTTGTTCGTGACCTGTCAGCATACTGAAGGTAGAATGCATGCGTGCAGACTTGGAGCTTGGAGTGTCGGCCAAGAAGCGCGGGGACAAAAAGAAGGGCCCAAAGCGCAAGACGCGCGCCATGCTGGAGGCGGAGCGCAGAGGCCCCATCACCTTCGCAAGCCTCCTGGAAATGGCTGGAGATGCAGGTGCGCCCCTCACTGGCAGCCACAAAGCCTGGCTGGCATGCAAAGTGGCATTCCAAGTCCAGATTTTATACGGATCACTGCCCACATGCAGAATGCTCAGCAGTGACTGCTAGCTGAAGCCATCAGGACAGCTAGAAGTCTTCAGTCGTCTATCTGATCATCTGTAGCAGCTGTGCAAGATGCTGTATCCCAAAGGGCCCTGGGCACAATGCCCCTGTTGTACTGAGGGTGCTCTGGGCCATAATAGGATGAGTCTTCTGTTCATTCCTCGTGCAGAGGGAGGGCCGGCGAAGGAGGCTGAGGTGATGTACACAGCTGCGGCTGTGGGGCCGCCGCAGCACAAAGCTACGCGCAAGTGGTGCAGCGTTTGCGGATTTGCGGCGCCGTACAAGTGTGTCCGATGCGGATCGCGCTTCTGCACCAGGAAGTGCTACGCTGTGCACATCGAGACGCGCTGCCTCAAATTTGTGGGCTAACTTCAGCCCGAGCAGTATGTGGTTTCTCTTCTCTGGCTCGCAGGGACCTTCAATTTGGACTAAGCAACTTTGGTATAAACGATTGATTTTCAAGTTGACGTACTTCAGTTGTTGGGTGCTCATTTGAAGGCTGGCTGAGGTAATTTGACATGCAAAGAGTGCTGAGATATGTACATTGAGAATTCTATACTTCCAGTGCAATTTGGCATTTGTGGTATAAGAGAATTGTGATGTCTGGACTGTGGATGCATTCGCTGCGTACAAATCGCATCCATGCAACACTGTGACGATTTGTCAGACTCTGTGCTGCAAGATATCTCACATTCCATAACCAGCTCATACTGGGTACCATATTCTAGAAGATGTTCTCATTGTTGCAACCCCTTTCACTCTAAAGTTGTGCCGCTCAACATTTTGATCATGAAATCAATGTCCACTACCACACCATTCTGGGGAAATATGTTTTAAAGCAAAATATCTGACATCAACAATTGCCTGCAACCCTTCTGAGCTGTGAGAGATGACACACAGTGCTACTTCTGCCCAAGGCACAATTGAAATGATGATGAGCACTTTCCTTTCAGCAACAGCACAACAAAACAAATTTGTTTGCTCACTGAAGCGATGATGCTTGGTATTCCAGAGGACAGCCAATCTATAACGCTAAATCAATTTCCTTCTGAGCATAAGTCTGTATGCTTTGGCAAACAGCTGCCACTTGTTCGCCAGAGGAACAACACATCCCGCATGGTTCACATTCAATTGAATATTGATTCTCTACACTGATCAACCGGCCGGGAGTCACTGACGACTCCTGGACACCGCCAGATGCATCATGCCCACTTCCAGGGGCTCCTGCTTGCGGGAGAAGGAGAAGAGGCTGCAAAGGCTCCATCGGCGGGTTGGCCGCCTGATGGGCAGTTCAACATAGCTGCTGGGCTCGCGGCAGCGGCTGGCAGCTGCAGGTACCTGCCACAGGGAATCAAGCTGATAAGCACTGCAGGTCTCACTCGCACCATCCTTCAGACAATTACTGGCATGCTCCTCAGGTGACAGCTGCCATGGTTATCCAAACGCGGCACAGCCTGTACACTGTTATATTTGAGGGGACCAATGGCAGGGCAGGTGTCACCTGTTGGCCGGGCAGTGACTGCGTCCAGAGGGAGTCCAGCAAATCCAAGGCGCGTGCAGCCGGGCATGACTCCTCTGAGGGGCTGTTGCTGGTGGGCGCGCAGCTGCTCGTGCTGGCACTGGATTGAGGCGGCTGCAGGCACCGCTGCAGACCGGTGTTTGCAAATGAAGATCCTGTCTTGCCCACCTGCAGGGCAGCGCAAAGTTGTGAGTAATTTGCTTGATTCACCCCTTGATGCTGGGCATCCCCGGGCATGTCTAGTGATCCCTCACTGCAAATGAAGGAATACAAATTGGCATAGGGCACCATAAGGGAAGGGGGTGTGCGCACGTTCTGATGGGCGCGCCGGAACTTCTCAGCGCTACGTAGCTGATCGTCCAAAGATTCCAAGGTGGAGCCCAATGCGCAGTGCTTCTTGAACATGCTGAAGTGCTCCGCGGCATGAGGAAGCTCTGGTGGCGGCACGTAGGTGTCCGCAAAGGAGTACCCAGTCTTCCCAACCTGCAAAGCACCAGAGAAAGTATCATCGTATTGCACACACCAGGGAATTATCGCTGTCCTCGGAGTCTGTGTCATTGTGCGTGTGCCAGTGCAGGGAATTGAAGACATGCACGGAATTTCTCTACTTGGATGTTGTCTGAAGTGTAAATATCCCTGCAATGACAAAGACAGAAAATTGCATTGGGCTGCAATGCGCACCTTGAGGTGAATGCGCCGGTACTGCTCAGCGATGTCGAGCTGGCCATCAATTGATGTCCCCTTGCTGGCGGCATCCACCGCGCAGTGCTCCGGGTACAGCTTGTATTGTGCAAGCCTGTCTGCGTACCAGGGATGGTCCAGGGGGGTGTATTCCTCTTCGGTGCCATCATCTGCCTCCACAGCTGGCGGCTGGATGTCAGCTGTGGGCGCTGGCTCCTCCAGCTGCAGAGCAGATGTCAGTCTCAGCACATCGCTCTCAATATCTCGAGGAAAACAGTGTCAGATTCACTTTAGATCTGACCACGCGATAGAGAGTGCCATACCTGGGCTGAGAGGTCAGCTATGGCAGTGTGGGGGCGAGACTTGTTTGTGCTGCAGCCTGGGCTCCAGATGCCCCCCATGTGGGCCACCACTGGGCCGAATGAGTCCGCCTGCAAGCAACAATGCAGCTGATTGAGCTTATTTGTAGAAGTTGGCTTTATTGGACACCAAGGATGTGCTCTGCTGGTGAACACGACACGACATGCAAGCTCACGCACGATGTTTGCATCTGAAGAATGCTGCAAGCAGGTGAGTGTATGCGGAGGGTGTCAGAATTTATCACCTGGAATTGTGGCGAGTCCAAAACTGTGGCGGCAACATAATGGCTTGCCAAGCAGCTGGTGATGGGGCCGGTGAAGCCCAGCGCCGTCTGGGACGTCTGCTGCCGATGCACGATACACTTCAGTAACATGATTTACGCTCCAGATATTCAGCTTTGATCATGGTAATGGATTCTATGAACTCGACCGTAGTGATCCTGTGAGTTGATCCGACGAAAAGCTGGCCACTGAACAAGAGAAGTCTTGAGATGGAAAATAAAACCCATTCTTGTACCGTTTGGAGAGACGCTGCATGCACTGTTTGGATGCTCTTTACCTGAGGTATGGCGGTGAAGAAAGCCATCGCTACTAGAAGACGGAGCCGACGTTGTCATTGGGTGGCGAGTAGCTTGTTGTGCTGTGAACGAGCAGAGCAGGTGATACTCAAGAACGCTGGAACAGAACACTTGAGACTCTGAACAGCGCTTTTCTTCTTACGGCTGTCGGGTTCAGCTTTGTAGGGATTCGGGGAGGAACGCCCCGCACTCGACGCGTCTATTTAGGCACGAACGAAATTAGTAAGTAATTTCTGCCTAGCTAGCTTGCATGTGCAACTTTCTCTGGAGTCTCGCGTGGCATGGCAATTTCAGGACAGGATTCAGGCTAGAGAAGGCCAACACCCCTTGCTGGAGCATATCACATACAATAGCGCCGGCCGGGCCGTGGGACATGCGACTCGCATCGGCAAACTTTCGGATAATTTTGCATTCAGTAAACGGCAAGCTTGCAAGTCGGATTTACTTCAGCGCTAATGCGGGGCTAGAGCAATATATCATCTGCAGTGAGGGAAGATGTAGTGACAAGAAATGCAAGAGCTATTCAAAATTTTTAGAGAGTCCAGCAATAATGGATCATCTATGCATGATGCCATTTCTCAACTTGAAGTGATCACATGCCATGCCACGGTGTGCAATCTTGATGATCTGATCTGTGTGACATACCTGCCTGCGTCACTGGCACTTTGTCAGCATGTTATAAAGAAGAGCAGTCAGCATAATCACTGGGTAACTCTGCGGATAAAGAGTTTCACTGTGAACTTAGCTGACAATGAGGCCTCCAAGCTGCATCAGGGACCATTTTTATCGGGAGAACTATTGGATATCAGCTTTGTGCATTGATAAGCAGGTTTAAGCCTGGCATTTGGGAGCAAGCCTATTCGACGCCAGCGTGCTCCGTAATTACTGACAGGCTGGGCCATTGACTTCAGCAGTCAATCTTACAAGAGTAGCCCTCAGCAGCCAGTAGAACATGCTGCTGGGTCCAGATTAGGTGGCGACTCAACGCCCCCATGCCAGTAGATACACTTTTCTGCCACACAAGCAGCAGACGTTGTCACTGCGGGCGCAGCGCTCACACCCAAGATGTCAACATAGAGATCCCTGTCAGGCGCAAGAGATCATGTGCACACTCCAGGCTGCCGCAATGATAGTCAGTTCCACTGCTGTAGGTGAGCCGCAGACTAGATGGGCAGCTGACAGTGCTCATTCTGAAGCGCTCTTGAGCTTGTTGAACACCTTCTTGACAGCTGCAGAGTTCTTCTTCCGTGCAACAGCCGCCTGATACCTGCATCCCCAAGAGCACAGACTTCAAGAGGTGTCCATTCCAGGCCACCAACATCATGGCCGAAGAGAGGTTCTGTCCTGACACTGCTGCAAACCAGTGTCATGCAGACGCTCCCAACACACCTCTCAAAGTCTGTCTGTGTCGTCTTCAGTGCCCGCTTGGCCAGCTTCTTTCCCCATGTGCTGTTCTCGAACTTGGAGAATACATCTGCAGCCACATACCCAGCCATCAGCGCACATCTTCTATAACAGGCATCCACAAAACCAAAGACATACAGAAAATCCACCCCCTCCATCTCACACAGTACACCTGGACAGTGGCAGGTCAGGAGCCTGATGATCACCTGACTCCTCCAGAGCTGCTGACAACACCTTCTTCTTGGCTAGCCTCGGGATCTCAATCTTGAAGTCCGTGAGCACCAGCCTCTTGAAGTTAATGATGCGACGCACCTCATCTGGCCTGTCAACCAGTGCCTGCAATCCCACCAAGCAAGGGAGTTCAAGGCCCCAAGAAGAGGGTGTGCACACACGCCAGACCAGTACAACTACAAAAATATTGTCATTGCTTCTACAATCCCAAGGGTAAGTCTGTGTACACATGTCTTCATTATGAAGACTGCAATAAATAATCGTATCGAGATATTGACAAGCAGGAATAAGTCCATGTGCAAATATGAATAGTCACATGGGAATAAAAATAATGTCTATTTGCTGATAGCTATCCAGCTGGCCGATACACGAGCGATAACGCACCCTGTTCTGGTCTACAACATCAGAGATGACCACGAGCTTTCCATACTCCTCGCCGTAGTTGATCAGAGCCACACGCCCGATCTCAACGTACCGGGAGAACGGCATCCTGCTGAAAGACCTGGTAATGTACCTGGGATGCTGTTCTTTGGAGGAAGGCCAAGGAGGTGCAAGGAGGCGGCTAGTGATGACTGCGGGTTATGTTGCTTCCACGTGTCTTGATGCCTACTCAGGCAACTGCCTCACATGCAACAACCGATCGGGACAGCAATGGCAAATGTTGTCTATGTTCAATTCCTGAACACTCACAGAAGTCAGAATAGAGTTGGATGTGCTCTTCAAAGGGAACAAGGCATGCAGTATAGAACTCCTTGTGCTTCTTAAGAACCTGCATGAACCTGGGTGATCGTCCCACGAATTTCGCCTAGACACATTGGGATTTGGAAGGCAGAACTGCTATCGGTCAATTTCTCGCCTCATAAAACGTTGGTAAAGTCTGGAACACAGCAATATCAGCAGTACTAGGTAGTTGAAGTCATCCATCTTCTCGCAGACTATGATCGTATTGCAGAGTCCAATCAGAGCAAATTACCCTCTCTGCTTCTATTGGTTTATGCTTGAATGTGATATGGTGGCTCTTATACATTAATGATGTAGAAGCATTCTCGCAGACGATAAATCAAGTGTCGCCTAGGACGTATATAGAGAAAACATCACTCCGTTTTGCAAGCCATTCTAGTCTTTATCTGTTTTCGTCAAACTTCTGATCACTTGAGCATTTCCAGGGTGCAGGCGCGGATGTGATCGGGCCACCCTGCAGCACCAGTGCTGCTGCACAGCTGAAGGGTGGGAATGGAAGTCTGGCAGGACTTTGGGCAGAAAATTGACCTGGCCGTCCGCATCAGAGACATTCTACATGATTATCCAGAGGGCACAAGCGTCTTGAAGGAGCTCATACAGGTAAGAATGTTGTCGTCGGAACACAACCGTCCGGCTGGAAATTTTTTTCTCATCAGGACATTGTGACATTTGCTTGTGTTCCTGCAGAATGCTGACGATGCTGGCGCAACCACCATAAGGTTCTGCCTTGACGAGCGGCAGCACAAGACAGGTACATACATGACTTCATGATGACACAACCATACTGATCAGCAGCATGCCCTTGAAAGGATCCGCTTGACGTTGTGTGACCCGCAGATCGCCTTGCCGCACAGTCACTGGCTTCCTTCCAGGGGCCGGCCTTGCTTGCGTACAATGATGCAGTCTTCTCAGAGGCAGACTTCCAGTCCATTTCCAGCATTGGACAGAGCGTGAAGCGTGAGCAGAAGGGCAAGACAGGCCGTTTTGGTGTGGGTTTCAATGCAAGCTACCACCTCAGCGATGTTGTCTCCTTCATATCAGGTGCTCACCTGCGCTTTCTGCTAGTATCAGCAAAACATGAGACTGTCAACGTGACAGGGATCTTCATTTTTTTTGTGGAGTTTTATGTGTTCATTGTCTCTGCAGTGCATGCAGTGCTCCAGCTTCATAAGCAAACAATTAATGTGTCATGCATCAGGGAGTCAGCTCGTCATCTTTGATCCGCACTGCACCTACCTGCCGAACATCACGCCCCAGAACCCAGGCAAGCGCATAGACTTTGTGCAGTCGAGTGCGGCCGCAGCGCACCCGGACCAGTTTGCCCCCTACCAGGCCTTTGGGTGTGATGCCAAGAGCTACTTCAGGGGCACTATATTCCGATTCCCTCTGCGGACTGCTGAGCAAGCCACAACTAGCCGCATCTCGAAGCAGGTGCTGCAATCGCCTGGCTGTTTTCCATCCCATTGCCTTGCTTCCATTATAACGTTGAGAAAAACGGTCAAGAGCACTGATGAATCTGTGGGGACTGAGCAGGTCTACAAAGTGGAGGGGGTGAGGGATATCCTGGAAGATCTCCAGAGGGAGGCTGTCAGCGCGCTGCTGTTTCTGAAGAACTTGCAGCGGCTGGAGGTGTATGAGTGGGGGAGGTTGTCAGCGCAGCCGAGTAGGCTCTACAGCTGCCACCTCAGCAATGCATCCCCAGACATCCTTGCAGACAGGCGCTTCTTCACTGCTGCTGCAGCCAGGGCAGGATCAGACAGCGTGGGGCAATCTGCCAGCCTCAGTTCCTACTTGGCCATTTTTGAGAGCCAGAGCAGCGCCAGTGCAGAAGCAGACAGACAGACCTTTCTCATCAGCCAGTCTTGCGGCGGCGCAGCATCTAATGCCCTTGCTGCAGAAGCTGCCAAGTGAATTCACTACACTTCCCTGTCTTGTAGCATCTATTTGATGAGAGCATGCAATATGTTATTTGTTTTTGCAATGTCCCGTAAAAGTGTCTGGTTTGCTCAACAGGGCCTTCAATGTATCTGTGGTCCCTTTCGCTGCGGTTGCTGGCCGTTTGGCAGAGCCAGATGCAGCTGCAGCCAAGCCTTTGACTGGGCAGGCCTTTTGCTTCCTACCCATAACCACCACAGATCTGCCCGTCCATGTCAATGGTAACCTCCTCACTTCCCACTGCCTGTGTGCACTGTGTCTCTAAGCATCTTTAGTGACATGTGCATGCAAGCTTGCTTACCTCCTTCAGTGGCTTGTAGTAATTTTGCAGTCCTTCTACAACTGACTGACAATGCCTGCCGCATGGCAGGCTTCTTTGAGCTGTCCAGCAACAGGCGAGACATATGGCATGGCAAGGGCATGGCTGGTGTGGGCCAGCTCAGATGCGACTGGAACATCAGTCTGTTGAAGGCAAGCCCAAATCCCCAACCCAACGTACCCTCCATGAAGCACACCGCAGCGACGATGTTGTCGGCATGTGCTGATCATGTACCTCCAAGATGTGATGCTTGCCTGTGCGCAGGATGTTGCGGCCCCGGCCTATGCGAACCTCTTGGCAGAGGCAGCCAAGGGTCTGGGCCCCAGCCCTGCCTTCTACAAGCTTTGGCCTGTGCAGCTTGTCAGGGAGCCCTGGGCAGTGCTGGTCACAGCGCTGTATCAGGAGCTGCCATCACGCAAAGTGGTGCACACCGCTGCTGGAGGCGGCAAGTGGCTTGCTCCGGACAATGCGGTCTATGTGGACGGCGCTGTGCAGAGGTCTGGCATCTGCACCTGTATTCTCTTTCACGAGAATCTCTGAATTCGCAATTTTCCTTTTGGCATGCCAAAAACAGTGTTTGTGCACATGTAACATGTAACGAACAGGAGTTGAGACCGTGATTGCCTGGTCTTGCATAGGGACAGTGCTCTTGTGGATGCGCTGATAGCGGTGGGAGTGCCCATTGCCAGTGGTCCGCCAGAGGTCACGCGCATGCTGGTGCAGCACACTGTGCAGCGGCCGCAGCTGCTGTGCCCGGCCTCCCTGCGCGTGCACATCCGCTCTGCCCAGCGTGCCACCCTCGCCGCCTGCAGCGCTGACAAATCTCGCGCAGCCGTCCTTCTGGCCTACTGCCTCCAGGACTTGGATGAGACCGACCCTGAGTCGTGCCTGGAGCTTGTTGGTGAGGCCATCAACTGTATTTATCCTGCAAATGATCAACTTCAGAAATATTGGATTCTTTGAAACCATGTACCTTATAATGAGATCGTGGTTGATATCAAGTACATGGCTTTGTGTGCATGTTCAAAGCAATATTCGTCTGCAACAGGGCTACCACTGCTGCCACTGATGAATGGTACGATCAAGGCAATGGAGCGGGTGGCTCCTGGTCAGGATGCAGTGTATATCTGCAGCGCTGTTGAGAGGAAACTGCTCGGCGCGCATGCCGCGTGTCTTGTGGACTCCGACGCCTTGAGCAGGGAAACAGCCGACAGGTGTGCAACATCCCTGGGTCCTCATAATTGCCTTGGATGACAGGCATGAGCGCCACTGACCGGCCAGATGATACTATGTCGTTTGAATTGTGCATTCTGCAGGCTGACGGCAGTGGCATGCACCGGGTGCCTGGACCTGCAGCTGGTGGACAGCTCGGCTCTGGTGGATGTGTTTCTGCCGCGGCTTCTGCCGCGATTCTGGCAAGGACAAGCGCTTGTGTCCTGGAATGCTGGAGCTGACGGCGCCCCCACAGCTGACTGGATAGCCTTGCTCTGGCAACAGCTGCAGGTGTGCAGCTTCAGTGGTTTACCAGACGCATAGACTACCACAATAGCACGGCGTTCTTTTGCATTTGGTGCATGCGGCTGCGGCATGCATGGATGACAAGATGTTTTGATGGTTGCACAGGCGTTTGATGACCTCTCAGTCTTCTCGCCATGGCCCCTGCTGCCCACAGCATCCGGCGAGCTGGCGGCACTCACAACGCTGGACAGATCTCTGCTGGTGTGGGAACCAGATGATACTACATGGGAACCTCCTGTCACATCCGCTTTGACAAAGCTGGGCATCAGGTAATTACTTGCTACCAGATTCAACTGATTACATGACAACATAATGCGTTGATGCTTGTGTCTTGCGTCTTGACTCTGGAGAACAATCTTGGTGGGAGCTGAAGCGGCTATTCCTGCTTGCAGGCTTGTGAGCAGCAGGGCTGGTGTTGCGCACCACAAGCTGCACCGCCATGTGCACCTGGGGACTGGGCGAGGCGTCTTGGCTGCTCTGGAGGTGGTCTTTGCGCAGTCTGGGCCATATGCAGGAAGCCACGCTGAGGAGCTGTTCCAGAGAACTGGCATCTCTCAGGACGAGAGGCACGCTCTTCGGCGGCTCCTGCTGCAGGTTGGCTTCAGCAGCATTTCCCATCAGCTGTTGTGTGAATTACAGGGTCAATTCCCAAGCTTCAAATTAATATTTAAGACGATATTGCGTGTGGCAATCAAGGTGTTGAGCCTGTATGCATGCATGGACAGGAGAGGTGGCTGCGGGGGCACCCAGAACACTTCGATGTGCTGCGTCACCTGCCGATCTTTGAGACGGCATCTTCAGCTTCAGAGAGCAGAGAGTCCGGATCACCGGCCTCCTTCATTACCCTGCTGGGCCAAGCCTTCATCGCCCCAGCAGCCATGCCGAGCTCTGCGCTGCCCACCTCTTTCGTGGCATTCGCAAATGATGCCGAGAGAAACGCCCTGCAGCTGCTTGGCGTGCAGCCTCTCAGCCGCAGCGAGGTCCTCAGGTGCCATTTCACACCAGGTCCTGTATGAATAGATATACAGTCTATGGCGTGACGCTCTTGAGAAGTCTACGCTGTCTTAAGTGATGATGTGAAGTCAGTTTATATATGGCTCCCCAAGGATTGAGAAGCGAGGGTTGAAAAATCCTAGCCCTTTTAAAATGTCATGAATGTGCCTTGCAGGAGGCATGTGCTGGGCCGTCTGCCTGACCAGTCAGCTGCGGCAAGGCAGGCTATAATGCTGTATGCGCTGTCCCACCTGCCCCTCATGGTGGCAGAGGACCATGCAGTCCTGGACCATCTGCGCGTGACCCCCTTTGTAGACACAGAGTCTGGCAAGCTTCAGCCGCCTGGTATTCTGTACGACCCAAGGCAAGCTCTCCTTCAGCCCTTCTCCTCCTCTCATGATCTTGATTGAAGGCGCATATAGATTCATACATGAATACTGTAGGTGCATGTTCTTCATATATGTATGAAGTAGGATGGGATCCAGTGTGCCTTGGCATGCAGGAAGCCCGAGCTTGTGGCTCTGCTAGACAGCTCCTCCAGCTTCCCAGCAGGCCCCTTTGCCTCAGAAGAGGCGCTGGCTTCGCTGCAGCGGCTGGGCCTGCGGTCCACTGTCAGCACTGCAACGCTGCTGGACAGTGCGCGAAGCGTTGTCGAGCTAGCTGCTCGTGACCAGGAAGCCGCTCGTGCCAGGTAGGTGCTTCACACCTGGTTATGCACCTTGTACCCTCGCCATCGCTATCTTATCCTGCAATGACTATTACAGGACCTTGGGAAGTATTTAGTGTATGAAATATATTCTTCTAAAAGAGGGGAGTGATCCTGTAGTACCTGAACCACCAGTATTTATGAAGCTGGTTGTGGCAGAGGTCAGCTGCTGCTGGAGTACCTGGAAATGGAGGCTGGTCGCCTGCTGGGCCCCTCTCAGGGCCAGCAATCCGGAGTGGAGAGCCTCCTCAACAGAGTCACTGCATTCCGACAAGCTCCAAGCGCATCGCCTTCTCCAGAGGCTGCACGCTTCTGGGCGGTGAGCCAATTTGCTCATTTCCATATCCCAATGATCACAGCCCCTGCCTTTTGTATTCTGCACATGGAAACCGATGATGAAGGTTGGAAGCCCGTGGTCTCTCCATGCTTCGAGATACCTGACTCTTGAAAGATCTTGGTTTTTGACACCTTTCAATGATGTCAATGCAGGAGATGGGCGGGCTAGCTTGGTGTCCTGTATTGGCTGAGGCGCCCTTTGAGGGGCTGCCCTGGCCGAAGCAGCAGGAGCTTGTGGCGCCTCCGCGCGCCATGCGTCCCCTGCAGGACCTCTGGCTCTGCTCCGGCACCATGTGCATCCTGGCAGCTGACTGCAGGTGCTGCTTAACCCTCAAATGGCATTCTCTTCTCCACCCATAGCAATGTTCTGTCTTCTTAGTGGCGTCTTTCTTGAGTCCAAAGAAGAGCGTCTTCTTTCTTGCATCATTCTGGCATACAGGGACTTGGACTCTGCAAAACTTCTATTGTAATACAGGATCCATCATGAAGTATGCTGCATGGCATGAACATGTGCTGCTGTGGATTGTGCTTTTTGCGTTCTTTCTGGGTATGGTTTACTCATGGATGCAAGCAGTGACAAGTGTGTCACATGGAGCAGGACAGCTGTGTTGGCGGACGGGCTGGGCTGGTCTGCGCCGGTGAATGGCTCGGTGGTGGGAACGCAGCTGGCCAGCCTGGGTGCAATGCACCCGGCCGGCCAGGCCGCTGACGTGGCGCTGCAGCAGCGGCTGGCGCGCGCGGTGCCCCAGATCTACACCTGCCTCTCCTCGCTCAGCCGCCACGACATGGAGGTGGTGTCCGCCATCCTGTCGGACGCGCCCTGCGTCTGGACCGGCAATGGCTTCGTGCCCGTAGCGCGCGTGGCCTTCAGGTGAGTCATCCTCTATCACAGTGGTTGATACTGCATCCCCTGGGCGCTTAGGCATGCGCATCTAGCATCCCCTTCCTGCTCAATGCATGGAGCCAGAGCACCTTCATCTGAGGCCTTATTTACCTTGGCTGAATGTGCTCTCTGTCCTGCTCAACTGGCATTCTGACAATCTCCTCATCTGTATTGTTTGTTCAAGCTCGGCTTTTTTCATGGATTGAGAAATGCTGTGTTGTAGGGGACCTCTGAATCTGAGCCCTTGGCTGTACTGCATCCCCGGTGACCTGCAGCCATTCAGGCAAGTGCTGGCGGAGCTGGGAGTGGCTGAGTCCTTCACAGCAGACCAGTATGTGGGCGTCCTCGCAGACATGGCAGCAGCATTTGGCAAAGACCCCTTGTCTGCGGCGCAGCAGGAGCAAGCCGTCTCTGTGCTTCAGGTAAAAGCTCATCAGAGGTTCCTTTTATATATTGCTTCACTTTTTGTCCCTAATGATCAAGTGCTCATGAACTAAGTTCCGCTCTTTCTCTTGCAGGCACTGTCAGACATGCGCGTTAATGCTGACAAGCTTTACATCTTGGACAGCCGCAGCGTGCTTGCACCAGCCAGCGACTTGGTCTACAATGATGCTCCATGGGTGCCAGACCAGCAGATCAGATTCGTCCATCCAAAGCTTTCCAATGAGGTGTGCCTTCTTCAACCGGGACCTGACATGTCATGATTACAAGGAAAGGGTATACAGCAGGCAAAGCCAATATATGTATGTGTCACAGGGGCAAACATCATGCACGCTTTACTGCAATTGGTGGTGGGAGCCGTACAGACTTTTGATAATGTGGCACAGACATACAGCAGCGCGTGCCTGCTGACGTACTTAATATTAGGGTGTGAGATTGGCAATGACTTTTTCTGCAAGAGTATCACGAAGAATGGCGGGCGCAGGTGTCTGAGAAGCTGGGCGTGAAGTCGCTGCGGCGCATGATGCTGGCAGACAGCGCAGACACGGTGCCGCTGGGGCTCCACTCGGTGGAGGCCTTTGGCCAGAGCGAGGCGCTGACGACGCGGCTGAAGCACATCATCGATGACTACGCGGACGGCCCCGGAATCCTCATGGAGCTGCTGCAGAATGCTGACGATGCGGGCGCCTCTGAAGTCTCCTTTTTGCTAGACAACCAGCAGTATGGCACCAACTCCGTATTGGGTGCGTTGCCAACCCATGGGTTTCTGTTTGCCTTGCGTCTTGTTGGCTTTATATCGGCGAAATATCTGAAGATGTGAGGATCCTCCCAAGTAAACTGTGAAGGTGGTGCCGTTGAGCAGCAAGTTATTAGCAAAGGAAGCAAATTGCCAGGTGAGGCTTTGGCAGAAGTAAGGGGCACGCATGCATGCTGTGACGGGTGTCCTGTGGGCTTGCAGCGCCGCGGATGGCTGCATGGCAGGGCCCTGCGCTCCTCTGCTTCAACGACGCGGTCTTCACGCCTTCTGACTTCCGTAACATCAGCCGGATAGGTGCGTTTGCCGTCTGTGGACTCTGCTTTTGCCACCTTTGCGCAGACTGCAGAACAGTCCCTTTCCTCAAGAATTGAAATCTGAAAAAGCTATTCTCTTTATGTCTTGCAGGTCAGGACACGAAGGTCGACAGGCCAGCCACTACAGGGGTACGTCACACCTGGGCACATCCCCCTGCAAAATGCCGTGCATCCTGTTCATTTGCATCTTATTGATGGTGGCTTCTGCTTCAGCGAATCTAGACAAATGAGAAAAGATACATGTCGCATATGGCCGATGTGTTGTGTTGCCGTGCAGCGCTTTGGTCTGGGCTTCAATGCTGTCTACCACTGGACAGATCTGCCAGCCTTTGTGAGTGGGGACTATCTTGTCATGTTTGACCCGCACGCCAAATGGCTGCCTGGCACCAGCCCTGCGCAGCCGGGCCTCAAGATTGCCTTCCAGCGAGCCAATCTCCTCAGCCAGTTTCCAGACGCCTTCCAGCCTTTCCTGCACTTCAACTGCTCCCTCAGAGATACATATCCCGGCACCCTTTTCCGATTTCCCCTGCGGTGAGCATGCCTCCACGCTTGCTGATCACTTCTCTGTGAGCGTGCCTATTGCAAGCATCATCTTGGAGCTGAGTCACCAAGGCCCTGACATGGATGCACAACATTCAGTGCGTGACTTGTGTTGGTACAATGCAGGACCGAGGAGCTGGCGAAGCAGAGTGAGATAAAGGGTCAGGCGTACACGCCCAGCAGCGTGCTGTCTCTCTTTGAGGGCATGCGCGCTCAAGTGGAGCGGACACTGCTCTTCCTCAAGAGCGTGCGCTCTGCAGCTGTCTACGTGCGCGACGCTGGAGACGAGGCTCCCCGACTGCTCTTCAGGGCCAGCATGGACACTCAGGTGCCCAATTCAACTCCCCTCAATGTTTAAATGACGTATACAGCATTATGAAAAGCAGCCCATGCAACCATGCTCGATAGCCCTGGCGTGCCTTGATGTTTTGAGCAATGCAGAGTTACTAATTGCAGAGTTATCGGCAGCACAATGGCTGTGTCTCTCTTCTTGACTCTGGTGTGTGTCACCTGGGAGGATCTGCATCGATGTAATTGCTTAATTGTGCAAATCACAGGACGGGCGCAGCTCTCAGGCTGCCATCTGCCGCTTCATCGGGGAAGGCGGCAGGGTGCAGCGGGAAGCCTTTTACCAGAGGCTGGCAAAGGCTGGCCCTGCTGAGCTGCCTGCTGCGCAGACCACTGCCACTGTCACGATTGAAGACCTCCATGGTACATATCCAGCCGATTATAAGTAGCTCACATGCCACTATACTGGGCTAGGAGATGCATGTTGGTGATTCCTGTGAGAAAGCAGTTATCACGTTGTCTGAGGATGCTGATGTTGTCTGCAGGTGAAGAGCAGAGGAAGCTGGTACAGACATGGCTGATCAGCAATGCACTGGGCGGCAGCCGCGCCAGACGCATGGCTGTCCAGATGCAGAAGGCTGGTAGGGGCCTCGTCCCCTGGGCGGGAGTGGCGGTGCCAGTACAGCTGCCTCCTGCCAATGCCCTTGAGCCTCTACAATTACGAAACAATGAGCATGAGCAGCTGGTGCAGAACCAGAGTGCTGCCCCTGCGGCCGAGTCTACTCAGCCGCTGGTTGGGCGTGCCTTCTGTTTCCTGCCGCTACCGTGCTCCACAGGTTAGTTTCTCTTGCTGCTCTATATATATAAATACATATATATATATTTATCTCGATAGGATCCTTTCCCAATCTCAAAGTGTTGCGCATTTGCAAGTGTACAGCGTTCTCCATAGCTCTGATATTGTGCAAAGTCATGGATGTCAGCAATGAACACTTGTATGTGATGGCAGGGCTTCCGGTGCATGTGAACGGCTACTTTGAGCTGAGCAGCAACCGGCGTAACATCTGGTTCTCGGACCTGCCCTCAGATCTGGCAGGGCAGGGCAAAGTGCGCTCCGACTGGAACCTGGTTCTGCTTGAAGACCTGGCAGCGCCCCTGTATGCCGGCCTGCTGGCTGAGTCAGCCCAGCGCCTGGGGCCTACACCTGCCTACTTTGCGCTGTGGCCGCCGGCAAACCTCGCTCCGCCCTGGTCCAACCTGGTAACGCAGCTCTACAAGGAGGTGCGATCTGTTGTACCTTAACTGTAATCTGCTCAGATGGCACATCTTGTCAGCTTTGGTGGACTGAAGGTCTGAGCTTCTGTCTATTTCTTGGCAGCCTTGCACAACAATCAAGACCAAAGAAAGGGATCTGCGATTTGAGTTTGCAATGGAGTTAGAATTGGATCCTGGAATGGTGCAGGTGGCTTCCCTGAAGGTGGTGTGGACAGACAGCCGAGGCGGCAGGTGGGTCACACCCACAGACGCCCTCCTCCCAGACGAGGCCTGCACCGCCGACCCCGAGCTTGCCGCGGCCCTTTCCATGGAGGGGATGCCCCTGGTGACGGGTGCGCCAGCCTGGCTGCTGAGCGCCTGGCTCAGTAAGGTCCCGGGCATCAGGACAGTCACGCCTGCTGCTGTGCGCTCTCACCTCAGGGCGAAGGGCGCAGGATTGGCTCTGGCGCAGCGCCCTGCAGAGGAGCGTGCGGAGGCAGCTGCAGCAGTGCTCTCCTACTGCCTGTCAGGGCTCCCACTCTCTGCTCCCAAGGCGGTGCAGCAGCTGGCAGGGCTGCACATTGTGCATACGATGCAAGGGGGGCTGACGGCGCTGCAGCCGTCTGAGGCAGGCGTGGCGCCCCTTCTGCTTGCCACTGGGGAGCAGCAGGAGCTCCTGCCTTCCAGCCAGGCGGCCCTCGTCCTGCACTGCAAGGTATATTCTGCTCCATGCCATCTGGTGAAAGTATTATGCATTAGAGTATTGCCTTGCACACACTGATCTAGTCACCTGGCTAGGGCTACTTTCTTTACACACAATTGTCTCTCAGGCTAAAATTTAATTCATTCATTCATTCATGTTTTGGGGATTAATAATGGTATGTGACATGGGCCTAAGAATCTGATGTGTGCGTTCTGCAGGCTGATTCTGTGCTGGGAGGGAAGCTGCTGGCGGTGGCCGGCTACGGTGCAATGAACATCAAGGCTCTCTCGGCTGAGAGCCTGGCAGAGACGCTGCTGCCAGAGCTGCTTCCCAGGCACTGGAGGGGCCAGGAGACGGTCACCTGGGACCCTCAGGCGGCCGCTGCCGATGGGCACTTCACCGCAGACACGCTGTGCAAGCTGTGGTCGCTGCTGGCTACGTTGCCTGACCTGTCGGCTCTGCAGTCCTGGCCGCTTGTCCCAGCGCACAAATACACCCTCAGCCAGCTGGGCTCTCCCTCCAAGGTGGGACTCCCATTGTACCTCCTTTCATCCAGAAATGATCTGATTGTCGATATCGAGCATTGATCAATTGTACCTCTCTTTCTAATGGCTAGGATGGCTTCAGGGACATGGCCGGGCAGGGACTCTATCACACTATCCTGGATCACCATCGAGGCAAATGTTTGAGTGATCTCTTCTTGTTAAAAAGCAATGTGGTGAACTCAAGGATTCACCATGGTACACAGGTGGTTGAGGAGGGCGCCTGGGCGGAGGGAGTGAGCTCAGCGTTGGCCAGGCTGGGCGTGCGCGTGCTGGACGGCAGTATCCTTCCCCCGGCCGCCATGGGCTCTGCACGCGCGCTGGTCAACCCTGCCACGGGCTGCGGCGTGCTGTCCGCCATCAGCAACGCTGCAGGCGGCGACCTCGGCCGCATCGGCCGCAGGATGATTGCCGAAGGTGTCACCACAGAAGAGCGACAGCAGCTGCGTGCTTTCCTCATTCAGGTCCGAGACTCACTTATGAGTCACCTTTCTTCGTGACATCCTATTACCATTCACTTGATGCATGAGGCGCCCATGTGTCGTTGGAGGCTTATTTGCATCGTTTTCTTACATGAAAATGACTATATACACTCTACTGTACATGTGCTTTATGCTTGCAGGAGCGGTGGTTCAGTGGCCCCGGCTGTGTGACACCGGCGCAGCAGAGCGTGGTCAAGGCGCTGCCAATCTTTGAGGCCGCAGCAGGCGCGGCGGCTGGCGATGCTTCTGCAGAGGAGCCAGCTGCGGCATTCCTGGATCTGCTGGAAGGCCGCTACCTGGCGCTAGATGGCACGGACGAGGCTCTGCTGGGGCCGGGCTTCCTCAAGCATGTGGCGGCTGGGGAGGCCAGGGTGCTTGTGGAACGGCTTGGGGTGCAGCTGCTGACGCATCAGCAGCTCATCACAGACCATGTGCTGCCAAGGTGAAGCCACAACACCTGTCCTCCCCGACCCTGCTAGGCATGTGCATGTGACCTTCTAGGCCAAAAGCCATCCAAATTCTTTTGAAAACGGCAGGAGCGCAGCTGGCACGACTCTGCCCCATCACAATGTTCTTGCTGTGCTGCAGGTTGCACAATATTGCGCCCGCTGCCAGGGATACTGCAATGCTGCACCTGCTCGACAGCATCCAGGCAGTCCTGTCCAGCAACCCGGCACTTGCGAAGCAGCTGTCTACAACAGCCTTTGTGCCAATCAAGGCTTCTCTGGCCGCGCCTGTTTCCCTGTACGACCCAAGGAATGAGGAAATGGTCGCGCTGCTCGATGCAGACACCCACTTCCCCTCAGGGCCCTTCAGAAAGGATGACAAGGTGCTGCGCTGACAAGCCTGCCACTCATGCATGATTGGCGTGTAAAGTTGTGTGCTGCAAAAGCTCTTCATTAAAGTATCTGATCTCCTCTTTGGTGTTCTTCACAGGTGCTGGATGCATTGAAGGCTCTGGGTCTCAGGAGTGAGGTTAGCTCGGAGATGTTCCTGGATGCAGCTCGGTCTCTGGACAGCCTCAAAACCACGCCTGAGAAGGATGTTGACCGAGCATCCCTCCTCCTTGAGAAGCTGGACGAAGTGGCCACTCAGGGTGCGTTGAAGCTTCTTGCCTTCTCGGAGTGCTCATTATTGGGGAAGCAATTGCTGGTCCAAAGCTCCTTTTTTCTGCCCATGCAATATTTTAACAGCATGCAGAATTGCTTCAATTTGGACAGGTCCTGAAACAGTGCCGACACGGTGTGTGCAGAGGATGTTGAGGATCAGGTTGGCAATGACCTGAGTGGCAACGAAGGGGACTTCTGGGAGAAGATGAAAATGCTGTGCTGGTGCCCTGTGGTCACTGTGACACCCCACCCGGACATGCCGTTCGCCAGAGCCAGCGGCCACCTGGCGCCACCTAGGATCGCCCGCCGGGTAGGACACAATGCTGACAATTCCCTGACAATGTTGCAGACACTGTAATCTTTGAGAAAGCCATCATGAGAGCCTCTTTATTAGTGCGGTGCCCTCATACGCAGCATATGTTCAAGGTCTCCACTGCATGCAGGTGCATGAGGCTTGGCTGTGCTCGGCCAGCCTCCGCCTGGTGAACGGCAATCCGGGGGCAGCTCTGGCGTCCAGGCTGGGCTGGGCTGGTCCCCTGCCAGCCACCACGCTTGGCGCACAGCTGCTGGAGCTTGGCAGGCTGCACCCCCAGGTACAGCCATCGACCAAACCTGCTTGTCTCATGGCACTTGTGTGCATGATACAAATCAAGTATATATATGCATCACGGTGGTTTACGAAGTCGCAGTATGTCTCTGGAGTGGGAGCAAATTCTTCGTTTCCTAGCCCAAAAATTCTATTTCAAAAGTGAGTTCAAGGGCCCAAATGGAAGGTTCCGTGGCAGGTGGAGGATGACATGCTGCTGGGTATCCTGGAGGACAGCGCTGTGCAGATCTATGCCGGCCTGCAAGCACGCCTGGACGACGCAGCCGAGTGCGACGCCGTGCGTGTCATGCTGGAGGACAGTGCTTGCGTCTGGGCCGGGCGTGGCTTTGTTCCGGCTAATCGCGCTCTGCTGAGCCTGAACCATGACTGCACCCCCTACCTGCACCATGTGCCGGAGGCTGTGGCGCCCTACAAACAGCTCCTTGCATTTCTGGGGGTGAGTTTCTGTCCTTTCCCTGTCCCTGTTTCTTCTCGCTCGCTTGGTGATACTCGAAGTGCTAAATGTGTGAATGCTGTATCTTGGAGAGTGCGTGAAATTAAATTCTGTCTCGGGTCTGTGGCAGGTGGCTGATGGGCTCAAAGCCGCCCATGCCACGCGCGCGTTGCAAGACATGGCGAAGGAGCAGGGTTTAACCAGCCTCAGCCAGAAAGAGTTGTCTGTTGTGGTCCACCTGGCACGAAGCCTAGCAGAGATGAAGGCGGGAGGTGCCTCCATACATGAGCAGGTGCTCCCGGCTTCTAATCTTAATCTGTTGCGGTTACTGAATGCCAATACTGTGACCCATTGGCCAGCATTCCAGCATTTCTGAGTCATTTGCGCGGGCCAATTCGCTTATAGCATTAATTTCGTCACTGCAGGTGTGGCTGCCAGACAGCGAGGGCGTGATGGCGTTGGCGCGCCACATCTTCTTTGACGATGCGCCGTGGCTGGCGGGCGGCGGGCAGCGCCTGGTGCATCGGGACATCCCCAACGACGTGGCAGAGGCCTTGGGCTGCCAGAGCCTGCGCTACCATCACCAAGTCCGCCTCCAGCACATTGAAAACCTCCTCAGGGAATTCTTAGTGCTGTCGTGATACGCTCCTTGCCACTCAATATCTGTCATTGTCAAGGAGACGTTTGGCAAGGCCATGAAAGTCTGCTGCAAGCTGTGAGGCCATGTCCATATAATCAGGATCTCTCCAAACCAAGCATACGTGGGTGTGTGATCGATTCAAGCATAGAAATAATTGAACAAGCTTTGACGTTTGCGATGGTGCGTTGCATGTGCAGGTGAACACCCGCATGACGGCGGATCTGCCGTGCGCGCCAGCCTCCATGATAGCGCCGTTGCTGACAGCGGCGGCCGAGGACATGGCGCATGCGCTGCTGGACATTGCTGAGCTGGCGGATGCCGTGGGAGCGGAGACCATGGAGGTCACACTAGACTACAGGCAGCATGGCGTCGAGTCGCTCCTGCTGCCTGGCCTGGCAGACTTCCAAGGACCAGCCATCTGCATCACCTTGCCAGGTGTGATCCTTCTACAACAACCTGGAATGTACCCCATGTACTTAGATTTGTAAGTACAGGTGGCTATACTGAGGATATGCGGAAACTGGTGAACGAAACCTAAACACCCAGGGGAGTCAGCATAGGCTATGTGAAAGAGACACGTTATACAGATACAATAACTTAGGAATTAACAAAATGCATGCAATTGCAGGAGTGGTGCTCAGCAGAGAAGAGCTGTGCCAGCTGCAGTGCCCCGGCACGCCGTACCGTGTGCGCGGCAGGAACTGTCGGTGTGGTACCGGCCTCCTGAGCTCCTACAACCTGACAGACCTTCCCATGGCCATCTCAGGTAAACCTCCCAAATACTTGTCCATGCATTCCTTGCCCGATGTCGTGAGCTCATGCTTGGTCACAAAGGCACACATTGTGTTGTGAATGACGCCCAAGAAAGAACATGTTGTGCCTCACAGGTGACAGCCTGTACATTTGGGACCCGCATGGGCATCACCTGTCAGCTTCAGGCAAGAAGGGCACCGGCGCCAGCGCAGCAAAGCAGTACCAGCACGTGGGCGGAGAGTCGGATCTGGTGGCGCGCTTCGCTGACCAATTCTCAGCATGGGACTTTGGCGGCCCGAGCGTTGACATTAGCTCCAAATTAGACTGCACCCTCATCAGGCTGCCTCTGCGCAGCGCCACTCAGGCGCCAGGCAGCAGTGTGTGCCAGGTGGGTGCAATCCGATAAATTGTCTCATACTGTCTGTCCTGCAATGCAGGATTGCACTTTGAACTTGCAATTCTCTTTGCAATCGAGAGATTTGGAAGCACACCGAGCCAGTGGTTATTGCAGAGGAAACTAAATTATGGGCATGCGTGGTGTGCAGGACGTCTGGGATGTGGAACAGGCTGCGGCCCTGATACGTCAGTTCTCTGCACATTGTGGGCGCATGATGCTCTTCATGGAGTCACTCCGCTGCATCCGCACCCAGCACACCCTGCAGGACTCTGCCGCTGTTCCCCTCTCCCAGGTCAGTATGATTGCCTTTGCAGAGGATGTTGGCACCCATTCGGGGGGTTCTGCTTTCCCAACAGTATCAGCAGGGTTGTTTGCACCATCAATGCCAACGGTTGACACGCACATCTGCAAAGACATTTGTGCCCCCAGCTGCTTGCAGTACATTGAGCTCTGCATTCCTCTATAGAGGGAGTGCTTTTGCTTTCATTAATGGCAAGTACGAGTACAGTCCTTGGCATTGCAGGTGTCCCTGGTGCCGCATGAGCCTGGCAGGCGCGTGGTGTTCGATGACAAGGACTGGCGCCACAAGTCCCTGGGCCAGCTAGTCCGCGGGCACCGCTTCCCAGGCATACGCAAGACTCTCAGCTTCACCATTGTCACGACCTCTGGTGTGCCTCTGCAACCAATCTGTCTTCATACCTTCTGGACCAAAATGCTCAATTTTCTGTGTAGAAGATTTGCTTGAAGTACAGTGGCACCTGCTGTCTCCTACTGTGACCTGAGCAAAACATAGAAGCATCATGGGAGCGCAAGAACAGGCACATGATGGGAATTATTGGGGGCAGGAGACAAGAAGGACGTGGTGCCAGAGCTGTGGCTGGTGTGCGCCAATGCCGGCATGGGCGCGGCGAGGGATCTGGCTGTGGACAGGCGCTATGCAGCGCTGCAGCTGGACCCCACAGCCGCCGTCGCAGTCCGCTATGACAACATCAAGGACCCCAAGGTCCTCCCTGCAGGAGGTGTGTGCCCCCATGGGCTTGGAGGTCTTGGGAATCCCATTGCGCATTTATAAAGTAGGACTCTCTTTGACCGCACAAATGGAGGATCTGATACACGGGTTGCTGGACGTACCTCGATCCTACATCCCTAGGAACTGAAAATTTTGTAAAAATAATAAACTCCCATCTGCAGTTTGTATTGTTCCTGCCGAGAAGATCGGGTTGTAGATTGAATGTAAGTTGAAGCTTGTGTGCACTGTGTGTGTTGGGCAGGTCTGTTTGCTCCGGTGCCGCTGCACCTCGGCAGCCCAGCCAACACGGCAGGGGCACTCGCGGATCACCTCCCCTTCCTGGTGTACGGCGCCTTTGCAATCAGCCGCAGCGGCGGCAGACACATCGCCGGCGCTGACAGCGTGCATCGACCACCCATGCCCCCACAGGTTGTGCAAGCCCTTTGTGTATTTCAAACGTGTTTGTGCATGCTCTGTTATGCTCTTCTGTGTCAATATGAACGAGGTCCTGATGTGGTGGTGATGTTGTCCTGCAGGCCCTCCAGCAGACACAGGAATTGCTGGCTGCGTTCAATCAAGATCTCATCGCCACAGGCGTGGTCACTGCCTGGTCAGATGCTTTTGGGGTGCTACTTAACCGCTACGCAATTCCGGGCAGCTCGCGACTGCGACCCTGCTCTGCCATCTACGACATGGTGCCTAGCGGGAGCCATGGCACACACGACGAGAAAGAGGCCCTGGTGATGAAGAGAGCTGCAAGGACTACGAGATACATTGCGGCTCAGGTGGCTCACAGCCGAACTTGTTGCTGCAGAATAACTGCTGAATAAGTTTTGTGCTTTTGGTCCCCGCCCCTCTTCCCAATTTTGATGAGGTGTTCATTCTCCTCTGCGATGTGCTACAGGTGTGTGAAGACATTGCGAGGAAGCCGCTGTGGCAGCTGCGCGATGGCCGCATGGTGGGCCTGAGCCAAGGCTGCTTTATACAGCCAAACGCGGATGTCAGCGAACTGGGTGCGGCAGCCCTGGACTTTATCCAGCGCAAGCTGCCACTCTTCAATGTCCCCTGGCATGTCAAGACGGTTCTGGAGGCGGCAGGCATGAAGGATTGCAGCACTGTCACTCCCAAGGCTGTCAGGTGGGCTGTGCCTCGGGGTTTGGTACTTGCACTAACACAAAATCTGTGTTTGCGGGCCCAGAGATGCCACCGTATCTGGCGTATGAGATTGCACGTTTCCGTTGTTTTCGCAGACCCCTTCTGAAGCAGATGATGAAGAGTGGAGACGGGGTGTCAGGCCTCAACCCCACTGAAGCTGCTGAGCTGCTGCATTTCTGCTTTCAAGACATCTGCAGCCTGATGAAGGAGCTGCAGTTGATGCCACCACTCCCAGACCCTCCAGGACAGCAGCCATCAGCGACACAACAGGAGAGAAATGCTGCAGGTTGACACCCCTTTTGTGACTTTGTTTTTAGCTGTGGTAGCTTGCATGAGCACCAACCGTACTGCTTGTATGGAGATTCCATGCCGGCATTTCTAGAATGATAATGCTGTCTGTTTGTAAGACTGCGACCGTTTGGGCGGATGGCGTGGAATGAATGGCTATTTGCTTTCTCCATGCAGAGACGCCGCAGCCACCAGGGCCGCCCCAGAATTTGCTGGACGAAATACTGGGAACCGCAGCAAACAATCATCATGTGCAGGTGATGAAAGGCTCTAATCCCCTGCTTGTGTGGAACATACGCGCGCCTTGCAGTACAAGTATCTGACAGGTCGCCAGCCCCTTCAGAACCTTGTATTTACCAAAGCATGTAACATCGGTAGATATATACTAAGCAGATGACGGCTGTGCTGCAGGCGACAATGTCGTACTTCAGGGATGTGCTTGGCATGGAGGCCGGAGCTGCAGCCAGGGCAGCTGCTCCAGTGCATCAGCGAGATCTGCCTGCGCAGCGAGCACCTGAAGAGGCCCCAAATGCAGAGGGGCCAGCATCAGCTTCTGTATCATCAGAAGCTGAGGCGGCGATGCAGAAGCAGCGCCAGCTGTCAGGGCTGCTGCAGGAATGTGTGGGCCTGCCCACGCCCACTGCAAGCAGCAGAATTGTGGCTCTTGGAACACGCAGGTGATGTTCTGAAATTGCTCTCATGATTGAGTCTGTCAGGTCTTGTGCGATGTGAGAATCTGGTGTTACTTATTCTGGCAACAGAAAGATGTGGGCACTGCGTTGCTGCCTATTAATCAAAAGTGCTTGACAACGAGTGTTATTGCTGCTGGTGCAGGCTGTACATGCTGCCGCAGCAGTGTCCACTCAGCCTCATAGATGTGTTGCCCAAAGATATCGGACTGTGCGATTCCCTGCTGCATCCACTGGTGGTGGAGCCTCTTGGGGAGTGCCTTCACAGGGCAGACGTTGCAGATGTGGTGATGGTGCAGCCGTTCACACTGCGGGCAGCTGCTTTGGCGCTGCAGCAGATGCTGCCCCATTTGTGGGCCACAGGCAACTCTGTGTGCGTAGCTTGGCAGGACGGCACGCAGGTGAGCGTTCCTTCCTTCTCACATTGCCTCCACTGTTGCATTTGGCAGTCAATTAGATCATTTAGACCCACAGGTGCTGAGCAATTTGCACGCAGCCTTATGCCCATGTCCTGTGACACCTGTTCCATGGTCGTCTCATTGCTTATGTCCTGGCGTCTGTGGCAATGCGCCAGCTGCAATCCACTTCTTTGTAATGCATGGGTGTAACGCTTTGTGCATCTGGTACTGCACAGGGTGGACCCACGCCAGAGAAGTTGCTGCAGCTGTGGCAGCTGCTGATGGCCCTGCGCGACCCACTCCCCTCAGGTGACGTGGCACTGCTGGACCGCTGGCCGCTCATCCCCAACCGATGCGCCCGCGGCACAATGGTCCGCGTGGCGCACCGCGCTCTCATCTTCTGCCCGCCCGATGTGACCCACGGTGCAGGCACATCAATAGCAAGCGCCCAAGTCCCGACACAAGTGCACAACAGCAGCGCAGCTGGAGAGGCGGACCTGTCTGACCAGTGGGCAGAGATAGAGAGTGCATCCTCCTTGGATGGCTTGGAGGATCAGGATCTTGAGATAAACAGACTTCCTCGGCTGGACCTTCAAAATCTCAGGCATCGGCTCGACCAAGAGATGCAGCCTCTCTTGACAGAGGAAGAGCCGGCTAGCGGCACAGCAGAGGGCGACAGCAGGCAGCAGGCAGACCATATTGAAGGAAGGCAGGGCAGCTCAGCTATGGGCCAGGCCATGCCAGCCAGACCAAATGCAGATCTCTTAGCAGAGACCGAGGTGGAGGAGCCGGCTGGGCCGTGGGAGTGGCTGCTGCCTATCTTGGAGCGGCTGGCGCTGCCGGTTCTGGACACCCGATTCGGCATGCTGGCCCCAGTCTGTGCTCTGGATGGGCAGCTGTCCGAGCAGGACACCATCCTGCGCAAGCTGCAGCTCTGCAGCGAGGCTGGCCTCTTCCAGGTGGATTTCTCTCTGCCTCATCATGATATTCACCCCCTCACTGTTACCGCAAGCTCCTCGTTGATCCTCTACAGAAGTGATTTGAGATGTTGCAGACAGACGCTGAGTTCAAGGCTCATGCAGGTGGATCAGCTGGGACAGATGGACTGCGAGCACCTGTTCGGCTACTTTGCACAGCATGTACCACTCACTGAGGAGCCCTCCCAGCTGGACTTCTTGCGCTGCATTCCCATCTTTCCGGCGCTGCTTCCCGGCCGCCGTGTGGCTCTCAATTCAGGCCAGCAGGCTGTTGCCACCTGCCCTCCAGCAGTGATCACTGCGGCGGTGGGGGACGTCAATGCATTGCCAGAGCAAGTGCAGGCACGGCCCAATCACTCTGCAGCCTCCCTGCAGATCCAGATCACTTTGCCTCCGTTACCAAGGCATACTGGAAGGCAGTCATTGACAGGAGTAGGATGAGTACCGTGTGACAATTTTTCACGCTGTGCAGGGCATGCTCCTGGATTTGAGGCCGCAGTATGAGCCCCTGTACCGCGCCCTTGGAGTTCCCACAATGTCAAAACCCCTGCTGATGGCCAAATACGTTCTGCCCCACTTCAGTCAGCTGGCGCCCCCTGCCCAGGACCACGCCTTGGAGAAGATTCTGCAGCAGTGGCCGGTGTTGCGGAACAATGTGGCTCTGTTCGACGCGCTGACCAACACACCATTTGTGTTGACAGGTAAATGACACTGCATCAGTCAGCTCTCTGTCCTCTGTGCCTGCGCAACACTATATAATGCAAGCTGCGTTTGAAGACAAGGAGGGAGCTTGATATCACAAGTGATATGTTGAGGGTAGCCAGGACTGCTGAGTGACTGCGATCAACTGTACTGCAGCCACTGGGGAGAGGCGGCATGCGAGGGACCTGTACAACCCAGCAGTGGCATTGCTGGCCAGAACCTTCCGCGATCGGCCTGTCTTCCCCACCGCTCAGTTTGCCACTCCTGGATGGACTGAGGTACATGTGCCTCCACCCCTTGTAAAGACCGCTGAAAGCTCTTGCTGACTCATGTGCCGAGAATGCTAAAAGATTGCAAGATGCATTACAATGCATTTGGATCCCATTCTGCAAGCTGATGCGGGAATTGCATGGGTTTGCAGGTGCTCAAGCAGATCGGTCTGCGGTGCGAGGTGGACAGTGTAACCTTCCTGGCGTGCGCTCGAGAGCTGGAGAGCTGGGGCCTCTCAATGGCTAAAATGGATGAGGAGCAAGTGGGCGAGAGCATGGCTGTGGCCCGTGAGCTTGTGCAGGAGTTCAGGAGCAACACTGCCCTGCACTCCAGCGAGCTCTTCACCGCTCTGCGGGACATCGCCTTTGTCCCTGCAACCAAGGTCCTTCTCCTACCGCCAAATGCACAACGTTGATCACATTCTCCTCAGTAATGGTGGCATCCTTCATCCCTTTTTCCTGACAACACAACCCAAGCGTCCAAATTCAAGACTATTGAAAAATAGGGACGGGCCAATAAGAATGCAAAATCTGTGCGTTGCAGGGGTTGCCTGGCAGCCACGAGGCGAGAGCAGTGCTGGTGAAGCACTCACATGCGGCCCTGCACAAGGACTGGCCCCTGGCATGGGCGGCTGCGCCTATCCTGGAGGAGGGCAGCGTGCCCCCTGCGACCGCCTGGACTGCGCTGGGGCTGCGGTCTCCGCCGCTGTTCTCCACTATGCTGCAGCACCTGAGGGCCCTGTCGAGTGATGCCGGCCAGGGTGCACTCAGCAGCTGGCCTGCGCGCGGGCCCACGGTTGACGAAGCCTTCGGCTCCATCCTGGACTACATCTCCGCGCAGGCAAGAATTTTGCCAAAATGATGTGGGCCCAAACATCTGGGGTTGCTAGATCAGCGCTGCTTAAGTCCTTGCTGAAAAGCAGGGCGGAGCCCCAACAAGTAGATTGTATGCTGTTGAAGCAACCACATGATGCCTACATGGCTGTACAATTAGCAAGTTGGTTACCTTCTGACAATGCTAAATCTGTGAATAAATGGACAATGTGATCTGCAGGGGTTGAATCCTGCGCAAGCGAAGGAGCTGTCGCATCTGGCGCTGATCCCTGTCGCGAATGGAACCCGCTTGGTGCCGCCGTCCAGCCTGTACGTGCGGCTGAGGGATGACCTGTCACCCTTTGCTTTTGAGTTGCCTACCGCTCTGGTCGGCCGATCCACTACCCTGCAGGAGCTCGGCATGAAGGCTGCACCCAGCGCAGCCGACCTCATCTCCTTCTTAAAGGTGCCCTCTTTGTCATCTGGCCACAGCAGAGCAGTAAACAGAGCTTCAACTGTGCGTGATATGCAGGTCCTCACCTAGTTGGAGTCTCCTAGTCTCGAGCACAGCTTGAGGTCGATGTTTTGAAGCTGCGTGTTGAGTGGAAGAGTTTGCAATGAATTGCGCTTACTAGAAGAATGCCATGTTGATGCACAGGGACTGCGGCGGACCCTTGGGAGTGCACCGCTGAACATCAACGAGGTGCGCGCGGTGCTGCGGCTGCTGCGCTACATCTGTAAGCACAAGGACCCGGAGCTGCTGCGGCTGCTGCGGCAGGCGCAGGCGGCCGACGGAGTGCTGGTGCCTGCGGCTGACAGCCGCCTCGTGCCTGCCAGCGCATGCGCGCACACCCTCACCTGCCCTCCCCATCTGCTCAGCAGGTGACAGCATTGTCTCGCTTTTGCACCTTTTGCTTTATTGTAGTGAACTCATACTGTACTTCTCCGAAGGCAACGTTGCATGCCATGTAGGACTGATGCCCTCCTTGTGCATGGCATTTATTGTCGGCACATTTAGTGCTTCATACAGTGGAGTACGAGCAGCGTCGCCATGTGTCAGTGCTTGCCAAGCACGCCTGTCTCCACTGGCAGTTTTGTATAGACTTGAGGCCGTGCAGGGCTGCGGAGTGTGTGGTGTGCGCGCATCCCCAGCTGCCACTGGACATCTGCCAGCTGCTGGGCATTACCGCACTGGAGGACATTGCATATGAAAGCCTGAATGAGGCAGAGCCCCTCCAGTATCAGAACATCATCCAGGTGAGGCATCTTACAAACATAGTTGTTTTCTGCCTGGGCAAAGCCAATCAGTTGCAGCTATGCGGTCCCAGAAGGTCAATAAGATCAGGTGCTAGCAGACTTGATTCACGTTGCCTGGGTAGAGCCACCAATTGCTGAAAGATGCTGCCAGGCGCATGGTTCCTAGAGGTGTTGTGTTTGCGACAGGGGCAGCACCGGAGGGACGTGCAGCAGCTGCTGAAGAGCCACGAGATGGCGCGTGCTGTGCATCAGGTCGTATCACCATATGCAAAAGCGGTGCCGGCTCTCGCGCTGAGCGTCAAGGACGTGAGGGCTATCCTGTCCGGTGCGGCAGATGCCCTGCACTTTGTCATCGCCTGCCAAACCACTGTGCACTTCAAGGCCAGCAGGGCAGTTATTGCCCAGAAGACCCCTTCCATGCAGGCAAGCTGCTCTGCCTCCCTTTGCTTCTTTTGCCTTGATAACCCAAGCTATTGCAAAAGGTCTGGTGTAAGCAGCAAACAGCAGCGAGCAGTTGCCTTAAATTGAATTGGAGGTCGTGCATCTGATTACAATTTCCAGTGTTCTGATTGGTGGACTCGCACAGGTGTATGAGTTCACGTCGACCGCGAGCGGCGCAGTGTTTATCGCTGATCCACCGCCGGGCATCCAGCTGGCCACGCTGCTGTCCCGGGCGCTCAGCCGCGCGCTGCGGAGCCCCCTTGCGCTGCCTTTGGAGCCGCTGCTGTCCTGCGCCGCCGCCGACCTTCCGGCCGTGCGCGAGGCACTCCTGCCGGCTGCCGCAACTACGAGCGGTGAGTACTGCTCCTCTGTGGTACTGGCATGCTCAGGCAGTTTCATGGATGACTTGTGGATTTTACTATATGAGCCCTTACGATAAGAAGAATGGGTGTCACAGGAGGCTTGGAGCTGGCCAGACTGGGCGCGGCTGGCAAGCTGGGCACCACCTTGCTGCCCAGCGACCAGGCGCTTGTGCAGCTGAAGCCGCTGCGCCCATTCGCTGCCGGGGAGTTGTGTGCCTACCTGGCTGGGGCGTCGCCTGCTGCATTGGCGGCCAGGGCTGCCCAGCAGCGTGCAAACGGCCTCACAGGTGCTTGCCATTGCCACTCCACAGCCTTTTAAGTTCTTGTCATGATCTCCAGGCGCAGCAGGGCTGTGTGTATGACTTGGATGGTATCTGAGGCTAATCGATGCTATTTGGAAGGGACGGAGACCTCAAGGGGCAGGATATGTTGCCCAGGGGTCTCGGGTGGAGGGCAGGTGCTGTGCTACGGGCGAGTGGCACGCGACGCGCGGCCGGAGGAGGGCGCGGCCGTGTTCAGGGTGTCGGTGGAGGTGTCAGCCAGCCACTTTGCCTACCTGCTCTCCTCAGAAGTCTACTCCTTCCGTGGCGGCAGCGCCGGGCCGGGGCCGGCCGGCGCCGCGCAGGACGCCGGCCAGCCGCCGCATGACGCCCCGGCAACGCCGGGCGCCGATGACCCGATCAGCAATGGCGCAACCAAACTGCCGCAGGCCAGTGAAGCAGTCTCTGAGCAACTGGTGAGCGCAAATCGATTTCTTTGAATGAGCGCCAGCATTTGTGAAAAACTGCCGTTGAAGAATTGCGATGGTTAGTGAGAAGGGGAGAAGAATGCGTCGATAGGAGAGTAGCTAGAAATGATTGACGTGGATATAAAGGAAGATGAGTGCATAGCTGGTATGTTGATCTACACAATGGGGCGCTGTTGCTCTGTCCTCATTTCAACGCGCATCGGACTGGTGCAGGCGGTGGAGCCGAGGGAGGTGGTGTCGGCGATCCGGGACATGCTGTCGGCTGCAGATCTGCCGCTGGGTCTGGAGCGCGAGCGGCTGCTGGAGCACTCCCTCAGCCTGCAGGCCCAGCTCAAGGCCACCCAGGCCGGCCTGTCCCACCAGCGCCAGGTGCGCGCAGTCTACCGCCGAATTCTCACCATTTCTGATGCATTACGACTCTGCATCCTGTGGGGCATTCCTTGGTAAGCAAAGTAGTCATGTGTCAGTATGCGCGCTGTTTGTCATGGTGTGTTGGGGGTTGCATCAGGCGGCAGACAGCGCTCGGACGGAGGGGGAGGCTGCCCGAGAGGCGTGGAGGTGCCGCATCTGCCTCAGCGCTGACGTGGACGCTGTGCTGGTGAGGCATTGCCCACCCTGGCCTTTTTCAACACTCTACCTGCTAGTCATGGTGTCTGCCTGCTGCAACACGTATTGGAGCGTGTCAAAGATACAGTGGAAATGCACTTGATGCTGAGAATATGCTTTGGGTGGGGTGCAGACGACGTGCGGCCACGCTCTGTGCTGGGACTGCGGATCAGCCTGCCGCCAGCGCTGCCCCTTCTGCCGCACACACTCACCCGTCATCCGCCTCTACAAGTGACCTGTCTGCCTTGTGGCGTGGTGTTTGGGGCTGCGTGCCGCCCTCCTTGCCTTCGATCGATTTAGCTGTAGGTATATAATGTAGAATGTGCGTGCTTAATTGTAGAACCAGCTGTTTGAATCTGAGCTCGAAACAGGCTGTACACATATGTATGCAACGGGACAATGCATTTATTGTCAGTGCCGGAAGTGAAGCTAGTAGGAGCCATCAGAATGTATTCCGGGATTTTTGTTAGCGTCTGCCAGACACATTGAACATTCTGGTAGTAGAGAACCTGCGGAGTGTAGCTAGCAGAGAGGGAGAGGCTTAGGTTTCCAAGAACTGCAAGAATTATTATTTGGTCTGTGTATCAAGATGTGCAGTAGGCCTAGGCCTAGGCCTAGGCTAGCAGTAATATCGCAAAGTAGAGCTAAGATCTGATGCACGGATGTAGATGGTCTGTTCGAAGTCCATTTTTGCCGTGCATTCTGTCTTGCTTCAAGTTAAGATATCCTGAGCCGTTACGGACCGTTACACCACGAAAGCTCACGAATTGATCCACTACATAGCGCTTTACAGATTAGAAGTGTGTATTAAATCACGCTTTAAAGTTCCCGTATTGGTTTTCCGAGGCAAGCATGAATTTCAGAAAGGCACAACTGATCTCGGAGAATAGCGATGTGCACGTCCTAGACCCGCCCACTCCCCCACGTCCCTTTCTGAAATTATGGCCGACCAACGCACCACAAAAGCAAAGGCACCCATTAGAACGGGAGCTGCCTGTTGAGCTAGCCGACCGTGTTTGGGGATTTGTGTACGGTGAGGCTTTGCTGCACTTCTATGCTTTTGTACTGGAATGTAATGGTGTGGGAGCAAAATAACCGTCAGTGAATCTCATCAATGTTAAAATTGCTCACGAGTTCTCTTGTGCAGCCTGAAATTATGTCGTTTTCGACACAGAGGAAAATGAGGCACACTGGATAGTGTCCCAGGAGGGCACCCACCTGTCACAGACATACTTGGAATACCTGCACGCGGCAGCTGAAGGGTTGCAGAGCAGGATTGGCAGCCACAGCATTGCATCTCGGGCGCTGATCATCAATCTGGGGCCCACCTGGCCGACAGCCGAGGCTGGGCGAGCCTTCGCCGACAGCATATCAGAGATGAAGGTGGATGCTTGGGAGCAGCCTCCAGGGCTGGGCATCTGTCCCCTGGACACCCTCTTCAACGCCTGCACCACCATACACCGCTGGCTCTCCCTGCAGGATGACAATGTGGCGGTGAGAGCTGCCACCCATGATGCCCGTCTTTCTGGCATGTTTCCGTGCGCCACCAGCCCCTGAGTTATTGCAGATTTTGCTCACCATTAGGACATCTGCGTGAGTGAAGGAGAGGGAACTCAACGCTGCAGGTGTTGCACGTCAGGGGCTTCTCTGGCGCCGGTCTGACATTCCTGGCCCTGCTCGCGGCGTGTTTCCTGCTGTTCAATGTGGAGTGCCGCTCCCTAACGGTTGCCCTGGCCATGATGCCTGACCTCAGGCTGCAGCGAGTCTTCCACCAGACAACCCCGGCATCCATACCACCCACAAGAAGGCGAGCAGTCATGCACCTTGTGAGACCCCATTCATGCAGAGTAACTCCTCGATTGGGGGCATGCCGTTTGGTAAATGCATGATGGCTGCTTGGCTTGTTGCAGGCAGTTTGGGGGAGCTCAGCTGCGCTACGGGCACTACTTCCAACAGATTGTCACGCCCGGTGCACTGCCGATGTTGCGCAAAAAGCGGCTCATTCTGTTCAAGGTGACGTTGCGCGGGTGGCAGAGGGACGAGCACGCAACAGAGCACGGCAGCAGTGGCAACGAGGCCAAAAGGCCAGCGAAGCCCTGGTCTGAGTGGGAAGGGCCTGGTGGACAGCACATCCAGCATGGCAGCCAGAGTGTGAAGCTGCGACGGGCGTTCTTGGTCATCTACCAGAGGGGCCGACAGATCTGGGCAGATGAGGCTGCGCCAAATGTGCGCGTCTGCCTACGATATTACCTTCATATTCCTCATCCCTCCTTTTCTTTGAGCTGCAATAATATCAGAGCCATAAAGTTTGGTGCATGCAGTCCAAAGTTGATTCTGTGTGATATTGGAAACAGGGAGAAGAGGCGCTTTTTGACGTGGGCATGGTCCTGAACGGCGATATCACAATTGCTCTGTGGAGAGGAGATCAGATGGGGCCTTGGGACAGGCCCAGCTGGGCTTATGCTTTCCACACTGCCTTCATGCAACCAGGAAAGCTGCCAGTCACTGCTGATGACCTGGACTTTCCAGGATCAGAGTCAGCGGTCGATGGTCTCGCAATGGACCTCATGTTGGAAGAGGACACCCAGTCACAGGAAGCTTTGTCAAGGTGTTCACCACCTTTCACTGATTTCATGCAAGAGGGGCTCTTTGGCAAGCTTTTTGTGCTCTCACATATCTGCAAATATTCATTTTTGCTGCCGGCTAGCACATGCGATCTGCACGCATTGCACAAGCAAGGCATCTGACGAATCTGTAGGCTGTGGCCGCACATAGTGGGAGGCTTTCTGTCGGTTGCAACGTGGGCGACCTGATGTTTCACATGAGGCGATCCTTACAGACTGTAGTTGACACTGGTGTGGTACAGGGGCCCCAAGGGTGGCACGCTGGACGTGGCGGAGCTGCGCGCGGACTGGATGGCGCTGGTGGCGGGCGTGCAGGCGGCGCGGTCGCGCAGCAACGCGATGCAGAGCGCCCGGGTGCTCGAGGAGATGCTGCCCTTCGTCCGCAAAGGCCCCTCGCCAACCGCCGCGCCGAGTAGCCCTGCCCCGGCTGCACAGCCCGCATCACCCACGGCCTTGCCTGGTGTGGAACACAGGCAGCAATTTGATGGCACCACTCGTGCTTGGAAAAGCCCCACTTGGATCAACCAAGTGGGACGTGTCACAGATGAGGCACAAGTAGGCACCAAGATTCTGCTGAAGGATGAGTGTGAGATGTGGGTGAAGTTCAGGACGCTGCACGAGATAATAGTGTGGTGTGTTTGGTGCAGGTGGGGAAGGGGAACAGGCAAATAGACAGCCTGCAAAGGACCCCCCAAAGCGTCCGCCGCCACCTCCGCCGCCCAAGAAGAGCGTCAAGGCAGGGAAGCTGCCAGCAATGCCGCCACCTGGCGCAGTCAGCGAGTCAGGGCCCCAGGCCGGTCCCAGCAAAGATGAAACTCCCAGCAGTGACAAGGGTGCCAATGCCAGCGCAGCGCCGCCCAAAGTGAAGCTGCTGTTCTGGACGAAGGCGCCTCTCCAGGTGAGGATCTTCCTATATAGTAATTGAGCTGTACCACTGCCATGTCTTTTGGATGCAGCAGAGTGTGCTATTGTGAGCCAGCGGTGAATGCGTATGCTCCTGTGCTGCCTGCAGGGAGGGACAATCTGGTCAGACCTAGCCAGTGCGAGGATGTTGCTGCAGCAGCCCATGAAGGCTGCACTGCATGCCCTTTTTGTGCAGATGGCTGCCGCTCCACCAACATCATGTAAGGCTCTGCTCATCCATTGGTCACCCAACCATTTCCCACATATAATGTAAATCAGCACACTTTCATCCATCCTGATGGCTGGCACATTGAGAGGACCAAGGGAGTTGGGTGTCTTGTAGGGAGCCTGGACAAGGGAGCAGCGGAGGTGCTGAAGGTGATAGGGCTGGGGCGCGCAAACAACGTGGCCATCATGCTGACGCAGTTCACCGACTTCAAGGGCGGCGCTGCCGACATTCGAGCTGCCCTGCTGTCCGGCGCCCAGCTGAGCATAGAGCGCCTCAGCCTCCTGTGCCAGGTACACTTGTCGTGGTATTTGATCCCTCTATATTTCTGGAGATCTCGATCTCATCGTACCTCCCCTGATTTGCATTTCTGTAGACATCCTTCCAGGGACACACATGCATAGCTCATATGTCCCAGCATTGAAAGCTGCATTTGTTTGGAGGTAGAGTGAGACAAGGATATGATGACTCCCAAGTTGTCCTGGTGGAATAGCAAGGCGGTGGAACGCCTGCGCAGATGGCGCCGACTGAGGAGGAGGCAAAGAGCTTGGCGACCTGGCTGAGCAAGCCGGGCCACAGCGCAGCGCAGCTGACGGGGCCGGAGCGGTTCCTGGCAGTGATGGCTGCGGTGCCCCGCATGCGCGCCAAGTGCGCGGCCCTGCTGTTCCGCGCGCAACTTCCCGGACTGGTGGCTGATGTGCACGCTGCGCTGGGCTGCCTGCTGGCTGCATGCAAGCAGGTGGGGATCCAAAAGGCATACAAGGTCACCTTATGAGGATTTTCTGCAAGGCACTTAGAGTCCAAGCCTCGTCCGTTGAAGCTGTGCAAAAGGCAACTGTACTTTTCATGGAAGTTTGCCTAAGTCACGGCTTTTCATTGGTTGGGGCGTGGCCAGGTGAGGGAGAGCCAGCAGCTGCGGCTGGTGCTGGTGGCTGCTCTGCAGGTGGGCAACTGCCTGAACGAGGGGTCCCACCTGAGCGATGCCAAGGCTGTACGCATAGAGTCTCTCCTGAAGATGGCAGACCTGCGGGTGAGGTCTCTTCCCACACATGGCTCCGGCAACTCGCTCTTCCTTCTTCGCTTCCTCATTTCTGCCATGCCATGTTTGATGAGCGATGTATTCTTTTCAGGTGACACGCGCCACTGTGAGGGCCCCGGACCACTGGCAAGGCTCTGCCACAGAGAGAGCGCCCGCATCTGCCTCGACACCAGCAGCAGAGTGGACCCCTCCCAAGGGGACGCCCCCTGTCAGGACCCTGCTTGAGTTTGTGGCCTGGCTCGTGCACAGCATGGAGGGCCCATTGGGGGACGGTGCTGGGCGACAGAATACTGAAGGCTTGTCTCATAGCCAGCGCGTGTCACTGCGGCATGATCTGGGATCTGTTGAGGAGGCGGCCAAACGGATCAAGGTGCCCAATTTCAATCTGCCAGGATGCACAGTTACCATTCTTTTGCTTTGACGGCGCTTCAGCACTGAGATCCTGCACTTGTGGCTCGCTGCTAGATGCAAAGATGGGACCTGAGTTCATGTGTGTGCAGGGAGACATGGCTGAAGCTCTGAAGGCAATTGACAGTGGCCTCGCGGCAGCAGAGCCAGAACTCAGGGCATGTGTGTCAGAGGCAGATAATCTTATGCACTTACCGGCAAGATCTGGCTTAGCGACAACAGCGGCAAGCAATCAGCCCTCCTCAGCTGCAGTAAGGGATGTTGACTCTGAATCTGGTAATCCTGGGCGATCAGAAGCAGGCGTGCGCACAGAGCAGCAGGCAGGCAATCTACCGCAGATGCCTTGCTCATCAGATCAAGGCCATGATGACAGGCTGCACCTGGGATCCCAAGCATTCACAGCATGTCTTCAAAACTTCTTGGTGCGTCATGCAGCTCTGCCACACACTTTATGGTTTTCTGGTTTTAGTTGGTTCTATTAACCACATAATGTTGGTCGTCCTAATGCAGGATTGCTGAGAGCCTCTCTACAATTTGCGTTGTGCCTGCAGACTGAGGCACAATCACAACGAGCCTTACTATTTGAGGAGGTTGCAAAGGCCGAAGCCGCCATCGCCGGCTTGGCAGCTTTTCTTGGGGAGCCTCCGAACAGCGACCCCGCAAACTTGTTTGCAGTGGTGTGGACGTTTGTGTTGGCATTTGACAGGGCATATATTTATGTAGCCCAGTTTCTGCCTCCTTGAGACCGTGACAACTTGTCACTGACAAGTGCTCAGGACCAACGGCATCTCAGACATTGAATCATATCTTACATACAGCAGGCAAAGATGCCTTGTTTGTAAGCGGGACTGATAACACTCAGAAATCCGCTCATCTCAGTCAGGAATGAACAATCATCACATTCACAAGACGATACTAAATTGATCCGCATGCGCTCCAGTGATCTCCCACATGAGGTATACCTCCTGTACGTACTAATAGCGCTGACTCAGCGCTGTCGGATAGCGCTGGGGCTGCTTGCCAGCTCCACAGTAGCATAGACCTCACAGAGTCGAAAGTACAAAAAACATGGGCAGCCTGTGACAGGATGCGCATTGAGCACCGTGCACCGAAGCACCTTGGCATCATAGTCCAAGGGTTCATTGGAGGCCAAAAGTAGACTTCAGGGCTTCCAGCTGGTCCCTTATGCCGCTGGTTGCATCATCAAGAATTCCGCCTTTCTGCAGCTGCTCATCTGCCGTGGTGGCCTCAGTTTCTAGCACCTGCACACGGATTGAAAGCTGCATTGCTTAACGTCAGGGACCTTGAAGAACTCACGGCAAATATCCAGGTAAGTTGCTCACTGCACCATTGGGCACCATGTTCACTGGTCATCAATGTGCCAATCACACGCTATGCTACGAACTTTCAGAGGATTCGTGATGATGCACTTACACCCAGCTGCTCTGCAATACTCTCCTGCTGCTCTGGATTGCCAATGCTGGACAACTCCTCTTCCACCTGTGCAAGAAATTTGAACTTTGGAAACCTCACTTGAGCACTGCAAGATGAAAATGGATCTCCCCTGCTGTTCAATGATCCGTCGGGTATTATAACACGAGGATTTCACCTTCGGTAGATCGTCGGTCAACACGTCTTCCTCAGCCAAAACGGGGCCTGGCGACAGCAGGACCAATGAGTCAATCGGAGTGGGGATTATCAATTGAACCTTGTAATGTCAGTTTTCCGATTGCGTGTGGCGCACTGAGCAGCGAGCATAGTTGGCAACACCACCGTCCCTTACCTGTGCATGCCAACAGAGTAGCCAGCACGGCTCCAGTGATGCGGACTGGCAAATTTCGAACCTGAACCTGCGAAGGAATCGCGCATACAAAGTTGAATTGCATGGACTTGCACGATAAATATGAGAATAGGGCCCTGCATCTTATTGACGAGCTCCTGGCTAGGAGGGTTTCGCGTTCTTGCTGCACGTCAAGGTGAATGCCACTTTCATGTTGCATTCCATATGCACAGCCTACCGAATCAGAATCTCGTTGGGCGCAATTCACTCGCGTAGACATACGCTGGTTCCCGAAGGTTCCAATGGGCTTTGCTGCGACCCGCGTCCCGCGTCCGAACGAGACGCATACCTGGGGCCTCGCTGCGACCGCTGACATATTCATCAATGCTTTGGTACTAGGAGAGGGAGCTGCATTAAAGATTGATGGAGCCGGTGCTTTACGTATTCTGTGCCAGGAGCTCCATGGTTCTTTCAATGCTTATCTGGCACGTGAACAACGATGCCGTAACCCCCTTGTCAGCAAGCTGGTTTCTCGTTCATTGTCTTGGGACGCAATTGGCACTACTTACATTACTATGTTAGCGTGTTGTATATGCTGGTGTGATAAAGAGTGTATGACGTGCTGGTCTGAGCAATTGCTATAATTCTTTTGTCTGCTAAAAGAATCAGACAAGAATGATGTGCGATTCTGATTACCAGGCAAATTAAAGCATTCATATATCTGCAAAGTCCAGGAGGTGTTTCACAAACGTGCGACTTTCTGCTGTGGAGGATGAGGGCTCTAGTGTGCAGCAAACTAGGCGATCCTCTAGCAACGGAGCCCGCCAAGAGTCCCTTGGACATCGTTCATGACCATCCAGAACCAAATCTGCGGGACAGGGATGTCAGGATACAGATTGTCGCGGCCTCATTGAATTTTGCCGACGTTCTCCAAGTACAGGTGAAGACCTCCAGCAACTGGTGCAGTGGTGATCTGGGACCGTCATCAATGCATAACATGAATCCCACTGATACAGGATTGCGCAGGGCCAATATCAGGACAAGCCACCCCTTCCCTTCATCCCCGGCTCTGAAGTGTCCGGAATTGTCACCGAAATTGGCAGCAAAGTGCGCGGCGTGACACCGGGAGAACACGTGAGCTCATTCACTCATTTCCTATCAACCAAATATGGTTATCCCTTAACACAGCTGTTCACCAGGTCTGCATGCTTCCGCTGTCCACATTTGCGCTGACTCGGCTTGCCCTTGCAGGTGTGTGCTGTCACAAGAGGGGGCGCCTTTGCTGAAGAGGTGGTCGTACCGGAGGGCGCTGTACTGAAGCTGCCTCATGGCGTGGACCTCATCACAGCCGCAGGTCTGCTCCTACGCAAACACCTCCTTCTTATGCTTACTGCTGTGCTCTTCCCAATGGCATGTGCTGGAGTCATGATGCAGCGGATCGGTGGTACCCGCACAGATAGACAGTTTTATGTTGTGAGCGCAGGGCTTCCTGTGGCATTTGGCACGTCGCATGTGGCGCTGAAGGAGCGAGCAAATGTGCAGCCAGGCCAGACGGTGCTGGTCCTGGGAGCGGCGGGAGGAGTGGGCATCGCTGCCGTGCAGGCATGGGCTTGCACCACGATCCTCTGCAAGAATACCACATGTGTTCATTCACACTTATTGCCAGCACATACAGCATCACGGACAGATGGAGGAGCCGGAAGCAGCTGGGTGAAGAGACGATGAGCGTTTAGGAGGTGTGCTGCTGTGCAGATAAGCAAAGCCATGGGAGCCAGGGTGGTGGCGGTGTGCCGCGGAAGCAGCAAGGCGGAGGCACTGGAGAGGCTGGGGGCCGATGTAGTCATTGACACCTCACAGCAGCCGGACACACCTCTGCGAGCCCTCATAAAGGTGTGACCTAGGCATGCGCTTTGCACCCTGTACTTATCTCTCTTGTCATGTGATTCCTTTGCCCAGAAAAGTCATGGACACATTAATGAGGATTAGGATCCCACCCATTCTTTACTACTGTATCTGTCCAGTATTGATGCTGAGGTTTCCTTTTTGTGCTTGTGGCAGAAAGAAGCACCAAAGGGCGTCGATGTCGTGTATGACCCAGTGGGCGGCTCTGCCTTCCAAGAGGCTCTCAAGGTTGCCAAGTGGGGTGCTCAGATACTCATCATCGGCTTTGCTAGTGGCAGCATCCCGAAGGTGCTCTATCTCTCAGCACCAGAAGGACACCTTGAAGACATCTTTACAAGCAGTGCCTTTGGTTCGCTGCTGTCCTTGCAGTGCATTAGATGCTTTTGTTTCTTGCAGGTCGCAGCAAATATAGTGCTTGTCAAGAATTTGACCCTGCATGGCGTGTTTTGGGGAAGCTACATGCAGCACAAGCCCATTGTCCTTCAGAAGTCCCTGCAAGAGCTTGTCAGCTGGTGGGCAGCAGGGAAGATCAGCATCTCAGTGTCCCACAGGTTTGCTGCCCCGTACTCATCACCTTTCGCCATCGGAAGAACTTATGCTCAAGCATAATATGAGTACAAAATGCCACTGGATTAAAGGTGAGTTACCTTGGATGTGCACTGCCAGGTTTCCTTTGGAGGAGTACAGGGAAGCTTTCAGAACGCTCATGCACAGGCAGGCAGTTGGCAAGGTATGCTGTGCATCATCAATGGGCATCCTCTTTCATCGGCACAACGCTGTATCTGTCGTAATGTGTGCTTCTAGTGGCGACACCTGCATCCTGGTGTCTCATTAAAGGGCAAGAATGACGATTGACAGTACAAAACCTGGTTGCGTGCAGGTGCTGCTTCTGCCGGGTTCAAGCACGAGTCGGCTTTGAGAAATTGTACATCAGAAAATTGTACACCTATTTGTACAGGAGCAATATAATCAGGAGAAGCCGTTGACATTAGGACATGGCTTTTTTGTGTTCTGGAGGTATTAGGAATTACATAAGGACTTACAGGGCATGTATGTAAGTCTAGGGCCATAATCTTGTGCTACCTGGCATGATGAAAACGATGGCGAAGTAATATCATGTGCATATGTGATGTGGGCAGATGCCAATGCAATGAGGCCATGTCTTGCAAGGGCTGCAGCAGTCATGCATTGCAAATCTCATCAGAGAGCACTGTGCAAGCAATGAAAATCACAAGATCTTCTTGTTGAGCACACTGGGCAATTGGATCCATGATGTACTGTGTCTCTGCCTCGTCATACTTTTCGGGTCAGTTTTCATCAAATTGTCAAAAACACCTCATGCATGCCGGCCGGGGGGGGCACTCCTGTACAGATGGTCATCACCCGAGACGGACATACACCCTGCACGCATACTTTGCCGCTGTTCCCCAGCCCGCCTCGGTGTGCGGCGGGAACTCTGATGACTTGCCTTCCTTGTCCAAAAACACCACATGCAGCCGGTCGCCTCGCGAGCAGGGCAGCCCATCCTGCCATGTGCCAACAATCAGCAGGTCAGCCCCATTTTTAAAACGCCTGCTGATTGAGTCAATGGAAGGGTAAAAGAAAGTGCACAACAACAGAGAAATACAATATACCCAGTACAGCGCGCACCTGGCCATATGCGGCTGAGAGGGACGTTGCCAGGGATGTGCGTGATGAGAGGGCCTCAGGCGGCAGCGTCAGCCCCCACCTCACTCCAGCATAGAAGCACTTGATCCTGCACATCCAAGCACCCTTGATGAATCCTCCCTTGACGCTTTTATCTGCTTCACCACACCTTGATCCAGCTGTGTTGTTTGCAGTCACTTTGACCATTGTATGAAGCTATTCACTTCCCCGTGGATGAGTTGTGGACATTTGCTTCTCCACTGTATCATGCTGCCAGCATGCACGCCCAACCACCTTCTACAACTCCACACTCTCTGGGTGTGACTCAAAATTGAGCGAATGCCACAAGGACAGGGGCAAAGGGAGTAAGGCACATGCAGCCCTCTCTCAGCGAGCAAACGATGTCACTCCTCCTGTGAGACTCAGCGGCAGCGCACCTGCTGGGCTGCGGGTCGGCATCTGTGTGCTGTGCGCGCTGCCGGCCGTCGGCCGCGGCTGTGGACGCGACGGCGTTAAAGCGCTCCTCGGATCGGCCGTCCTGGCCGCTGTCCTCGTGCTGCGCCCCACGCTCGTCCTGGTGCGCCGATCCGCGCGGCTCCGCCTGCAGCGTGGACACCTGCTCCTCCATCTCGCAGCTGCCCTCATTGCCCTGCCTCTCGCCCTCCCCTGCGCGCACCGGCCATTGCTCAGGACGCTGCACGGAATGGTGAGCGAGACGGCGGTGTGATCTTGCGGTTATCTGACTTGATCAATCCCTGTGGCATCTCTTGCAGGCACTGACTCTTATCATGACAAACTTAGTGAGAGTTGCAGGTCCCTTCATGCCTGCAAGGTGGCATATTTCACAAGATCCGGAGAGCCAACCAAATACGCTGGATCCAATTTACAGTCCCGTGCATTCACAAGCCACTGCTTGGGATGTTGTCAAACGACCTGAGCCTTTACAATGTCCGAGCAGACAAGGGCAGGCCCTTTAGAAAGGCCGCTTCGGCGATAGTCTGCAATCTTGGCGGCCGCACCTGGTAAATGGACAGGACAAGAGATGGAGCACGATCAGTGTGGAGAGGCGGGGTTGAAGGATCAAGGAGTCTCTGGAATGACGCATACCTTGCTTCCGTGGGCGCTTTAGGCTGGGTTGTTGCTTCTGCCCGTCGCTGCTCGGCTGCTGGTCCCCCAGGCTGCCACTTCCATGCTCTCGCTCACGCCTTCCCCCAGAAGAATTGGGTCTGCTTGCTGTGCCAGAAGGCCTGGGCCTATCCTTCTCGTCGCTTCTCGGCTGACCTGGAAGAGCAAACATTGGAGATATGCAGTGCTCGCTTGGGCAACAACAGCCTCCTCGTATTCAGTTAATTTGCATCCCTCTTCAGTTGTCCGAGAAAGTATCTTTGATGCAATTATCAGTTATGATTCTAAATTATCATTTATGATTCTGAATTTTTATACCGTGCTACTGCAGGGAAAAAATAGACAGCTGGATTTCTTGCCCAGCAAAGTTGGAGAACTCATCAATACACTCCAACAACGTGTACCTGGAGGTCCTGGTGCGGTTCTCCTTGGGCGAGTGAGCCCATTTACTTCCCGATGGATCTGCCTTATGAGAGCTTCGGTCGCTGGGTCAGGCTCTGCCATTTCCTGAGCAAAAGCGCCAGGAGCTGATCGCACAATCAGACTTTCACGTTTCCCATAGACACTCCACTCTGGGTGCGAGAGCAGGTTTGCAAAAGCAACATTTCCAAGGCGGATTCAACGCATTGTGCTCCCTGATTTTGCTGCTGCCAGAGCGCATAAGGTACTTCTTGAAGGCGTCGGGCGTCTCATCTTTGAACGCTTTGTCAGCGAGGAGCTGCTCGGACTCAGTTACCCGTCAATCAAGCAAGGGATGTATAGCCTGTGGATGTCTGGTGCCAGCAAGTGCATCGCGGGAACTCTTACTCCATTTTGTCCCAGTCCACGTCAGCCACGTGATCCACATCACTGCCACGTCAGCTGTTCCTTCTTTTCTGGGTTACTGGAATTCCTTGAATGTATTCCTCTGGTCACAAGGAACTAGATGACCTCTAGATGCCTGGAGAGCAACCGTAATGGGCAAGCAAGTGTGACAACTTCACTGGGGTTTGAAATCAATTTCACGATTTCTGAGCAGATATTGATCAATATCTCATCATGATCAAGCTAATGAGCTTCAAGCTGCCGCATGTTGTGCATCATAATGATGCCATAATTTGATCGTAGATATGCCTTTCTCCATCACACTGCATCGCCGTTGACCAGTTTTAAATTTGATCAAGCATTTATTACTAAGTCAAACCATGAGTCGTGTTATTTCAATTCCTTTCTGTGAGACGAATCGTTCAGTCTCCAACATTCAGCAGAACAGTCTCTCACTTGCGCAGTGCCGGACACCCATGCGACATCATATATGGGCAAAGCAAATAGACCGAATCGGTACAATACACATGTGACAAAGGCTCTTGCGGATTCTTTGCAGAATCAGAACTGCGGAACATGGTGCACTATGTTGATGCCGTTCAGCACCTTAAATGCGTGCCAATCCGGGTACCTGAGCATGCTCATATTACGTAATATGGGGCCTCCAAGTACTGCACAAATAATGAAATTTGGGGCCTTCAGGTGCTGGGCCCCGGCTCGCCCTTCTGCACGCGCGTGTAGGTGGTCATCTTGTCGTAGCCCTTGTACTTCCAGTACCCGTACACCGCCCCAAAGATGGACACCGCAATGAGCGCCATGATGCCCAGCACAGCGCTCCAGCCCGTCAGAGTCAGAAAGCCCACACCCGCCTCCTTGGGCGTCAACGTCCCCTCCTGTTGCACGCACACAAACCCATGCAATGTCAGAAACAGCTCTGTAACGGCAACTGATGACGGCCCAGCGTATCCACTTTGGTACTCCAGAATCATCTACTTGTACGGTAGTAGCCATTGAGGAATTCACTTGATTGTTTTTGAAAAGTTGCCCTGTTAGTCTGCTGGCACCCAAAGGAATCTAAAATGCAAGACAGCCTGACACCATGTCTGCCAATGTGCCATCCAGAAGAAGCACCAGCGCATGCAGGCACGGGAGCAGGCCGACAGCTTTCCCAGCTCTATTGAATAGGCTGCTGGGAGGGTGGTGTTGTGATGCTAGACAGCACATTGGGGAGCTGGCTGGTGCAGAGCAGTGCCCACCTTGAGGCCCAGGCGCTGCTCAATGGTCTTGATCTGGGTGGAGATGGCGGCGGCGCTCATGGCCGTGTTGTAGTGCGCGTACACGTCGCCGGGCTCCGCCAAGCGCACGAGCGTGTCGCACGCCGGCGCCAGCTTGGACACCGGCTTGGCCGCCTCCTTAGGCACCTCTGCCAGCCTCCTCACTGCCTGCACAGCCCCAGCCGCCAGTCAGTGCTAACTGTCAATTGAGGAACGCGCATGCCAGTCGAGAATTGCATATGCTGGACGATCAAGACGTGAAGCCAGGGTGTGAAGACGCGAATGGGTCCCCAGGGATGTGGGAAGAAAAGCACCTTATTGTCGTTGGGCACCTGGACCTCTGGTGGCAAGGCGACGGCTATCTGGCTGGCCAGGCACGCCCTCACCTGCATTGCACAGCCCACCATTTAGGGCACCCTGCCTACCATATTTACACCCTCTGAACGACCTCTTCTGTGGGTGGGTTGGGTAGACTTCACGTGGAAGTCTCTGGCCATACTCTGGCAGCCACCAGATTAGCTGGGAGATACAGAAACAGGCTGAGAGAGAGATGATGACAGGAGGGCGGACCTGGCCGATGCCGAACTGATCGAGGCCCTGGGAGCCGAGGCAGAGGGCGGCGATGTCGGAATCGCAGATGTCGGTGACAGGCGCCTTGGGCTGGTAGAACTGCAGCGCGTACCGTGCGGCGCGGCCGGTCTCGCGCGCGCACGAGGACGACAGGCTGTCCACCTTGGACACCAGGCACTTGAGGATGGCACCCGTGCCCTTGTCCTCCTCCGACCGTGCTTCCGCGCATACCTGCCGATGCACCCATGACACGCCCCTTCAGTGACATTTGCTAGTGTACGCTGCCAAGAAACCTACCACATGGCGCCCTTCCTGGACGCCAACAGACTCGAAGGAAGCATTTAAAGATCAATTTGCAAGAAAGCAGTGCTCCCGCACGGCCAGGACCCCGGAGATGGCGGGCCCGCTGTAGCACGTGCACCCTTGGCATGCTTGACCGCATCACCTCACCATGAACGCAAACGCACAGTCCTCCCTTTGCAGAACCATGCGTCTTCCACAGATTGCTTTGGAGGTCGTGGGTGTTGGAATCATGAAAAAAGCAAGTCTACCAAGAATTGTGAAAGGTGAAATGCAGGGAGTGTGACCTTGGGGACGTCGTCCTTGCAGGCCTGGCGCAGGTCGTAGTCGAGGCGCCAGTCCTTGACTCGGCGCGCCTGCTGGGCGGCCAGCTGGTCGCGGCAGCCGGCGCTGTAGTCCGCCGACTCGATGTGCGACAGGAGGCACGTGAACACGCGCGCCTTGCCCGGCCGCACCCCCTGGCAATGCGCCGCGCGCTCCGCCTGCAACGGCGCACCCACACGTGTTATTGGGTGAGAGCTTCCCCTTTTCCCTCTCTTTCCGTTTCTCGCCCAGGCCCCTCAATTGTCCCAAGATTTGGCACAAGGTGCCAGATGGCGCAAAATTGTAGAACAACCTTTCAGCTGATCCATGCCTTGTGCCGACCTGCTGTCCTTTTGTGGAGTGAGCCGGTTTGAATTCTGCATCTGTGCGTATGGTGCTCAGCATTGCAACCGTGGTAGTTTGTGGGATTAGTCCCTGGAGGCCCTAGTCTATCCTAAATATCCGTCAGCCCACACCATGGATATGGAGTTCTGCAACGGTGGATTAGAAGTGCAGGTGCCAGCTTGGCAGATGCTAGCATGTCAGGGTCCATGCACTGCTTAAGGTTGCAGCCGTTTCAGCATTTTGTGCATTGTGAGCAGCAGCACCTTGCATGCGGCGGCCAGGTTGGGCATGAGCTCGGTGTTTTGGGACTGCAGGATGGCCAGCTTGAGCTCCTCCTTGCGGCAGGCGTCCGTCAGCTTGTCGTACTTCTCCCGCAGGCACGTGTGCACCCTCCCCTCCCCTGTGCACACGTTGACTGCACGTTCACAGCCTGCAGCGCGCTCCCTACAGAGGCCCAACGTACACCACTTGCATCAAAACTCGTGACGACACGCAGGAGGTGTTTTGCGGCAGGCTCACCGGCTGGAGTGTCCTTGCAATAGGTCTCCACATCGCTGTGGCAAGCCTCTGCCAGGATGATGTCGTTCCTGAAGTCCCGCACCTGCGAATCAGGCCCCAAACTGTCAGGTGCATTCTGCAAGCACCTCATAGCGCCACGGTGATCCGCCAATATTGCTGCCTTGTGATCGCATTTTGTGCATCAGGATCCCCACAAAATATGGATTCCTCTGAAACAAATGAAGCTGCATTCCGGGTAGTGACCAGGTCCAGTGCTATCCAGTGTGTGTGTTGACATCGTCCAGTCCAGCCAATCAAACCAGTGTGTGTATCGAAGCAAACTAGAGTGGGCCGCACGTGGGCGTTTGCTTAAGAATCCCTAGTCTCTACTCTCTACATAATGGAATTTGCTGTCTTTTCAAGCTCCCCAGCCCCGTTTTTGCAGCTCGATTTACATTCGGGCAGGCCATAACACAATTGCCCCACCTTTCTCTGGTACTCCTCTAGATTGGGCAGACTAAGTAGCAAAAGCAGTAGATTAGAGATCACCTCCATCTTGACGAAGTAGAAGACCTCCTTCTTGCACTCAGCGTCGGTGACCTCCTCGAGCTTCTCGGTGAGGCAGCGCAGCACGGTGCCGCCGCAGGGCTGGTCGATGGACGTGGACGTGCACGCGTCGGCACACTTGTCCATTATCGTGTCGTGGCACGCTATGCTCAGCCGGTAGTTCAGCCTGTGCACCCCGACAGACTCACCTCACGCCCCGGCCACCCCAATCCAAGACCTTCCTCATACATCCAAGCTTTCCTTATACATCAGTGTTGCTAATGCTCTCCACCCTGCTTCTTCAAATCTGGTCCAACACTTCGCATGCATCGCCTGCAGCAGGACAGAGGCAAGGCATGCAATATAGTGTTGCTACTGCTTTTGCGGAGGGAAATGGTGGAATGTGCAGTAACAGGCGAAGTGGGCATCGTGCCTGTAGTCGGTGGCGGCGTTGGCGGCATGCTTCTGGACCTGGGCCTTGCAGGTGGCGTTGAAGGCGGGCTGCTCCATGTTCTCCTCCAGGCAGCGGATGATCTTGGCGTGGCCGTGCTGCACGTCCTTGCAGTAGCGCCCGATGTCGGCGCTGCAGGCCTGCTTCATGGGGAACTGGAAGTCGATGTTCTCCGCCATGCGCACCTCCTGGTCAAACAGCGTCGCCTTGCACTCGTAGCTCAGCTCCAGCCGCCTGCGCGCACAGGCACAACCGCATCAGCATCCTCCGCGCCCAGTCACCATGTGAGGGGGCATGCCTCAGCATGCATGTACCTGCTTGGTGGGACATTAATAAGAAGCGGTTGAGCTGTGACCATCGTGAGAAAGACAAAGAAGCATGCATGCGTGATGGGAGGTCGCCAGTTGAGATGTTGGAGTCAAAGCAGGGAAGGAGGCTTCCCGCCAAGAACTTAATATCCATTCTGACATTGTGGGGGAAAGAAAAGGACATGTGTGATGCAAGCAGCGCAGCCTAGTCTCACCTGTCCTGCAGGCAGCGGATGACGCGGGCGGAGCCGGGGGGCACGTTGGAGCAGAACTCCTGGCGGTCCTCGAAGCAGGCCTCGGCCAGGGGCACGTCGAAGCGGATGTCGCTGGACGCGTACTCCATTATCTTCTGCACGCGCGCCGAGCATGCTGGCGACTGGATCTCGTCCCTGCGGAGACACACGCGACTTAGCCATGATTACTGTAGAAGTTGTGTCCTGAACTTTGTCAAAAGTACACAGGGTGTGGTCCAACAAATACGGTGCACCTTGCCAATATAAACAAGTGATGGTGATCTGACGACAAGGAATGCATGGCGCTCTCCGGCTGGGCATGGGAAGGTTGGGAGGTCTGGGCCGCACCTGTAGTCCTGAAGGCACTGGATGACACGAGCGTCATAGCCCACGACAGTGTCCATGGAGTCGCGCTCAAAGCCGCACACATGCTGCACAACATGACATGACAAATGTCAGGGGCACTCCATGTCTGATTATTGCTCCTTTTAGCGGTGTAGCATGGTATCGGTGTAAGGCTGACCCATGCATCGTTGACAGGGCAGGAAACCTCCACATTGGGTGCATGGCAGACAGGCAGGTACGTCATGCAGGAAGAAATGCAAAGCAGCGCACCTGGATGTCCTCTTCGCAGAGCACGCGCAGCTTGGGGTCGAGACGGAAGTCGGCGGCGCGCGCCTCCATCATCTTCTCCACCTCCACCTTGCAGGCAGGGCTGAAGCCGGGCTGCTCCCGGTTGTCCTCCAGGCACTCCTTCGCGCGCGCATTGCCCGGAGGCACGTCCGCGCAGAACTGCTCCCCAGCACCCACCGGGCTCAGCCTTGCCCTTTCTTTGCTTTAATCAAGTCGTAAGTACCCATACATGACGCTGCTTCAAACAGAGCTACTTTGGTATCTGCAGAACTACACAAACAAGTAGAAAAGCTCAGCGGCCAATTTTTTGTCTACTGTATTGAAGAAGAGGGGCGAATAGGGGCCGCACCGTCTTCTTGTCTGCGAGGCAGGCGTGGAAGAGCTTGATGGAGAGGCGCAGATCCTCAGCGTTCTCCACCTCCTGGCGGAACAGCTGCTCCTGGCAGTCCCATGACAGCAGCGGCCGGTGCTTGGCCAGGCACTCCTGCACCTCCCCGCTCTCTGCCTTGGCATCCTTGCAGTTGCTCACGACGTCCGCCTGCCAGGCACCATGAACAGCTCAGCACCAGCAGCAATCAACCCCTGGATGCCTTGCCTGTCAAAGCATGAACACCAGGACAAGAAATGTTCTTTAACAGGGCTGAGACAGCCAGTCGGCCTTTGTGCGCCTGTCATCAGGCAAGTGAAGGACATGCGTGAGGGGGAAAGACCCACATCGCAAGCTTCCTTGAGCTCCTTGTCGGTGCGCCAGTCATTGGCGGCCTCCATCTGGCGCTTGAAGACCTCCTCCTTGCAGGCCGCACCCAGATCCTCCACTTGCTCACGCAAGCACCCCAGAATGCTGTAGTGCTGGAGCACACAGACAGATCTGTGAGCACATGTGAACCCATTCCAATCACCTCTGCTGCTTTGTTGTCAACAAATTCATTGTGCTCGTCTTCGGGTCAGGTCAGCATGCGCTGTCGGATGATACTGGCTCTTTATGTGCAGTGAGCAGTGGAAAAAGAGGAGTGCGCAGTGAAAAAGAGGCGCTGTGTATCTGCTGCCCCACCTCAAAGTTGCCAGCACACAGCTTGTCTGCGTCCGTCTTGCAGGCCTTGGCCAGCGGCAGGTCGCGGTTGATATTGTCGGAGCGCTCGATCTTGAACGAGGTCAGCGCCTTCTTGCACGGCTCGCTGGTTTTTGTGCCGGCATAGCCAGGCTTGGATTCGTCCGCGAGCTGGTCAGTGATGCACTTGGCCAGGCGGCCCTCGCCCGGCTTCACAGCTGCACACCACTGGTCCAACTCCTCCAGGCAGGGCCCTGCGATTGGCACAGCCTCTTCACACGCCATGCCCCATACACATAAACCCCCATGAATGTTATTGCACCTGCAGCTTTTCATGGGTGTGCCTAGATGACCCACCATTTCCTAGGCACATTCATGAAACGTTGCAGCTACAAAGACGCTAATGCATACCGTTCCACATCTCGCACATGCGGAAACAGTCAACACCCCATTTCATAGGGGCGCCAAAAAGGTCTACAGAAGACAGCATGCATTGCATGCATGACGAGCTCTGCCTCGCCTGACACACAGGGGACAAGCACCTGTCGTGGAGATGTCCCCTGTTCCGCTGGCGATCAATGCTGCTGGCTCAGCCTTGATGACCTGAGCGTTGACTGGCACTGTCTCCTCCTGGTAGTCCTGCGCCTCCACATTGGCCTCTATGGCCTTTTCCAGCTCCGCCCCGGACTTGGCAGGCTGTGGTGCTGTTGCTGGTGCCGCTGCTAGGGACAAGAGGGGCGCGCACAGCAGACAGGCTGCCAAGAGTACTGCAGCAGCAGGCGCCTGGCACAGGAGTGCCTGCGAGGGAATACAATTTTGTCAAAGCAGGCTCATGGAAATGTCAGATTGCATCGCCTTGTATCACCCTTGCTCATGAAAAACGAATGCAGTGGCAGTGAAGGCTTCATGTTAGATCCCTGCTGGCAGTGTTGGAGTACAGCCTTATTCAGGAGGCATCCAAACCTGGCGGTGCTGCCTCATCGCAGGCAAAGCAGATCTGAGGCGTCTGTCTGGCCCAGATACCTGTTTGCCCTCCTGTGAAACACGCAAAGCTCTATAAGATCTTGGGTTCAGTCCCCAACTCACAACTTGGCAACATGCACTTCCAGACTTGCTAATCACGTCTGGACCGTTCATTCCTTGTTCGATAGAAATATTTCAGTTTGAGAATTGATCTTAAGACACCCACAGTGGCTCTGTGATTAAAGCCCCCTTAACCGCAGCATCCAACACCCATATGTCTGTCAGGAGATGATGAGACAACTCAACCAACAACTCAAATTCTGTTCCCTAGAGCACAGCATTTGGATTAATGTATAAGAACTGTCTCATGAAGGGAAGACATACCTTTCAACCTGCAGGCCTCAAGACTTCCTCCTCAGTGTAAAGACGCCCTGAGCAGGCTCCACAGCGCTGCCAGGTATCTCGCTGTGAAATTCCTCTTTGGCGTCCTGATACTACGCCGTCGATCGAAAGGCAATCTTCCTTGTATATGTTTCAATGGGAAAGATCGCGTCTCGATTCCCTTCGCGCCAAGGCGGGGACGAACACGAAGGAGACAAAATGCAAGAACGCCGCCGAATGGGTGAAATCAGCAAATTTACATGCATGAAAGGGTGGGCTGCCTTCTGATAAGTCTCCATAGCCTTGGGATCGAACAGATAGTGTGCATGTCACACAGCAGGCTGCAATGTGAACAGCATGAGCTATCACATGCTTGTGGCCCGAATGAAACAAGTAATTTCTGAGAATCGGTGCCAGTGGGCGTGCGGCCACGCATCGGCCGGCCATGGGGGTTTAGGCTCCCAACTGCCCATATTGAGTAGTGCATGTGCGAAAGCCGCTTACAATTGATGTCCGGGCCCTGACGGAGCATGTCAACGTTCACTGCCAGATCTGCAATATTGGATTGGGATTGATCAGGTGAATCTCCTTTTCTTCGCATTGGCATGGTTTGGTTCATCTGGCGAGTTCCTGTGCCGCTTGCCTTGGTGTGAGCTCTTGCGTTTGTATTGGCTGCCGCCATTTTGGGTGGTGGCCGTTGCATGGCTGTGGAGGCTGCTGAGTGGGTTCAGCTGCCGTGCACAGAGCTGTGGCAGCGGCTGTCCTGAGTTCAGGGCAGCACCCCACGAGCCACTGGCAGCAGTCTGGCCCAGGACTCCATCGCAACCCCTGAACCAATCCATCCAAAAACATCCTCGTGAACAAATGTACAGTAGGCACAAGCAGTACATCTCCAGGCTACACCATACAGCGCAGCACAAGCTGCACAGTGCAAGAATGCACCACCTCATCTAATCATTAGTCCACATTAAGCACACACGAGGAGTTTCATGCCGCATGCCTTCAACAGGACAGCATTACAATTTGAGCAAGCTGCAAGAAAGCGCGCACTCTGTGGATGGCTTTGCAGAAGTGCCGGCCCTCTCCTGGACTTTGATGTGGCGCTTGATGCTGTTCATGGCCCAGCTCGAGAGCCTTCGAATGGTCCAGGATTTCAGGGCTGCGTTGTGCAGGTCCTTGAAGAACTCGTACTGCACTGCCTCACTGCAGTTGGCAAGGGCCCACCAGCAGTCGCTGTCCAGGTCTCCACAAATGGTGCTGACCTTTGCAGCGCCCTCCATGGCAAGCTTTGCGAGGCACTGCATGGCGGAATATGTCAGCTGCAGCCTTGCACAGCTTGGCAGTACAGAGAGAAGAAACAAGCTGGAAAGGAAATGCATGCACACCACAGCGCTGACTATTTGTGCCGTACCTGTACGCTTGGGAACATTGTGCAAAAGGGCAGCATGGGCAGCGTGCTGATCTTGCTCTCCAGAAATTCACTGGCGCTCATGGTGAGGCTTTTCTGTAGGAGCGCGTTGTACAGGAGGGAAATCACCTGCACAAAGTGGCACCCCTTCAGAATCGCTATTTTCCCTCCCCGGTTCAACAAGGGAACATCCATTAAGCAGCTATTGTCATGCGTCTGACAAGCATCCTTGATGTCTGACCTGCTCCTGTTGCTCTGGCTTGCTCAGCGCAGCCAGCGCTGTCATGCATGTCTCAGTGAGGCTGTTGGGGTACAGCAGCTTTGTCTTGACGAGCTCTCCCAGCACCCACTGCACGCCCTCCTCCAGGCTCTCGAATGGCTCGTGCTGCATGAACAGGTATCCTTGCTGCCCTGCCAGGCGGCAGCCTTTGCTCTCTTCTGCTGCTGCTGCCCGGATGCTGGGCTTGCACTGCTGCTGAACCACAAGGGCACGAGGCTTCTCTCGCTGAGATGCGCTCTGAGGCTGCTGTGACGACTGTCCTGCCACCTGCTTTGTTTCGCAGGCTCGCAGGCACTCTTCGATGAAGGCCGACACTTCGTCGGACTCTGTCTTGGCTGCATCTGGGGGCACGAGATCTTCCGCGCATGGCTGCTCCTGGACTTCTGAAGAGAAACCACCGGAAGCAGCACTGCTCATGTGCTCTGCTATCAGCGGCAGGTCCTCTCCTCTCAGAAGTGCCTCCCTGTGAGAGCTGTCAATGCCTCCTGTGCCGCACTGCTCCTCGGGTACTCCATGCACAGCGCCTGCCGGCAGTGCTAGCCCTGGCGCATCCTGCTGGCTCCCATTCAAAGCCCCAGGCGCTTGCAAGGCATACTCGCCCACCATCCAGCGGCATGTGGCCAAGTGTGGCACTGGCTCTGTTCCGCTATCTGCTTCTTCTGAGCCTGCCTCACTTTCAACTGCCTGGGACACAGGATCTGCTTGCGATGGGAGCTTGCTGGTGACAGCTTCGCCTGCAGCTTTGCCATCCACCTGTGCTGTGCGCCCCAAGCATGCATGCTCGTGTTCAGCGGCGGTCTTCCAGATCTGCTGCTCATGCGTGGGCACTGGCACAGACTGTGGCTCTGCAGAAGGGATCTTGGCAACCACCAGCTGCTTGGGCGGGGAGGGGACCTCAGCGATGCTCTCATCTGACAAGTCAATTGAGTCACTGTTGGAGGATGACTCGCTGCTGGTGCTCTGAGTCGTCGAATCGCTCGAGTGGCTGCTGGTACTGCTGTCTAATCCTGACTTGGCTGACGTGCTGCTGGAAGAGGACTTGCCGTCAGTGTCACTGTCTGACTCACCTGATGCCATGTCCCTTGAGCCGTCCGCTGCATGCAACAACGCAAGACAAGTCATGCATGATGCAAAATCATACTGGGACATAGCATCACGCAGTGCAAATACCTTGCCACTCGTGTGCCCATCAAAGAGCCGTCCTTGATCTAGCTTGCACTGTATTGCATGGCTGACACAGTGTTTCCCAAGAAGGCAACAAGGGTCACGGTCTGGGAGGTAGTATTGCCAACCCGTTTGAGCGGCGGTGGCAGATGTCTCAGGCTCCGAGGCGGGGGTATTGGGCAGCTGCATCAGCAGGCTGTGCAGTGCGTCTCGAGACAGGTACTCCTTCTGCCGGAGACCCTGCGCAACCGCGCCTTCCACAGACGGAGGCCGCAATCTGCTGCATCCCTGGCTGTAAGATCGGGTAGCACCTGGCAGTGCCGGATCAAATGCTTCCAGCGCTACCTGGCTGTTCTCCTTGCGAGCTGATGGAAGGCTGAATGGTTTGAACACAGGCTTGGAAGTCCACGCCTTGCTCACGCTGGGCTGCGGCTGATTGCTTGTTGCTATGGGCTTGCGCCTGGTCCCTAAATGCTTCTCAGACTTGACTGCTTTGGCGCTGTGTTTGGTTCTGGATCTGCTCTCCGGTGGCTGCAAGAGGTCTGTGAGGCTTCGATCCATGCAATCGAAAGTTGCACCCCCCTTCCTGTCGTCTGTGGGTGCTGCACTGACTGGCGGACCAAATCTTGATTTTGCTGCATTCTTGTGCTTCTGCCTGTAATGTGGAACGCGTGCTCCGGATGAGGAGGTCAGTGGCCCTGCATAGCATCCAGCATAAGGTGAAGACATGCAACATACTGGACTAGTATATGCTTTATTGCTGTTGTACTTTGACTTCAGGTATGTACGCATCAAGCATGCGCAGTCAATCCATGGCCATCAGGCTAATTGATTTGAGGACTAGATGTAGATGACATGTACAATCGATTGGCTGGTGCAGAATTCTGCTTTGCACAGGTGCCAAGCTCGTGAGGGCATACCAGGATTGACTTCACAGTGCTGGTCCATGATTGGAAGGTCGTCCAACCCAGGCACTGGCTTTTCCATTGCCTGGTGCTGATATCTCATTTGCGCATGCCTCCGTGTTAGAACGGCTGCTGTACTTGCTCCTGCCAGGTTAAATATCGTCCTGTCACGAATCCTTGGCAGGATGAATGCAAGGGGTGATCTGCACAGCAGTGCTTCCATTGAAGACGAGGACACATTTGAAGCAGCTCTAGTAGAGCTGCGCTGCCAAGTTTGTGACGAAGCTGTGACAACGAATTGTCTGACTCGATCGCCACTCCCTTTCAACGGCACCTACGCTGTCATAGAGAACGCTCCTCCACTGGGGGATATCAAGCAAGTTGCCCAGACCAGAAGGTAAGTTTCTGGTCATCGAAAAGCAGCTCGAACAGAATTGCCGACTTGGCAGGAATGATAAAAGCCTTCGCCACATTGGAACGCGGCACGATTTGGCAGAATGCACAAGTTGGATATTAGCAGCAGGGTGTCACCGGATGTTAATAGAAATGAACGAGAGACTTCACGAGACGACTGGCAGAAGTCTTCACTCTTGCATAATAAGCGTCGACCGCTGCAGCTGCCCACCAGAAGATAAGAAACCCTTATCGGACAGCATGCTCCAATAAATATTCCGAGTAGATCGCTGATAATAGAATGTCCATCAAAATATGCCGTCTGCTCAGGAGGAAAAGAGCAGCATGACATTGCGGCGGTGCCTATTTAAGGAGTGGAGATGACATGCATGGTTGAGATGTGTTCATGCACTGGGCCCCATGGGCCTGTCACAGACGGTCACATTACATCTGCAGCTGCAGCACATGTACATCCAACGTGGATGTACGTACCACGTCTGCTGCCTTCACAACATATTTGAGTAATGGCTGTGCAAGCAGCTGTTGCAAAGCAGATACCTGCGCAACCATAGCAGTGGGGGGTCTTGAACACTTCCAATTGCTTGGTCTGTTGCTCACTCATATGGAAGTATTGCACAGGTCTGGCAGAAGATATGCTGCATGCAAGACAGGAGAAAAGTCATAGCTGTCTATTGCTGAGAACATCGCTGCATTGTATGATGTCGTTTAAAGGTAAACACTATAGGTTGCTGATGGGTTAAGGTACCTGTGTCACTGGTGTCACTGAGGGTGGCGCATGTGTGTGCATGATGTGGCCATGATTATGGCAATGATCATCCAAGATGGTGATAAGACCACTTCAAAGATCACCTGCATGACTTACATGTGTGCTGCATCATGTGCAGTACTTTTAGTGTTCACATTAACAACAACAAAAACGCCAGAAAAATGCTCCAGTTGTTGCATCAAGTCTCCATCATGACATTGCACATGCACATCATGACCACGATCGTCCCAATTGTTGTTGCAATATCCTAAGGGCACCTTTTCTTTCTGGTGCATAGCGGCTGCAACCTTCTGATCACTCAAAGAGCTCAACAGCAACTGAACCATTATGAAATGCAAGATGTCACTGTTGGGCATGCAGTACATGCCCGGGCAATGCTGCAAACAGGCTTTGTCAGTGAGCATCAGAGGCTTAACAGGAGACTTTACTGCTATGTCACCGCAGTGTCTTGCGCCTTCTCCTTCTCTGCATGCAGCTCCACAATTCCTGCTCGCCTCCGGCCCTTGTGCCCACCTCCCTGACTGCCTTTCTGCCCCTGACTGCCTTTCTGCTGTCCGTCGATGACATCGGCAATCCCAGATGCTGCTTCCCCTTCCATGCTCATTGGTTCTCCATCCCCTTCCACACCCTCATCATCCTCATCATCGCTGCTGCTGCTTGCATCAGGGCTGCCTGGAGGCAACTCTTTGGCAGGCCGACCATCCCTCAGGGACCTTTCAGCCAGTGAGACTGCCTGCTCATCCTTGAGGTCCAAAACCCCACAGGCAAGATCCATCTCAATGTGGGGGCGTCCCTCCTCCACGTTCTCGATGTCCAGCCCTTCAGGCTCACTCGCAAGGGCATGCGCCAGCTGCTCATTGGCCTGCTGCATGGACGGCAGGAAGGCCTTGACTCTTTTAAGGACACTGCTGGGCGGCAAGAGGGGTCCAGAGCTTGGCAGAGGTCTGCTCTTGTCCTCACCAAAGCACAGCTTTCGCTCTGCACAACACCAAACGTATTATTATTGGAGTGGAATCTGCCAGCCTGGCAGAGGCAGAGGCAGAGGCTTTGCTTGTTGCAACTCTTGGATTGATAATTTCAGCATCAAACTTCCAGCAGCAGAGAGAGACACAACTGGACGGGAGATGCTCGTGTTAAATAATGCACTATAAGTGCAGAAGATTCAGGCAGTAATCCAGACAACCCTTGAAAGATGGCAAGTGATTATACATTGAGATCTATCCGTGAATTGAATAAAGAAGCAAGAGGTACCTAGCAATGACACTGATGGGATTTCCAAACGCTGTCTTTTTGGCCCTTCAGCTCCTTCTGCATTGCTCGCTGGGTCTGCCATCATTTGACACCCCATTCATTCCAGACACAACGAGGACCTTTGGATCTGCACAAACAATCCCACTTCCGGAAGGGCATTTCGGAGGTGCATGAGGGCAGTCCATAACACGTCCTGGTCGCTGACAAGGGCACAGTACCAGAATTTCCTCATGGAACGACGATGTCGCATCTAATTAGTGGGAATTGAAGCCTTCATATGTCTGATGCACAAGGTGCTCGCACCAAGCCTGATGCCGGTGTGGACGCACAAACTAGAGGAGGTGGGCTTACCTTGAATGCCCCACCATTCGTTCCCAAGGGCAGTCAGGAGCAGCGCCCTGGCCTGAGACTGTCGTCCAATGTCAACGCCGCTCCATTTGTTCCAGCATACTTTAGCGCTGGGATTCAGAATGACAGCGGCACTGCTCGGTCTGGTGAGCACCTACTGTGCTTGCATCAGTTTTCTGGAGTGGAATCACAAGTTTTCTGGAGTGGAATCATAACGATTGGGAGGAAATGAGCTTCTAAGGAGAATTTGGATGATGCAGCACATTTTGAGAATCCCTGCTAATGCCGATATTGCTGCTGATATCCTTTCCCCATGCTTGTGCAGGACCAAGCTCGCAGTTGTCCGCAAGCGCAGCATCAGCTGCGGTGTTTGTGCCAAGCAGCTCCAGCAGCAACATCACAAATGCAAACCGTCTTGCATCCATGTCTTCTGCTGCTGCACCTTTTGTTCCCAAGGCTGGTGCGATGCTTTTCTCCCAGTGGGATTTACTTGGTTTCAAAGTATGCTGTCATTGTCTTGATTTACGACTGCAACCGAAAGCTGTGCAATTGACATTATGCTGCATTGTGCCGTGCCTCCAGAGTCCTTCAACTCCCCAAAGAGCAAGGCTGCCAACGGCCATGCAGTCCGGAGCTCAAGCAGGAATGATCTCATGCTGCCAGATGGGGATGATCTCCTGGGCATGACAGCCCACACACCAGGAGAACTTGCACAAGTACTCCCTTTTTATTGAAGTTCGATCGCAATTAAATGTAGGGCCATATTGCCTAGCCACAAGCGAATAGGCTTGCTCGATCTTCTCTGCAGTGAGCCTTGTGTCACTTGGCAGGCGCTGAGCAGCAGGGCTCCATGGAAGAGCACTGGCTTTAGTGGAACAGATGGTGCAGCGCCGGGGACAAAGATGGAGAGTGCACCTTCTGGCGCCAGTGCAGTGGCGCCAACATCTCCATCCAGGTGACTGTCATGCTCTTGCATGCATTGCCTAAAGGTCAAAGCAGTGGAATTCAGGGTCAGAGCAAGTGACATTAGCTTAGCGATGATGCTTGCCTGAACCTCTTGAGGAAATGCTGCCGTGTGTTGCACGCAGGCCGTATGGTTCTGGTTACAGCCAGGGATATGCACCGTCCCCGAACAAGGGTCGCGGCATGGCCCAGGCGCCAGGCGTGCCGGGTCGAGGCGCTGCCGCTCTGGGGCGCGGCCGGGTCGGCCCGGATGTTTCCGGCAGGGGCCGAGGCAGGAGAGGTGGTCCTGGAGTAGGTAAAGGCTTTCCGCACCCGATGATTGAATTTGCATCCTTGTAGATGACACAGTGTCAAATAGAATCTGCAGATGATGTAGATCTCGAATCCCATCATATGCGCTAATTGGATGCTTGGGCTACTGCAGTGCAGCAAGTGAATGCAGCACAAAACCTCTTGACATGCGTGTGCCTGGGGCAAGCAGGAATGCAGGGCGGCATGCCACAGGGCGCAGGGGCGCAGGGTTCAGTGTCTCTCACACCGCATGGCATTGAGCTGAGCAAGTCATCTGCGGCGGCTGGCTACTTTGCTGATCGCCTCAGGACGGACGAGCGCCAGCGCTCATACATGACACTGCAGCAGGTGGGTGGCCATTCAGTCCCTGCTTATGCGTACTCAAGCTTCACGGGGAGCCTATTTTCAGGTCGTTTCAAGTCGTCCCAACAGCCAGACTTGAGCAGATTCTGTGCTGTGCAGGTGAACTCTGGGGAGCCAGACTGGGGACTTCCTGAGATGGTGCAGCAATACCATTCATTGTATCCCTTGGAAGACATTGCAGCAGCGCGCGAACAGCCATCCCAGGCATTCGGCATTCCCACCATCGTCCTGAAAGGTGTCAGCAGCAGAGATGGCCAGCCGTACACTCTGCGCCGCCTTGACAGCAGACAGGCATGGTCATCTTCCCACCAATGAATCTGTACACACAAGAACACATGAAATTCAACAAAAGAACAATCTGCAGCCAAGTGGTTGCCCACTGTGACACAGGTGTCTTCTGAATACCAAAGAATGTGAATGTGCAGGTTCCTCCCAGCCCCGAGCTTGCCACTTCAGCACAGGAGGTGGTGCAGAGCTGGACGCTGCTGAGCAGCCATCCAAACCTGAATGTTCCCCGTGCTTCATTCATCACTGGCGAGCTAGAAGGAGGAGCTGCGCTCGTCTTTGCGCATGCATTTCATCCTACAGCTGTCACGCTTGATCAGGCCCATTTGCAACCCACCTCAGGTTTGTTCCTCTTCTGAAGCAGTCAGATTACCTTGTTGGGCCTCAATCTGGCAACAGCATCTGCTTTGTAAGTTGAGCCAGACTCATGATGACTTTGGCAGGTTGTCATATGCTGAGCTGATGGAGGTTCTGCCCTTGCAGCAATGGCTCGCAGTGCTCCTCCCACAGAGGAGCAGTTGTGGAGCTATCTTGTGCAGCTGATCTCTGCCCTGAGGACGGCGCATGGCTCCGGCCTGCTCCTGCGACCCGCATCCCTGCTGCCCTCCAAAGTCCTCCTTACAAGTCCTGGCCGCATCCGAGTTGGTGAGCTGTATTCCTTGGTCATAAACAGTTTCCCGAAAAAACATGGTGTGTATGTGGAAATGGCCTCAGTATTTTTCTTTTGCTTGGCGGGCAGATGAGGCTGTGATATCACCTTTTGATCTTGCCCCCATTGCATTGCAATGCGGCTTAGTGGGTTGCATGGCCAATTTACTGCAGGAAATTTATTTATCTGTATGTAGGAAGAGGGCTCTGCATCTTTAAGTTTGAAGGTGCTACCAGCGTCACGTGCTCGTAAGAGGAGTGAACTAAAGGGAATGATTTGAGTAAGTCATGGTGCACAGGTTCGCTGGGGGTGGCGGACGTGATGGCGGGGGAGATAAGCAGCCGCGAGGAGCTGCATGCGCTGCAGCGGGAGGACCTGACGGCGGTGGGGCGGCTGCTGCTGGTGCTGGCCTGCGCAGGGGCGCCCCCCAGCCTGGACTACGTGGCGGCCGGCTTCTCACAGGGCCTCACTCGCACCATTTCTGCCCTCCTTGCTTCCTCCCAGGGCAGCTCCTTCGCCTCCTGGCAGCAGGTGCCCAGCCCTTGCTCCTTGTGCTTGAACTGGCGGCATCATCACCCTTGCAACCTCTAGAGTTCTTCACCAGCTTGAGCAACTTGAGAGCTGTAGCGCAACTGTATGTGGCAGCTCAAGCAACTGTTTGCCATCGCCTTGCGCAAAGCAGTGCAATGTCATGTGCGAGAAGTGAGGCTGATGCTGATGAAGAGCATGATTTAAACTTTAACAACTGTATAATTGTTGAGTCGTATCGCCTGCAGGTGGCGGCTGTGATGAGCGAGCAGCTGGTGGCCGAGGTGGACCGGCATCAGCTGGCAGCCGAGGCCGCCGCCATGCAGGCACGCCCCCTGAGACATGACATTGGCCTTTGACACACCCTGATGCAGCATGCTTTGCATGTTTGGCAGGTACCCATATAATCGAGGTGCAAATTGAGTACCACCCTTTCAGAGCATATCACGAACATACTGTGCTATAAGTGACTTACGGCAAGTGCTGGACCAGTGCTGTCTGGGAGACTGTGGTAGCATGTGCAAAGAGCTAGTGGACCGGTGCAGGTGTGGAAGGGCGCGGAGGACGGACGGCTGCTGCGCGTGCTGGTGCGCCTGAGCTCTGTGCTGGAGCGGCCCGACAGCGACAGTGACCCCCAGTGGGCGGAGACAGGTATGCTTCCTCCATGCTGTCCTGGACAGAGGAGTCCTGCTGTCATACTCTCCTGATCTCTAGTTCTGTAACTGTCTCAGCTCCTTGTGCTGTGCATAGCTGAGCTGACACCTATATAGTGCTGCCGGGGGTGGTGATGCGATGGTGATTGTGCGTATGACATGGGTATACAGGGGATCGGTACCTGCTGAAGCTGTTCCGGGACTTTGTGCTGCACCAAGTGCGAGAGGACGGCTCGCCCATGCTGGACTGGGGTCACGTGGTCGAGTGCCTCAACAAACTGGATGCCGGCGTGCCCGAAAAGGTACTCGTCCTGTGCCACTCTTTCTCCTTTTGCCATATATGATTTAATCAGTAAGTCAGAGACCACTCACTCATAGAAGCAGGAGGTGCCCGTGAGATTAGGTGGCAAATCAGGACTTCCTTGTGCAGGCCAATTTAAGTGCATGGAGCTCTCAGCATGATTGCAAGGAGAATTGGAGGCCAGAAACCCACGAGGACTGCGTGTGTCATAAATTTGTCAGCTTCCAAGGCAAACAACACTCTGAGATGTTGCTGTGCTGAGCAGATCACGCTGATGAGCCGGGACGAAGCCAGTCTCCTGGTGGTGAGCTATGCAGACCTCAAGCGCTGTCTTGAGGGTGCCCTGGGAGAGCTGAGGACCAGGGGCTTGAACTCCCGGCCTCAGATCCGCTTGGATGCTCGCAGACGTTGACGACTCCTGACAATCCATGCTGGGCCCAGGAATTGTGGAGTTCCTTTACAGCATGGGCCTCTGATGAGGAGCAATTCGTGACACAAGTATCTGGAACACCCTACTGAGGTAGCGGGGGCGGATGTCTTAGGATTACAGGTCTTGACATGATTCTCCATGCCGAACAGCATTAGAACAGCGAGCACTTAGAATCCCACTTTGGAATGAAGAGATTGTTGCACTCGTGTATAGCATTGTTGAAACGCAGACATTGTGACTTTGCTGTGCATGGTGCCGTTTGTTAAAGTTTGCCTCTTGAGACTGAGCGTGACAGGATTGCGTGTTGTTGGCATTTGTACAGTCTTCCCGTATTGGGTGCAGATGTGCGTTGTTTCCTGAGTGATGTCCTGTGGGACCTAGAGCTGGCTCCTGTGCTAAGAGCAGCATTGAGTTCTTCCTTGTCTGAGCGGAGACATGATTATTTTCATCAGAGGCATGCATGCCAAGTGTCTTTGGGCAGTGCGAGCTAATGGCAGCTCCATGCCTATGTTCAGGACATGACGTGATCGACCGTGTGATCACAGGAATTGGATTGAATTGGACTGTAGTTAATCTGATCATCAGAACTTCTTGATTGAATCGGATGCCTCCTTTCAGAATTATGTTGACGTCAATAGATCAGCCCCGAGGCATAGAATGAAGTGCAAGATCACTTTGCATCTATTGTGAATTGAGCATATAGGAATCTGCATGGAAAGTTGTCATAGGTACTTGCTTATTGCCTCCAGTGCTGTCACAAGCGCCATTCACCTGTGTCAGAGAACAGTATCAATATATTTTCTGTTCAGCTGCAGCTGCTTGGAGCCAGCTGGGCTGTGTGACACTGTGCAGTGCTATGGCCCGGCTTATAGATGTTGACCAAACCTTATTACATTTTCCTTTCCAAAAGCAAATTTTTTCTTCCCTCTTCCCTTCCTTTCAAAACCTGACGTCATACGCGCTCATGACGTGATAGATCAGGCCATGACTCGCTGCATGAGCAGTGCTCATTGAGCACTCTTCAGGATCCCAGACTGTGACATGCCGACACATCTCTAGGGATAGCCGATTTGTCGAACACTCTCTACAATCATAAAATTGCTGTGCACAAAAAATTGTCTTTGTGCTCCTGGCGATCTGACGCCCAGATCCATTCATAGGAGGCATAGATTTTTTGATTGGAATTATTATTGAGTTCTTTCGCTACCGTCTTATATATTTAGGCGTCGGACATGCCTGATGCTGCCAAACAAATAAGCTTTCCTCTCGTAAACAACGAAGGACAGAAGCTCACTGTCTGGTTGTTTACAAACGTGAAAAATGCAAAGTGCGCCTCTCAAAGTGATTCCTCTATGTCCAAAAAAGCTTGCTGGATCCTTGTGTTTGGTTTGAGCATCGAGCCTGAAATAGTCTGCCCTCTGAAAGAGTGTCTGCACACAGGGACATTCAGCAACAGCTTGTAGCTGGATCTCTGGAGCCGGAGCTCGCATTCATCAATGCCAGTGTGGTAAGTGGATTGAAAAGAATATGCCCGAGGTGCTTTTAGCACAAATACTTGCAGTGACAGCCACCTGAAGCATTGCTTCTGCAGGTGCCAGACCTCCTCATAGTCCACACAGCAGCACAGAAGGCCTTGGCGGCACACGTGCGAGGCTCGTTGCGCACGCGATCGTTGCACGCAGAGCTTGTATACAACTTGTCCGGGTCCAAACATGTGCGCTCAGTTTTCCAGCCCCCAGACGCAGCCACCCCGGTACATTGATGTATGTCTCTCGTGGCGAGAGTGAAATTTGATGTCAAGGCGAAAAGAAATGCAGAGCTGGTTGTGTTCTGCAGGTCGGTCAGTCACTGCAGCGCTTTGGCATTTCAGAAGAGAGCGAGAGCATCCTTGTGGCCTCCTTTCACACAGGCGATGCTGATGTGCGCCCGGCTTCCAATTTATCAAATCAAATGTAGAAGTGGTTTGCGCAAGTGACTTTGAATGATTGCCATGGAGGGTCATCTGCTAATAATGGAGTCTTGGCTGACATGTCGAGCAGGCAGAAAGGGTCCAGAGCATTGTAGAAGGAGATCCTGTCGACCTGGACGCTCTGTCCAGCCTGGCAGACATGGCTACAGTGAAGAAGGTGAGGCTACCACAGTGATGCTTTGCACTCATGCACTGGTTCCTCTGTGTCTCATTCAAGAAGGAAGGGGTGCTCATTATAATGCAATGCGCAGATCTACAAGATTGCTCCGCCAGAATTGGAGGTGGGGAGCGTTGCAGATGCCATCTGCTGCAGAATCGCTGCCAGCCACTGCTGAGAACAGTGTAGGTTGCCCTTGGCGGCTGCAACCTGGAGCCAGTGGATGCACACTGCAATTTTGACCACAGTGGTCTGCCCTAACATGCCTGCCAGATTGCAGCGCTGCCTGCAAGGTTGACGTTGTTCAGAAACCAAATGCAAAGCTGGGGTAGCACTGCATGGGTTTGTCTTTCCCACTGTGAAGTGCAGCCTGTGCAGGCCTTAAGCCTCAGATCTGACTGAGAATAGTTGACTCCCCAGTGAGCGCCCTCAATGTTAATTGAATGCTTCCATTTGAAGCTCACTGTGAGCAGGCTTGCCTGCTCTGACAGGGACGGCCATTGTGAGATTGGCGGCCTCAGGCTGAATGGTTTCTAATCCCAGCTGCAGCGCTGGCGCGCATGTGCATGCTCCTTGCTGTTCACACTGTTCAATGAGACTAATGAAACACCAAAGTGATCTGCATGCAAACTGTGAATGATCATATGAAATTTATGTGCAGACGTGTAAAGCTCCACCGTGACCGTGTGACACCGATTCGCCGAGCGGAGCTTCAACTTGACCAAGCAATTGCAACGTTTGTCCATCATGTTGATCCATTTGGAGATCCAGTCATGACTGATCAGCTGCAGCCACATGGCCATGGGCAGATGTCCAGTTGTCTGGCATGAGCTGAATTGAGGGGTCGAACAGGCTGCATTAAGTGGGGCGCCTATGCCCTGTAGACCTCCCGCCAAGATGCATGCTTTCGCCAATGAATTGCCGGGCGCTATCCGGAAGCTGCGAGACCCCCCGCCTCGTTTTGTCAGACTGGGAAAATTCAAGGGACCCCCCGACAGACTCTGGAACAGGTTCGGCACTTGTGGCGTTCCCTGATTGTCTTCCGGATGGAGGCACTCGCGGGCACGCCTTTACATTGACCATTCATTTCACGCCTGATCTCCTCTTCACTGCCCACTCCAACTTAAGAACTTCGTTGCTCTGCACTCTGCAGTCGGTGTTGCTCACGGCCACAATCGCTGCGTGCAAAAGCAAGGAGTTGCGAAGGGGACGTCGCAGTGCCCGTGCTCTTCTGCCAAGAAACGCCTGCAGTGAGCGGCGGGTGGAAATTTGTTCCAGTGCTGCGATAAAGTTCGCATCCAGCGCCGCAGCCTGCATCAGACGGTGAGCAGCCAGGCTCCAAAAGAGCTGCCCGTTCCGGCAGCTTTGATGCGTCGCTCCTCCACACATCTTGCTAAAGTTTTCTGGGCGAGTGGAGCGTCTTGAGACGCAAGCCTGGTGCAGCTTTTAGAAGATTGCCGAACAACTCGATTGCCGACCTGTGCTCGCCTCGCTGCGATTCCCTGTGTCCCTCTGGTTTTGGCGCGTCGGGACTCTGTGCACACCATCTTCAGGGCTGTGACTTCGGTGTACGACGCCCCAAATCTTACGGCTCTCTGTTTTGTGGCATTTTTGTGGGTCGACATCAAGCTTTGTTCATCCTAAGGACAGGTCCGGGCAATACGGGGTGTCGGCAGTCCAGTTCGTGCAAGCCGGAACTGGCGGCGATTGCTTTTTAGGCTGGGACGGCGTGAGGGGCTGCGTCAGTGGTTGGCCCCTTAGATGGACTCAGTATCAGCTGCGTAGAGCATATCGGGAGGCTTCGTTTTAAGTTTGTCGAAAAGTGTCTTGTGGGGCTGGTGCATCGAGTAGCTAGGATTAGGGTGAAGCCGGAACTCGTGCTGAGGGCCCCTCTCAGCAGTGTGTTGCCATCCCTGCAATTTTGTATGTGACATTCATATACTTGCGTGTCGCAGGAACCATCAGAGGTCTTGATCTTTGTCGCGAAGCTCGGAATCCATGACTCCTTTCGGCGCCCTCATCGCCTTTGTGGTCACAGCAATCAGCGCTCCATTGGCGACAGCTGAGTTTTCATGGTCCAGCGTGTCGAATAAGGACAGCCTACAGAAGGGAGAGGTGAGTCTTCGTCCCGCAGCCTGAGCAGATGTTTGTGAGCCTGCAATTGAATCTTTTAGAGAAGAGGCGTCTCCGCTGAGAGGCAAGATACAGCTTGTCGCACATGGGAGATCATCAGATCCCATGTTTATGTAGCCTATGGGGCTGCAGCGCCTGCTTGTGCCGGCGTGCATTTGGCCTTCACCCACCAGGGCTTTACACCAGAACTCATCAGGCAGATCTGGTCTGCGCAGGGCACGTTCTATGGGCAGCAGGACGGGCAGGATGCACAAGGGACCTGCAGCTACAACGAGAACTTTGCCAATACAGTGAAGCTGCCCTGGAGCAGCGGCACTGACATGACAATTGCGCTGAACGATGCCCAGTTCGAGAATGGCAACGGCTGTGGGCTCTGCATCAAGTTCAGAGGCACCGGCGCCGGCCTCGGCACCACACCACCCAGCACCACCGAATGGAAGACCGGCTTTGTCAACAACAGGTGCTTCACGTCTTCACTACAGCGTCTGCTGCTTGGTCTGGCCTGCACCCCGAGCATGCATGCATCTGTGCACCACTGCCTGTCTCGTGTATTTGTTGGCCCGCTCCTTCGGCCTGCATGCACCTGTGCACCACTGGCTGCTTTGGAGTCTCAGGGATGCTGATATGCAGCCGTGCTGAGCGCAGGTGCCCCGAGTGCGCCTTCGGCGACATCGACATGAACTCGAGGGGCGACGGCCGCTGGAAGGTAGAGTGGTACGCGGTGCCCTGCAACGTTGCCGACACCCCCCTGCGCTATGACATCGTTGTCAGCTCCTACTACTGGTTCTCCCTTGTCGTCTCCAACACCAGGTGTGCTACCTGGCCATCTTTGCTGTACTTCCACCCAGCAAGATACTTCTCAGCTTGAGCAGGTAGTGTTGCCACCAAATAGAGCACCACATAGAAGTCAGCATATCGAGTGGTCCAGTGCAGAGTTGTGCCTTTGCTGATGTGACTGCTCTGTGGTGATGTGGACGTAAACGGGCGGCAGTCTCTGTGTTGAGCTGATATTGGGGGCGAGTGTATGAATGGCCCAGTCGTGCGCGTGCTTGCATAGTCATGATCCTGTGATGGGGTCTAAATGTGCCCGGCAAATGCGCAAGTTGCTGAGTCATCATGCATGCTTGCGGCAGGGTGCCCATCGCGGGGGTGGAGGTGAAGCTGAACGGGGAGTGGTTGCCGCTCAAGCGCACGGTGAACAACCAGTGGCCCTACTACAATACCCACGGGCCCTGGCAGAGCAGCTTCCCCATGCCCATCCGTGTGACCTCCGTTACGGGCGAGACCATTGAGGACACCATCACCTCTGCCAAGGGCGGCGACGGCGCCAAGCAGTTCTCCGCTGTCGGCGGCTCGGTGCGCCTTTTGCTCCCTTCTGAACAACACTTGTCAGTAACACCCCCGGCAGCATCTTTCTTGTGATTTTTGCTGACCTCTTAGCGTGTTTAGCCCTGAAACAGTACTGATTGTGGGGCTTTGCTGGCGGCTGCAGGGAGGCAGTGGCAACACCACGAGCTACTCAGCGTCAGCGCCGTCTTCCTCCTCAGGCTCATCTGGGTCTGGGAGCTCCTCGAGCCCCTCACCAAGCAGCGGCAGCAGCCCGTCGCCGGCTGCAGGGCCTTCATCCTCTCCCGCCAAGGCCCCCTCCAGCGACAGCTCCTCACTGTCAGCTGACGGCAAGATGTACATCATTGACTATGTGAGCTCCCCAGCCTCCTGCCACCCCCTTGACTTTGACTTTCTAGATTTTCCAGTGCTCTGTGAATCCAAAATTAGCCTCAAGCCGTCCAAGTTCATGTCTTTGCCCAAGGACCCCAAGGAGGTGCTGGACCCACAGGCCAGTAGGATCAAGGGGGCTGCATGCCAAAGGGCTGCAAATAGTGCACACAAGAATGGCCTCGTGAGCGTGTGTTCTGTGCTCTTGGATGACCAGGATCTGAGCAGCAGAGCCTGAAGGACAATTGCCTTGTGCGCGCAGGGCCAGTGCGGAGGGAACGCGCTGGAGTGCGGCAAGGGGTCGACAACACCGTGCATCTCCGCTCCCTGGCCGTCAGCCGCCTGCAAGAGCAGCGGCTGGACCTGCAATCGCTACGACGACGGCCTCTTCCAGTGCCAACCTCCCAAGAGCCAGTCCGGCAGCAGCAATACCAACTACGCCGCTGTCTCTGTCGGCGGCCGGAGGCTCTTAGGCGCGCACTGAAGCGTGCCGGAGGGTGCTGGCGGTGCTGAATTATTTGAAGGGCGCTGAGCAGGACCCTTAAAGTGGACACAGAGAGGAGGGGTTCCACAGGAGTGCTACGTGAGACATCATTATTTTTTCCGCACAGTGGAGGCTGCACAGAGGAGACTCACAACCAACGAATGAACACAGCTGGAACCGCTCTCAAGTTGGCCCAGCACCGGGAGTGCGTTGCGAAGTCGCAGCCTCCCGGCACCCCATCCTCACATTGCGGAACAGCATGTAGCACGCCAGAATTTTTTTGGGGTCGCAGGATCCGCCGTCCTGGCCCAAAGCCGCGCCCTTCTGGGCGGTGCCCCTGGTGTTTTGTTTTCTCTCTCTGGATTGTTGGATTTCGAATCTGGCTCCAGGACCTGCGCAGTATAGCTTGCTAGCCTGCGCATGCCCTGGCTGCCGCTCTGTATTTGTCTGTGTGTCCCAGCAGGCCATCGACCAGAAAATTCGGTCTTTGTCCACAGTCAGGCGTAATCTTTCTTCGGAGGGCCCTTTTCCGGAAGGTAGTTCGGTGCAGAGGGGAGGGCATGCAGCGGGCAGTGCATGGGTCTCAAAGCAGAGCCAGAGGCCACCTGCTGCCCTGAAGTGACAAGGCAGGCGAGGGGAGAAAGCTAGACTTAGTCACCTTTGCGGCTTGCACCAGTCATGTGCTGATTTCGGCAACAGCAGCGCTCCTCCTGAGCGTGCTGACCATTTGCGCAGTGTTTGTATCATGGCAGGGGTATACTTACGCCCTGGAGGTAGAGTCATTACTGGTGGGTAGTCATCCCGGGCCCTGCCCCTATGCCAGGGGCAGCCCAGTGGGCCCGCTCAGGGAATCCCAAGCAAACCCCCAGTCGTCCACGTGAGAAACATTCCCTGCTGAGCACTAGTCAAACTCATGCTGGAGCGAACACATTGCAGTCGTGTGTCAGGTACATAATTTACCGGCTGGTCTTTTCGGGCATGCGTGTGTGATATATCCGCTGTATTCTTTGCGCGAGGTTGGTTCCTTGGATGGATGGCCATACAGGGAGGCTCCCATGATGGGTGCACCCTATTGTACCTTTTTGGGACACCTCGAGAAAAACTTAATATATGTCGGGCAGGCATTGACATTGAACCATTGAGAACATTTAATTATGAGTGCTACTGAAATTCTTTGTTAGTCATGGGCCGCTGTTGGCTGCATTGGCAATACATCGTCGAGAATTGGGCATGGGATTTCATTTGCTGTCGATCAATTAGTGGGCTGTATGGTGACTGCATGCATTGCAACAATGTCAAAAATTTGACTATGTTGAGACTGCTCTTGTAACCAACATGTACTTCATACTGCTGGCTCCAGTCCTATGAAAGGACTCCTTTCCGCTAATTTCATGATGTTGATCACCTGATAACACTGAATATGGGCTTGTGCTGCAAAGAGAATTGATCCATAATAAATCTACATGCATGCAAGCAGCTCCTGCAGGAAAGAAGAACCCCACGGTTCGATTCCTACATCAAGTATATGCAGATGGTCCTTAGGAGCTAATGATGGGTGGACCCGTGGGTGGCCGCTTTGCTTTGGTGAACACAGGGCCCTCATTCTAGCATTTGGCAGAGGACAGCTGGCATTGAGAGCTCTTGACCGACTGTACACCTTGATGTATTACCTAGCAACGCGCACATTTTGACGTGCGAGCACAATTGAACTTGGGATTCTGTACAAGGCCTTGATCGCTGATCTGGTATTTAACCATCAATGCGCGCTGGCTCATGGTAATATGGATAAAACACGTCGCGAGGTCCTAATTCCGGGCAGTCTTCTGCCTTCAGAACATCGTGGCGAGGGGCGCTTTCATGTGAGACAGCTTGCCCCTGGTGGTTCCCAGTGCCACTTGTTTTGCTGTGTATCGACACCCCCTTCGTCCCCCTTTCACACCGATAAGTCGGCATTCTTATCTATCTGTACAGAAATGTCCATTTTACATTAAACTTTCCGCGGATCGCAAGGTTTAGCGACATTCCGCGAAAACATATTTCGAGATTGGCTCAGCAGGGTATCGTGACGTGCGTGAAGCGCTCAAATGCGGCACTCGAAGCATTCATATCCATTTCTGACCTTCGGAATGTGCGCATCAAGCTCCCATGGGAGGAGGCACAGCAGTACTGTCTGGACGCGCCCAGTGGTAAGAGGGCTTCCCTTCCTTGCAGCGAATTTGATTCTACCCAAAGTCGGGTAATACCTCAATTCACTAAAACGGTAAAATATTAGTCTTTTAAGAGGGAGACTTGGGGTACTTCTCAGGGTCAGATTGGAAAAGTCAGAAGAGGGCCAGAAGCAAGAGGAAGCCAGGAGACTGGCACAACCTGCAGCTGCCTTTCACGCCTGCAGCACCAGCTGCTTCCAGCATGAAAGAAGGCACCAAATTTTGCTCTTTGAACAGGCCACATACTAGAGCGGCTGCGCAGCCCAAGGCAGAGCAACCTCCCACAAAGCGGCCACGAGGGAGGCCTCGGAAAGCAGGCACCGCTGTTCTGCCCCCCACAGCCGTGCCGGTGCCAAGACGCGGCGCTGCGTTGCTGCAGCGCATATCGGAGATCTCAGAAGACACATGCACCAGGTGTGCTATCCCCAGAACAGAGTAGCTAGAAAGAAATCAGCGCCCTTTCAAGCCATTTGCTGCACGATAGATCTAGGGCTAGAGAGCAGTGCATGTGGTTTGACAGGTGGGTGGTAGGGACGCAGCTGCTGGCCAAGGTGCGCGGCTGGAAGTGCCACTGGCCGGTGGTGGTGTGGAGCGCTCGGCTGTGCCTGCGCAAGGACATGGGCCAGCTGCTGGAGTCCCACAAACATGGTGCGCTGCCGGCCTGCCCACTTTCCCAGGAATCATTCCCTTTGCACCCCCACATTGTGCCCATGCAGCACCTCTTATGAGGAGGTGACTCTTCCTATGCGGCCCCACATTGTGCCCATGCAAGATCCATGTGAAAGGGAGGAATTTGGTTGACGTTTGGGGTTGTACATTTGGGTGATAGCTTCTGATAGCAACGTGCAGCTAGGGTGAACCAGTACTGAGAATCCACCTGTCAGTGGCACGGGGTCAGGGAGACATGCAAGTAATTGCGCAGATGGCGTGTAGACAGCAACGACACATGGTTGGTGTGCACAGAGCGGGTGCTGGTGCGGTTCTACGGCGAGCGCAGCATGATGTGGGTGCGGCAGGAGGATCTGCGCAAGGACAGCCTGGACGACGGCCATGTGGCCGACATGCAGGACTGGGAGCGCCTGCACCGCAAGTACACACCCCTCTATTCCATTGCAATTTCACTGACCTGTCAGTTTACAGGGAACTCCAACTCAAGTACTTATATAGTCTTGCCTAGGAAAGTTACAGGAAGAGGATCTTCTTCTTTTGCTTCCCCTGGTCTCGTTCGGCCATCTCTATCTTGGGTGCCACGTTGCATGGCTGGTTTCGTCGTGACTATCTTGTTGAACCGCGGGCTTGAGGGCAAAGCAGGATGCAGATGTCAAGCACTGTGCGGTTGAGTGGGGGTGAGAATGTGTGCTGTGGCGCTGTGGCAGGCCTGGGCTGGTGCAGTCGGTGTTGGAGGAGCTGGAGGGTGCCTGTGGCGAGCCGGCGGCCGAGGTGGCGCGCCTGCAGCGCCTGCAGCAGATACACTCCTTCTCCACCTCTGCTTCCTGCACTCTCTGCCTGGAGCCAGGCACGTCACACCCCCCTTCACATTTCCTTCAAAACTTACAGAGACGCTTAGTGGCAAGGGACTTTCAACTTCAGAGTCCCCTGTTACCAGAGCATTTGGCATTTGTCGGTCAGTACTTGTGGGGCCTGGCACGAAGGAGAGACTGGTGGGGTGCGGTGTGACAGGGGCAGAGCTGCACTGCGGGCAGTGTCAGAGGGCGATGCACACGCTGTGCCTGCAGCAGCCATGCCTGACGCCGACCGACCTACCAGACGGCGCCTGGGACTGCCCCTGCTGCGGCCAGGCCAACACCTGCCTGGTGCATATTCAAGCTACCTCTTGAAAACTGTTTTCCACGCTGGAAGCCGGAGCTCTGCACTGCCGTAATGCGGTGCATTTCCGCTGGAAACGTGCAGGGAATGAAGTTGAGTTGCATTTGAGACGCTGCAGGGAAAGCAGTGCAGTTCTGAAGCGGCCTGCTGAGTCAATTGCAGGGGGATGAAGCGGAGGTTGACACAGAGGAGAAGGTGGAGCGCATGGGGCTGACGCCTGACTGGATCATCCAGGTGCCCGTCTCCTCCATGCAGAGTTCCCTCCTCCACCCGTCAAACCCAGCCATTGCTAAAACACCATAATCACTAATCTTGTCAACAGGGTGCTGAGGAGACGCCGCACCCTATCACCTCCTTCTTCAAGCAACAATTGCTCAGCAACCCCAGCCGTCTAATAAGATCTTGCAACCCGTGATGTCTGCGTTAAAATTGATCAGAGGGATCGGTGCACGCATGCAGGCGGCGTCTTTTGTGGTGTTTCGGCTGCCGCGGCCGACGCCGGAGCAGCCGTTCATAGCAGGCCTGCTGGATCCATGCACCAACTCCATGGTGGCGCCCAACATCCCCGCCCAAGTCCTCTATGACAAAAAGGTCCGCCTGCATATCTCAGCTTCACCATCTGCCATATTGTATTCATTGTTTCCCTCTGTGTTGCTTTCGGATGCCGCCCAACTACTTGCAAAAATTGATTCTAATTCCGATCCATTCATCCAGACCACAATCTCCAAGCATCCGCGGTTGAGTATTGCAAAAACTCAGCTCCTGACTGCGTGGAAAGCTGCGGCCGTGCAGATGAACGGGCTGCTGATGAGCAACAGCTGGGCGGGGTTCCATGTGCTGCTCAACCCCGACTACTCGGCCGCCACTCAGTGGCGCTTCGTCAATCGCGCCATCGACGAGGTGGAGAACGACCGGGTGCACCCCTGACCCCCAATGTCCACCCAAAAGAAGCACAATTGCCTTGCAATATACCGAGGAAGTTAACAGCCTTTGAATGCAGCTTGTCTGCAGATGCACCATGCCTCCTGGCAGGAAAATCATGTAATACTGTAATGATAATAATATCGGCGATTCCAGCAGAAAAGAAGCACCCTTCAGCACCTTCCCACCCAAGGGCATGCATGCAAATATGAATCCCTGATGTAGGGCCAGCGGTGCCGGCACCCTAGAGTGGAGTGAAGGCCCCTCACTGAAGCGTCTCTGTGCTTAGACAGATGGTGCCCACCCACCATGCATGCTCAACACATCAAGCAGACATTAGGTGCACTGTCCAGGGTAGACGGAACACAACCTGTGTTGGAAGAAGCAATTGGAATAAATTCATCACGCGCATTTATTATGCTCCTGTCTCAGGAAGGTTGAGCAGGAGGGGTGGTTGCGCAGGTGCCGGCGGTGCTGCTGGTGTGCCGCAACAGCACGGACACGGCGTACTTCCAGCGCCTGCGGCCCTACCCGCGCGTCATGCTGCGCCGCGGCAATGCCCGTTTCAAAGATTATGACAAGACGCCCATTGGCTTCGGCGTCGCCGTCTTCTGCATCGCCAAAGCCCCCGCCACGTGCGCGCCGCCACCCCCTGTCACGATAAATCATGAACCTGTATGTATTTTGAATCAGCGATTAAGACATAAAACCACCTGGAAATATGCGCAAACTTGGTGGAATTCTTCAATATAAGATATACTCTGCTAGTGTGGTCTTCCTGAGCTGGTCACAGGCACTCTCAATTGTCAGATCATGGTGCAGCAGAAGCATCGCTCGTCAGTGTCATGTTTGTCAAAAGGACTTGATGTCAAGATGTTGGGTGCAGGGAGCTGTACGAGCGGTTCTTTGACGGCTTTGCGGCGATGGGCGAGCCCAACATCCCCATAGACAAGGCGCTGATGCAGAGCACTGCATTCTTGGAGCTGCTGGGCCGCCTCAAGCGCCACTCCGAGGAGCACCAGCGAGACCACTGGTCTGGCCCCTGCCCCACCATGCTTTTATAATTCTCTTTGGTCTCGACTTCATTCCTCATCTGCTGTACCTTTGCTGGTTGTCTATGTTCAATTAGATCGCTTCTGGGGCAACAGCTAAGAGTCCCAGTGCAGGGAACGTTTAAGCTGGCTGAGGGCTTGCGGTTGGGTGCAGGATCCAGTGCAGCCTGTGCGTCCAGTGGCGCATCATCGCCTATGAGACCCTGCTGCAAGTTCGCAGCGACGCCTCGTGGACCTGTGCGCAGCTCAGGTGATCCGCGCACTCATCTTTCCAGGTCTGTGAGTCGCCACAGGCACAACGTTATTTGCCAGGCAATGTCTATTCTGTGTTCATCTGTACACATACACCTGGGGAACATGCTCGTGATACTTGAATGCGATCATGGAATATATGGAACAACTGGGTACGCAAGCTCTGACTAAAGATTGCCGAGCAGGCCGCCATTCTCCTCCTGTCGGACACCGTGCAGCAAGCGCGAGCTGGCCGGCACCCGGGGCTATGCCACCATCGGCTCCTCTGAGTCAGCGACGCCGGGCCAACCCAGTGACGGCCCATGTGCCGGGACGGCTGCGCACGAAGACCAGCCGGCAGAGGACGCGTGCACTGCTGTAGAGGCACCTGGCAGCCTGGAGGCCTGCGCCAGCACCAGCATGGATGCTGCGGGTGGAGCTTCTTCAGAGTCCTCCTGCGCAGCAGCAGCCGCAGCTGCCGACCCGCCCCAATGCCCCTTGAGAGCATGCACCGACAGCAGCTGCTCAGAAGGGGCCGTCCAATTGGAGACAGATGCTGCACCGGGCGATGCGCCGGGCGCATGCAACAGCGACCCCGAAAATGCGGCACACACACTGGCGGTCCCCACTTGCGCTGCTTGCCGCGGAGAAGAATCGCTGCAGCAGGACTCGCAGGAGAGCGACACTTGCCACCTGCAGAGCTGCCAAGTCAGAGCGCCAGTGCAGCAGATGCAGCCAGCACAAGCGCATGCTCCGCAGCAGCAGGAAGCTCCCGTGCAGCTGGCGCAGCAGCACGCGGTAATTGCATTCACTACATGCGGAGTGGCTACCAGAGCCGCAACTCCCTGCATGGAGCCGGCAGGGAGCCCTGCGGCTGAAGGAGGCTCTCTTGTGTGCAAACCACCTGCGACGGCTATAAGTGGGGATGACTCTGCTGGCGGCAGCAAAGGCTGTGAGAGCGTGGCCCTTTGTGCAGCCGCCCCTGCATGGGCCTGGGCGACACAGCACCCGGCGGCACCAGGTGTCGCAGTGGATTTTCCACCTGTGGGACAGCCAGGCACAAGCAATGTCTCCGCACTTGGGTCCCGGCAGGCGGCTGGGCCGCAGAATGAGTTTTTGCAGGCTGCATTACAGCGGCTGCCGCCTTCTCAGATCCTGTCCACAGGTGGCCTCGAGTCTGCCGGCGATGAAGAGTGCCAGGTAGACGCCACAGCAATTCCTTGACAGCCGGATTTATTTAATCAATGTGGGCCAACAAGCTGCCATGCTTGCCGAGGCTTGTTTCTCACAGAATATTATTAACCAATGTAATAGGAAGTCCTGAGCTTGACGTGCTGGTCTGCTCCCTGCAGCAATTGAGCGCCATAGAGCTGGCGCGCAACGCTCGCATCGCGGCAAACAGAGCGTTCATGGCCAGCGTCAGCGCATCCTTTACTACCACAGGCTCTGATAAAAGCAATATTGATGGTGGTAGCCTCCCGGTGGACCACCCCCTCGTGCTGGCAGCCGCCAGGCAGCTGGCAAGGACGGCGGCGCTCGAGCAAGCCCGACAACAGGTGCACAGCATGGCCCACTCATACGTGCAGCACATTTTTGTGCACAATACACTCTGCGAGGCGAAGACCTTCGACAGCTCCGAGAACTCGATCACTCCTGTGAAGTAGTAAATCAATGAGCAACCGAAGAGCAACAGGCCTGGCGAGAACACCCCTAAGAGGAAGTACTTCAGCCCAGCCTCTGTTGAGAACTTAGATTCTCTCTTGAATGCCGCTAGAACATAGAAGCAAAGGCTTTGCAACTCTATGGCAAGATACATGGAAATGAAGTCTGCTGCTGATGTAAGGAACAGCATGCTCGAGTTACAAATACTGAGCACCCTGCCCACGGTTGATTGGGTCTTGCTTGGATCTGGCGAGTCCAACAAGCTATCATTCAGTCAGGAAGTTGTGCCGCCTGTGAATGCAGGTGGAAGCAGCAGAGCGGCAGTGGCACACAGGGCAGCGCGTGCGCAACATGAAGGCTGCTGAGCTAAGATCCCAGCTGGCTGCTCTGGAGGAGCAAGGCTTGAGAGCAGAAGAGCTGCTGCAAGCATCCAGGTTGACGTACAAGCAATTGAGAGAGGAATATCGGCATGAGACCGTGTGCTGACACCTATCACCTCTGGTACTGCGAACAATTTCTGCACTTCCGACTGTCCTTTACAGGAGGTTCATCGCAACACTTAAAGCAAAGGTACAGCCATTTGATTTTCATACATTTTCCAAAAAGTTTATGCCGAGTCCTTGCAGCTTTCATGCATGTGGGAGTGCGCTTTTCCAAGCACATCATGATCATGCAAGAACAAGGTAATTACTGCCCGTAGCAAGAGAAGCATGGGCCTGCCATTGTCTAAAAGTGAATACATTCTAATGGCTGCAGTGGCCCAGTAGACACCTACCTAAATCACACTGGCAACCATATCAGCTGTACATGCTTTATCAAACTAATGATTAGTTTTAATCTAATGATGTACAACAAGCACAGGTACTGTCTTTAGCTCTTATGGAGCTCATCTGCAGAGCACATGAGGCAGACATTGTTCAACACCGCAGAAGCCAACACAGCTGCAGGGCATCGCCTCCCGGCTTAAGCATCTCAAGAGTCACATGCGGCGGCGGTAAATGACACTGTAGGTGGCCGTCCTGCCCCCGACTGTGATGGCTGACTCCACGCGCAGAGTGTTGACATCATCCAAGACATAGAAGAGGTCATAGCCGGTGCCTCCATGCGGCTCCGGCCAGACCAGGTCTATCCTGAAGGCTCCGTCTGTGTGCAAGCTCACCCTCCCGCGCGCCCCACCTGTGCAAACAGAAATTGTCGGCCTTCTCGCTGTCTGTTTGAGCAACTGTGTTCCACCCAAGATCAGGTGATTGATGTTGAGGGAATGGATGTTTGGGGGTGAGATGATAATCTGACCTCTCCTCAGATCCCTCCTCCTGTGCTGCCTCTCCTCGCTGGTCAGCGGATACTTCTCCCTCACCTGGGCACAGCACTTCACATTAACAACCTGCCCTTCCACATAATCAACCTAATTATGTCTATCGCTGACACCATGTGTGCATCGAAGAAGAGTGCTGTGGGGTTGGGCACCTTGAACCAGGGGATGACGCTGGTTATGGCCATCTCGAAGGTGTCATCTGTGATGCTGATCTCCACGCCCCTGACCAGATTGATGGCCTTGCGGATCAGCCCGTTGAGGCCCATCAGATCCATCGCGGGATCCATGGAGTCCGATGCATCCTTGTCCTTTGCAGCCACACATTTCCATCATTCGACAATTGCTTCAACCTACAAAGCGCTTGCGATGCCTTCCTGTCTTGTAATATCTCTCCTCTAAATTCACATGCAGATTGAATGAAACAGTGTCAGGTGGAGGAAGGCAATAGCCTGCCAATTGAGAGGCTGACCTTGAGCCACATGCCGTTCAGGTTCTGCGCTGACTGTAGCGAGGCAGCAGCTACCGCCGGTGACTGCACCGCCGCCGCCACCGCTAGCGCCAGAGTGGACTGCTCCTTCACCTGCGATGCGCAGAAAGTCTTGAAGGCAAATGGCTGAGCCCTCAAAGAGCCCAATGGCCCTGGACCCTGAGTGTAGAGGACGGCATGGGACCTAAAAGAATAAGTGCAGAGATGAAGGAAACAAAGCTCATGGCTCACCGTGGCATAGATGTGGGCAGCCATGACCAGGAGCAAGCAGGCGCACACTGTGACAGCCGAGACAAGCAGGTCTGGAGTATAGAAGGCAACACCTGCACATCACGTGCATTCTCTTATGGCCTGTGAGCAAGGCGCTGCTTGGCCTTGGCATGTGATGACAATGTTGCATTAATGCAACGGGCGTGCTCATCAAGACATGCTCTTTAAAACACAGACAGGACAGGAGTGCACGGTGGTGAAGCTGTGTGCCATAAGCACTTCCTTACTTGTCAAGACAGCAGCAGCAAAGAAGGTACAAAGTCCAAGAAGCTGGAACAGCTTCTCCTGACCCATGGCTGCAAGTGACACCAGCTTTGTCCTTCCACGCACTACAGTGTTAGAGGAGGTCTGTGCCGTTGCCAGAAGAGTTGACTGTGAGCGCTGCTGCAGATACTCTTGCTGTGCTCGCCCTGCATGGCGATTACTATGGCTATTCCATGCAACCAAGGTCACTGCAGGCCAGGACAGCAGTGCAAGAGGCAAATGAGACTGAAGGCGATCCCAATCAGGGAACTCACTGGCTCTCCGCTTTCTCCTCCCATTTGCAACAGTCTTGTATATATCGACGGCGACGAAGGTCACCAAGATGGCTTCCCTGATCATATTGAGAGTGACTAAGCTGACTTCCTCAATCGATCATCTCCTTTGCATCGTCCCTTCTCGTTGTCCAGTGCATCCAGCAAAGACACCAATGTTGCCGCTCTCACATCTCACTACATGCAAAATGCTTAATAGATCAATTAGGCGGATGGTGTGGAGGTATTTGATTATTTGCACAAAATGTCCAAGGCTAATGATTACGTCTACTCAAGATTTCGGTGACGCCGCAATAAGCTTCGCTCCATGCGATGGTAGAAAATGAATATAGGAGTTTAGCTTTATATTTCCATCTGGGCCCAACAGAATTGGCGTTTCCAATCAGTGAATGACATGTTACCAACTTAGGCACTCTGCCTTGCTAAATTTAGGACTGAAATCTCTCACACTTCTCATCCGTTGCATATGTCGTGCCCGATCAGCTCCTTGGAACATCATCTCACATACAGGATGGCTCGAGCTTCCATGTGTCTCGAGACCTCCCTCCGTTTGAAACAAAAATTATTGGCCTGGTGCACAATTTGATGAAATGATGATGTTGGACACATGTGTACAGCTGTACAGCTACTAGCAAGATGATAATTGATTCAACCTGGGCCAACTGGCAAGTAACTTTGGGCACTGCCTGTAATGATCCAACATGATGACCACCTATGATACACAGCAGACAGAATATTCATCCATTGTTGCAGGCAATAATGGGTGTGCAGATATCAACTGCCTTGAGTGGGCTGCCACCCAATTCTCGCCCATAACACCCACTCATTGCTAAAGTCATCACCAGGCAGCCTGTTGGCGCGCATTCCCCGCCCTCTCAGCTTCATGCTCCACCTCATACTCTATGTTCAGCGGCCGCCGCCGTTTAGCGCCCGCAGCACCCCGACCCCCGGCGGCCGCCGCGGCGCCGCGCTTGCCCTGGGCCGGTCTGTCATGGCCCTGCCCGGCCGCCTCGTCATCCTCGCTGGAGGAAGCTTCCTCGTCAGAGCCATCCTCGTCACCCCCACTGCTGCCCGGCTCCTCGTCGCTGCCAGCATAGTCCTCCATGTCTTCGTCCTCCTGAACGAAAGGAGACACATCTCTGTGAGTCACTTCTTAAGCCGGACACACCACACGTCTCAAGAGTGCACTTGCCAATCAGTGCCAGGCAATACCAACATTCTGTTGACAGGGAAAAGCATGCTTGTGACAGCTCCTCCAGGATTAATTCTCCAACAGAAAGAAAGAGTGGAGCATCACCGCATCAAAGCCAAGGTCCTCCTCATTGACATACTCCACCTCCTCCTCTTCATCCTCATCCTCGTCATCATCCCCCTCCACATACTCATCCGCTGCTGCATCACCCTCCTTGATGGCCTCCTCCTGCACGCACAGCGACAACCCATCTTTATCCCTGGTGCGCATGCGCTCATTCCCTCCACAGACGGTCAGCTCTTTGAAGAGTCAACAAATGCTTAGACAACACAGTGCCCAGACCCATTCCATGACACTGCTGATGACATGCTGTGAGCACGTTTAAAGTGAGCAGGTGTGCAGGCTGACCTCGGCGGCCTCCAGGACCCTCTCGTAGACCTTCTGGTCAAAGTTGTAGATGTCGCCGTAGGTGCCCTGCTTCAGCCGGTTCAGCAGCTCCTGCTCGATGCTGGTCTCCAGCTTGGCAGCCGTCAACGCCTTGGCCTCCCTCCTGGCATCCCTCTTCTCCGTCCTGCATCAGACGAATCACAGTGGCGACCTCAGAGCTGCCTCACCACAATGCCAGGCGCACCACTCTTCCGCAAAGATTGCCCTGAATGGCCTTGCAAAGAATTTAACGCCGTTTGTTCTTGTGTCTTCATGCAGGCCCTGCAGCCAGTTGCGAAGCCTCCCCTTTGTCAAATCAGGCCCTCTTCATCAATGTCAGGTGATGATGCTGCTTGTGGGGAGCATGGGGAGGAAGGGTGACCTGGCAGGGAGCGTGACAAGCTTGGGGCGGGGCTTGAGAGCGAGGCGGCGCATGCGTACGAGGTACTGGGTGATCTTTGTCAGCCGCTGCTTGTTCTTGTGCACCAAAAACTTGGGCCAGAACGCCAGGTGCTCATCAATCTGCTCCAGCGCTTCCATGTACCTCTTCTTCAATCTGCAGGGCACAGCGCAGCAGATTCATTCAGACTTGAGAGGTTTGAGGGGTCGTCCCTGGCATAATAGGATGGGTCCAGTCTGCATAGGTCCACCACGGCTGAGCTGACCTGATCTTCTGCCATAGATTCTTGGGCGTGTGTGCGCGCTCGATTGTCTTTATGTAGAGGTACAGGCGGCCATCCTCCTCACGAATAGTGGCATATCTGCTGTTTGCCAGGGGGCATGATGACCGGTTGCAGAGTCCTGTCACGTTGTACTCATTTCTGCAGAAGTTCTGGGTCTTGGTCTTGACCTTGTACGTACAGTGTCCATGATTGATGACCTGCGCCCAGGCAAGTGCAACAAACCTTACTTCTAGTACTCTACATTTCTAGCACCATATGCGCAGAAATCAGTAAGTCCCGAATTGCAGGACACGTTAGTATGGTAAATTACACGTTAATTGCTATTGTCGTGCATATCTTCTGCAAAGTAGACGTGAACGTTGTTTCTACATTCCCAACCAAGAGCCCAAATCGCTAGCGAAAGTCTCACCTGCCAAATCACTGCATCGTTCTGCATGATGCTGTCTTTATGTCAACCTCTTCGACCACTGCTAAAGGGAGCACAGCAAAGAATAGCAGAATACAGCCGTGGACAAGCACTTTCCCTTCGTCTATTTAGCTCACGATCACCTAACCCTTACGATCGCTATTGAACACAAGAGTGAGTATATCTTAAGATGAAGTAGAATGCTCGGTTATCCTCTGCTCTGTTTGCTGCTTGCAAAATTCCTCCAGCTTGGGCCAAAACGGCGCACGTGCGCCGAATCAGCAACAATGAACAACAATTTCTTTTCGCAGCACGCACAAACACCCGTTGATTGGGAAATTAGATATCGATCACGAGACAATCGAGGCTAAGGTATTCTTCAAGTCTGGTTCAATTTTTTGTCGTCAGGATCTTTAACATGTTCACCCAATCGCCACGGCTACTGCACGCTGCTGCGCTTAGAGAGACTTTATTTTCCATAAGTGCACGACTAGGATACTGCGGCTACCCCTCCCTGTCACACCCTGGTCATTGCATGCGCTGGGCCCCTCGCGCTCACTCCCTGAGGAAAACGTCGAGATTGCCAAGGGCTGACCTGACACGGCTATCATGCACACATAGCAATTTAGGCAAGTGCTCTTGATCACCTATTCCTGTTGTTTCATGCTGTATGAATTTCTTTAATGGGTTGCTGGGACCATGGGGCTACAGGGGCGACAGGTCAGAAGGAGGGCACATTTGTCCACCCTTCTCGAGAAACAGAGGATGAAACCTTGTCAAACAGCCCAGTTGGCCGGATTGACATCATCCTTGGGCCGATGTTTGCTGGGAAGACAAGCGAGCTGCTGAGACGAGTGGAGCAGCATGAGGTGCAGCCACTCTCTCACTGGCACCCTGTTGCTGTCATGCGCTTCAATATCTCTTCAACCCAGTTGTTGATATTATCTTCGTCTCCTTGGCAGGCAGCAGGGAGAAAGGTAGCAGTGGTCAAGTCTAGCGTTGACACCCGCTACCATGCAACCCGGGTGGTCAGTCATGACGGCAATTCCAAGGTGTCCTCTCCTCTTCTATTGATAGATCTGGATGGTCACTTTCTGAAGCCATGCTCATGACCAGTTGCACTTCAGCTTATTGCGCTAAGTAATATTGTTGTGGGGTCATGCAGGTGTGCTTTGCTGCTTCAAGTTTGGGGGAGCTGCGTAGACAATTGGGGGACAAGTATCTGGAGTACAACGTGATAGCCATTGATGAGGCCCAATTCCTCCCAGACCTGCTGGAGTTCTGCACGGCAGCTGCCGACCTCGACCACAAGCACATTGTCATCGCTGGGCTCGATGGTGACTTCAAGCGCCAGCGATTTGGTCAGGTCAGCTTACATCTCCCTCTCAGGAAAGATCATTTGACGGCATGCCGTGCTTTCTATTGTTCCAGGTTGGCAACCAAAGCTAGAGGACATAGAACATACATGCAGGGCGTTTGCAGCCACATCTGCAAGGCCTACAACACTCTGTGCCAAGCAGTAGTGCGCGGTGCGTCCAAATCTCAGGTCCTGTGCAGGACATGCTCACTCACAGGTTGCTTGACTGACATGCAGGTATTGGACATGGTGTCTGTGGCCGATAGCGTGACAAAGTTGGCTGGGAAGTGCGCGTACTGCAGTGAGCAGGCATTGTTCAGCCTCAGGATTGCTGCCGATGAGAGGCAGGCGCTTGTGGGGGGTGCTGATAAATATGCGCCTGTCTGCCGGCAACACTACGTGTCTCTGAGCAATGTGAGAACACCAGAACCCTGAATGCAAACTGCTTGGATGTGGTGTCTTCTGGGCATGGGGGTGGACTGCTCTTTTCTTTTACGAGAGTTTGCGGGGAATTGATTGGACCATGATTTCTTCCGGTGGTCCTCAGTTCAATTCAACCTGTGTAGATGTAGAGGGGGATGATTTGTAGGGGATAATTGTACATGTTTTAGTCACAATGTCATGAATTGTGTATGAAGAGGGCACTGCCAAGAGACAAATGCAGCGCCAGGAGTCATTTGATAACTATTACAAGGATGTCCATGTCACACAGAAGATTTGTAATGCTAGGACATGCAATCCAAAGAGCGTATCACTGAGATCTTTTCAAAGACATGTCACTTGTGAGGAGTCACTTGATCGAGGCATTGGGGATGCTCGCTGTCACCGGTCCCTTGCCAGTCATGAATGGAATGCCCTTGTAGACAGCCAATCCATCTGCCGATGCAGAAAACACAAACATTCAGGTGATGAGAGCTCTGAAACAATGAAGCACCAAGAATGCAATGAACACCGACCGTTGGTGACAGAAAGACAGACAGAAAGCAATGTGGTGAGCACTGTGAGCACCTGCATTTGTGACCAGGTCGTCTGCTAGCTTCTCAAAGATCTTCTTCTTGGGGTTCAGCTGCGCATCAGGTTCGCCAGTGAAGCCCTCAAACTTTATTCTTTCCCCAATCTGTGCATCTGGCGGCGGCGCAATGGGATCCACCTTATCGTGACTGGCATTGGATGCACACAACACCTGCAAGACACAGGACCCCATATACCTCGACACAGGAGATAAAATCATCTCATCTGGCGATGTCAGATATGTAGCGCAACATGTCAACAGTCTGAGGGCATACCATGCCAGAAGACAGCACATCCCTCATCTTGGCCGGTTTCAGGTTGCACAGAACCACCACCTTCCTCTGCTGCATCTGGTCCAAAGGTACAAATTTGACAAGGCCCGACACAATCTGCGCCCACACCAATGCCTCAGCAGAGCTCCTCCATTGCAGCACACAACCAAAGAAAGGGGCATGCAGGGCACCCGTACTCAACACGAGCACCGCTGCATCCGACTATAGCATAATATATTTATTAAACGCTGTTCCTGCCAGAGGCGAGGTGCGGAGATAAACTATAAGATACAGAATTCGAGAAAATCAAAGTCTTGCCTGTCGAGGCTTGTCCTCGCCGAGGTCTATCTCCTCCACATAGAGCGAGTCTGCGTTGGGGTGCTGCGCAACGCTCACAATCTGGCCCACCCGGATGTCCAGCTGGTCAATGCGCGCCTCCGCATCCTTGGCTGCCGGCGCTGCCTTGCCCCCATCAGCCCCCTCCTTCTTTGACCCCTTGGCCTGTGCCAGTCAAAGATTTCAAACAAGCGGAGTAGCATCAGCACCAGCAACAGGACAAGGGCTGGTGTAGATATATTTGAATGAAAGTGCAACATAATCCTTTGTTCAGTAGCAGAGTGTAAAGAGGTGAATGTGATGGCACACCTTCTTTGGTGGGGCTGCCTCTGGTGCTCCATTTGCTGAAGGCGGGGCCTGCTTTGTGGGCGGAGGTGCCCCACTGGTGGAAGAGGCTGCCTTTGCAGCCGGCGCTTGTGGCCTTCCGCTGCTCGGTTTCTGTGTCGAAGTTGCTGACTCTGAGCCCTTTGCCTGCACATGTTGATTTTCAGGTTCACTGTCCTGTAGCACACTCTTTCCCTAGTTCTTAAGAAGATGGAGCATTCGGTGAAGGCAAAGATTTTGTTCTCCTGAACATGAACACACCTTTGCTGGTGCCACGACCGGAGGCTGCAAATTGAGCGGTGGCTTCTTGAAGTTGACCTTGGGATAGATGCCTTGTGTGTCTGCCCTATGCTGCAAGTAGTCGTACCATCGCACAATGTTCTTGTGGCGGCCTGTTTGCGCAGATGGAAAGGACACCTGCGCACAGCTCAGCGGTTTGGCACACCAGGGATACCGCTGCAAGTGTAGATGTTCAAGGATATGCACACAAAGCAACGCTAGTTAGTGATGCACGCTAGATACTCAGTCATGAATGTAATAGCGATGGTATCACAGAAGCAGCAGATCTCACCAGGGCTGGATGCAGGACACTGAAGAGCACCAGATCGGCAAGGGTGAGGGTGGTGCCCAGGAGGAAAGTGCGGGTCAATAGCTCATCGTCCAGCTTCTGGAGGGCTTCCTCAGATATTGGAGACAGTATGGAATAGCGAGAGGAGAGCCACTGTGCTATCTGCGAATACCCTTTACCTTTCAACATTGATCTGCTGCCAGATGATGCTCTCAATAAACTGCGAGAGATTGCACGATGATCATACCAAGGCTTCGTCTTCTGGATTGCTGCCAAGGAGCTCGCTTGCTTTACAGCCGGACTTTGCCAGATGTTTGCAGATCGTATTGCTGCCTGTCAATGTCTGCCCAGTCTGAGTAATGAGCTGCAGTTCCTTTGAGTTGTCTTGAATCTCAAGATTGCCAACAACACCTGAATAAGATGCCACTAGCTTCACGATATTGCTGTCCTCTGGGCTGGGACTGAGCAGCTTAAATACTGCCGTCTGCACCATGAACGCAAAGTATGATTAACCGCTGCTTGCTGCCCTTCCTGTATCCCCACTGAAATGCTGCTCTGTAAGTTCTGACAAGCTGGCAGCAATGGCTGCCTGTATCAGTCTGTGTGTGATAGGAGGTACTCGAAGGAGATCTATCAGTCTTTTGGCATGCGTTCGATATCTGAACGCCCTTGGCAAAGGTGGCCAATTCAGGCGCCCATCTGCATGCTTGTGAGCTGTTGTGAGCCTAATGAGAGAGAACGGAAGCGAGAATTTTGCCACGATGCATTTTACGGAAGTACTAGCAGCTCAAAAGATGGCCATGCGCTCTCAAAGGCTAACTCAATGCTTCAAAGTGTCGTGACCATCAGTTGGCCAGTTGCCAATGGATCAGCCTGAGTGATCAAATGCATGCAGTAGTTAGCATGACTGGGCCTGGTCAATCCCTCTCAAAAATACTATTGTCACAGCCGTAAGAACCCTCTCTAGATGCACATGCACGGCTTAAGCGCTCCTGCTGGCCTACTGCTTCCTCCGTGGTCGCGCACTCAAGCCTGTCCGATGCCGAGCAGGTTGTCGAGGTACTCATTCCTGAACACACCAGCCGGGTCTGCAGCGGCGACAGCCGGCCTGAATGCAGCTATCTGGGGGTCCATGACCTTCTTGACATATGTCTCCCAGTAGGTCTGAGGCACTCCCTGCCCACTGTGCAGCAGCTGCTCCTCTGTCAGCGCATTCCACTTTGCCCTGCAGTGAGAAGCTTCATACTCAAAGTGAGCAAGTGAGTGATACCCAAACGCGGCAGGTATGTCAGATGTGTAACCCAGTGTTCTTCATGTCAAGCTGTCATCTGGACAGGGACAGAGGCCTCACCAGTGTGGCTTGGGCGGGCTGTCAGGACTGATGACAGTCCAGGCATCAAAGACCCTCTTCACAAACTCATCCCAGTGCGGCGTCCATACATTCCCCAGAACCTGCATGCACAGTGGCTTCAACAATGCAATAGTCACTCTCTGCATTGGCGCTGCAGGCTTCAAAAGGAGCACCGCCAATCTGTAGGAGTCTTTCACTGTGTCAAAGGTTGCCTATCCAAATGAGGTGGTCTTTGAGGGGGGCTGCGGCTCACATCTATCCAGCAGTATATGTCATCAGGTTCGCCATGATTTCCCTCCAGAGTCACAGAGCTGCCGCCTGTGAAACGCCACTCTACTGCCACATTGAGGGCATTGCTGCATGCAGCAAAGAAGGTATGCTTGGAATGCTGGCAGCACAACAAACAAAATCATCCTCAAACTGTCAGCACTCCACGAAAGGCAGATCAACAGCATGCTGTGCTGTTGCCAAAGAAGCAGCTGGGTATCCGACCTTCCATACTGCACAATGATGTCTTTGGCAATGCTGACAGCAGCATTCCAGGCATCCACCACGTTCTGGAAGTCCTCTGAGACTTTGAAGCACAGCTCAAAGTCGTAGATGTGGTCCTGCTGCAGGCCGGGCTGGTAGTGGATCTGCGATGGGAGTGTTTTCAGGCCGCTCTTCACAACCACATTCTGCAAGAGGACCACCTGAACGCTCGCTGACAGCACCTGTGAAGGCAAAAGTAAATCATCAACCCCTATGATTCCCATGTAGAAAGGGTGAACAGGTGCACTGACTCCTATAGACCCCAGGCAGCATTGTGATTTTGAATGGACTCTTGCCCATGCTTTTAATCGGCGGTATGCTCCTGCAATCTGAGCAAAGCGCATGGCGCATGCATGCATGCATGGATATCTAACAAGATTCCAATATGTCTCTGACCTGCAGGTCCAGATCTCCTGTCTGCTGCGCAATCTCTGCAATCAGCCAGCCAAGGTATGTGGCAGCATTGAGGGCCAGGTTAGGCTTTGACAGAGCGTCGTTGTTGAATTTCTTGGGCTGAGTGCCGTCTGAGGGAATGGCCGCACGCGTGGCGGCTGTGATCCAGAGCTTGTCATCCAGAGGATCCCACTTGGAGCCATCGAAGTGGGGAGTCTGCGCCTGGTTCAATGGGAAATACAGAAATTCCACGCTGCCCACAAGAGGCTTGTCAGCATTTGACTGAAGTCATTCCACCAACTTCGTCAAAACAAGCAAGGAATTTACGCTTGCAAAAGGAGAAACAGATTCAAAGTGGTGTGCAGCTGAGCAGTCCGAAAGCTGTGCACACCTGTAATGGCTTGTTACAAGTTCCTGCACAGGAGCAGTGATTCTCATCGGGACCTTCAAGGCAAGTTGCTGGGATGTACCAATCTGCAAAGAAAAAAGAGGTGATGCTACGGCATCTGGTCAGGGGATGATTACCTTGATGTAAGCAGCAGCGTCCGGCCGTCCGAAAACCTCCCTCAAAGTGGGGAATGTGTTGTTGTCGTACACTGCAAAAGAATGGAAAAAAATTTCATGCATGAGGCTGACCATGAATACGGGAGCCAGCTGAAACTCTGGGATTAGGTTAGGCATGTATAAACCAGTGCTATTGTAGTACCGAAGGGCAAGTCAGGATACTGAGTGCGGCTTGAGAATGCAAACACAATCTCCACAATAATGCCCATCAGCCCAAAATTGAACCTGCAAGCAACAATGCAGGATTGGCAAAAAATGGGCGGGTGCATGCCCTTCGATAAGTGCTATGCCTGTGAAGATTGCAGTGCAGGAGTCAACAAATTGTCAGCTGGTGCACATCAAAATGCTCACCTTGCTTCGTTAAATAGAGGATGGCTGGCAGTGTACTCTATCACCTCCCCAGCACCATTCACAATCTTGATGCTGTGCACAAAGTCCGCAATTGCTCCAAAGCCCAGCCCCTTGCCCTGACACAGTAAAACAAGTCCATGCCAGGTGCGAGGTAACCTTAAGCAAGGCGAACCAGTGATTGATCAGAATCCAGAAGCAAGCATGTGAAGGAATAGGGATTTAGAAGGGCTCACATGGCTTCCAGTGGATATGGCACCAGCCATGCGTGGCATTGTGGTGGCCACTTGCGCCGGTAGCGCCGAGTAATTCAGCAGGACCTGAGCACACACTCATCTGCTTTGTCATATGAAATGGAACTGCTAGAATGTGCATGCATGACTGGAAGGTGCTGCTTCCTTCCAAAATACGTTTTGATTTCGAGGGATTTACAGGGAAAGAGGAGCAGCCAGGCGTACCGCGTTGTCATCAGTCCATTGAGACAGCTCGCCGGCTTGTACGCCTGGCGCTATGCGGACAAGGGGGCTGCCATCTGCATCTGACCTGCATACCACCCATTTCAGATGGTGGTTAACTTGGTAAAGTGGTTATAATTGAAAGGTGCTGCCCGTAAAGCATGCATGCATTGGCCGTCAGTCACGCCCATTTGGCTGCAAGGGCATCGACTTGTGCGCACCCAATCAGCTCAATTCGCTTTCCTGACGGCAGAAGCAGCTCTGCAGTAAAGATGACGGTGGCTCCCTGCACATGTGGACTTCCTTACAAAGCAGCCAATACTCTCTTCAGGCCATCATTTTTGATATGAAATTGCACCCGGAGAGTCGGCTGCAGACGCCCTTAGAGCTGTGCGTCTGCCCTAAGAGTCGGCTGCATGCGAGTTCAGCTAAGCTTGCTCAATAGCAGGAAACTAAAGTGCTTTCTTGGCAAAGAGGGCTGTACTTACCGCGTCGAAGAAGACTGGCGTCCAGGAGTTGCCATGGCCGATGCAGCGCACATTCTCGCCGGATGCGGCGGCTGCCTTCACCGCAGAGACGACCTGCCCCACTGTGCTGGGCGCCAGAATCCGCCCCGGCGCAGTCGGCAGCAAGCTCTGCTCCGTGTTCTGCGCAGCCCACACCCTCCTGTGCTCACTTGTTCGGCAGCTGCTGTGATCTTGTCAAACTTCTGAGTGCCATGCAGTCTTTCTTCTATGCTGCTCGTCCCCAAGGAGTGCAAAGGAAGACCTCAATCTAAACAGCACCCAGGACTGAGGCCTCGTAGACCCCTAATGAATGCCGTCGCGCAATGCTTTCTGTGCATGTTTGTTGATAATTTACTTTTACATTACACGCTCTTCATGCCAAGAGGCAAGTTGTGTCTGCAGATAAGCGCTACCACATCCTGCCGCTTGTTGGCAGATCCAAGCAAGACCAAGGCAACCGTGGGCACGGTGCTCAGAACTTATCGCCAGCCAGGGTAAAGTGAGAAATGAGAAGTCCACAATATTGCCATTATACAGGCGGACCTGCCAGGTGAGGGTCTTGTTGGTGTAGCCCAGGCGGCCGTCCTTGATGGCAGCCGTGCCTGTGAGGGGTAGGTCGATCGCAAAGTGCGGCAGGACGTCCTTCTGCTGCCCCGGTAGCGCTGGCAGAATGCCCAGCGATGTCCCCGCCGCGTACCACAGCGTGTACAGTCCCCTCAATGCCTCGGCCTGATACACCCACAACATTTGTTTCTGCATGCTTGTTCATTCTCAGCAGCATCACACAGACATGCACCTCCTGAAAGGCAGAGAATTTTTGGAAAGTTTCTTCACAATTGAGCTGAATCGGGTGATGGAGGCTGACCTTCTTGGCTGTGTCTGCATCCTCCAGCAAGCTTGGCTTGCTGATGACTGACAGGGTCCGGAAAATCAGCGCGCTCCAGTTGGGCGTGGAAGAGTTGACGTCTGCTGCTGTCATATGGGTACCTGTGGGCAGCAGGTAAGTGATTTTATCATCTTAATTCTGCAGGCAGTGGATTATTTTCTAATTGGCTTGCAGCAAAAATGCAGAATGCAAAATGCAAATCAAGTAAAGTGACTGAGGCGCAGCTTCTTTAACAACTGTGTAAGGCGTCAGGAGGTGACAAGGGTACCTTCTAGTGCGGTGTGTAAGGGAAGCAACAGCCCTTGCAGGGACCCGGAGGCATTCAGAGGTTCCCAAAATGGCTTTTGGGAAATGGTTGCGGCGGTGCGAGAGACGAGCACCGCCAGGAAGAAGAGGGGGACCTTCCACGTTGCCAATTCCATCGAACGCTTCATAGAATTTTGATATTTTCAGATTCACTAGTAACCGTCCAGCTCAACTGTAGACTAATGCCAGGAAATTACTTATGGTTAACTGCATATCGTTTGGACGAACGTTGAAAAGGCTACCTTGTCAACCGTGCGCAGTCGAGGCTTCAGAGCCCGTTCTACCGCCCGCTCAGAGAAGTAAGAGTTTAAAATGCTCTAACAACCTGACGCTATGAGTTCGTTTGACTCGATCCACCACTACCATGTGCTGAACAGGACGCTCCGTCTGTCTATATAGCAAGATGCAGCATTGGACTTCTTTTGCCACTTCTGTCAAACGTGTTTCGGCAGGAGTAACTCGTTTGAGTGTTCATTGTACTCAATACTCCGCATCATAGACATCCTTTTCAGCTCCGGACCCATCTACAAAAGTCGAAATTGCAGGACACATTCCCGGAAAGGGGGGACCCATGACACTGGATCATGTCAGATCATAATTATTATGTAATCCATTAATAATCAATAGATAATGTAACCCATCAGTCACCAAAATCATGAGCCCTTAGGTCAAGCCTTGCCAAAAAAAGGACTAGCTGCCAGCTTGAGCCTCCAGTCAGTGACATCATGTCAGTGACATCGTTATAGCTGGTACTGTTACGAGATTTTGCCATGGAATAGTACAGTGGACCCGCAGAATGGATCCTAAGAAACATTTCGAGAATTGCAAAAGATGCATTGCACTGAATGGCCACATAGGCTACCTGCCTAATATTTCCTTGACCATGTCCATTACATGCATGCATGGCCAATATCGATGAATTATAATCCCATAATCAGTCCCATGCACAATTTCAGCAGATGCCATTTCTCAAGACTAGTCAGTACTGTGCCTTCCCACGTAGCATCACTCCAACCAAGTCCTGTGCTATCAAAAAAATTAGTGTTGCAGATCTGCATGTCTCTTTGAACAAAAACCATCACTGCAATGCGAGCGCGGCCTTAGGTCTTCAGGCATGTCAAGGTGACGTTGTTAACAAGGATTTCAATTGCAGCAATAATGTCACAGCAGTGCATCACTTGTTCCATTTGTAAAGCTGCAGCATGCTCATCCACGGTGGTAAGCATGTAAGAGTTGCTTGTCAAAAGAATATTTCAACATGCCTGTGTGTGGATCTCTGTCACCTCTTTTAATTAGAAACGGCAGGGGGAGTAACAAGAACAAGCATTGTTCTCATTACTCCCCCTGTTACGGGAAAACTGCCTGAGCAGAAGCTGACAATTCCTGTTGTCCCATACTCGAGCATTTGTGGCTGCAAGCCTTTACTCATCCTCCAGAGCAGGTGCCTTTAGAGAGGACGCTCTGCCAAAGGCTGAAATGATGCCAGCCACATCGTCCACTATGGCTCCCTGGATGCCCAGCGTGTACTGGTAGCGCACCCACTCCGGATCGTTGTTCTGCAGCCCGTAGGTCAACACCTGCAGCCAATTTGGTAGCACCATCAGCATTGCTCTTGCAAGCCCCTCATACAGCAGAACCGCAACCACATTTTTACTACAGCGTGACATTTAGATATTAAGAACCTCCCTCTCCTAGGGCACGCCCCAATGGTCCAGTGCAGCTCATCCGATGAGTCATCCATGATGCGCTGAACACTACCATTGAGGCAAGCCTGCATCTGCACTGATTCCTAGCTGAGCGCTACGGGGGACGAGGTCAACAGAAGGGTGGGGACCCACCTTGAGCCCCTTGCTGCGCGCGGCTGCGATGGCCGGCTGCTGCTGCTGCACAGCGCCGCTGTCCAGCACCAAGCCTTGCAGGCCGGCCTCTAAAGAAAATGCAATGGCGGCTGCGATGCTCATGCGACGTGCGTCCGCATGCCAGCAGGTGCCGCCGGCCGACAGCAGCAGCACCGGGAAGCGCGCCTGCCGCTGCCTCAGCGCCCTGCGCAGCAGCAAACAGCTTCAAATCACTGTCTCACAGATCACTGTTCTGTTTTGTTCAAATCTCTTGAGAGCTCAGGCAGGGAAGGACTCAATAACAGCTGACCATGGATTTTGCAACCCACTGGCACAGTATTAACATCTATCCATTCTCTCTTGAAGGTATCTGCACCTCCATCAGTGGGCATACACAGGCGCTATGTGCAACCAGGATCATCCATGTTCAGCTTCGTCTCCAACCCCCATTCAGATCCCACATGTTGCTGGACAAATCCAGATCCTAGGGCTCTAGAAACTGGAAAACGGGTAATCTTGATTGGAATAGTTCAGATCTGCAGTTACGAGGCGTGCCTGCAGACGTCTGGGTCGAAGGAGGAGAATACGATGGGGCGGCTGCTGTGAGTGGCGACTGCCTGGACCTGGTCTAGGATGGCGTTGACCATTCTGTCCACCTCATGGGACGGTGTCACCGCCATGTCAGGGGGCGTTGCCATCTTCACCTCTATGTCAAAGCCCACAGAGGGGTCCACTCCCTGTGCACACCGCAGCAGTAAGTCAGCAAATAATGCGCCATGATTTCCTGGTAATTTGACAGACTTTCCATTCTCATTGGCTGGATTGACTGGTACAGATGGCCCCTGCCGACTGTGCGCCAGGAAATTCTGGAGACCCAACTGAACGTCAAGTCCACAATGTGATCTCAATCATGCAGGCGGCTGTGAATAAGCGGCTGAGTTGAATGAATTTCCAGTATCCTGTGGTGTATAAATGCAGTGGATTTGATCTGCCCACCTGGAAGACTTCTGCCAGGGTGGGCAGCTCGTCGTCTTCAGAGACGGCCCACCGCATGGCATGGCCCATGCGCTTGCCCTGCTCACTGTTGAACACCCGCCCCAGCCCCGTACAGGGCAGCTCAGCCGCGCTCGTGGAAGCACCCGCATGGCTGTTCACTCTGTCACTGCAGCTGTCCCTTTCTTCGCAGCTTTCCTGGGCTGTGGTGCTGGAGTTGCTCCTGTGAGCGGGCGACAGCTGCTTGAACTCCTCCAGCGTCAGATCGCAGATGCCCCGCAGCTGAGGCAACCCCGACTCGCGTGAAAATATCAGCACGCTGTCGTCGTGCCAGATGACTGGAATGCCATCGGCAGTCACCTGCAGATATCAAAGCACCTCAGCTTGACCCCTTGTGTGTACTATGGCCAGTGCTCCAGCAGATGCAACCTCGTCTGATTAATCGTGAGCAGGATGGCAAAGCGTACCTGAACATCAAATTCAACAAAAGATGCGCCGGTGGCTGCAGCTGTGTTGAAGGATCGAATCGTATTCTCCCTGTACCGCATCAGCGGGCGTCGTGTGGAAGGACTAGCTGCTAGGAGGTTCTCACCCATCCTGTGTTGGATGTATAATGAATTTTCTAAAGGCCCAACAAGGAACGTGAAATGGCCTTCCTGCCTCTGACAAAGATACAGTCGGCAGGCATGGAGAAGGTGAATGTTCACACGCACCCGCGATGCCCACCGAAGACCATACCATCATGGCTAGACTTCTGAATGACGCCCGTGAGACTTCTATGATATGGGCTGGGCCTCACTTCCTGCAAAGGCAATTTACAACGTTGGTTGAAGCGCGCAACATGCCGGCCTGTGAAGTCGTACTTAAGACACAAAACCACGTGATGGAGCACTCTGATTGTGAGAATCTTGAATCATATAAGGCAGTATAGCTGAGCAGTCATATTCATTACCGTGTGTTACCCACAATCCTGGCTGGAATGCTCGAGGTTGACGACAAGGGCAAGGTTAGAAAACAAACAAATTTGGGTTCGAACCTGAGTGATCAAATCGTTTGTGAGGTTTTCAAGAAGCTCCCGCCGAGGAGATGTCAATGAACCTCTGCTCAGCTTCGCCATCGCGAAACGCTGCAGCATACAATGCCGTTCTACAGTCTTGGAATGTCAGCCTGCACCGAGGGCCAGGTATTGGGAAAACGCCTACACTAGAAAATCTGAGAGAAACCAACCAAGCCGAGCAGAAGCGAAGTTGCTTTGACAGTATTTCGGATCTCCCACACAGAAGGCATCTCTCGGAAGCATATGCCGATTTAGGAGAAGCTGACAAATGTGCTCACGTGGCTGAATTGCATGTGAGCCGAAATCCTTTGATTACAGCAGTTGTACGTAAATACAACACTCTTTGGTGCAATCAAAAGACCTACTACCTCAAGCCATGTATAAGTACACTCCGGAAACTCCCACCCCCGCCGGCCAGGACCCCCTTCACAAGCAGGCCTGCTGAAGGCCTAGGCTGAAGCCTCAACCACTATGATTTCCAAAGCCTGGCTGCGGATCCGCTTTAAAATTTGCCAAGGAATTTAGAGCTAGCCACACAATGTTTCTGGCTGCAGTTAGAAAAACAGCAGGGTACAGTCTGCCAACAGCTCTCTTCCTATAAATGACCTCCATCTGTTAGACCTCAAGTGTGAGACCTCATGATCACAGCATGTCCGTCACGAGAGAGCATAAAGATCATATAGATACAACAGACAGCTCGGAATGAAAAACAAGGGGGGTCACAGACCTTTGCACATATACATAGTGTGGCAACAGGGGTCATCGCTCATTGAGCAGCAGAAATAAGAACCAATATCACGCAAAAAGAAACCAATACTTCACGACGTGCTCACAAAGTCCACAATGCGGTCCAGGTGAATCATTCTGCTGCACACAGGATCTCACTGCCTCAGGACGCCACCACGTGCCTCCATGATGCGCCTCTGCACATCTGCCTGCGCATGCATGGCCACCCTGGTCAGTGGTCGCTCTCAACACCGGAAGAGCCTTACCTACATAAGGGGGCACAGGATGCAGCCCAAGCAGGGCCAATCACCTGGTCAGGAGGGTGGAGTGCATCGATGCCGAACAGCGTGTGCCTCTGGGTTTCCCAGGACGGATAGCAGTGCAGGTGCCAGTACTGCGTGGACATGACTCCCGTGGGCATGCGCCGCGACTGGTGCAGGCGGCACGTCCCCGGCGTGATCAGCACCTCGCAGCCCTGCAGCAACGACAAGGCAATCAGCGGCCCGCTAGCACTTCTGGAGCACTGGGGATTATATATGCTGCTCTCAGCCCATGGCAATGCCTATTGCGTATGATGTGTCCTTCTCAAGTCAAGATGCCGAGTATGTCAGGACACTGCTCCCGGCAAGAGGAGGTGCATTGTGCATGCTGCCAAGCAAAGCAAAGAAAGTCTGCCGTGTGCAATAGGATCACACAGCTTCGGCTGTTGTCCAATTACCGAGCATGTGGCGCGGCTGCCGGCGTGGTAGCCAACCCCAAACTCAACCGCTGCCGGGGCCCGCAGTGGCAGCCTCGGCAGTCCCCGGACCTCCTGCGCCTGCCGCAGCCTCTCGAGCGACGCGCGCCTGCGCTCTACACTGACGCCGTGGGTCATTCCCAGCATCTCCTGGATGCGCTGCAGCTCCACCAGCTCATGCTGCCCCCACTGGAATCCAGCCGCGCCCGGGGCGGCCCTCTGAGCTGCGCCTCCGCCGGCCGGAGGCGCCAGGGCGGCCTCTGCCACTGCCATGGCTGCACCGCCGTCCAACTGGCGCTGCCTGGCGTTGCGAGCTTCTGCTGCAGCCAGCTGGCTGCGCGGAGAGCGGCGCAAACCGGCCCTGCCGGGAATTGGCCGACCTCGGGGAGGCGGCGGGTGCGCTGGCGGCGCCGGCGGCGGCACTGGCGGCGGTACCAACCCTGTTGCCAGCAGAACACCCATTGCTGCCCTTTCCTCGTGCAATGACCAAGCTTACCTGCATAGACCAGGGACATCACTTTAAGAAGATACTGCAATAGGAGCTCCTGTTGGAACGGCAGGTGTGCAGACAGGTCGCGCGCACCTTGCTCCAATCGCGGTATGCTCCACTGGAGGAAGACATCCTGGACGCCCTGCGCATTTGAATGTAGAATTCTGAGCAGGGCTTATAGTTATATTGTATGCGTTGTATATGCAAATCGGCAGGGACACCTCTGAACGTTGTGTGAGATACACGGCAGCAGGGTGAGCTTCTCCTTCCAACAAGTGCTGAGGCAAGCCACGTACAATGCGGTTGAAGAAGTCAGTGCCCCGTTGCTGTGCCCTGCGCGCGCCGGTTGCCCTGCCGCCGGCAAACATGGCGTTCCAGGTTGCCACAGCGGAGCCCGACACGGCCTTCCAATGCTTCTTGCGGCGCTCGCGCTCGGCCGCGTCTTCGGGGGCGAGCCTGCCCTCCAGCCCCTCCGCCATGTTGTTGATCAGCAGCGCTGGCACCGGCGGGGCCGTCACATCCGTCCTGTGCACAACAGCGCCCACATTAGCTACTTGACTTGGTGATTCACACACTTCAGCATGATGCACACAGTTCAGTGCAACAAACCAAGGCAGGCAAATGCTGCACAGCTGACTGGCTGAGCGTACAACATTTTCTTGGATGGCAGTGTCAGAAAGCAGGGAGGAGTAATATGAAAGTTTGTTTGCACCTGCAATTGGGGCAGTTGGCGGCCTTATGCAGCCAGCCCATGAGGCACTGCCCGCAGAACACGTGGCCGCAGGGGACAAGGGTGTGCGCGCACACCAGCATTTCTTGACACACTACGCATTCAAAATCATCCTCCAGCTTACTCAGCACGCTCCGAGACGACGGCGCCGCCGCCGCCCTGGCACCAGATGAGGTCCCCTCCCCACTGGGGCCCACTGTCTCCTCCGCCACTTCCAGGCTCAATGCAGCCTCTTTGCGTTTGCGGGCCCTCTGCTCGAGCGCAAACGGGGTGGTCAGTACCTTCAAAGTGTGGTGGAGGAATCAGCAGGTGCAAGATGTCAGAGAGCGATGCAATGCAAACCTCCAAGCCGGAGCTGGTGACAGACACCGGCATCCCCGCCAACTGCTGAGAGAAGGACAGACGCTGTCGCAAAGGGCTGCCACCTCCATCATCCTGCAAGATGTCACAGTGACTCACGATGACAGCCACCCTGCTAAAATGAAATATGACATGCAGGTGAGGACATGGAGGTGCACAACTGTAAATCGAAGCAATCTAAGATGCAGCGATGCCTACGTCGATAGTGAGATCCACAATCTCATTCACCCTTGCATGGGCTGTTGCGGAGTGCGTGATATTTCCAGGGGTCCCAGTCAGATCGACAGGGCCCTGCGAGGCTGCAACTGGGGCTGGCAAAGCAGGTGCAGCAGGCTGCTCGCCAGCTGCAGGTGATGCAAGAGGCCCTGCAACAGGAGCTCCTGCAGCTGGCTGCTCTGCAAGTTGGGGATGGGGAGGGATCTGCTGCTGAGGAGGTACTGCCTGCACTGTTGGAGGTTGGCTTGCACACTGCTGCTGCTGCGGCTGCTCATGTGAGAGTGCTGCAGCCACTGGCTCTGGTGCTAGCTGCGGTGCTGCCTCCTGAGTGTCTTGAGCAGTGGGTGATCGTGCTGCAGCTGCAGCTGCACGAGCCTCATGGAGCAGCGCTGAAACTCCGTGCACCACAAATGCGAAGGGGTTCTGCTCTGGCCTGCCGTCCTTCAAGATCTTGTCCGTGCCACCAAAGTAGATCTTTCCACCATCGTAGACCTCTGTCAATACTGCCCTCTCCAACTTTCTGCGGTCGATATACCTGCACGATAAGGGCATCGATGTCATGGGTAAAATAGACGCAACTCATCCAAAATGTGTCAAGGCCGGCACACCAAGCAACAGGATTCTGTGTCCATCAGGTTTCCCGTTTTGCAGGAGGACAGGAGTCGATGGAGAGTGCGTACACTCCGTTCGTGCTCCCCAAATCTACGACGCACAACCTTCCATCCACAATGACGAACCTAGCAAATCACACGGGCTCAGGACCTTCGAGTTCACCAGCGGAGCACGCAGCATGGCAGGGGAGTTGTCCTCAACGTCAGGCAAATCAAGGGACTCACTCTGCGTGGGACCGTGAGATCAGGGCAGGGAAATCAGGATGTTCAAGCAGCAGGTTGCTGTCTGGGTTGCGTCCAATTGTGAACTTGCTACCAGGACTAGTGGCCAGAGCATTCAGAGATACCGGATCCCCTGGGAATCCGTTGGCGTCCAAGGATCTTAACATCGCAACCTGATTTCACTTCACCCTCACCCAGAGACAGCAGCCGGCGAAGGTCACAATGGTCTGGACTTTGTAAGCATCATGCGTCAGAAATCTGAGGGAGTTTATGCACTGGAAGGGTTGACAAGCCTGGACACCTCACAGTATGAATCCCAATTCATCAGGAAGAGCTGTATCAGATCAGTCTGATGCCAAGCGATAATGCACTGATTTAACAAGTCCACAATTACATATGCATGCCACAATGTGCATAGGATACGGTACATCATGGGATCCCCGGGATGATCCTGGAGCATGATCAGGCTGCGGCCGACTCGGATGAGTCTTGATCAATTGGATGCAACTTGCAGCTGAAGCACGTTGACTTAATATCATCAATGGTTACATAATTTGGTATGGGAATCAAATGCTGTCTCAGCTGCAGCATTTCCGAGCACGTTCAGGGATGTTTGTTCACACAAAGAGTTGTTCTCACTGGCAGTCCATTATACTTATCACTCAAATTCCTCACGGAGTCAACACTCTGGTTTGCTGAGGCCTTCAATCTCAGCAAGTGCAAACATGCAACAATAATAACAGCACTCCTCTCCAGCTACAGCTGCATCTGGTAGAGCTTCCAGAAAACTAGTGCCAGCAACAGCGCAGACAGGGCCGACAACGAAGTCAGCAGCATCAGCCATGGCCTCTCACTCTGCTCCACGGCCTGCAACAGACACACAGGTACTTCGAATCAGACCTTGTTCCAGATAAAGTCAGATCTCGATGCCCCATGAAAGGCTTTCAAAAGATGCCACGGATGAGACCGCTCACCTTCTGCATCAGCTTCTCCACATGGACCTCCTTGAGACGCCAGCTCTCCTTCACTTCCTCTGCAATCATTTCAATGGGGAGATCGTTGGGCACCATGAGCTCCTCCATCTCAGCCTCCCTGCGCTTGGCTGCCTCTGCACCACAGAAATGCCAGCAGATAAGGTACACATCACATATCACTGTGACCCAACTCATAGACATTTCATGCAGAGACGAAACCTAATGCAGGGGAATCTGCTTATGGAGCTGGCTGCTTAACAAATGTGATGTACAGAAGGCCAGCAGTAAGGTACCTCTCACACATGATTGTCCCCAAACTTATGGAATGCTGGGGAGACATCTCATGCAGAGGACTCTAGTGATTCAGCTGGCTGTTTGACATCTGTGATGTACAGAAGGGGCCTACTTTTGATGTCCTCTATTGTTTCGTCATCATTCATGCTGCCCACCCAGGGCAGCCAGCTCCACCTGCTCTTCTTCTCTTCCTGTTTCGCCTCAGCCGCAGGTGCCCCCCCATCCGCTGCAGCCGCGTCTGCTGACCGGTCTCCCTCTGGGGCATCGGCGCCTTTGTCCCCTGCTGCTTTGTCATCCCCCTTCCAGGGGTTGAGACCCTTCACCCACCCTAGCCAGCCACCACTTGGTTGAGCCTCTCCCTCTGAACTCTCCTTCACTTGCGCCGCGCCGTCCGCTGACGTGGCTGCCTCCACCACGCCATCTGCATGCTCTTGCTGGGGCAACGTGCCAGCCAGAGACGCGGCTGCGGCTCCAGCCTGCTCTGCCGTGTGGGGAGCACTGCCGTTCTGAGACTCCTGGTGTTCGTCCTCGCTGCTGCTGCTGCCGTCGTCGCTGCTCTCGTCCTCGCTGCTCTCATGGCCACCAAAGCCTCGTCCCGAGCCTGCACATGGAAAGAGCCCAAGTTGTCATCTCACTGCCAGCACAAGCCCTGCCACCCTGGCTTGGCAATATCCTGAGCATCCAAAAATTGCGCAAAGATCAATCTGAAGGTCAGCCATCCACTACCTAAACAGGAAAAGCCCCTGCCTTCACAGACGGCAAAATCTATACAATCAGTCTCCTCCTGTTTGGGTCGCAGGGGGTGTCACATGTGTCGATAGCTGCGAACCTGAGACCCAGCTGGACATCAAAGCTACTGCATGACACTGAATTCTGGGGAAAAAGGAGCTCACCTGGGCCGCTGGTGGAGATACCGGCGCGGCCGTGCACTGGGTCAACCTGCTCGGGCCAGGTGCGCATGGGCACGCGGTCGTCCGAGGCGGGGCCGAGCTCCAGCTCGATGCCGGCGTCGACGCGCGCTGGGGCGTCGTCCGCGCTCAGGATCTGGCCGCGGCCGATGCTGGGCACGCGCTCCACTATACGCCGCCGGATGTCCCCCATCGCTGCATCTGCGCGGTGCCGAATTGAGCCTATTTAGGAACACTTCGGAGGACTTCATTAAATACTCTTGTCATCTACAGGATGCCCGGCTGTAACGTTGGCAACAGCCGGGGCCGCATCACGATGCAACTGCCCCGATGGTGATTGGATCTCGGCGTGGCAACATTACAGCTGGATATTGAATGTTTGACGACAGAACAGCGAGTGGTGCTAGAATTTTACTGTTTGGGGTTGCTGCGGGGACCGGGCAAGATGCTGCTAGCATTTCGCACCAGCTACATTGTCGGTGTCGACGCTGCCGGAGTCTTCCCTGGGCCTGGGGCGGACGGGGCGGGTGTAGGGCATGTCCTCGTCGCCGTCATCCTCGGTGATGCTGTAGGCAACGCCGGGGAACAGGTCCTCCGGCGTGATGTCCTTCAGGGAGTCCATGATCTCCCACACACCCCGCGGTGCCCCATTCTTGGACTCCCTCCTGCAAGCATCCCCAACTTAGTGAAGTTTGCAGCCTCCATGCTTCCACTGAAGTGCAAAGATTCCAACAAATCTGGAATGTCTTTGCGACCATGCACAAGGGAAACTCAAGGATAGAAATTGAGTAGAAAACGTACCCCTTGCGCGGCCGAGCGCCGTTGTCCTTGGACCACTCCGGTCGTGCGCCGTTGCCGCCCTTGGCGGCCAGCTCCTTGCCGGCCCTCCGCCGCACCTTTGCGGCCGCGCGCGCTGCAGCCGCCTTCGTGACGGCCACCGCAGCCGCGGCCGCCGACGCTGCCACCGCCGCTCGGGATGAGGCATCTGCATGGTAATGCACAACATTCACCACAATTTGCTCCCAAGCAAAAATTGCCAAGGTGGCGGCTAAAGCAACGTTTGCCTCTTCTATGGATGGAGCTTGGAAATTCCGAGCTGCTCTGCAACTAATAATTGAGAGCTGGCGGATTGCGCACCTGCAGCAGAGCGGACGTCGGTGATGTTCTGGTCCTGGGAAGCTGCAGCGAAGGCTTCAGCCTGCTGGTACGTGCTGTCAGTCTCCTCCTCTTCGTCCTCAAAGGGCTTGTAGATCAGCTGCACGTGCAGCTCTCCCTGGCCCCTCTGCCCTGGCACGCTCGACTGCACATCAACTCACATTGTCAGCCCAGCCAATTGATCAGCTTGAACAAGCAGGGCACGGGGCATGCACCGTCCATTGTCAATGCATAAGTACAGTCCTTTACAGAAGAAGGCAGCGTCAGACCTGAACAGGCAGCCATGCAGTGGTGCGCCCATCGCTGGGCATGCGCACGAGAGGGAACTTCACATAGCCCACATCAGGCCGCCCGGTTATGTGAGAATCGCAGACCCTGATGGTCACCACCTGCACACGTCACAACAGCGCATCAAGCACCCAACAATAGACTCAACATACCTCCTTGCATGACCCAGCACACCCATTGCACAGCCATGAACTGCATTTGCCATCAATGGCACCTTGTAGCTGCCATGGCCTTATCAGTGCTGGTTTTCGCTGGTTGCCAACTGCAGTTCTACACTCCTCACAAGGGGATGAAAGTAAATACAGGCCCAGAAAGTTTGCCACCCCGACGGTGTGGTGCAGCCTGGATGAGACAGTTGCCTGGCTGATGGGATTTTCCACGAGGAATTGGAACTCCTGGTTCCAGACGGGCGCGCGGTGGCTGCCGGCGTGGCTGGTGTCGTCCTCGCGGCGGCTGCGGAAGGACTGGTCGCCCACCTCCAGGCGGCAGTACGGGTTGGACTGCCACGGGAAGCCCCACACCGGCAGATTGCGCGCTTCCAGCAGCGTCACCTGGCCAGACAATAAACATGTCGCTCACAGACTCCTAGTGTCACAGACTGGCACTAATGCTGCGGTTTCAGACCCCACAAGGATCATCAGTGCTGAAATGTGCATAGCCTGATATAAATACCTTGCTGATCCGTGACACTTAAGGGGGTATTGCCAGTGAAAGTCTCTCCAAAAGCGTCAAGGGTGAGTTTGGGAATTGAAGGTGCCAGCAGGCATCATGCTGACCACATGGATGAAGGTGTGGAGAAAGTATAAGTACCGTCAGCTCGCCATGGAAGGAGTCTGGCAGGGACACTCCGCCAGCTGCAGACTGGGGCCCAAGCGGCAAGGCTGCCATGAGGCTGTGCTCAAGAGCCTCCGACTGCAATGGAGAACATCACCCTCAATTGCAAGCAATAAGCCCAGCATGTCCCATTCCCAAAAACATAAAGCTTCCTCATACATTTAGATATCAAGGCAGCAACTGTTGCTGAATGGCTTCTATATACCTGCAGGACGGCGGATGCCACAGCCCTCATAACCGCATCGCGCCCGACTGCAGCTTCAGCGACGGCTGTGACCGCAGGAGGGATGTTGATGTCTAGCCGCTTGGGCAGGACAATGAGGCCTGGCAGGTCCACTGTGAACAGCTTGGTGAGGAACGCCTGCATGCACAGAGATACATGCCACACCATCAGGGCAGCTGTGGGGTTTCCTGCAGTCCTGCCAAAAAAATAGCTATGAACAGAGGGGGCGCTTCCTGGATTCCTGCCTCAAGGGTAGCTCTGAACAGAGGAAGCAGTGGAATTGCCAGGGAGGTCACCTGGAGGATGGGTATGCGCATGACGCGGACGCGGTTGTAGGGCAGGAGCTGGACTTTGACGTTGGGGGCGCCGACGAATGCCAGGGAGATGCTGCCGATGTAGGGGCACATGGGCGCCAGCCGCAGCTTGATCCACATCTTGCACTCCAAGTCCAGGTCGCTCACCAGCACCGGCAGCTGCACAGCCACAACACCCTCCAATACCAATGTACTTACTCTGTGCGCGCTCTACAGTGTATCAAGACTACCAAACCGGCAATGCTTGAATGTTTTGGCATCAGTCCGCCCATCACCCTTAGTTCCAACTCACCTATTTCATCAAAAACCAAAAAAACAAGTCAACTATAAGCAATAAGGGACGCACCTTGAAGCGCCACCTGCCCTGGCCCACTTCAATCAGCAGCAGCATGCGGGCGCCTCCAGTGTAGCGCACGTCCACAATGCCATTCAGGTCCGAGTCCTTGCGGCTGGTCCGTCGCCGCATCTTTGAGAAGTATGGGGCCTCGTGGTCTATCGTGAACTCCAGGATGCGCAGCCGCTGCACCATAACCCCTTTGCTGACCCGAATACTAGGATCTCAAATACATTTAGAACTCTGTGGGATCACAGCCAATATCTTGTGTGGGAATGCTGGGCACTTGCCTGAACAAAGCGTGGGACCATGCCGTCAGTGACCAGGTTGTCAAAGACAGGCTGCAGAAGGTCGGCAATCCAGCGCTCTAAGCCTCGTTGGTACACTCTCCACATCTGCAGGGGATCGCCAGAGTCAACCCTCCATCTCTCGCCTCTTGCAAAGATTTGAAATTATATCTGGACCAAGCTCGTGACTATCTCTTGAAGACACACCTTCCGCCAACACATGTTGACCCACTCCACAGCCTCCTCATTGTCAGAGTAGAGCACCATGGCTGTGGTGGTGGTGTCTGGCTCCCCTGCACATATTCACATCATGTCCTAAGTAACTCTCCATTCCTGTCCTTGCCAGAATGCGTAGCTGCTTGGGAAAGCTAGAAACATAAAGCCTCTGCCCATGTCAATCATATTGCAAAAGATCACCAGTACCTGCATATGTTCCGTATGGACTGTAGGGCAGGGCATCAGCATGCCACCAAATGAAGCGCCGGGAGATTCGCTGCCACCAGGGCATGTGGCCCAGCCACTGAAGAACATAGTGTGCACACAGCGCCAGACCCGCCCCCAAAAACACCAGCCGCAAGTCCCGCCCCTTGCCGGCCAAAGGCGCAGGCATATGCACCGGCGCTGCGATTGCCATCTCAGCCACTTCATTGCCTCTCCGTCCTCTCAGATCCCACCGAGACTCCCGCCTGAAGCACATGGCGCACTGCTTTTCAGCCTGGCTGACAAACAGTATTGGGGTTCTGGCCTTGTCCAGTACTGCCAATTTCACTGGGAAGACGAAGTTTCTTGGTATCCAATGAGGACTTGGAAGATGCCAAACAACAGGGCATACCCGCTGAAAGAGCTCTCGGCATGAGCCTTCATACGGTCTGCCAACTGCTGCTCTGAGAGCTGTGAGCGAGCCGCATGTCCCAAATGCTCCACCCTCTGCAAGCAAGAAATGACAGTCTCGAGTCACAGTGCGAGTAGATAATACGAGAGGAAGCCTCTGGCAAAGCAGCACTCCCTCTCTCTGAGGGAGACCCTGAATTAGTCATCAGCAGGGCTGATCAACAGCTGTTGTGCAGAGTAGAGATCTCAATGCATGCTTGCCTGGGTCGAAGGTGATGGGCTGACAGCGGCATTTCTGGGCTTGCAGCACAGCCGTTTATTGCCCACCAACAAATGCCTATGACTGCGCCGTATACAGTCCTGTAACATCAGGAAAACGATACTGGGTCCTCAATCTGCCAAGATCTTCTGGTTTTCATCATGACTATGTGTCCTATTATATACATAGTAAAGGACATCACAGGCTCTATGGGGATTGCCTTGGCGGCTATTGTTTGCACAGTCAATAAAGTAAGCATACGAGAATCACGAGCAATTATGTTCGCATAGTGAGACATCGAATTGCATAGGCTTTACAGACCTTGTCAGCAAGCAAGCTGCATCCATTCCGTCGAGAGCTGCACAAGCCTCGCTGCAGCAAAGCTCGCCTCTCGGAATGCAATATAGTCTGAATGTGATCGCTCGTTAACATCTGATCAGTGTTTCCGCGACAGGTCCCTTTTGCCACCTAGACTCTTGACACTTGACATTACTATGAAGTTCGTATCCGACTGTCAGGGCCATTTGGGAGACGATAAGCGCAAAGAACATTCGACATTTGTACCAGTAGCAATTGCAATTCAAGGCAGATTTGGGACATTGCGCAAGATTGGCTCCAGATGGGCAGCGTCTTCCTGACTTCGTCTCCAACACGTTCCCTCTCCCCGAAGAATTTTTCGAGGGCGAGAATGTAATCAAGTTCGTGAAGAGAGTCCTGAAAGGACAAACTTCGAGACTAGAGAGACTCGGAAATGCCTCTGTGGTAGTTAAGCGTCCTTGCTTCGTGAGAATCTACTCCGATGCAAGCCTTCATGTAAGCTTGGCCCGTCCGTTTGATTATACCCCAACATATATAAACATTTCTCATCAAGATAAATCAGCCTAGCACTTATGATGAAATGTTAGCGTGTGCATTTGTTGTACCTAGTGAAATGACCTCGTTTCATCAGTACATCATGTTGATGTCTAACCCCTGTCAAGGACAAGTTCCCAGCTGACATATTAGGAAATGTTCGGATATAATTTGTAAATGCGGCAACTCAAAACTTCTCGCCTGATGGACAAGCTCTGTGGATGCAGATAAAATGAAAGGGGGAGGATCTCCTGGACTTGTCAGGACTGAGGACCTCGCAACGAACTACTTTGGGGCCACTCAGCTGTTCAAGAAACGCTAGACATCTTCCAACTTCTAGGAATGCACGCTGATCCTGCGGCATCGTGACAGCTGCCCCGGACCACTAAGCACATGTGAGAAGCACCAGAAACAACCTAGGAGGTGTACATCTTTAGCCATGTCAGCGGCAGGCGCGGTGGATCACCTGATCGCGCAGATGCGCAAGCAGCAGGACCCGCAGATGCCACCAGACTGCGTGGGACGCTTCCTGTGCACCAAGTCCTCGTGGCGGGGGAAGTACAGGCGCATCATGTGCATCACACCCAATGCAGTGATCACGCAGCACCCCGACAACCTGTCCATCACGAACACCTACAGCTTCACTGGCGAGTCGGATATTGATGGAGTGACGGTGGGGGCTTCTGAGGCGGAGGAGCAGGAGTTTATTCTCTCAGCACGATCGGACAGAAAGGCGAGGAATCAACTCCGCTCCTTTCCTGCACGCATGCAGATCTTGGACATTGCCATCCTTTTTGTACCCGCTTGGTAGTGCAATCCCAAAAGAAGGGACCTGTTCATTGATGGTGCTTAACCCATTGAAATGGCATGCAGAGCAAATACAAGGGCGTCAAATTCTCATGCAAGCAGCGAGCGCCGCTTCTGACTGCTTTGTACCAATGCATCACCCTTGCCGCTATCGAGCAGCGCTGTCCCATTGCAACAAAGATCTTGGGGTGAGAACAATCTTCTGTGCTCTCATTGCAAGGCAACTCTCAGTTCAGAATTCAGGCTGTGCTTTCACTAATAACGCTGCCCGGCTGAATATCTTGTTTTTGCAGGTCCACCCAGGTGTTTGTAGCGTACAAACTGAAAAAGGGTCAGTGGGTACCAAGTAAGCTGCGAGTCACATCCTTTGCTGTGGAGCGATTGGATGCATATGGTGAGTGGACTTTTTCGGTGCATGGAGCATTTCTTGCAGCAGCCGTAGAAGAAGTTGTGCACTTCATGTAGCGCTGCCCTATGGCAAACCTTGTTGGGCTTTGTCTTCACAGATTGAGAGCATATTGTGCATGCCCGGCTGCCAGGCGGTGTGATTTGGCGATTGGAGTACCGCAACATGGCCTCCCCTGCAGCGCGCCTCCTTGTGACGGGGGTTAACGACCCTGGCTCGGTGTTTGCCTTCTTCGGCAAGGTGGGCCGCTCGCCGCGTGTCTTTGCAGCCCGGGACCGGGACACACTGCTGCGCGAGCTGCAGACTGCAGCCCTGAAGAAGATGGGGCTCACCGTGGCAGGTGCGAGGCCTGCACTGAGCTCACCATGATTTGGCTGGAAATAGCTCCTCAGCTTTGCGGTGGACACCTGTAATGCGAATCCTGCCGTTCGCATGCATGGCAATGCTGTTTGCGGTTGCAGGAACCAACCACCTGCGCTAGCTGCAAAGCTGTGCTTGTTGTCCAGTGCCGCAGTGGATGAATCTCTGCTGGGAACCACAGATGATATCTGAAGAGACCTCTGCGGGGAGGTTCTTGACGGTGGTTCAATTTGTCACAGTGGACAGGCAGGCAAGGATGAGCGGGCCGGAGCTGCTTGAGGCGGTCGGCAATGCAGAGCGCGAGCGCGCAGCCGCCCCAGACGAGGTGCCGCTGGGCGAATGGGAGGCGGTGCGTGTCCGGCCGGACTGCAACGCGCCCCTCATCTCCCAGGCGCTGCTGGCCAGCGCCGAGGAGGCCAAGAGCCTTCTGCAGGTGGGGATTTTGATCCTATCTTGGTGTCTCTCAAGAATCTATTGGTGTGGTAAAACAGCTTTGATACTGCTGACTCACATGGCTGAATATGTCAAATGCAAGAGCACGATTGTTGAGTACCAGCAAGCGAGCGGCATACGGGGTTGCAAGAACATTCTGGTCAAGGAAAGGGAGGCGCCCTCTGCAATCCTGAAATTTTTCAAGTTGGCCTCATGCGCGGGCGACTGCAAAAACAAACTGGGATTACGCTGCTTCGGCAGGAGGGCGGCGAGGGGCGCAGGAGAGGAGTGACGCGGAGGCTGGTGCTGACGGGGGGAGCCCTGCTGGAGCGGCGGCCGGCCAGCTACGAGGTCGCCGAGCGCCGGCAGCTGGCGGCATTGGCAGCCGTGGTGCGCTTCGCCGCGGAGCCCACCTGGCTCGGCCTGGAGTGGACCGACGGCGCCCCAGCCGCCATGTATGTCCTGCCCGGCCGCGACGCCCTGCTGGCCGCCCTTCTTGACGCCGCGCAGGTGTGCTTCATCTGCCCGCTTCCTTGTATTCTTCAAATATGCCATGCCCAAGACATCTCTTCTCCGGTCGCTCATGCTGTCTTTCGAGCATGATTGCAGGACCGAGACAGGGAGGGGTGGTTGTAAGTGTATTCAAGCTGCGCCCTTACCTCCGCCACTCTGGGATACCCGAACCTGTGTGGCACATGAGCCAGACTTGTATGCTGTATCCCACATGGCGTGTGTACTGTAAAACATCATGCCGTCAGGTTAGTAGGGTGCTCGGATTGCACACAGGTGTCGGCGGGGCGGCCAATTCCGGTGCTGCCGCAGCACACCTTCCCGGGCAATGTCGTGCTGTCCAGCCGGGCCACGTCCGGGCTGTCTCCGCCAGTTCTGCCAGACGCAGAGCTGGAGAGGCTGTGCCTGGGCCACATGGCCGCTGCAGCCAAGGAGGCCCTCAATGCGCTGGGGGATGTGCCCAGCTCTGCTGCGGAGGATCCCCGGCCCAGCCAGGCAGACACCAGTGACGGCTCTGCATCAGATCACATGTCGGGTGAGAGGCCCAAACCACTCATGTCAGCTGCGTGCCAGGGAAGCTATGCCATGCCATACTGCTGTGTTTCTCATTCAAAAATTTGGTGACATTGGCGTTGCTGGCGCAGTGGGCTCCCCACCGGATGTGAGGCGGCGCAACATGATTGCGGGGATGGCCGCCTCCTTCGGCGGGAGGAACCGTGACAGCGCAGAGGCCGGCCGGCAGGCCGCTCTCCGTGGCATGCCTCACAGCGCCGGCTCCCTCCCGGTGAGCATCCCTTCCTGTTTCGTCTGCAAAAGCCTAGACGTCCTGATGAGCCATCGCTTTTACTTATTCTGCTTCATAGGCTGGTGCCCAAGACGTCACCACTCAGGTTGAGGCTGACACATGTTGGCCTCATGTCCCTACATGCAATAAGTTGCAAAAGGTCCCACGTCTTACGGCAATTTCTGTGCAGGAGCCGGTGACAGAGTTTCGGCAGCGGGTGGCGGAGTTCAACGCATGCATTCCATACAGCGGGGTGTCATCCGGCGCTCGCCTGGACGACCCGGCGCTGACGGTGCTGCTGAGCCTGCTGCCGCTGGAGCCGCCGGCCGGCGCAAATCCCCCGCCGCCCACCACTAGAGAGGCCATCCGCACCATCAACGTGCTTCACTGCCTGCAGCGCCTGGCCACCTCCGCCCCCATCGCCGCCGCTATCGTCCAAACTCCTGGTGTGCCCTCCAGAGCATGCTCTCAAGTCCCATATTGCAGGATATTGGGGGTCTTGCTGTCATAGAATTTGTTGGAACGAGCATAACGAGCCCGAACAGGAGGTTGCTCTTGGCATTGTCATAGTGAGCAGACACAATAGAGGAGAGGGACTGAAAAAGGCCTGTATCTTTGACGGCAAAAACTCAGCTTTGTTACTGTGTCTAGCTGGAGCCACAGCAGAATTTGAGAGATTTGAGGTGCGTGTGCGCAGGGGCGGTGGTGCGCGTGTTTGCAGCGATGACGTGCGGGCATGAGCATGTGTCGGCAGAGGCGCTGCGGCTGCTGGCGCGGCTGTGGGCGCCGGCCAGCGCGCGCTCGGGGCAGGGCCCCTGGGTGCTGCCGCGCGTCGGCGGACCCTCAGCCATCGACGCCGCAGAGACGCAGTCGCAGCTCGCCGGCTTTGATGCGGCCGCCGCCGGCCGCATGGCCAAGTCAACCTGCCTTGGGCAGAGCGGCCGGTGAGCAAGCGCTTCCCCTGCACACAACAGCATGCAACACAACATAAACAATTAGGCAGATTGATATGAATTGTATAACCGCATATTGTTTGCAGATGCACCTAGCCTCTTGGCAGAAATAGTGTGTGACAATAAGTGATGTTTAGAAACCATGTAAAAGGCGTCTTGCAGCTAGAGGCCTGCCTGAGGCGCCTGTGTGTGTATGTGTGTGTTAAGGGCGGCTGCTTTGGTGGGAGTGCTGCGAGCAAGCGGCACGCCAACGGCGGCGTATGCGACGATGGCGGCCGTGGAGGCTCTAGCGGCTGTCGTGTGCCTGCCTGGCGCGGACAGCACAGACCCCATCCTGCGCCATGCACTGCTGTCAGAGGCCGGCGCCCTCGGCCACCCTCTCTTTGCGCTCTTCTCCCACCCAGCACGTATGCACACCCATCTCCAGAACCTCAATTATCTACCTCTGCCTCCGCCGCCTTTCGAGAAATTGATTTTGCTGGTACAATCAAGAAAGGCGCCGCTGCCCGTCAGAAAACAAGACCTTGCTCCTGAGCTATCGGTAGTATATCTGCTTGCATACACACCTCATGAAGCCAAGCCTAGCTCATGTGAAACCTGCCATGGACCTTGCTGAAGCTGAGGAGCACTGTGGCCACCGCAGGGCGCGTGTTGGATGCTGCGGCGCTCATAATGCGCGCTGTGGCGTCGGGCGGCGAGAACGCGGCCGCCCCCATGCGCGAGGCTGCCCTGACCGAGGGAGCCATGCTGCACCACCTCGCTGTCGGCATGTCCGGAGCTTCGGTACGTCCTTCTCCTCAAGAGAAGATTCATTGTCTTGGCTTACAGGATCCTTTGCTGCCGCCTCCTAAAGCACTGTGTGATGCTTGCGTGACGGCATTGAGTTCTGGACACAGAGGAGTTTGCCACCTTTGCCGAGCACTGCTTGGCGCTTGCACGGCTCCTGCCTTGCCACCCAAAGACGTCTCTTCTTAGAAGAGGAGAGAAGTGTGATGTGGAGGATGCTGTGGTGCAGGATCCGCGCGCCAAGCTGAGCCGCGACCTGGTGGGTCTGCTGGCGGACGACTACAAGCCGGCCCTCGACCTGCTGTGCCGCACCTACCCACCCGGCCTCCTGCAGTATCTCGCGCAGCCGTTGCCCCTGCCGCCCGCCGCAGCTCCGCGGCATCTTCCGCGCTCTCCGATACAGGTCAGCGGGTGCAGAGCTCGGTGGAGCTTTTTCAGGAATATATGCGGGAATTGACATCAAAATAGCGGTCTCTTTCTCGGAGTTACTGGCTCTGCTGGCAATACGGTAGGAAGTAGGCTGATGATGGGCTGGGTGGCATGCAGATTCAGGAGAGGCAGGCTGAGCAGGTGCCTCAGGAGAGGGCTATGTCGCCCCAGCCCCGGCACCCTGGTGCACCCTCCTCGCAGCGGGAGGTGCTGTCCGATGCCTTTGTGAACCAGCCCATGCTCACAAGTCTAGCAAGAACATTTAAGAGCCTCTACTCTTGAGCATTATAACACCTCATATCTAAATATTTGTGCTTGCAAATGCTGAGTTCATCGCAGCGCGTTGACAGCCATTCTGTGGCGGCTCACAGGTGCCAAAGTCTCCGGAGCGGGGCCATCTGAGCCCAGTCAGCAGCCCGCCGCGCTCTCCCAGATCAGTCATCGAGAGACCAGGCTTGGACCGTGCTGCGAGCAGCAGCGCAGATGCAGGCGGCGTCCTCGAACCGGGCCTCACCAGACCGCCGGGCTCTGCCACTGATGCTGGTGCGCCCCAAGTGCACCCCAGGAAACCCTAAATATTGGGTGCCTTGTAGCTTCCTCCTTCCCAGGGACCGAACCTGGTAGACACACAACAGCCCAATATACACGTGAGAGTTTTGATATGACAATATGAGCTGTGTCATATGCACAATTTAGGGATGGGTGCCACCTGTGTCCTCACCTTTGTGGATGCCAGAATGAAGCTGTTGGGTTGCAGGCTTGGTTGCAAGCTCCAGCGGTGTGGACCGGAGCAGCATGCGGCAACCGGAGCCGCCTGGCATGAGCCGGGGACTGCGGGGCAACTGGGGCGCCTTCTGGACGGCTGCGCTGCGGGACCACTGCCATGCCGGGCTCATCTGGAACCAGCAGACGCGCTCAGAGCTGCGAGAGGCCCTCCAGGTCAGATCCTTCACCAATCACTGGTCCTGGGATCAACCGTGGAGCCCTATAGTAGCCTAGGCAATTGGGCACCCCTGAAACAATACGTGTCGGGTTGCAACCGCTTCATTGGCCTTGAAGCAAGCCGTTTGCAGACTCATGTGTGCGCATGTAGGGCAGCAATGCACTGCCAGTCTTGCGGCCGTTCTTCCAATATGGCTATCCAAACATGAATGACACACCTGTGACCGTGCAGGCAGAGGAGGGCGCGCTGAGGGCGGGGCGGACTCGCGTGGCGGACGGGGCGGGCGGGCGGCCGACGTGGAACCATGCGGAGTTCCGAGTGCGCTATGCGTCACTCGCGCACCACCTCTGCGTCGCCGGCATCTACATTAAGCTCCTGCTGGATGGGCTCGATCAGGTGCGCTCAGCTATGTCCCACTCCGAAGTACAGCAGAGTGGCACCATCTGACCCCTTCACAAATAGATTCGCAGTCCGTGGCAACTCAGTGGGTTGTATTCTCTACGTGTGCCGTGCTGCTGTTAATTTAAAGCTTGCAACTAGCACCTGGGGTACTGAAGGTGCCGAACGAGGTCTATGTTTCTTGTGGTAATGAATGTGACATCACGGCCACATGCATGACATATTGCCGTTGGCAGATATGTCGTTACAATTGTTGCATGCAGTCTAAAGAAAACAAGTGTGACTCAGGGGGCGGTGGACAAAGTGCCGGCGCCGCGGGAGGTGTTTGGGGCGCTGCACCACCACTTCCTGTGCCTGGCGGACGCAGGGCTGCGCCTGGTGGGGCCCGAGGATGCAGCGCAGGGCGCCAGCGAGCAGGCGCTGCTGGCCGCCGCGGTTTCGCGCGATCCTGAGGCCGAGCGCGAGCTGTGCGCCCGCGCCATGGCCGCCCTATACCACTCCCACGCCGCCGCAATTGGTGCGCGCTTCGATCCGCCTACCTTGTGCGTTGTGTAGCTATGTATGCATGAGTGTCGGGCCTGCTCCTGCAGATCACCGGCTTGGCGCCTGCATAGCAGAGAGGATCAGAACAAAAGAGATAAATGATGAAGATTGCATTTGTCGATTTCTCATGATGCAGTTTGCTCATGTTGCACCCCTCATCATAGCAAGTGTCTGCTTGTTTCTCCAGTATTGAAGCCCACCAAGCTGAGACACGGTGAGAGAGAGCTGGCAACCCAATCTTGCGACGATATCGAAGATGAGCACCTACAAAACAATGGTGCTAAAAAGTGAGAAATAGCTGGTAACCCATTCTCGCAACGATATCCCAGATGAGCAGTTACAAACAATCCCGCAAGTTTTTGTCTTTAGGTAGGTTTGAACATGCGCAGGCCCGTTTGACAACACGGCGCACATGGCGGCTCTGCTGGACCGTACGATGAGCCGCGGCCTGCGCCACTGCCTGCTGCGCCTGCTGGAGGCCCTGCTCATCCCCAGATGCGGTCACAGCGACGAGGCCGCCTCCCAGGCCGCCCGCGCAAATGCTGTTACCTTTGTGGAGGCAGGAGGCGTCCAGCTGGCTGTTGACCTGGTGGCAGGTTTGGCAGCCTACTATGCACCAGCACAGCATCTTCTTGGCCTTGTTCATTGGTTGAGATATACTCAGTTTTTCTCTTGTAAGATATCTTTATATTGCAATTTTCTTCTCGCCATCTTCGCCTCCTGCATGGGAAACGGCTGCTGGCGTGGCAAAGTCAACTGTTTGACCTGTGTCTCTGCGGCTGATGGGGCAATGAGGAACCACATGGTGCATGGAAATGTGACGGTGTCACATGCGGCCTGCAGGTGCACATGAGGCGAAGGAGCGGACGCAGGTGCCTCTGCAGACAAATCTGATTGCGTACAACAGCCATGCCACAGAGGTGAAGGAGTGGTTTCACTACGCTGAGGGCGGGGAAACGAAGGGTGAGCCCAGAAACAAGGCGGACAGGCAGGAGGGGCAGCGCCTGGGCCCAGTCAGCAAGGATGAGCTGAAGACCCTCTTCTACAAGGGCAAGGTGCGCCGCTGATCTGGAATCGTGCGCGCGTCCTTTGAAAGAGCATTGATGAGAAGCAAGACTGCCAAAGAGAGAAATTGTACAAATGTTGCCCTGGGCCGGCTGTGCAGATTGGGCTGAAGACGCCAGTGTGGGTGGCTGGAATGGCGGAACCTGTGCCGATGTGGGCAAATAGGGAGGTGCGGTGGCTCGTCTCCAAGGGCGCAGGTAATTTCTTTCAAATATGCATCGCTCACCATGTCGTGTAGCAATCTGCATCTAGATGACCCACTGCACATGCATCACTCCACAGCAGAGCGGCAGCTGCTGTGCCGCAATAGAGCGGCAAATGCTTCCTTGAGCTTGCACTGCTTAAGTTGATTGCAGTGCATGTTGCTTCATAAAGTAAAGTGTTCTTACCTGTGACGTTTCTGCTGTGGCTGTGCCACCAGGCACAATGAGCCCGACGGAGGCGGCGGAGATAGCGCTGCGGGTGCTGCACTCGCTGGCGCAGCTGCAGCCGGCTGTTGATGGTGAGGGCCACAGTCTGCAGCCGCTGCCCACCGTGCACCGCATCCTGGCCTCGCCCCAGTGCCTCCCCCATATTGCACAGGTCCTGATCCACCCCTCATCCTACCCTGCCAGTAAAAGAATTGCAGCATGTTGGCAATTCAGCTTATCCTCCAGACCCTCCAACAGTGATGCACAGATTAACAAGCGCCCCCCTTCGCGCATGCTACCATTCCGGAAAACTGTTACTAGCGAATTAGCTCCTCCTCTAGACTCCAACATGAAGCAGGCTCTTGTTTCTGACATGCTTCAGCTGGGGCTCCTGATGCCCCTTTGATGTTGGTGAGGATGGAGATACTCCCTTGCTAAGAGAAAAAGAAGAGAGCCTCTGACTGCTTTGCGTGATTTCATGACATCTTAAGAGGCAGACACATGCCTCTTCAGACCAGAGAGGCTCTGAGCAGCTCTTAGCAGCCTGCTCAGGACACAGACGGTTGCCTCACAGACATATGATAGTGTCCTGGGATTGGTTGTGGCACAGGTGGTGCTGAGTGGGGAGCCGGCGTTGGTGTCACTGGCGGTGATGCTGCTGGAGGTGGTCCTGGAGCACAACGGCCCTGCACTTGCATCCCTCTACCACACCGGTCTCTTCTTCTTCACCCTCGCCTACTGCGGCTCCAACCTGGTCGAGATCGGCCGCCTCTTCAAGGTGCCATTCATTTCCTGCCTGCCGCCTGCTCTGCTGTCTTGTCCCCACGAGTTTGGTAGTGCTGCCACTCGGCATGCACCAAAGGTGCCGCCTTTTAGCATTGTGCAATGTGTAAAACACCCAGTGACAAAACACAGATGTCTCACCCTTTCATGACTTGCAATGACCATGTGGTACGACTGTGTACCCAGTGACACACGTACCTATTTTTGTGAAGACTTTGAGAGGACTGCCTAGAGAGAAAAGATGATGTAACTCACGCCTGCAAGAGAAACCCATGTCAACGTCATCCTACACGCTGTGTTGTTTTGCTTGCAGGTGGCGCACCTGGGGCAGCATTTCAAGGGGGCGGCAGGCTTTGCGGCGGGGACGCCTCTAGGGCAGCGCTCGTTCCTGGGCGGCCTGCTGCCGGAGTCGCTGCTGCACATCCTGACCAGCTACGGCGCCGGCGCCTTCGCGGCCGCCCTCGTCGGCGACTCGGACACCCCCGAGCTCGTTTGGACTCACCGCATGCGCGCCCAGCGCCTTATCCCTCAGGTGTAATATTCTAAGACGATTCAGGAATTGGGCGCTCTTCAGGCCTTGAATGATTCCAAGGGGCGATTCTGAATACCCTGCGGAGATGGCCCCCCTCACAAGCAGTCTCTGGTACTTATCACGGACAGAAATGCCATCTCCCAGCCACATCCACGTCCACAGCTCAAAGTCTGCTACAATTTGCATCCCCACTTGTTGGTCATTCTGGGGGTGCACAAGTTCCAAGTCATCAGCATCTGTAAAGGGGAGCCACTATAACAAGCTCAGGGCCTGCAATAGTATAGTGCAGACATCTATACCTTGTGAGCAGTGCAGGATGTCAGAGAGATCTGTCATCTTCATGCATGCCTGGCTGCGCAGATGCACCAGCACCTGGGCAACTTCCCTCGGCGGCTGGCACAGCATGCGCACGCGGTGTACGAGTACGTGGCCTGCCCGCCGGTGGGCTACCCGGAGCTGCGCGAGGAGATGTGGTGCCACCGCTACTACCTGCGCAACCTCTGTGACGATCGCTTCTCCGACTGGCCCATCGTCGACCACATCCCCTTACTGCAGGCAGGAATCTCATCATGAGCAATGCGTAGCTCTGATCCTTGCTTTTCATAGCGCTACGATATCATTCTTTACCAGTAATCGAGCACTTGCTGGGCCTCACTGAGGCTGTAGATTCGCCTGCGGGTATGGAGAAGGATTTGAGCATCAGCTGGAGTTCCTTGCACCTACTTGTCGTTCCATCCAAGGTCTTCAACGTGCACCATGCTTGCATCACCCTTCGCATGCTCCACCTTCAGACCCAGATGAGATGATTCATGGGTGTGACAGGGCATATTCACACATTCATCACAGAATGCACAGTTCTAGCTGAGTTTTACTTTTTTTGCTGCTTCATGACTCGCTGCATGCGGCAGGCGCTGCTGGATGAGTGGAGAGCGGAGCTGGCGCGCAAGCCGCTGGGCATGAGCGAGGCTGAAGCCTGCACGCTGCTGGAGATCTCTACAGGGCCCAATGAAACATTAGACGAGGAGACGCTGAAGGGTGCGTACCGGCGGCTGGCACGCAAGTACCACCCGGACAAGAACCCGACCGGCCGCGAGCGCTTCATGGCGGTTCAGCGCGCGTACGAGCGGCTGCAGGCCGGCGCCGCCGCCGGGCAGGGGCCGCAGCCCTGGCGCCTGCTCCTCATCCTCAAGGTGTGTCTCGCACCTCTCACTGTTCCAACGTCCCGCTGAATGGGTCTCATCTGTCTTCCTGATGGCGCTCCCCATGTTCTTTGAAGCATCCATGAACTCATTAGGTAGTTTTGATATTCATTTTATGGTTGCGCCTCTTTTGTCCGGAATCCCATGTCTGCTGGTGCCATTGGCGCGCACCTGTGGCATGCCGCAGAATCGCGCAATGCCCTAGTGCAAGAACCTGTCAATTCACTACAGCATGATCATGTTGGGGACTGAGGGGACTGGTTGCTGCTGCTGTCTGGCCTGTGGTTTCTCCAGCCATGCTCACCCTTGCGCCATTTTGGAATAGCTTGCAATGTTGTGGGAGCATGCATGTCATCAAGTGTAATATGATAAGATGCTTGGTTGTGGGTTGCTGCAGGCGCAGTGCATCCTGTTCAGGCGCTACCCGGACGTGCTAGAGCCCTTCAAGTACGGCGGCTACCCCATGCTGCTGGGCGCGGTCACCCTCCCGGACGACGACACCGAAGACACCGGGCCCAAGCACTTCCTCGCCCCAGAAAAAGCTCCCCTGCTGCAGGCGAGCCCATCCTCACCGCTCCAATTTCTACCTGAGCCTGCTAAGCATATTTTGTAAAGGTCACCTGGTTTGTGAAGAACAGAGGAACATGACAACCATAGATTAATCACATAAGATTAGAGCAAAACAAAATAGCAATCTACTTTGGGTATGAGTGTAATTCAAGTGATTCGATTATTTTAAACTTATTTATTTTATTGCATCATGTTGTCAAAAGTCTCAAAATTAATTGACTTCATGAATCATAATCTGCAGGCTGCAGTGGAGCTGTGCTGGCTGACGTGCGTGTCGTCGGAGCTGAACGGGGGCGAGCTGACGCGGTCGGGCGGGGTGGATTCACTGGGGCGCCTCATGCAGCGCTGCCTGGACGTCCTGCCGCGCGACGCGGCGCCCACTCTGCCGGCCGTAGTCATCGCCATGCACTGCATGCGCACCTTTGCCGGCATGGCCTCCTTCCCAGACGCCCGCGAGCAGCTGCAGCACCGGTGCGCCAGCCAGATCCTGTTCAGATTGCAAAGGATCCAGGATTCACAGGTATTGTCCAAGAACACTAGGAAGGCGGGCCATGAAAGAGGGAGATGAAGTCTTGGTTTGCTGCCTGCCCAAAATGCCGCAAGAGCAGCGCTTCCCACGCACAGCTATGCCACTGCAAGAGCAGCTGTGTGACAAGTATCTTGAGCATACTGTTGGAAAGGTGGGATGATTGTTGAAGTATTGGTATGTTGGGGTGATTGTAGGGAAGCATTGGTGGCGGACATAGTGCAGAGCTGCGGCCTCGAGCGCGCGACGGGGGCCGTGGATGCAGCCCTGCAGTGCGTCATCCAGATGGCCGCCTCTCCGGCACTCCAGGTACTGCCAGTTCTTTTCTGGTTGAGCATCACAGACCCCATACTTCTGCATGTCTTTGCCAACTGCTGCATGTCAATGGACTGTAAGGTCCAGCTTGAATCGCTATGCCTGAAGGCACCAACTTAGAAAGGCAGCGATGCAGAAACAAGCCTACCTCACTTGTATGAATCTGTGAAGGGAGCGTTGTTAATCATGGCTGTTGACCATGGCTGTGGCATGTCTGCGCACAGGAGCTAATGCTGAAGGTGGGCGTGCTGGGATACGTGGTGCCGCTGCTCTTCAACTTCGATGCCACCCATGAGGGGGACTCGGCTGCACCATCCACGGAGGCATCCGCGGTAGCCGCCCTTGCTAACAGCGGCGGCGACGGCGCAGAGGCAACCGCCTCCAGAGACACCGGGCCTGCCTTCCTGGGCCTGGGCACCGAGAGGTCGAACATGCAGGTGCAGGCCCCACTCAATTCCTGCCTGGAGTGCAGTGGCCCTTTGTGTGGCACTTCGCACAATCTCCGCTCATGATAGTGTGCACCAGGATCTGGTGCACCAAGGCTCCGAACAAGATATGAGCCCTGGCTTGCCTTGCATACACAAGACAAGCGGCGGCTGATGCCTAAGCAAGAGACCTTCATGGAATGTGATATGACATGTGACATTATGATCCAGTTGATATGGCTGATGAAGCATCTGTGATGATCCATCTATCGTGATTGCTGATGCTTGATGATGATTGTGATAAGATTTGGTTGAACAAATGCAGGCGGCGCGCAACTACCATGCCATGCTGGCGGCGCGCGCGTTGGGCCGGCTGGCGGGGCTGCTGCAGGGGGCGCTGGCGTCGGCGCCATGCCCGGCCGCGCGCGAGGCGCTGTCGGTGCTGCTCACGCCCGCGCTGGCCGCCCAGCTGGCCAACCCGGACCCGAAGCCGCTGCTCATGCACCTCAACTCCTCCCTGCTCAATCCCCAGGCACGCTGGATAGAGTGTCTGCAAACGCGTGACTTCTGCTTTAACAATATTCAGGACCTAGTAGATGGCTGGCCAAGTATTTCTGATATAGATCTCCCAGAGACCCAGTCCATGGTCGGCTAGCTTTAGCTGTACAGTTTCAGCCCTGCTTTACGTACTTCTCAACTGGGCATTAGGAATTGCTGTATTGGAATTTTACCCTGCAGTATCTTGTCCTCCAGGAACCAGGACACAAGCGGATCTTTTAGATGTGTGGGGGATGGAAAACCAAAGAGAACAGGATGCCATGTTGGTGTGGAAGGACAGGTCGGCGTGGTTGGTATGATTGAGGGCCTACCATGCATGTGCAGGTGGTGTGGAACAACAAGATGCGCGAGGAGGTGCTTACACAGATGGAGGCAGCCCGCGCCGACCCGGACAAGGCCGGCACCGCCCAAGGCTTCCGCTTTGAGGCCCTGCAGGTGACTCATCTTTGCTTGTCGCACAACTATGCCTGGTTGCTGCGTCATGAGTAGCATGTGTCATAAGTAGGAAATCTATCTGGGCAAGCCTGTCATCTGTGATCATCACAACAAAGGTCGAAGGCAGGGTATTTACTGCACAGGGCGAGCTGGTGGTTGCAAACGTGTTCGTGCGGGTGTACAACGAGCAGCCAACTTTCCCTGTGTCGGACCCAGCCTCCTTCTGCAAGGGCCTCGTCTCCTACCTCCACATGCAAGCGCAGTCGGCCTGGTTCAAGGACGCCTCACCCGCCGCTGCGACGCCGAAGGGTGCGGGAGCATTCATGTTCACTGCAAGCCTGTGCAAGCTCAACCCCTGCACTCTCTGTTCATCACTGGTTCTCACAATGCGCCTTTATTTGTAACCCCAACCCATTTGTCCCTGCAAAGCTTCTGTCTGGTTTGCTTGATTGCACAGCGCTTTCTACTGTCTTCTCTGGCTCAGCATGAATTGGATTCGTAATGAAGAGAAATGGTAATTGTATAGCAAGTGGTAGAGCGGGTTCTGAAATTTGCAGGCGAGGCAGAGGAGGGTATCCGGCGGGAGAGGGCGCACATGAGCGAGGCGGTGCAGGCGCTGCGGAACATCCTGGAAGCTCAGCCGCGCCTGGCAGCGCTCATGGCCTCACAGCCCGCCCTCGCACCCATCCTCAACTGCATCGACCCCATCTGCAGGTCCCTTTTTGCTCCCTACGCTCTCTTACGATACGCCTTACAATTTGCAAATTCCTAGCTGTTGCTGTGATTTTTCATTACTTCTGATGCCTTGCTGATTGGTTGCGTTAGCTCCTCCCACACATGCTGCAATCCTTGCTACACGTAGGAGTTGTTCATATGTGTCAATTTATGTACGTCTTGCAAGGCTGATGGGCTGGCGCCTTGGGTGCAGGCGGCTGCACCAGTTGGAGGCTGAAGGGTTGGGAGGCGAGCACGCGGCGGCTGCTGCGGCCGCAAGGGCGTCCCCCGAGGCGGCTTCTGAGGCGGACATAGCTGCCCTCGCCCTGGCCGTGCTTGTCCGTCTCACTGCGCAGTCAGGTGAGTTGACGTTGCTCATGCAAAGCTATAACATCATCTCACCGCTGTTATAACAATAAATTGCCGTGCTGGCTTGTGGTGTTGAACATCAGAGTCGATCTTCAGACTGCTGCAATGTCTCATTGTTCGCGAGTGAAAGCCTTGGTGGCTCAGCCAAGGAAAGCAGCATTTTGGCTTACTAGATGTTCCTCATGATAGGAGAGATGCAGCGATGCACGGCAGCGGTAGCGCATGCGGGAGGCTCCACATACAGAAGTAGCGAGCTAAGATGCGTTGCATTTCGCACACAGGCTGCGTGGAGGCGCTGGCGAGCGAGAGGGCGCTGCTGCTGGCGTTCTGGGTGGTGCACCGGCCGCCCTCCTCCACCGCGCTGGCCCTTGCGCTGCGCCTGCTGCACGCCCTGGCCGCCACCCCCGCCGCCGCCTGGTCCGCCGCCGCGCAGGGCGGCGCTGCCTACCTGCTCACCGTCCTGCTGCCCACCACGCCCCCATCCGCTGCCGAGCTGGTCCGTCCCTGACTCACAGCAGCAAACAGACTCGCTGGCATAATTGGTGTTGTTAATGATCAAGTTGCCTCTCGGGTGGCAGGAAAATGTGGGCGCTCTGTCAATGACATATTGGCAGTGTGAGGGCATTCGTAGCTCTGCTGCTATTTGTCCACCAGAATGCGCTGGCACATTGTTGAAGATAGCCTGGCAGTAAACTAGAGGGCCTATAAGGTAACTGCAACCCTTCTGCTGCAACTTCTGCCTAGAAGATAAGAGTTGATGGGTCGATTGAATGCAGGAGGCGAGCGAGACGGTGCGTGCGGCAGTTGCGACGTTGCTGGGGCAGCTCATGGGGCAACCCCTGCACGGGCCGCGCGTCACCCTGCTGCTGTCTCGCCTGCTGCCTCCCGGCCTTGTCGCTGCCATCCAGGTAACTCTCTTTGACTTTTCAGATCACCCTGCATTCTCACATAACACCTGCAGATTAATTTGTAATGCTCAGATTACGCACTTGTAGTACGCAAGGCTGAGTCTCTAAACGCTACAAAGAGCATTGTAAGGAACGGCAGGAGCAATCTCCACAGCTCGCAAGGAAGATGCGTTTGATAGATTTTGCTGCATTGTCAGATAATGCAACTGGCACCGGTCTTGACAGTATGTGTGCTGTGCGCAGGAGGGTCCTGGTGAGTCGGCAGTGGCGGCACTGGGGCACGCATCGGAGACGCCGGAGCGGCTGTGGAACATGAGCATGGCCATGACCACCGCCGACGAGCTGGCCGCCCTGGCCGCCTCTGCGCGCCGGTCCCAGGTGCTTCTCCCTATCTTTCTGATGTCCTTCCTTGGTCTGAGTCTCTTTCTCTCTATATCTCTCTACTTACACCATTTTGTCAATCTCTCACCCCCTCAACACTAGTTGCTGGGGCCCTTGGTTTCGTTTGAGCTGTGGCTGCACAGAGTCTCGCCTTTGATCTGTTTGGAGGCATGAAAAGAAGGGGGCACGCTAGCATGGGGGTCTCAATATAAAGAATACAAGGCCGTGAGAGCATGGGGTGGGGACTGGTGCAGGCGGGCGGCAGGCTGGACTGGGTGCCTCCGGAGGGATTCCGCATCCAGTTTGAGGGCGAGCAGGCCGAGCTCTTCGTCGGCGGCGTCTATGTGCGCCTGTTCCTCAAGAACTCCCAGTTCCCCCTGCGGCACCCCAAGGTGTGCGACGTTCCCCACGCTCCACTCTGCACCTGCTTGGACTCACACTTGGACTTGTCATATTGGACCGGTATATGCCAATCAGCTTGCATGGTCTTCTGTTGGAACCCATCTGCATGACCATCCATTCCTTAGCACATGGGTGGATCATATTGGACCAAGTTAGAGGCCGCGTTAAGGCCCATTTAGGCCAGTTTTCCAGACTCTGGTGGTGAGCTCTACGCATGCAGTGGTTTTGTGGTTCAAACAAGTAAAACCGGTGCTGAAGGGCTCTAAGCGTAAAATGTACCGCAGAGGTTCCTGGAGGGCTTGCTGGAGGCGTACGCAGCAGACGTGGATGCGCACAACGCGGAGCGTGCGGTGCTACTGGCGGCGGCTGGTGTGGAGCTGCTGCGCGTGCACTCGCTGCTGGCCGATCACGCCGTCGCGCTCGGCGCCGCCGACAAGCTGCTCAGGATCCTGGCCGCCAACGCCCCCCAAGGTGCACATCTGTTAGTACACTGCTTTATGACATTTTGCATGTCACAATTTGTATCACACTGATGTGCGTTCACGTAGCACTGTGCAATGTGCTCTCCAAGCTGCTCTCAGAGTGTATGCTGTCTGCAACACCCAATTCGCAGCCCAGTCGTTAGCCAATGGTCAGCAGCGTGTGCACATTGTTTAGTTCCCCAGAAAAGGAGGGCGCCAGTGTATGCGTATGTTCAAGCAACGGTGTTGCTGCCAAGCAGGGGAGGAGGGCGGCGGCGGGAGGCGGCCGACGGCGGCGCACGAGCTGGGCGGGTCGGCGCTGCGGCTGCTGCACCAGCTGGCGCATGCGACCACGGCCGCGGAGGCAGTGTCACGCGCATCCACCCCGGCCGTGCCCACCCTGCTGGCCGCCACCAGGTGGGCTAACCCCAGATCATCTCAGTCATTCTTGCCACCAAGCATTCCCCAGCCACGTCGCTGTCATTGCACAATGCTCAAGCTGCATACACTGCTCAAAGCATGTTGCATGTGGTGCAATGAGCTTCACAAATTGCAGAAGTTTTCTGGTGATATACAAGGTTGCGAGGGGTCTACAAGATTGTCAAGATGCGGAATGACAATATTGTTTGAAGTCATCACACGATGGCATTGTCAACCCATGCCTATGAATTGACAGGGGTGAGGATGGGGCGTGCAGGTGGGGCCTGGCGGGCAGCATACTGGCGCTGGAGACGCTGAAGCTGGCGCTATCAGTGGACAACCGCGCGCGTGACTCCCTCGTCGGTGCCGCGCTGGCCGCTGGCCTGCTGCCGCGGCTGCTAGCCAAGCTGGACTGGCGCAAGGACGCGCGCCCCGGCGGCTTCGGCGAAGAGGAGGTGTGCTTCTGGGCCCCTTCTGCCTCGACGATCATTGGCTGACTGATCCACAGATTGGCACATCAAGGCAGTCATAATATAATTGCATGATGCATATAGGTCAATCTGATTGTGTGCTGCTGCCCCATGCCATTTTCTTGCCGCAAGTTGAGAGGAATCAGCGGCCTATTCGGCAGGAGGAAGCATACCACAAAGCTGTCAATCCGCGTACAGGCACTGCCTTGCATGGAGAAATATTAATACTGGTACCCAGAGGATCTGGCAGTGCGCTCCAGCTCCGACGCGCTAGCTATCTTCCTATCTTACAGTTAATTTATGTGGCAGGAGCGGGCGGAGTCAATGGAGCGGGTGCTGGCGGTGGAGCTGCTGCACCTGCTGGCGGCGGAGGGCGCGTACGGCGCACAGGTGGCCGCCCAGCTGGACGCCAGCGAGGTGTGGCACGCCTACCGCGACCAGAAGCACGACCTCTTCCTGCCCGCTGGCGGCACGGCGCAGGTTCGCACACCACACCCCATATTCATCCGCACTTGCCACCCTTGCACTGCACTGCCATGCCAATTCTATTCCATCTGACTTTTACAGATGCGGGCTGTCTCACAGCTTCAGTGGCAGTGTCGATAAGTAGCTGCACACCTGTCCTTGCTGCACATGCATGGGCAGACTCTAAAGGTCGCTTCATCTTTTAAGTAAGAACAGCTTACCTACCTGAGGCTGTGTTGCATGTGGTGCATGCATATTGACAGCGGCCTGTGATGTGTGCAGGGAGGGGTGTTTGGGCTGCTGACGGGGAGCCAGGTTGCCCGCTTCGCGCTGCCGGCTCCGGAGCCGCCGCCGGAGGCAACGCCCATGACAGCGCCTGCTCCCCCAGCGGCCACTCTCGCACCCGCTACTCCACCCGCTCCCATGGCTGAGGACGCCAGCCGTGCATCTCAAGAGCAGGCACCGCAGGCGCCGCCTGCGCCACTAGCTTCGTACACGCCTGTAGAGCAAGGCGGAGGCCCAATTGTTGCTGAGAGGAGCCAAGCGGAGTCACCCAGCAGGCAAGCAGGCGGAGAGGGCAGTAGTGCTGCTCCCGCCCAAGTCTCTGAGGAGCCGCCACAAGCAGGCGGCGCTAGGCAGCAGCCAGACAACGCCTCAGTGCTGGCGCAGAGTTTGCCAGGTGATCTGCAAGCGCCTGAGCTGGCTCCTGCCTCAGCAAGCAGCCTTGAAGAGCCGCCCTCGGAGGAGGCCAGCGCAGCAAAGCCTGCAGAGCTAGGTGCTGCGGCTGCATCCCTGGCTGAGCAGGAGATCAGCCCTCCCTTGCCGGCTGCTTTAGAGAAGCCGCAACATTGCAGCGCAGCTGCAGCCATGCCTGATGCAGAAGTGCACCCAGAAGCTGGGGCAGAGCAGGTGGCTGTTGCCCCAGTAACCAGCAGTGTGAGCTCGCCGGGGACAGCTGGTGAAGCAAGGGAGGAAGCAGCAGCAGCAGCGTCGCCTGCCACACGGGAGCCGCCAGAAATCATGATGGATGAGGATGCCGCGCCACCTCAGCCTGATGCTGCCGAGCAACACCCCAGCGATCTAATTGAGCCTGCTGAGGGCAGCAAAGATGCACCAGCACCCAGTAGCGACGCCATAGATACTCACCCCATAGAGACCTTGCCAGCGGCACCGGGTGGAAAAAAATCGACAGAGAATGGAGACACCTCAGCCATGCGTGCACCTGGCGAGCGGCTGGACAGTAATGGCGACGCCTCACCAGCAGAGGGAGACCATCTGCAGATCACACAGGAGCCAGGTGCACAGGCAGAAAGCACTGCTCGCCAGGAGAGCGCTGCAGAAGCGGCCCCTGCTGCTTCAAAAGTACCGGCAAGCCAGGCCTCGGCGGACGTCACGCCTGCAGCTGCCCATGGCTCGAGCACAGCAGGCACGACAGCTGAGGCGTCCTCAGCCCCTACACCACCAAGGCAGGAGGAGCAGCAAATAGCGCCCTTGGGAGAGTCGGCGTCACAGCAGGTTGCAACTCCTGCGCAAGCAGCTGTGCACTCGAGAAAAGCTGCCCCAGCGTTAGAAGCTGCTCAGCCCAGGCCAGCTGCCAATGAGGCTGTGCCAACCCCACCCGCCGTGCGGGCATCAGCAGAGGCTGCAAACGCCACGCCACTGCCGCCGTCCAGAGCAGCAAGCCGGGCCTTTGAGGCCAAGCCGGTTACAGCGCCTTCGGTGGCCCCTGCCAAGAGCCCAGCCGTGCCAAAGCCGGCCCCGCAGCCGCTGCCGCAGCCGAAGGCGGCGCAACCGCGACCGCCATCTGCAGCCGCCTCTCCCGCCCAGCCTCCAGACAACGCACCGCCTGCTCCGAGATCCGCGCCGCGCGCAGCAGCAGATCCGCTGCAGGCGCTGCTGGGCGCATCGCAGCTGGGGCCGCAAGCAGCCGCCACAGCCGCAGCGTCGCCCCTGCGGAGCGTCAAGTCCCCTCCGCAGGTGGCGGGGGCGCAGCCACTCACGCGCGCGCCATCTGGCCGCAGTCAGCCGCTGCCGGCGCCCCGAGCGCCCCGGCTTGTGCAGCCGCCAGCGCAGCGCGCGCTCGTGACGCCGATGTCGGTCAAGCCGGGGGCCCAGAGCAAAGACAAGAAGTCCCCCACCGCTTCCGACGGGCAGTTGGTCAGAAACAAGGTGGAGTTCAACCCTCTCGGGTGACCAAGTTCAGAAAAGTGCAGAATGGGATGCAAGCCGCGCTGCTCTGGGAGATGATAGCCATTGTCACTGTGTCAGAATTAATAGTTGTCTTTGATTTGGTTTTCAACCTTAGATCTGTATGTAGCTTGTTCCGGTAGCTAGTTGGGTCCACTGAAAATACATGCACATTTTGTAGGCCTGTACCACTAGATATCTGTCAGAATGTGCAATGTAGCTGTTTGCTAGAGTAGGCATGATGCCCATCCCGGGATGTGTCAGAATTCTTATGGCTGGCCAGCTGGTAGGAATGTATACCATTGCGGCTGGAGTACCAGCTGGTAATATTAATGCCACTTGGCAATACTGCAAGCAGCATCATGCTGATGATCAGGAGGTAAAGAATGAGGCCCGGAGTACAATTATCCCAGAAACCCCGGACAAAGGTCAGAGTCTAGGCTCAGGTCTAGTTCAATCTTCATTACCCCGGTGATTTCATATCAGCGCCTGGGCACCACCGGTCTCCGTATATGGTATCGGTCGTACCGGCTGCGCGCATCATGCATGCCGGCGGCCGCACATAGCAATGCATTCATATGTATATGTCATTTGCTACATGCAAAGCGCATGTCACGACACAAGGGCACACCTCAGGGTCGGTTCGCTGCATAATCCAGCAACCGGCATATTCAAAATTCTGAAGCTGACGTCCCTGTACCCTTGAGAGGCAGCTGCGCGTTCAGCTTCCGTGCGTCCGTCAAGAAGGGAATGGATTGACTGCTTTGCGGCTGTTTTGGACGCTATTCGCGGCCTAGATATGCTGCAATGTTGACACCTGCATCCCTGTTGTTTGTTAGTCTGTGCTGTGTGCTCTGCGTCACTGCACAGACGCCAGATCAACCCACACAAACGCAGACAACCGTGCTGCCGAATGGCCAGACAATAATCATCAATACGTTCCTGAATAATACAAATACCAATGCGAATGCTAATTCCAATCAGAACAGCAATGCAAAACCAAATACGAACGTCAACACGAACACCAACACTAACAGCAACGCAAACTCAAAAAACAACAGCAACAATCGGATTTCTTACACAAATGGGAACACTAGTGGAGGCTCATACTCGCCCTACTATTCAGGTATGCTGTCATAGCCTGAACGACCAATGATCATGTGAACGTTGCAGGTACGTCTTGCGTTTCTCCCTGTTCTGATGCTCCTGACTTGTGCCAACAGGGGGGGCTCGAAACAGGTGCAATCTGGTGCAGAACACCAACTACAAGGGCGACTTGATCCGAACAGTGACCACTGCCACCGCGGCAGATTGCTGTGGCATTTGCTTTGCACAGAACAACTGCAGTGTCTTTGTGTTCTGTGCAAGAACTTCTGGGTGTCGGAACGCCAACATCAATGTCTTCCCATACCAGTCATGTTCCCTCAAAAGCCTGCCAGGGATTGCATCAGGAGGGGCTATAGAGTCCTGGGCCAGTGGTCAGGGTGTGGAGTTCATCTCCGGCAGTGTTAATTAGAGTGGCGCCCTCAGGAGCAGTCCGGTGTACTATGTAGATGCAATTTACAAAATTGAATAAGACATGCAGAGGTCAGCACTGAGTTGTTTCATGATAGGTGAATAATCCTTTAAAGATTGTGAGTGCCATTGCTGCTTTGCTGAGGGCTAGCAAATTAGCCAGGTGCCCTTTCATGGTCCACCACCATTGAGATGTAGACAGCACCATGAGATCCTCATTACACAGAAATCCCACTTGCTTCGTTACTAATGCGGGTATAAGCAACACTCGTGCACTTGTACAGTGCCGAAGATGTGGCTGGTATTTGTCGTGCAGAGCTCTGCTAACTTGTCATTATATCATGTAGTATGATTTATATGAACTCCATGTGGACCTCGAGCACATCCAGGTCAAGAATCTTAGCAGATTCTTCACAGCCCACAAGAGAAGCAAGGTTGGGAGTGGTGCGGCCGTCGTCAGAATGCACAAACTCCTTTATGTACGTGCCAGCCTGCACATCACACAGCTTCTGGCAGACCCATCAGGACGCTGCCTGCCATTCCTGAAACAAATTAAGAGAGAAGGGAGAATGTAAAGCATTGATTGACTGCACTGTACGATACGATACGACAAGGATACATTTGCGCAGCCCCTCAGCCCAGATAGAAGAGAGAATATCTTTAAAAAGTGGTCAGAAAGGCCACCTGAGTGCGCAGGCGCAGAACCAAGCTATGGGGATCGCCTTCCACAGGCTCTGCACTCATTGAGTAGATGGTCTTCTCTCGCACCTGTCATGCGCAGAAGCTCACTAAAAACCACCACATGCAGCCCAGCAATTTCAGCCCACACAATACGATTCCTCAGGCAGTCAAGCACACAGTCAGCAAACAGTCAAGCGCTTAAAAGGTGGTCAAGTTCAGTCACGCAGGAGGGGGCCCCACCAGCATGGCTCGCCTGTGCTCCACACGCGTAGGTGTGCGCTGCTGCAGCACGAGGTTCTCGCTCGAGTTGATGTTTTCCAGGATGGCGGGCGTTACTGGGCAGGGCAACCAGCATGTGGCCAGATAGGACTTCTGCTTCTCTTGCTCGCCCGCCTGCACAGCTCTCAGGCTCTTGGTATGCTCTTGGTGTTTACACAACAACCTGCTAATGCCTCTTTGGGATTACACATTGGGAGATCAGCATACTGGGAGTGCCTTCTTTCTACGAGAAAGACCAGCAAGCATAAGGGCAGCAGAGAGAGCTTGGTGCATGCAATTGCGCGCATGCTATTCCATCCAGCAGTCGCACCTTGATGAGCTTCAGAACGTCCTTGTCGACCGGCTGCAGCTTCCTGACCTCCACTCCAACGCCGGACTGATTCAGGCTGTCTGCCATCTGCTCGAAGCACTCCAAGGCAGGCATCGCTGCCCGTGCATTGGCGATCTCCAGCACAAAGGGCCGCCCGCTGCCAAGCATCCTCACATTCATGTCTTCTCGGCCTGCCAGACACAAGAGTTCCTCCAGGGCGGCATGATCATTTTGTACAAGATTTGCCATGGGACTTCGACTAGAAAAAGTCAGGTTGAAGGAGGTAGAGCAACATTTCACAGCAGGTCCTTGCGAACGTCTTCTGCATTATATCCTTGCAGAGCAGTGGGGTGGGAGGATTGAGCAAGGTAGCAACCTGCAGAGATGAACTTGGACCCGTCGCAGCGCAGGTGAGGCAGCACGACCCTCTCAACCTCCTCCTGGATGCTCGTCCGGCCCTTGCGCATCCCGTCTATGACAAACGGCGTGTGGCTGATGTCCCTGCAGAACAGCAGTCCAACTCATCTCAGTCTGTGTACGTCATCTGCATGCATGGTATAACGAGACCTTATGGTCGAATGATTACATGCAAAGTGCAAAAAGTGTCAGTTTGAGCTGCTCGCCTTTGCAGCTTCAGGTAGTAGCCTCCAACATACACTGCCTCCCTCCTTGGCCGCACAAAGACAGACGCAGGCTGTGCAGGAGGGAGCGGTGGGATCCTGACTTCCTGGCCAAACTTCAACTCCATCATCTTGGCAGCCGCCTGTGCCAGGGCCTCCGACGCAGACCTGCCTGCCACAGGATAGCGACATTTCATACTATGAAGTTAAAGTGCTGTGATTCTACGCTGTGCAATACACAAATCAAGTCACGTTGAATGCAGTGTTTTGCTGCTACAGCTGGTGTCACGGTGCAGGTCACATACCCAGCTGCACAGGCGCGGCGCCTCGCTTCCTCTTTGCCCCTCGCCCCTTGCCATTGCTGCCAAACAAGAAGTCTGCCTCTGTGGCAGTAGCCGGGTGCGCAAAGGTGAGCCCGATCCGCAAATCAGCCTCTGAGCGCATTCAAATTTCAGTCAGGCCCATCTTGTACATGCAGTTAGCAGCTTTTCTTCTTCATACTCCCTCCACACCTTGCAACGAGTAGTAGACTGTTTGTTTCAATTGTGCCGTCATGGACCAGTGGCAGGCCAGAGCCACAGTTGCACCCGTATTGGGATATTGCCCAAGAGTGCTGCGCTAGCTAAACTAAATGGTCCATTCCTCAAAGCAGCTGGCTCGCCTGGGTCCTGCCGGCAGCGCAGCTCTTGTGCAAAGGGCCCCCCGAGAGTATGGCGCAGCGCCGTCTTCAGGTCCACCACATCGACAGACGGCGAGTGTCCCGGTAGCGCTGGCAGCACGGCGGCGTCCCTGCGCAGCCAGTGCCAGACGGCCTGCTGCCGCACCTGCGCCGCGCCCGGCAGCGACACATCCAGCCAGAAACTACTGAACTCGTGGCCCTCCTGCCTGCGCACCAAACGACAACCCATAATGACTAAATGAGTGCTCCTGGGGACATGGCGGCGGCTCGCTTTACTACATGACCAAGGCAACAGGGGTGTGTTTGGCTAAGAATGTTTACACCATGCATGCAGGGCTCTGCAGAGGACACTGCATGCAGCTGATGGCGGCTCATGCGGCTGCCTCACCTGACAGCTTCGGCAATCGCGGCAACAGAGGCTGTTGTGACCGGGACCCACGGCTGAGGGCTGCCGCTTGCGTGCTGCACTGCTGTGGTCAAGTCGCTGCTGGGTGCGGGAAGCGCCGCTCCATCTGTGCACTGCAGTGCTCCCAGACACACCGGGCACGCCTGTGCGCCTGCATCAGCCTGGGCTCCTGTCCCCTCTGCTCCCAGCAAGACCCACCATCAGTTATATGCAAGGAAACTTCAACACAGCAGAGAGCAGCAGCCGTTCTTTAAGCTTGTCCAGTCCAATGTACCATGCCTCTGGTCTTGCCTGTGGACGACGGATTGCTTGCTTCCTGCGCGCTGGCATGCAAAGCTGACACAGCTGCCTGCAGGTCCCGGATCCTGGGTGCGGGAAGTGCATAGATCTCGCCAGATACACCCGCAAAACGAAGACAGCACCGCGCACACACCTACATAGACATCTGAATTGCTCAGCGGCAGGGTTGTGGCCAAGCTCGGTGCTTGCCATGGGTATCCTTTGAACTTACTTGGATCTGTAGCAGCTTTTCGAGGATCTGCAAACATGCCGTCCCTCCTTTCTGGGTCACTGCTTGTATGTAATTGTCCACAGTACCTGACGCAAGAAATTGTCGAGTCTCAGATCAATTACTCAGATAGGCACTGAACGAAATAATTATTGGAAGAGGAACATTTCTTCAGCGTACAAGATTACCATCGTTACTATTATTGGTGGTGTTCATAGCAGATCAGTCCCCAGATCAACCTCAAGTAATTTTATAGGAATCGATCCCTGCACTGATATCCTTTGTTGATCAACAAGAATAATATGTTCCCGCAATTAATTATGTGGAAATGGACCCGTCTTCAGCATAATTACTTGTCTCTGTGCACGTGCCTTCACGTGAACATGCACGTGATATGACAAGTCTTGTGTCTCTGGGCTTCTGCGTTTGCATAACCTCTTCCGTGCTTTATTCAAACTGCTGGATGTTGTACTGTGCGACTAGGTCAACAGCCATCCCGAACAGGCAGTGACGAGATATCCTCAATGGGAGGGCACCCGTTAGGAAGGTTGGAAATAAGCACCACGATGTAATCTCTGATGACGTACAGACTAGTGTGAGTATCCCTTTTATGTGGAGAACAATCTTAAATTAAGCTCTGCACATCAACGTAGAGCACAGGATAAAAACAGACATACTGTCCAAGAATGGATTTGATGTGACTGCGTCGAAAATACAAGCCAAAAAAATAGTCCTTTAGACAGCCTCTCGCTTATTTTATCGCAGTGATACTATCACTCTATTGAATTTCACTTGATCGACCAGAAAGGTTGCAAAAATTCATCTGGTCTTGGTCATCTCACAATACAACAGGCGCGAGAGACAATACAGCAGGGATGTTCCTTGATGTGGAGTCAAGAGTAGCATGCAATGGGAAGGAGGCAGGAGGCTCGCCTTTGGTTGAGGCTGATTGTTCTCTCCTTGGTCAACCTCCCACACCTGAATTCGGCAGCAACATTCCTGAGGGCCTTCATTATGACCCAGCTGAGCAGGTGCGGATCATGAAACAATTCAATTGCAACACTTGAGTTTCACTTGCGACTTACTTTGGCTGGCAAGCAGGTGTATGTACCGGGGGAGAGCGGCTTTTTCCATTCGCTGTTCAACTCCATCAATATTATGTGTGGCGTGGGCCTTTTAGCAACACCCTACGCTATTGCGCAGATGGGCTGGATCAGCTTGCTGCTTCTTATTGTTCTAGGTGCGGCTCTCAGTCCATATTCGTCATCATTAACTGGGATTACAAAGGGTCTTGCCGCTCTTCACCGTAAGAATTTGTGGCATGCAGGTTGTATATTTTTGTACACTGGAAAGCTGCTCGGCAGATGCATGTCCAAGGCACCATGGATCCTGACGTACCCCGATATTGGGGAGTATGCGTTTGGCAGAAAGGGGCGAGTGTTCGTTGCTATCCTGCTCTATGCTGAGCTGTACCTCAGGTCTGACCCAACTGCACCTCGAAAAGGGCTGGGTGCGGTAATTTGTCAGCTGCATACTGGTATCCTATCTTATTTGAGCCGTGTCATTCTGCAGTGCTGTGGAGTTTCTGATCATGGAGGGGGACAATCTGTCAGCTCTGGCCCCAAACTTTAAGCCTTTTGGCGGAATCTTTGGGTCAGCAAAGCAGTCATGGGTGCTGGTGGCGGCAGCCCTGATGCTGCCCACGGTCTACCTGCGAAACTTCAGCCTGCTCGCCTACTTATCAGCAGCTGGAGTCTTCACGGCTTTTTCCCTGACTGGCCTCGTTGGCTGGGAAGGTTTTTCTCTTGGTGTGTTTGTTGGCAACACCTCTTGTCGTCTGCTGAAGCTTGTGTCTACCAACTTTTGCCACATGTGAGCCAGTCACACTGTGAGCGTTCCATATCATAAGCTGCTGAACAAATACCTGATCGCTACTGTCCACATTTGCAGGCTTCCCACACACGGATGCACCAATTCTTCGTGGCAGGGGCGTCCCTCTTTCGATCGGGCTTCTGTCCTACATCTATGGGGGCCACAGCTTGTTCCCATCGCTCTACACTGCCATGAAGAACCCGAAGCAGTACCCCAGAGTGCTGGACTTCACCTTTGCCATCGTTTGTTCCTTGTATGCCGCCATGGCTGTGCTTGGCTACCTGGCCTTTGGCGATGATGTGGAGTACGCCCTCATTTGCTCTCGCCGTCTTTGCATGTATTGATCAGAACACTTCCGACATTTCACGGTAGCATGTACCTATCTACCTATTTAGGACTCTTATCTGGCAGATGCTACTCCGCCTTATGTGATGGGAGGCTGACCCTCTTTGCGTGTGGACAGGAGCAATGTTACGCTCAGCATGCAGCACAGAGTTGCTCATGCAATCCCAACCCATCTGGCCACATGGATCACCATTCTGTCTCCGTTCACAAAGGTGTGGCACTTTCCACAGGCAATTTGGGCATTTCAAATGCACATGCATTTCTTGGCATGTATAGTGATATCAGCCGTGTATGTTTTGTGATGCAGTATGCCCTGGTTCTGGCTCCCATAGCCTCCGCTATTGAGGAGGTGCTGCCTGCCACTGCCTCTACTGTACAATACAAGCCCTTGCCTGGGGAACCAGATGAAGCACGAACCCTCCAAAGGTGCTTCTTGCTTTCCAACAATGGCAAGCAAATCCACCCTGCGTGATACTGCACTGCTGTCTCTGCTGCACAGGCACTGGTCTAAGTATGAGAATGGTGGTTCCCGGCATGATTGCAACTGTGCTGTGGTCATTGGCAGGGCACCTAAAAGTGGACCTGCAGCACTTGCTGTGTCTTTGGTGGTCAGAACGGCACTGGTTGCCAGCACTGTTGTTATTGCCTTGTCGCTGCCATTCTTTGCCTACATGGCTGCCCTTATTGGGGGTCTCTTCGGGCTGTCGGTCTGTGTGGTCGTCCCAGCGCTCTTTTTTCTGCAAATGTCAAACGGGTGAGTGATGTTTCTCGAGACGATTTCATTGTTCTCTGTTTGATTTTGCATGCGAAAGTGACTGGTTTAAAACTGAACTCAAGTGTCTGTGCATGCTGCAGGCACATCAGCCGCTCAGAATATCTAGTAGTTGTTGCAATTGTAGTTGTGGGCATTATTTTGTCAGCAATTGGGACCACCAATGCAGTGATGAGCATGCTGCACGACCTCAAAAACTAAATAACCGTGATCGCATGCGGAAACTTTGCTGATCATGACTGTCATAAGCATCAAGAGTACAGATTTCAGGGAATTTTGATGTTCGCGATTAATGCAAATAAGAGCAGGATCCCTTTTTCCATGGAGGTGTTGGCCAAATTAGGAGATATGTCCTCTACTCTCCAAATGTACATCGCTAAAGTATGCCAAATTCTTGACCTTGCATCAATGGGGACGTTAAAGACAGTTTATTGAGTAGGTTCAGTTTTGGGTGCTCATGATAAAAGAAGCTTTAAAGAAATTCTCTTGCCTAATCCTCCAGTCACTTCAAGGCACTGGCCAGAGTCAGATACATTTGACATGCCCTATGAGCGCGCTGCGGTCCAAATTCAGATGCTGGACATGACTTTGCTTGTGCAAGGCTTTTTGTGTACTGTAAAAATTCCACAGATCTGGCAGTCAGTAAGCTGCACATGAAATGCTCGCCTTGACAAGCGCCATCTCACTAATAATAAATTTGGCGGCACTCCTGAAGTAAAGTCTGATAATTGAACCATCCAGGAATGATGTAGACACTTGATTGAATCCTAATAGACGCCCTAATTCGCATCACTTTGCTAGGTTTGCAGCAGGGGTGATATAGGGCTTCAGGCGCGACCGCAGCACCAGCTGCACATCGCTGTCCGCGCTGGCCTTGGGCAGGTTCACAAAGCCGCGGCACGTGGCCGCCCCGCAGTTGCATGGCAGCTGCTCCTCCCCGGAGAACCTGCGCGCCCACCCCGCCACTTGCTCACCTGTCTTGTAATCCACTGGACCCTGAGGTGCCAGCTTGACCTGCCAAATTTGCCTGCCTTCTGCCAAGCCAAATGTACACAATGCAGCACTGTTGTGATCACACAATCAGACCCGTGAGAGCCCAAGCTCTGTCAAGCAGGGCATAAAGAAAATGGTTCCCTAGCTGGACCGTAAGGACAAGATCTGTGAAAAGAAAACCAAAGATGGTGCAAGCAGAGGCAACTCAACCTCTATATTTGTGGATATTGTGCCCGAGTTATAACGCACAGGTGCAGCCGCCTCAACCATTCGCTGTTTCTGTTGATATCTAGGCATGGCTTCCTTCTCTCAATGTAAAAACTTTCGATGTCAACTTTGTGTGGGGTGCTGTGGGAAGGTGCGCGCCTGTAGTCGTAGGTGAGTTCCTCCCCGGCGGCAATGGCGCGCTTGGCAAAGATGACGACGTGGTCTGAGAGCGTGCCGGTGTCGGGGCAGCGCACGGAGACGGTGCGGCTGTAGCTGTTGGGCTCGCACGAGTGGTTCAGCAGGTGCGCCATGTTGCCTGCACATGCCCGCACATGCCCATGCCCTCAACTACCGCACTCAACTCCATTGCCACCAGCCCATCCACATGCCAGGTGTCCCAGCAGCATGCAGCGTTCACTTCCAGACTGAGATTGCCTTGCGCTGGCTGCAAATTGGGAGTAAACTTGTCAATCTTACCACTCCCTGATCGATGCATGCCAGGGTGGAAGTCAAGCCCCACGACAATGCAGAAAACCCTCACTGATGTCGAGTTCCTCTTGCCCCTAAGGCCTTAGACGACCTCTTAGTAAGGCAAAATCATGCAGCCCATTTGCAGCACATTGGCGCTCACACCGCCGTCATGTCTCGAATTCTCGCCTCTGTTAAATTCAACTTGAAAAGGGCGCACACCTTTGCGCGTGGCGTCGACGACGAGTTCGTCGGAGAGGCCGAAGACGTAGGTGCCGGCGCCCACGAGGCGGTCGTAGGTGCGGCGCTCGCGCGCATCCGCCACCGGCCGCCGCAGCAGCTCGCCCATGTACTCCACCAGCATGTCGCTCTCCGCCGCCGGCACCTTGGTGAACGCGCCCCAGCCGTGGATCGCGCTCTTGCCTGGGCCAGCCGGTCAGCACACACCCTGTCAGGCAAGAGTCTTGGCATTGGTAGAGGGGAAGGGGAAGCCTCTAATTTGAGCTGGGACATCAAAGGCGGCCGAAACCCTCAATCGCTCAGTCAAGGGCCTGGATTCACACACGGGCTCAACGTCTTTTTGCACTCCACTGCTGCATCACATTGGCGTAGCATGTCTTGGAACAGGGGGAGCTTTATCCAAGCATTGTAATCAAAGTACCCTGCTCACACCCTGCCTGTTGAGGAGTGTCCACGCACCGCAGGTGAGCCGCGCCGTAACGGTGCGCCGCATCTCCTTGAAGCGCTCCGCTAGGGACTGCACGGCGCGGCCGCCCGGCGCCGGCCCCCGCTCGTCTGCCGCGCTGTTTACTCCGGCCGACACCCCATTGGACCGCGCCGCCTGCGCCGCCGCCTCCAGGAACAGCTCCGACGGTTGCCGCTCGCTGTGACGGCGCACTGCCGGCACTGCAGCCGCTGCGCCGGTCAAGGCCGGCGGCTGCGTGCGCGCCATGGTGACGAGGTAGGGAGTCGCGCGGACGAAGGCGCGCTTGGCGAGGGCCGCGACGATGGCGTCTGGGGCCCGGTGGCCGCGGCGCAGCTCGTGGTTGTACGGTATGCATCGCGAGCAGGGCGCTGTCTGCGCTGTCAGCACCCCTGCTGACAGACAGGCGGGTTTCCCATCAGTAAATAGAGCAAATATGGACATGCACCGTACTGCTGGGCATTGACTGGTCGGTGTACCACACATTTCCACTCTCCCATGATAAATAGGCATCATGGCGCACTGTTGCCTGGGAAGGCCACTGTTCCCAAGGCAGATTTGCTGAACAGGCCACAGAGCATAAATTCAGGCAGGGGTGTCACCATACCTGAATCTGTGCTCGCAGGGCCCGGGAGGGAGGCAGGGGGGTCGGAGGCTGCTGGTCGCTGCGCAGGGGCATCCTGCTCGTTGCGCGAGTGGAGGCCGCGCAGGGGCCGCCCGGTGACAATAGACATGCGGGCCTTGAGAGTGGAGGACTCCAGGAGGGCGGTGTGGCGCGGGCAGTAGCACATCAGCCGCAGCCCCGCGCTCAGCGCTGTTCCCTCCCTCCACACCCGCTTCGGCCGCGGCGCCTTTGCCGCAGCGCCGGCGCGCGGCGCGCCCAAGTTAAGCGAGCTGCCAGTCCTTGCAGGAGCTTCCGTGTCAGGCGGGCGACCGTCTGCCGCACTGGCAGTTGCGGGCAGCTGTGCTGTTCGCACAGCCTTTTCCCTGCCGAACGTCCGCGCTAAAGTCTCAAGAAAGCGACTGCCGGCCACGGGGCCTCGGCCCTCGGGAGGCGCACAGCTGGTCTGCTCGCTAACATCAGACGAGCGCGGCTGGTTGTCAGGCATGCGGTCGTCAGAGGCTGTGTCTTTGGGGCTGGCCCCGGACTCTCCGCCCGCCGCATCGCTGCAGTCAGCCCGCAGAGTTATGACCCGCTGCTGCTGCACGACCTTCTGCTGTGAGCGCAGGCCCGCTGGAGCGCAGTTGGGCGCTCTGTTCTCGTCGCTCTCATGCGCGCTGGCGTCCTCCTCTTCTGCCTCACTGTCAGACTCGTACTCATCCCGCACCGCCACCTGCACCAGTATGACCCATGACCCAGCTGCAGCTTTGGATATATTAGTCTGCAGAGCAACCACGGGCCCTGCCCTAAAATTGCAATATTTGAATGGCCACACAGGCTCGGACAGTTCCGCAGGGCTGTGCTGGGGATTTTGCCAAAGATCAGGAGGCGAGGGAGACCAGGGGAGTTACCATGCAAAGGCCGGCGGCGCGGGCACAGAGCGGGTGGAAGGAGGCGCAGCAGGAACGGTGGCCGGCGCACTGGATGCACGCGCCGTACGCCTGGCTGCACACAGCGCAGCTCAGCTGGAAGCGCCCCTGCAATTCCCACACTGCATCTCAGCATATATCTGGCAGATCCTTTAGATGAAAATCCCTCTGCATGTGTCCCTGCCAAAGATGCCTTGAAGCCAGTCCACAGCCTCCACTGTGAATGTGAAAGATGAGAGAGCTCTTAAGATATATGATACCAGAGGAAACACTCAGGTATACAGTAATGAGATCATCCCTCTTGGGGTGTGGGATGATGAGATCACTTATTGGAGTCTGTACTGGGAGTCTGTGGCATGCCTTGGGAATATACTGGAGGCCGTCCACGAGGCCCACGTCGCAGTCGATGGCGGTCTCGGGAACCCACAGCGTGCATGCCGAGTGCACCCAGCGGCCGCACGTGGTGCGCTTCAGCAGTCCGCCCTCCACAGGGCACAGGGCGCATGCAGGCGCCCGGCTCGGGCCTGGGCAGGTGCACCACAGATTTAGCTTGTGTACCAAATGGTTTCAACAACCACTTTGCACAAATCATGCAAAGCTTCCCCCAATTTCTTCTCAGTGGCAAGCCACCACCATTGGATAGAGGATCAACTTCCACGCACAGGAAGCACCCCCTGATCCATATGCATAAAGGCACCTTAGGAAGTAGCTGATACCACTATGTCAGCTCTGGGCAGGGATCTAGGCACCTCACAATCTAAGAGAGCTGCAGCAAAGCGCACCCAGTTTGCAGACATCGCACAGCCAGAGGCGGCCCTCCGGCGGCGCGCCGACGCCGTAGCAGTCCATGTGCACGAACTCGCGGCAGCCATCACATTGCAGCAGGTGGTTGGCATCCGTCTCCTCCTCCTCCCCGCACACACTGTGCGCATGTTCACAACCCGACTGTCAATAACATTGAGGGTGCATGGAGGAAACCCTTAGCGCCTTAATCGTTCACCCTCTGCTCCCTGGAACCATGCCATCCAAGTTGGCTCAAGCCAGCATGGGTGCACAGGCATTTGCATGAGCTGCCTTGCACGGAGATTGATCACTGCTGCGGAGTCCAGCGCAGTTAGCCAATGCTTCATGTAGAAACTCTTTTTAAAGTTTGTGGATGTCATGGAAACCAACATAGGAGAGATTGTGTAGGGGAGGCGGCTGACCTGCAGACTCCCTGGACTGCTCGATCAGCGGGCACTGCGCGGATGCCGGCCGGCAGGCGCTGCGCTGCCGCTTGGACGGCCAGCCGCTCCTTCTCCTCGTCGGGGCTCTGCGCGCCAGCCATCCATTCGTCTTGGGATGTGAACTTTTCCCTTGTTCCCACACCACTCCTCAACCTTCCGCACTAGACAGTCTAGACAGCGCCATGCTAGCAAGTGGCCAGAGGTGGCCATTGCTTTGACAGGAAATCTCAACAAAGAGACACAAGGCGTGGCCTGCAAAGATGCGGCGCTGCCTCGGCTGCGCCGCTGTGCATGGAATAAGGGCCGACAAAGCAGCCTGTTGAGGCGCTGAAAGATCCAAGCGCTGACGCAAGAGTTTGGGGTGGTAGAAAATGGTAAGTCGCACCAGGGGTTCGCAGGGGGGCCGCTCGCCGAGCCAGGCGTCAAAGGAGGCACAGCGGCCGGCGTGCGGCAGCGCCTGGATCATGCGTGCGATGGCCGGATTGTCCAGGCCGAACATGCGCGGGCCCGACAGGCCGGCCGCCCGCCGCTCCGCGCCCGTGGCCGCCAGCACCTCCTTCCATGCGCGCCCCGGGTGGTCCGCCTCCACAGGAACGCCCCCCTCCGGCGTCACCCTGTGCCGCACCCCCAGTGTTTCAGCACCACAAGCATGCATGACAGAAGGAACCCCCTCATGAAGGTGCAAGCGGGCGTGCACAGCTCGAGTCACCCAGCCTTCCTCAGGAGCCGTTGTGCACGAAAGCACACCACGTCAATTGCCAGTGACACATACTCTGCATGTCCTATGCAATGTCTCAGATGTCTGATTGAGCAGGGTGCTTGTGGAGATGCAAGCGTCACGACGGGCGTGCACAAATCCAGTAATTCAGCCTTCCTCAGGAGCTTCCGGGCACAGACTTCCGGGCACCATGATCAAAGATGCATGTGATGCATGGCAAGAGCAGCCTGGACCTTGTGGGACTGCAATCTACCTGAAGATGGGTGCGAGGGTGTCTGGCGAGGACAGGATCTGGCAGTGGCAGGCCATGCGCTTGCCGTTGGGCAGGGTCTCTGTGCGCATGGCAGAGTAGCCCAGCGGCCACAGGTACTTCTTGTTGTGGAAGGCCTGGCGCAGGAACTCAATCCGCCCCAGGGAGTTCACTGCAGAAAGCAGACAATGCAACCGAAATCAGGTAGATTCCTGTAACAAATGCCAGGCTTAAATGATCTGTGTTCTCCCATCTGCGGAGGAAGGAGACTTCCACATCAATTTTCAACTTATAACATGCACCAGCTTGGGAAGTGCAGCGACAGTAGAATTACTCAGCAGCACGCCTATTCGGCTATTGCTCCGCCCGAACGAGCCATAGCATTCTGTATATGAATGATAATCTCCTTTCTCCGTAGTTTAACAAGAAATGAAGTCACGTGCCGCAAGCATAAACTAACTTCAAAGATCAAAGATTTTTACAAAGCAAGGTGATGGGTGTGCACCAGTCAGGTTCTTGCCCAGCTTCAGAGGGAAGTCTGCTCCAGTGAAGTCTCCATCAGGGGCCTCATCCGCATCGGCAAACCATGACTCATCATTGCTGTCCAAGATCATCTGGTCTGGCAGCGTGCCCGTCTGCAGCAAGGCATAACATCATAATTCAAGTACGTATGGTCATGTAAACATATGGAACCACCACAATCAGCGCATCCTCAAGTCCAGAGTTAGCTAGGCGCTTAGTACTCCACAATGACTAATGGTGTTGATCAGGACATACACATCGTCTGCCCTAGGTGTCCAACCAGTCCTGATCATAGATACTCTGGAAAAAATTAGCTCTGCATAGGGAAGAAGGCTTGCCTGGAGGTAGGTGTAGGCCTCATGCAGGGCGCGTCGGAACACCTTGACAGCGCGCTTGCACTTGACATGCAGCTCCTGGTCCAGCCCGGTCCTGAGTCCCGCTATCTCCGCAGGCTTGATGCAGCCCATCTCGTAGGTGCCAAAGAACCACACTGTCACGCCGCCCTTGCATGGCCCTACCACACACCCGAGCCAGCCTCAGTACAAAATATACAGGAAATGTCTCATCCCACAAGACATGAAGGGAGCCAGGAAGGCAACATGGCAGCAATCTCACATCAAGCAAATCATTCGCATCCTTTCTTGCACTCCAGGGCCAATCAACAAGCATGTAGTGTGAGTGCAGCATGAGACACACACAGGTCATTGTGAAGCAGTCCCTGAGGAGGGCAGGGAGGGAGGGCTCACTCAAGGGTGACAAATCCCTGGCGCTCTCCAGGGTGATGACCACGGACGGCCAGGCAGGCCACCCCTTCTCGCGCGCCCACACCACCTCCCCCAACCCAAATGTCTGCTCACCGGCCTCAGGTGCGTTGGACGCTGGATCCTGATCATCAGGTCGACTCCCTGCTGCAGCAGCGGCCTGCTGCTCTGCAAGTGTCCTCAGCTCCTCTGCCTGGCTGCGCATGTCTTCTGCTTCTTTTCGGCTCTCTGCAAGACAGGCAAGTCACTCAACATGCGCATCATCAGATGCATAAGCACTCTGCGCATGAAGGACCTTCATCACTGGGAAATGATCCCTTGCACAAGGTTCATGGTGCATGAGTGAGTGTACAGTGCAATACCTGCACTCTCTTTCGCCTCTCGGAAGACATGCTGTGCCGTCAAGGCCAGGTCACTGGCTGATGGAGGCGACAGGGTCTCGCCAGCAGAGACCTCCAGTCGGACCCTCGATGTGGCCATCAGAATGCTCTCCATATCTCCATCCTCATACCTCACCTGTGCCAAGGCCGGCACACATGTTGCATGCATGGCGTCATCCTGCAAAAGCTTGATTCTCCTGCATGTTTGCACATCAGGTGCCCTCCAGAGAATGAAGAGAATTCTCAAAATTGGTGCATTAAAAGTCTGCTCACCTCATGCTTGCCATCATCTGGGTTGTAGCTACTGACGCTGCCCAGGAACCAGGCGTTGTCGTGGGGCCACAGCACGCGCACTTGCCGCCCCACCAGCTCTTCCGCAGCGACAGCAGTCGCAGAGTCAATCCTGCGCACCAGCACACAATCAACCTTTTACCACAGTGCCCACCCGCTGAGACCTGCATTGATGTCACCAGCATTAGACACCACTGCAAGTGATCAGATCTGCCGCGATTGTAAGATGCGGAAAAAGCAGGGTCTAGGTTTTACAGGCAGGGAGCAAGCTTCTGGTTGGAGGTTGGAGGCCCACTCTAGGAACATGTGGAAGGTGTCACAGCGCTGCTGGAAGCCAGCGTGGCTGTCACACAGGTGCCGGCCAAGCTCCCCCATGTTCTGCTCTGCTTCCCACTCCTGCCTCGTCAGGCACACAGCTACCTCTGCTGGCTCTGCTGGCGGAACAGTGGTTATCGGCTCGTCTGCAAGCTGCTCTGCCGTAGGGCCAGACTCCCTGACCTCTGCTGGCTCTGGCGGGAGAATGGTTCTGAGCTCATCTGCAAGCTGCTCTGCTTCTGCTGTAGGGCCAGACTCCTGGACCTCTGCTGGGGCGTCCTTCTCAGAGCCTGTTTCCCTCTTGGGCTCTGATTGAGGGGCAGGTAATGTGAGCCTCATCGCGCACTTCCTGTCGCTGCCTGGAGTCTTTGCTGGCGCTGGCTGCGCAGCCTTCTGCTTGCTAGCAGGCTCATCCGCAGTTGTTTTGGCCTTCTTAGCAGGATTCTTATGGCTGACAGGCTGCTTGACAGGCGGGCGTGCAGCCTTCGCAGGTGTTTTTGCCTTCTTCTGCCTCTTTGCTACAGGCGACTCTGCACAGCAAGCAAACGCAACATTGCTGCCAGTGCATTGTGTGTTGCATCGAGTGACATTACTCATATTCTGTTGATTTGAGCAAGAAACAGATGGGTTTTGAGCAAGAAACAGATGAAAGCCTCCGCACCTGCTTTGGCTGTGACCTCCTTTTGCACGGGCTCCACGGTGCCGACACTCTGCTGACTTTCAAAGGAGAAGTGCTGCTTCAGGCGCTGCAGGTGCTGCCCTTCTGACTCCCCTTCCTGGCGCGCATAGGGCCGCCATTCTGCCCGGCAGCTGCCGTGGTCGTCCAGAAACTTCATAATGCGCGCCATCCTGTCCAACCGATAGTCGCTGCCGTGGCAGGACACTGCAAAGAATATTGAGCGCCGTGTGGCATTCTCGCGCACCTGCACAGTCGCATGCAACCTGAATTGGTGATGATGCCGCAGCAGTGCAGAATTCCTGATACACTCCTCCATCTGACATGCATGTCAGCCAGCAATGTAGTTTGAGTCCTGCTTGCAGCCCACCAAGGTGACAAAGCCGGCTGGTGGATGAGGTGGGCTCGCATTGGCGTCCTGCCTTTCATCCTCTTCCTGCTTTGTCACTGATGCACCAGGCTGGTCCTGGTCAGAGGGACTGGGGTCCTCATCCAGGCCATTCTCTGCTGCAGCATTCCGTTTCCTCTTTACTGACCTCCTCGGTGTACGTCTGTCGCCCTCCTTCTGATCTGTTGCATGAGCCTGCTGTTGCTGTTTCACTTTACGCTGCATGGCAACTTGCCTGGGTCGGTGATCTCATTCAGCCCTGTGATTGCTGACTGCATCCGGGCATTTGGAAACCAAGGAACTGCACCAATGATCGTTCTTTTTTTTCTCTCGAATAGTGTAAGTCACTCATCAAACCCTTCACAGAGAAGGATGGTCACCTCTAGGACGGAACGTATGGATATTAATAGCAAAGGAAAAGCTCAGGAATATATCTGGATTGCTGATAATTTTACCATGCACCACAAATTAGCTATTGTCCAGTGGAGATTTTTGTGGAAGGTCTCATATGACTTTACTTCCTAGATTGCCGCTTAATACAGCTCTTGTCTTCTTTGGACAGACAAAGTTCGATGAGATCTTCCAATCAGATTGTCATGAACTTCCTAATAACTCCGTAGAGAGCCACAAGGCCAAGCTAAATTCTCACATGTAAGTGTCTGGACCCAGATCCGACGATGAATATCCCAGAAGCGTTTTTTACACACTGTATCTGTGTATTGTGTAAAAAAGCTGCAGTGATGAACCCTCAGCTATACTTACACCTCTGAAGTTGCTTGAAACTGCCTGATTGCTGATGTCGAGGCTGTTTGAATTTCATTCACCCCTGGGTCACAACAGGGTCCACAGATATCGTCACCCATGCAGCCGTCTTGCATGAATGTTTGCCAAGATTGCAGCGGCCGATGTCAACAGGGTGCTTCACGAACTGATGCCTGCGATCAGCCTTTGATATGCAAGGCATCATGCACCCATAATGCACCGAGGCATCCCCACAGCCTGATGATGATGATGGGTTAGCTGCGCAGCTAACCCATCATGCTGCTGCATGCAGCAGCAATGCACGCGTGGCTGGCCGGCCTCAGGCATATGCCGGCAGTGTGCCCAGAGTTTGCATGGATTAAAGTGCATAGTATATTTGATCACATGAAGGCCAGTCATGCATGCAGGAGCCTGCAGAGGCGCGAGAGCTAGCATTCATTGTTTGCGCCATCATGGCCATAATGGTTACCTATGTGCTAATGCATTAATGAATATTCATATGCCTTGGCCCGCAAGGCTTGGCACACGACAACAGGAAATATAGGTTTCCCAAGGTGTCATTTGAGTCCGACTAGCAGGTGTCAGATCTGCCGGTGAATGAATATGACATTTTCCAGTATTTTACATATAGAAGCCCAGAGTCCAGTGTACAGAAATGCTCCCAAAGATGCCTGAATTGCTGCCAATGTGGCGATGATTACGTCAGACTGACCTAGTCAATTACTTGAGCTTGTCAAAAACATTCCGGACATATTATGCTAGATTAGACAAGACGCAGCTTATGCAGCAATCTGCTCACAGAAACGCCCAATCCTCTCCTCCATTTCTGGCCTGAAGTGCCGGATAAGACCCTGTACACAGTCACACACCATCGCACTTCGCAACTTGATACTCAGCCAAGCCACCAAAAAATTTGCACATAGAGCACATGCACCGAAGCCCAGTAAAAGGAGGCACCAAACAAGGATAAGACAGAGAATGTTTCACGCCAGAATGCCAGGGCCCACCTGCACAGGCCAGGCAGCAGCATCGCCGAGGGCACAGATAGTGTGGCCCTCGATCTGCTTGGTGACCTCCCACAGCATGTCAATCTCCTCCAGCCGCGCATCCCCCTTCTTCATGCGGGTCATGATGTCGTACAGCCACGGTGCTCCCTCCCTGTTCAACATCACCACACTCAAGATTCAAGCTGTCCTCTGCTAATGACAACGGGGGATGACAGGGTTCAGAAACCAAAAGAAATTGCATTTTGGCTGTGGTTGCAAGCAGCCGCAGCAGCTCATTCACCAGCCACATACCCAACACTTGCTGCAGCCGGTCAGTAGTTGACAAAAAGACCACAGAAAATATGAAAGCATCTCTGTGGTGTCGAAAGTCCCATACCTGCAGGGAGTGCACTGCCCACACGACTCGTGCTTGTAGAAGTAGGAGAGGCGGGCGATGGCATCGATAATGTCAGTGGACTTGTCCATGACGATGACAGCGGCTGTTCCCAGACCGGACTGGGCCTCCTTCAGCGCGTCAAAGTCCATCAGCACGTCGTCGCAGATCCTCTTGGGCAGGCAGGGCACCGATGAGCCGCCTGCGTGTAGTCCAATCTTGATTTTTCAGCAGTACAGGCAATCAATTGTACTTCCCACGCAGGCCATCATTCACAAATTAAAAGCTGGAGGACTCATCACGAAGCCTTGGAAGAAGGGATAGATGCAGATCTCAATCAGCACATACTCCTCATACCAAGGCCCGAGATGAGGATTCAGCACTTGGGCGCACCAGGAATGATGGCAAGAAGGTTGTCCCAGCCGCCCCGGACGCCGCCGGCATGCCGCTCAATGAGCTCGCGCAGGGGGATTGACAGCTCCTCCTCCACTGTGCAGGGCGTGTTCACGTGGCCGCTGATGCAGAACAGCTTGGTGCCTGCCATGGCCAACACAACCAATATAAAATCACCTTCCTTGCTGTAAGTCCAGACGCCTTGTTTCAAGATGGTGCTAGACTGTTTCTTGAAGAACAAATGGGAGCGTCTGCAGAGAGCAGAGAGACAGAACAGGTAGAATCTGCTTGCAAGGGCAGAAGCACCCACCTGCGTTGTTCTTGCGGCCAAAAGAGGCAAACCACTCGGGGCCACGCCGCAAGATGGTGGGCGCCACAGCCACAGTCTCCACATTGGTGACAGTGGTGGGGCAGCCGTACAGGCCCACATTTGCAGGGAAGGGCGGCTTGAGACGTGGCTTGCCCTGCTTGCCCTCCAGACTCTCTATAAGCGCTGTCTCCTCACCTGAAAGAGCAAATATAATTTAAAAAAAGAATTGAGACAGGGCGCAGGTTTGACCTATACTGCCGGGAATGTATTTCCGTAGAGTTATTGGCGGGTCTCTGAAATGCAAAGCAATGGGACAATGCGGCTTACCGCAGATGTAGGCGCCAGCACCGTAGGCAACATTGAGGTCAAAGTCATAGCCAGAACCGCATGCATTCTTTCCAAGGAAGCCCTTAGCGTATGCCTCGCTGAGAGCCCGCTCCAGCGCTAGCCTCTCATTGTAGTACTCCCCCCTGATCCAAAATTTCCCTTGATACACCCTCCCAACTAGCAAATCCAGGGAGTTGTAAACAGCAATGGTCACATGACAACCGCGTTTCAGGTGCTCTCACCTGATGTAAATGTACCCCGCCCGGGCGCGCATGCCCACACCAGCAATGAGGCAACCCTCAATGAGCTTGTGGGGGTCATGGCGCATAATTTCACGGTCTTTGCATGTGCCAGGCTCCGACTCATCGGCGTTGACAACTAGGTATGATGGCCGCCCATCTGACACCTGCAGCATGTTGCAATCCCTTGAGATCAACCTGCAACGGCCTGTAAGCCCAGCACAACACAGCAGCTCGCCTCATATTAACCAGGGAGAATGCAAGACATACAAGGCAATAATTGTATGTCAAGTTAAGCAGCACCTTGGGCATAAAGCTCCACTTGAGCCCAGAAGGGAACCCTGCACCGCCACGCCCTCGAAGTCCAGACTTCTTCATCTCACCCACAATCCAGTCGGACCCTTTTTCTACAAGGTCTTTGGTGCGATACCAATCACCGCGCGCCATGGCGCCCTGTGAGGCCACATGCAGATATCATCAAAAGCTTGACGGATAGAAATTCCACTCAGATGCATTCCCCTCAAAGAATTTAGCAGTAAAGCACTAACGGCACGGGTCCATATGAGGGTGAAAGCTGACCTTGATGAAAGGGTCTCCCTGACGATAGAGATTGGTGAAGATTCTATCCTCATCCCTGAGGCCACCATATGTTGTCTTCTCCGAAGGAGGAGGCGTTGGAGGTGGGGGCGAGGCTTGTGCAGAGAAGGATCGCAGAAGACTGCACCACGAGACAGAGCCGTGGTCAACATATCTGATGGCGCATCATAGTGAATAGACTATTTCAGTTTTATTCTGACATCGTCTGACTAAGGTGTTTACAAGTCAGAATGCTTTCAGCAAAGAGCCAAACAGAAAATCGGTTGCACGGAAGCGAACTCAAGCTGAAAGCCATGCATATTCTAGGAACAACAGCAGGACCGTAAAAATGCAGCCTCTAAGCTGTACATCAACGCAAAGGTGCCATGCTCTGCCTAGGACAAGCTACAAGTAGGGTACAGTGGTGTTTGCTCACCTTTTCTGGAGCTCACGTGCAGCTGCGCGAGAGCCCCTCACAAGCATCTTATAGGCAATTTACGAACCAACCTCTCACTATGTCGAACACGATCCCTGCCACAATTCCCAGAATGTGAATGCAGCATTGTTGGAATGGAGTGAACGAGCCACGAGGGCGGCCTGTTCTGTGCTGGCGTTCCATCCGGGCCAGCGTGGCAGAAGTGCTTAATGAGTAGGGCTGATCTTTTGCCTGCGCACACTTTCGCTGAGAGTCAGGTTGTGGCAAGGTGTAATATGCTGCGCTCTGGTGGCGCGGCCTTGCTGCGCACCCTAAGGCAGGGTGCTGCTGCGGGCAGTCCGAGCATCGAGCAGAGCAGTTCTAAATTGACACAGGTGAGTTTTAGCCGCTCATGTGTCTGCTCGCATCAGCGCTGTTTTTCTTTGAATCCTGTGCGCCATCTCATTCCCGAGCAATCATCCATTGCATGTCTAAAGATTGTGCCTTGCTCAAAGACTGATCGATTTGCTGCCCTACTTCTTGCGAGCAGGCAGCACCCCTTGTAGGCGCAGCGCAGAGCGTGCACACAGAGGCTGCAGCAGCTCAGAATGCCGAGCAGAAGACTCGCAGCCGGTGGAGCTGGCAGAAGAAGGCAGCTGTGGGGCTGGGAGCTACTGTTGTAGGTGGCCTGGGCATTGCTCTGATGGAGGAGGAGGCTGAGCTGGGGCTGCACGCCCCGCATTACCCCTGGAACCATGCTGGCCTCTTCTCAGCCTATGACCACGCTGCAATCAGGCGTGGCCATCAGGTGTACAGCCAAGTGTGCGCAGCATGCCACTCTGTCAACCAGCTGCACTACCGTGACCTTGTGGGAGTCGCCTACACTGAGGAGGAGGCCAAGGAGATGGCAGCTGAGGTAGGCTCTCAATCTCCTGACCACCTCAAAAGCTGTGAAGTTCAGTCCTGTGACTTTAAGTGACTTTTTCCTCCTGCGTTCTGTGCAGACCGAGGTGGAGGATGGCCCCAATGATGAGGGCGAGAATTACACCCGCCCAGGGCGGCTGAGCGACCCGCTCCCACGCCCCTATGCCAACGAGGAGGCTGCCCGCTATGCCAACGGCGGAGCTTACCCGCCTGACCTGTCCTTGATCACCAAGGCCCGGCACGACGGCCAGAACTACGTGTTCGCCCTCCTGCTGGGATACAGAGACCCACCTGCCGGCGTCAGCGTGAGTCTCTCCTCGACCGCATGGCTTATGTGCAGATTGAGATCAGAAGTGGGACCATTGAGGGATGCAGTGATGGGTGGAGATCTAGAAGAGTTTTGGTATGCAGGTGAGGGAGGGGCTGCACTACAACCCCTACTTCCCTGGCGGCGCCATTGCCATGCCCAAGATGCTTGTTGACGAGGGAACCGAGTACGAGGATGGCACTGCGCCAACAGAGGCGCAGCAGGCCAAGGTGTGTTTGCCTCCATTTTTCTTCTTTGTCACTGCCCTGATCATCTGTTGACCACATCTCGACCAGGGCTGCCTTCATTATTATGTCCATTGCCTTCTTCTTCGCATAGAATCATCAGACAGTTGTTGCATTGTTATGGGTGGCTGGCGGCAATTGAGATCCACTTCTTTGATTTAAATAGGATGTCACCACGTTCCTGGCATGGGCTGCTGAGCCGGAGCACGATGACAGAAAGCTCATGGGCGCCAAGTGGATCTTCGTCCTGTCCATTGTCTATCTGACAGCCGTGTACTACAAGCGCTGGAAGTGGGCTCCCCTCAAGGCGCGCCGCATTGTGGTGGATGCCATCAATTAGATTGCCTCATTTCTGGCTGGACACCCATATTGGGGCATGATTTCTCAAGGTTTATGTAGCACTGCTGGTCATGCGTTGGCAGACTATCAGTGCAGAGCAGATGACCTGTTTGTGGGGTGGGAAGGACGTAAGAAGTTGTGCACTGCTTTTCCCTGGATCATTGCTAGCATTCTGAGGTACAGCAAGACAGAAAATAGGGGTTTGAGATCCTTAGGCACTTCATGAGAATTTGCAGGTGTGCTTAATAATCATTTAATAATCAAGCATTTGTGCCATCTCATCTCCATTGGGTCTGGTGGGAACCTTGTCGCGTGCAGTGCAGTGGCGACCGCTGTGGCCTCTGATGTATCTACAGGCACTCACTTACTCATGTGCTAATTGAGGGCACACATGTTGCTGGCACCAGCAGCGTTCTGAGCTGGCTCCATATGCATCAACTTGATTGAATCCCTCCAGTGATCAGATCCTCCATTAAATCCTCCACCGCTCATGAGGCATATGCCCGGCGATAGCTATGATACCATATGCATGCCATCATGGCATGCTGCGGCACAGAACCAGCGGTTACTTTCTCAGCATTCTCACAAGTCAGGAGACCAAATGCGTGCTCCAGCAGATTTCGCTTTATCGGGCAAGCTCATGACTCTGTAGCGACTGCTCCATCGAAACCCACACTTCCAGAAGAACATCTGCACATCCCCGCACATTTCTTTCCTCAATTTCAAGGTCTCAATTGCCAAAAATATTGAATCAGAACGAAGCCTAGGCCTACATGCACATATTTTAGAGGTCTTACCCGCTCACGAGGTGCAAACACAACGCATCCGCTTGCGCCCTTCCTGATGCATGTCTTCATTAAGAGGGTGACAAGCCCTTTGCCAACACCTCGCATCTGCAGACAGGGAAGGAGAATGTCAGGCTGAAGTGCCCTGATAAAGGGACGATCCCCTTGTTTCAATACATCATGAACATTGATGTTTTTCCAATTATCTTGCCCGGATCCGGAGGTTGCCGCTTGCCAGCGCAAAAAGAAGCCGCACAATGCTGCCCCAATCACAACAAAGATCTCCTCACCCTGAAATCTGGATGTATGACAACGTCTATCAGCAATGCTGCAAATGCGCCATCCGAGATTACCCTGTCCCATTTCAGAGTTGAGATATTGTCAGTTGCTTGTAATGTGCAAATTGCATCCTTGCAGCAAATTTAACACACAGGATCACTTGAAGATGCTGTGACACCCATTAAGACAAGAGGTTCATTACAGGTTCTACCTTGCAAAGCCGATCATCTGCTGCGCTGAATGGTCCATGATTCCATAGGACAGCCTGCACGGCCTTGCATCAGGCAGAGCTTCACTCGGCGCGAATGCTGCGGCCACTACGTATGAGTTCCTGAGAGCTACTTCCACCTGACCCTTGTCTCGAGGATCAAATGCAGCAGCTTCCCACAAGGCACAGACCTGCATGAACCAGCCTTTCACAATTATAATGATTCCTTCAGGTGGAATGATTTGAGGCAGAATTGTGGAAAATTCTGGACATATATGGCACCTGAGATGCCCCGATGTCTTCTGCATCAGTTGTGAGCGATATTTCTAAGCCTGATGTATCAGTCCTGTTCCAAAATGCACCACACGACTTATGCAAGCACCCGCGTGCAGGCCGTTGAGGCGGTTGCCTTGATAAATTTTCAAGTGTAAGACATTTATGAAGCCGCGCTGAAGACCACAGCTGTCGATTGTGGTGCCAGATCGTGGTCATGAACTGTAAACCAGATCACCTTCCACTAAAAGTAAAAGCACACGGTCCGCACGTCACATTATAAGTACCAAGGGACATATCTTCGCAGACTTTCTCGTAAGACATGTCCTTGCGGATCTGCCCCTTTGCACAAGCTGATGTCGAAATTCGAAGGAATTGTGGCAGAGCCTGAACAGGATCTGGGGCATGACGGGACTCCGAAATGAGACTGGTTTTGGCCAAAGATGCAATCTTCTGCTGCAATGTATCGCAGCGTGCTCGGAAAATCTCTCCGATGCTGTTGTAATTGCTTGCACAACAGGGTGCCGAAGGCCTTGCAAGCCTGGCAAACGCACAAACATTTCCGGCCACGAACGGCATTGCCTTTCTCATCAAAAAGACTGATGGCCACAACAACAACATCATTGCAATCCGGAGCAACATCACAACAGCCAACAAAGACAAATCCCAAGTTCACAAATCGTCTAGCGAGCGAGGAGAGCCCGTATCTACTGCAACATGCGCACAATCCAGTAAGCAAATCAGCGTCACGATGCTCCCTGTGACGATCTCTCATTCGATGTGGTGCTTATTGTGACCCATAATCATTTCAGGTATTACTGAGTAAATGTGTGACAGCAGAGTTTTGTTCTAGTAAAGTCACGGCACGTGCAGCACTTGCGAGAGAAGAAGTATTTTTTGTGCTGCTTCCCCAGGTGGATTGGTATCCCTGGGGTGAAGAGGCCTTCGAGAAGGCGCGCACGGAGAATAAGCCGATCTTTCTCTCAGTGGGCTATGCCACCTGCCACTGGTGTGCTCAATGCATGCAGCTGTGTAAATGTCCCTCTGCAACAGGAGAAGTATAATACATGGCCTGCTGAGATCGGCGCGCACCACTGCAGGTGCCACGTGATGGAGCGGGAGAGCTTTGAGAGTGAGGCCATAGCCAAGCTCATGAATGACAGCTTTGTCAATATCAAAGTGGACAAGGAGGAGAGGAGCGATGTGGACCGAGTGTACATGACCTATGTGCAGGTACATGATTTCTCACATCCCTTCAACTTGCCCCAGCACACAGCACACATGCGTTGCAGAGATGCACATGGCGACTCACATGTGGGTGGTGACCGATGCGCAGGCGACATCTGGCGGCGGCGGTTGGCCGATGAGCGTTTTCCTGACGCCGGATCTGCAGCCCTTCCTGGGAGGCACCTACTACCCTCCCCAGGATGCATATGGGCGGCCCGGTGCGCACTTTATCCCACACTGCTTGTCCTGCAATCTTCTGAAACTGCTGCTGCTACAGATTTGCTGCCGACCTAGCCGATGTGGAGGCCTTCTGAGCGCTAGCGGATGTTGAGCATGGCGTGAGCGGTATGTTTGGATTTGCTACAGGATTCTCAACCGTGCTGAAGCGCATAGCAGACGTGTGGCGGTCGCGCAAGAACGAGGTCATCGAGCAGAGCGCTGACACAATGCGCCAGCTCAACGAAGCCATACAGCCCCAAGGTTGGCAGTTCCCCTGACCTTCCTCACTTGTTCTGATGCATGGCACACACCGGCTTAGCCTACTGCTGCGGCCAGGCCTGCTGCATACACAGTGCTGCTCATGTGCTTTCACGACCCATTTTGGGGCCAGGATAATCTCTGAAAGTGGTCAAAAGAGAGGCTCATGCAGGCTCCCCTAGCATGCCCTTGATGGGCATGCTGGGGGTACTATCAATTTCGTGTCAAAAATCATTTCAGTGTCCCCTGGTGTGCATGTGTTCATGGGAGATACAATGTCTCAGATACTGTGTTTCTAATGCATGGTGCAGGCGGCAAGGCCGAGCTGCCGGAGGGGGCGGCGGGCCGGTTCATAGAGAGCTGCTACAGCATGCTGGCATCGCGCTTCGACCCGACGCTGGGCGGCTTTGGTGCAGCGCCCAAGTTTCCGCGCCCCGCGGAGATCAATCTGCTGCTTGTTGAGCACCTGCGCGCCAGCCAGGACCGGGAAGCCTCCTCTGCCACCGCCTCCAGCTCCGGTGCAGCCCCCTCCATAAACGGCGGTATCCTAATAAACCAAGAAAATGCAATATTGCAAAGGCGGCGCGAGCGCCAAAAGTTGAGGAAGACCTGCCTCGTGAATTCTTTGTGCAAGCTATCATGCGGTGCTCTAAGAAGACTTATAGGCACATGCACAACAGGGCACCCGAGATGGACGCCCTGAGGTTCTGCCTGATTCCTGCTGTAAGATTGTGTTGCCAGTAGACACTGCTGTCTTGTTTGTGTGCCCATCAAGCATGGGTTGCTCAACATGCCGGGGGAGGTTTGCGTTTGGGAAGAGGGACTTTCCCAATATGCAGAGATCGCCCGGCATGTTTTATGCAAACAACCATAGCGCTGATGGCTTTGAATATCCAGTGGGCATCCTTCTCTCCACCTGGGACCCCATGGGATCAGGCATGTCGCTGCAGGTGTTTGGGACAATGAGAATTTGCGTGTGAAGTGTTGGTGCGGGTGCAGGGCGCAGGAGGGATGCGCTGGGCATGGCGGAGACGACGCTGCAGCGGATGGCGGCTGGCGGCATGTACGATCACGTGGGCGGCGGGTTTCACCGCTACTCTGTGGACGAGCACTGGCACGTGCCCCACTTTGAGAAGGTCCGCATCTCTCCCTATCAGCTGACCCCACAGCCGCCTACACACTCGCCTTTCCCTGCCTCCACCTGGTCCGCGGATGTAGTCTCTCTACCTTGGCTAGAACACACTGGGGGCTGAATCTTTCTGTCGCAGTCAAGGGCTCAAAGAGACACAGCTCTGGTGTCAGCAGCAAACCTGATCGGGTTTTGCAGCTGCCAAGATGCAGCTGTGATTCCGGTCAAGACTTCCCTGCACGTTCCAGAGCAGCGTTCAGACCAGGCGAGGCAGAGAAATTCAATCAAATCCCCGTTGCTGACGCGTTTGCATGCACAGATGCTGTACGACAACGGGCAGCTGGCGCAGACGTACCTGGACGCGTACAGGGCCACGGGCGATGTGAGGTATGCGCGAGTGGCGCGAGGAATACTGGACTACCTGCACCGCGACATGACCCACCCGGAGGGCGGCTTCTATTCTGCAGAGGTGCGCTCCGCTCTCTTTCACTATTTTCAGGCCACGCTTCAGCTGCATTGAAAAGCCAGAGTGGCCAGTGCCTGTTTGCTAGGCTTTTTTAGCTTTACAAGCGTTTGAGAGGGAGAAGAGATTTAGCAGGGAAGCAGTAGATCTCCCGGCCGCCAGGCCTGAGCGTTGCTGCATGCAAGCCCCCAATCTGACGTTTGGATGCCCGTGCAAGGAGCTTGCATGCTCTCTTATCGCTCCTTTCCAATTGAAGGTATTACTTGGTCACAGGCAAGTCATGTTTGTGGTGGCACAGGATGCGGACAGCCTGGATGCGTCTGGCAAGAAGTCGGAGGGCGCCTTTTATGTCTGGTCAGCGGACGAGATCGACGAGGTACTAGGCACGGACAGCGAGCGTGGCCGCGTCTTCAAGCAGCACTACTACGTAAAAGCCAGCGGCAACACTGACCTCTCTCCACGCAGGCAAGCATTGTCTCTCATTCTGCCTACAACGCTACAAGCAGCTGTCGTTGGTTGCACCTGCACTGGGGAGGGTCGTTTCCAGGGGTGGCCGGTTCTATTAATTTATGCGGGAGTCAGCTGATCACCTGATGCGCATGCATGGGCAGCTCTTGTGAGCTTATGCCCAGAAGAAATCCTTGTTTTGCCTTCCTGTGGTGGTTGGTACATGAGGTGGTTCACTGTTGTCTTAATATGAGTGGTGGTGGGGTGCGCTGCAGCGATCAGCATGGCGAGTTTACGGGGCTGAACTGCCTGATCGAGCGGGAGAGTGTGAAGGCCACAGCCACCAAGTTTGGGCTGTCTGTGGAGGAGACGGAGGGAACACTGGCAAAGGCGCGCCAGCTGCTGCACGAGCGCAGATCCCAGCGTCCCAGGCCACACCTAGACGACAAGGTGACCTTGTTGCTCTCTGTCAAACGCCCTGACAAGCTCTTTATGAAATGAGCACTGGCGCCTTTGCTGCGTGCAAGGCAGTGCTTGCATTGTGCTCTCTGTTTACTGCTCTCTGTGCCCAGCTGGTCATGAGGGACGTGTCTCTGCTTTTTGCTGTGTGCAATATATTAATCATATGTTTGATACTGAAAAAAGGAGGCATTGTACCCTTGCTTCACAGAGGTGCCATTGTGTGCAAGGCTCTACAAAAGGAGAGCGGTCTTGAAGTAATTAAGTGCACTGCAGGTTGTGACTGCCTGGAATGGCCTGGCCATCGGGGCGTTTGCGAATGCCTCACGCGTGCTCGCCAACGAGCCGCAGCCGCCGACTCCGCTCTTCCCAGTGGAAGGGCGCCCCGCGAAAGACTACCTCACAGGTGCCTCACTCCTCCGTTCGTGCTGTGCATGCCTTTGGTGTCTGTGCTCTTCCAGATTGGTGATGCGCAAATAAAATGAAGTTACGGTGTCGCCCAATACATCATCTGTTCCCCTCTCGCTGCGGAAGTGCAGCAAGCATGGGTGGCACTTGTGGCTCTTATCATGGCCAATTTTGGGGCCAACCCTGCCAATGGCATGGGATTCCACTCCTTGTTCTGATCCTTTTCCCTGGAAACGTACGAAAGACCAGAATGCAGACATAGACAGCCATAAAAACGCAAGCACACGTGTGCGCAGACGCGATACGGGCGGCAGAATTCGTGCGGGACAAGGTGTGGGACGCGGATGCGCGGCGGCTGCGGCGCAGCTTCTGCCGGGGCCCCTCGGACGTGGGCGGCTTCGCGGATGACTATGCGTTCCTGGTGTCCGGCCTGCTGGACCTGCATGCGGCCTCGGGGGACGCCCAGTGGCTGCAGTTTGCGCTGCAGCTGCAGGCTGCGCAGGACGAGCTCTTCTGGGACGATGCAGCAGGTGAGCGCATCTTCTCGGCTGCCCTGTTTGTCTGACCCAGAGCGGATTCTAGAAGTCGCATGCCAGGGCTCTGAGAGGCAGTCTTTAAACAAGCACTGTATGTTTCAGAATCTTCTTTGGATCAGCGGAACCAATAGTCAGGGGCCTTACGAAGGGTGAGACGCATTGACTTTCCAAGGCTTAGAAACGTCTTGTCACAGAAATATTGAGTATATCCTGGCCCTGATGAGCTTGAGCCCCCAGACAAGCTTGTCAGAAAGGCTGGTGAGTAGCTTGAAGGCATGGCAGGATCCTGAAGCATGCAGCAAGAATCTCACTGCGCCCATGGCGAGCCTGTCTTGGTCCTTGGCAGAATTATTACGTGGCTGCCAGGCCTTTCAGCCTCTACTCTCTCAACGCCAGCAAGAATTTGTAGCTGTCCTGGGCAAGCACTTTTAAAAGCGTCAAGCATCCACTACCCATCTGACATACTTCCAGGGAAAGTTTGCTGCTGCTGTGAGCGGCTGTGCAAACTTCTGAAGGGGCTGTGCCGTGGTTGTGCTGCAGGCGGCTACTTCTCGACGACGGGCGAGGACCCCTCCATCCTGCTGCGCATGAAGGAGGATTACGACGGGGCGGAGCCGGCGCCGTCGTCCATCGCGGCGGCCAACCTGCTGCGGCTGGCGGCGCTGACCGACCCCGACGCATCCGAGCCGCTGCGCGCGCGCGCATCGGCCGCGGCGGCCGCATTCCGGGAGCGCCTGGCCGAGATGTCGCTTGCCATGCCACAGATGTGCTGCGCGCTGCACCTCCTGGACTCAGGTCCAACTCCTCTCTGTCGTTGTCTGCGCTTTTGAAATGAGTGAATGTCTGACACGTAAACAAATGCACAGGAAGGCAAGTTGATAGATGCCCTAGCATCTGCACTTGTGCCTTTGTCCCCCCCTTTGCATTATTGCGGCCTAAATACGCACTCCGATTGCATTTGCGTTCCCGTGTTCTGCAAGCAGCGTAGAATGACAGCGTTGCTGGCAAGGAGAGCAACTCTATTGGTGTTTTGGGATCTCCCGCGCTTCTGAGGTCTGAGATAATTTGGAGAGGGACTTCTCAGGGGACGAGTCTGATGGTGACTGTCTTTGTGCAGGGCACCTGCGGCAGGTCATCATTGCGGGCAGGTTGGGCGCTGCGGACACAGAGGCGCTGCTGGACGCTGCGCAAGCCATATTTGCACCAGACAAGGCGGTTATCTTCATCGATCCCTCTGATGAAGCATCCGTGGAGTTCTGGCGCGGACATAACCCACAAGCACTCGCCATGGTGGAGGGAGCAGGCTTGCAGGTGCCTTGATATTCCTGCTGACAGCCAATAGCATTGGCTAAATCTAATCCTGCTGCTGTCTTTTATGCATGGAGCTGCGGGGCACGGGGCATGCGTTGAAGCGAAAGCAAAAGTCCTGGTGGTTATTGGCATGTGCTGCATGAGCATGGGCACTTCTCTGCACTTGTGATGAGCTTTGCATGCATTTGTTGCAGGCGGACAGCTCTGCGACGGCGTTCGTCTGTCAGAACTTCACGTGCAAGGCGCCCACCACGGACCCCCAGAAGCTCAAGGCGGCTCTTGGTGAGGCCCGCAGCGCGCCGTCCACCACGCCGGTGTTGGGACAGATTGACCTCAGCAGCTTGGGCAAGAAATAGGGTGACGCATGAGCATGTGCATAATTAATACATCAGCAGAGTTGCAAAATCTGAGGTAATTAAAGCAAGATCGCAGTCCATCTGCCTTCTAGAGGCGCAGACCTTGCATGTACCTCATGAACGCAACGACTTGAACGGTTGGAATAAATCTGACTCATTGTTTGTAGAGTTGAAATGGTGGAATGGTGGAAATGAGAATGGTACCAAAAGTGCATGCAGAACCAGTTGTCCAGGTATTGCACAGCTGTTGTATCACCGCATGTGATAGCAGATGAGCAGCGAGATAGCCATCCGCCCACAGACATGAAGAAAGTAGGTTCATGCCAAGCCTTTACAGATGTTTCATGTGCCTGCAATCCTCAAGATGCCCATTGAACGTCCGTGTCCGAGAAGAGCCCCAAGATAGTCTTAGTCCAGTATGTATGTCCATGATTGCCCCCTCTGCACCACTGTTAAGATGAGCTTGTAAAATTGCATACTGTGACCTTTGACTATTGTTCTATTGATCATTTCTTGCCAAACCAAAATAGCAGTCCATGTGACACCAGGGCTTCTGTGACACTAGTCCTGCAACAGTTCTGGTACCTACTAGCTACCTAGATATCCGCAAAAGCATTTTGTTCTTCTTTCCAGCGGCTATGAGCGCCAGCCGGCCATCAATGAAGTCATCCTCACTCAGCCTCCGCTGCTCATCAGACACCTTCTGGTTGTTGACTCGCACCCCACCGCCCTGCATGTGCACCATCAGCTCTTCTCAGACTCACATACAAGAGAATGCGCTTGTGTCTGATGTATATTAAGTAAGAATGCCTCTTCGTCTTCTTTGTAACAGGACAGAATGCAAGGCAGTGGGAGCGCCAAGCAGGGAGCAAGGTCAGCTTTGCAGTTTGATTAGTCTGCATTGAGAATGCATGAGTGCATGGTTCCAAGGGGACGATGTACCTTGATCAAACGCCGCCCCGCGCTCTTGCTCTCCTGCAGCTTGATGGCGACCATGATGTCCGCAAGGGTCTGCCCGAGCACCTGCCCGGCGGGCAGCTCCACTGTGGGCGCGCTGCCCGCCACAGCCTCCAGCGTGTCTATGTCCAGCTTCGTGTCTGAGCCCGGAGCCAGAGCCTGCATCAGCACAGGAATGCCGCTGACATGCACACCCCAAGACATTGCATTCCACCCTTAACAGTACCCAGCAGGATTCCCCTGTACCACGTGAAGCAACTTATCTGCTCTGCAGTCACAACCCCCAAGCCTTCCTCTTTTTGTTTCTTCCCCAGCCTTCTTCTTCCATGGCTGTTTCAAGCAATGGGGCTCTTGTGCATGCTGCTCCTGTACATCCTCTGTGAAAAAGGACACCTCTAACATCCCAGCACCAAACGAAAGGGTGTTGCCTCTTAACAATTATCCGTCTTTGCAGGGACTCAGAAAATGGCCTCTATTGGAACACACCTGGGTGGCGTTGAGGGCCTGGTCAAGCCCCAGCTGGCCATGCACGAAGCGAGTGACCTCGGACGCGAGCAGGCGCTGCGCTGTGTTGGGCTGGTAGCCCGGCTGCTGCATGCTGGCCTCCAGCTGCGCGATGTCCTCCAGGGGCACAAAGGTGAGCATGCGCAGGAACTTGATGACCTCAGCGTCCCCCACGCTCGTCAGCAGGTACTGATAGAACTTGAAGGGCGACATCTTCTCTGCACAGCAGCCGCGACACGGTCAGTGCCAGTCTTCACATGCTTCGCGGTACCCAGCGTGTTCTATGCCACAGTAATAGCGGTCTTTTTGCAGCATCAGAAACCTCTCCTGCTGCTGTGGCAGCTTGATGTTGACAAGTGCGCAAGGAAGAGCGCTCGAGCAATTTAAGTAAATGCAAAGAAGGGTGCTCATCAGTGCTTCCTCGGTCGTAGTCTGTGCACGCAAAACAGCTATGTCCACCATTGCATATGTGCTTGCATGAGCAACATGATTATGGGCGCTGACTTGTTGATGTATGTACTTATTATTTATCGCCTGTCAGGATGCAGATGCGCATGTGAGGGATGCTCCAATGGTGATGTGGCGCACCGGCAGCGAGCCAGACGGCGCCGTCGGCGCTCTTGCCCATTTTGGTGCCGTCGGCCTTGGTCAGCAGCGGGAAAGTGAGGCCGAAGCAGGCCGCTTCCGGGGCGCCGCCGCCCATGCGCCGGATGAGGTCCAGCCCTGTGATGATGTTGCCCATCTGATCCGACCCGCCTATCTGTGGGCGCAGCAGCGGACTCCATTAATCTGAGCTAAATGTGGGTTGACCAAGCTCACCTTTCTTCCAGGCAATCAGGCACAATAAAAAATATCCACAAGAAAGTCCTCAACGGAAGACTGTGTCTCCCATAAAAATAGCTCACTTAGTGATGATTGGTATGTGAATGGGAAAGCATCTCACCTGCATCCGCACCCCGTGCTCCCGATTAAGGTGCACAAAGTCATACCCCTGCAGCAGCTGGTAGGTGAACCTGCACAGAAGACTCCAACATCACACAGTTTCAACAAATTTGCAAGATCCCTGAGACCGTTACTTGATGGAAAGAGTGGAAGACGGCCACAGAATTCGTGCGCTCACTCAGTGAAGGAGATGCCCTCATTGTCGAGCTCCATGCGCGACTTCACGGCGTCCCGTGCCAGCATCGTTCCCACGCGCGCAAATTTGCCCACATCGCGCAGGAAGGACAGCAGGCCCACCTCCTTGAACCAATCCTGCATGGGATCCGGGAGCGGTAAGCCCCCGCTTGGGCGGCAGGCGACTCTTATAAAGAGGAAGCAGCAGACTTAAGCTGTCATGCGACACTTGATGGAAGAACAAACTGAAATGCTCAGGGAGCAGTGAGCCCCCACTTGGGCAGCAGGCAACTCCTACACTGTGCACAAGTGTCAGGGCAGCAAAGACAGCATGGACGGGCTTAGCAGCAGACTCAAGCTGTCGAGCAACATATTGCGGAGGAAAGAAAAACTGAGGTGCTGACCAGGTTGTTCAGGATTTGGGGGGCAGGCCCTGCTCCATTGCTGCTGCCTATGAGGCTCTCCAAGATCCGCCTGATGCCCTGAACATTGCGCTCAATCTCGTCCTCTGACAGTACTGGCCTCTCTGTGCTCCTACCTGCATGTCAACAGTCTCAGGCTGACGACCTGCTTACTTATGACACATTGCCGTTTCATGTCTGCCCATTCGAGCTTCAGAGTGATTTGTGTTTGGCAACAGTGGCTGCAGCTGCATGAATGTCATGAGGGGTCCAATTCTCGGTGTCCCAGTCAACTTGGGAAGGTTGAACACCTGAGGGATCCCCCACACGGCCAGTTGCACCCCCCAGCAGAGCCACTGGCTGGTGGCCGCAGCGCTGGAACCAAGTGAGCACGATGATGCCCAGCAAGTTGCCCAAGTGCAGGCTCTCGGCTGTGGGGTCGAATCCGCAGTACACCGTCAAATTCTCCGTGGCAGCCACCTTCTCCAACGATGGGCTGGTGATGTCCTGCAATATAATTGCAATCAGATTGTTTTGTAAAGCGGAATTTGTGGCGCACAGGGTGCATGCAGCTGGAACGTGTCTGCAAAGGTGGACTTGCTAACCTGCACGAGACCCCGCGATCTGAGCACTTCGACTATTTTCAGCTGTTGTGCTCCTTGCTCCTTCTCGGGTTCAAGCACAGTAACTGCATCTGTGGCCATGGAGCTGCCTTTGCAAGGCGTCCAGTGCCTGCGTCGTCTACAACATGGCCGATGTGAGGACGATTGCCTTCTGCACATTGTACAACAAGGCTGGCATCGCGAGAAGCTTGCTGTCGAATGTCTGAGACCTCTAGATGAAAGGAGAGATGAGCATGGCAATCTGTACAAATGAGTTCTTGCCAAGCCAGAGCATAGCTGGCGCATGGTACCGAACATGTGAAGTACAGATGTGACAGTGCTCTCTAATCTGATCAACGATCGTTTCTATGCACCCCTAGCACGGGTCACACTTAGTAAATGCTGTTGAAAGTACTTTGGGCACGGAGAAAATAAACCTAGCAGGTCCTGAGATGAGGCTCTTAAAACGAATGCATTTAACACGTGATGGGAGAAAGGTGATCCGCAATTTTGGACTACATTCCCGCATTGTTCTATCAGTAAACTGTGTTGAGTCAGGTTCGCCAAATCTGGCAACCGGTCATCATGAGTTCAGTTCTACCGATTGCTTCGGTTGCTACGGAAGGAGCACATTCTGTTGTATCAAGGGGAGACAGGAAGAATGATGGTGCCGTTGACATCGATGGGAGTCGGGGACCCCAACCGAACAGACTTTCAATAGCTGGGTGAGCTTGGAGAACCCTGCCTGGAAGCTCGCCTGTCCCCTGATCCCGCTTGGGCTTGCCGTTGTTTGGAGGGTAAGACCCTTCGGGCATATCATCGTGACGGTGTCAGGAGATGCAGAGAAGCATCATTTGTGGATTTACAGTGCCCTAGGCTTTGCTCCGTTTGTGTCCCGGGTGGACCGTAGCAGGTTGTGTACAGTGTCAAACACAACCTCCTGTGTTGGGCACTCGCTTTCCAAGCAAGACTCACAAGATTTCAAGGGAAGTCAATCTCGCAAGATGATGTTAATGACAGAGAAAGGCGTAGGTTTGCTTACAACGTGTCATATAGTCACGGTCATGGTAGGCACCCTTTTCTTGGCCTGAGCTTCCAAGTTCTCTGATGGAGGCTCCTCAAGATATTGCGAACCCTCAGCCATCTACATCTAAGTGGCGTTGTTAGATGGCCGAATACCTTTAGGTCCAGTCACTGGCAGGCATGTTGCTAGGACGTTCACACTAACAGCCTTCTAGGGAGAACAGGCACAGAGGGACATGGCAGGGTTAAAGTCGTAGTTGCACGAAAAGGCTTGCAAGTCTCCAGTTAGCCCAGGTATACTCCACAGGGCACCAGGCCAGTGACGCTCTGATTGAATTTGCTATTTGCTCTCCTCGCAGGCGGCAGACCAAGGTTCTAAGACACAAATTAGAAGATTTAGGCAGCAGCTGGCATGGCGCAGCAGGAGCACGCCGACAGGGATCTGTTGGCTGGCAACGCGCGGTACAAAAAGTTGCAGGATCTGAATGAGGGCACCTTTGGAGTTGTCATGCTCGCGCTCGACACACAGGCTCGAGAACAGGTGTGTGTCCCTTCATCTGTTATGACACTATGCAGCGTTCAAACATTGTGCATGCCAGCTTGCTATCTTTGCTGAAGCTTTTGCCTCGGGTCTTGCTGACGCGCTTTTGTGCACTTTGCAGGTGGCAATCAAATTCTTGGAAAGGGGGGCAGGTGCGAGACTTTCACTGTGCTTGCAAACCTTCCTTCTTTGCTTCACAACCAGCAAGTCCAGCAAGAATAGCCACCCATTTGCACAGGCTGCAAGTGCGTGACACCTGTGGCTGGAGACCCTGTTGATTCGCTGCAGGTGTCAGCCGAGGGGTGGTGCGGGAGGTGCTGAACCACCGGCTGTGCGTGGCCCACCCGAACATCGTGCAGTTCAAGGAGGTGTTCCTCACGCCGCAGCATCTCGCCATTGTCATGGAGTTCGCGGCGGGCGGTGACATGTTTGAGTATGTGATCAAGCACAAGGGGTCTGCCCCCGGGGAGGGCCTGCCCGAGGACGTGGCGCGCGGCTTCTTCCAGCAGCTCATCCTCGCCCTCGACTTCTGCCAGAAGCTGGGCATCGCCAACAGGTGCGGGCGTCTGGAGAGAGCATGTCTTGGAAGACCGAAGGGTCTCCTGTCATTAGGGCCACCTGCCTGAGCAGCAATGCCTCATGAAACAGTGAGTTTGGGGCCACCAATGATAAAGCATCGAGTATTTGGGTTCGTCACTCAGCTGAGGCATGTGTAGATTCATGCAGAAGCAGGCATGTGCTGTCAATATGGTGTGAAGAGTACAACAGCACCCATTGCGACGACCAAACGGCGAGCGGTGCTGAGTGTGCGGGGGTGCTGTTGCGCAGGGACATCAAGTTGGAGAACACACTGCTGGACGGGGCGCTGCCGCGGCCGAACGTGAAGCTGTGCGACTTTGGTTACAGCAAGAACGAGTTTGTGGACTCGCGGCCCAAGACCGTCAGCGGCACGCCCGACTACATCGCGCCCGAGGTGCTGCTCAATGACCAGTACGACGGCAAGAAGGCCGACATCTGGTCCTGCGGCGTCATGCTCTACGTCATGCTCACAGGTGAGGTCACCGCCGCTGCTCCAGACCTGCTCACCTAGGCTGTTGCCCTTCAACAGGTACTTGCTTTTGCTTCGTGCTCTTTCCAAGCATGTGCAGGGATGCTGTCTGGCCTCCAGCTTTAGTGGACTCCCTGCACAGGCTTGGAAGGGTAAGCAGCGGAAATAATACCAGCCGAAAGAAAATGGGTGACGAAAGGCATCTGCAAGAGAGGTTGGGTATTCAGAGGAGGGATGCGCGGAGCTGAGGGGTGTGGGTGTTGTTGGTGCAGCGGTGCTGCCGTTTGCAAAGCGGGGGGACGACAGGAGCAACAACCTGGTGCGCCTGCAGCAGCTCTTCCCGCGCATCGTGGCGGCGGACTACGAGCAGCCGCGGCGCGTGAGCGAGGAGTGCCGCCACCTGCTCAAGCGCATGCTCACGCCCGACCCCAGCAAGCGCGTCACCATCCCTGAAATCATGCAGCACTCCTGGTGCGCTGCCACCTTCTCCCTATGCCCCTCGACAAAGGGGTAGTCTCACCTTGGGATAAAGCTCCATTTGGGCATGTCCGGCTTGGTGAGCAGCAGCCTGACAAGGAACCTAGTCTTCCTCCAAGCTATCAGTCCACTTGGGCATATGCACTTATATCTAGTCTATACCCCTGACAGTATGAGGATCATTCGTGTAGTCATTGAGGGGCGGTACCATCCACAAAAAGCTGTAAGGTGCGTCAGCAACAAGTTGACGGACTGAGTGGCGCAGGTTTCTGAGCAACCTGGGGCCCGGTATGGGGGAGCTGAACAACCGCTTGGTTCAGAAGGGGGTGCCGCCGCATCTGCAGAAGGTTGAGGAGATTGAGGCCATTGTGCAGCAGGCCACCCAGACAGGAGGCCGCCCAGCCTGGGCCATGGACGACTGGCTCTCCTGAAGGCCTCCACGGTCAGAGCCTGCCCCCTAGCAATGCAAGCCTCATGTCTGCAAGTGCCACTGCCAGGAAGAGAAGCTGTAATGCTGCATGATGCTGATGCTGCGCTGACGTGCGCTGTTGGCTGTTGGAGTCCTGAAGCTTTCTGCGCCTCTGGTCAGATTTTTAGGCACATGCGTGGCAGGAGGAACACGCGGCTTACAGTTCTCTTGGAACGTTGGGCAAATGTTATGTTGTGTCCTCAGGATGCAGGTCACTATCTGACGCTTACTTGTGCTGTTCTGTGCTGGGCAGGCATTGAGCCCTGGAGGCCAGGTGGGGCGCTCCGTGTGCGCATCCCAAGGGGCCTTTTCTGCATGCATCTTTGCCCGAGGCGCATCTTGTGCCTAGGCCTCGTCATTAGAGCATTGCTTTCGGCCCATTTCATGTCCATTTTGTGCGGGTGGGGTTGGTGAGGGGAGGGGGGGAGAGATATGAGGCGCCAGGTCAGCCACTTGGTGTGGCTGCCCTGGCTACGGTGGCAGGGTGCAATTGTACTGGGGGATGCGGGAGTCTTGACACCTTCATCGGCGCATGATGCGCCGCTCACGGTCGCCTTTTGCACATGAGACCTTTGACAGCGTCAGATATGAGCAGTCCTGCACCTGCTGCCCGGGCGCAGCTTTGCCGGGAATGTATGACACAAGGGATGAAGGCTTGTGGAGAGTTGCAGTGCGCGCTGAGGAGCAGCAGCGCCAGAGTTCGTTGTGCATTGCAAACTCGGATGTGTGTTCCAGTTCCTGATCAGCAAATGCTGAGCCAAGTTTGTGTGGTCGTGTTTCCGCCTTCTGTACCCGGTTGCAAGACAGTTGCAAGACCCTGAGTTTCTGCGCTGTTGCATGCTTGGGGCTGCGCGTCTGCGCTTTGCAGGGCAGTGGCTGAGTGTGTTGCATGCATTAGCCTTGTGTGGTCACCTGTGTGGCTCGTCTGGAGGGCCCGGCTGTATCCAGTGAATCTGCCCTGCGGAACAGAGTCTGTCATGAGACGACGAGCTCACAAACGCCCAGTCAGACAGGGCGCAGCACAGATTTCCGGGGAGAGATTCCCAGTGTGGCTGCCATGCTTAAGAGGGCTTCCATGAAGGATTTGTGGCCCTGAAGGCATACAACGACAGAATGGAGTATGTCGATATTAAAGTGCTACCCTTTTTAGTAGGTGCTAATAATAAGGAGAGTTTTTTTCGCCCCTTCAGCAGGCAGGTCTTTTCTGCGGCAAGCAGGCTAGTGCCACAAGTGGTTGGTCATCGTGCTGCACTTCTGGCTTGCGCATCAGGCTAGTGATCCTGTTCTGCGTGCCAGACATTTATTCCAACGATGTATCCTCGTGTCCCTTGCATGCGCATGGTCCAAGTCGTGCTCATGTTGAGGCCAAGAGCTGTCCAGAAACTTACATTAAAAAGGCTCTCATGATATCAGGGACACCCTAACACTGGTTGGGCGGTTGACTACTCATGCCCAATGGATTCAACTTTCTAACCACTGAGCACTCATGAGGACCCATTCATCCACATTCCATCTGTGTAGAGAGAGTGAACGAGGGATTGTAGCGTCTTCCACATTTCTCAGAAGCAGATTACTTCAAGTTGCAATAGCCAGGCCCATGATGAGTCATACACAAGGACACCACCCCAATCGATTCGGTGCTCCTAGAAGCAAGGCAGTGCGACGCAACCACAAAGTGTTATTGGCATTTAATCACGGACTAAATTAATCTGCTATTGCTATCCCCGGGAGCCTGTCCCGGATAGCACACTCAGATATATCAGCTTCCTGATGACCGTGGCTGTCCTGTGTGCGGTTCCTTTCAGAACACCAACCACATTGAGCTGGTCGCAGACTCCGCTCTGTACACAAAGACAATCATCGAATAGAAGGAGCGCGAAGGGTTTCAACACCGTTCGAATTCTGTCAAAGAGGGGGCGTGATTGTTTAACAGTCAAGGCTATTGGTTTTGATCTAGGGCACGAGCCGATCAAAGGTATCGCTAGAATCTAAATCGATATGGTGTACAGTCCTAAAGCAATTCTTGATAAGAGATATAGCTTTCGGTATCTACATTGCCCATCAGATCACAAGATCTTTGCAGTGCTGCTTTCACATGCAGGCGTCGAGAAGAATGCTGAAACGCTCCTAAGAGCAGCCAATTCCCTGCTTATTCATCAGTATGTGCTCAAAAACAAGGCCGCTATGGCATTCACAAAGGCAAGCGATCTTTGCACCTTGCTGAACAGATGAGACAAGCAACACCTTTTCTGATATCCCTCTGCATCTCCGAAAGGCAATTTTAATCCGGAATATGTCTGTACAACAAGCATGAGAGCAATGCAACTGCTGCATAGGTCCTTCTTTTCCTGCAGAGAGGCGGCAACTCTGATGCAGTCCTGTCCGCTTATGGGGAGTTTTATGCCGAGCTTGTCGCCGCAAACCATGCATCATGGCAGGATCTCCTGTTAGATGAGGTGACAATGCTCTTCAAGCACCCAAAAATAACCAGCCCTTGCATACTACACTTCACTGTGTTCTCAACACTGAGTATGTGCATCTGGAGCGGTATATGAAACATTCCAATGGAGCGCGTTGCGTCGCAGATTTTGGCAGGTCGAACGCCCTTGGCCAAAGCCGCTGCTAAAGGCAAGCTGGCAGGACGTGGGCCACTCCAGGATGCAGCAGCCTATGATCTGGAAGTCCTGCAGCGCCTAAGCCTCGCTGAGAGCACACTTGCTGGTGAGCCTCAGCTCAGCATGACGGAGAGATGAGGTCATTGATGGACTGGAAAGATTGCTGACCTGCCACACGGCTGGGCTGCATGTATTGATGCCTGTTGGGCCCTGCAACTTGTGTCTTTGCACCAGGTATAAAGATAAAGAACTGACAAACACTGTGTGCATTGGCCAGGTTGGGTGAATGAAGTGCACCGGACACCGCCCGGCTGGCTCTCAGCAGGTAAGGCCTTTGCACAAGTATCCACATTCTTGCTGCAAGCACTCCTTGTCAGGGTCCGACATGCAGCCTTGTACTTACCTTGGAGCCCCAATGGAATGGTGCAGCTTCGGCAGTGGGCAGAGCAGCGCTTGAGCTCGAGGAAGAAGCTGCAGTAGAAGGCTCAGCAGAAGGCCGCAAGAGTGAGGGAGGTCCAGCGGGGCACATCCTTGCACCGCTTAGCGGCAGGGAACGTCAGAGCTGGCGTGACAGAATTGGCGGCAGCTGGAAATGGTCTGAGGTGCACACCCAGGCTCGAAGCCTCAACTCAAGAGTTCTCCCATCTGAACTGACCTCCTCAAATTGTTGGTTGACCTCAATTCACACTACTGTATTGACAGGTGGCTCACCTTGGCTCCCTGAGAAATTTGGGTGCAGAATTTAATGCAAGGGCACAGATATCATGAATGAGACATACTTCCCATGACATCTGTATGCCTGCAACAGGCATTGCCTGAGTTGCTGGAGTTCTGGTCAGAGCATGGCTTTGGGCTTGTGGGGAAATACAGCGCCCTTCAATGGTCCGGCAGCTCCGGAGGTGCCCTGACAGCAGCAACTGCTAGCTTCGACCCCCAACATAAATCTCAATGCACAGGTGCCACCCCATATCCCTTCCAGCCACTGACCACACCTTCCAAGTGCGCCCCACTTATTCGAGTGACGACTTCATGTCACACAGTTTCCAGCTCGCCTGTTTTAGCTGACCACAAATATCTGTGCGAAAGGGGAAGGAAATGAAGCCAGCTGTCAGGCATTGCTGGATCATAGCCGTGCCTTCCTTGATGGATCAGATACAGGCGGCAGCCGGCACGCACTGCTGTGGGACACATCGCACACCCAGGAGGACACTTGCCTGGTCTGGGCGCGCCTCCTGCAGGTAGCTTACAGACCATGACTCTTTGGCAATATAATGGCAAGCAACAGGCTGTATATCAATTGCAGCATCCAGCCTTGTCCTGCGTTTCAAGACTGGAGAATGTGCAGCACTGCAGCAACCATGGTGAAGACTGCAAAACATGCAAGGGTGCAGCAAGTATAGGGAAGATCATGCGGCAGTGCAGCAACTGTGGTGAAGATTGCAGAACATGTCGCAAAGCAACAGTTGTGGAGTGGGGGCCTCAGAGTTCTCTCTTTAGTGCAAATCTCCTTGAGCTAGATAATGCTGAAAACCACCAAATGTTGTGTGCAGGAGTTGGGCCCACAGGGGTTGAGGCTGGTGAGGCTGCCTGCCAGCGAGCTGGGCTCCATAGACGAGCTGGGCCGCACGCTGAGGCAGCACCCGCGCGTGCGTTTTGTGGTGCTCTGCGACCCATTCACCTTCTCCGCGAGCAGCGCAGCCGCCGTCGTGTCCGCCCTCTCAGGTCTGCACCTATCCCATTGGTGGTCCCTGGTGGTCCTTCCATGATTCAGTACTTCTGGCAGGATGATATTGTTGGTGTCGCCTTATTTCCAAAAGTTTGTTTGGATGCACTGCTGGGCGCTAAATCTGACAATCACTGTCATGCAACCGATCAGCCCCAGGTTGGATTCAAGCTACACATTCATGTGGTGTGACCTGAATGACAGGTGCTATAGGCTGGGATTGTAAAAGGCACGGAAGAAGGGTTTCAGCAATTTTGACCGACATGCAAGAATATATATATATATGCATATATATGTGTGCACGGGTAATTAAAGTGAATGGATGACGTGTGCGTGGCAGGAGGGGGGAGCTGGCCGGCCAACGCAGCGCTGTACACAGTCGTGCACAGCAGCAGAGAGGAAGTGGCGGACGCATTCAGGTCTTTCCCGGCCAGCCGGTGCCTCCTAGCATCCCTGGAGAACAAGTTTGGCCTCAAGCAGACCTGGGGGCAGTAGGCAGTCTTAGTCCTGCATGCCCTTTGTCTGCCGTTCATTGCTGAGCATTTGGCTATAGAACCAAGTTAGACTGGAAGACATACAAGGCGGTGCAAACGCGAAGGAGAGAGGAAGGGCTGCCTCAAAGAGGGAACGAATATATAAAGGGATAATTGTATAAAGGGCATAGCTACTTGAATTCACAAACTTCTGAGACTCAGAACTCAAATGAGAGGAAATGAGAGCAAAAAAGCGTTACAACACACGCATTCCTCTCAGACAGGTAGGACATGGCGCCTATTACTGTGAAGCCTATTCCTTGATGGGGCTGACATGTATGGCGCATCTTTTCCTTCTGCCATTGCTGCTCACCAGCCTGCAGATTGCATAATATTTGCTGCAGAGCAATAAAACAGCACCACTTCATGCGTTCAACAAAACTAAAACACTATCTCATCAATGTTCCCTAGCACTGTGCCTACAAATATCTCATCATAACGCGTCGCAGAGGGCAAGACTCTTATGAAGGCTACACGCCTGTGCTGGCCTGATAGGTTCCTTGAGTTCAATTTGTCCAAATTTCGGGAGCAGTGAGAAGGGTCAGAATCCCAGCCGTGTATCTAAGCCACGCCGGCCTCTGCCTTGCCGCCCTACACAGTTGCACCATACGGTGACTGATCATAAATGATCATAAATGACCAAGCTTATTAATGGCAAAGTAGAACCAACCTGGCCATACATATGGCTGAAAGGTGTCTACACAGTCTTCTAGATCAATAATGCCCGTATGGTGCAACTACCTGCCGTGCTATCTGGCGGCCTTGCCGTTGGTTTTCACGACGGCCTTCTTGGCCACCGATTTTTTGGCGGGCCGCTTGGATGGCTTCAGCTTGGCAAGCGCCTCGGCCTGTCTCGCAAGGCGTTCCCGTACACCGGTCTCTGCAGTGGGTAGATAATAGAGCCGCTGCCGCCAGTGCTCGTGCGTGAAGACGACCGAGCGCCAAAGCCGCGCGGACGGCACCGGCTTGTGCATCTGCACCGTGTTGTCCATGTGCAGCAGGTCGCCCTCCTGCACCCCCAGCCTCTGCATGTCCTGCGCCGCGCATGTGAACCACATTTTTGAACCCAAACATCACACCATGACCCATAGACCTCTACCTCAGGCACTGTAGAAGACTCCCTTTGTGGCACATGTTGGACAGGTGCAGATGCCCGCGCCAGTCATGTCAATAGTGGGGGCTGTGCTATGTTGTCCTCTATCATGCATCAAGTCAGGGGGTGCTTGGGAGAGGTGCAGCCAGGAAATGGTGTACCTCCTCGGATGTGAAGAGGAAGCCCAGGGCACGCCAGGTTGCCTTCACGTCGGGGTCGTCCGTGCTGCAGAGGAGCAGGTAGGGCAGCTTGCACGCCCGCGCGATCTCCTCAATGGCCTGCAGAGAAGAGCCATTTCAAGCCAGGCACAGGTGACAACCGATACTGTATCAGGGACAGGGCGCAACACACAGGTTCTTAAGGACATCACACAAGCCTGCTGCGAACAAGGCTCCGAGTCTTCAGGTCACAGGATCGAGTCTTACACAAGTGGGTGCCGCCTGGACAAGGCTGAGAGTCTACAATATAAGATAAATTCTCAGATGTGTCAATGCTGGTCTCTTGTGTCCAATGGTCACCTGCAGCAGGGCGCGGCCGTAGCCCTTGCGGCGGCGCGCATCCTGCGTGGCGAAGAAGGGGACCTCCAGGAAGCCCGGCCCGGCACGGATGACGGCCGCGCAGATCGGCTTGCCGTTCGGCATCAGCGCCGGCAGCGGCGCGGCCGGTGCGCCCAGCTCCGGGTGCCTCTTGGGCGCCTCGTCAGCATACGCGCGCGGCGGCACCCACCCCGGCTTGAACCGCGGCAGCAGCGCGACCACCCGGAAGCCGCCAAAGTCCTGGTCCATGCAGCGCCAGTTAGCGGGCGTTCCCTACAAACAAGCACGCGGCAAACCCCCCTGTGCGCGCGTGCGTTTGACCCGGCTGCGGAGCCGGGGCGCGACGGTTGCGCACCCGCCGCCCCCGGCATCCGTTCGCCAAAGTAGTTTTGATCGCTATAGGCGGGGCTATACATGTCGCCAACAGAGGCTCAAATGTCTAATTGTGCAGCACCAGGTTGCCAAATATGAAGCTGCAAATGGTGACTTGGGGGAAGGCTTAAGAAAGGGGAGAGGCATGGGTATGGGCAGCGCACCAGCTCATTGTCTCCAAGAGCATCCTCAGCCGTCACCGTCCAGTCCAAGTACTCGTGAATGGTTGCAATCCTGGGTGCCTCCTCCAGAGTCGTCTTCCTGCCGCGCGGCGGCCGCGTCTGGGGGACACAGAGCAGGCAATGAGCATGCAACATCCTGGAGACTCCCGCATGGGCAGGCAAGGCATGCATTAATATTCACCAGCACAGCAATCTGTGAATGGCGTACATTACACAGGGTGCATGCTGCGCTGCTGTGAATCCTTTAGCAAGACATGCATGCAGATGCACCAGCTAAGGGAGGTCCCCCATCTCACCTGCCCGGTCTCAAAGGCTTTGAACATGAAGCCGACGTCCGCTCGAGCCGTTTTGATGCCCTCCTCCTTCCCCTGGGGATGGTGGCGGTAGTCCCGCAGCTCATAGTACACCATCGGCTGGCCAGCCACCTCAAACATTTCATTCCTGGGCAGTGTGAACAGGACCTGGCGGGCCTGCCTCAACTCGTGCCTCCTCAGAGAGTTGCTGAAGTCACTCATCCCCAGTGAGCCTCTCCGTCCAGTCCAAAATGCTGTGCTGAACCATGCCCCTCGCCAATGTCAGGGCACCCCTCCACAGGTAGGGGCTGTCACCCCATGTACGATAGTGGGGTCGCCCTCTTCAGCCTCCTAGCGTCTTTCCAATCCCCAATATTTGACGAAGGATACGACTTGTGGCCTTTGAGTCTACTTCAATGCTCCTGCTACTGCTGGGCTTTCTCTTCTGAGCTTGAAAGTACTGGTACTGAATTCTCTGAGTCGAACCCTCTTGCCAATATTGAATGCTTATCAAGGAACGAAGGCAGCCAACGATGATTGTGTGTTGAGATACCTTCTTTCAGGTCATTCCTGTACTGAGATCGCACACAGAATATCTTGGTTCACAGCCAACCTGATCTCCTGTCGTGACCCCAAACTTTGGCTGCTGCAATCGATGTACCAGCTTCTAAGAAGACTAGCGACCTCAATAAGACTATGCAATCCACAGCTGGGGACCGTCAACTGCAGAATTCAAGGTACTGCACCCTTCTTCACCTTGAGGGACCTGGATTGCTTTTACGGATTCAACATTTACGGTCTATCCGCACTCGTGATCCGTAAGTGCTGGTTGGGTTTGAGCCTGCCCTTCTGATTCTGCTGCCCTATTGCCTGACAAGGTGCAAGTCGAGCTTTTGCTCTATTATCCTGAACCGTCACGGGCCCATGGACCGCCGAGGTCATCTGCATTAATCCGTCACGGTACCGTTTACCGGTTTAAACTACAAAATCTTGAAGTTTTGCGAAAAGACTGCCGCTGCCGCTCAGCGGGTTGCATGCTCATGGCATCAGAGATCATGGATGGATCATGATCTTTGACATGCACATGCACAGAAGAATTGACGTGTGCACTTCCAATGCATGTGCACACGGATATGGCCACCTGACCAGTAGCTATGGCAGTGCATAACTTATGCACTGTTGCATTGAATGCATCATGCATGATGCTGCCCATCATGGCGCCATGCCCAGTGCCGGCAGTTCTGAGTCAGGCTTAGAACTGTTCAGCCAATTTGACATCATGTGGCTCAGTGGTAATGATTACATGAGGTCGTGAAGTACTCCAGGACTCCTCGGAGGATCCTTCAATTCTTGGACCAAAAATGCACACATTGCTGAAAATCTGCAGATGTTCCACAAGACCTTTATTTGACCAATTAGGAGTGCAAGACGACTGTAACAGACAAGAGATTAAGACAGTTTCCAAAGAATTTCACTTGGGTAAGCAGCCGCAGCACAATCAAAACAATTCAGGGCAAGAAATGTTGATGATGCTTTAGCTGCAGCCCCTGCTGCAGCCTGCCAGCAGCGCTGTAGTGGCTGCAGCAAAGGGTGCAGTGACTTTATGAACAACAAAGTGCGCTGCTGCACACAACACATCCAGAGCAATTGGAACATGTTGCGCTCAGCTTCATGAATGCAGTACTATGCATGGTACTTCAACTCAATGGCAGACTTCTTGCATTGTGGCATCAATCAGAGCAACTTCTCGCTTGAGCGAGCGTCTTATTATTGCTCCAACATTTGTGTACAATCTCTCCGCCCAGCACTCACTCTGGCTTGGGTGAGCGCGCTGTGATGTTGGCAGTCTTCTGCTCAATGTGGGGAAGAAACTGCAACGCAGCACATCGACAACTTCAGGCCTTGACATGCCTTGTTAGTTTGAACTTGATGGAGCTTTCACTTGCTCCATGTCTGCAGATGGGCCTCCCAGTATACAGCTGGTTGATAGATAATATTGTTCTGCCAAATGCTGCAGGCATGTGGAGAGTGGTGCTTACCTTGCCATTGAGGGTGATGACCACCCTCTTCTCACCAGCACCCCCCACGATGTCATCAATATTGGCAAACATGTCAATGGCGCTCATGATGCCGTCACCGAACTCCTGCATACACCGCAAACAGTTGGTTTTCCTTTGGATAAGTAGATGCCAGATGCCAGATGGCTGGGAGCCCCCTGGAGGAAGGCTCAGTGAGCCAGAGTCACTGCTGAGCTCTCAGGTCACAAAACTTGGAGGTTCAAAGCATTCAAAGCATTGATGGACGTCAAAGAGCTACTGGACCACACTGAAGTATACAATGAACTGGGTTAGTTATGATCTGCTGCATGCTCAGAGCTCACCTCGTTGCAAATTGCCTTGATTGACTCGCCATACAACATGATAGCCTGCAGCGCGGACACAGCCCAATTCATCAAGTGGGTCTTGACAACAAGTCATAATGAGAGCAGCGTGTTACACAAAGGGAATGCCTTTCAAGGCACATCAGATCATAACAATCGATTTTATATTCAGAGAAAGGGCTGCACACTGACCTCGTACAGCCGGTACACTGTTGGCTCCTGGATGATGCTGGGGTCAAATTGCCGCAGAGGTGAAACTTTCATCTCCTCGATGAGCTCATCCGTGAGACCCGGGACAGCACTTTGGAGGGCTGCGGCTGTCGCTGGCTTCAGCTCGGTCTGTAGCAGTACAATGACTTGATAAGATCTGTTGAGACGAGAACTCAAGGATTGACTACCTGTTGTGACACAATGACACGAGCATAGCATTGACTGTCGAGGTGATGAGCTGGAAAGGGCTCACCTGGTTGTGGAAGAGCTGGGCAGTGTATAGGTTTGTGAGACCAACTTCGTTGGCAATCTGAGTGAAAGTCTTGCCCGATGCCTTCTTTGCTTGCAGCAGCTTGTACACCAGCTCCTCCTTCCCTGAAATCGACAGAAGAACTCCAATGAGTGTGTAGTGCTGATGCATTAATGACTGCACTTTTCATAAACGAGTGGCAGATCTGTCCAAGGTAAAGGGGAGACGCACTTGCTCCACGAAGGATGGAAGGAGCTGCTGGCGCAAATATAGGTGTTGCCCTGCGACAGTGAAATAAAAAACTCAGATCATCCCGGAGTAGCTTTTGCACCGTGTCATGCTCTGCGGCATTGACGTAGCCTAGGTTGGCTACGACACAGTGAGTGGCACTGATCTTGAGCTGATCGTGATGCGGCAATGTTTTCGACAATATTTGTCGCTATCTTGAAGCTTACATTGCTCTCGGTGGTGACTGAATGGCTGTCTAGATGCCGATGATCGGAGATCGGAAGAGCAGGGTTGCGTTGAAATTCGCGCTGAATGGTAGTATAATATCCTGCAAGCAATGTTGTCCCTTCACCTGTTCCTTACTATGACGTTACCCTAGCAGAATTGGACCTTTCGCAAGAGCTCGACTTCGCGACAACAGGCGCACGCGGCTGGGGTTTGACCCCCTGGGCAAGGGTCATGGAAAAATTTACTGGGCCCTAGCTTCCATTCCATGACATGCTACGCTTTGATCTAAATAAATAAATATCAGGTGTTTTTGCTTGCCAATAATGACGACTGGCAGATCTTTGTGATGCGACCTTAACATATAAAGCAGCTGACGGATCTTTCTGTTCCACGTCGATGATCTTGTTTGAACGGTTATTCTTGGACGTCAGTGTTGAAGTTTCACGCCCCGATGATGGCCTAGAGCATACGTTGAGATAACATATGATTGAACCAGAATGAAGGTGCAAAAGAAAGGCACGCCAGGCGTTGGCAGGAACAAGAAGGCCAAGCCTGCAGCTACTTTAAACTCTGTAGAGGCTCTCAGGCTGAAGTGCCGCATCGAAGCTGGCGATCTTGACAGAGAAACGCTGCTGGATTTGTTGAGCGCAGCACAGCAGGCCTGCGACTTATATGATAAGGCATGCAAGGGCAAGAAGGACAATCCGAATTGCCTCTGTGGCCTCATCCCAGCACCAGGAAGCTCCAGGCGTAAAGGTCTTTGGCAGAAGGAGCCAGATGCTCTTTTCAGCCTTGGATCTAATCCTTTGAACGACAAACGACAGGTGCTCTTTGCAAGCCCAGTGAAGATTAATCCATGTATGTGTTTGACGTTACGAGCACAACAACATCCTCAAATTGATTCACATAATTGCACCTGTGACCCACTACACTGCTTTGCAAAGGCCTTACCATGAAGCAAAGCAGCCGTTCCAATGCCCTGAAGTCTGACTGGAACCTGTGCTGTCATGAAGATGTCACCCCAGAGCAGCAGCATACCATCAGGGCTCAACAACCTCGGGAACACGTGTTACGTCAATAGCGCTCTGCAGTGCCTGTTCATGATCCAAGCTTTCCGCGAGGGCCTCTTTGCTGTGGATGATCCCATTGCGGATCTGCCCGTCATTTCACACATCAGGTATGCTGCAGTGCGGAGCCTGAATGCCTCCATCAACTGCCTTGCCAATCTATAAAGGACATTGTGCCCATTGACTGATGCAAAGGTGGTTGGATTAGTTCAATTTGGTGCGGCAGGCGTCTGTTTGCGGAGCTGCAAGAAGGACCCAGAGACAGTGCAGACCCCACTGCCTTTGCACAGTCCCTGAACCTTGACCACAGCTACCAGCAGGCGAGTGGACTCTGCCCTTGTTACTCTAGGTTTTCTTGCACTCAGATTCTCTTCCTGATGTCTGATGCTTGCCTGCCTGATGTGATTTATTTGACCATGCAGGATGGACAGGAGTTCTTCAAATTGCTGCTGAACTTGCTTGAGGCAAAGCTGGCGAAGTCGAGCATTCCGGTATGTTTTCTATTGGTTTCCATTGGTTGTAGTCTGTTTGCGCCTAATGACCTTGACCGGATTATTAATGCATTTGCTTGGCTGAGGTGCCTCGGTTCGTCATGTGATCAGGGTGTGAGGGACGTGGTGCCAACGCTCTTTCGGGGACGCTACTTCTACGAGACAAAGTGTCTGGTGATCCTCTGCTCTCTTACTTACATGGCCTTTATTCCCAGCTGCCTTGTGAGTAAAGAGGGCACAATGGAAATGTGTGGTGCTGAAGTCTTCTGTGTGGTCCTGCAGTCTTGTGGACAGCTGTCAGAGGGATCAGGCAGGGCCACAAACTTCTACGAGCTGGATGCCCAAGTGAAGGGCATGCCAACTTTAGAAGCTAGTTTGGTAGGTCAAAGGTTCTGTCCGATCAAAGAGAGGTGTCTCTGGGTTGCCGATTGTAACTCACCCGTTACTGGCACAATGGGTGGCTGAGACTGGCTTTTCTACCTGGCAGGCAACGCTGTTGGGAGCAGAGCACATGGAGGGAGACAATCAATTTTTCTGCACACTCTGCCACAAGAAAACAGATGCCCAGCGGCAGATGAAGCTGGTGTCAACGCCACCATACCTCTGCCTGTCCCTGCAGCGCTTTGTCTTCGACATGAAGGTGGGTTTTTGTTGGCACCTGCATAATTATACTGTTATTCACTGGACACTATAGACTTGCTGTATACCTCTTCTTGTGGCCTGTCATCAAGGAAACCCCAAGGTGCTGCTGCGTTCGTGCAGAAAATGGCAAAGGTGAAAGCCAGCGACAAGCTATCTTTCCCGCTGAAGCTGGATCTGGCTCCCCTCCTGGGCACAGATGGGCCGAGCCAGTTGCGAGGCAGTCCCCAGAGGGAGACCCAGTATGAGCTCATGTCCATCCTCATCCACAAGGGCTCCAGCGCAAGCCATGGCCATTACGGTATTGCCTTCTTTGAACACATTCACTCCATTGTGCCTGGACTCTGTTTTTCCATTCAGGATCAGATGTTTGCCTTCTCATTTTTCTTGCTTTTTGCGTGCGAGTGTGTGTGTGGGTTCATGGCTTCATAGTGAGTGTGTGGGTTGGTGCATGGTACAGTTGCGCATGTGTGGGATGAGGAGGCAGAGAAGTGGTGGCGCTTTGATGACGAGACAGTGGCCGAGATGCCTAAGGGGCCTGTTGGCGAACGCGGCGATCATGGCGTTGCCGCTGAGAAGAAGGCAAGCCCCACTGCGTCTCAATTCTTCCCGCTCGTTCACCTTGATGTCCGTATGCAACCACATGATCAGCTGCGCAGGGCAGCTGCAGGACATGCATGAGCATTGCTGATCTTGTGATTGCATGCATGAAAGTGACTGAGACAAGTGTGTGTTGCAGGGCGGGGCTCCTAGCACGAAGGGCAAGCGCAAGGTGAGCGCGGCGGCGGCTGAGGAGAATGAGGTGGAGGTTGTGGGGGTGGTGAGGAGGCAGGGAACGCCTGATGATCCCATGGTGCTGGATGCTGACCCGGAGCCCGCTGATGTCAGCACGCCGCCAAACCAGGCGGCCGAGGAGACTCAGCAGGACCGCATCGCATCGGCCAACGCCTACATGCTCGTCTACCGGCGCCAGAGCCACCACGGCGGCGCCAGAAGGATAGAGCTGCCTGCCAAGTATGTCAGGCTACTGTGGAACCTCTATATGCTCAGCTGTCGGATTTTGGTAGGCTGTACATGCAGCTTGTCTGCCTACGCTCCTTGCCTTGGCAGAAGAAGCTTGCAATAATTGTAATATGCGCAGCAAACTGCTAAAAACGGCGGCGTGGCTTGCTGTGTGTGGGCATTCATATATGTAACAAAGCGGAGGATCTGAGCGTGGCGTTTGTTGCAGGCTGAATGCGCTTATGGCGGAGGAGCGTGCTGCTTTTGAGACGTCATGCGCTAAGTACGAGGCCAAGAAGGAGGAGCTGATGGAGAAGGTGCAGCGGCAGCAGGCCTCTGTGCGCCAGATACTGGAGTCTGCACTTCTGCCAGGCCCCGAGTGGGAAAGCAGGTACTGTCCTTGGCGCCTCTAGCATTGCCATTTGCAGGTCCACATGCACATGGTCTGAACCAGTTCTGATGAGCGCTAGCAGTGCTGAAGGCTTTGATATACAAAGGGCGACTTTTCCTTGCCTGTAGAGCCAATAGTGGTTTAGGGTTGCATGTGCTGATCGAGGTCATGCGGCACAGGTGGGTCTCAGCGGATTGGCTGAAGCAGTGGGCAGATCAGGGCTCCACCGAGCCTGTGAAGAATGACCCTCTCCTGTGCTCTCACGGCAAGCTGGACCCTGCCAAGAAGACAGGTGTGTCCTGAGTCAATTTAAAGCCCATTGCTCCAACCGTGTTGTTTTACATGTGTGCTTTGCACGAGTGCCTATTGTCATGAAAGCTTCCCCTGAGTCCTGACTCCGCAAGAACAAAGTAAAGCTCCTTGATGAAGCGGCGCATGTTGTGCGGAGGGGAACGGATCACAGCAGATGCTCATCAAATTATTCGGCCTCATCAGATATAGGGATTTGAATCTAGGGGTTCGAATTGGGCATTGACGTGCGGCGCACGGTGTGCAGAGGGGAAGAGGATCACGGCGGAGGCGTGGGGCCGGCTGCAGGAGGAGGTCGGGGGCGGCCCGGAGCTGTCCGACGGCGATGCCTGCTGGCAGTGTCTGGCTGTGAGCCTGCAGGGGCTTGTGGACGCGCAGCAGGGCTCCATGGAGCGCGACAGCGTGCTGCAGATCGTCAACGCACTCGCCGAGGAGGTCGAGGGGCACTCGCGCCAGCCGCAGCCCGACGACTTCTACGTGTCCAAGTCCTGGCTCTTGTGCGCGCCCTCTTCTTGTCTGAGAGCCGTGCACTTTGGCTTGTCTGCAGTGATATGGGGTCACAGGCACTAGCAGGACACCCTTCTCCTCAATGATCTGTTGTGCGCATGCCCTTTGCTCTATCAAGATTTTGTGTGTGTTGGAACAAGCGTTTCGAACTTTGCCCAAGCGAACGCATGTTGTGGCGGACTGAGCTTATTGATGCTGTCTAGGGAATAGTCAGGGGTGGCAGAGAGCGGTCTTTTCTACTCTTGACCTGCAGATATTGATGTTCAGTGCCTTGTCTGCAGGGGCTGGAGGCGACGGGCGAAGAGCACCGTGAACACCATGTCTCCCACGCAGAGCATCACCTGCAAGCACGGCGGCCTGCTGCCGGAGGTGGCCGGCCCCAAGGCCAAGCGCATCGCTGTGCCCTCCTTTGTGTGGCAGCACCTGCGCAGCAGCTGGCGCCCCGCTGACTCAGCCGCGCCTGCCAAAACTGGCTCGTCAGGCTCAGACGCCTCTGATCAGAGGTGGGGACCTGTCAGCATGTTCTGAGTGACTACATAATGCTTGCGTCGGTTGAAATACTCCACAGGGAGGTGCTTCTCACACTTGTGTTGGAGGTAAATCATGAATATGAAATGTAGGTGGTTGATTGCAGGGCACAGCAGCTGGACGAGCGCGAAGCAGCAGTGGCAGCCCGGGAGCAGAGGGTTGGCGGCGGCATGGATTCAGAGCTCCTGGCTGAGACGCTGCAGGCGATGCCAAACGGGCACGGAAAGGCAGGAAGCAGAGAGGTGCGCTGGTGTCCTTAATTGCCCATAGTTTCCCGTTCTCGCGTGTACGACCACCCCTGGTCCGTCATATAGTAGCATTTATGTCTTGTCAAAGTCCTCAAGCTGACGTGTGAAAGATATTGAATGCAGGGAAGTCAGGAGCGGCTGGCGGCTCGCGAGGCCATCTTGGAAATGAGGGAAGCTGCTGTGGCAGCCAAGGAGGCAGCTGTACTCGGCGCTGAAGGGGGTGATACACTCTCAAATGCGCCTGGCCCAACCGATGGCATGTCGCACGACAACAGGCCTGGTGGTCCACAGGAAGCCTGCCAAAACGGGTAGGCTCTTATAATGTTTCCAGCTCTTCCTGGGCAAATCCGATGTTGCTGCATTGTGCATGCCGCTGCGGGAGGTGCAGGAGCCTGAACAGGGTGCGGTGTGTCTTTGAAGGGACGGAGCAGCCGCCGGCCGCGAGCACCAGGACACAGACATGGCTGATGCAGGTGCAGCAGACACCGCAAAGCGAAAAGTGGAGCCCGCCAGCAATGGTTATGCAGCAGAGCAGATTGACCTGTGTGGCGACGAGGAGGATGCTCCTGAGAAGGCTGAGCCAGGTACTTGCCATGCTGTCTCACAATCGTATTCAGAACTGATGCACTTGTGCCAAGACGGTTCGATCAAAAGCCTTTTGTGTGTCTTGATGTGTGCTGATGGCGCAGGGTGTTCAGCCCATCAAGAGATGCGGGAGTTCAGGGTGTCAGATGCGAACATCTGCCCTATCTGCATGGTTGAGCTGAACGCCGACGCCAGCACCGGCCAGGTGCGCCTCTCACAGCACCTGGAATGTTTCAAGCCCAGTGCCAACCTCAGGATATGCTCATCCATGCAAGCACTATGTCAATCCGCACCTGCAAAGTGTCATGCCCTCCAGAGCTAGAAGCGCAGCCCTACCTTATTCATGCTGATATATGCATGCGCCATGTGAAGCCAGTTCCGTCCCTTGCTGCTGCGTCGGAAGAGAGGCTTTGGCGGTATCTGTGCTCCCCATGCGCAAACAAATGCCTCTTGATGGTGGAATGGCTCACGTGTCGTCTGGTGGCTGCAGCACTTGAAGGAGCAGGCGGGGGCGCAGAGGAACGTGCTGGCCCAGCTGGCAGCCAGCACCTCGCTGCATCTGGAGCCGGGCGGCAGCTACTGCCTGGTGCCACGGCCCTGGCTGGCCGCCTGGCGCGCCTTCCTCGGCACCTCCGGCCGGCGCGGCAGCGACGCCGGGCAGCCGCCGCCGCCGGTGCCGAGCGCCGTCGCAGAGGTGTTCTGCACCTGCCACCCTGCCGACGACAAGTGTCCCGGCTGCCTCAGCGTGACGCCTCCTGCCGTCGTCAAGAGGTGCGTGCTGCTGTAAACTTGAGCCTAGCAGACTGGTCTCTGGTTGGCAGCGCTCTCTCCATGGTGTATTTCTTTTGAATTCTGCATTGGGTGTTTCAAGTGAAGAGTCTCAGGCGCTGCACATTTGTTACCTGCAGGCGAGGGAGGTGGGCTCAGGCCAGCCTGGAGACTGACGCCTTCGAAGTGATCAACTTGGCTGACTGGGAACACCTGATGGCCTTCTATGGCGATGACCGCACCCTCAGCGAGGCCCACCCCGCACGCAGGTATGCCTTCAAATATTCACCGTGCTGTATGATTCAATGCAGCGCATCAACCCTTGTTGCAGTGCTTTTTTAAGTCCCAGAAAATGATCACACAGGTGTCACCTAGCACTGCAGTATGGTAACACCCGGTCTACTTTATGCAGGCCCATCAGGGCGACCCTGGTTGTGGACCCGTCAGCGCCAGTGAAGGCAGCAGAGCCGGCTGAGGGAGGCGCTGAGGCCCAGGAAGATGACGGTGCGGCAGCTGAGGCAAAGAAGCCGTCGGCTCGCGGCACAGACGAGTCTGCGCGCGCCCACCTCGCCACAGACCCCGACTGGTGCCGCCAGGTGTGTAAGGGGTTCCTCTCTGTTCGAATCACATCAGCACGGATGCCTCAAAGTGTGGATACTTGTGTAACAAAGGGTGTAGGTGGCAAGCAGAGGGGTGACTAATCTTCTGGGCTGAGGAACTTGGCACGCCTGAGACAGACACTAATGTGTAAGATTGATAGAGGAATAGAGGCCTGCACTTGTAAGATTGGTTTGGAATGGCAGCAAAGGAAGCATAATGGATGTATTGTTTTCACTCTGCTTGACGGAAGACAGGGACGGCAGCAGAGTGTTGAAAGGCGTGCCTGGTGTCTGGATGTGCGCAGGCAGTGCAGGAGCGCGAGGATGCGCTGCGGGTGGAGCAGCTGACCTACACGGACGCCACCTTCCATGTGGAGCTCGTGCAGCAGTCGGACGTCACTGGGTCAGCCACGGCCTTCACTGGTGAACACTTGCCTCTTCTCCTAATCATCTCCCCTTCTGCCCGCCCTTCCCTTGTTGCACTCTCGCACTTCCATGCGTCACTTGGAGAGCTTGAAACTGTGTTTCTAGAGGCGCTCCACAAAGTGCATGCAAAGACCGGACACAACAATCTTCCAGTGGAATGTCCAGTAACAAGCTTTCGGTCTTAACTCTGGAATAGCAGTGTGTAATTGTGCGACGTACTGGGGGAAAATTGATGTATGAACTATGTTCGACACCCTTAGCCACGCCAGTAGCCGGATGACTGACGAAGCTGTGGCGCAGTGTTGGGCGAGCGACGGTCGAAGCGCGTGCGGCGGGGCAAGGCGGCGGTGACGGTGAGCGCGCTCAACACGCTGTGGGACCTTAAGCTGCGCATCCTGGAGGCCCTCAGCGTGCACCCCAGAAACGCCGACGTGTACTGCCTCGCGCACAGCAAATGGACCAAACTCGACAACGACGAGGCCAGCCTGGCCGGTACGCGCCCGGCGTCTTTTGCCTGTGGTGTTGTCCTGCCGGTTGGGAAATATGCCTGCTCAGATGTTGGCCCCGCGCAGCCGTTCATTTAAGGTCTTGGCAGCATTGAATGTTAGCATGTGCAAAGATGCTGTGATACCCTCTGCTGACCTGGTTGCTGTGCCAAGCACTTCAAAGCACTGGCACTGCATCTTGTGATTGATGTCCTGTGACAGCAGCAAGGCCTGTCTGCTGTACGTGCATGCTTTGCAGCAGAGGGAGAGAAACCTTGGCATGAGGGATTTGCGGGCTCTGCGCTTGTTTGCCGGGTCGAGGGATTGAGCAGGTTTCATGGGTTGCTGCAGAGCTGGGGGTGGGGCAAGGGCAGGGCATCCGGGTGGTGCATGCTGGCGTGGTGAGCGATGATGACCTTACCGGAGTCCTGGGCGGCCCAGTCGAGGCAAACAGCTCCGCACGGGCGGCCGAGCGTGGATTTGCCGGCACTGGTCTGGTGGGCCTGTGAGGAAATTCAGTGTGCCCCAGCTTATGTTCATTGGGTCTGATGGTGCCATCTGGAACTGCAGTGAGCTGAAATAAGCACAGCTTCACATGTTGTGCTTTGCACCCTTGCAGATGCTTGAGACGGCTGCAAGGCAATCATTGGAGGGTTCTTCATGTTGTCTGAAAGTCCAAGAATCAGAACAGCATGCAAACGAATGCAAACTCAGTGGTGGACATATGTGTCTCCGGTGTCCTAGCTAGGAATATTGTCCATTGTTGCTCGGTTTGTTGTGCACATACAGGAACCTCGTGAAGGTCAAGGGCACAATATTGTAATAGCAGAGGCGATTTCTCCTAGGTTGGAAAAAGTCTACAATGCACTCACTGGCATCTTGCAATTGTATTGAATACTATTTGTCTGCACCAGTCCACTGCCTCATGAGATCAGGCAGGCTGTACTCTCAATAAATACTAGTCCTTTTGAAACATTCATGCGGTTCAAATTGTGGCATGCTGCAACAATGGTGTTGAAGGGGTTGTACCAAAAAAGATTTTGGCACTGCTGGCAGCATCATGCAGAGCGGCGCCCGGGCCCGGCCGCCGTGCGGTGCTGTCGAGATTCGGCAGCTCGAGCTAACTCAACTTGATCGAGCTCTGACATGCAAATATGCTTACAGGGATTGAGCAGTGCTGCGGGTCGCTAGGGCATGTCATGACCTTGTTCGACCCTTGAGCAACAAAAAGGCATGCATCCGGTTGGAGATTTGTGAGACCGATTTGGAAGGGCAGGGGGAAATATCATGCGATGTCGGAGATGTTGTTCGAGCGATCGACGGTTAAATTATTGATTAGATTAGTCTGCATCCATCCTGTACGCGGGTAACAAGGTACGCCTCCCGTGACTGTATGCGGGACAAGCTTTTAGACACTTGGAGACCAATTGATCGTTCCGGAAGAGCACTTCTCCCATGTCGGAAACAGGGCTGCAAGGCAACGCGCTCATTTAAGCTGCGACTTTCGACACATTTACTTCTCTGAATGATATATAGTGTGTGTTTTGCAGCCTAAAAATTATTTGTTCAGTCTACATCTGCGGCAGCTGGCGTGAGCAAACACGGGGCAAGGTAGGTGATCAAAGCGACCTTCGAACTCCTGTAAACATGTTTAAGCCTCACGGACGATCCTTCTGTACTGCGCCAAAATAAACTTTGATGTAGGGTTGAGACATCGGGCAGTGTCCCTTTTCAAATCAGAAGCTGTCAACCCTCTGACTCAGCATGTGTTGATGGGCGATGTCTGGTGTGCAGGTCGTCTGCTGAAGGTATGGACATTACCCGCATCTTCTGCGTGGTACTCTGCTTCATGCTGCTCGCGTTGAGCGGCCTGCAGCCTGGAAGCTGCCGGTCTCTGACTCAAACCCCCGGTACGCCAGTTGGAAGGGACTGCAAGCCTTCTGGCAGCAACTGCTCAAGCAGCTCTCACTGCTGCAGCCGCAAGTGCAGCACAAGCTACTTCCGCTGCGGTTGAATCCGCATGCAGCACTGACCCCTGGACTGCACCATTTTGGACACCACACTTGTACAGAGTAACCACACACTGCCAAAGCACCCCGTTGCCAGTTTTTCTGATGTCCATCAGGCATGGGCTAAAATCGGTGAGTCCATGGTCAGGATTGGATTGGAACTTCAGGACAGGCGTGTACATGTTGAACTTGACTCTGCTGAACAGAGAAGTGCAGACTGTGACTTGCAGTCGAAGTGTGCGCCCTGTCATTCCAACCGCAGAGATTTATGGTTCTCAGCAGAGTGTGGGCGGGGCGCCGCACCCTGTCACTGCCAAACATAAGGTGTCAGGTTGGAGTTTTGAAGGTGCAATGCTGCTTGTAGGAAGCATGGCATGTCTGCACCTGCTGAGAGTTTTATTATGCTCAGTGAATGTGTACAAGATGCATGACACCCGTGCAGCGCACCCGTGCAGCGCATGCAGCCGCCATGCTATTTAGCATGGAACTGGATATGAGAATCTTTGAGTATTATGTGCACGTACTGCAGTGCAGGCTGTTGCAGATATTGATGATTGCACACCGGCAGTGTCATCCTGACTGCAGTGCAGGATGATGATCATAGGGTTATGATGGACACTCGCGACATCAAGCAGACTGTACATATGTATTGCTGGCCATACTTGGCTAAAGTCAAGTCTCCAAGAGCCTCTGGCCGCCATGACTCATCTTCGGAAGCCTGCATCTGATGAGCATTTTAGTCATGCATTGCGCAATGCAGGGTGGGTCTAGTCACTGAGTGCTGGGGGCAGCAGTGTAATGGAGTGATCGTGATATATTCCCCTGTGGCTTGTGACTTTGATGGCGCCGATCGTGTAATACGTTCTTGGCTTTCTTGCTGCAATTCCTTGTCCTGTCCCCATTTGGCTCTCCCTTCACTTGAATTTGAACGGCTTGCCGTCGATTAGGGCGTTCCCGGTAGCCGCTGGAGTTGAAGTTTCGGAAGGTGGATGATGCACATTGCAGCCTTCAACAAGTGATGGAAAGCAGATTGTACTATGTTCCATGCATTCGGTCTCATTAAGCTGTATCACGCAGCCCAGAGTACTCTTCAGATCACACTTCCACAGTCCTTACCGTTCTCTAGATCGCTCTGCACCTGCGTTGGATCGAATCTGTCATCCTCAATATTTCCGTTAAGAACAACTGAGGGTTCAGGAGGTCTAAGCGCGAGATTGCTCGGCCCTGGTACTGCGCATAGGGCTCAGATCGTCAACGATGCACTTGCAACCCAGTACAGGTCAGTTATGATGTGTTTTGTGGATGAGTAATATATCCAGTGCAGACATATGCTCTAGCTTTGGTCAGGACCTCAGGAAAGCTGTCTGTGATCTGCCCTACGGAGGTCACAGCGAATGAATGCAGTAATAAGCTCCTCATCATCTTGATTTTCATCCTGTTCATTCTTAACCCTGTGTACTCAGGATCAGCCGGCGATATGTAGCAGAGCCTGCAGCTGATGAAGCACCTTCCCACTCAGAGGACCCGCCCTGGCTCAAGGGCAGAGGGTTGCAGCGTGGTGACAGAGAGCTTCAGGACAAAGATGCCGACAGGAGATCCAGCCATACCAAAGCCTCTACTGCCCCAGATACAGCCAGAGCGCAGGGTCGCGGCAGGAACCCAATCCTGGATGACAGCATGCACCCCATTCGTCCGCATGATGTCCCACGCGGAGTCTGGACAGTGCTCCTGCGTCTCAGAGGAGCAGGTGAGCTTCCGTTCTCATAGCAGTGCATAAGCACCTCCATTTTTCTTTCAACCAGATGCATGCACCGGGAATGGTGATCTGCACCATGGGAAAATGGCACACTTTCAGCTCAAGCGTGTCTTAAATCTTTCTCTGAGCTATTTCTCTGTGGATGCTGAGCTGAGACAAGGTGATACTGCACAGGGCATGAGGGGTATCTAGTGGGAGGCGCAGTGAGGGACCTCCTCCTGCAGGGCAAACCAAAAGACTTTGACATCCTCACGACCGCCACTCCCGTGCAGGTGACAGCGTGCCCCTCCCTGCATCCCTGTATTCCCAGTATTGACTTCCTTCTGCGGTTGGTTGCCATCCTTGCAAGTCACCTGCCGTGCAGTGACAGAGCCGGTGCTTGCAGATCAAGCGGCTGTTCGGCAGCTGCCGCATCATCGGCAAGCGCTTCCCCATTGTGCATGTGTACGCGGACGGGGCCTGCCTTGAGGTGTCCAGCTTTGGCACGCGAGCCAACCGCGAGCTTATCCCTCAAGATGCAGCCGCCTTCCTGCCGCGCCACAAGCCCCACGACAAGGTCTCTCACCCGCTCTCCCAGAATTGGGTAGACTTGTCTCATGGCAATAAGGTGGCCACTTGGAGTGCATGTGGAGCTGGGCTCCTGACTCGAGATCTGCTCGTGAAGCGCTCCACAAGGACATGACTAAAATCACAACGTTACAAGCAGTCAGACGCTGACGGTATAGGCAGTTATGGATATTTTGTGTCCTGTGACGGATGCTCCGCTGCACTGCACTCCTGTCCTCCTTGGCCTGATACCCCACAAGCTAGAGTTCCTTATTTGGAATGTCAATCAAGACCACCGACCTAGCCTTCACCGCTTCTTAGGGGAAGGCCGGGAGGAAACCCGGGGCGGGGATGCCCGCGGCCGCCGGCGCGCGGCCGGAGGTGCTGTGGGCGTCAGCGCGTGTGGACAACGCGATGGCGCGCGACTTCACCTGCAACGCGATCATGTTCGACCCGTTCTCCGCGCTGCTGCTGGACTATGCCGGCGGCTTCCGCGACTGCCAGCGCCGCGTCCTGCGCACCGTAATCGACCCCGAGACCTCGTTCAGCGACGACCCCGCCCGCATGTTACGGGCCGTGCGCCACGCCGCGCGCGTCGGTGAGGGCCTGCCTCTCAGAGCCCCACATTTGGCGAGATCAGAGACACCGAGACATCAGAAAGTCTATGCTGAGAGGCTACTGACGCAACGACATGCTTGCCGATTCGAGGTGGTTGAGCAAGTTTTACAGAAGAGCAGATGTTGGAGACTGAGCGGAGCCAGACTTTGAAGCAGCCCAAGTGCATATGGTGCAGGCTGTTTGTAGGCTCCAAGGTCAATTTTTGAAGCACAGGCACTTCTTATCCTGGCGTGTATACAGTGTGCCCACCAAGCGGGAAGTAATGCGCAGCAGGGCTGGCTTTGCCACCCCAAGCTTGGAGTAACTGATCCCTGGGCAACTGTGGTTGGGTGCAGCTGAAGGGGTAGCTGCAAAAGGGACCCAGAGGCTGACAGGGGGCGTGGTGGGGGTGCGTGCAGGGCTGACGATAGAGGAGAAGACGGGGCAGGCGATGGTGGGGAAGGCGGGCGAGGTGCTGAAGCTGCCGGGCTCGCGGCTGCTGATGGAGGCGCAGGCGCTGTTCAGCTACGGGGCAGCTGCCGCGTCGCTGCGCCTGCTCTGGCGCTACCGCCTGCTCGACCTCCTCGTGCCCCCCCTGGCCGAGCGCTTCACGCGCAGACGGCTGCCCCGGTGCGAATGTTTCTCCTGCTCTGGTGCCAGATGTGGAGCCATATGTGGCCCCAGAAGGAAATACAGCGGGCACAATAGATTAAGATTGGCGTTCAGGATGTTGTGGTGCCTCAGTGCTCTTGCAGCGCTGCTTAAATATGCCATCAATTTTCAAGGAGAATCGTCTGCAAGCTGGAGTCATTCTATTGTCGTCTGATATTCACGCATGTAATTATTAGTAATGATCAATGTCAAATGGCCTCAGGCTGCCAAAAGTGATTTGGCCATGCACTGCAGGAATCCACGGCGGCCGGTCTCCGAGCCAGTCCTGGATCTCTTGGAGCAGCTAGATGCGAAAATGCAGCCGCACTTGCCCATTGACTGGACGGTGAGACCCCCGCCCTTCAGCAGCCCCGGCAGCCCAGCACTGTCTTGGCTGTCTAATCACTGCGCATCTAATCTCGAGTGATCAGGAGATGACGGACTGTACACAATGGAGGGAGTTCCCCAAGACTCTTTGGTTGCAACGCTGTTTTGCCACCACGATGCTCCCTGGAGTACTGCGCCACAGCAGCAAGGCTGGCAAGTGCCTGGTATTTTCCAGCAGGAGATGTTGGGGAGTTTACTAGTGTGAGGCCAGTGCATGGTGCAGGTGTGGGCAGCAGTGATGGTGGCGCCGCTCGTGACAGATGCACTGGGGGCAGCCCAACGGGCAAAGCGCGCCAAGGCTGGAAGCAAGCAGAGGAGTGGAAAGCAGGGCCCTGATCGTGTGGAGGCCTCCAAGGTCCGTGTCTGCCTCTATGTCTTTACTTTTGAATAGCTATAAATTCTGTTTGCAAGCATTGTAAGTATTTTGAGTAAAATGTGTTTTGCGTAACAGGCAGAGGAGGAAGATGGAGGCTGCTCTATCTGCAAAAGGAGCGCGGATGTCCTTGAGAAGGAGGCAAAGTTCAGGTGTGAGAAAATTGCCTTCTTCACCTAGTGCTGCAAAGTCCGCTCTTGCGATGCGTGCTTGACATGACCCACTAGCTGCAGCGTGGTCCCTGTTCCTCAGAAATTGCCCTTTCGTTCCTGTCCTGGCAGGGGCATAGTGGACGACACTGTGCGCAGCCTGATACTAGCGTCAAGCGGCGGGGCAGAGGTGAAGGGCATGATCCCTGTGGGACAATGGCAGAAGGTTGGCAGCCTGCTTGTGGGCCTCATGGACTCTGTGGAGCTTCCCTCACTGCGCGACAATGCTTGTGAGGACTGTCAGGTGGGCTGAATAGCAGCCCACCCATGTCGCGCATCATCCTGCTGGGCTTGCATCCAAGACAGATGGAGGTCACTGTCAATTCTTGACTTCCAGAGCATCTTGGTGACCTAGATTTTGCTGCGCAGGCTGACTTGGCGAGAAAAGCCTCCTTCGGAAGTTTTGGAAGCAAGGACCCCGCGCGGCAACTGCTTATAAATGTGCTTGGTGGTCAAGCGCTCCAGTGGCTTGACATAAGAGCGGCGTTGTAGCATGTGCGTAAATTATATAATAGGTTGTATATATATGGAAACAGTGCACTACTTGCTGCACGAAACAGGATCCTACGCAGGACTTCCGGAGCTAGCTTCAACTCATGGATGATGATGCATTTAGGACTGATCATGAATGAAGTTCGGACAGCTGAGAAGCAAGTCCCTTGAAAGGGATATCTTGTAATCCACTGGACCCCAAGGCGCCATCCTGACCAGCTATACCAGAAAGCACCTGGTAGGAAGGGCAGGATGCAATATCTTGAAATGGGAGTCTGACTAAGCAAAGGGGATAGATGGGATATGCAAAGGCGGGGAGATCTTCACCTGTTCCTTCGATTTTTGAAACTCCACACCACAACTTTCTCAGGACACCAAACTGCCGGCCCAAAGACGTGTGTGAGGGAAGGAGTGTGCCATACAAAGGACATTGGCAGTCAGTTCGAGGTGAGCACTCGCAACGTTTCCCCTTTCTGAAGAACGTGCCTGACATGACGGTCAAGTTACAAAAAAAGCTGTGTTCGAGTGTTGCACTGGATAAAGCATCCTTGCAGCAACCTATTCGGAAAGGATGGCACCGAAGATGTGCCGTTGAAGGACTGAACGTGCTCTCGCGTGCCCTCTTTTGCGGAGCACGGGGATTTGTGAAACATATTATGTTGCCTGTGCAAGCCTTCTGGGAAGGAAATATCCTTTTGTTGTCTTGGAGAGAGTATTGTGACAGATAATGGGCAGTTGCCCGCTTATTTCGTGATGCTTTCACCCGTTGAAGTGTGGCACTGAAGTCCCCTGACGCATGGCGCCCTGCCTGCCAGTGACCCTTCGTGCATACTTACTCATGCCTTTGGTGGCTCTACTGGGCTCGATAAGAAGAGTAATACAACCCATGTCGCCGACTCGCTTGATGTCCGGGTGTCGAGGGGAATATGTCCGGTTGGGTCGGCGATTGGGTAAGGGAGCGCTTAATCTTGCAGTGGCAACGCAATATGCGACATGCTTGTTTCGTGGTCTTACTACTCTTAATTTGCTTCCTGCAGGTTCAGTCCCCTGGCTTGCCTTCAGTATGGCCACCGTGTGCAGGATGCTCGCCTGCGCAGCTGCGGTCGTGCTCATGCTCCTTCCGTTTTCTCAAGCCCAAGTGCTGCCTGACGTAAGACTTCTTCCTTCGTCTTGTTTTTCGCCTCCTCACGTCTCCTCCTGCGGCTCATTTGTGCTCGGACCCTCCCTGACCTGTATCCAGGCAGATACACACACCTTGTTCTCAGCACCCTAAAGCTCAGCCACCTCCTTGCAAACAGGAATTCACTGATGCACTGACTACACAGGTTGGACTCACGGCTACGGTGCTCGAGGGTCAAGAGACCCCAACAGGAAATACTGTTTATGGCACTCCACGCACCTTCTCGGCCACTATCGTCCAGCTGGGCACAGGTGGAGCCATCCAAGGAGATCTCACATTTTTTGCCGGCGCCACCCCGATCTGCACAACCGAGCTCAACCCAATCAGCCTTCTTAGCACCACGGTGATGATTCCCTGCTTCATCCTGCACAGATTTCTAGAGCAGTCACCTGTGCAAAGCCCATGTGGCGTACCATGAATTCTTAGACCAGCCGTACGTGGGCTGCTTTGTGCACCATGGATCGCCCCCGGTTTTTGTGATGACGCGGCCTGATGGGAATGCATTGCATCTGCAGGTGGACCTGAACGACCTCAACCCAACCTTCACAATCGAACTCTTGAACAACGTGCTGGCGGGCACCGACGTTTTGGAGCCTGGGGTTCTTGCTTTACTCCAACCGGTGATCACGTCGGTGGTTGGTTTGCTGGGTGGAGTTGTGGATTCTGCCAACCTGCCTGCCGTTTTGACTGCATTGGGTCTTGCTTCCCTCAACGACATTGCAATCCAAACTGCTGTCATCGCCACGTGCACGACTTCCACCATCCCTGTGGGCAACTACGCCGCTGTGACAGTCGCTTACGCAGGTGACCACCCTGACCACTTAAATCCACAGCAAATAGAGGGGTGTCTTTTAAAGCAGTTCACTTCAGTACTTTTGCCTTAGCAATGATTGTATGTGTGTGAGATGAAGATGCAGTGCTGGTAATTTGATATTCACACACGGTATCAATGCGGGGCCCACCAGGATGAGTCATGCTGACAAATGCCACTCCTTCCTCATCTCTTTGCGCATGCAAGGGCAAGCTGAGCCTCATTCTGTGTGTTTTTTATGCAGACTTGACAGTGGGCGGCACCACAGTCACGTTGCGGCCACTTCTAGATACCCCCCTGCTAAGCCCCACTGCCACCCTTGCTCTGGGAGCATTCCAGGTTACCAAGGTGAGCAATACCGCCAACCTGGCCCCTTCCTGCAGAAATGTAGAGCAGACAACGCACACTGCACCTGTCTCACATCAGCTGTTGTAGCACAGGCAGGTGTCAATACACTTGTGTTCCAACATCCCCTGGGTGCATGCCTTGCCATGCAGAAACCAGCAAAACTTTCTTATTGTGACTGCGCGTGCTTACCGTTGCAAAGGCCTGTGTGTGTGCTGTAGACAAGCACAAAATCTAGCAGCCATCAGGATTGAGGAGCCTTCTCATCTGCGTTGCGCGTTGTTTTCCAGTCTTTTGCCATGCTTTTCTGACTTGTTTCTCTTTTGCATTGCAAGGCCCCCGACATAGTGCAAGGGACCAACCCGGCCCCCACTCTCCCCGGTGCCACCACGCCATTTGTGGCCACCGTCACCAACACTGATGCAGGCAGCGTCCTGCCTCCCGACGGTGAGCCTCACTGCTAAGCCTCACTGCACTCCTCTTTTTCTTGTCATTGTTTGCAGATTTTACTAGTGTCCTATGGCATGCACAGAGTTTATCGGTGTCCAATATGCACCTGATCGTTTGGCGCCCGTTGTCATGCACAGAGTCTCATCTTAATGTCCAATTGCATGCACAGCATTTCCCTGTTGCAGGCCTCGCCTGCCGAGCCATCAATACCTACCTCTCTGCCAGGACTTGCAGATTGTGAAGATTTAGCCTCGGTCTCACCCTCTTCATATGCAAGCCCAAGACTTGGGAGACTAAACCAGTGATGTGTTGCATTGCAGGCGGCACCGTCACTGCTCTCCTCAACGGCGTGCCAATCGGCCAGGGCCCCATCACTTCCACCGCTGGCAAGACTGCAACCTTTGCCTTCCCCATCACCGTCCCTAACTCTGCTACCCCTGGCGCCCAGGTGAAGAGTTGCACCTCCCTTTCTTCATGCCCCAGCTGTCTCGTGCAGCTCCTATTTATAGTTTTTAGGGGTTAGCTTTTATGATGCCCCACATCAAATTGTGCATGTACCTGTGGACATGCCCCAGGCTGCACAGCTTACTAACTGGCTCTGCTGCCTTGTTGTCGAATTGATTGGAAGGCCTGTCAAGAATGTGGATGGTCTTGGCAAGTAGCACCTTAAAATTTGCATCAAGCGGAACCAGCCACATCAGAGGAAAGTGCTGATCCTTTGTGTGCCTGTGCAGACCATCACCCTGTCGTACACTGGAACATCCAACTTTAATCCGGCTCAGAGTGGCGACGGCACATCCCCTGCTGGACCCACACTCACAGTGGTGAGCCTGCGCCCCATCCTTCACTCTGCCTTCCATAAAACAACCCCCTGCAACAACAGCAGATTTTTTCTATATCCCGCCTCACCCCTTACATGCATGCGCACGGTTGCCGGTAGTCACCTTTGTATCTTTGACCTGTCTGAAATGCATGCATCAGTCCAGTCCGGCCATTGCATGTGTACCGTATTCTGCTCGCTCAAGCGCAATCAATCCTGCTCAAGTAAGCCTCTTGAAAGTTACTGACAGTGTCTGTGACTTTCTGCAGCCCGAGGTTGTGACCTTCACCGCCACTCCAAGCCCCACCACCCCCCCGGCAGGCACCCCTGTCACAGTCACAGGAACTGCCACCGCCCCCAGCGGCGCCATTCCCACCGGCACAGTCACTCTCACGGTAAGTCCCCTACCCCTGCCCCTTTTGCCTGCTGATGGCCAGACACAAGTAAACACCGCTCATTCGTTGCGGCAGGGCAACCCTTGCCCTGACCTAGGACTGCTCTGAAGGTGCAGCTGTCCATTCTGCAGCAGTGCGCTTTGCATGTTCACGCGTCTGGGCACCTCAACTGACGGCAGTCTCTGGGCGTGCTCAGGTCAACGGCGTGACCACCGGCCCCTTCACGATCCAGCCGGACGGAACCTTCACTGGCACACTCCTTGCCCCAGCCCAGCCCTCAAACGGCACGCCCTACCCGGTCACGGTTACCTACGCCCCTGCCTCACCCGCCTTTGTCGGCCCCACCCCGCCATACACATTCCCCCTGACCGTCGGCCCGGCCACCGGCACCGTATTCACCACTGTCACCCCCAACCCCGTTGCCGGCACTGCGCCCGTTACGGTCAGCGGCAACATTACGGGCACCAACGGCCTCCCAGCCGCCGGCACCGTCGACATCAAGGCACGCCGCCCTTCAATCCCACTTCCTGAGCTGTGCGCTGCAAATTTGCAGAGTATAGATTAAAACATGGATCGTAAATAGGCACTTGCAGCATTGTTGCAAGTCATGAGGCGCTTTGAAAAAGCTTTATGACATTTGCTCCGCAGCCGGGCAAAGCAATCTTCAAGAACTGCTCTATAATAATACTGCAGCCTGTGCTATGCATGCTGATATGATGACGATATGTTTGGGCGCTGACAACCAGTTTCTGCTTGCAGGTTGACGGCAGCACCGTGCTCCCTGGTGTGACGGTGAACCCCGACGGAACCTTCACAGGCACATTCCCCGCGCCCGGAGCCGCCGGCACCTACGCCGTGACTGCCACCTTCAACCCGGCCCCGGGCAACTCCATTGCTGGCGCCACCTCCACGCCTGTCAACCTATCAGTCACCGCCCCCACCTCCACCATCACCCAGACCGTGATCCCCAACCCGGCGCCCCCCGGCGGCGCGGCCACT